GCATAACCATATCCTATAGACAATACATATATATATATAGAAATATACAATGTACTGGCATACTTCGGTATGTCCTCGGCAAGTATCCCGTCCGTGCGCAAGCATGGGTGAAAGAACCGGAACATCTAACACAACGCCGCCCATCTTCCCTCCTCCTCATCATCATCAACACCACCATCACCAACAAGCCAACAAAACAATAATGCCCCCCGAATCGCAGCGCGCAAAAGTCCACAACGTAACCTTCGGAACAGGCTACAGCATCTTCCACTCCACCATCCTGCCCGCCATCGCACAGGCAGAAACCGAAGTCATCCTCACAACCTGTTTCTGGGCCCCCTCACCCACCCTCGCCGCCCTAAACCAAACCCTCCGCACTCTCTCCCAAACCTGCCTCCAAAACAACAAAAATAAAAACAAAAACGAAAAAATCAAAATCCGCATCGGCTTCTCCTCATCTTCCTCCTCCTGGTCTTCTTCGCTCACGCAGAAACTCCTCCCCCCTTCGCGAAAAACGCATCCCCCCTCGACATGGAATTCGAGATTCGGACTCCCCTCGGAAGACGAATTGCCGGGGTTAGATGTGGAAGTGAAGAGTGTTTTCTTCCTGCCGCTGAGCGTGTGGCATTCGAAATTCGTGCTTGTGGATCGCAGGAGGGTGTTCTTGCCGAGTTGTAATGTTTCGTGGGAGGAGTGGTTGGAGGGGTGTGTGGAGATGGAAGGAGGAGGGATTGTGCGGGAGTTTGTGGAGTTTTGGAGGGGGAATTGGAATTGGAATTGTGAGGGGGAGGAGGAGGGGGAGCGAGGGGAAGAAGGGCAGACTGATGATGAGATTATTGAAGACGGAATCATCGCCGAGTCACACGGGAGCCAACTACCCTCCCCCATCGCAAGTGCATACACCTTCCTCCCCTCCCCGCACACCCGGCATCCGCACTTCCAACCCCTCCCCTTCCAACCCCCCCGCCCACCCCCCAGCACACCCCTAAACACCCACCTCCTCGCATTCCTCACCACCGCGCAGCGCGAAATCCATCTGCAAACGCCCAACCTCACCTCCCCACCAGTCTTGGAAGCCTTGACGGGAGCTTTAGAGCGCGGAGTTGCCGTTACAGTAATCACGAATGAAAAGCTCATGGTGCTGGAACAGCTGCTGACGGCGGGGACGACGACGGCGCGGTGCGTGAGGGCTCTGATAGGGGATTATGGGCGTTGGCGGGAGAGACGGAGGGGGGATGAGGAGGCGGAGGTTGGGGTCGTGGGGAGACCGGGGAGGTTGCGGATTTCGTATTACGAGCCGCTTGGTGGGGGCGGCGAGGGCGTGGAGGCGGTACGGTCGCATTTGAAACTCACGATAGTGGACGACCGGATTGTGGTTTTTGGGAGCGGGAATATGGATCGGGCGTCGTGGTATACCAGTCAAGAACTCGGCGTGGCGTTCTATTCGGAGGAATTGGTGGCGGAGACGAGGAGATTATTGGAAGAGAAATTGAAGGGCAGGACGAGAGTGGTCTACGACAGCGGCTGAAAGATTTGCAAGGGTTTCTTTTTCATGTCAGGTCTTGCTGATCTTCGGCTTCCTCGCTGATGATGCTGGACCCATCGCCTCCGCCATGCTCCATGCCTGCCAGCGGGTCCGTCTCTGCAGCGAGCAGCGATGCGCGGTCTTCCTTGTCTCGCATGAAATGCGTCCAGATGCTCAGGGCGAGGACGCTGAAACCGTGGATCAGAGTGCTGCCGAACACGATGAAAGATACGATGGGCCAGACGGCCTCGATGGCTTGCTCTCTTGGCGTGTAAGGTCTTCCGAATTTGGGCGGATGCGGTTCTACAGCACGTTAGCACGAGTTTTCGTAGGAGACCCTTGGCGTGCGAGACGTACCTGGAGTGCTCGTCCCATTCTCGAGCACGGCTCGTGCCTCGATAGCCAGGAACAGGGCACCGAGACCCATGGGACCAAAGTGTCCGCAGAAGAGAGCCTCGCGCCAGGTCTTGATGTCGGGTATCCATCTGTACATGGCCATCATGATGGGGATCCGCCGGAAGAGGATGACCAGAGCTAGGAATCCGAGCAGTCGGCCTGGAGTGATGAAGGGCGTGATGTGCTGCGGCGAGAAAGCATACCAAGGCAGGATGGTTCCGAGGTAGACGAACATGGCGCTGCTGAGGAGCAGGTCGACTATGTGTGGCAGATGCGCAGCTCTGGTCTTTTCGGCGAACCAGCCATCTCGAGCAAAGCCATATCCCGCGCCAAAAGCCACGAGAAAGTCGTCGGAGCCGAGAGTGGAGCCGACGCCGACGGAGAAGAGGGCGAGCAGCAGGTAGAAGGCGATGAAGCCGGATCGGTCGATGTAGCCCCTGTTATCGCTGAAGCGGAGGACGCGATTGAAGAACTCTCCAATGAGCAAGCCAATTGCGACGCCAAAGACACACTGCCAGAGGATGGTGATGAGAAACCAGTCCTTGAGGACCAGGCCGGTGGTGGGCTGCGTCAAGATGAACAAGCCGATGTACAGAAAGGGAAAGGAGATGCCATCGTTGCAGCCCGATTCGGCAGAGAGCATGTCCTTGAGGCGTTTGGGAACGCGATTGCTGAACTGGCTGTTGGCCAAGATGCTAGCGGCGAGGACGGGATCGGTGGGGGTGAGACAGGCGGCGACGACCATCGAGGTCGGCCAATCGGTGGCGAAGAGCAGCTTGCAGAAGGCGGTACACAGGAGCCAGCCGACGGTCATGATGGGGCCCAGCATCATGAGGACGGAACGCCAGTGCCGGTTGGCGTAGTGTCGGGGCAATCCGACGGAGACGACGAAGACCTGGATGCCGACGATGACTCGGGTGACTTCCTGGATGATATCGTCGCCCCAGCCCCAGCCGGTGAGTTTGTCGGGACTGGCGAGTCTCAAGGCGCTGCTGCAGCCATCTTGGCCGCAGAAGTTGGGGGTGATCCATCCCAGGACCTCGGGGCCCAGGATGATGCCGACGAGGAGGGCGATGGGAGGCTCGGAGAGGTGTACTAGTGGGGGGGAAGAGTATGGTCAGTGTCGAGCAGATTTCTTGGGGAGGCAGAGGGAGGATGCTTTACGTCGATTGCGCAGGAAGTTTGTGAAGAGCACGTAGCTGATGAGAAAAGTTGCCAGCAATAGGTAGCTGACATGCGGAGGCGTCGCTTCGATCTGGGACCAGACCATGGCTGGCTGGTAGATAGATATACCGATGGATATCTCGACATAGATATGTATGTCAACAAGCGTGAGATCGACTCATCTAGTATAAAGAGGGTCAGGTGGTGAGGTGGACGGGACGGGAAGGGAAGGGAAAGGAAGGAAACGAAAGGCTGCGATGCCGTCATCGGTTACGCTCTTCGAACCCTCATGTCATGTCATGTTGCACTTCCGTCTTGCTTGCTGCCAAGAGGAGGGCTACCTTACACTATGGCGAGGGTTGATGCCTCAAGTGTTATCATATAGATAGATACTACAGACCGAGAGTCTGGTATGGTCGTATACCTTTGTCGAGAGGAGGCTTCCTACACAGCCACTCGAGCCACTCGTCTGAATCATCTGTGGCACTCCGCTGTGGCACTACCGAATAATCCGCCCCGCACGTGTCTCTCTTCCTCACCACTCACCAGTAAAGGTAGTATCACATGGTAGGTACATGCACTGTGACAGAGTATAGTGTTGTGCTGTCACTGTGCATACACTGTGCATGAACCATGGTCAGGCACGTGACAGTTCAGTGATTGATTGCAAGCGACTTCTACCTACCTCCTCTCTCCTCTCTGCCACGCCATCCATATATAAACCGCACCCTCACACAGCATGGCCCTCGCCAGCACCCACGGCAGCCACAATGTCCAAACGCAGCCTGCTCACCCACATCACGCCCCTCCCGCCCTCCATCTCCCGCCAGACAGCCATCGCCCAGCTCCATGACCACGCCTCCATGATTAAACTCAACCCTCTCGTCCTCCGCCACGAAGAGTGCCCTCCCCCCAAAGCCGCCTCCCCGGACGAAGCCGCCCACGCCATCTGGTACCAGATCACAGACCAGATCACCTACCTCCCCTACATCCCCGGCATGAAGGGCGAGGTCGTCTACAAAGCCTGCTTCTACAATCTCCCCAACGGCCTGCAGACCCACACCTTCGCACCCGCCGGCGTCGATATCCGCGGGAAATGGACCGTGCGAGGCAACATGCCCGGGGAACCGAGAGAGGAGCGGGAACTGGGCGAGGTCGACGTCCCGAGGGAGGGCTTGTATGTTCGGGAAGAGGTGGATCTGAGCTGTAGTATCTTCATGAGTGCCTTTATCCGGAGGAGTATCAAGAAGGCGCATGGCGAGATGGCGGAGAAGCTGATTGCCCGGGCGAAGGAGATGCAGGAGTCGGGCCAGTTTCCCACCGCTACCGAGGCCGCCGGTCGCTCTCAGAGTCAGGCGCCTGTCGCTACTGGACAGCCTCAGACCACTGTCGCCGGGACTGGTGGAGAGAGGGGTGGTGGAGGTGAACAGGATGGCAGCTTGCAGCAGCATGGCTTGGCTCTGAATCACAGAACCACGCTGCATCATTCCTACGTTCCGCACTGTGCTTGCGAGGGAACGGCGCACGGCAGGAGTTGTCCTCTCTTCACACCTTCCGATACGTATCGACAGAGCTATTTCGACCCACAGTTGAAGCCCGGCATTCACCCCACGCCTTTCTACCCGCCATCTGTGCCTTCTTCGCTGTCGCATTCGCAGTCTTCTTCGGCATCCCATTCGTTCGAGCGAGGCCATCCACAGGAACTGTATGGCTCAGCCGGGATGAACCAATGTCTCTGCACAGGAGGACTGCATGAGGATGGATGCGCATTCTATCCCGGGCTCAGACTGCCGGGTTTGACGCCCTCGTCCCTGCCTGCTACGCCCTCGGCTTCATCTGCCTTGCAGTCGCGGCCGATGAGTCCATTGCCTCCACCACAGCCTCGACACTCCGAGGACATCTTGAGCAGCGGCCTCGGGCAGGATTGGATTCCGCAAGGTCATGTTGCGCTTGCCGAGCTTTCTGCGAATCGAGCCTCTTTGGATGTCGAGAGCCGCGGCCCGCTTACGCCACACTTCTCGAGGCCATTCCGAAATGGCTGATGGCTATCGTAAGGTATGGACAAGACTTGCTCTTTCCGGGAACTCGAGAGAGCGCGCCCCACTCCACGTTGAAACGCACCTGGCAGTATCAAAGACTTCAGGTCCAACATTCCTCGCTCAGCCCAGCTTCCGACTGGAATGCCATCTGCTACAAAGCCATTCTCTCGTCCCACGTCACCATCGATTGTCCCTCGGCCTACCGTGTGGAATGCGAGGTGGTCGGGAGCCCTGCTTACAATAGCTATGTGACGATTGTATATCTCAACAGATGACCACATGGTTTCTGTGGTTGCTTCCTTCACATTCGTCAACAAAACAACGCCGCCATTCCTCTCAAGTATTGCTGTGACCATTCGTCCGCAGTGAGCATCGATCTTGGAGTCTCCTCAATCCACCAGAATGGCCGCGGTCGATCGCAAGAGCAGTTACCAGATCCGGCCGGGGAATAAAGAGCCCGAATGGTCCAGCCTCTGCAACAATGTCTTTGACCAATACCTCAACGACGACGACATCTTCGCCATCGGCGACAGCCAGCGTGAAAGAAGCAGTTCCGATGGCTCTGGTAACCTCTTCGACTTCTCAGGATCGAGCGAACAAAGCAATCAGACGAACGTTACCTCGCCAATACCTTCCTGGGACGACCCGCCGTCCACAGCAGGAGCAAAGACAGAAGCCAAACAACCCAAAGCCAAAGCTCCCGGCGAGTTCTGGACGCAGAAGTTGAGGGCTCTTGAGCAGAACGCCGCACAGTGCGAGAGACGTCAACAGAGATTGCGGACAACAAAGTCACATCCTGACTTTCTCAGTCTCGGAGGACACCCTTCGCCTCCAGCTGTCCCGCCGTCGCCAACGGACCAATCGTCTTCTGCACCGCGTCCCAGAGGAAGGGTTGCTGCTGCAAACGGAAGCAAGACACCGACCCAGCGCAGTGTCACCAACTTACGATCAGTATCACGTGGACGGCCAGTAGGGGTGACGAAGCCCGCCGCCGCTGCTACTGTCAACCCGTACGCAACGATCCGCAAGACCAATGCTTCACCGTCCAAGATGATGAACCCGTCCCGCTACCGCGCGGGCTTCAAGGACGTCTGGGCGGAACGAATCGAACATAGCCCGAAGAAATATGAGCTCCGGTTGTCACAGGTTGCCTTTCCCGACTCGCCGCCGCCTTCGGCCAGACCGTATCAGGGCAGTTTCGCTGCTTTCGGATCACCTGTTTATCCTCCCTTGCCTGGATGCGATGACCAGATTTCACCTTTGGCGAGCACTTTTCAGCGGGCGGCTCGACTTCAAACGCCGATTGCATCGCCGCTGTTGAGTCCTGGGAGTCACGCCGCGGCTTCGTACTTTGATGGGCTGCCGCTTCCAGCGAATCCCTATACCACACAGACGGTGCCGCTGAACGATACCGCACCTCTGTACCCCGAGGCGCCTTCGCTGGCGGCGAACAGGATCCAGTCGTTCGATTTCGGATTTTCGAGCTCGCCTGTTGACGATGCTTGGAATGCAGCGCCTTTTGCGGAAGCTGCTTCTGCGCCGTACAACCCAGATCCTTTCGTCGGTCAGGATCCCTATGGTGGAATCGATGGCTTGTCCAGCTCAGGTGCAGATGGGTTAGGGCTGGGTTTGAGCTGCGATCCGAATGTCATATCCAACTACACGACGGGACCGGCGGTGCCGGAGACAGCAGTCCTGCCAAACATGACTTACCAGCCTCCACCCATGTCGTCCGCGAGTCCATTCTATGTCCCTGGACAGTCGAATGGCTTGCAGCTCTCGCCCACTCGCCAGAGCCATGCGCGATCCATCCCCAACACACCTCATCGACGCCGCTCATCCCAAAGTCCATCGCCACCAGCAACGGACACTAGAACGAGGAGAGCATCGTCTTCGCGACGAGCGTCCCGTCATCGCAGGAACAAGTCTGTGAGCTCCACGCCTCGTCATGCCCACAATGACAGGGGCGGATTTGTCAACTTCACGCCCTCGGATAGTACCAAGATCCTGAGTGGAGTGGCGCCTTCTGGTAGTTCGAAGACGAAGGCGAGGAGGGAGAAGGAGGCTGCTGATAAGCGAAGACGTCTGAGTCACGCGGCTGTGAGGGCAATCATGGAGGCTGGTGGGGATGTTGAAGCGTTGCAGAAGGCTGGGTTGATTATTCCTTGAGAGCCATGTTTTCGGTAGATACCGTACCTTCGCTGTACATGATGGGTAATACGCTGGTAGATCGGGTTATCTGAGGTGTGTCCTTTGAGGTGAACCGTCTTTTCTCCAGTATTTCGCATCTCGTACGAAAAGTAACGCGATATCACGTATACATAATGGACATTCACTTCATTTGACATGTGAAGTCTCGACAAGAGGCCACGCTTCGAGGGATATTCCCGGTGATGGTCCGTGCTCCGCTCAAAGCCGTCGGTCAAGCTGAACGTCATGGACTTCGACTGAACTTCTCCTACTTCCATCCGCCTGCTGCAGATTCTCTTTCTCCTTCACAAACCACACGAGATCTGCATAATCACGGTTCCCACCATGTCTTCGGCACGCGCTCTCCTGCGAACGAGCCGGCTGGCGATGCGCGCCAGCGTCCGGCCCATGTCAACAACCACTCCGCGCTTCGCCGTTCCCATGAGCGAGCGAGGAAACGATACCGCCGACGAATATAGACGCTACATGACCGAGAAGCCGCTGAATCCTCACATGACCAACACCAACTCGACCATCGCGAACGAGATGCCGAGCGTTGGGGAGGACGGCCCACCACCGGAGCTCATCACCAGCGTCGACCCCAAATACACGCCCAAGGACTCCAAGCCGGCCAACACGGAGAAGATGACGGGCGGCACGCAGGCGCCCGGCCCCAAGACGGGACCGAATGCAGATCTCGATGTAGGTGAAATCGAAGGCGGCACGTTCAAAGTGGAACCGCTCCGCCGCACCGGCGAAGACGTCAACACCATGCGTGCCCGCCTGCTCTGTAAGCCCCGGATCCAACATTAAACCCAGGACCGTCCATACTGACGCTGATGGCTCTTGCTTGGGTAGATCAATCCCGCAAACGAGGCACGCTAGAAAGCGACCTCCTCCTCTCCACCTTCGCCGACGCCAATCTCGCCTCCATGACCCCGAAACAACTGCAGCAATACGACCTCTTCCTCGACGAGAACGACTGGGATATCTACTACTGGGCGACGCAGGAAGCACCGCCGACTTCCATGGCGTACGCGGAAGGCGCGGGCCCTGCATTTGCGGACAAAGAAGTGCAGGGGACCGACGTGGAGGGCAAGGAACCGCAGCAAGACCAGCGGGTGCGGGCGCCTGCGAAGGGGGAATGGGCGCAGACGATCGGGACTTTCAAACCCGCGTATCGACCTGTCCCGCAGCGGTGGAAGAATTCGGAAGTCTTGAGTCTGTTGCGAAAGCATGTCATTGATCGCAGTGCGGGTGGGGTGCATATTCCTGGAGGCGATTCTCCTGCTGCGAAGCCTAGTGGTGGCGGGATGGGTTTCATGCCAGAGCTGAAGAATTTTGATCAGTGATTGGTATCCTACCTTATCCCTCGTTTTTTGACCACGCCGAGGGGAGAGATCTTCTGTTAGATGTACATATTCCGCACTACTAGACTCCCACAGCTGCTGCCGCCGCCGCAACACACATTGTACAGATCCCCGGGAGGCAGGGTGTACGAGTCGTGAGATGTCCCTGCGTGCCTGGTTAACAACATCTTCACAAGACTCGCAAGAGCTTATTATTGTTTTCCCAAGGACCCAGCCCACCAGCTTGCCAGCTCCGGGTTATCGCACTCGTATCGCACTCCTCCCATCTGGCGTGATGCACGAGCGTCAGCACGCGATGGCGCTAGTCCAGGGCTGTGGATGGACGCAGCATGCATTCCTCCATACGCATGCATTGCAGCACTATCTACTAACTCATGAGATGATTGATGCCAGGTGTTGGCGGTTTTTTTTTTTCTTTTCTAGGTCCGACGACAAGCATCCTTCGCATGGCTCTAAAGGTGATGTGATGGGGTGAGAGCATTCTTGCGTCCGTTCGTTGAGGGTGGGTCTTCGCAATGCATGTCATGAGCATGAGCGAGAGAGCGAGGTGGGATTTGGATATATACAAAATGGGGCTGTCACCTCTGATTTTTCAAGTAAGACGGCATTGCAAACCCTCTCTCTTTTCTCTCTCCCTCTCTCTCTCTCTCTCTCGCGCGCGCGCGCGCTCGCCATGGCGGAAACCCAACTCCTCTCGCAAGCCACCGGCTACGGCATCATCATCGGGCTTTCCATCCTCTTCTGCCTCATCATCCTCTTCGCCGTCCGGATCCAGCAGAAATACCTCGCGGAGGATTCCGAGCAATCGGAGATGGTAAGTAAAGTAAAGTAAAGTAAAGTAAAGTAAAGTAAATAAGGGGCTGCTAGCTTGCCCATCAGAATGTCACTCACTGGGCCAGCCAGCCGATCGATAACTGATCTTTCTCGCTTCCAGTTCATGGTCGCGAACCGCTCCGTCGGCACGGGACTCACCTGCTCGGCCGTCTTTTCGTCCTGGATGTGGATCAACGAGAGCGTCTTCTCGGCCGCGTATACGTACAAATGGGGCGTGGCGCTGCCCGTGTGGTGGGCGAGCGGGCTGTCGTTTCAGATTGCCCTGATGGCGGCGTTGGGCATCGTGGCGAAGTTGCGGGTGCCGTATGCGCATACGAGCCTGGAGTTCATGCGGCGGCGGTATGGTGGGGTCGTGCATGGGTTGTTTATCGTGATGAATCTGGTGAATAATAGTGAGTGGTCCTTGATGGTGTGTGGTGTGTCGAGGCTGCTTCTTCTGACGGGTGATTGTAGTCTTCGGCTGTGGGAGTATGATTCTGGCGGGCTCGCAACTGGTCACGGGTATGACGGGGATGCATGTTGTTGCTGCTTGTGTTTTGATCCCGGCAGGAGGCGAGTACATTCACGATTCAGAAGGGTACTATGGCTGATGTCTGGCTGTAGTGGTGCTGTACACGGCGGTCGGAGGTCTCAAAGCTACGTTCCTGACGGACTTTCTGCATACCACCATCGCGCTGATCTTGCTGATATACTTCGCGATTGCTGTCTTGACAAACGAGCATATCGGTGGTCCGACAGGGCTGTACGAGAAAGTCAAAGCGACGAATGACTACATTGATGGCAACTATGCTGGGTCGCTGTTGACGTTCAAGTCCCATAACGGTAGGCGTGGCTCTGTTGCATAGGGTCAGCTTTCTCACACGCTGACTTCCTTGTAGCGGTTCTGTTCGGGCTGGTCTTGAAGCTTGGAAATCTTGCCCTGGTTCTCATGGACACTGCTTTCTGGCAGAAGTCGTTCGCCGCCGAAGTGGATGCCACTGTGCCCGGGTGAGTCGACATGCGCGGATTACCGGAAGGGTATTGATGATCCTCGCAGGTATGACCTGGCCTCAGTCGTTATCATCGCGATTCCTTGGTGTACTGGCACGGTCATTGGACTTTCTGCGCGGGCCATTGAGAAGACTCCAGTCTGGATCACATATCCTGAGACTCTTACTTTGGCTCAGGTCAACTCCGGAATGGTGATGCCGTATGTCCTGAAGTCTCTCCTCGGCACAGGAGCGACAGCCGGTCTTCTGGTCCTCATCTTCATGGCAATCACGTCAACGGTCTCAAGCTCCATGATCGCGGTGAGCAGCATAATTTCCCTGGACTTCTTCAGGACCTACATCAATCCCCGTGCCAGCGATAAGAAGACCCTTCAAGTCAGCCATCTCGGCGTCGTGTTTCACGGCTGCTTCATGGCCGGATTTGCAATCATGCTCGAATATGCCGGTGCAACGAACAACTGGGCCACGTATTTCAGGCCAATCATCGCCTGCCCTGGAATTTTTCCGATGATGATGGCTCTACTTTGGTCCCGACAGACAAAGCTGGCCGCGATTTTGGCTCCATTATTGGGTCTTTGCTCTGGCCTGGCGGTCTGGCTGTCTCTATCCTGGTATTGGGGAGGAGCGATTAACATCACTACCACGCAGCTCCAGCTACCAGGCTTGTACGGCGCCGTGACCTCGTTCTTCTCGCCTGCGGTGTACTCTGTCATTATTTCGTTGGCATGGCCGGGCCGCTTCGACTGGCGCGAGTTCCTTCGCATCGATCTGATCGAAGACAAGAGCCCGGCGAGCAGCACTTTGGCGCTCAATACTACAGTTGAGGAGATTCATCACGACAAGAAAGTACCACTGGAGACCGTAGGCCCCGAGAATGCAACCAGTCCCGCCGTGACGAGGAAGAATGCCCAAGCTGACCTGGATGACATTGTCCATCCATTCGATGAGCAGACGATTCGCAAGATCAAGAAATGGGGCAAGTTCGCCGCTGCTTATCTCGTGGTCAATGTTCTCGTGACAATCGTCTTGTGGCCGATGCCGCTCTATCGTGACTGGATCTTTACGAAGAGCTTCTTCAGTGGCTGGGTGACGATGGCGATGTTCTGGCAATGGTTAGCGTTGATTACGGTGGTGATCTATCCCGTGTATGACGGCAGACACGCCATTGCTATGGCACTCAAAGGCATGGCGAGGGGCAGAATATGGGAAAGGAATGCAATTCGAGGGTGTTGATGTGGAAGCGGTGGTCGATAGAGATAGAGATGTGTACATGCACTCGAAGTCCATATTTTCATCACGTGCTCTCGCGACTCGGGCCGAAGATCGTCCCGACCGACGCCAAGAGATGCGGCTCGAGCTACCCACCTCGCTCAAAATCTTCAGACATTGACCTGAAATTTGGTGTAGCGAACAACAGCACTCGTCCAAACCACTCCTCCACCACCCAAACACCCACACCCGACAGACAAAATGGCTGAGCAACTCGTTCTCCGCGGCACCCTCGAGGGCCACTCCGGCTGGGTCACCAGCTTGGCCACGTCGCTCGAGAAGTGAGCAGCGGCTGCGTGCAGCGATGTTCGATCCACATGCAATACATGTACTGACAGCGACGGCAGCCCCAACATGCTCCTGTCCGCCTCCCGCGACAAGTCCCTCATCATCTGGAACTTGACCCGCGACGACACCAGCTACGGCTACCCAAAGCGCTCGCTCCACGGCCACTCCCACATCGTCTCCGACTGCGTCATCTCCTCTGACGGTGCCTACGCTCTTTCGTCCTCCTGGGACAAGACTCTGCGTCTGTGGGAGCTCTCCACCGGCCAGACGACCCGTCGCTTCGTCGGACACACCAACGATGTCCTCTCCGTCTCCTTCTCCGCCGACAACCGCCAGATCGTGTCCGGTTCGCGTGACCGCACCATCAAGCTTTGGAACACCCTTGGCGATTGCAAGTACACCATCACCGACAAGGGACACACCGAGTGGGTCTCCTGCGTGCGCTTCTCGCCAAACCCGCAGAACGCGGTCATCGTCTCTGCTGGCTGGGACAAGTTCGTCAAGGTGAGTTGCAGCACACCCACGTCGCCCCCCTCAGATGATGCTACATTTAAGTATTTGCTACTTCAGAGCCTCCCGGCCATGAGACACACTTTGCCTTCACCGGCGCACTGATTCGGAACACATACCCATGTCCAGCTTACATGCCATATTCCGAGCATACATGCTGACTTGGAATCCATAGGTCTGGGAGCTCTCCACCTGCCGTCTGCAGACCGACCACATGGGCCACACCGGCTATATCAACACCGTCACCATCTCCCCTGATGGCTCTCTCTGCGCCTCCGGTGGTAAGGACGGCACCACCATGCTCTGGGACTTGAACGAGTCCAAGCACCTCTACTCCCTCTCTGCCGGCGACGAGATCCACGCCCTCGTCTTCTCGCCCAACCGCTACTGGCTCTGCGCCGCCACTGCCAAGGAGATCGTCATCTTCGACCTTGAGAAGAAGAGCAAGGTTGATGAGCTGAAGCCTGAGTTCCTCGAGGGTGGCAGCAAGGCCCGCGAGCCGGAGTGCATCTCCCTCGCCTGGTCCGCTGATGGCCAGACTCTGTTCGCTGGTTACACCGACAACAAGATCCGTGCCTGGGGTGTCATGTCCCGCGCATAAGCGGATCTGATCATCTACAACTAGGGTGGGGAGATCTGGAATGCAGAATAGAGGTTCTGCGGCTCAGATGTGACGATGAATGCGATGAGGGAATGAGAAGATGAACTTTGGACGGTGATGCGCGATACGAGGATCGCTGGTGTTCGCATCCTGAAGGAGAGTGATGGAAAATCAGTCGATTTCCGATGAAAGGTCGCTGCGCACGTTCTATTTAGCTTCGAATGAAACCATTTCAAGAACCCACCGTTTTACTACCACACACTCGCTACCTGGTCATTCAGCATGTGCACTGTATGTGATCTCAGCATTTGCGCTCGTGGTCCCTTCATGTCAGCAATCTCCATGGACTCGTCGAAGCGATTGAAAGGACAGGGTACGTGTGCGATAGGACATGAACGCAGTTGTTCGCTTAACACCCATACCAAATAATCCATTCTGGTGCCAACGCCTCCGCTACAACTACGCTCACTGCGGTCGATACAACCACTTTTCTCCTTTCGCTCAAATCTCAACATCAATACCCAAGTCCAGTCCACCAATAACATCGTCGTCCAGACTCTTCTGCTTCAGAGCACCGACGGGCCCCTTCTTGATGGCAAGGAGCGGGGTATTAGCCCGATTCTTCTTTGGGGTATCAGCACCGTTCGCGGGAGTGCCAGCACGGCTGACATCCGGCGTCTCGCCGAAGAGGTCCTTCATGTGCGACTTGGCTTGTCCATTGGCTTTCGCGGCGTCGGCTTCTTTCTTCAACCGAGCGGCCTCTTCGCGTTCCTTGAGACGCTGTTTCCGCTCGGCGATGAGAGCGTTGCGAACGTCCTGTGTAGTCTTCCTGCGATTGGTCTGGTTGAGCTGGGCGAGACGGTCGGTGTGCATGGCTTTCGCCGGGCTGGACTTGGGTTTGACGGCGCCATTCATATTGGAAGCGCTGTTGTCGAGAGCCTCGAGCTCCTCGTCGCAGCGCTGGATCTCCTCTTCATCTCCATTCTGCTCGGCCTCTGCGCGACGTCTGGCGATACCCTTACGCTTCTGCTTCGCGACGTGGACAGGGTCGTGCTTGAGTTCCATAGCTCGCTGGTTGGCAAACTTCTGCTGCAGCGTCTCTTCCGTAAATTGTGTGTTGAGCAAACCGTGGATAGCCTCCAGCTTGTGGGCCAGAAACTTCTTGGGCGGGATGCGCATGTTCTCTTTGCGCAGCGTCTCTGTGAAGCGTGTGTACTCGCTCTCCGTGAATTTGCTGTCCGAGCAGGCAGCGAATGGGAATGTCTTCTCATGAGGTCCTTGAGCAACAAGTGCGTACTGGTCTATCGTAAAGCGCTTGCCGCTGGCGTTCTCCATCTGGTAAGGTTTGCCATCCGCGAAGCCTCTAATCTGAGCCATTCGGTACTGGTTCTGTCCGGTCTCTCGGTTGATGCCGATGCTAAGTCTGGCGAAGCAGCCTTTGATTGCCTCTTCAAATCCGGGATAGAAGCAGACCTTGGCAAAGTTGGAGCGACCGACTCTGCACCTCTCGAAGTCCCTCAGCTCCGGTGGTGGGTCCGGACGACTTGAGGATGTTGGCTCTGCCCACTCCACCTCGCTCTCGCCATCGGCGTCGCGATCAGAGGCCGAAGATGGCGAGCGTTCATCTTTCCGGTCTCGCGCGGTATCCCTTCGACCACGATCAGCGCCCTTCTGCTCGCGGGCTCTCTTGTAGTCATCTAAAGCGGTCCGCTTCTGTGTTTTTGGTCGCGTCGTTCTCCTATTGTCATCCTCAAGCTCCGCTGCCTCAGCCTTGCGCTTGATCTTGCTTGCTGCATTGCTCTGCGCAAATGCTTTCCTCAGCATGGCATCTTGCTTCCTCTTCTGCTCTTCTTCGGCGCGCTCTGCAAGTATGGCTTCTCGCTCGACCTCAGGCAGCGACATGACGTATTCGCGATCTCCAGGAGACATGTATTTGCCCTCAAGCGGGTACTGCGTGGTGTTCTCTTCTGGTGTTCTACGACCGTCAACTTCGCCTTCGGATTCGTCGATACCGCCCGAGCCGAGAGATGGCTCGCGGCCAGGAGATCTGCAGGAGGGGTCAGCAGCAGCACTGAGAAGAGACGTAGCGACTAAAAGCAACATGTAGCAGCAACAACTAGCAGGATGGGCTGTCTGGACGCGCGAAGTGCCGACAGTCACGTCAAGGGCGTAGCTGGGATGGTTTGTGAGACATACCCAGCAGCATCCTCGTCTTCGCTCTCCTGCTTGCGTCGTCGGCCGCGGCGCGCCTTGACCTTCTGAGCAACGCCTCTCCTAACAGCTTGCGGCTCCTCGGCCTTCTCGACGCTCTGCTTCGCCTCTTGACTGGGAGAGCGCTGCTCATCGGCGTCGACCTCGTCAAGCCTATCCAAGTCGTCGACACTCTCGTCCTCCGAGTCGCCGCCGACCATATCCAAGAGCTCCTCATCTAGATCAGACATCTTGCTGGTTCGATATCGCGCAGTTTAGGTTGATTGTGAGTCGACTGGTGATGGAGTTCTTTGCGCGAAGGTGCGGCGTAGGCTTGTGAAAGTCTTTGATCGAACGCGGTCGAGCAGGCCGGGCTCCAGACGGAAAAATCGACGTTGTCGTGCCACGCGCGTCGAACCTCGCAATGAAGTGGTCGTTCGTGATGGGTACTATTGCTGAGTTACTAAAGGCGGTGGGATTTTGTTGAGACTGAGTGCGCAAAGAGTGGCTGGTGTCGGAGGTGGAGGATGTCGAGGTGATGAAAGCGTGGAGTGCTAAGAACAGGAGAGCACATCTTTCACGTGCCGTCATGCAGGCCAAGCTTTTGCGCTAGCAAGGGTCCGCCGATCTCAAAGCTTCCGGTCGTGACGTTGGAGAAAATGCAACTGCACCTTCCATCCTCTCTCATCATTCTCCTCGCCGTTCTCCTATGCCACTTTCATTGACGTGTCTCTTGCTGAATAGATTCTGCCATCGTACATCATGGCTCGAATAACACCCTCGTTGCCGCTCAAGTCGCGCCTCAGTCCACAAGCCTTTCAGCTCCAAACCCGCAATACCTCGCGCCGTACATTCGCATCTACTTGCATTCGCCGCGATCAAGAAGAGCGCACTCCTGAAACCCTAAAGACGCCGCGACCAGAGAGGAAGAAACCTCTTAGCCGAGCGCAAAAGCAATTCCTGGACTCAGCACTCCGAGTCAACCATGCGGGCGAATTGGCGGCGACATTGATTTACACCTCTCAAACACCGCCCATCACCAAGGCCTACCCTCATCTAAGACCTCTGATGAAGCACATGTACGATCAAGAAGCAGGACACTTCAGCAAATTCAATGAAATGCTGGCGAAACACCGCATACGACCCACTGCAATGTATCCAGTCTGGCATGCAGCTGCTACGCTCTTGGGGTGGAGCACGGGAGCGATGGGGCGAGAAGCGGCAATGGCATGCACGGAAGCCGTGGAGACGGAGATTGGAGATCATTACAATAATCAGGTGCGGGAGCTGTTGTCCTGGTTCAAGGACATGGAGGAACGCGGGGAGGAGCCTGGCGAGGAACTCAGAGCGCTGGTACAGGACATTCGCAGAATACGTGACGAGGAATTGGAGCATCTGGACCATGCAGTGGAGAATGATGCCAAGGAGGCGAATCCGTACGAGTTATTGACGGGCATCATTCGAGGCGGATGTCGCGGGGCGATCTGGCTCAGCGAGCGAGTGTAGAGTGTAGTTGCTATTGTATGTTGATTCCCCTATTGTCCTTTTGCTCTGATTCATCCCCAAACTTTCAATCTTCAATAGAGTGTATGGGTACGTGAGCTAAACTAGCATCATTTGAGCCCTATTGTGAGTGAATCTTCTTATTGTCTCAGCGGGTTCTCCAACAATCCATACTCTCCGCCTCCCTCGTTCCCGATCTTCCTCGAATATTCTCTATTCTTTCAAACGACAAATCTCCATCACCGTCCTCGTCGACAGCAACTACAACATCATCGTCCCACTGCCAGAAAGAAGACAGATCTCCCGAAGATGCCTGTCCTTCGATCTCGCACCAAGCCCGCGCCCCGTCCCGTCATCTCACCCACGATGCGGCAAGACTTCATTGACATGAAGTTCACCGCCGAAGAGCTCGAGGTCTTGTTGGATCCGGATTTGGAAGAGCTGGAAATCGATAGCTTCAGCTGTCCGACCGGTACACTTCTACCAGGGGCTTTCAAGGTCGTGAAACCACCTCCCAAGACCAGAGCATCGACGGCCAAGCCGTCGAAGGTCGCGAAGAACAGCAGAGCCACCAAGGCCAAGCCGTCGAAGGTTACGAAGAGTGCGAAAGCCACCGGAGCCACCAAAGCCAAGGCATCCAAAGCGGCCAACAACACCAGGGCCACCAGAGCCAAGCCATCAAAAGCAGCAAAGAACACCAGAACCACCAAAGCCGAGCCATCAAAAGCAGCAAAGAACACCAAGACCAAAGCATCAAACCCTACAAAAGCGAAGAAGAAATAAACCCCATTCATTACGGGTAAGGCGTCCTCTACTCTCCAACCCCCTTCACCAAAATCTCCACTCCGCCCTCCCTCTTCACACTCCCATCGATTCCCCTCAAGCGCTCAATCACCTCTCTCTCAACCTCTTTTCCAGGCCGGCCCATATACCAACTCAAATCCCCACCTTCAACCCCATGAGCTTCCAGATCCCATCCGTTCCCAAAAAACCCAAACCTATCGTCTTCATTCTCATACCGCAACTCGAAATCCTCAAACCGTGGCGTCGACATGATTTTCAGAAACTGACTCCTCTCTCCAGGCCAGAGACTTGGTGGGCGCGAAGTGCCGTCGTTGCCTTTGTACCATGCTACGCCTGGCATCACATACGAACATTAGCAAGAATGAAATATGGAGAGAGAGAGAGAAGGAGGACTTACAAGGACCCGTCAAAGCAGTCCTCTTCATCCAAGCATTCGCATGTCTCACAAACTGCTCCACGGCAACATCTTTCGGCACAAACGACAAGATCCTTTCCAGTTGCATCTTCTCCACAACCTGGACGATATACTCGGCAAATGCTTCCGCCGATTGATAGAAATTTCCCTGTGGCAAGGGGCCGAAAGCCGAGGCGGGGTTGAAGTAGTTAGGCATAGATTTGAGCATGCAGGCCATGTAGCTAGGAGGGGAGAGCAAGTCTTTCCATTCCGATTCCGCCGGGTTGTGACCGTTCACGGTGTGAGGGAAGCGGGGCATGTGGGATTGATCGTAGCCCGTGGCAGCTATCACCATGTCGATCTCGTGTTCGGTTCCATCCGCGTCTAAGATTCCCCGTTCCGTGAAGTGTTGGGGTGGCTTCAGGAAGACTGTGGTTTTGGGATGGACCAGAGTTTCCAGATATCCATACGCAAAAGTCTGTCGACGACAGCCGATACCGAAATCCTGGGGAATGATGGCGTCGAAGAGGTCGGGTTTCGATGCGAGTTTTTCTTTCATGTGGGTTACTACCATGGCTTGTACGTCGTTTGCGATCTTGCCGCCGTTGATGAGGTAGGAATAGCGAGCGTTGAAAGTGTTTTCGACTGCTTTGCGGTAGGCGAGGTAGACGTCCGGATCTTTGAGCATTTCTTTCTGCTCTTTACTATCTGAGACCACGTCAGAGGGGTCGTTATACTGGTGAAAACGGGGAGGCAGCACATTTGAAGTTGTTGCCGCCTTCGGCCGAGAAAGCCTGGTTTGGCGGTGGTAGCACGTAGGTCTTGTTGCGAAACCATGTGTAAAGCTTGGATACGTCGTTGACGATGTTTGGGCCGATCTGGACACCGCTGCCTTGGGAGAGTCAACGACTTGGAGCAGATCTGTTCGCTGAGTTAAAGGACGTACATCCGTAGCCGATGAGTGTAACTCTCTTATTCTTGACCGTAGTGTCATCCTTCCAATGCGCGGGATGTACTACCTCGCCTTTGAATTTGTCGATTCCGGCAAGCGGCGTGAGCCTTGGGTTGCTACAAACTGCTCAGCGTCTTGCGATAAGAGTAGTGCCTTGCCCGAGCCTACCTGACCGGTCCGTTGAACTCCAGGAAGAAATCCACCTTATCTTCGAACACATCATCACTCTTTAAATCTTTTACCCGTAACGTCCACTTTGACTCTCTGTCCGTCCAAGAAGCGGAGAGGATCTGATGCCGGAATTTGATGAACCTGTAGAAGTCGTTCTCTTTCGCAACGGCTTTGATGTAACCCAGATTCTCAGCAGCTGGAGCATACATCTCAGACCAGATGTTCGTTCGCCAGGAGAATTGATAGACAATGGAGGCGATATCACATCGACAGCCTGGATACTTGCTGGTCAACCACTGTAGCATATCAACATATGATGTCTGTATTCAGGGGCGATAGAGAGAGGATACCACCCCGCCAACATCGTCGTTCATCTCATAGACCACAATGTCAACGTCTTTCAATTTTTCCGCAGAGTGCAAGAATTGAAGGCCCATGATGCCGGCTCCCAGGACGCCAATTCGTACTTTCCTCCTCGTCCCGAAGAAGTCATTTCGAATGTCAACATCGGGTCTGCCAGAGGGATCGGCAATGCCTTCGTACAGGTACGTAGGGACGTAGTCTGCTGCTTTTGGATGTTGCAGTGGTGCTTTGCTTTCGTATTTGACTTCTTTCATGTTGAACAGTCACCGCCTAATGGTAATGGACAGCTGAAAAAAGGATATCAAGGAGAGAGAGAAGAGCGACATTGGCAAAAGATAGGCGAAGGCTACCTTGGGCTTGGGAAGCTGAGCTGTGACGGACCGCATGAGGGGACCTGCAGTCTTCGGCCGCACCATTCCTTATCAGCTTTATAACACTCTTTTGCTTCGTCATTGAAGTTTGCCGCGATGTTGCTTCTCTGAGTCGCGCAGCCATGGAGAGTAGTGACGTCGTCCGTCAAGATACGACATTCTCGCCTTCTTGGAGGATCAAGTCCGCAAACGGTGTATCACGATGGCCTCCTCGTTCGAAAGAAGACATCGCAATAGTTCTGCCATTGAGTCGCGTAGACAAGACGATTCGACCGGTTGAAGATGGAGACAAAGATGTAGAAGAAGAACAAGTGGAAGAAGAAGAAGAAGAAGACCATCACGTGCTTTGGCTTTCTTCTCGCTCAACCTTGTCAAGGGCGGACGATGGTCCAAGCCCCACAACAACGCGTCCCCGCACCATCGACGTGTTTGAGCGCGGATCTGACCGGCTTCAACTCACGAAACGTTGAAGACGATTTCCGAAAAAAGTAAAATACAAACAAGTAAAGAACAGAGAATCTGCATCCGGCGACTACTGCAAGAACCTGTCGCAATGCCTTCTCGACCCCTTCGCTCCGCCATTCGCTCACCCCTCGAGGATGTGACGGGCAGAGCAAACAACCAGCCAACTCCACCACCCACGATCGGAGCCAAAAGAAAGGCCAACGATGCTCCCGCAAGCGATATCAATCTCGATGACATTGACGTCGGAGTAACGTATGTGGACGCCAGCTGCGATCAAGTTCGCCGGAAGATTCGCCGCTTCCTGGACTCTGGCGAATTGAACAAGGGCCAATTCGCTACAGCAATCGGAGTCAGCGGCAAGAGTCTCAATGATTTCCTGAGCCAGGTCGGATCCATGAATGGCTCGGGTAGTGCGACTTACGCAGGCGCTTGGGAGTTTTTCAAAAAGAGGGAGATTGCTGGCTTAAAAATGCCCCCTGTGAAGAGGGCGAAGCAGTCTTCTGCATCTCCTGCGCTGGACATATCTGGCATCCTTCTGACCGGCGAGGCATTCGATAACGTCCCAATCTACGAATCTTGCGACGAAGTCCGCAAGAAGATCAATGCCCATTTGGCCAAGCCCGGTGTTACGCAAGCGCAATTCTGCCGTGATCTTGCAGCGCAATATCATTCCGAGACGAAGAAGATCCAGAGCAAGCAGTTGGTGGGTTTCCGGAGCAAGAAGGGTCCATGGGCTGGTAATACGTCCATCGTGTGTGTGAGTTTCGACTGGATCAGAGGACGCACGTCAAAGATGGCTGATTTCGCGGTCTAGTATACCGCCTACGTCTATTTTGAGAAACTTAGGCTGGCAGAAGGCAGGCCAAAAAGCGAGCATCGACAAGGAATGGAGGCTGTTCATCCAGCTGGCCTTGATACCCAGCGCACGCATGAGAGGTAAGTGCTCTTCTCTTGTGTTCGTACACGCGAGAAATCATCGTGGTGACCGAATGTCCAAAGCTGGATCTCACTGACATACCACGTAGAGTCTGGTGCAAGAGCAACAAGCGCCCCGTGGTTGACCAGTTCGGTCGCTTTTCTCACCGCTAATACACACAACTTCGTCTTACGGGAAATCGCATCAATTTGCGCACTGGCCCTTGTACAAGTTTGTCATGTCTGTCCGTCAAATCTCCAATTGGACAAAATTGATACCCCAACATTGATCGGACTGGCTTCGCCATACAACCTCACAACTTCTCGAAAGTCGGCGTTCGCTTTTGTATCCCAGAGAGCAGTGCATCCTTGACGTCTCTCGTTTGGAGCATCGCTGAGTTCCACACACTGATGTAGTCCAACCCTGCACAAAATCAATTAGCATCACGTCCCATCTGCCAAATGCGGGAGACTCAGACTTACCATCACTAACGCTGTGATCCCTCGAATAATTGATCACAGCCTTGGTCCCCTGCACCGCAACCGGACTCTTCGAGGCAATCTCCCCGGCCAACTGCATCGCCCTCTCCAAAGCCTTCGCCTTGCCCTCAAACACCCCACTCACGAACCCCGCCGTCAGAGCCTCCTGCGACCCGAATTCCCTCGCCGTCAAACAGATATCCTTGATCCAACTCATCGGAACCTGACAACGCGGTAACCTCGTCAGAGTACCCACATCCGCCGCCAATCCAATCGCCACCTCCCGCACCGATAATCGCACATCTGTCGTACAGATGCGGATATCGCAACACGTGGCAATGTCAATCGCGGCGCCGTAGGCGATGCCGTGCAGGACGCAGATGACGGGTTTGTCGCAGTTTTCAATCTCCGAGATGGGGACTTGGATTTCCTTGATGTGGCGGCGTAGATTCCATGCTTTGCGGGCTACGTCTTCGTCCTGGTTGTCGCCGCCGATGGGGCCGGCGGCTGTCACGTCTAATCCGGCCGTGAAGGCGCGGTCTCCGGCCCCGGTGAGGACGATGCAGCGCACGTCGGGGTCGACGGAGAGGGCAGAGAAGATCTTGCCGAGGGCGGTGAACATTTGGGCCGTGAAGGAGTTGAGTTTCTTGGCCCGGTTGATTTCGACTACGGCGATGTATGGTGCTGGAGTCGTGACGGAGAAGAACTCGGTGCTGAGGTCTTTTGGAGCCATGTTGAATTTGTCCTGAATGGAGTTCTTTTTTACTATCCTTTTGGTCTGTAATATTGGATCTGGAGAATGTCGAAGCTCATGCGGTCTTTTTCAGTTTTTTATATGTCTGCTGACTCGGGTCGGGACTGAGATGCTCCCTGGTCATATCCGAGGAATGCAAGCCGAGGTTGTGAACGGACTGGATCCCGAGGGCAGCAGCCAATCAGTAATCCGCTAACATGACTTCACATGCCGTCCACAAGCAAAGGTCAGCACTTTCCTGCAACAGTACAATGCGATAATATACATATACTACTCCGACCTCATGGTCAAGCCATTCCAATAACTCCTCAAACCATGGATATCGACACGCCTCCACCACCTAGCGGAGGCTTCCTCCTCTCACCACCCGCATCATCGACACTCTCCAGCACCTCCAGCTCTCGCACCGCTCTCCCGCATCCACGCGACATCCCTCTCAAACCAGGCGGCAGCAAAGAAAGCGCCTTCATCCGTTTCGTGGACCAGCAACTCCTCCACGTCCAGCGTCGATTCGCCAAACGAACGAGTCCCTCCTCCGCCTATCTGAGCGACGTGGATCGCGACAAAGCAGATACATGGGGCGATGTGAAAGGCTATGCGAACATGAAAGAGGCATGCAGAGATATCGAAGAGCTCACGGGGATCGTATGGGTGAGCGGGACTCCGTCGTTGCAGATTCCGTATCTGATCAGTATTGGCCTGTTGGTGGGCAATGTGGTGGAGAGCATGCCAGCAATGCCAGAGAGTCTGTTCAGAGTGCTGGATAAGCTGGACCATGCATTCGCGAGTTTACTTCAAGGCAGGGATGTTGATACGGGGGAAGCATTGCCCGGCTTTACGGGTGGCAGGGCTGTGTCTGGGACTGAGAAGGTGCGGATAAGAAGCTTGGTGGAGAGGACGAGAATCAAAGTTGTCGAGACCTTCAAGAGGGGGGATTTCGAGTATGAGGAGCCGGAGAAGGAGGAGACGGAAGACGAGGATAAGATGGACACCGACACCGATCTGGAGGGAGCCTTGGTGCTGGAGGGCGACGATGCAGACGCCGGAGAGGACGAAGACGAGAGTTTCGATATGTCGATTGCTAGAGTCTACGATCGAACGATGGTGGAACTAGGAGACAGTCTGGCTGAGCCGAGTCTTGGCATTATCACCGAAGGCAGGGGATGAAGACTGGAGAAAGAGCCAGCAATGAACATTGCTCTCTGCCAAGCATTAAATATGATGTCAATGCGTCTCGAACCCGCTTGGTTGCTCCTCCCGGTAATAGCGGTTTGGAACGCTCGTACAAAATCCAGAAACAAGCGTCCAATGGGGAAAATGCCAATAGTCATGGTGGCTCCATTAAGACGAATGCGGGTGTGAAGCCCGGGAATTTCTCTGCAGCTGAGGTGAAATCACTCTCAAGACTCGCGATTGAAGGCAGGCTCTTACATGAAGAAGGAATCAACCCCCAATTGGGAAGGAGTGAGGAACTCGAGAGTAACCAAGCAAGCGGGGCTCCTGCTTCTTGCCAACTTCATCCACATTGCACTGTGCTCGAGATATCATCCATCTCCGCCTCACAGCACTCGACCGAACTGTTACATCGTCCGACCGACACACATACCAGAGTCCACTGGCGGAGATGCCTATCTACAATGCCGTCGGAGTCAAGATGGCCCTACACACGGCAGAGCTCGAGGCCACGCTCTCTAGTGGGAAATACTCCCGCGAGAAGGACGCAGAGGCCGTCGCAGCTGTATTCGAGAGGATTAGTCAACCCCTCGAAGAGAAGCCGCTCGGCTCGCGCGCCGGCATGCATTTCATCGGGCCTGACGAGGATATGCCGATGTTTCTGGTACAAGCAGGAGGCATCGCAAAGGGAGAGGCATATCACAGTGACCTTGCACGCGGATCGATCTCCACGGGAAAAGAACCCGCAGGCAGCGCGGGCGCCGGACCTTCGAGACATGCACGAGACAGCATCACTACCGACTCGCATCTAATCTCACTGGGCGACACACCATCCATTGGCACGCCATCACAAAGCTTGCTGGCCCCGTTGCGAGACAATTCTTCCATCCTCGAAACGCCCGCGAAGATCACGGGAATGGCACCACAGCCCTCCTCGAATGTTGCACAAGCGCCGACATACCGCCCATTGCTGCCGAAGCCAGTACCGCAAGCTCTCATGCTGTCGGTCGATCTGCAATACAAGACGTTTTTGCCCGGATTGTTCGAGAGGCCTGGTGGATCCGGGACCGCAAAAATGGGCGATCTGAAGACGGAGGTCTTCCTGAATGGACAGCTCGCTGGATATGACTTCCAGAACCCACGGAGAATCCTCCATCTGCAGGAGAGCTCGGTCATGAAGGTACGCCTTTCCATTCTCACCGCATGTGCTCTCGATGGCGCATCGAGTTGCCAGTGGCATTGATCTTTTTCATGAGCACGGGAAATTCCTATTCTGACATGCGACAGGCTCGCTTCTTTGGCACACGTTTTGCTCGACAGCTTGAAAAGCCTTGGACGTACCGTTCGACAGACGCTCTGAGTAACAGCTCATACACTGCTCAGAGCCGTTGGGCTGCAGTTGCCGCACTGCTGAAGGAGGAAGCGCAAGCCCGAGGGACTGACAAATGGGGGCTACGACCACATACGGCAGAATATTTCGAGGCTTTGTCCGATCTACCACTGCCCGATGGCCTCGCGAACAACAGCAACTTTGGCGTTATCGATGCCGTCGTCACTCTCGGCATCGGCCGAAAAGCCCGGTCAAGCTACATCTACTCACCGGAGCGAATGCAGTCCTCAAAATTCAAACTATTTCCCAGCGATGGTCAGCCGCCAGACACCAGCGAGGTGTCTATCGATGCCTCTCTCGAGCAAATCGAATACGGAGATAACAACGTGGACGTCGGTATGGAAAGCTCTGCGAATGCGCAAGGGAATAGCAGCATGGACATTAGCATGGAGGAACCATCCCAGCACAACGAATCTGCACTCGGTGGCTCTGTCTCAACAGCTATGGCGGAGACACCGAGGAAGGACAAGAGAAAGCGAAGACGCACGAGAGTTGACATGAAGGCATCTGCATTTCCGATACCGGATCTGTGTATTGACAGCGCAGTGGGCTACGCCGAGGGTGAGGCTTCTCGACCTACACCATACGCACGGCATGGCGAATTCAACGAGGAGAGATTTGTCGTGGGCATGCGCTTCATAGTTATTTAGAGTGTCTTCATCTAGCAATTTTTGATAAGGTAGCCAGCGGGCCTTCTTGTAGCATCGACACATTCATGAGATTCGGAGGTATTTTGTCTCCAAGCTGAGCGTAATCATATACACCTGGGCCTTTCTGCAAAAGCATCGTCCTCAACAGCCTCTCGGACTTCCATTCATCAAAAAATCTAATACGTCTGATGCTTCTTCACCTTCTCCCACAGCTGAGCATCCTGCTCCACCTTGACTTCCTTACTCGTATCGAGCTCATTGAAACGGCGCAGATCCATCGGCCTGTCCAGCAAGGGAATCACGTATGGATCGAACGTCTGCCAGTAGGGGTTTTCCAGATGATACCTATATTGGGACACACACTCCATGATTAGAAAGAAAACTTCAAGAGGTCAGGTCATACGTTGGCGCCAAAACAAAGATCAGGGGGGAAGGGGTCCGACGATATGATATGATACGTACTTCTGGCTACTCTCGTGCGCATAGCGTTCCACGATGGTGAAAGCCCGGGGATCTTGATGGTCTTGCATGACGAACCTGAATCATTTTTGTTTTTCGTCGGCAAATCAATTCGAAAGGTACGAACATGTGTCGTGTTATTGCTATACGCACCATCCGAGACATTCCTTATCTTTGCTGTAGACTTGACTGGCTTCCTGGAGTTTGGCGGAGAGTTTCTGGATGTTCTCGGAGCCTGCTTTGGCGTAGAGGTGCACGACGAGGGTGTAGGCTGGTGAGGACATTTTTGGCTGCTGCTGCTGCTCGTTCTGTTCGAGTGGTGCTGGGGGAGGGAAGAAAGAAGAAGGGATTGGTTGTTGGGTTTTTGGTAGGTAGGTATGTATGTTCTGGGACGGGTTGAGGTGATGAGGTTGATGAGGTGAAGTGGAGTGGCGGGCGTCTTGAAGCTTTACTTCTTTCTTTTCACCGCAGTCTCGCCGGGGCGTCATGGGGAAGGCACAGGTGGGACTTGGTGACGATGTTTTCTCTTTCACCTGGTACTTTGTGGCGGAAATGGAAAGATGTCTGTTTCTTTTGTGTGGCAGAAAGATTGTGATACAACACCGGAATAATCTACATAGACTGTTACATTCCCTGAACGCCATCGCTTATTCGCTTCATTAGGTGACAGAAAAAAACAAAAGTCCACCGTTCTGTAGAACTCTTTCCCAAAAGCCTCACTGTAGTTTTTCCTTCATTCCTTTCCTGTCGTAGTTCTGATCGCATACTTACTCTTGCTTCGGATCCACGGTCCATATCGGTAAAAGACATACGGTACCGGAACCAGCGGCACTGAAATACAAGCCAAAATGGTGAGCGTATACTGCACGCCCATGTTTTCGTAGAACGGTACTCCGACGATCGCCATCCCGCCAGCCGCGAGATATCGGATCAAGGTGAGAGAAGCCAGTGCCGAGGCGGCAAAGGTTTCGTAGCAGTCGATGATGTATTGATAACAAGTGATGAAGACGCAGAGGATTCCGTAGCCGAAGAGCACGGATGCGGCCAGAGGCGACCAGATGCTGATTTGTGGTTGGGCGGTCCATCCCATCCAGAAGAGGGAGACGGGGATGCTGATGGAGCCTCCTAGCATGCTGAACCAGAGGCGGAACTCGGGTGGCAGTCGGTCGCCGCCTGCTTCTTGGATCTTTTGTAGGTCGCGTTTTGCCCATTTGTAGATAAGAGGTACCAGAGCAGAAGCACCGAAAAGGCCGATGATGATTCCAACAAAGCATATTCCCGTCAAGCCTTCCGAGATACCGTAGGTTTGCTGGAAAATGTATGGATAACCATCCAGAAAGGTGAAGAGGATGATGTAAATGACGGACAGGTATAAAGTCAGGAGGATGATAATTGGTTCTTGGGCTGTGAGGAGGAAGGGGCGATACAGAGCACGTTTCAAGCGATGCAGGAAAGTCTCTTGACGAATCTCGATCGCTGCTCGATATCGGTCGTCTCCCGTGATAGCACGAAGGTGCGCAGCTTTCCATTTCAGCAAGGCTTGTGGGTAGGTCTCTGGCTGCAGAAAGAAGACAAGGCCCAGTACAAGGCCTGAGAAGATCAAAGTAATCCAGTCGACCCACCGCCAGTCAAGGTACTGAACGATGTATCCGCCCATAATCGGACCAAGCAAAGGACCTGTAAAGGCCGCGTTGGCAAAGACTGGGAAAGCGAATACCCTCTCGAGAGGACTCCACAGGTCGCTGATGCTTCCTCCAGCGCATGTCAAGGGCGTTGAACCGAAGAAGCCTGCGAGGAAGCGAAAAACCAGCTGTGCTCCAATGTTTGGGGACAGAGCAGACGCCATGACCCAGATCATGTAGATGGCTAATGTGACGATGTAGACGGGATTGCGACCCACGGTCTCGGAGATCGGACCAGCAAACACGGCTCCAAGACCAAATCCAACGAGGTAGAGACCAGTTGCCATGCTTTCGACCACTTCAGCAACGTGGAATTCGCGCGCGGCGGGAGCCAGAGCACTGCTGTCAATTGCACTCGCCAGACCCACGACACATCCAATAGACGCGATCATGAATGTGCAAGCAATCCTCGTTGTCATCGGCCAATTGTGAGGATCGTTGGGATCATCTGGCCCCTCATAGCCCACGACAAAGACCTGTCCTGCTCCTCCTTCTATCGTATTACGCTTGCGAACTTGGATGCCGGTCAAGACATTCCCCAATGCAACACCCGCACTCTGCTGCGTCGTAATCCGCGAAAGTCTCCTGTTCATGCCTTGTATCTCGAAGTCGTCCTCCTCTTCCTCATCCTCTTCTTCCTCTGCCGCCTCGGGCACCATGGGCTGTTCGGCCGGCTCTTGGCTCCCTGCCCTCTGCTCGTTCTCCATGTTACTTTCCTGATCTTCAGTGCGCTTCGCTCCCAGATCACGCGAACCTCCCCCAGGTGGTCGTCTCGCGAAGTCGCCCTTTTCAACATCTCTTTCTAATTCCCTCTTTTCCTTGTCTGAAGTGGAACCTCCAGCCGTAACTGACTCTTCACATCCATGTTGTCCAGAAGCAACTCTCGCTCGCTCACGATCTCGCTCCAATTGTGCTTCTACCGCACCTTTGAATCTTCGATATTGCAAAAATGACTGCATCTTCGTCTCCACGCTTCCCAGCTGCAAGGTAAGTTCCCCAAGCCCTCGTCGCAGTCCCAAGAGACCAAGAGAGAGACAGTAAGGGAAAGCAAAGCAACGGTACTGAGAATGTATACCAACGGTAATGGAATGTTTGCCCTTCTCCCGGCAGAGGGCGAGAAAGAGCACTTACTTGCTACTTGCCCCCAGCTAAGGGCCTCCGATAACCGCATCGTTAGTCACTCATCAATGTTCCCTCGGAGCTCATCGGAGGAGAAAGGGAGAAAGGGCGTGGAATGACGTTGCGAGAAAAGAATTTGGTGGCGTCCTCGTGGAGAGCTCTTTCCACCGTGGACACTTCGGGCAGGTGGAGCGGGTAGGAGTGGAGTCACTTGCCGAAAGCCGAGCCAATGAAGAGCACATCAATGGTCTTCAATTGGTGAAGGAGCCCAGGTGTCAACCTGAAGACAATTGAACTGCGCATTCCTTCATGTCGATGCGCTTGGGAGAGAAAAGACTGGCAGTGAGGAGATTTGGCGACTGGAAGCTCACGATTCGCCGTTACATCTCCTGCAGAAAATGAATTAAGGGGCAAGAGAGCTCGGTATTCCGAAGACCTACAAGCCAGCGTTGCTCGGCCGAGAGGACATTATGGATCTAAACGTGGAGTTATGTTTGGAGACTCTAGATATTTGTACAGAGCTGTCTGCTTCAAGCAGCATGGTCAGCAGATGGCTGTTTAGAACTTGTATACCTGGTCTTTGCTGTAGCCCAGCTCCTGCAGATATCCGCTGAGCTCGCCCTGATCCGCGGGGCTCTTCTTAGGTCCGGAAATGGCCTTGTACAAACCGGGTGGACCGCAGATGAAGACCTTGACATTATCTTCGTCCGGCGACGGAATGACGGTCTTTAGCAGGTCTTTGGTGATGAAGCCCTTGCCTTGCTTCCAGTCCTTTGGTGGGTTGTCAAGCACGTAGAAGGCACGGAATCGTTGGGGGAATTGCTGTTCGAGGTCTTCAAACTCGCGCTTCAGCAGAATGTCTTCCTCGGAAACGTTTCCGAATACGAGCGTGACCTTGGTCTTGTCGTCGGGGTTCTTGAAGATGGCGCGGCAGAGCTGGTACATGGGAGTAATTCCAGTGCCACCTGCGATGAGCGCAATGTGGTTGTGCTTGTTTGGCGCCCAGGGATACTTTGGAATGGGACCCTTGATTGCCAGCTGTTGGCCTGGCTCCATGGCGTGAAGGTGCTCGGACATTGGACCGCCCTTGTACTTCTTGACGATGAGATCCAAGTAGCCTCTTTCGTCCTCGTCCGAGGTGGGGGTGTACGGCCTGATGGTTGGCTTCTCGTCCTCGGGGCCTTTGTACTTCGTGATGAGAGCGCTGGCGACGGAAAGCCCAGAAACGGCATCTGGGTTGTCGAACTTGAAGCGGAACTTCTTGGTGTTGTGGTTGATGTTATCAACTTGATCGAGGACCAGGTTGATGAATCCTTGATCTATATCCATCCCATCAGATCATTGGTCCATCGCCGCCAGTCTCTTCCAATGTACATACCACCGCCAATGAAGACCTTGTCTGGAGGACCACCCTGCGATGGCGGCACATTCTCGCGCTTTGGTTCCGTCTGTTCTCTGGCCGCCGCTATCGGGTCCTTTTTCCCTGCGAAGGCGAAGTAGCCTCCACCGACGAGTGCCGCGCCACCGAGACCGAGGTAGAGTGCGTTGTTGCTGCCGCCACTCTTGGGCGCTTCGGATGCGTATCGTCGGACATGCTAGATTCCGTCAGCATTCGGGTTGTCACGAGGCCTTCATCAGCCATTGGACCTTGTCGTAGACGAAGCACTCACGCTCGACAGCTGAGCTGCAGGCCGGAAGAGGCGTGTGGAAAACATTGGCGTAGGCTGGTGCGATGGAAGATCAACAAATGGAATTCAGATCAGATTTCCGACGACGAGCTTCACCTGCAACTGGAGCTCGGTATTGCGTCATCGTCGGTGACTAAGCTTCGTGATATAGTTCCCCCGTCTCCGAGTCTGTCACCGTAACGACACCGATACACGACACGATACGACACGACTCGACACGACATGTTCTCATGCTACGTTTCAAATGTTTCCAAGTCCTCCGCATTACCCTTTTCAGTACGACTATTCAAAATCGCCACTATTGAGGCCAGAAGCACGAGTGTGATCTCAGCGAGAACACTACCTGCCAGCTCCGGCGCTCGATCATGATGTCGCAAAGAAACCCAAGGGCGATCAAAGAGCGAATCGGGTTAGACAGGAGAAGTAGAAAACATATCGTACAGGCGGCGAGAAGGACATCCTTTCACCGTGCCCTGTGCGCTTCTGAAACGCCTCGAGAACTCGCAGGACGACAGTATCTGCTCTTTCTTACTGATAACATCTGTCTTGCAGAAGCCGTGGCATCGTGTCACCTTTTGCCGCTGTAATGCTTACTCGAAACACTGTCATTTCAGGTTACGCCAGAGCTCTCTCTGTGGTATCTAACAAAAGCTTCGTCGCTTGTGGTTGGCCGATCCCTTTACGGCTTCAGCTCCACCTCTGGCGGTGTGTCCAACGTTTTCTTCTCGCAATCGCCATCAAATTCTTTCTTCTCCTTAGTCGTCTCGGACGACAATACTGGGTACGCATGGCTAGTAAGACGAGCTGGCTCTCGACCTTTTCCGGTCACATCCCTGAAGATTAACCTCACGGTCCTGGCAAAAGTCGTCCGGCCTTCCCACAACGGATACACACCAACGCATAAGAAGGAGCAGAAGAGCCAGATGAATGTCACTACAATCCACCCGGTAAAGAACTTCTTCGAAAATATGTATCCAGTGCCATACATTGTCATTGGCCAGAGGATGACGGTGGCGAGAGTGAGGATGATTGTCAGAATTCCTGCAATTCTGGCTGATCGTCCTAGTTGTGTTCGTTCCGCTTCATCTTGTGGCGGCGACCGTCGTGCAAGAGCAGATTCTGGATCCTGTGGAACGTCGACTTGATCGTCCCTGCGGATTGTACCCATGCTGGCCCAATCGTAGCTCGGGCTCGGGAATATAAGTGACAGCACTGGTATGAAGAGCACAGGACTGAGCAACGACACGAGATTTCCAGTCAACATCGTATCCATATCTCCAGTGGAGTCGATATCGACATGACCGAACTTGGAACTTGCATGAACGAGCCAACCGATGAGGGAGAAGACGACTGCAATGGGAGGCGAAAATGTTGCTGCTGCCCAGGATTGGCGGGCGAGAAAGAGAGTTCCAGTGGCCGGAAGGACTGCGCCGCTCACTACTACGCCCATGAAGAGGTATAGCCACCCGAGACTGTCGATCCATCAGCTGAAATCCAAAGTTGAGATTTCGAGTGCGTACCTGATGCCCGCGTAATACAGACCTGTGCTGAAGGCAGCAAGACAGATCGAGTATACGATACAGCTCAGGTGCGATACTCGAACCAGAGTACTAGAGCTCGCTTGCGGATCAACGTACGACTGAAAGCGGGAGACAAGTCAGCTAGCCGCTCAGCGCACGCAACGTGGACAGACTTCCATCGACGGCGTACCTTGTAGATATCGTACGTGCAGATCGTGGAGACAGCTATGAGCTCGGCGGACATGGCCGAAGTGACAGCCATAAAGATCAGTATCTAAAGGTCAGTCAACAAAGGGCTCGTCGGGACTCAAGGAACGAGAACGAGATTGAACGCACCAACGTAGCAATCGCTCCTCCCGAGCCAAGAAGCGCAACCGCTGCGTTTGGAAGTACGAGGCCAGCTGATACGTCGGCGGGGTCCATTCGATTTGGATATCTGGCACACTTTTAGCGGGAAACATCCCGTTCTTAGACGCCGGACGACACTAACGTAGGGAACACGGGATTATTCTCCAAAGCAAGAGCCGACAATCCTGCAGCTGTCAGAAAGCATTCTTAACACTCACGAGCGTCATCGTGCCTCTCACCCATTGTAGTTGCCGCGAACCATGGTATAGCAAACCACGATAAGCCGCCAGCAACGTATCCCGAAAGCGCATGAGCCGGATGAGCCGCAATAGCTTTGTTCCAGTATCCGTTGTCTAGAAAGACCGTGGCAAAGTTCTCTGTGACATTGATGCTGCATGGATATCAGCCTCGCTTATCGAGTGTTGCGATGACTCATTGCCTACAGGAAAAAGATGCCACCCTCTCTGGATCTCATGGTCAGGTAGCTCCCTTTCGCGTTCCCTTCGACAGGATGGCGCTCGGATGCCTTGGGATACAAACATTACATTAGCCGCTTTCCAACCAAATTGAGAAGGAATGCTGGCACACACCGCCATGAGCGCTTCCCAAACAGCCCCTGGGCTGCCGAGGAGGTCCGATGTAGCATACGCCGTGAAGCCGAATATGAACAAGACCGTCATGATGCAGATGGTGTGCACATAGTCAGTCAGGAATGTCGCCTTAATCCCGCCGAAGATCGTGTAGAGAACGACACCGACTGGCAACAGGAAGCAAGCTGCAGCGGTCGGTATACCACAGAGCGACGAGGCTACCGCCGAGCCGCCTGTCAGTAGCATCGCGGTGACGAGGACATTTGTCGCGAGGCCGAAAGCCATGTACACGCCATGCGTCGCTGGGCCATATCGAGCACGAATGGCTTCTAGAAACTGCTTTGCGTCAATCGTGGGCAATGCACGGAAGCTTACAGCCTTACGTACGGTATGAGCATTTGGTGCCTTCCTCTTCAGCTCGATCGCCAACGTTGCAAAGAGGAGAATCTGGCATGTAGCGCCACTCGCGTACCTGCACACGCCCCCAGATTAGCCTCTCGTCTGTGTATGCGACCGGAGCTTGCTTACCAGAAACCTCCAGACACTCCATACTTATACGCAATGGCAGAGGATTGCATCACGGTTGCTGCCCACGTCCACGACGAGACTACTGCAGAGGAGACAAGACCAGTCTTGACCGTGCGTCCTGCTGTGCTGTACACCTCGGACGTTTGAACTTCGTTGTTGTACCGCTTAAGGACAAAGGTGCACAGCATCATGCTAAAGGCGAACAGGAGGCTCAGGCCAACCATAATGCCGTAGCCGGTCCCTTGGCTTAGGGCTGGACTGGCCGCCATTCTGTTGAAGATTGTGTGAATGCGTTGTCAATTATGGAAGTGGAGAGCAAGAACAAGGCAGTGATCAACCTGAAGTCGCAAAAGGACAATAAATATATATCCGAGTCCCAACGCCAATGCAAAAGATAACGCCGCGGGAAGAGATGGGGCGCGGCCTCCTCCCAACGGCGCACAGACCCTTGGATCACAGGCATCAATCGATGCTTACGATCGAAGCTTCGAGGCTGAGCCTTTTTCGTGGCCGGCCTAAGTTCTGACTCTCAACAAGCATGTCTTATCTTTTTTCAATCACGGTTCGGCATGGTTGAAGCATGAAGAGGTCTTTCTTTGTGTTTGGGGATTCTTGGGAATTCTTTGCCAAAGAGCCCAGTTCTCTCCATGCCCAATGCTTGAAGATAAAGGTAGATCATTATTTGCCAGTGCCAAGAAATCACCCTACTCGCGAGTCAGGCGAGCATCTATCAATTCTGAAGGACGAGCGACAACGTGCTAATAGCCACTTGGTAGGGTCGACAACCAGAACAGGCATTACACAAAAAGCCGGCTAATACGAATGCTACGGATTAATTCGAATATGGCCATTACGAACACCAACTGCACAACAAATTTACGCATGCTTTTCCCTCAGAATCTGGTCGTAGTTCAAGACAGCCCGGCCCAAAACAAGCGCACTCTCTGCGCAATCCTCTTTACTCGTCCATTCGTGGGGATTGTGACTGACACCATCCTTGGCACGGGCGAAGACCATCCCGGTCGGGCACAGTCTGGTGGTCATGGAACTGCATCAAATCGTGAGCTCACAAAAGTCGCAATCAAAAAGGGCATCACCCGTCACGACAAACCTATCATGCACAGTCCAAGTATCCGCTCCCATGCCCCTATCACCACAAGCTCTCTTCACACAATCAATAGCTTCAGGCCAGAATTTGCCGGCAGGGAAATCGATGATTTGCTCAACGTGGTAGCCAAGACCAGAAGCTTTGGCTTCGGCTTCCGCACGGATGAGAATCTCTTCGCCCATGGCTTTCAATTTCTTCTGGTCGACGTTGGCCACGCAGAATTGGAATTTGGTCCAGGATTGGATCTGTCAATCAATCTCGTCAGCGCGCACACACGAGTACACGAGAGGCATGGCTGACTTACGTTACAGGCTCCGATCGGACCAGACTTGATGTTCGTAACGGTCGTTACCCCGTCATGTTGCAGGGCAAGATTCTGCAGCTCGATCATGATTTTGCTCGCGCCGATCAGACTATCGCGACGTCCCTTCATGTCGTACGTGTTGGCGTGCCCATCGACTCCCGTCAGAGTAATCTCGTAGTAGTCGATGCCTTGCCAGCCCTCAACCCAGCCGACAGCCTTGCCGGCTTCCTCGAGCTTGGTCTGCTGCTCGCAGTGGATTTCAAAGTGAGCGGAGATGGGGAATTCTTTGAACGTGTTTGGTCCGTCACCGATGTAGCCGATCGCTTGGAGAGCGGCGCCCATGGTTTCGCCACTGCCATCGTTTGCTTGGCTTTCGAATGCTGCGTTCACGTCCTGTGTTGTTTCAGTACAAGACTAGAAAGTCGCTGTGCGAGTCTGGAATCTACCTTCTCTCCAACATACACAATCGACGACCCCAGCGGAGGGAAGAATCTCGCTCCCTCTTCATTCGTCCAGTTGATCAGCGCAATCGGAGCATATGTCTTGATGCCCTGTTCTTTCATGCCGCGAACGGCTTCAAGAGCTCCGAGCACACCCAGGGGTCCATCAAATTTACCTCCGGTAGCCACGGAATCAAGGTGAGATCCCATTGCTATCGGGGGAAGGCTATTGTTTTCGCCTTCAAAGATTGCGAATTGCGAACCAGTGCCGTTCACCGCGTACGTCTTCGCACCGAGCGAGTGCACTTGGTCTTTGAACCAATCGCGGGCCATTTTGTCCCATTGAGTGCCGCAAAGTCGTGACAGTCCCCCAGCTGCTGTGGTAGCGTTTGGTTCGGACCATTTCGCAGTCTCATGGATGTTGGTCCTGGTGGTCGATTAGTAAGTGATCTCACACAACAAGTTGGCTGGAGAAGCACCAAAGTCGATCAGGATTGATCTTCAACTTCTGCGCCGCCGGGGCATTCTTGACTGTTGCATAGCATCTCTTGGAAGCAGTGACAGGCTTGGTGCTGCATCTCAAAGCGCCTGCAGTCCGGAACATGATGTTGGCAGAACTTCGGTGGCCGTTGTCAGGTGAGTGAGACGAGGTTTTCCAGATGCTGAACAGCTCAAGGACAGTCCGCCTTCTTCATTCTCCACTGTCCGGAGCCAATGGCCCTTTAGAAGCTGTTTTCTGGCTTATCTTACCCATATTGCTGAAGCGGAGTTGTACCTGGGTCATTCAAGGATCTTCCTCCAGCTTCAGAGCGCAAAATGAATCGCTATCATTGCTCTCGAGAGCACTGCGTTGCTATCTCAACGTTATGATTGTCGAGAGGCTTCCAGATTTCCATCAAACAGCTTATCTCTAGCCTGTAAGCGGATAAAGTATTCAAGGCAAGGTGGCCGAACAAGGCGTCGGCCCGGCGGTGCGATCCCTGGCGAGATCCTGACGACTTCGGACGTTCGCGGATGCTGTGTCTCCATCAGTACCCACGACAGTTTGGAGCTTATATCGGATACTGCGATCTCAAATAGATAGCTAGAATACAGACTGCGCTCATGATAACGTTTGATCGTGTGATATACTCTTCCCGAGCATCGACTTGACAACCAAACCAGGCTAGGATAAGTAAGTGGTCGTAGATATCCATTGAGACAGATAGAGTATCTTGAATACATGGCTTCGTTTGATACGATCTTTCCTCTTTCAACTCATGCATCCGGAATGTTCCTCTCGATCGTAGCTGCATTGCTCCCTAGTCTCTACAAGCGCCTTGCCGTAGGCCGTTCTGATGGTGCTGGAGTGCGCGAAGTTCGCAGGGTAGTCAGGTCGGAATTAGTGAGGGGGAGGGAGACGGTGTAGACGGTTGGCATTCCGCTCGACGGACGCCACGAGGTCGATGTGCTGAGGGTCCTGTTTGTCGTTACATTGTATGGCTTACTCGTAACAGTGATTGGAGAAGGTGTAACGGTATGCGTAGCTGTCTGAGTGATCTTGGAAGTCCTTGTTCTTGTTGTCGTAATATCAAAATTGCGCGAGTATGTTGAGGTTGGTACAAATGGTCCCCGGGTCGTCGTAGCGGTCCACGACGGGAGTGTTGTCTCCATACCCGTCGTCTCCGTGCTCGCATCTGCCGTTGGAAATGGGCTAGGCAAAGGTGTCGGTCCAGCGGTGAGCTCTGGTTCGCTCGAGCTTGAGACGAGCCGTTCCAAGAGCGTCTCTATCGTCTGCAATCTTGCCTCGACGCCCTGTATGAAGCTGAGCAGATCTCCCGGGAGATCTGCGAGGCCGTTTTGCATGTCCTTAATATCTGATATAGCGTCGTTTCCCGGAAGATCGGAGGGTTGAACGATCGTCGAGGCTACTGTCTCGTCCGCGGTACCCACTGGAACAACGAGCTGACGAGCGTGAATATGTGCCTGATGATGCGCGTGTCGCGCGTGCGAAGCTGCGGGAAACACAAGAAGCGAAGCCACCGCGAAGAGCGAGCGAATCGACATGATGGACATGGTTGTAGCAAATGAGCACGCCAGAGAGAGTGAGACTCACCTTGAGACCTCCTATATATCAGTACAAGTCCAAGTCAGGAGGCTGAGTGCAGAATGAAGTGGCGTGAAGTGGCGAGGGCATGAACGCGCGTGAAGGTGTCGTGCAGTCGTCTGGTATTTCTTAGGCATCCATCTCAGCTGCCCGCATTCCAGCGCGGTAACTTCTTGGCGGTGCCTTGCATACAGCTTCTGAGCCAGCACAGCGACCTGTGTTGCATCCCAAGATCGCAATTGCTCGCAAATTACAAAATCGAATCTCTCTGGGCTTTGAATCTATTGCAAGAAGAGAAGCTGAAGAAAGACCCGCGAAAGGCTCGCGAAACGTTAGCACTCGCAGTCTTCGATGTCGGGTCTCGCGTATCCTGCATCGCTCGTCATTCGGATGCCGCCAGAGCATTGTGATGGACAGAATCGAGGTGGAGAACTTGTCGTTAGAGCTACTCGTAAAGACTCGCTTCCATCATCTCGTGCCAGAGAGTAAGCCTTGGCAGCATTCAGACTGGCTCTGGATATCCAGACGCATACTTCAAGTAAGCGTAGCTGCCCGCAAGTGAACCGCTCTCCTGATGCGCCTTCCAAGTTGGCGGGATGTTGCGAACACGAAAGCTGACGAGAAAAGAATCATGCGTAGGTTGTGTGATAATTGCTTGGCGTCTGCAATAGCCGATGAAGTGGCCATTCATCCATTCACGACGCGTGAGGTCAGCACGCCTTTCCTATCCTGGTGCTAGCGCAAACTCTTAACCAACCTCCCCTTCTCTTCAGGTCGCCACATACATTCCATGCAACGCACCACCATCTCATGACCTCGTCAGAAGCCGAAAAGACAAGCAAATACCGTGCCTATGAGCTCAACGATGCCGCCGAAGACGTGGAGCCGGTAGAAGATACACAGCAAGAACCCGCTTCGCGAACGAAGGACTTCAAAGCAAGCCTAGAAAGATTCAAGCATGTGGACGGCACCCCGCCGGGATCTGCTCAGGCTGGCTCCGAATCGACTTCAGTCCACAGGAGCAATCGAAAACGAGCGCTGGCGGAGGATGATGTAAAAGCCGAGACATCGCGTCCATCGTCATCCAAGAAACGAAAGCGACAGTCAAGTCGCTACGCTCCGCCGTCGAAATATGCCCATCTCAAGAAGCTCGACGACATCCTGGAACCAGACCTGATATGCGTGTTCGTTGGCTTCAATCCAGGCGTGAGGACCGCGACTGCCGGACATGCCTACGCACATCCAAGCAACCTGTTCTGGAAACTTCTTCACAGCAGTGGCTGCACGGACGAACGCCTGAGTCCCGAGCAAGATGTTGACCTGCCTCGGCTTTACAGTATGGGAAATACGAACATCGTGGATCGACCAAGTAAGGATGCCGCAGAACTCAGTAAAACCGAAATGGCAGCTGGGACACCGGTCCTGGAGGAGAAGGTTCGCACTTTCAGGCCTGAGGCGGTATGCATTGTCGGGAAAGGCATCTGGGAGGCGATATGGAGATGGAGGTATGGGAGACCAATCAAGAAAGATGAGTTCAAGTATGGATGGCAAGCAGAGAAGGAGATGATGGGAAGAACAGACGACTGGGAGGGTGCGAGAGTCTTTGTGGCGACTGCGACGAGTGGCTTGGCAGCAAGTTTAAGACCGACTGAGAAGGAGGCCATCTGGGCGCCCTTTGGGCAGTGGGTGAAGCGAAGACGACAGGAAAGGGCAGAAAAGAAATAGAAAATTGACCCAAGTATGTCTGTAACCTCCTCAATCGAGAGGTGTGCGCACTTCTCTCGCAATCTGGAAATACACTCCGCCTTCCGATCGCATTCCACCCTTCGAGCGTCCTCGAACCGAGAAGAGGCACCGAAAGTTTAAAGATCTCGTCGAATCTCAACTTGTTGTGTCCAAGTATTGCGGTCCGCCACGAAGAAGTAACAGACGCACTGGCGCTGCAAGCCCGCTATCGGGCGAGGCCGGAACTCGACCCGCAGGTGTTTGATCCTGTCCAAGTTGCCATGGCGAAGGCCTGGGGGTGTTAGGCAAAGCTTTGAGGTGTGAAATTTGTCGCCTCGGAGGACGAAGTTGCTCTGGGTCCAGAATCGGCGATAGGTCTGCTTGTGGATGCTCTTTGACCTCGGAGTAAATCTTTCATCTGAGGAGCCTGTCTCCTGTCCTTGACAGATGCGCATCCAGTCTCACCCCAACTAACTCTTCCCAGTCCACGGCATGGAGTGGGCTGCTAGTAAGTAAGCGTGTTAAGAGTCAGTCTTTAGGAAAAGACGTGCGCCATCCCAGACACGGCGCACGTCGCGAGTGCAAGCTCTGCGTGACGTGTGCCTACAGCAAGCGAGTTGCCGACGCAACTAGTATCGGTCTTAACGCTGTGTGACTAGTCACTAAGGAGTGAACACCGCTCGAGTTTCTGTCGTGGCGCACGACAGACGCTTGGAGGCGGGATGGCGCTCCACTATCTGTCCTTTTACACAACAGGTAGGAGCCAACGGAGAATGGACATCAGATTGCTAATTGTGTTTTGCCTAGCCGACCACAAATTAGCAGCCTCTGCAGCCCTGCGCAGCACCACACAGATGAGCTTCGAATTGGAGAGATGCGAGATTCGCAGACGTGTTCCGGTAAAGCCACGATAGCGCTCGATACGACCAGCTTAATAGACAAAATACCCCTGAGAAAGAGGCAGCGTAACAGCTGGCTCAGCCTTACAAACCATGCCATCAGCCTCGACAACCTATCCCAGAAAAAGTCAGCGAAGCTCATCATCACCACATCAGCAAGGGAGAAAAAGAAAAAGAAACTCACATATCTCTCAGGATCAACCCTCATCTTCGGCATCACCCCATTGAATTTCATATCCCCCTTTCCAATTTCCCGACACTTGCTCACACTTTCCACCCTCTTCTTCAACCCATACCCTTTCACCACTCCGTTTTCGACGCTCGCTCTACTGACCCAACTCACACTCCGCGAGGGACACATGGCTCCAAACATCGGCCTCATAATCACCGGTTCCACAGTCGGGATCGAAGCGTTTGGATCCCCCATCTGACTCCAGCTAATCATTCCTCCCTTGAGAACTTGAGCGGGTTTGGCGCCGAAATTGGCCGGATCCCAGAGGACAAGGTCGGCGAATTTTCCGGGTTCGATGGAGCCGATGAGGTGCGACATTCCCTGGGCGATGGCGGGGTTGATGGTGTATTTGCTCACGTAGCGTTTGACGCGGAAATTGTCGGCTTCGGTGCCCTCGTCTTCGGGGAGGAAGCCACGTTGGACTTTGTTTTTGTGTGCTGTGTTCCAGGTTCGCAGGATGACCTCGCCGCAGCGGCCCATGGCTTGGGAGTCGGAGGACATCATGCTGATGGCTCCGAGGTCGTGCAGGACGTCTTCGGCCGCGATGGTTTCCGCGCGGATGCGGGATTCCGCGAAGGCGACGTCTTCAGGGATGTTGCGGGAGAGATGGTGGCAGACCATGAGCATGTCCAGATGTTCGTCCAGTGTATTACCCGTGTAGGGCCTCGTTGGATTGGTAGAGGAAGGTAGAACGTAGGGATGTTCCACGACAGAGATGATGTCTGGAGCATGTCCTCCGCCAGCGCCTTCGGTGTGGTAGGTATGGATAGTCCTCCCTTTGAAGGCCGCGACAGTAGTCTCCACGAACCCAGACTCGTTCAGTGTATCCGTGTGAATCAAACACTGAATATCATACTCATCGCACACCTGCAGGCAACTGTCAATAGCTTTCGGCGTAGTCCCCCAATCTTCATGAAGTTTCAATCCACAAGCTCCAGCTTCAGCCTGCTCTCGCAGACCAGCCGGATCAGCATCGTTCCCCTTACCCGTAATACCGATATTCACAGGCAACTCATCCGAAGCCTGTAGCATCCACTTGATCATGTTCGGACTCGGCGTACAGGTCGTCGCATTCGTACTCGTGCTGGGTCCCGTGCCACCGCCGAGGAAAGTCGTAATACCACTCGCAATAGCCTCATAGGCCTGCTGCGGGCAAATGAAATGAATGTGTGAATCAAACCCTCCAGCCGTGACAATCTTATGTTCGCCTGCAATGACCTCTGTATGCACCCCAACGACCAAACTGGGATCCACTCCAGCCATGACATCGGGATTTCCAGCTTTGCCGATACCCACAATCAAGCCATCCTTAACTCCAATATCGGCCTTGTAGATTCCAGTGTAATCCACAATCAAAGCATTCGTAATGACCGTATCAAGACACTCCTTCGTGGACCGTCCCGAAGCCTGTCCCATGCCATCGCGAATCGTCTTTCCTCCTCCAAAAGAACACTCATCGCCATAGACCGTCATGTCCCTCTCTACTTTGATCCAAAGATCCGTAGGTCCCAATCTCACCCTATCGCCCACCGTAGGCCCAAACATGGCAATATAACTCTCCCTCTCCATCGTAAGGCCCTCCATCACCATATCCACCCCAGGCTCTTCCTTATGCAAGAACCCACCACTCTGCAACCGCTGCAATATCATATCCGTAACACCGGCATCGTGAATATGTCCAGGAGCAATGTCATTCCCTCCAGCAATAATCTGCTTCCCAGCGATTTCCACGAGCGTAACAGTCCTACTATCCCCCGGCTCAAACCTCACACTCGTCCCCGCGGCAACATCCAATCGCATGCCCCGACTCTTCATCCGATCAAATTCCAATTTCGGATTCGTCTCGATGAAATGGTAATGACTCCCCACCTGGATCGGTCGATCTCCCTTACTTGTAACTTTCAATCGTATCCTCCTCCTCCCCTCATTCAACCTCAGCTTCCCACTCTCTCCCCTCACCGCAACAACTGCGCCAGGCATCTTCACCTCTTCCCAAGCCTCCAATCCTTCCGCAGGCGGCCATGGAAATTTCTCAAGCCCCGGAATCGGAAGAAAACTCCCATACAGCGCTCTTTCCAAATTGCCGTCATCGGTAGCAATTGGATTATGGATTGTTACCAAGTATGTGCCATTCCTGAACGTCCCTTCGACCATCATTTCTGTCAGACTATGTGGCACGCTTGGAAGGACATGTCGCCTTCCCAGCAGAGTGGTGCCGAGAGACATGAGATCCGCAACAGTATGGTCTCCATCGCGAATCAATTCGTGGAGGACACTGGCAATGAGGGCAAGGGATTCGGTATGGTTGAGGCGCACACCGCGAGCGAGACGTCGTTGGGCGAGTTGGCCGACTTGGGAGATGAGGAGCTTATCTATCTTTTCGCAAGAGTGCTGTCAGCGGCCGTCCTGAGTAATTGAGTATAGTTCAAAGGCCTCCAGATGATGTTGCGTATGTGTCGGTATCGTGAGAGTAGTGCCGGATGGGTAGAACATACCTCCTTGGGTGCTAATTGCATGTTGACGGCGTCAATAGACGAGCTGCTGTGTCATGGAAACGGTTAGGTAAGAGGAAAGATAAATCGACAAGTGAAATTGAAAGAAGGGCTGGAGCTGGAGCTGTGGAAGCTGTGGCAGCTATCGGGTGCGGGCGACATTGGACGAGTGGGGTCGCAAGCCACGGCGTCTGACGGGTGTTCTGGCCCGTGGTTGATGCTCGCCTATGATCCGATTCAGCAATATCAATGAAATGAGAGTCAAGGATGGTGGACATTGGAAAGTACAATTACATATCACCGCCGTGCCTGCAGGTATAGTCTCGACAATCAGAGGTCAGAGATCCGGCCTAGGCTTTTCAAACACCACTCATTCCGCTCAACTCACGCTACATTTCAAACGACAACACTGAGAAATGCAATTGTGTTATAGTCTCGATGCGACGTGATGCGCCGCCATGCGATGAAGCGACGTCAAGCCGACCTCGCAATTCGCGTTTTCTCCTCGGGCCTTCAAGCAGATCAAGCCGCTCCAGCCTCCGACTTGCGCTTCTTCTTCTTCTCCTTCTTGGGCTTGTCGGTACCGTCAGTTAGCTGAGACGATAGGATTGGCTGAGGGTTTTGCAATTGAGGATCGATGTGAAGTTGTGCAGCAGCGGCAGCGCTTTCAGCGGCTTCCTTCTCGGCCTTGCTCTTGCGACCACGCTTCTTCTTCTCGTCACCCTCAGTAGCATCTGCCTTGCGCTTGCGGGTCGGGCTCGACGGAGCGGCGGCATTGGGCGTGCTTAGGCTGCTGAACTGCGGAGTCGGAGCGACTGGGTCAGCGCCTGCTTTGGTCTTCTTCGGTGCGGGTTTGGGCGTCTTCTTCTGTACCTGAGGAGCTGGTGGAGGTGCCTCATCTTCCGACTCGTCGTCATCTGACGAAGTGTCGTCGCTGTCGTCAGAGTCATCCGTGTCATCTGCCTTTGCCGTCACGGGAGCCTGCATCTGGGCCACAGGCGCAAGAACTTGGTCATCCTCCTCCGCAGCAGCATCTGCATCAGCGTCCTCGTCGTCGCCAGCCAACTGGCCAGTCTCCTGCTTGTACTTCTTGACAGCCTCCTCGTAGCCCTTCAGTTCCCTCTCGTAGGCCTTGCGATACGGCAGGCGTGTCTTGTCGTCCAAGCTGTTCCATCGCTCAGTAGCAATCTTGCTAATATCGCCGGCCTTTCCACCTTGGAGTTCCGGGTTGTTCTGAAGCTCGACCGATATTATCGGACGCTGCTCTTGAAGGTACCGGAAGTAGGCGGTGAGTGGGCGCTTGGGGGCATTCGGGTCGCGAGGTTTGTACTGGCGCTTCTTCTTGGTGCCATCTGGATTGAGCTGTGGGTTGGTGGGAGTGGCTGTGTAATCAAAGTCAGTATATGGGTCATGTCTCGTGCGACAATGAGTGGGAGAGGGTGCTCGGTTGTGAAACGCGCAGGACTTGACATACTCCAGACGCCATTGCCGTTTTGGAAGATGGCTTGTTGGGCAAGCTGTGCGACACCCTGAGCCTGGCCGATGGCATTGAACGGCTGGATCAGACCGCTCACGTCGAGGGTACTACCCCCGACGCCGTCGAGCACGGCATTGGTGTGGTTCACGTAGGCCTTGACCGCCTCATCGATGGCGCCGCTGAGGCCGACGAAGGCGTTGGTGAGCTGGAAGGGAGTCAGCAGGCGTCGAGGCGGTGATGCGATGGATTTTCGGGTCGTCGTCCGGGCCGACACAGCACGCGTCGGGCGCGTTGTTTGGCTCCTGCGATGAAGCTTTGATACATACCGCATTACGCGTGTTGAGGAAGCGCTCCTTGTCGACGATGATCTGGATCTTCTCGGGCGGCTGTGGATAGTGAGCCATATCGATATCGGCGCGCTCAGAAGTCCAGGCGGCGACGACAGCGAGGTCTGGATAGTCTTGCGGAACGTTGCCCGCCACGGCGACGATTGCGATGCGATGAAAAGTGCGATGGGGATTGTTGAACTTTGATGGAAGCGAGGTGGACGTCGGAGGGCGTTCGTTGAAAATTTCACCGTGCTTGAACCACCTCCGCTTAGTCAGCCTCACTATCTTTGATTCACTTTCCCAGCCTTCTTCTTCCCCTCACACCCTCATTGAACTCTGTCCAACCACCCTGGCGCGTCTGCTGATACCTCATATCATTCGAGATTGGTCATTTCATCCCAGTGCCAAGATGGTGGTATGAACGGACGATTGGGCGCCCATGAGTACGACAGCTACCAGCACAGCTTCAGGTGGCAATTGAGATGCATGCGACAGGCATCCATGAGGACATACCGACTGGCCTGGCGCTTGCCCTCTAGGAGTGCCCGGCAGACTCGAGCCAGGGCGGCAGGGCAAGATCAACGTCAGGCCAGAAGACGCCGATACGATTGATTCGATCATTGCGTGACGGTCCCGTTCAATCTGAATATGGATGAGCGAAAGCTTTGCCGCTCAACGTTGAATTCTCCACCAAAGCTCATCAGCAAATATCATCGATTTCATGTAGGTCGCATGTTTGGCAGCTTCTACGCCTTGCGCACACATGGAAGAAGCTTGGCACATGCCTTTTAGCGATCTTCACCCAGGTGCCCACTCGCAAAGGAGCGCGACTCAGACTGACAAACGCGGCGAACGATGGCCAAGAGCGATTGCGCCCTCCTAAGGCTACCGGACGAGCTGCGTATTATGATCTACGAATTCGCCATCACCACCAATTCCAAGCATGAAGTTGATCTGCTCGAAGCCACAGGACCCTCAAAGGCGCTGCTGCAAACCTGCCGGAAGATATACTCTGAGACCGTCGCGCTCCATCGTAAGGCGTATCGCGATTTCTGGCGTACTTCTCGCTTTGCAATCAATTACAACGCCCAGGAGAATCTTTCCGCCCAAATAGAACTCCTTCGGGATGCAGATCTACAGGACATCTCTTGCCTCGCGGTGCGCGCCAGTCCACCTGCTTCACTGATGGCCATTGGAACGCTCGTTTTCGAGCTCTTGCCAGACAAAACCGGGTTTATACTCTACCATCCAAGGGTCAAAGGCCGTCGCTGGCTGGTGCGTCCATGGGGCCGGGAATGTGGAATTCTGGAACTCCAATGGCGGACAATTTCGCTTAACGAAGTGGGCGTGCTTCGGAGAGGTGCCTCTTCTGATATACAACAGGAGTCAGTCAAGGCACAGATCCGGGCTATTTGGGAGAGCTGGTGCTGCCCTCCGGCTCGGACAGCATAACTTCAGCATCTTCACACATTGGAATGTTATCTTGACCGCTGCTACCTCTGGTTTCGCACTCTCCGACTCGTTACGGCCTTCAGTATTGCTGCATTTATCGGAAAGGCAGGGACGTCCCGCTACGGAAAGACGCCGTAGAGCTCATGCTTAAACCCAATCCACGCCACGCCCCAGATCACATTCTATTTGGAGCGCTGAAACCCAACGACAGAGATCTCACTCGGAAACAGAAGATGTTGGCCAATATCCGCTAAGCATATGAGAGCTGGGCATCTTACTTTTGATTGTCTGGCTTTGGCAGATAGGTCATATTCAATTCGCTACAGCGGAGTCATAAAGCAGGCAGCGGGGAAAAGAGTAGCTTGCCTCTTCACTCAACATCTCTCCATTAAATCCGCGCCTACGAACCTCTTGGCCTCAATTTCGACTAGCAGAAGACCCACAAAGCTCGGGAATATACTCCTTCATCCCAATCTCAACATCACACTTCCTATGCAACGCCCCAGCCTCCTTACTCCCTTCGTCCGGCCATCGTGCCATCGCAAAGCCTCCATGCCTTGCCTCTCAAACCCTACTGGAAATCTTTATCTTTACTGGCCTCGTATCTCAAACGCCACATTTTACTTATCCGGCTGCAGATCGAAAACCATCGCACTTCCCCCCCCCCCCCTTAGGGACACTTTCGATACGGAGATAGCAGACGTGTTCCAAGTCGGATGTGATCACTTCCCCGGGACGATGAGCAAGCGTACGGTCATGGTGAAGAACGAAATGAATGCCAGATCTTCTAGAAACTATGACAAGCTTCTTCGTGGGGAGATGTGGCTCCGGAGCGGATCTTTCGGCGAGGGCTGGGGATGGAGCGAGAACTCTGCGCAATGGTATGTCCAGTCCAGGAGGTCAAGTTTAGGCTCTTCTCCAGGTCTGAAGGCGAAGACGAGCTCGAAGGTTTCGTGGCGAAGCTCGGTGGGGAGTTCGAGGAAGGCACGTTTGGTATTGGCCGTGTTGTTGACATTAGGCAGGAGATTTGACGGCAGGGTGATATGCTTCTCAATGGTGTACAAAGAGACATGTCTATAGGATTCTCTCGTGACTTCAACCTAGAAGCTGGAGGCATTCACTCCTTCAGGCTACGTGCTCTGATTTACACATCGCAAGTCATAGAACGACTGTGAAGACGCTCAGAGCTTTTGTGGTGTTATTTCGAGTGTTTTGGCGGTATGAGAACATCCATGCTTCACCCATCTCGTTCAAGCTGGCCAGATTCAATCTGCGATGGCATTACGTAAGCGCACGTGAAAGTCTTGGCAATTCCCACTATAATGGCGAAGGATCGAGTACAGCAGTTTGATATGAAATTGCAATTTCAGACCAGAGCTTCTTTCAAACGTCAAAGGAATCACTGAATGACCGATTTCCTTTAGCGACGACCACGATATGCCTGCTATAGCGATTCTGCCAGGCGAGCTTCGTAATGAAATCTACGAGCTCGCCTTCAATGTATTGATCCATTGCGTAGCGCGTGTGTCAAAAATGGACGACGGTCTGTCGTCCCCTCTTCTTCTTTGTTCCTGGTACTGGAACATTGTTGCAACATTGGCCACAGCTCGATGACAGCCTAAGATGTAGTAGCAGTGCGTGAAGTCCAGCTGAAGAGAGCGCGATGTGTAGATAGTTGGCGGCGCTGATGATCAGATTCTCACGCACCATTTGATACCTGAGGCTTTTTTGTTCGCGACCGCGAGTAACTGCCGCGCTGGTTTGCCATACCGATCGCAGTCTTCGAATCTGATGTCATTATCGTCCCGAGGCTGAAGGAAAACTTTGCCAGATGCAATACAGAGGCGGTATACCTGGTTCTTTAGCTCTCGCGGTACTTCTAGGTAGCGACAGCGTTCAAGTTCAGTCACGATCGCCCTTCGTGAGCGGTGCATTCTTCCAGCAGGTGTTGGACCAGGTCTTTCTTCGAAGAGAGGGTACATCTAAGCTTTCGAATGTGTTGGGAGGCTAGCATATTCCATTGGAGGTGCGTCTTGTCTCTGACTATCATGACCTGACCGTATATATGCCTTGGGGATATTCGAGTCGACCTGGTGAAGATAGAGCCAGTCCGTACATGAGAGGAAGCCTTTTACTCACCAACGCATGTCACATCGCAGCGGCAATGCAATGCTGGATGTGTGCAGTGATACACGTTCAATGCAGCTCTAGCATTCTGCAATGCTCGTCGCTACCGAAATTTCCTGGGCAGTTGGGTTTACATATCGGGGTACGCTTGATGGCGGCATTCGGACTTAGAGTTACCTTTTCGTCGTCCAACATACCGGCAGTATGGCCCTCTGCAGCTTCGGTGATGCTGAGAGGTCCCCGGCCAGTTCAAGAAAGGCTTTTAGAGCGGAGAGTAATGCCACCTGAGCGTACTCTGGGAGCATCGTAGAAGAAGCACTCGCGTTCTTCGTGAGTCTCTGTCCCTAGTATATCAATAACACGTAGCTCGGAACGGAAGTCCACCTGAGACATTGCCTCTGCCGCTGACTGGACACGCCGATGACATCCCAGGACGCAGTGGCAAAATGTCACGTCGATTTGTAGAAGTCGCCGTGCCGGTACACTAAACTATTCCAGTAGTTTGGTCCAGACAAAGGTGTGAATGGAGCGTTGTACAAGGTCTTCGGGACGAAGACGTCCGTGAAGCCGCTCGGGTTTGCTGTCAATCCATTGGAACTGTGCCGCTAGCCCAATGGTGTCGCTTGCTGGAGGGCGGGCGTCCAGGGTGACGCTGATGGATGTCAGATGGTCATAGGCGAAGGGCTTCAATGGAAAGTGGAGCTGGGCTGCGGCGAGATTTGGTCTCTCCGTCAGCATCGGCAGTCGCGAGACATTGCCTGGCGCAATCATGTTGGTCGTTGAAAGAATCTTGGCAGCTTCTTTGCGGATTTGCCGATTGACTAGAAGAAGATGCCATTGCGGCTACTCAACGGAACCCGAGCCTTCAGTTTGGCGCAGCTGAACTCAGGCTGCTTCGATAAAGTAGACTCCAACTGGCGAGCTTGACCCTGATTTGCACCAAGTGCTTGCTCCAGAGCCGCGATTGCGTCCATGTTGGGCTGACGCGCAGCTTTCAAGACTCGTTCCAGTGTAGTTTGCTGAGTCGAAAGATTCTGGTGACGAGGTCGGTGAAGCCTGATGTCCGAAGGGGTTGGAGGGCAGAACACTTCGAACTCAAGGTCCAGCGGCATGAGGAAAGCGTAATCTGAGCGTTTGAATCCAGGGGAAGATGCGATTTCGCCGAGAACAGGCCAAACGCCTGGGCATGTGCTGAGCATGCACGCTCCCGCTGGGTTCTATAGCACATTGACACTTGCCAGCAGATGAGGTGGTCTCCAGTGCCTATCATCCGATCAGTTGGAGATGAATGGGCATCTCAGCTTGCTCCCGCCCGCACTTGGGCCTGTCTCTCTCATATTTCGTCCTCTGTTATCTCACGACTGCGTGTTGCTGAGGCCAATTTCGTGTCCATTATCTTGATACAGTTGCTTATACACTGACTCCATACTCCATGAATGCACAATGGTATCTCAATCGCCGGTATTCCACATTATGCCCACTTAACGCCGTGCACCCAACTTCCAATGTGCCTGAAGATCACTTATACTGCGGCTGCTGTTGTGTTTGCGCATACGGATTCCCGCTATTCCATCCCTGTGGCGCGTTCTGTAGCGGTATCTGTCCTTGCCCTTGTTCGCCACCTCCTCCGTTCATTTGTTGCTGTACGTCGGGTCGGTACTTGATGTCCTGGTTGAAGCGGCAGATGTCGCAGCTGACGTCGTGGTAAGGTTTGAGGGAGAAGGGGATGATCGGCAAGAAGCAGACCGTGAACCATTCCCTACGAATACGGTCAGCTCTCGAATACCTTGATGGAGTCCACTGCAGCTAGATGCTTGCTCACCATCGCTTCTTGATCTTGCCGCTGAAGTTCCCACAGTTCTGACATTGCACTGTGATGTTCTCATAACCTTTGAGTAAGGACTGGAAGGCTGATCGCAGAGTTAGCTCTGATGACCCGGCGCGTCATCGGATGAATTACTATGGGCTCCCATTATCAGACAGAACGCCATCTTGATTTGTTCGTGGGCTTTGTGCGGGAGTTCGTAGCTGTTAAGACGAGTAGAGCCTTGGCTTGTTCGTGCGCTCCTTGTTCGGATGGTGGGTTTGTGGGTTGTCGCAGAGGATGTAAGCAGAGAGCTGGAATGGAAGGGTGATCTGACGTCTTTCGTATGTTCTGTAGATGTGGCGGTGATTGTATGTGAGGCGCAAGATTGCGCGTCGCATGTTACGAGGAGCGGAGGTCCCAGGTATTTGCCTCAGGCAGTTCGGGCGGTTCCGTGAAGATCCGGGGAAGGTTCAGGGGTGGATTCACGGCCGCGTTTCAGACTAAGATGAGATTGAAAACGCGGTTATGTACAGCGTCTTCGTAAGTTTTATGTGTCTCAGTGGCAGCTGCCTCTGATTTCAAGCTCTCCGGCTCGCTGTGCCCTCAAGTCTGCAAGCACTATCGGGAAGACAATGACCTCTCGATATGTGAGGACGCTGTATGCAGATCAGTACGAGTATACAAGCATTTGTCTAGGAAAGGTATTTGTGAGAGTTTGGGTTCCGAGAAGTTTGCTTAAATCCCTTGACTTTTCGTTTTCGCGTGAGGAGATGAAGTGGTCCTTGGTATGATAGCCTCTATTGGGTCTTGAAGAGCAGGATCGCGCAATGTCCCAAGTAAAAGTAGATGAAATGCTTGGTCTCTGTTCACCATGTCAGCCGCAGTGGGTACAAGGAAGCACCCAGAATTCCCACGAACCGTGTGTAACGAAACTGCCGAAGTTCCTGCCCACAATACAATGCCAGGTTGCGCCCTTGCGCTCGTCAAACTATGCAGGTCAATAGCTGTTCTGTTCGGCGAAGGTCGGATTTCTCATGCATACAGTACGCTTGATGTGATGTGCGATCTCCTGGCGTGAGTGTTAGCGATTGCTTTCCCAGACGCCACAATCGAGACATGCCTTCTCAATGGTGTACTTCTCCATAGCTTCTTGTGCTTTCACGGAGTTAGCGTCGCTTATGGCGATATGGAGCCGTTCTTTCCTCACCAACTTCGATGGCCTCCTGCTGCATATCATCGCTCTGTTCGTGCAAAGTCAGAATACTACCCGAGTCCCAGCTCACCATCCGAAAAACCCTACCATATCGACCGACTTGATCTGAGCTGTCGAGTGATCAGCCTGACAGGTCTCTTTGGGCCCTGAGCAGAAGAGTGTATTACCGTCAAGCTTATCTGGCTTTTCATCTGCCTTCTCCATGATGAATGCTGGTGAGACTTTTCGTGAAGTTCAGATGGTAGAAGTCTCCGGAAAGAAGCTTTCCAAGTGGCGGGTGTCGTGTGAGCGCAAGCAGTTGTGCGGGTAGTTGCAGTGTGTTGATGGGACGTGAAGCCGCACAACTTTGAAAGTCAAACGCGCCAAAACTCGCTAAGCGGCCCCTCCCGTGCTGGCGCTTGGACCTCAAATTCTAAATTTTTAAGACTTCTCGTCTCCGTATTTTCACTGTTACACCACCTCGAGCAGAACGCGTCCCAGGAGGTAAACAACATCGTCATGGCCTCCTCGCGTATATTCGTAAAGGGTCTTCCTCCCACATTCACCGATCCCGACTTCAGAAAGCATTTCTCGCAGAATGGACGAACTATCACAGACGCAAAAATCTTCCCCAACAGGAGAATCGGATATGTTGGGTACAGGACACCGGAGGACGCACAAAAGGCCGTCAAGTACTTCAACAAGACCTTCATCCGCATGAGCAGAATAGGAGTCGAGCTGGCAAGGCCAGCCGAGGTGACGAAAAGTGTCAAGGGCGGCGGCAATGCCCCCACTGCCAAGAAAGAAATACTAGCAGACGAGGTACAAAGCACCGAGAACACATTGAAGCGCAAGAGAGATGGCAGTGGCAAAGAGAAGGAAGACCCGAAGCTGAAGGAATTCCTAGACGTTATGAAGCCGAAGAGCAAAAGTAAGGCATGGGAGGGTGAAAAGCTGGAGGCCGAAGCCGAAACAACCCACCTCGGTGATGAGGACATAATCGCTCCTGCTGTAGCGGGCGAATCCGATGACGAATACGAGGCGATCCCGAAAAAGCTGAAGCGTTCGAGGTCCGAAGAAGCCATTGTGAACGAAGTACCAAGCGATGTGGTCATGGAACAAGATCCCGTCCCTGCATCGCGTGAACGAACTGCGGACGATGGCGCAGAGATCTCGAAGGAGCAGCAACAAATAAGCCAACAGGGCGTGTCGGATGCTGACTGGGCGAGATCAAGAACGAGCAGATTGCTTGGTCTACTGGACGATGACGAAGAAGCGGCAGCAGCCGAGATGACCAAGGCAACAGTCGCAGAGCCTGCTGAAGAAAACGAAGGCTCTCCAGCGGCTCATGATGATCCGAATGAAGCGCAAATGCCTATTCCAACGCCACCAGATGACCTGAAGGATTCGACGGAGGAATCGAACAAGGAACCTGTCGATGCCGATATTCAAGCTGTGCGCGCCAGCATGCGGCTCTTCGTCCGCAATCTCCCATACGACGTGCAACAGGGGGACCTAGAGACCGAGTTCGCTCCATTCGACAATCTTGAGGAGGTATGTACCGAAAATTTCTTTCAATCCGTGTTCTATGATGATCATCCAGATAGGGACAGCTTATGCTACGGCATTTGATGTGAGAGAATGGGAGCGTATTTTAGTAGATGCTTGCTCGTGTCTGATCCAGAACCTTGTCACCGATACGATGAATGGAGTCTGCATCTGTATCAATGCTGACCAGCACTACCTAGGTTCACATCGCTCTCGATAAGAAAACCGGCGCGGGAAAGGGTTTTGCTTATATTCAGTTCAGTGATCCTGATTCAGCTGAGCGCGCGCTGGTTGATAGGGACGGGCAGACCTTCCAAGGGAGATTGATACATGTTTTGCCTGCAAAGGCCAAACGCGAGAACAAACTCGACGACTTCGCCTTATCAAAGTTGCCGCTCAAGAAGCAGCAAGAAATCAAACGCAGACGAGATGCCGCCACCTCCACTTTCAACTGGAACGCGCTGTACATGAACGCCGACGCAGTCGTTTCAAGCGTGGCTAATCGACTCGGGTTGTCCAAGTCCCAAGTGCTTGATCCGACCAGCAGTGACGCTGCGATAAAGCAAGCGCACGCGGAGACCCATATAATCCAGGAGACCAAGACTTATTTCCGGCAGCAAGGTGTCGACCTGGATTCCTTCAAGAAAAGTCGACGTGGCGATACTGCGATTCTGGTCAAAAACATTCCATATGATTGCAGCAAAGATGAGTTGAAGCGATTGTTCGAGGAGCAAGGAGACGTGAAGAGATTTCTCATGCCGCCCTCAGGTACCATTGCCATTGTGGAATTCGCGAACGCGACTCAATGCAAGGCTGCATTTGGCGCGCTCGCGTACCGGAAAATCAAAAGTTCTGTCCTGTTTCTCGAAAAAGCACCAGAGGATACTTTTGCAGCCAAGACGACCGCGGAGATATCCGAGTATACGCCAGATGGTGTCAGTAAAGTGTCTGCTACCGATCTCAAAGGTCCAGAGTACACGGTACCGGAGACTGGCGGTACTGCAACACTGTTTGTGAAGAACCTCAATTTCAGCACCACAACACGGCTCTTGACCGATACTTTCACGCCGCTTGCAGGCTTCATGTCTGCTCGCGTTAAAACAAGGACCGATCCAAAGAAGCCCGGGCAGGTACTGAGCATGGGCTTTGGCTTTTTGGAGTTTAGAACAGCACAGGAAGCACAGGCTGCTTTGCAAACCATGGACGGGTACAACCTGGAGGGCCATAAGCTTCAAGTTCGTGCACGCCATAGAGGCGCCGACGCTGCCGAAGAGACCAGAAAAGCCGATGCCTCAAAGAAGGCAGCTACACAAGGCACTAAAGTCATCATCAAGAATTTGCCATTCGAGGCAACCAAGAAAGATGTGCGCGCTTTGTTTGGAGCGTATGGACAGCTGCGTAGCGTGCGAGTACCGAAGAAGATGGATCGTGGTGCTCGCGGGTTCGCTTTCGCCGACTTTACAACCACGAAGGAGGCACAGAGTGCTGTGGAAGCTCTCCGTGACACCCATTTGCTCGGTCGACGGCTGATACTTGATTTCGCTGCCGACGAGCCCGAAGATGCCGAAGCGGAAATCGAAAAGATGCAAGAGAAGGTTGGAGCTCAAGTCAATAAGGTTGCACTGCAGAAGCTCACAAGTGGTGGACGGAAGAAGTTCACTACGCAAAACGACGAAGAGGAGGGATGAGACCTTATCATGCGCGCAGTCACTCCGACTTGATTTTTGACCGGAGGTTGCAATAACCTCCTTGCTTGGTCTTATGCAGCCACTTTGCGACCTGCAACCTCATGCGACCGACATGCAGCCCTGAGACACTTGCAGATTTTTCGGCATCACAAGCGAAGAAGAAGAACAAGACTTTTTTCTATGCGAGTGTTGACAGCCTGCAGCGACTAGCGACCCACCACAACGCGGGTTCAAGATACTGCTTACATTCCGCAGCATCGATATCGCATTCCTGCATCCGTGGCGATTAAGACATCTGGAGATTGCCACCCTGCCAAGCCTACTGACATCCCTTTCTTGATCAGACATCTTGCAGACACCTTCACGTCACCTGCCGTGCCCTTGCACTCGATTTGATGAGTCGGCTTTGCCAGTATAGGCTACGCTATCTGAGTGTACTGGTGGAGTCAACCGGCAGAGCAGCCGAACCACCTCCCTGTACCGCTTGAGCAGGCAGGGCCGAGATTGCACGCTCTGCTCCTGGGCCCCTCTCGGCTACACAAGGCACCCTTCCTGTCTGAACAGTAAGTTGGCGAGACTGGTGTATATACACTCCTGTTGGTAGCAACGACGGCATTTGCCAGCTCCTTCTGCCCTGGAAGTTGTTGCCGCTCCTTTTCAACTTTAACCTAGTCATTCCTTTCTCACGACCCAACTATTCCACGTTCCTTCTTTCCAGCTGTCAAAGCATCTTCAATCTGGCGAATCACGGTCTGGCCGGCGAAAAAGTCCCATAAGCATTCTTGCTCGAAGCATTCTTTCGCTGCGTGCCTTATCAGCTTGAATTCTTGACAATGATTCAGCCGGCACAGGTTGTACCTTCTAACGCGCCTCCTCTGTCAGACACCGAGCGTAGCCATTCACGGGTGTTGCAAGAGCACTCTGGGAACCGACAACATAGCGAATACTCCTACGTCCACAGCTCGGATCAGAAGTACCCAGCATCATTGTTGGCAGAGAACAGCTGTACCAGTCACCACATCCAGCAACCACAACAATCTCATCCTGCACATCCCTATCGCCAGACGCCATTACAACGCCACCAGCATCGTTATGGAGCGAGAAACCACATGTACCATGATCCTGCGAACCAAGCTAGGACGGAAAGACAGGCTCGAATCCTTTTGCAGCGATTCAGAGCATCGCACCAGTACATGAAGTATCGCAACAGACAACGCAAAGATGAAAAGCCCGGGCTAGACCAGAAATGGCCAGATCGCTTGGAGCTGGCATTTTTCCAAGGTATGCACCGAGCCGATTGACACAGTCCCGAGTATCATTGACGCCTCCGAACAGCCCTCATCATGTGGCCGCCGATGGGCCGTCGCCAACTAATGCTCAAGGAGAAGAAACGAGGACGAAACGAGCTCATCGCCGACTATATCGAAGAGCTGACGGGAGAAGCTCGGGACAGAAAGCAGGTGTCCAGTCACATTCAGGTGCTGAAACCATTTGTTGAGCATGATCCAGTCATCATGCGGTACTTGTCGACAGATGATCTCGCTGCTCAAAGCCGCTACTTCACCGGGCGTGCTGCTTCTCATCACGATACCCGACGCGCTTCGTCTGCGTATCCTGTACACGCTATGCAACATGTGGCTCGACCGCCCATACCGGCAATGACGGCGAAGGAGACGCTCGACCTGTCAAAAGTGAAAGACCAACTGGACGTCTTTGAACCACTCGACTTCCAAATGTTCGTGCAGCAGAAGCTTGACGACGGCCAGGTCAACCGTCTGCACACTTACACGCAGTCGATTAGGAACCCTTTGCACAAGGAGATTCAACTTCACAATTGCCAGACGCCATGTCAATCTCCAGCCGAGCAAGATGCGTACCCTTGTCAAAATCTCGAGCGAGACTTCCCTCTGCTCGCAGCAATGCACAGGGTCCGACCGCTCGACTGCAATGTTCTGTTCGCTCAAGCGTCGCTAGCGTTCCCAGACAGCAACTTCAAGGACCCAGACGGAAACGCTATCAAGGGCGTCGAACTGGGTATCTCCTTCATCTGTCGCACTCGTCACATTCCCGTCACTGCTCAAGTGCTCTGCAACAATACTTTCTACCAAGATGGCGAGATGCTGCATCAATTCAGCAGTCATAACGAAGTCCACCTGACCCAAGCAGACGATACGGACAAAACGGTCCTCGAAACTCAGGTGAAATTCGGCAGCACCTTTTGGGCAAACAAACTCCGCATGCTGGCCATGAAGCTGAACAATGACGCTAACCCAAATGCCAAAGAAGAAGTTCAAGCTTTCCTGGACGGTATTCAAGCTTCACAGGAGATCGTTGCGCGGACAGAATCTGGCGTCGAAAAGTTGCTGGTCATCTACTGGAGATTCCGCCTTTCGACCAGTCCTACTGGAAGGGCTTACTGGAACAGACTACATCTACCGCCTATCGGTGCTTCGTCGGATTATACTGTCACTGCAGCAGAGCAATCTTCACAGCAGCATATCAGAACCGAGCGCGTCGATTCCGTGTACGCAGACTACAACGCCTCGATCCCCGTCACCTTCCCCGCCGATCCAACCGCGCACGCAATGTCCGTCTCACAACCCGCCCTCCAGTCACCTTTCGAATACGACACGACCACACCCAGCTGGCCCACCACCGCAGGCTCTTTTGACGAGACCACGGCAGCCATGGACTTTGACAATGACTTCGACTTCTGCGGGGGAAACATCAATATCTCAGCATTTGACCCCACGCTCGACTTCAGCACCTTCGACAGTTCCGCGTTCAATTTCGACGAATTCCCGACGGATCCAACGCTACAGGATTACTCCCAACCTGCTCCCTTCTCACAAGCAGGCGATTACTCCCAGCAAGCAACCACGGCGGACTACTCTTGGGACAACTATAATTTCAACGACAGTCAGGCGCAATCCGTTACCGGAGCGAGTGCTTATCCAGCGGCGCTATCGCAGAGCCATCAGGAGGTGTTTGACGGGTATGCAAGTGGTGCGAATGGGAATTATGAAGCACAATCGCAAGCATACAATGTCGGCGTGGAAGGACAGGCATATGGCGGTGCAAGGCAAGACAGTTTGGCAAACGTTTAAATGGAGAGTTACCCGGGCAGTGAAGCCACGTACGGAGAAGCAGCTCATTGTGGCACGTAATGATAGAATCTAAAAGCGATCTGATAGTTATAGCAGATGCAGTAATGAGTAATGATAGTTCTTTGAGAACTCTGTGCGCCGTTCCTTTGCGCTGCTGCTTGCCCTCCCCCGATGTTAGAGATTCAGAGGTCGGAGCCATAAACCATGCTCTCTGCTTTGGAGCCACACAAACAGACTCTATCTCGTGTCCACTTGGTCCGACCGTACTAACTCCTGCAGGTCTATCTCACAGTCCTCGAGATCAGCTTCCACTTCCGTCGTATGTAAGAAACGCATCAAATTAGTATGCGTCTGTTCCGGAATTCTGAATGACTTGAAGACCACCTTCGGCTTACGGTCGGTGACCTTATGTTCCTTATAGTTCTCGGGATTTACGAGCTCCTTCAGCACGATGTCGCGCTCGGCTTGTGTCTTTGTCCCAAGTATTTCGATGACCTCTAGTGGCGGCGAGAGTCCGTGTACTGTGAGGTATTGTGCGGCCTCCTCGATGACTCTGCAACTGCCGAGAACGCAATAGCAATTTGTGAGGTCCACTTGGAGAAAGCGAAGGGTGTTGGAGGCGTTGACCAAGTCAGGGTTCAAGAAAACACATCCAAGATATTCTTCCCAATTTAGGCCCGCGCCGTGGAAATACCCATGTGAGCGACAAACTCGAGTGGCTTGATCCATGCCTTGCCACCGAGAAGAAGTGTAGCAGCCTGCATCCATTCGCACCACAGCTGAAAGTGCCATGGTATCTTCTAATTTGAACTGGTTGTTGTACAGATCCAAAGCAATGCTGACGGACGTAAGGCTCTTCCGGCATAGTGCTGCGAGTGAGACTGGGGATGAGATGTGCCAGTCAAGTATCGGGGTATGCTTCTGATCGCTCTGTCCATCGTGGCGGTTGTTGAAGACGATTTGATTCTTTGTGAAGAGGACCTTGGCCGATTCTTTTCGAACCTGACGGGTGACAGCGAGTAGTTGCCATTCAACTTGGTGATACTTCTTATACTCGTCAAGTCTTACGTCGTTCTGCGGCCGCGGGCGAAGAAACACCTACAACCATCAGAGTCAGAACATGTGCTCCCGGCAATTGTCTCGCGTCACCACGTACCTTTCCAGGAGCAACGCACAGCTCGTATACCATCTCACGAAGTTCCAGCGGCAGATCCAAGAATATGAATGGGCGATGCGTCTTCTCCTGAAGCTCTCGGATCGTTCGTTCGAGGCGCCGATTAGAAGCCTCGAGTTGCTGTACAAGCGCCTTGTTAGCGCCGAGCTCCTGAAGCAACTCGTTGATCTCTTGGTCCATGTTGTTGATTCGTGTTGTTCAGGTTCAGCCTCGACTGGGTCTAAGTAGTTGCTAGGGAAAAGTAAAGAATGAAGCAGACAGCAAGACGCACGGACTTCCCCGCGCCGTGTCTTCAAATTCACGTGCTAGCGCATGAATGCAGGGCCGCGGTCGGTACCAAAAAGTGAAGTCTGAAGAATCAGCTAGAAGACTGATATAGCTTGGATTTATGGGCTCTCACCTCTTCGAACAAGACCGCTCCAAGGAGGTGATGTAGAAACCACAAGCACGCACGGACCTCGCCAGATGATTCACCCGACGATCATGGCAGTACGCTCTACAAACAGAAAGAGCGACCAAGAGGAGGGAAAGTACTACGTCGAGAGCTGTCTGTAGCCGCTTTGCACATACTATACATGAACTGCGCAGACTAGCTGTCGCGATAAACGCCCGAAGAATTACATCGCTCACCCACGAATGCATCGACATACGACTGGCCGCTTTGCCTGGATGGTTTATTATCTCATGCCAGGCGGGCCCGTCATGCCTGCACCCATTCCCGATAGCCTTGCGGCTAGCTGGGGATACTTCTCCTGAACCTCAAGCTGTGTCCGCGTCGCTTCTGCGTACGACAGCGCATTGACAATCTCGCCTTCGGTTCTTGACAGCTCAGCAGCACGTTCGAAGTACTTGAGAGCTTCCGTGACCTTGCCCTGTTGCAGAAGCAGCTGAGCCATAGTGGCGACAGCGATATCGCATTCTGGATCGACTGCGTGAAACAATTAGCTTGGTTTTGACATCTCGGGGTAGATGATAACTTACGGACAAGTGCCTTCTGGCACAGATCTTCTGCGGCGCTGAAGTCTTGCTTCCACTGGAACAAAGCCAGCGCCTTGTTGATAAGTGGCAGAACGTTCATGCCACCTCCACGCTCCCCAATGTTCTTCTTCTCCATCTCCACCGCGGTCTCGAACTTCTCGACTGCCTCGGAGTACTTCTGCTGATCGAGAAGTAGCTCGCCGTAGTAATTGTACACGTCGCTCTTGTCGCCAAAATTCTTGATGCACCTTCTAAAGGTAGCCATGCTGCTCGCTATCGATCCCATCTTGTACTGTGTCACACCCAGCTGGATGTGCGAGAAGATAAAGTCTTTGTCGAGATCGATTGATTTTTGGTAGTCGGTCGCGGCAGAGTTGAATTCGGAGAGGATGAAGTGGAGCTGGGCGCGATGGTAGTAGATGTCAGGATCGTCAGGGTTGTGTTTCGCGGCCTGTCCGAAGTCTTCCGCTGCCAGATCGCGGGCACCTACGCGGCAAGTTAGACGTGCTCTGGTGGGTTACTTGAAAGATTGAGACTTACTTTGCTCGAGATGCATGCTGGCGCGCTTCACGTAGCTCTGAACGAGCGTTGGGTCCAATTCTACTGACTTGTTGAGATCCTGCAACGCTGCGTCGTTGTCACCCTTCAGGTAGCGGAAAGTACCGCGCATGTTGTAGGCTTGCGCTTCATGCTTGTCCAGGCTGTTCTGTTCGATGGCCTTGTCGAAGCTCTCTGCAGCCTCCGCATAGCCCTCGCCGGTCCGATGTCTAAGAGCCAAGAGACCCTTGCGGAGGTGCCACTTGCCGCTGCCTTCTGGCAGGTCGGCAGTCTCTTCGAGACCTTCGGGTAGAGGCTTCTGGCGGAAGGACTGCAAGTAGTTGCTCACGAAGGTAGGCGATGGCAACCTCTTCTCCTTCCCTTCCATAATCTTCTTGGCCTTGCTCTCGGCGACCTTCTTGAGCAATCGTTCCACGGCCTGTGCAGCGGTATCATTGCGGAACTGATCGAGGATGCAGCTGGCAGTGTAATCGAGAAGCGCTTCGCTGTAACGCTCCTCCTGCTCATAGGCGTTTGCTCTCCGGTTCAAGGCCTTGACGTATTCGTTGTCGAGGTTGATGGCAGCAGTAGTGTCCTCGATAACCTTCGCCCAGTCGCTCATAGCATTGTAGCAGGCAGCACGGTTCGAGTAGAAAACAGGATCAGCCTTGCAGAGGATGGCTTGTGTGTAGAGGTCGATGGCGCGGTTGTACTCTTTGCTGCCGTAGGCCTTGTTTCCTGCGGCCTTCAGCTTGGCCGCGTACTCTTTCCGCTGTTGTTCTGTCAGCGATGCCACCGACTCGGCTGTGACCTGAGGAAGTTCTTCTGGCTCTTCTACGGCGGCTGCTTTTGGTGCAGTTGCGGGCTCGGTTTTCGATTCTGGAGCTTTCTCGCCGGTCTTCTTCGCTTTTCGCTTCTTGGGCTTCTTGTCGGCTTCTGATGCTCCTGTAGGCGAGGAACTGAGATAGTATATCGACCCGCCAGCTGCTACAACTGTGACACCAGCAATTGTCCATGCGACGACCTTGTTGTCCTGATACCAAGCCGTCACGCGATCCAAGAAAGATGAACTGGCTGCTGCGGTCGAAGCTGCAACATGCTCCACGGCCTCTGTTGTTCCCTGCGCCGATGCGGAAGCCATTTTACTCAATTGTATCGTGTATCAACGGGCAAGGACGCAGGCGACGATTGGTGGTTTCGTGCCCAGCGATGGGAAGAGGCGAAGGAGAGGTGGATGCGTAATGCTGTTCAATGTCTGCACATCTTCACGCCGAGCGCGCAGAGCTTCGGGAGAGGACCGTGCTCGCAAATGACGTGGGCAAGTGAATTTTTGCAGCACAACCCGCGTATCTTGCATTACTGAGGAATATTTGGATGACCAGTTCACATCGAACACCAACATGTACGAGACTGGGACCGGAGCGAAAGACGGCGTCGATGCTGTCTGCAAGAATATCCCACACGTGATTCCCGAACGACCTTGAGAAGTGTCTGTATACGGTGACATTTCATGCCCTTGGCCTAGGGCTCACGCTATGACTGTTCGGATGTCTCCAGGTGAATCGGTCTTCGCATTGGCCACCTGAACGTTCTCAGAATCATCAGCTACATTTGCCCGACTATCAAGTGCATGGTCTACTCATTTCGTCGGTTGCTCTCGCCTTCAACATGAGCGGTCACTTCGGGAGCCCTGGTTCGGCGAACAACCAGACCGAAAGCACGGAGCCATTCGTCTACACCAGCATTCGCTATGACAAGAGGCTCGTAGACTCGGAGAAGAATACAGCCGCATCCTGTAACAAGCCCTGTCCCTTCTACATGCTCGAACACCATTGGACTCGTCTACAAATCGCCAAATGGAGCACCTTCTTCTTCGCAGACGACAGACCACGGCCCAATTCTGGCGGACCCTCCATGCTCTTTCAAGTCTTGATGAATGCTGTCAAGCAATGGCACGATAGCCACCCTGGTGAATCGCCGGTGTCGTTGAGAATCAAGTTTCGCCAGTATGTAGGCGGCCGGATGTCCACGGAAATATACCATCCTATCAAAACCATCCCCATGTGGTCTCTTTTCCCTGCTACCTTTGACTTACCGCCCGAGCAACGAAAAGACACCGAATGGACCATCGTACTAGACACCGAACCTACCGAGCCGGGAGAGAGCACCATGTTCAAGACCAATGATCGAGCTACGTATGGCCGTGCTAGAGCCGCCGCAGATATCATGACGTTCGCGGTCCCCAAGGAAGTCCTGCTCTATACCCACGAAAAGCACATCCTGGATGGATCAATCTGTACTCCCTACTTCTACCGGCGAGGCCGATGGGTCACGCCTTCATCCGTGGCGGGAGGATTGCAAGGTACGACTCGACGATGGGCGCTCGAGAACAAGCTGTGCGTCGAGGATGTCGTGCCAATCGATACAATGGTGGACGGTGAGATCGTGTGGTTGAGTAACGCTGTCAGAGGCTACTTCTGGGCGGTCTTTCACAGTCGAGAGCCTCCCAAGGGCGAATCGGATGAGAAGACGGTCCCGCGGATTCATCGAGAGAGATTTATGTGAGGAGTATTGGAGCATAGGATAGATAGATTCTGCATGTAAGTGTAAAATACTGCTGAACTCGCTGTAATGTGCCATACGCCCTAGACGCCTGTAGGGCGTCCCTTTCGTGATTGGCTCAACCGAAGCGGGCGCTAATGGATGTCCTCCCGGTGAGGACAAAATCGCACCGACCTCACATCACAATCTCGGTGTACGAGACTTGATCCGCTCGGACACACTCACCACCTCTCCCCTCAATCGACGCATCAGATATCATGGCTCAAGGTCAAACGAAAAAGTCCAAAGCGCCCGCTCCCAAAATGTACGTACCAACGTCCACCTCTCTTCGTTTTTTTCAAACCACTTACTCAAATTCCTTCACAGCACTCAACGCAAACAAACCGGCTCCCGCGTCATTAAACCTAAGAAAGCATCACTCCTCAAACAACACAGTATGAAGAAGAAGCATTCGTCTGGTCTGGCGGCTGCTACGGAAAAGAGCCTGGCGAGCAAGGCGGGCCATTTGGAGATGCTGAGCGGTGGGAAGAAAGACAAGAAGGAGGGGGCCGGGAAGAAGTGAGCATCGGGAGAAAAGGAACCAGATCATACCACGGACATTGAATGATTCACTGCGGTTTGTTCGAGTCGCTAGGACAGGTGTCGGCTGTGCTGCGATACCCATTCGGTTTATGGGCAGAGCACTGGGGAGTGACGTCGAAGTCACCTCCCCAAGTTTAGAGAGGAGAAAGACTTGAGGAAGAGGCGTGGGGATGATTCATCTCGTCGAAGATACAGTTTTGGGACTGTCGCGCCGTACAGTGCTGCCTGGCATGCCGACCACGAACCACAAGGTTTTCTCGCTAGGCGAGAGGTTCCGCTGGTGCTTCTGGAGGTCATATCTGGGCCTCCTACTCGCCAGGCTTCAGGTCAGTTGACGGGCATTGCGCAGTTTGATGAGCGGTCTACGTATCAGCAACTTGGAGAGCCGCTGGGTTTGGGCTTCGTGACGCGGACGCATGCCAGAGGATATCGATCGGAGCCAGTTGTGTCCTTCATACGCGGGGGCCTTTTGCAATCGACACTTGTGAGAGAAATGGAACAAGCATTACAATTCGCGGTATCGTTCCTCCACTTCCCCGAAGTCTCCCATCCTTGAACTCCATCGCAGGAGCTCCTCCAAGCTTGTACAGCGGTCTTACAGCCAATCTGCCATTTCACACGCGTACGAGTGGGTCATGCGACCTAACTGGCCTCCCTTGTTGCACTACCGCGCTGGGGTGGGAAAGCAGGAGAGGCGGAGAGCGGGAGCTGCGAAGGGGAGGAGGGGAGGGGGTCACATGCAAGGAACGCCGCCACGATGCCCGAAACCTGGAGCGACATGCCGCCATCCACGAGGTTTATACCTACATCACTAGGCTTCAACTCCCTGGAGAGAACATCCGGGCAGTTAAGGATCGTATGATTTGGACCAACACAATTTAACCTCGTCTGAGCCTCGAACTACGACTCAATGTCTACAAGTTTGGCAGAGAGTAAGCCAAGTGCTACAGAGTCGTTCTCGCATCCGCACGCACCCTCACTTTATAACACGGGGCGGACAAGTGCCACAGAGTCAATCTAGTATCCGTATCCGACTACTTCGAGACAAAAGTTTCTCCGTTGCCTGAATAGCCGAGGGAAAGTCAGATGCCACAGGGTCATCCTCGCATCCGCATCCGACTTCAAAGCACGTCGGCCCAACGCGTAGGCGAAAAGAGACACCAACTCGCGGCAGTGTAGTACCGCGAGAGAAATTGATCTACAGGACGATGACCCTACCGCTGTGCGCGCTCTCCTTACTCGTGCATACACATACATAGTGTCACCGGAGCAGAGGAATGACTGGACGTTCCATCTTGCCGTCTACCAGGCCGCTCGCATGTAAATAGTCAAGAAGCTGAAGGACAAGGCTTTCGCTCTAAGAGCTTTGCACGAAAGCGCAGACGATGCGTCTACACAGTCGGCCGAGAACCTTATGTAGAGGGGGGGATTGATCGCTCCAGCGGGAGTTCGTGCTCTCTGTGGTATGAGAGGTCGTGCGCGTGCGTGTGTGTGCAACCAGCGCGAAGTTACTTGTAAGTCCGAGTAGGGGCTTTGTACGTGAAGCGCGGAGATGTTGTTTCATCGTCGGTGACGGAGATGATGCCTCCATCGGCGCCATCAACCGAGAACTCGCCTGCCAGAAGGTTGTAATGAACAACCATGACATCTCCATGGGCTGCCTTACGCGGGGCAACGAGCCAATGAGATTTCTCAACCTAGACGGAGGTCTATTCCTCGAGATCGGCCTGGTGTATCGATCACGCACCCGCAACGATAGTGTCAAGGCCAGTAAAGTCGTGTCTGAGGATCCGATGGTGCTGGCGAGGAAAGTCGTGTCTGAGCATCGCAGCAAAGTCGTGTCCGAGGATCCGATAGCGCTGGTGAAGCGCAGGTAGAGCAAGGATCAGATGGATCCTACAACGGTGGCCTCGCAAAGCACGCGTTCCGAGATTTCAATGCTGACGCCAGAGACTCGTCGCTCGATAACGTGATGAGCGCCTCCTGGTCACTCCTGAAGCATGTCGCGCAGATCAGAGCCATTGATCTGGTCTTTGTTCGGAGTTCCGTCCTGTCTGCGTGCGGAAGTTGCTGCTTCGCATAATCTCTTAGGCAGGCGCTGCACCCACCCGAATGCTACTGCTATCACATTCGAGATGAAGGCAATGCACGCGTCGCGAATGCGCTTCAAAGTAGCGCCCGGACATCTGTTGCATTTGATGGTGCATCTTGTCGGCTTTGATGTTTTGAGTTTGTTGTGGTCTCAGTGCGATGACTTTGACGGCCATGACTTCCTCGCTGCGTGACTTGTTCAGAGTTGTCAAAAGATAGGCCGAGTTCGCTCGAGAAACGTCGAGTTCGCTATAGACGTCCTCAAGCTTCGACAAAAGCGATATCGCCTTATCAACGGCGGCACTTGGGCCGCGTGCACGGAACGCGAGAAGAGCTTTCATGACTACTTCGAGAAAAGCGGTCTCGGTAGTTGCAGAACCTTCCTTCTGCGGAAGCTGAGGCGGAAGGAACAGATACCGGGTGATACCCTCGAGTTCCTCCATGTTACGTCCAGAGATACAACTGCGTTTGCACGCAGAACGAGGACTTCCAGCAGTGCCAGAAACTCCTAGGGACAAACGTCAAGTGTAGCCCGGTGCCGAAAGTTGCTCTGCGAGACTCATACCGCATGTGCGCGAGGTATATGGTCAAGCCTGACAAAGATGAAATGCGTCGCTGGGGATGAGAATGATTCCATCTTGGGTTGGATAGAGGAGGAATTGGACCACTGCGGAGTGGACGGGCGTTTGGAGGATCGTTGGAATACTGCACTGTATATATGTGATGTCCGAGCGTGTTATCAAATGAAATCTGCAATCTATGCTCTCCCTCAGAGTGGCGATGATGTTCCGGAATGGTGATATCAAGGCTCGTGTCTACCATCGCGGATCACTCCACCCTGTTGAATATGCGTCCTGAATGTTTCATCTGTGTATTTCCTCCTCCAGTGTAACGGGCGGCTACGATACTCGCGTTGGCAGCCAGTGCAGTGAAAGCCCGAGATTGAGATTCCCTCCGCTAGCGACGGCGCGCGAACGATAGCCATGTATCGACGTGGGTTCGATGAGCGACCATCGTGCTCCTCTGGTGAGCCAGTTGGTCTTCGCGGTTTCGACTGGATTACGCCGCTGAGATATTCTTCCATTCGATTCTCATACTCCAGCACTTTCTGCGCCAAGTGGTCCGCCGCGGCTTTTCTCATAGCTTCCTGCGACCCATGCCAGGCGGTCCCTGCTTGCTGAGCGGACTCCGGATCGTACAATACCGAGCGCTTGCGACAAAGCTTATCATTCGGCGAATAGCGTCCTGGGACTGCTTTCATATGAGACAAGTTCAGGAGTCGAGAGCGGTCAATGCCGAACTTCTGGCACGCTTGCGCTGCAGTGAGGGGAAGGTAATCTTTTTGCTCCTGACTGAAGCACAGGAAGCAGACCCGCTTGCATTGCAACACGTCAATGTACCCGGCAAAATCCCCGCAATGCCTGCAGTCGCGAGCCTTGAGTGTATCAAGTAGTTCCGTACACGAGTAGCGTGATCCAACTTCGACACTTAGCATGGCTCGTACGAGAGTGACATTATACTTCAGAATCTGCTTAAGCTGGGGCAATGCATCTATCGCTTGCATCGCACGTTGATTGACACGGCGAAAGTCGAATAAGGATCTTAGATCCAGCAGAGCCAGAATTTCCGCGATCAGCTCGTAGGGCAGTCTTTCAAGGCCACCAAGATCTTTTCTAGGCTCCAGATCGTGCTTGCCAAAATCGAGTGGGCATAGTCGGTCTAGTTCCTGCTCGTTAAGGGTATTATCTTTCAAATTAGGACGGGCATACGTCAGATCCGCCAGTGATGGTGACGAGACGGAGGTAGACGACATCTGGATAGCCTGAAGACGGGGAATGTCTCCTTGTTCTATCAATTTGCAGCCGAGCACACCGATGACGAGAATAGCGCGGTTTCCGGGAAACCAGAGACGCTGCGAGCAATGGATGTGATGAAGTGAGGTGAGCCCGAAGACGCGCCGCGCGTCGAGGACCTCGTGCTTGTGCTCGGGAGAAATTGGAGCATCGCGGGGAGCATTCCGAAGCCACGTGAATCTCCCCGGAGCTAACGCAAAGTTTAACCAACCTATTACTGACTTCATGCGTTGTTTCAATACCTATTGCTGTCAACCTCAGGCTACACACAGTACATCTACTGACAAATCGCTGACTTCATGCGTTGTTTCAAGACTTCGCCGGTGATCCCATGAACGGAAACACCATCTCCTTACCACTCTCAACGATCGTCCGCAGATACACGCCAATCATCGGCTCCATGCCAACGTCAAGAGCCCTGGCAACCCACTCATCGAACTCAAGCTCCACAAATTCCTTGCCATACACTTTTGCCATATATCCCTGAAACTCACTCGGTGGCACTTTGGTACCTCCGCTGTAGTGACGGAAGCGAAGACAGGCTGGTTGCTCCAAGGCTGCGACAGCAGTAGCGATCTCTGCTGCGACATCTTCGACGGGTGCGAAGTCGAAGTATCCAGACACTGGCAATCTGGAGAGCTGCGGTACGGCGCTCATGAGGTACGAGCATTTGAGAACGGCGTTGAGCGCATCCTCGGAAGGAGCTTCGCTACCGACGAGTGCGCAGGGACGATGGATAGTGATAGGAAACCCCGGCCCGCTATTGCTAGCTTCTGCTGCCACATGTTCCAGAACAACCTCGCTGGCCCATCTGGATGCCGTGAACCCGTCCGAGCCGTCAAGTGGCGGCTGATGCTCCTTGACACTAATGGGCGGCAGGGCTGCTTGCGAGTTCTCGGGGAGAAGTGTAACCCGGCTGGATGAGATGAAGTGCAGCGGGATACGCCGCCGAGATGCCCAAGTCGCTAGCCATTTCGTACTCGTGACGTTCGGTTGGCGGAGAGAGGCATAATTGTTCAAGCAGTGGCCATGGCTTCCGGCAATGATGATGCGGTCAACCTTCTCGGTAAGCCTTGCGATCACTTCTTCCTCTAGGCCAAAGCTCTGCCTATGAAGAGCCCCTTCGTAGATCGTGATCCGCTCTAGTCCCTCGGCCGGGAGGTTTGCAGACGAAGGCACCGCGATGCAGTGAACACGGCGTATCGAATCATTGCGAAGCAGATGTTGCAAGATATGGCCACCAAGGAAGGAATCTGCGCCCGTCAAGAGAATCTCACTACAAGATACCATGCCTGGCGAAGGCACCTCGCCCGAGGGCGGTGAAATGAGGGCTTTTCTCAAATCATCGGTGAGTCTCGTCTCTTGGTCCCATCGGATTGGCTGATGAGCAGGCCGATGCGTTGCTTGGTCGGCGATAAGATCTGCCATACCGCCAATCGTACTGTGCTGGAACATATCCCGTATAGACACATTGAGAAGCATCTCCGTCCGGATAGCTGTTTGTAGTTTCACCAAACGCAGAGACGACCCGCCCATGGCCCAGAAATCGACATCGGTCCGCCGGGGAATATCAGTGCGATCAAGCACACGCTCCCACAGGAGATGAAGCTGGACCTGTATCAGTGTATTCATGTTGGCTGGGTCACTATGCTGCTGGATAGCGCTTCCCCGTGGCGGCAATGGAGCCTGGGCCAATTGTCGGCGGTCCACTTTCCCGTTCGCCGACAGAGGCATTTCGGTCAATACTACAACACGGCTAGGCTTCATGTGTCGTGGAAGGGGCAATCGCTGCATCAGGTCTTCCGACGAAGCTTCGACTTGGTCGTGCTTCGGATTTTCCTCTTCCCGTTCATGACTGGATGCTGGAGCAGCATTGCTATGGAGTCGCGGCACCACGAATGCGACAAGATACGAGTCGTCTTCCTGCTGATGTAGCGCGACCACAGTCTCGAAGATCATGTCTGAACCGTGCGTGAGGATTGCATTCTCAACATCAGTCAAGTCCACCCTCAAGCCGCGGATTTTGACGACAGTATCACTGCTCATTCGACTCAGGTAGCCCAACGTGCCGTCTTCTCTCCAGACGCCTCTGTCGCCAGTTTTGTACACCCGTCCTTCAGAGCGTGTCGCTCCACCTTCACAATCGACTTCAAAGTTTTCAATGAATGACTTCGCAGTAGCACTCGCATCCACGTATCCAAGAGCGACCCCTACTCCGCTAACACATATCTCTCCTGGAACTCCAGGTGGGCAGAGTGAGCCCTGAGCATCGACAATGAAGATGCCAACATTGTAAAGCGGACGACCGACCGATGTCGCACTTGCCGTCAGAGGATACTCTGCCAAGGGTGTTTCGTCGTGCTGCATGGTCGCACAAATAGAAATTTCCGTCGGTCCGTAGGCGTCTTGGAAGACAGGAGGGGAAGGGAGATTTCGCATTTCCCTTCGCAGAGCTTCGGGGACTTTCTCGCCTCCTGATAACGCCAGACGCCACTCGGACAAACGAGAGAGAGCGTCACTGCTGTATCTGAGCCACATAAGGTACTCAGTTGGACATGCCAGAGTAATGTTGACGTTTTGCAGGGCCATCAAACTGCTGATAGCCACGGGATCTCCCCGACTTGCTTGTGGTGCAATGACCAGTGTACATCCATGCGTAAGCGCAAGCAGAGATTCAGAAAACGCCATGTCGAAACCGAGATTGCTCTTTTGCAAGACAACTTCGCCTGGCCGTATATTCTGAAGCTCACCTTGGTTGGCAAGGAAGTTGAGAATACCCATGGAAGAGAGTAAGGTTGCCTTGGGAACACCCGATGTGCCACTCGTGCAAAGGATGAGGGATGCCAGGCTGGGATCTTCGAGGTTTCCGATGTTGTCGGCGGTGGCGGCGTTCGTAGGCGTGTCTTCGAAATGGAAAGCCTGGACCGCCAACTGAGACTCGAGGATGATCCGAGAGGCCAGAGCGGCGGTCGGATGATGGCACAAAATGAGGCTTGGCTTGCAAGCACGAAGAATGGATACAAGTCGCGCAGGAGGCAGCGTTGAATCGAGAGGCACAAATGTTGCGCCGATGCGGAACGTCGCCAACATCGAGACTACCCAATCTCGCTGAGGCTCGCAGAGAACGGCGATCCGGCCACTTCGGTAAGGAACAATGCGCACGCACAGGGACGCAATGGCGCTGCTTAATCCCTCGTAGGTCATGGAGCTCTGGGAATCTGTGATTGCAGTGGTAGCCGGAAAGTCTCGACACACTCCTTCTACTCGTTCCGTAATGGTAGAAGGCCAGCCGACGAATTTCTTTGGCTTTGGTGCGCCATACTCCAGAGCTTTCTGAATGCCAGTGCGAGGATATATCTGAAGACGATTCAGAGGAGCATCCACGGTAGACCCTTGGACCGCACTCTCGAGAAGCGTGGTATACATTTGAGTCAGCAACACGGTGGCCTCTTGCGAGTACAGGTCGGACCGAGTAAGGACTTGGATGTAAGACGGTCCAGGAGCAGACATTGGTATGACGCAGAACGTGATGTCGTACATCAGTGCCGAGTCGACAGATTCCCGAATTTGCATTTGGCAGTTTCCGAGAGGCATTCCTGCAGACTGCCCGTGACGGACGTCGAAGCCGACCTGGAAGAGAGGTGTATATGTCGGATCGCGGCTGACGCCCAATTTGTCCAGTATCGTATCGAAGGGGACATCTGCGTGCTCTCGAGCGCCTCGATAGGTCTTGTTGACCCGCTGTACCAATTGTCCGAAGGAAATGGCCTCGTTGGCTCTAAGATGTAATGGTAACAAGTTGAGGAAGAAGCCAATGCTCTCAGCAGTCTCGGAATCACGCCCAGGGTCTGTCACCCCAATGCAAATATCATCCGTATCGGCTATACGGGTCAGGAGGTACTGCACCGCGGCCAAGTAAAGGTTAACGGGGGTGACACCAAGAGCTCGACTGATCTCTTTGATACGCTCCGCTATTGTCCCATCCAACGGTACGAGGCTGCTGTGATTGGAGACCTTGTCAAGGGGAGGGCGTGACTGAGCAGATGCAAATGGGAGAAGGGGAAAAGGCTCAGGAAGCGGCGATAGCTCTTGCAGCCAGAAGGTGTTTACGCTATCCGCGGCGTCTGAAATGTCGTGATTGGCAACGTCCATCAACGACTTGCCCGGAGCTTGTAGAGCTGCTCCTTGATAGGCCATGTGTAGGTCTCGGAAGAACGTGCGCCAGGATGTTCCGTCCATGATGATGTGATGATAGCCGATCAACAGCGTATGTTCGTTGGTCGAATGGGATATCAAGACAATCTCGAGGGCATGGCCCTGCGGCAGTCGCCACTTTCGCGTACGTAGGTCTTCTCGCACTGCTCTCGCTATTTCAGCATCCTCGCTACTTTCAACGGATGTTGTAATGTGTCTGAAGCAATCTACAGGAGATTTGAGAAGGCCTTGGCGCAGTGCGTTTGACGCATCCCGGAGAAAGCAAGTATGTAGTCCTGGATGATGGGCGACGACCATCGCAACTGCACGGCGGAGACGGGCGACGTGAAGAACTCCGTGGACATCATAGGTAAGCAGATTGTTATTCTGAGAGTGACTTGATGAGATGTGGTCGGCGATCCACAATCTACAGCGAACACATGCGACTCGTCAGCAAGGTAAATTTCATTTTCAATCTAGCGTACAGCGTCCTCGAACATCAAACCATAATAACAACGAGCCGGGCAGTGCAAAATCAGCGATATTAGTTGTCGAGGTAAGTTTGCGGTGCGCGAAGACGCTGTAATGAATGCAGTTCGGGACTCACCGTGCCTGGGAGTGCGTCATGGCCGCGGTATTTTGGAGAAGTGTCTGTGGCAAATCTTCCTCTTCAGTTTCCTCTTTGCATTCGGATCCAATCGTGCTCAAGCTCGTCGAATCATCCACGTCATTGCCATTGGAATCAGGTGAAGATGACTCAGCATCAGAAGAAGAAGTGCTTGTTGGTCCCCGTCGCGAATCTGTTCCCGATGAGGTGGGCTCTGCCTTGAGCGCTTCGGTGCGCACTTTGGTCTGCTCTGCGAGATACTGACTAGCGGCAAAAGTACAGATACCCTCGCCGCTTTCTCCGCTGAGGATTTTGAGGACAGGTACATCCACGTGTATCTCTTTCAAGAACCAGGTACGCAGCTCGACGGCAAGGAGCGAGTCGATCGAAGCATCAAGCAAGGATGCGTCAGTCTTGAAGCTTCCACTCGACATTTGCAACATCCTCTCCACTCTATCCGCCAGCGCTTGAGTAAGCACAGCAACGGCTGCCTCTTCTGACGTAGTCGCATCGAGTCGAGCAGCCACGGAAAGATGGTCGCCCGCTGTGTCTGCGGCTAGTATGTTCGATCCGCGTTCTTCCCTGACGTAGTGCGAGGCAAGCAGATTGTTGAACCAGGGGGGGTGGGCCTCGATTGGGGTATTGCGAGTATAGTTGTAGTACCCCATTCCAGTCACAAGCTCAGCGGTAGTAGAATCCACCTCTTCATCCGGCCGAATTCGACTCGCTGCGACGGCCTCGGCAAAGATTTGATGGACGTCAGACTCGGAGAGCGGAAGCTTCATGGTACGTGCCAGCTTGTCAAACAAGGCTTGACCACGTTCAGCAACGTATCCGACGTCTGCTACGGCACCAATTTCCATTACACACGCAGGAAGTCCTTGCTGTCGGCGACGTTTGGCCAACATGACTTGATAGAGAGACGCTGCGTCGTAGTTGGATTGTCCTGCGTTGCCAATCACACAAGATAGAGTTGAAAACAGGATGAAAAAATCGAGTGTTGGGTCCTGAAACTCCTCGGACAAATGTAACGATCCATCCACCTTGGGCGCAAGAACTTCCGTCATGTCTGACGCCTGCATGTCAAGGAACAGACGGTCTCGAAGCACGAGGGCGGCGTTGGCGACTCCTGCAATGGGCGGCATCTCGGCACGGATCGTAGCAACAGTACTCTGCACAGACTGTTTATCTGACACATCCATTCGGTACACACGCACTTGAGCTCCAAGGTCAGCCATCTCTTCCAGCCATTGAGGGTCGACTTTGCCGCTGCGGCTTGCCAGTGCAATATGTCTCGCGCCGTTCTCAATCATCCATTTGCAGATGGAACGACCAAGGGTTGAGACTAAAGAGACCATGAGGTACGACTTGTCTGCAGAGAACATCCCGCGGCCATGGATAGGGCGAATCGTAATCGGCAAAGGGGTTTCGTCAGCTCCGGACCAGTCGACAACTGTAGGGTAACGCAGCGAGGAAGCTGGCAAATTCGGCAAGCGATGCGCTGGGATTGGCGCCCCTTCTTTGTCATCAGTGGTATGGACGCTTGACAGGGCGCGATTGACAAAGCTCTCCAGGTCTGCAAGAAGGGAAGGTACTCCCTCGGAGAGCAATGCATCCACCTCCAACGTCTTGCCCGGGAAGATGGACATCAGCTTGGTGCTAACGGCATCGTCTCTGGTCAGAGCCAGGACAAAGCCGATATTGGGAGGCAGAGATCGTTGCAGAATGAAGTTGGATGATCGTGGGTGCAGGCGGACGGAGCCCGAGATGCCTCCTGACGAATGAGAGAAGTGGATACATGTATGGCCTTGGTCTGCAGCCAACTCCGTTACAGCCTGCACGAGAGCTGCAGAAGCACCGTGTACGAGCACTCGGGACCCCCGCAATGACGCACGCGGCGGGATCGCCGCAAGTATGTGGTGGGCGAGGATGGTCTGAGCGCAAAATCGGAGCTGGTGCGCGGTGATGGCTGCTCCAGCTGTTCTCGGGTACAGTACCGAGTGGCGGGGCAGAACTAGCTTGGAAGTGTGATCCTGGACAACAGCAAGGACAGCTCTTCTTTCCTCATCCACTCCAGACACAAGGACAGCCGATGAACAGTGCGGCAAAGTGACGGAGATTATGCTCTGGAGCGAGACCACGTCACCGGGATCCGAATGGCCGGCCGGGAACCATGGCAAGTCTTCTTCGAGATGGATCTTGCCATCATCAAAAACTGCCGTGCATTTGTGAGAGGCCATATCGCTGGCTTTCAAGGTTTTGGTGATTTTGCGTGCAGCCGAGTTTACCCGGGCGTTGCGTGATGCATCTGGCTTCAAGCGTGGAATCAAGACCTCTCCCGTGCTTGTCAGTGTCAGCTCGGGCTCATTCGACCATAGGATTGGTGACGCGGCAAAAGTATCGGAAGCGCCCAACTTCAGACGCACAAACGCTTCGACAATAAAACGACCGTCGGGCGGACGAGAGCCTCGGGTGGTGGTGTTTAGGAATTGGAGATTGAGCTGGTCCAACTCGATCACTAACGTCCGACAAAGCCCTATCATCATGGCCGCCTCGCCGTGGTCATCAACAAGGCCGGGCGTAACCCAAAGCAAATCAGAGGCAGAAGAGAAGAGACTCTGCAGCTTTTGGAGACGCGTCTCGGTAATCTCATCGGAGAAGAAGGGTCGTTCCAATTCGCAAAAAGCGATCACAGCGGTCCGGGTGGTGAGATGGATGTCGGGGTCAATCTGTTCAATGCTTCCGACGACTTCGACACGTCCAGCAAAGCGAGCTACTTGCTGAGAGATCGTCCGAGCTACTTTCGACATGGCCAATGACTTTCCGCCGACGATCAGGACCTGATCACTGATGGGTATGTCGTCTAGGAAGTCAAGCGGCTGGCGAAGGATATCGACTCTCGTATCGGTGGCCTGGGAAACAACGACCGACACAGCTTGCGTTGTAGAGTCCGGAACATCGCTTTGATGCTTGTCAACGCCAGTGAATCCAGTGTCTCGCAAAAGATCGTCCCATCCTTGTAGCGTCAGACCAGGCTGACTCGCATTCCCCTCGGGATTCCCAAGCCACCACCCGGCCAGCGTGCCCATCAGAAGCAGACCTTCAAGGTATTCTCCGGTCACTTCCAACATGAGCAGGTAGCCGCCGGGCTTCAGCAAACGGCGTACGTTCTTCACGGCTTTGCTTAAGTCGGCTGTAGCATGCAACACGTTGGCTGCTATGACCACATCTTGAGATTCTGGATCAAAGCCTTGGTCCAATGGATCTCGTTCCAGATCCAAGACTTTATACGCCATGCGATCGGCTGCAGCAGCCTTTGTATGGGCTACTCGCTCTCGTGCTTTCTCGAAGAAGCCCGCTGAAACGTCAGTGAAGGTATATTGACAGAGAGCTTCACCAATATGCTCCAACACCGAAATTGTGGTGCCCCCACTACCCGCTCCGACTTCGAGCCATTTCGCATTGGGAAATCGGTGAGAGAGGCCACGAGCAATCTCAGCTATGGTGCGGTTGAGTCGGACCTGGTAGCGTCCACGTGAATATAACGGCGCCCAGACGTCTTCCCGTAGATAGACCTCGAGAGGGCGTTCCTCTCCTATCATGACCTTGGCAAGATGCTCTCCCGCTACATGAATAGCTTTCATATCGGCTTGATCCTGGAACTCGGACGACAGTTTGTACTCGGTCATAAGAGAAGCTGTATCGTCAAGCCAAGACTTCTGCGCCACTGGATGCTTGCCCTCCGTGGTGCTATAGAGGACCCTCATGGTAGCATTCCAGAACGCTTTTCGATCCCACGTCCATTCTGCGACTTCCGATTCGGATATTGTCGAAAAAAATGCGCGGAGATAGTAGAAAGACGCTCGATTGATAGCCTCGATGAGCCGCAGTTCAGCGGCATCGGGATCAAGCTCGGCAAGGCTGCTAGCGTCGGCGTAAAAGAGGTCTGGCTGATATTCGAGACGAGAGAATATCGGTCGATCCTCTGCAGCACTCGTCTCCGCCCAATTATCCATTCTAAAGCCCTCGACTTGCAGAAAACACTGTCCCGAAGGTCCAAATACGTGAATATCCCCTTCGAAAGAGCGAGCAGTATTTTCTGTCAGGAAGCAATCCGATTCAAAGACTACCTCTCTGCCATCATTGGATATGGTCTGAGCATGGGGATCGAAAACCAGCCGGGACAATGCGGAGGGCAAGAATGAGCCTCGTATCGGTATGCGTGTGGGATTGACAAAGGCTGCTAAGATGGCCTGGAGAGCCACGTCAAGGAGGCCAGGATGTAAGAGATAACGATTTCCAACCTCTTCGACAGGCCAGGATGCCTGGGCGCTGGAGAAGCCGAGCGATCGGCGGATGTGCTTCATGCCCCGGAAAAGACCCTGATAATCTAGGCCAGTGGTTGATAAAATGGCTTGATAGTACGCTTCGCCGCCCATCGATGTGGTACCCGAGCGTGGAGGACATCGTGCTGGCAACGACTCTCCGTCGCCCTCATCAGGATCCGGAACCAGCTCGATGATAAGGCGTCCGCTACAATTCTTCTCCAAATTGCCATTGTTGACGCTGGAGTGACATGCAAAGTCTGTCTCTATCACCAAATCGCTGTGGCCCGGCTGGCGGCGGACAGAGAACATCGTCTCAACTCCATTGTGGTTATCCTCAAGTACCAAAGCACGTGGAATAATCAAATCACGAATCTCGACCAGCTTGAGACGTGATCCCACAATTTCTGAAGCAGCTTCTATTGCCATCGCTACATACCCGATGGTGGGGAACAGGATGGCTTTTTGAAACACATGGCCTCGTAACCACGGCATTTCGGTGACCTTCATGATATTTCGCCAGCGCATCTCATTGTCCGAGTCATCAGCCATTCGGCGGCCAAGGAGCTCATGCGGTGTTCGCTCCGCGAGTCTGTATCTTCGCGAGAGCCGGCTCTCTTTCCAGAAAACTTGCTCGTGAGACCAGCTATAACTCGGTAGGTTCTTGAGAGGTATCACGGTCTTTGAGCCTTCGCGGCCCAGGTATGCTTCTCTCCAGCCGTTGAAGTCCACGCAATTCCCAATGACAGTCCACAACAACCCGAGCGTCGCTGAGAATGCCTCGATGTCATCGCTGCCTCGTTGCAGAGTTGGGGTATAGGGCACCGCGTTGGCGCCTAGTACGTTACTGATAGTTTGACTCGTAGGTCCTTTCAACGCTGGATGTGCACCAACCTCTATCGCAACATCAAATGGACCTGCGCGCCATAAAGAGCATTCCACGGCTTCGGAGAACAACACTGGCTGGCACATGTTGGCTACCCAATATTCGCCAGTGAGCTCGGACAGATCTTCTGGGTCGTCGAGAAGCTCAGCGTGACCATGAACTGATGAGATCCAGATGCACTCATCGTTCTGAGGCCGCACTTGGATGTTGCATGCCTTCAACGAATCCAGGTATGGTTTGGCGCTCGGGAGCATGTGGGATGAATGATAGGCAGTATCTACCTTCAGCAGCCTTGCAAAGGTCTTTTGCTCTTCCAGCGATTCTTTGGCAGCGAGAATAGCGTCCTTGTCACCGGAGATCGTGCTCGATGTAGGAGAGTTGCTAGCGGCCACGCTCAGACGGCCGTCGAAGCGCTCACAGAAAGTCTCAGCATCATCAAAGCCCAGACCGACGGCCATCATGGCACCCTGCTGCCCCTGCTGGCCCTGCGCAAAGTGAGCGTGCAGTCCGCGGTAGTATGCGACACGCATAGCATCCTCGGCCGACAGCAGGCCAGCGGCATAGCAAGCAGCAATTTCGCCCGAGGAGTGTCCTACAACACCACGAAATGTTATACCGGCAGCTGCCAATGTATCTACCAGAGCTATCTGGACAGCTGAGCAAAGAGGTTGAGAGAGTGCTGCTTCGTGTAGGCGTGATTCAGACTGCTCGCGAAGTAGCTCTTTTGTGAGTGACCAACTAGGCGCATCGGGTAGTGAGCGAAGGGCGGCCTCGCAAGCGGACATGCTCTCTCGGAACGCATGACAGCTTTCGAACAGTCTGTTGCCCATTGTTGCCCATTGCGCGCCTTGGCCAGTGAAGACGCCCAAGACGCCAGGCGTCTTCCACTTCAATTTCGTCGGAGCTCTGGTACCAATATTGGACGCTGTAGTAGCCGAGCGAGTCGTGTCTCGCAAGGCTTTGATGAGGTCGGCTCTGCTTCCTCCGGGGAAGTAAATACGTTGCTGGAATGTGCTTCGACGAGTTTGGGTGAAGAAGGCGAGCTCTTCGATCGATAAATCGATGGTTTCCGCCTCCAATGTATCAGCTAGACTGTCGATACTTGTAGCTAGTGAGGGTCCCGTGCATGCTGATAATAATAACGGACCGGCAAAGAAGTCGCTGGCAGCTGGGGTCTGCCGACATGGGGAGGTTGTAGAAGAGGGGATATACTGCTCGATGATGGCATGAACATTAGTACCTCCAAATCCAAAGCTGTTCACGCTTGCACGCCTCGGGGTAACATCTGAAGGCCATTTGAGTGCCTCTGTTGGCACTTGGAGACGATGGTAATACGGCGCGATATCTGGATTCAGTGACGTGAAGAGCATATTTGGCGGAATGATGCCATGTTGTACGGCTAGGGATGCTTTCATAATTCCTGCAAGGCCGGCACAACCTTCGAGATGGCCTATCACAGTCTTGATGGAGCCGCAGAACAGTCTTTCGTTGTCGACGCCTTCGGCGTAGGTTTCGCCGGTGGAGTCTTCGAAAAATGCATTGTAAATGCCACCAGCTTCTTGCGGATCGCCCGCTAGCGTTCCAGTCCCGTGAGCCTCGAAATATTGCGGACGATCACACCTTGATCGTAAATCAAGGCCCGCACGAGCGTATGTCTCGCGAATGAGAGTTGCTTGCGCCTCGCCACTGGGCATGGTCAAGCCTGTCGTTCTACCATCCTGGTTCATGCCGGTCTCTCGAATTACGCACTCGATGTGGTCCCCATCGGCCTCCGCCTGTGCAAGCGTCTTCAACATCAGCGCTGAGACACCTTCGCCTCGAGCGTACCCGTCTGCCGAAGCATCCCACATGGAGCTTCGTGATGTTGGTGACAGCATGTGAAGCTTCGATTCGGAAATGTACGCGACGCTATCAAAAATCAAGTTGACACCACCAACCATCGCGCTTGTGGACTCGCCAGAACGCAGAGACTGCACTGCAAAGTGAAGCGCAGCCAGGGAGGAAGAGCAAGCTGTGTCCATGGTGACCGACGGGCCCCGGAAGTCGAAATAGTAACTGATCCGGTTGGAAAGAATGCTGCGAGTTGAGCCAGTTCCGTGGTATCGATTCACGACTTCTATATCTCGTCCTTGGATGTCGTGATAATCATTCGTCATGCAGCCAACGTAGACGGCTGTAGCACTTCCTTGTATTCTGTGCAGCGGGTATCCGGCAGCTTCGATACACTCATAAACGCTTTCCAATAAAAGACGCTGCTGCGGATCCATTGCGTGTGACTCGACGGGATTTATATTGAAGAACGGAGCATCGAACAGCCGAGGGTCCTCCTCGAGTAGATACGCCTTTGCCACCACATTTGTCGAGCCATGATGCTCGCCATCCTCGTGGTAGAACGCACCCAAGCCCAGCCGACCCTGAGGAATGTCGGAAAGGATGTCTCTTGGATTCTTGAGAAGTTGCCATAGTTTGGATGGAGAAGAAGCGCCCCCAGGGAACCGACAAGAGGACCCGACAACCGCAATCGGCTCGACCATGTCTGCAAAACTGGACCCGGGAGTGGGGCGAGTGAGAGTGCTATCCAGCGTAGGAGTATAGTGCAGACACCAGGAACAAAAGGACCGCCTTTGAAGACGTCAAGTGCCGCAACAGGCGGGCATGAGATGGAGTGCGAAGTGTTGTTGCTCCGTGTCTGCTTGTGCCGCGCGTCATGATCTTAGCCAAAGTCCAGGCACGAGTTTGCGGATCGCCATAGTTGACGCGTGATTTTCGCTTCGTCCTCGATGCGTTTCATCATAGAGAAATGCCCGGCGCCACGGCTCGTACTGGCACATGTTGTGCACTTAGAAGGCGCGAGGTAGCGTGGAGCCGACTGCTAGCGTTTGACCTGCTGGTGCTGGGCAGATGCGGCATGCTGCTACTGCGGCTCGAGCCAGAGGGTTTGTAAGTGAATGCCCTGATCGAATGACCAACTGGACGCTCAGGTAAACCTCACCTGCTCCTGCGAAGTGGAACCGCACTTCTTCCGGCCTCCGTACTCTAGTATCCCTTCTAAGAAACTGCACCTGCTAGTGGAGACCCACCGAAAGGGCACATTTTTGTCTCTTTGTGAGCATTTTCGACCCACAACACCTCTTTTCGTGCTCGCAGAACGTTCGACCGGTGCTCTGCCTCTTGCCATACGCCCTGTCGACGGAACGAGGCCATATCGCTGCGGCTCTCCACGCCGACGAACAGCCTCGAAACGAGACGTATGCAATCAAGTATAAGGGCACGGAACAAACGCGCGAGTTGCTCGGGAATGAGAGGAAGCTTTACGACAACTGCCGCGTAGATAAGGACACTTTCATGGCTTTGCTCGAGGCCTTTGTTGTGTGAACGCGATCTAAGGTAGTTCCCGAGTCAGTACACGTGTCACTGGTCTTGCTCGCTTTCGGGGAAGAAGTCGGGATGTTGAAGGGAGCCTTTGACACGCTCTCTCTCTTTCTCTCTATCTCTCTCTCTCTCTCCCCCTCTGATCTCGCGTGAGGTCTTCTATGCGTCCACGGTCCTGATTGGAGGTAGGTAGACGGGAGTGCCAGAGCGGTATGAACTGGACTGCCCAACAGATCGGAAGCATTGCGGCTCATCCTCGCCAGAAAGACGATCAGGTCGGGAAGTGTGAGTGTCGTACCGATCTCGTTTGGTCTCCGTGTTCGTTCTCTAGGTAGACAGACCACGTTGCTCTGCAGGGTTAACGAGCTGGTCTGATCTCTGAGACTAGCTCGCACTAGGTTAGCGGGGGACGCGGAAGATGATTTTAGGTCTTGGCACGCGACCTCACCTGTTCGTCGGCCTTGGCACGCGGCTTCACTTGTTCAATAATAATGTTTCCTGCTGGCTAGCCACAGCTCCTTTGGGCAATGCAAAGCTATCTTATCTGCTGATCAAGTGCCCTAGCGAAGACAGGAGCGGCGGCTCGCCAGATGGCGCAAATTTAGCGGCCTGTCAATGCGACAAGATGCGATACCGACTACACTAAAGAATTGGATACACCAGCTTTCTGCCGTCCGTCAACCCTTTGCGCAGCTCATCGATACCTCTCGGGACAGCTGCCAACCCCCCGCTTCGCACATCGAGTGGATGGCTTCGAAGCAGCCCCGCGTCCAAGACGCCTTGCGCGATAGGATTCCATTTCTGGCCAAATTCCTTGTGCTTCGGCCGCGGACCTCGGGCGTATGGCCGCTTCCACTTTATCGCCTCTCCACTCACAGTCCATGCCACTATCCAGTCTGGTCGCACATCTCTTCGTGTATGGGAGCGTATGGGAAACTGATCAAGGCCCAAATACCGACCGCCATCACTTCCTAGAGCCTGGTAGCATATGCTCATGCTCGCGCTGTCAGTTATGCAATCGAGTGCTATTCTCAGCTCGTTCCGGGTGAAGTCTCGAATGTCGTCTGCGACTGTCGCAAGGTGGTAGTCGAAGCATGCAACTGCGCCTAGCGATTTCAAGCGAGAAAAGTGCCGTGGAGAGCTCGCGACTACAGGTAGCATTCCTGAGCTGCCCAACATGTCAGCAAATGTGGGAGACCTGAACAATCCTTTTGGCTTACAGGGCAGCAAATTGGACAGCCATAGTGCCGGTGGCCGTTCCGCCTCCATAGATGAAGACATATTCTCCTGTGCCAGCCCTTTCTGAGGGATGCGAAGGAAGCGGAACCTTCAGCATATGGTGCAGCGCAAGGCCCACGGTCATCAGCGGCATACCAAGCGCTGCTGCTTGCTCAAGTTGCATGTTCTCAGGGACGTTCCATGCCACTATGTCGCGGATGGCAGCATACTCAGCGAAGCCACCATTTCCGGGGGCATCCGAAGCGTTGCCTTTGACGGGACCGAATACTCGATCGCCGACCTTGATATTGCTGCAGCATTTGCTGCCAATGGCGACAACTTCGCCCGCAACATCGCAACCAAAGGTTGATCCTGGAGCTGGGGACATGTCTAACGATTTCCTGTCACAGAATAAAAGTTAGGTCTCAAGAAAGCATTGTCGGGAACCAGAATGCTAGACTCAACGATACCAATCGAATGGGTTCAGTGCAACGCAATGCACACGGACGAGGACATCCTCATCACGGAGAAGTGGCAGAGGCACACCGGATTCCAAACGAACGGACCCGGCCTCCACAACTTTGATAGCCTGCTGTCGCTCCGGCAGACCGGGAAACTGTTCACTGGCCATATCTCGCGGTGAGTAGCGTTCCAGAAAAGACCGTCTTTGGCGAGTTAAGAGGCCAATATCGAAGGACGCAATGCACTCATATCGCAAGCAATGAATCGAGGTTATCGTCAAGCTTTGAATCCGTCTTTACTCCTCACTCAAGCTTCGGAATAAGGATGAACAATTCTTGACTCTCACGAACCCGGCGGCTTGGCTACGGTATAACGGACGGCTAGCGGTCGTTCACAGGCGCGGCCCTTTTCGACGCGCCGCTGTGCACTAGGGATAGTGCTACAGGGTCCGTGAGGATGGGTATTCTTCGGGGATATCCGGTGACCTTGCCTAATTGATTGGCATGTCTTAGATTACAAATTCATGAGATCAACATTCACCTACCTCGACGCATATCACAAGCAAGTTGGACAATAACAGCCCATCGAGAAGCTGCATTTTCTGGAGTTTCCGTGGCTCATTGGGATGATCATCGCATCAAGTCACTGCGGCAACTTTCGTTGGCCGTACAACATCGCCCAGCAACAACGAATACCTCGCCTATAATCCGTTCAAACAAATCAGAAGCCTACCATGGACTTGCTCTGGGCAATCACGACTGTAGCTTGCCTGACTCTCCTGTTCAAGCTCACCCAGGTATGTTCTTGAGCTCCGGATGCAGTCCCTTTGTTCATCGCTTGCTCATTGACACAGTTGGCAACCCGTCCTCGAAGCGCCCTCGCGCATATCCCGGGACCATGGTACGCCAAGTACACTTCGCTTGGCTTTACTTTCAATGCTTTGGTACCGCGAATACATGTATACGTCGACGACCTGCACCGCGAATACGGTCCAGTCGTGCGCATTACACCTGATATGGTAGCAATCGCCGACCCCGACGGCGTAGCAGACATTTTTCGCTCCAGTCGGGGATATCTCAAGGGTCCCGTGTACGAGTCGCTACTACGTAGTTTCTTTGCTACTAGAGATCCTGTGTTACACGGTCAGCGACGTCGACTATTCGCCCGGCCACTGGCAAATTCGTCCCTTCAAGCTTTCTGGGCGGACGAGATCCGTGAGCGTGTGACGCTGACAGTGCAGCGAATTAAGAGTGATGCAGAGAACAACGGCGAAGGCGACGCTTACAAATGGTGGAACATCATGGCCAACGATGTTATCACCAGACTCTCCTTTGGGGAATCTCTTTTCTTATTGGAGACCGACGAAGTGAGCTTTGATTCCTCGCCGCCAAGGTGTTTTCTAACCCGCTTCTAGCATCTTCCTTATATCGAGGCTGTAAAGAAAACCATAAGGTGTTCTTCGCTCAACCGCAACTTTCCCAGAATCATGCCATGGCTGAAATACTTGCCGATTCCTCGATTGCAGGAAATACTGCAGGCAAGACCAAAGGTTGAAAGGTATACAGCGAAAGCAGTACAGAACTTCCGCACGCACGGCAAGCAGCAGATCGCAGATAACATCAGCCGGAATATCTTCACGCAAATTGTGGCTCAAGCCGACAAGACGGATAATGACGCTATCCAAGTGATCACCGACGAGGATGTGCACGACGAAGCTCTCACGTTGATGCTTGGTGGCACTGACAGCACCTCCTCTACCCTGACCTACGCCACTTGGGCCGTGCTCTCCCATTCCGAGATACGAGATGAGCTGGAGCAAGAAGTTGCCGCTTTGTCTGACGACCTCTCGCCAAAGGAGCTGGAGCACGCTCGTCTTCTGAATGCGGTTATACATGAGACGTTGCGCTTGTATGGCCCTGTCTCTGTCGGTCTACAACGAGTCGTGCCGCCCGGTGGTGCTCGCATTGCGGGTTTTGATCTTGCTCCTGGGACTTTGGTATGGCCGCAGATGTACGTTGATTCGCGCTCTGTTTACACCATCAATCGAACTTCAGGCTGACTATGATGCCATCCGTCTAGGTACACTACTCGGTATGATCCCACAATCTGGCCGGATCCTCTGCGTTTCGATCCAAGCCGGTTCCTGGATGTCAAGCTACCTTCGATGGCAGAGGGAAATCTGACGCCTACTCAAAAGAAAGTCTACGTGCCATTCGGAGGCGGCACTCGCACATGTCTAGGTATAAATCTAGCATACCTGGAGTTACGACTAGGCCTTGCTCTGTTCTTCCGAGAATGCAAAGGAGCGAAGTTGTCAGAAAGCATGTCATCTGATGACATGAGACCGGACTACTTTTTTGTGACTTCTCCGAGGGGAAGGAAATGTCTGATAAGACTTGACAATTCTCGAAGCTAAAGTTCAAGCTTCACGTACTACCTGCGCCCATTCATGTTGTTCTTTACCATTCATGATGCTCAAGAGCCAGTTGCGGAGGATCTGCGAGCACAGAAGTCCATCTACAGGCTCACAGTTGATGTCGAGATCTCTCCCTTCGGATCGAATTACGCCCACTGGCGTAATGAAAAGCGCGGTTCCAGAGACGAAAGCCTCGACGATCTTGCCCTGAGCATGAGCCCCGATCAGCTCCAACACTGTGAGTGGCCTCTCCACTACTTCAATACGAACGACGTCAGCGACAGCTTGCTGCAGTCTCTCGGTAGCCAGCTGCAAGATACTCGCTCGCATGATACCGGGTAGGATGACTTCCTGCTCCAGCGGCGCCGTGACAAGCTCCCACGTCTCCCCATCATCCTTCCGCAGTACAACGAAGAAATTGCTCGAACCGGCCTCGGTGATATATCTCTCAGCTCCAAAAAGCCACAGAACCTGGTCGAAGCCCTGCGTCTTCGCCTGTTCTTGCATCATCAATGCTGGGCCATAATTCGCACCGACTTTGAAGTTTCCGAACCCTCCTGGCCAGGCGCGGACTTGCTGGTTATCGGACGCAAGGAGTTTCATGGATCTTCTCCCCGGCAAAATCGCATTCTGTCCTTCCGCTGAAAGTTTCCCGATGGGACTTGGAGGAGGAGCAGACAGATTGGGAAAAGCCGTCAAGAAAACAACAAGGATCGCCGAGCGAGGTCGCGGCGTGGCGAGAGCGGCATCAGTACCCAATAAAGTCGGCCGGACGTATAACACGCCTTCGCCTTTCTCCTTCGGCAGCCATTTCGGTGCTTCCAACGCACACAGAGCGACGATAAGCTTCTGTAGCTCTGCTGCTTCGAAGTCTGGTAGAGCTACGCGAGCGGCGGAACGACGCATTCGCTCGCAATTGTCGATGGCGCGGAAGAGTCGGAGATTTCCATCTGGGCCGCGGAAGAGTTTCAAACCCTCGAAACATTCTGTGGCGAATTGTAGGGCGGATGCGGAAGGCGCGATGGGGATGGGGCCGTGGGGTTGGAGGGAAGGGGCAGACCAGCCTGTGCGGAAGTTCCAGGATACAGTGATCATGTGATCAGTGTGGTATTCCAGAAGTCGTAGTTCAGGGGAATCCGGTGATGGTAAAGGCCGTGGATCGCTGGTTAACGTTGTTGTTCGTAGGCTTGCGTCTAGCCTGTTGAGCTTCGGTCTCTCCGCCATTTTGCTGTTTGCTGCTTGTCTTTATCGACTTCGTTGTGTTCAATGTCGCTTTCGTTGTTCAATCTGCAGTTTTCTATGGGGTCAATATTACTTCGCATCTTGAGTATCTCTTCATCAGATCTAAACTCGAGACGGGCTGCTCTTCGGGTCGCTGGAATGTCTCTCGCGAGTGGATCTCGGTCGCTTCCAGCAATCCATGCCGGCCGGCGCTTGATGCATGTGATGTATAGTCTAGACTAGTCCTGCGGTCTCACTTTACGCCGAAGCCGTGAGAGCATTGCAGCTTTGCCTCGTAAAACTCAAGAGCGATAGGGACCACATCGGCAACAACGAAGCAGGTACTGTAGGTAGCTCCAAAGTGAAGTGCCCAAGCTTGCAGTTATCCAAATTTGTGCTAGCGTCGGTGAGCGGGTAGATCCGTTTCGGCTCGATATTCCGCTGTCATTGAGCCAATGAGCTTCGCGCGGCGCGTCGTCCTTCTCACCGCGTTCGTCGGATATCCCGGATATCCCCAGACTGCTACCTCGCTCTCTTTCGCGCCTATGTAGAAGCGCATTCCAGTCAGACGTGGGCAGCCTACTCTTACAGGCAAATCGCGGTCGCCGATCTATTCGGCACAGCGGTGTTCTTCACGGACTTTTACCCCTTGCTTCACCGCTCGGGGCTACTCAATACAATGTCTGGTCTACCAGTCACTCCTTCTCCTTCTGGTGCAGCTGCACCTCAAGCTCCCGTAGCTGGCCAGAGTAGCCATCTGTATCGCAAGCCTGACGAGCCTGCAGATCAAGCTTGTCGTGCAGTACCGCATGCATCCAGACATCTCCCAGCCAGCCTCGCAAGTCTTCTATCAGGGTGAGCTCAAAGATGCGGACAGCACCAAGGTAATTGTGCCGGTGCAGCGTGCCATGCGGCAGTTCGCGAAGGCGACGTTCGGGCCCGCATGGAGTGGCACTAATCGTATGGCCATCTCGACAACCGGCATAGAGGGAGCCGGCGACGTGCAATGGCAGAAGACTCCGTCAATCACCAATGACATAGAAGCCGAGATAATTGTCGCCATGTGCAAGGCAATGGTCGCATTCCAGCCGGAGCAACTCAAGGACAAGGAGCCGCTGGAGAAGATCGAGCCACGTCACATTGGCATGAGCTCAGACTACCGTGGCCTCTGCGACCATGTTCGGAGCGCGCTTGACAAAGCCGGCCTGTCCGACGTCAACGTCGACTTCCAAGGTATCGAAGTATACACCGCCAACCAGGTTCAGGACCGCGAGTATCCGATCCACCTCGTCGCATTTGCCAAGCACAACACTTCCGACCCGAGGGATCTGGGCTTCATGACGGATGTCGGTCAGCTCTGCGTGCAATTCACGCGCGCGCAATACTTCCATATCGCGGTTGGCAACTTCCAGGCTTGGCGTGACGACTACTACCAGAACCATTGTCGTACGACCAATCGCCTGAAGCCGTGCTACGGTTTGATCGATTCGTTCCACCTGGGGAAGGCGATCATGCACGGGAAAGATTTTGTCAGGACGATTGGAGGCAAGGTCCCCGAAGCTCCCCAGATGCCGGCGCCGCCCACGCTCCAGGCCAACCAGTATATCCCCAGTGGAGGATCAGCCGCCGGTGGCTACAACCGCGGTGGCGGTGCTGGTGCCCCCAATCGCGGCTCCAGAGGCGGTCGGGGCGGTCCCGGTGGCCGCAGCGATGGGAATCATCAACACCGAGGTCATGCGTAGTTTTCGGACAGTAAGTCTTTCTTGGACGGTAAGTTCTTCTCGGACGGTAAGTCCTTCTTCCCTTCTACTCACCCCTTTTCCCTCCACCACTCTACCTCTAGCCACCATTGCAACTCAATGGGGTTGAAGCATCGGGGTGGGTGACGGGCAAAAATAAAGAGCATTTTTGTTTTGTTTTTATCTGTTTGGAACGTTTCCGTTGGGCTGCTGGGGAGTTTGGAGGTGGGGGTGACTTCCGTATACCAACGCTCCTTCCCTCCTTCCCTCCGTCCCTCTTTCCCAGAAACAAGTCTTGGCAGACATCCGACTTCACCTCATCCTTTCCTTCAACTTTCACTCTTTTCTTTTCTCTCCAGAGCACACATTGCGCATGCGCCTCATCCGCGCAAAAACCCCCCGTTTAGCTGTCGGCTGCGCTTTGCTGTCTCTCTCTGTGACTGCTCTTTCCGGCTTGCCGGTGGAGTCGGTTCACGCAGTCCTTTTAGGACTTTTTCCTCCTTGCCTAACCGGCCTGGAGATTTTCAATCTTCTGTCCTTTTAGGACTTTTCCTCCTTGCCTAACCCGCCTGGAGATTTTCAATCAACATGCCTCTTCGTCGAGACTTTGACAGCATATATGGCGTTGTGAAGCGAGCACTTCGCAGTGGCGAACGTCTGCCTCGGAGTGATGTCGAGGAACGCTACGCCCGTGCGAATGGCATGGACCAGACAATAGCCGCCATAGATCGAGCGGCTGCTTTGGGTCAGCTGACATACCGGCCGACCGAACACGGCGTGCAATACCGCACCGGCCCAAGGGCCGTGGACTCCTATACCCCTCGTGGGTCGAATGCTAGCTCCATGGGAAACAGCAGGCACTCTGATTCCTTTGCTGATGACCGTAGTAACAATTATGTGTACGAAGCGCGAGGCCGTGGTCACGAGGGGGACTCATACATACCACGGAGCCATCGCAGCAGGTCTCCACGATACCAGCGTCGCAGAGACTCTCCAAGGGACCGACGTTATCGCAGTCCATCTCCTCCTCATCGAGAGCGGCGGACAAGTGAGTATCGATCTCCGTCTAGGGACAGGCAATACTCTCGCTCGATTCGAGAGAGAAGTCCTCCTCGGAGCCGCCGTGATGGCAGTCCTTCCCAGAGGCATATGGATGTGCATCGAAGAGATGATCGTTCGCGGTCTAGGATTCGCCACCGTAGCCCATCTCGTCCTCGCCAAGAGCGGCGAACAAGTGAATATCGTTCAGAGCGGCGACCAAGTGAGTATCGTTCAGAGCGGCGACCAAGTGAGTATCGTTCAGAGCGGCGAACAAGTGAGTATCGTTCAGAGCGGCGAACAAGTGAGTATCGGTCTCGGTCTAGGGACAGGGAGTATGCCCGCTCCCTTCGAGAGAGAAGCCCTCCTAGGAGCCGCCGTGATGACAGTCCTTCCCAGAGACATCGGGATGGACGTCGGAGAGATGATCGCTCACGGTCTAGGCTCCGCTACGCTGACCCCCCTCGTCAGACTCCAGATCAAGAGGCCAACAAAACCAGGGCTTTGCGGCCCTCTGAAAGTAGCTCACCAAAGAAGTCGGTACCGGCGAAGCGCCCTCGTGAGGAGAGCCAACCCAAACCAGAGAAACTGCCTCGTGCCAACGAAGGCATTGAGTCGCCACCGGCCAAGAAGGACAGCCACGAGAGGAAGAAGGTCGACAGCGGACGTGGAGTACCTTGCCCTGGACAGCACGTTTCTCCACCTGGTAACGACTTCAATATCGCTTCGATGGATGAGGAGTGCAACTCCGCGATGCTCCAATCAGGTCCCGGCAATCGTGCTGTCATGATCTTGAGATCTTTTGCGGAGATCTTGCAGAGAGCTGACGGAATGGATTGGCAGCAAGAGGGATGGAAATATCAGCAACCGCCTGCTACACAGCAGGCGAATGGCTATGATTGTGGCCCACTTACCACATCTAACGCTCTACAGGCTGCCAGAGGTCAAGAACCCGAGCCCGACACTGAGTCGCCACTGACGACAGTAGCGTTTGATGTACGGCAAACCCTTTGCAACATCATGCTCGAAGATGTAGAACGTCGTTGGCTGGAAGAAGACCTTCTCGATCGCGTGTGGATGGACGCAAAGGCAACGGCAGAAGTCGAAGGTCTCGATTTCGATACAGAAGAGGAAGACATCTTAAAAGAGCGAACCTCGATCGTGCTGCGGACTTCCGGTGTTACATTTATCCAATGCGAAGGTGACGACGACAAGACGTATCAACTGGACACCCGTCCCGGCCATCTCGTGGACACTGCCACGCAAACCGAATTCATGTCCGCTCCAGAAGGAGAGATACAGCTCGATAAGCCAAGAAGCGGAGCTTTCAGCCTCGCCATTTCTGTCGTGCGGGCGAGTGGGCCACAAAAGCAAAAGGAGAATTTCGAGCAGATGGAACGGCGCGCGAGAGAGCAAAAGGTTGCCTTTGGGAAGATATGTGGACTCGAGCACGGAATCGACGACGAAGCAGCTGAGACCTGGGAAGACGTGGAGAGTAGCATCTCCCAAGGTCGGGTTCCTTGGAAGGAGTATTGTTACACTGGATCAAGCAGAGGCGGTCTCTTGGACGACGACTCATCTTCGCCTGCGATGAAGATTCGAAGCCTTCTCGAAAGGCTCCAAAAAATGGCAGAAACGTCGAATGACCCTTTGCATGTCGCCCTTCTGCAATCCGGACCTGATGGAGGCTCAACGAATAACGAAGCTTTGTCATTCTTCCAGGATCAGTACCCGCACTTGAGATTTCGCCTGATAGTATTTTTCGATGCTCGTCGCATCTGGAATGAGGCATTCTTCAACACGGATCCTACCTCCGGTATAATTTGGGCATCGTTTGAGGTGGACAAGCTCGCGTCGCTATTTGCTGGTGAAGTGGAAGACACCGCCGGCCATGTCTGCTACATGCGCTTCTTGACTTCATGCACGCTGGTCAATTATCGGAAGATGGATTGCAGCCTACAGGCACTCCACAAGAATCTAGGCTTTCACTCTGGGATTCAAAATCACATCGCGTCGGGGCTCACCGGTAAAGGACGCAAATCTTTCTCGATTGCAAATTCGGCTGTCGCAGGCTCTTCGCTAAATCCCAAAACCACGGGGGTGCCTTGCTCACGTGGTTGCATCGACGAAAGGACCGGAGACGTTCGAGTATTTGGATCAAGATGGAGTATGTTGAGGCACGCGAGAGACAGCTGCGACAACATACCAGATCACGAGAAGACAAGAGACCCTTGCTTAAATGGTTGCATCGATCCCAAGACCGGAGATGTTGCGACGTTCAAGAGCAAAGCCAGCTTGAAGGTGCACATGAAGTCGCATTGCAGGGCAGGGGCCGACGAGCGTCCCTTGCCCATGTGACTGCATCGATGAAAATACCGGAGACAAGAGTCGCTTGCTCAAATGGTTGCATCGACAGAATTACCAGACAGGTTTCGACGTTCAAGAACGAAGCCAGCATGAAGGAACACCCGAGGTCGCGCTGCGAGAAGGGCCAGAAGACGCGACGCAAATAGACATGGAAATGCACGCGAAGACGACCTGCGAGAACAGATGGTTCGCACGGGGAGATTATCGACAAAGGCGTGAAGACCCAAGCACGAAAGAAAGTTGGGAACGCAAAGGCTCGCATTGGGTGGTGCGGGATTGGGGCATGCATGGTATTGTTGCTTTTGTTGGGCTCAGAGAATACCCCTTATTACGAAAGAGATGGGGGTGAAAGGGTAGCGTACTCACAAGTGACAAAGCTGACCAATTTTAGATTACGGAGAGCCAAAAACAAAGAGGAGTGGCTCACGGCATTGTGCGAAGGTCGGGGCACAATGCAAATTCGAAGACAGCAGCTAGCTGGTTTCGCAACATCGACATCGACGTCGCTTCCACGCATTCTAGACTGTCCACCAGACAAAATGGTCCTGGGCGACGTTCCTTCTCTGCTCTTTCAACGAGCAACGTATATCCTGTCACCACGGTGTGCGAGTCTGAGCTACTTGGCCCAACAATATACACAATTCCATCACACCGACATGATCACGAAATCTTGACATCACATGACACTGGAAACACATCGAAGTCCGCTGGGGATGGAGGATCCTCGAAGGACAACGGCAAGAACTGGAAACTTAAGAAGAAAACACATCAAAGGTAGCCATGCTTGGTGGTCGGAATCGCCCAGTGACGTACGGAGACGGAGCGTGAGGTGGAGGAAGTATGTGGGCATGTCGAAGTGGACTCATGTATGAATTGAGGAGGAGAGGCTTCACTTGAGTCCATGTGGATGGCAGGACCAGTGGGACCAAGACGGGGCGGCTTGGCTCGGTCCGGCTTTGCTTCAGCATCACGGTCATTGCTGGTGCGCAGAGTTCAAACTGGAGGTCGGTGGAGATCAGTCATTGGAGAGGGCGTTGGAGAGGGCATTGGAGGGGCCAAGAGAGAAGGGCAAGTGGCGCTGGGATCTGAGACGAGGTCGCGATGAAGGGTTTCAGGGAGATGGAAAAATTATCGGGGGGACAGTAAAGATGTGGACGAGCGACAAACAAGAGCACACATGCAAGGAGTGCACCACCATTACGACCTCGCGAGCAATTACTGAGTGGCGAACATCCGCCAAAGGGCCTGGAGACTTCCAACCAAACTTCTCAGCGCATTTGCGCCACTTCCTATCTGGAAACAGGGGTTGGTAAACTGTCTCGGATCGAACAACGGTCAAGGAGATCCACGCCATGAAGCTAGAGCAGAGCTCGGGACGAGGCAGAAGACATCGAGTTCAGTTTCTACTTCCTCGCAGCTTGGCCGATATTACAACAAGTCCGGCATGGCTGTCTGGAGAAATCTACCACAGGCCGATTCCGTCATTCCTTCCAGGATATTTACTAAGGCCAAGTCGAGAGGGTTCTCTTGCGAAAATACGTCGGATTTGCAGGCTGGAGAAGTTGGTGCTCCTGTCTTTGAACAGTGGTCATTCCACTCGCACGGTGCTATCAAGAGATCGACAAGGCGAGACACGGTGAAATGATGTCCATGAGATACTCTCCATACTTTGCTCTGCGACCTTATCACACATTACGGGCTGGAGCTCTTCGGCAATGCATGAGACGCAATGCCTCGATTCCACGACCGGCAACGCCAATCTCATAGTCGTGCGCGAGCGGGCTTCGCGCGGGTATAGCACATTCTTCCGTGTTACAAATACTCAGAATCTGAGGACAAAGAAATTGTCTGCATCTACCCCAAGGACGCTTTCAGTCGGCAAAATCGCCACCGAGCATCCGATCAAGCGTCACCACCATTCAAGGCTTGAAGGAAACCATCCCACGATACAGGACAAGGCGGAATTCGATTCCCAGGCCATACCCATTGCCCACGAAGCAATTGGTCATTGACATTGTTCATGCAACGCAAAAGGGCAATGGTCGTCTTGATCAGCCGATGCGATTCACCTGCTTGTCGCTGATGGAGGATGATGGGCTATCGATGCAAGTTTCCCACCAGCGACCATTACCTCTTGGTGTGCCTGCCTTCTGGTCGAGTCCGCTCATCTTTCGGACTCCATCATTCTCCCTGAGATTTCATTGCCAATCGTTGAAGCCTCGCAAACGAGCTGACGCGATGGATCGATCTCGGAAGAGGAAATGTAATCAGAAGCTGAAGAAAGTAAAGTCTTGCAAGATATCACGGGTTGTATCCAGGCAGAGCTGAGCAGCGCGAGGGCCACGCATTTTCCTCGAGCTTTCCCACCACATACACGTACGCAAACTTAAATTATTACTCGGCGGTGGGCGGTTCCAATGTACCCAGGGGTGAAGATGTGCTCGAGGAGCGCAATGCTTCGCTTCGTGCTTCTCTCACTCTCACTCGCGGCGCTGGTGAACAAGTTGGACCTGAACATCCTCGAGTCCACACTCCCTGATGTTCTTGGTTCACAGCGACATTATCCGACACCGCTCGCGCTACACGAAGTCAGACCTGGCGATGGAGCATGTTTTGTCGGAGGGGCCAGATCCTCGCTTGGCGTCGCGTTTGGAAAGGAGGTAGCGATCGTCAGGTCAGCCGGAAGGTGGAATTTGACCTGCAGTGGAGAGCTGTATCGCCAGTCGTCAGGGACGTGATGGCTCGCAGAATGTGGTGGATTTGAGTTGTTTCGAGGCGCCGATACTCATCGGGTTGACTGATCATGCCGTATATTGCAAAACCAATATGCTATTATCATCTGCTCTTCTAACTCTCATGCATAGCGCCCGCGATCGCCATTCCGCGCGCATAGCACAAGATAAAGCCTCGCGTTGGAAAGGAAATAAGACATTAGCGATTGTGAGGAGTTTGACCAGCCACTATGGATTGCTCGACATGGAAGCGTTGAGAGATGACACAGTAGCCAGCCAGCTCTCTTTAAGTAGAAGACGAAGAGAAGGAGGGAGAAATGAAGCTGGAAGGAGGATAGAAGGAAAGGAAGTAGCTGTCCGATCGCCTACTCTTGCCGAGAAAGAATCACTGCTATAGCAAGCGCTACCCAACACGTTAGAGTGTGACGCGTCCTAGTAGTTGAGTCTAGGTTTGTTGTTGTTTGAAAGCAAAATATCATGGATTCTTGCGAGCGCGGATGTGTACTTAGACCAGCGCCCAACATACTGTGCAGCAAACAATAACAGCGACAACTGCAGACTGCAGCTAGCCCGACAGTACTACTACTATTTGGAGCGAAGAACACCGCAGTGGCTGGAAGGCCGTCACTCACAGCCTGTGCTTCAGCTTCGCTAGCTAATCATCGGACACCACTACAGACGCTTTCGACAGGATGGCTACATCCGATTTCTAGAACGGTGCAAGACTCTTGCTAGCATCATGGCAGGGGATTACTCGTATACGTTAGAATTGAATCGAATATCGTCAAACTCACGGCAACGCTCAGCAATACGCCGGAGATCGGGGTCGCTCGTGTCGCTTGTGTCGCTTGCTCGAGTTAAAGATCCTTCTCGACGATTTCACCGTATTTCTTGGCCGCCGGCGGAGGCAGAGGAAGTCGCTTTTTGAGAATTCTTGCCAGCACCGCTTTGGCGCGGGCGATGGTAGCATCGTCGTCATTGTCGATCGCTATGTACGGAAATCGTTGTGTTAATTTGGTGGATGCTGGAGGAGGAGGAAGAGCAGGGAAGTTGCTCTTTGAGGAACTTCTCCATTACTGCTTGAGCGCGTGCGGCAGGAACAGCAGAGAGGCGGCAAGGTAATGCAGAGGCGGCAGCGTGGTGATTGGTCGTTGTGATTCGGTCGATGCTATTAAGCAGGGGAACGAAGAGGAGATAGAGGAGTGGAAGTAATAAGTTGAAAGGGATGAAGCCGTAGGTCGGTTGTTGATACGGGAGAACTATTCGCCAGGCCCACTTTCTCGCCAGATTGTGCTGCCAAGCGCCGGCATCCAGCAAAAGCAGTATTGAGCTATATGTGTTACTCTGACAGTGTCACTCTGCCGAATTAGAGCGCTTCGTTCAATTGGTAGCACCAATGCTTTATAAGGCTTCAAATCCTTGCTCAGCCGTTTGGACAATTTCAGGCATACTTACTCCATGTCTAACCCGTGTCGATCGATAATCGTCACAAGAGCAAGAATGTTCGTGCCTTGCCAACGATACCGACAATGAACAGTCCAAGCTAAAGTCCGGCGGCCGCGTTGAAGCAGAAAAATTTGCTGGAGAGATCGACGAAGTCCTAACGGGCACGCTCCAAGGTTTAGAGCAAGATGAAGTAGTCACGGTTGACGTAGAATTGTGCCTCTTTGATGAAAAGCTGGCGGCAAAGGCTGCTAGCTGTCTTCACACGAGAAGGCTGCGTGCTGCTGGTTGGTGGAGGCAGGTCGATGATATCGAATCGGTGGCCGAGGTTGCGCAGGAACCAGCGCAGGGGACTCCTCTTGCTAAGATCTGAGGCAGTAGGATCCAGTTTCAGGCACATAAGGCAACGGACCATAATGAAGTTTTCGATATTATTACGGAAGTTTCTGTCCACGCGTTATAGGACGGAGAGCTGCTTTACGGGCGCACCATCCTCGGTGCCCTCTCCTAAGCATAGTAGGATCTTCTCGAGCAGTTCGGCGGTCTCGAAGACGCGAGATGCGGCGCTATTAGTAGAGCCCATCTCGATGCTGGGAGAGCTCATCGCGGTGTTTCGGAGTTGGCTGCCTTCATGGTAAAGCCGTGGAGGGGCCCTGCAGTGTATGTGCGGCCATGGCCTCGAACATGGGAGTGACGAACGGGCTGAACTAGATGTTGCGGATCTTGGTGTCCGGCTTCTGCTCTGGCTGAGGGAACATGCAGGGTGTGGCGAGAGAGTAGAGGCCGCGCAGGCGCCCCAGCTCTTCTTTAGTGGCTTCCGTCGAGCCACCCGGGCTTGGGCATGTTGAGAGTGAGGCTTGGTCGAGTGACTGGGAGCGGGCAGCATGTAGGACCTCGCGGACAGAGTCTTGGTAGAGTGTCTTAGCCGCGTTTGCTGCCTGTCCAAGCAGAACGTCTAACGCGCGGAGGGCAGTTACCGTGGAGCGGAAGTGCACGGCATGTGAATTCTCTCGGCGCGCGTTTGTAGGACGGTGCCGACTGTGTGATCGGAGTATTGGCAGTCAAGCAGTGGCGTGTTCCCTAGTTGTAGTCGCGCAACTGCATATCGAGAATGACTCTGTGGCACTTGACATTCTCTCCGCTAAAGCAAAGAGATAGGATGTCTCTGGCGCGCGTTGTGTGTATGCAGTTGAGACTCGAAGTAGTCGGATGCGGATGCGAGAATGACTCTGCCTGGACTTGTGGAGCGAGTGTACGGGCGGATGCGAGAATGACTGTGGCACTTGACTTGCTCTCTGTTCAACATCTGGTCACGACAAACGCGAAGCTTTCTTTCACTCCATCGTAGGCTTAGATAGAGTCAAGAAGCTCTTTGTGGGAAGATGAAAGCTCAAGTCGGCTATCTCCGTACAGAACGCTCGCAAGCTTGTTTGATCCGATGGTCAGGCTACATATACTTTTGATGCGAATTTGCGCCAAGCAGAACGCTTAGTTCAATCGGTAGAATCACAGCTGGACTACTTCTGCCTTGCAAGGCCTTTACTCCATACCTAATCCGTTTGGAGATTCGCCAGGTAAAGGCTGGCGTTAATCAACTTCAGTAGCAGCTGTGGATGCCAGTTCGAGTCTGGCAGCGTTCGACTTGGATCAATCTTTTTGGTCTGGAGTCTTGCATGGGTCTCAGCCTAAGTTTTTGTCAAGCGGCCAATCATTCTTATATGTCTGTTGTGGGAAGCGCTCCCTATTTTCGCCACGTGAGGTGGAAATGGAGGTAGGCTAGTGGGTAGCTGCCGCAGACAGGGTCTCTAGAACTTACCTTATCATGACGCACGAGGCTAGGCTAAGGTAAGTATGATTGGAGGTCGCATGCAGGGGCCTTTGAGCGAGAAGAAAGGGGCGGTGATTGGCAGGACCTTAACATGACGAATCACGTGCACACGGCAGCCCATGGACCCTACCGCAAACCTCTGCTGCCACTTCCGCATCTCTGTGCATGCCATCTTGTTTTTCCAAGACCGTACTGAACGAGCGATAGCTCGCCAGTCGGCCCACCGTCGTCAATACGAAGCGGCTATCCCCTTTCACCTACGACGCGCAGCCCGCGAAGCTGCCATGCCCTCCTAACCACCTGCGCCGTCCTATCGATACCACTCCCAGCATGCCCCACGAGGAAACCTCCGCGGCGGTGGCCAGTATCCTGTCAAACTTTGCCAAGCAGTACGCTCCTCTCGAGCCGGACTCGTTCCCCGCGGGCGCCATCGCAAATGGCATCAAGAGCAACCGAATCTCCCTCCCTGGCGACGACACGGTGGAGAAACGGACACTCGAGCGCGAGCTGAACGCCCTCGCGACCCGCATCCAGTTCCTCGAAGCGCGAGCGACCAGCGGCCTCAGTTCGCTGCCTATCACGCCCAATGAACCCGCCGCGTCCAGCTTCCCTTCAGACAGTCCCGCGTCGCCCAGGTCCGCCGCCCTCAATCCTCGCCAACGCTCCGCTTCGTGGGTCAACAGCCTCCTCGCCAAGAACGAGGGCGAGCCACATTATCGGCAGCTCACCGAGGAGCAATTTGCCTTTCTGCGTGAGCACATCGACCAGCAAGCGCAGGAGATCAAGAGCCAGAAGGATTTCATCGATGGCATCAAATCCCAGCTTACGCATCAGCAAAATGCGACAAAGGCCGCGCTCGATACACTCGGGAATTCTCAGTCAATAGAGCAGCTGAAGCGCGAGATCGAGAAGAACGCGCAGATCAATGCCACATATCAAAAGGTCCTGCGAGAAATTGGCACCATCATCACTGCCGTTGCCAATGGAGACCTCAGCAAAAAGGTGCTTATCCATGCCACCGAGAAGGACCCGGAGATTGCACGGTTCAAGCATACAATCAACCGCATGGTCGACCAGCTGCAGGAGTTTGCCAGTCAAGTCACACACTTGGCGAAAGAAGTCGGCACGGAGGGAAGGCTTGGCGGACAGGCCATAGTCCCTGGTGTCGACGGCATTTGGGCCGAACTGACGCAGAATGGTGAGTCGGAGTGGTCATCTGGCGAGTACGTGACGGGACGCATGCTGACAGCCCTCGACAGTAAACGTGATGGCACAAAATCTCACCGATCAAGTACGAGAAATCGCCGTAGTGACCACCGCAGTTGCCCAGGGTGACTTGAGCCGCAAAATCCAGCGACCTGCAAGAGGCGAGATTCTTCAACTACAGCAGACGATAAATGACATGGTGGATCAACTGCGGACCTTCGCTACGGAAGTCACACGTGTATCCCGAGATGTCGGAACTGAAGGTGTCCTCGGGGGTCAGGCTCAAATCGAAGGCGTGCAGGGCATGTGGAACGACCTGACGATCAACGTGAACGCCATGGCAAACAACCTCACGGCGCAAGTACGAGACATCGCAGAGGTGACGACTGCTGTCGCCCAGGGCGACCTGACAAGACAAGTGAAGGCACACTGCAACGGTGAGATCCTGGCACTCAAGACGACCATTAACTCCATGGTTCATCAACTCCGCCAATTCGCCCACGAAGTCACTCGAGTATCTCGCGAAGTCGGAACCCAGGGCCGACTCGGAGGACAAGCCACTGTTCACGGCGTGGAGGGAACATGGAAAGATCTCACCCAAAACGTCAACGGCATGGCAATGAATCTTACTACGCAAGTGCGCGAGATTGCTGAAGTCACGACGGCTGTCGCACAGGGTGATCTGAGCAAGAAGGTCGAGGCTGAGGTACAGGGTGAAATGCTAGCACTCAAGAATACCATCAACACCATGGTGGACAGACTTGGCATCTTTGCGTACGAAGTCAGCAAAGTCGCTAGAGAGGTCGGCACAGAAGGTGTCTTGGGTGGCCAAGCCAAGGTTGAGAATGTTGAAGGCAAATGGAAAGACCTAACAGACAATGTCAACACCATGGCCAATAACCTGACCAGCCAAGTGCGCAGTATATCGGATGTCAACCAGGCCATTGCACGAGGCGACATGAGCCAACGCATCAAGGTGCACGCCCAAGGAGAAATTCAGACCCTCAAAGACACCGTCAACGACATGGTTACAAGACTGGATGCCTGGTCTCTGGCTGTCAAACGGGTGGCACGCGATGTCGGCGTTGATGGCAAAATGGGTGGCCAAGCTGAAGTCGAAGGAATTACCGGCCGCTGGAAGGAGATCACAACGGACGTGAACATCATGGCGCAGAATTTGACATCACAAGTCCGCGCTTTCGCCGACATCACTCACGCGGCGATGAAAGGCGACTTTACCAAGATGATCAACGTCGAGGCGTCGGGCGAGATGAACGAGTTGAAAAACAAGATCAACAAGATGGTTCTCAACTTGCGCGAAAGTATTCAGAAAAACAACCAAGCCAGAGAGGCTGCCGAACTCGCCAACAAGACGAAATCCGAATTCTTGGCCAACATGTCGCACGAGATCCGCACACCCATGAACGGCATTATCGGCATGACACAGCTGACCCTCGACACGGAATTGGAGCAAAACCAGAGAGACATGCTCAATATCGTCTTCTCACTCGCCAATAGCTTGTTGACGATCATCGACGACATTCTCGATATTTCCAAAATCGAGGCGAACAGGATGATCCTGGAAGAAGAGCCATTTTCGTTACGGAGCTTGGTCTTCAACAGCTTGAAATCGCTGGCAGTCCGTGCAAATGAGAAGGACATCAGCTTGGTGTATGACACCGACAGCTCTGTGCCCGACTACATTGTTGGGGACTCCTTCCGTCTACGCCAGATTATTCTCAACCTTGCTGGAAACGCAATCAAGTTTACCGAGCACGGTGAAGTGCGGGTGAAGATTTCCTCTGATCACACTGTCAAGTGCAGTGAAGAAGAGGTCGTGGTCAAGTTTGCAGTGTCGGATACGGGCATTGGCATCCACTCCGACAAGCTGGACCTCATCTTCGACACCTTCCAACAAGCAGACGGCTCGACCACTCGAAAATTCGGCGGCACAGGACTGGGCCTGTCGATTTCCCGCAGACTGGTCACGCTCATGCGTGGCAAGATGTGGGTAGAGTCGACCTATGGCTCCGGCAGTACGTTCTTCTTCACATGCGTGGTTCGACTGGGACCCAACGATACGCAGAAAGTGATGTCGTCGCTGCAACAATACCGAAAACACAAGGTGCTCTACGTGGACAACGGTAACACTGATTGCGCGGATGATATCGCAGACAATATCAAGGCGCTAGATCTCGTACCATGCGTCGTGGGTAATGGCAGGACAGTGCCTTCTGAGATCAGTCCGGATGACAGCTATGACTGCGTTATCGTGGATAACAGCGACACGGCGCAGAGGCTTCGCAGCATGGAGCGGTTCAAGTACATACCGATTGTCATGTTGGCACCTGCGATCTCGGTCAACTTCAAGACGGCGTTGGAGAATGGCATTTCGAGCTACATGACAACGCCATGCTTGCCGATTGATCTCGGTAACGCTCTCATTCCAGCCCTGGAAGGTCGAGCGGCGCCGATCACAGCTGACCACTCAAGAACATTCGACATCCTCTTGGCAGAGGACAACGCGGTCAACCAAAAACTGGCCGTCAAGATACTGACGAAACACAATCACAAGGTCACCGTCGCCAACAATGGCCTCGAAGCCTTCGAGGCGATCAAGAAGAAACGATTCGACGTCGTCCTGATGGATGTGCAAATGCCCGTAATGGGAGGATTCGAGGCCACCGCCAAAATTCGCGAGTACGAAATGGCACACGAGCTGACTCGGTCGCCGATTGTGGCGCTAACAGCGCATGCGATGCTGGGCGATCGAGAGAAGTGCATCCAGGCGCAGATGGATGAATATCTCTCGAAGCCATTGAAACCCAACCAGCTGATTCAGACCATCCTGAAATGTGCTACGCTAGGCGGTGCGTTACTCGAAAGGAAATCCGACGGCCGCGGCCTGATCCACGACGAGGAGAAGAGTTCTGATAGTAGCCCAGATCACAACAGATTGAAGACGCCCAAACGACCTGGCATGAACGACAGGGGGTACACGGAAAATGGCCCTTCCGGATTGGAAAGTCCGGCCATCGTTACTGCCGAGTCGGAAGATCCGATGGGACGGGTAAGGGTTCTCAGAACTGGAAAACATGCCGTAGTACCTCTGTAACTGACATTTGCTCACAGGAGGTGCTTTTACGTGCCCACAGCAGCTGAGCTAGCTCTGTGAAGACGACATGCGGCACGGGTTTGTCAATGATTGCCTGCTCTGCTTTCTGCGCTTATCTTGCTTTGTTGCTGTCTTTTCTTAGGTAAGATTGGAGTTCTTTGGGGAATTTGTCTGTTTGGCGCTTCTGGTGTACTTACATTGCGTTTCCGGAGTTCGCGAGCTATTCTCACTACTGCAGTGTTTTTGAGCGGAGGACAGTTGGAAAGGGCTGCGAATGCGCATGCGATCATGAGTCTGTTGGCTAAGGGGGAAGCATTACCATCTAACGGCCCTTCTGGATACGATGGGAGGAGCGTAAAGGGCATTTCTCGGCGCATCTGAGTCTTGGGTAATGCTGACGCCAAATTTGGCGGAGGCACAATCAACGAATCCATCTGAGGCCAGCAAAAGGTCTTCCTATAATATTGGGTCACGTGGAGCGTCATTGTTCAGGCTAACATCACCCCGTAGGTTTTGCCTACTATCAATCTTATAATACCGCCTTTGCCGTGTAAGCGCGGTGTTTGTTATGTCAGCGAGCCGGCCGCCCTACGGCCGTAGCGGCTTGGCCTGTGCGCCTAAGCGTACTATATGATTAGTGAACACCTCGTCGCACCTTTCTTATGCTACCAAGGCCACAGACGCGTCCCACAGGCTGGCAGAATCGCAGACACGCCGAGTGATCCATGGCCATTACAAAGCAATTGTTTCACAAGGGCACAACCGACGCTTGACAGTACTGTCAACACCGAGTTCGTGTGCGATTCTGGTCCTGGTCCGTCTCAATCGATCATGAGACCGGCCCCTTGAATGATCACAACAAATTGGACCTATGCGGCCTTTGCCACGACACTGTTCCCTACCTCTACGGCGCCAGGTAGAACATCAGTGAATCAGAACGCCTTGTAACTGGGGCCCTTTCGTCGATACTGTGGGACCTTTCCTATATACCTGGACCATCCTCTCTTCGCATCATTGCAGTAGCGGCCGACTTGTTTACTGAACCTATTCCTTGATTCACTTTCAAGCCAGATCGCTTAGCTTTCACGCCATGGGCGACACCGGTGGCACTGAGGCGCCCAAAAAGAAACGGTCGAGGGCGAGCAGGTCTCCTGACGACAACAGCGGCGATGAGGGCAAGAAACGAGGACGGCCCCGTGTCGAGAAGCTCGACCAGTCGATTGCAGATGTACGTTCACTCTTGCCTCCGGCTGTGTCTACTACGCAACGAGACGCCTACTATGGCGCCGGTTGACCCGCACACTGATGAGTGAACATCACTGACCTTCTCGACAGCGACGACGGACCCAGATCCGTATGGCCCAGAGAGCCTATCGGCAGCGCAAGGAGAGCACGCTAGAGGACCTCCGTAAACGCGTGTCTGACCTAACGAACACCATTGAGTTGATGAACAAGGCCTTCCTGGACTGCCGCGATCGCCTTGCCACTTCCGGTCTGGCAGACTCTCAAACGCAGGACATGCATGAGACTCTGGAGCAATACCAGAATCTGATGAGATGTGTTCGCAATCCGGGCGAAGACATGGACCATGGCATTGCACCAGACCTCTCTCAGCCATCTTCAAGCTCAGCAATGGCGGGCAAAGATGCTGTGAGAGCCTCTGCTATGGAGCCCAAGAACGTGGCAAGCTGGATGGACCAGACAGCAGTGGACAGTCAGGCCAAAACAAGGATTTCTGGGGCCCAATGCCTCGGCTACACTATGTATGAACCCCAGGGAACGAAAGACATCAATCATGCAATGGTCATGCTCAACAAGTCTGATCCACAGGCGGTAACGTCTGCCTCTCCGCATCATGGTACATCTAATGGACCGGCGCTCTCACTTGGTGGCTTCAGCCTCGGTCCACCGGACTCGTTTGGCGTACCAGCTACCGTTACACCACCAACGACATACAGCTTCAATGAGTCTACCTTCGCCAAACGACTTCATCGAGCATGCTTGGAACACGCGTATCAGTTGCTACTGGATCCGCAACGACGGCCTGCCACATACGGCCGCGTTTTCAAACTCTCGCTCATGGTCAAGGATCGTAATAAACTCATTCTGGGTATCAAGGCGCTGCTTTCAAGACCAGCTCACGAAGATCTCGATGCCAATGCGACGCCCATACACGTAGGAGGAGCTGGCACACACTATCCCAGAAGAGATGCGAACGGCACTTTCAGACCAAAGAAAGACTCCTGGAATCTCGGACTGGTTGGTCCAAAGACACTAGCCCTGTTGGAAAGCGCTGCTGGGGACAACTTGACCGCGGACATGGCTGTTGAGGTAGCAGGATTTGAAGGTATGGAAGTCCAGGGCAGGACCTGCCTGCAATCTTGAGACTATCTGCTAAACTGAGGCTAGGTGAATGGTTCGATCCGTACGACGTCGAAGGCTACTTGATGGAGAAAGGAATCCATATCAATCCGGCATGTTCTTTTGCCCAGGCGGAGGTCGTGATCAAGCCCTCCCAATCCAGCGTTGCCTCGTCCGAGTCAACCATCACAGGAGAGGCACCCAAGACGCCGCTTGACATGACCTCATCTTCGGACGTACCCAAGCCATTCGACGCCGAGCAGCTGGAGTTCCTGAACCGAGGCAATGTGTCTCCTCATAAGGTGGACGACTGGACCGCCATGAACCTCTCTAATGTGGGATACTCTGACGCCAGCACCGGATCCTGGATGAACTTCTTGCAACCTAGCGAGGCTTCGAAGCAGCAGCAACAGACTGCAAACTTGGAAGCAATGTCATGGCAAGGATCTGCAGAGTTCTTAGGAGGCGACGTTCCGGGTATTGGCCTCGGCACGCTGCCGCAGAAGCCCGTTGGTCCCAAGGCGCAACGACAACAACAACAACAACCGAATAAGAAGGTCATCCTCCTTGATGTTAATAAGTTTATTAAAGGTCAGTTTGGTACCCATGGTGTGTATGTTGACCAGCTAAGCTGACTCGTTTGTATAGTGTTGACTATTTCTGCTGTCTGCATCGGTCGAGGTCCTGGATTCAAACGAAGGGATGTAGATCGTGCTCTGGCTCTGGCTTCGTTTGATGCGTTCTGAACAGGGATGTCTTCATCTTCGATGTCGAAATTCAACGCAACAGGGACACGGTTCTGTCCCACGCTCCGAGCCATTGCGTGCCCTCCCATGGTACATGGCAATAATCGAGCATCATGCCGATCAGCGGCGCTGTCCAGATTGGCATCTCCTCCAAAAAGCCCCGCAGGTCGGATATCGTTCTCAAACACAAGCACAAGATCGAATTTGTTGTCTCCAGGATGGGAGCCTTGTGAGAACACTTGCTTCCGGTGGTACTACTTTACCAGGGCTCGTAGAAGATGAAATGGGCTCGTGGCTGTTGTGGACTTGGATAATTACTGGCGCATATTACGTGGCTGAGCATTTGAAATGTCGTGGTCTGTTACGAAGAAGCCGGATGAGGTTGTTGTGGCTGTCTGGTCGTTCCGGAGACTTTGATCTTCTTCACGGAAGGGCTTGGCATTTGGAGAGAGGGATGATTCGAGGTGCCGTATGGATGGCAAGACGGTCTCATCTACGGCCAAGGCCATGGACTTCCTCCACGAGGAATGGCTTGGATGGGGCGCCGAACTATTGCTGTCGATTTTCGTCCTAACAATTCTGGGTGTGGAGTAAACAAAATTCTGGGAGTTTGTGCATTTGGAGAAACGAATGGAGACAGCTTTATGCGCTGGAAAAGCTCTGGAGGAGAAAATGGTGGAATTGGATGGTTTATGCTCCTCGAAGATGCATTCGGCAAGTCTTGCTGTGACGTGCAGTTGCAGCACGAGGAATGATCAACATGTTGGTTCCAAAGTAAACTTGTCCTCGATGATGTAAACGGCGCGGCTGTCGTACTCCGTGAATGGATGGTATCATCGTTCTTGCCAAAACATCCCTGCTGCATGTGATGTATGGGGTGCTATACAGCCTTAGCCTTGTATCTTCACATGCTTGTATGATGGTATCCTTGCAGGCGGAAAATCTTCGGGTAAATCCAGGCCGAGGCTAGGCGCGCTTTCCCCATGATTGGCCCCCGGATTGCTTGTGTGCATGTGAAAGCCCGGTCATCATCAGGACGTCTTTGAGGACCGAAGCGAACCGCTCCTATTCCGTGACGATGTAATGAGAACACCTTGATGTTCGGCATGTCGCAATAACGTCCCCAACGCGCATCTCTCCGTCTCTACAGCGTCGCTGCCATGGCGAATCAATCCACCCTCCGCCAGCGTCCCGCCGACCGCTTCTCGCAGTGGTTCGAACACTTCTACGCACGTCTCACAGCCCGAGTGAACCGACTCCAAAACCGCAGTCCTCTCGATCCGCGCACCACGAAGCTCGTCGCAACGCTCGCCCTCTCCCTCGCCATCATCACCAGCAGCTACGGCGGCTGGAAACTCTACAACAGCCGCAGGCAAGAGCGCGAAGTAGGCCGGCAATTACTGCGTCGCAACAGCGGCATCAAGGCAAAAGATGGCACACGCACAATCTACGTGCCGTACAGGGACCAGCAGACCAGCAAAGTCATTATACATCCAATTAAGCCTACGACGTTCGACGCCCATAGACGCTTCTTCCTGAACCCCACTCGACAGAGCAGTTCCGGGAGGGAGTACTCCCTAGGGATTCCTCCGCCGAATGTGAAACCTGGATTGAACGTGGCTTTTGTGCATCAGTTCATGGCCATTATGCAGATTGTCGTGCCGAGATTGGGGTCGAAGGAGGCTGGATTGCTTACTTTCCATGCTTTCTTTCTGTTGCTGAGGACGTACTTGTCGCTAGTTGTGGCGAGGCTGGATGGAGAGATTGTGCGAGATCTAATAGCTGGGAAAGGGAAAGACTTCCTCTTTGGATTGACCAAGTGGTTGTCTGTGGGCGTAGTGGGGAGCTATACCAACAGCATGATTAAGTTCTTGCAGGCGAAGATTTCGATTGCATTCCGGACGAGGTTGACGAGGTATATTCATGATCTGTACCTGGGGAAGGATATGGCATACTACAAGATGCATGCTCTGGATGGAGGTGTAGAGCACGGTGCCGATCAGTTCATCTGTCGGGACTTGACGCTCTTCTGCGACAACGCGGCCAATCTATACTCTAGCTTGGGAAAGCCGCTGGTGGATCTGTTCACCTTCAACTACCAGCTGTACAAATCGCTGGGGCCTTTGGCTTTGAGCGGGCTGCTGAGTACGTACATCGGCACGGCTGTGCTGTTGAAGAAGCTGAGCCCGCCTTTTGCGAAGTTGAAGGCTGCTGAGGGCCGGAAAGAAGGAGACTTCCGAGCTTTACATGCAAGGTTGATAGCCAACGCGGAAGAGGTTGCCTTCTACGCTGGTGGACCGACCGAGCATGCTCTACTTGACCACGGATTCAAAGAGCTGAGGAAGTGGATGGAAGGCATCTACCGGGTGAAGGTGGGCTACAACATGCTCGAGGACTTCGTGTTGAAATACACCTGGTCTGCTCTTGGATATGTCATCACAAGCTTGCCGGTGTTTCTGCCCTCGATGGGATTGGCGCCGCAACCTGGCCAGAAGCTTGAGGTTAGATCGCCTGAGTCGCTAGAGGCTGCGGAAAGAGGTGATCAGACTGGATCTCGAACAAGACAGTTCATCACCAACAAGCGGCTGATGCTTAACCTTGCGGATGCTGGAAGTCGAATGATGTACTCGATCAAAGACCTTTCCGAATTGGCTGGCCAGACAAGCAGAGTCTTTACGCTCATCAGTACGCTGCATCGCGTTCATGCCAACGCGTATACTCTGCCGAGGCATGTGTATCCCGAGCCTTACAATTTGACGGACATCCAGGGAACACTACAGAAGGGCTTCGATGGTGTGCGATTGGAGAATGTGCCGGTAGTAGGCCCTTCGCCATTCCCAATGGGCGGTGAGGAGCTCATCGACAACTTGTCTTTTATCGTCGGGCCTGGAGATCACATGCTCATCACCGGGCCCAATGGAGCTGGCAAGTCTGCTGTTTCTAGAATTGTCGCTGGGCTCTGGCCAACATACCGTGGTTTGACCTCAAGACCTCGCAGCAATGGCCAGGACGGCATCATGTTCTTACCCCAGAAGGTATATCTGAGTCCGGGCACCTTGCGAGACCAGGTCATCTATCCACATACCGAGATAGACATGCGTGAAGCTGGGAGAAGGGAAAGCGAGCTGCAGGCTATTCTCGAAGAAGCCAGATTGGGCTACATCCCCGAGCGTGAAGGCGGTTGGGATACGCGGAAGATGTGGCAAGATGTCTTGAGTGGCGGAGAGAAACAGCGCATGGGTATCGCGAGATTGCTGTACCATGAGCCGCGATATGCGTTCATCGACGAGGGTACCTCCGCCGTGAGCTCGGATGTGGAAGGCATTTTGTACGAGACGGCGAAGCGGAAGGGAATCAGTAAGTCCCATCTCACCCCCAACTCACTTAACATGGACAACTAACATTTGCATCCCCAGCTCTCATCACCATCTCCACGCGCGCCTCGCTCAAACGCTACCATTCCTACACCCTCACCCTCGGTCTCGGCGAAGAAGCGAACGAATACGAATTCCTGCGCATCGGCACCGCGAGCGAGAAGGATAGCGTGGAAAAGGAAATCCTCGAACTGCGGGAGAAGCTCTCGCAGGTCGAAGAGTGGAAGCAACGGCGGCAGGAAATCGAACGGGAATTGAGTAAAGTGTGGGTTTCCGGGCAGCAGGCATTGGAAGCGCCTGTTTATCATCAGGAGGGCGAGTCTTGAATCCGCCGGGCTTCGTGAGGCGGCGAGGATGATTGGTGACGTTGCGGTACGAGGGCTTGAGTTTGCCCGAGCTTGTCATGGGGCTCTCTCGGGTGTGTTCTGTGTGTGAATAATCCCTCGCGCAGGGCATGGAGGAAGAAAAAGAAAAGCCGAATATGTTCTTGGCGAGACTGCAGCTGATATGGCTATGGCTGTGGCTATCCATAGCAGGGACCCAATCGAACGATACCAAGGGCTATATATATATATATATACATGTCATGATGGATGAATCCGACGAGGAGGAGGCGAAGGAGGAGGAGGAGGAGGAGCAACTAACCGAACTCCTACCTATGCGATGTTGAACGGTTCTAGAAGAGCGAAAAACTACTGTATTTCTCGTAGTAGAAGATTTTTGGGTGGGCCGCACACACGCGACGCGGTGGAAGGCGGGGAGCTAGATATCAAAAGAGTCAGTATCTTTCGATTCCGATAATGCCGGCCGTTTTTCAGGCCTGGGAAGGAAGGAAATTTTTTACATTTCAGTCTTTCTTCTGTCGTGCTGCTGCTGCTGCTGCTCCTCCAGGACTGCCAGGACTGTGGGATGCGTGTGTGAAAAAGTCTGGCTTTCTCTTTGGATCCGCCCAACGCACGGCAATTCCATTTGGTCAGACCGAGATCTTTTCTTCGCGAACGAAAACCAGTCCGTGTGAGCCTAGATAGATATCTCCAGCCCGCATGTATGTACGAATCCGGTATTTCCATGAATTTCGTAATGTGATGAGTTGGGATATCTATTGCGTCGGCTTCTCTAAAAACTGGGCCGGGCCATGCACATGCACATCCAACAACCTGCCGTTGGGGGAAAAAACAAAAACAAAAAAAAAAAAAAAAAAAAAATCAAAACCGAAAAGAAACAACCCCCCGTTCCCCTTCCCCCTCTCCTCACCCTCTCTCTCTCTCTCTCTCTCGTCTCATCCAATCCTAAGCCTTATAAACATGCATCACATGCGCATTGCAATAAGCCTTGACACCATCCTGTCCCCACTCCCCTCCGATACCACTCTCCTTGTGACCCCCAAAGAAAGCCTGCGGGGTAGGTTTCTCCCAGCTATTGATGAAGACGCTGCCGGCTTCCAGGCGCGCGCCGATGCGCTGGCCGCGTGCGAGGTCCCGACTCCAGACGCAGGCGCCGAGGCCGGCGTTGCTGTTGTTGGCGCGGGCGATGACTTCCTCTTCGTCGTCCCATTTCTGCGTCGGCACGATGGGGCCGAAGGGTTCTTCCTGGATGATGCGCGAGTCGTTGGGCGGGTTGTCGATGATGGTGGGTTGGATGTAGAAGCCCTTGCCGGGGGGGACTTCGTCGCTTCCGGTCGCGAATTTGTAGCCTTGTTTCTGTGGGTGGGGAGGGTTGTTAGTGGGGTGGCGTTGGTGCGGCGGGAGGCTTTCTTGTGTTGTCGAGAATGCTGGTAGTGAGTGAGGAAGTGGGGAGTAGGGATTCGGATGGTGCTAGGTCCGCGGGAGCAGCCGTTGAGATAGCGTCGTGGTGCGGATTGGCATTGATAGAAAAAAGGAAGGGGAAGAGGGAGAGACGAGGACATTACCTTTGTGTCCTTGAAGTACTCTACGACCTTGTCGTACTGCATCTTGTTCTGGATGGGTCCCAGGAAGGCTCCCTCGGAAGGCGGACCGACGGTCAGAGTCTTGGTGAAGTTGACCATCTCCTGCAACATCTCGTCGTAGATATCCTTGTGGATGTAGATCCGCTTCGTAGCGACGCAGACTGCACAGGTCGTCAGTACCGTGGTTGGAATGGAGGGAGAAATGGAAATGGAAATGGAAATGGAGGAGAGGGGGCAGGTACCTTGACCGGAATTCTGGAAAGCACCCATGACCAGCTCGGGAGCAGTCTTCTTGATGTCGACGTCTGGGCAGACGATGGAGGCGTCATTGCCTCCCAACTCGAGAGTCACACGCTTGAGAGTGTGCGCGCAGGCAGCCATGATCTTCTTTCCGGTGGCGATGGAGCCGGTGAAGGAGATCTTGGCGATTCCGGGGTTGGTGGTGAACATGGGGCCCAGGTAGTCGCCGCCCCCGATGGCCTGGACGACACCGGGTGGGAAGACTTCCTGGGCGAGCTCGACGACCTTGAGGGTGGAGTAGGGGGTGTAGGGGGAGGGCTTGACGATGATGGTGTTTCCCGTCAGGAGCGCGGGGATGATCTTGCCGACACTGAGCAGGATGGGGAAATTCCACGGGCAGATGGCACCGACGACGCCGAGGGGCGTGTAGCGGGTGATGATGGTCTTCTCGTCGTCTTCCACGCGCTCTTCGGGGAGGGTCAGGGTGTTGTGGTGGTCGACCCAAGCACCAACGGCGTGAATCTCCATCTGAGCGACCTGCTTGGGCTTGCCGGTCTCTTGGCAGAGCAGCTCGGTCAACTCGTCGGCATACTGGAGGACGACGTCCTTGAACTTGCTCAGCAGCTCCTTCCGCTTCTCCAGCGCGGTGAATCTCCACGACTCAAAGGCCTTCTTTGCCACGTCGACGGCCTAGCACGCCGAGCTCGAGGGTCAGATCAGACAGATATGGCGAGGGAGAATCGGAGCGTACCTCATCTACATCTTGCTGGCTACCGATGGGAACGGACCAATTCTTGTCGCCGGTGGTCGGGTTGATACCGTAGTGTTGGTCCTTGCCGTCACGCTGCTGGCCATTGATGATGTTGTAGAACTGGTCCCACTGGATGGTGCTGACTTTGGAGGGAGACATGCTGGTGGTAATGTCGTTTCGCAGCAAGGAGGAAGGAGAGGTATAATGCAATCGGAGGATGTGAAGGAGTCTTATACGCCTACGTCTGAGTGTTGTCGGTGGCAGGTGAGGCCCCCTCTCTCCCCCACACGAAGAATCCGCTGTCTATCAATAATCCGTCGGCAGACTCCCGATGTAGTCGGCGTTGGCCCTACCACACTACCACACTACGGCAGCCCGGGTCATGCATGCTCCAATTGGATGGATTCGGCTCTTCGAGTCCGATCCCGCTTTCGTCCTCGTCCCGCCGGCCGGACGTCTTCCGCGCGCTGATGTCATTCCTGGCGGTACAGTGCACAAGTCGTTCCCCGCGTGCGTCGTTTACCTTATCCACAGCATCCCCACTTCTATGCACTGCATGCACGCATCCATACACCGAATGTGCACGTTCAGACTGCGTGTGCATATGTGTTGTTGTTGCACGCACATGTTACTCCGCGCGCTGCCAGCTGCCGAAGATTTGCCCCGCGCCAATCAATTGCCACCTTCAACTACCTTACTGCTGTCCCCGCGATACATACACCAGCGGAACGACCCGAACATCCAGCCTTCCTTCCGACGGCATTGCTATCGAAAGAAACCTCCGCACTTGCATGTGATAACGAAGCAGCCAGCCACCTCTAGCACGCACAAGTTTCGAATACAAGAAGAATCTCCTCTTCGAACCCCCCAACAGGCAACCACTCCTTCTCCCCCCTCAACCCCTCCCCCATCGCCTGCTCCCCCTGCTCCCCCTGCCTCCGCAACGGATACAACTGCGCGATCCTCGCCACATCACCCCCCCGAAACCCTGAGGGCTCCACCAACCTCTTATTCCCCTGCCCACCCATATAAACCCGACTCGCAGCCCGGACCACTTTCTTCTGCTTCTTCTCCTTCCCCTCCCAAACCTCGGAAAGATACAGAGGCGCCCAATCCTGCACGGGTTGCTTGTAATTCGAGCCGGCCGCCGCGCCGGTATCGGAATCGTAGAGCATGATGGATTGGAAATCGAAGGCGTGGGAGTGCGTGAAGGTGTTCATCGTCGTGGCGGGGTTGTCGTCGTCGTCGTCGAAGTGGAGGGGGAGGAATTCCGCGGCGAGGAAGTTGTAGCGCGAGGCGGTGGCGTGGTCCGTGCAGCTGGGAAGAGAGGGTGGTTATTAGTGATGTGATGGATGGATGGGAAAACGGTTAGTCAGTTCGATGATGGTGGAGAAATCTCGGAAGGGGGGCACGCACGCTTTTGCTATCGTATCGCGCGGAGCTCGGGCTTGGGACTGGATCATGTTTCTGACCTGATGAGTGAAGTCTTTAGCTTGCCGTTTCAAGCTCACGGTTCGCAAATTCTGGGGGCGATGGGAACGTACCCTGCTGGAATCGTCCAGGTTTGCGCATGTGAATGTCAGGTGTTGCGCGGCGTCGGGGCGTTGATGTCTGGCGTGGTCAGCGAAGCAGAACGATCGTGTGTATCCGGAGGGGGAGGTAGTCCTCTTACTCGTGAACCAAGCCCATAGCGTGCCCTGATGAGTGAACCTCTCCCCCATGTCGTTGTCTCGTCTAGGCTGCGGACGCACTTACCAAGCTCATGAGCAAACCTCACCACATCCCCCCTATCAGCATCCCTCACGGTCCCATCCTCCAAAAGTTTCGACTTGGCGCGGTGGAATCTCAGCTCATTCGTCGGTCCATACCTGCACCCCGATTCCATCAGCGACAGGAAACTTTCCACCGCAAGCGCGAAAGAGAGAGAACCCCACACATACATACCCAATCGTCGTCGCCGTCTCCCCCACCCCCGAACTGCCCACCGTCATGTCCCTGATCCGCAACGCATCCGCACCGACTCCTTCACTCCCGCCGATCCTCCCATCGTACCTGTCCGGCTCAATCGTCATCATCGAATTTTCCGGTCCCATGGCGGGCTGCCATAATTGCGCCGCGAGCAGGAGAATTCCGCCGAGAGTTTTCTGGGAGCTTTCGTCGTGGAAACAATAGCGCATGGGCTGGCTGATGAGGACTGGGCGGCCTTTGTCTTGCTGTTGGTATCTGCGGGGCCAGGTTTTGATGGGGTCCGTGGTGATGCTGTGCCATCGTTTCGCGGGGTGCGCTGTTGATGTGGAAGGGAAGAGGGTTGTCAGTAGGAATAGAGTTGGGATTAGTGTTGGTTTCATTGGGAGAGGTGGAGTGGAGTGGAGTGGAATGGCTGGTGGGTTGTATAGACCTTCTTTTCTTTTTCGGATTTCCAATAGTTCGAACAAGCACTTGCTTTATGAGGGTTTTCGGCAGCAAGCGGTATGACCATGCCGTGTGGAAATTGTGCTGTGTTGTTTGTTCGTGTACGTTGAGAAGAGAGGCCATGATGTCCTTTTCTTTGCTGTCCACGAGCCCAACACAAAAATTGTACAACAAGCACTCGATTTGACAGAACCATGAAGAACACTGGTGAGTAAAGGCGTCATTCCTGGACGATGACTCTTCACTTCCAAAGTGCTGTCATGCCTGCTGGTCTGCCGTCGTTCTCGGTCTAGAGTTTGCTCCTGAGCACTGTCTATATGACCCTGTCAGCTGAATCCGCAAACATAGAGCGAATATCACACGTACTATATTTTTCCCGGCAATCTTTTCCAACAACTTCGCCGTCTCCGCTGGCTTCGTCAGGTACGGCGAGTGACTTCCCTCCATTTCCGCAAACTGCCACCCAGCTCTTTCATTCTCACTCATCTTCTCAAAGAAACCCCGCTGAGTTTCCATCGGCAACGCCCGGTCATCCAGGCAATGGACATACGTCTTCTTGGGGAAGAGCCTCCAGCCTCCATGCTTGGTCGCTTCTTTAAAGGAAGAGCCAGCATGGACTACGAGCCTGGCGGCCGCCTCTTCTGCCAGCGCTGGTGGCTCGAGGTCATGGTAGAAGACGGGGATTGGATCGGGCACGTATGTGGTCTTGCCATTCTCGGAATTCGCGGTCCAAGCCGCGCGTCGGCCGCCAAAGTAGCTATTCACGGAGCTGCCCGCCGGGAGGATGACGGCGGCCAGATAGACGAGATGGTGGATTTTGGCCTTGCTTTCGGGGCTGAGTTGCGCGATGCCTTCGCTGCCGCAGACGCCGCCGTAGCTGTGGAAGACGGGTACGATCTTGTCATGTGTGCGAGCGGCTTGTTCGATGGCTTCCCTCACCGCTGCTGCGTCCGCGGTCAACCCTCCGGTGTCGTGATCGTCACTCGTATCTCCCGCTGCTGGCAAGTTCAAGGTGGAACAAGTGTAGCCCGCCCTCTGGAGTTCTTCCTGGAGAAAGTGCAGATGCCATCCTCGGTGAGCCAATCCGTGAACGAGAACGAAGTGAAGATCATGCATGGTGAGAGCAGAGATGTGCAGGAGAGACAATCACAGCCTACCGTCAAAGTCACGTCCCACGTGGCAGGAGTCGGGGCAACTCACCTCATCATAAGGTATGGGCCGAGGGGTATTTCGCGCGTACCCACAGCGTCTGTCAGTGCGGAGTGCGAAAAGTCGTGGAGGCCAAGAGGCCTAGAGATGTACGGCCCACTCCCGCAATAGTATATATGAGGCGAGGCGCGTCTCGTTAAGATGACATGTCGACTTATTAGAATCCGGCCTGTAGCCTGCTGCGAGATGTCCGCTAGATGCGGCGGAACCGACCCGCTTGTTGCTGAATCTGGAATCGATGGTATTGCGTACACGTCCCCGCCGCATGCACTGCGCACTGCGCACTGTGTGAGTGGTGTGCAGAAGCAGCCAAGCGAAGAGGGCATCGCGGCGCTAACTCTGTTTGGTAGGTGATAGTGCAGAAGGAGTGGAGGTTGCATTAGAGTTTGGCTGGCGGGGGTGAGCCTTGCCACCCGGCTCTTGCCGCCGCTCCATGGCTCCGGCTGATCACGTCGACCGTCGTGTGGTCGTGTTCCAGCCGACGTCTCGACGATACAGATACAGATACATGTGTTTCACTCCCGAGTGACGGCCGACGAGCCAACACTCTGACAAAGCACCCGCGGCGGACCTGTAGCGAGATGGGGATGGGGGGCGACGAGGTGGAGTTGATGGAGAAAATTGGCCGTTTCAGGAGAAGATCCCCTCCTCGCCGGCAACGTCCCACCAGCAGTGCATCGCCAAGAGTCGCGTACTGTGCGTGCAGGTTGGCCGGACGCTGATGATTAGTATTATGTGAAGGTGCAGGTCGGTTAAGATTCCCGAGGCCATGTGCTTGTGCTTGTGCTTGTGCTTGGCCGGGCGCTAGCCCCATCCTCCATCCCTGCCGCGACGACTCCCTCCCTCACTCTCCTCAAACCTCAAACTCCCCATCTCTGCATACCTATCCTCATCACCTACCTTACCATAGTTCTATCCCCATTCTGTGCGCACTACATTCGTTGGTATCCTTGCATTGGTCCCGGCTCATCTTGCTTCGTCCATTGACATCATCACATCACTCGCTTGGTTTGCACTCCCGGCGGCAACGCATCCACCAGGAAACAACACAAGTCGCAAATCCATCCTACCACCTACCTACACTCGCTCTGCATCGATAGCCGCCGCCCTCCTGCGGGAATCCTCGCTTCGAATCCGTCTCCAGATCTTGCGCTACACTCACACGATCGAAGCCGCATCCGCCGCGCACTACCTTGGTTACACCGCGCCCGAAACGCGAGCCATGAGGCATACAATCGCCGCCCTCGCTGCCCTCACTGCATCCTTCCAATCCGCCTTCGCTGCCGACGCGCCTTCCTGCAGTCCATCAAGCTTGTGTCCGCAAGACACCCCTTGCTGTTCTCAATATGGCCAGTGTGGCGTTGGCGCATACTGCCTGGGCGGCTGTGACCCGGAGTCCTCCTTCTCGCTGCAATCATGCATGGCGGCGCCCGTGTGCAAGAGCGCCGACTACCAGTTAAAATCTCTCGACGATGTCGCCGCGAATACCATTTATCTGGGCGACCCGAGTTCCGTCAACTGGGTCAGCTCTGGCAAGCCAGTCGCCTACAATGGCGACTCTGTCCTGCTCACCATGGCACCCAGCACCGTGGGCACCCTGCTCACGAGCACGCACTATGTCTGGTACGGAAAGGTCAGCGCGACCATGACTTCCTCCCAGGGCCAGGGTGTTGTCACAGCCTTCATCTTGATGAGCGACGTCAAGGACGAGATTGATTTCGAGTTCGTTGGCAATGACGTTAGCTCGGCGCAGAGCAACTTCTACTGGCAGGGTGTTACCGACTGTAAGATCACCATTCCAATCATTGCCCTCGGATATCTACTGACTCTTCACAGATAACAACATGAACCCCCTGAATGTCTCCGATACTCGCCAGAACACCCACACCTACACCATCGACTGGCAACCCGACCAGCTCACCTGGTCCATCGATGGCAATGTCATGCGCACGCTGAAGAAGTCGGACACATGGAACTCGAGTACCAACGCGTACTCTTACCCACAGACCCCTGCCCGTGTCCAGCTCTCGCTGTGGCCCGCCGGTCTTCAGAGCAACGGACAGGGAACTGTAGAATGGGCCGGGGGTCTCGTGAACTGGAACAGCAACTACATGCAGAACGGATACTACTACGCCATGGTCAAGGACGTCAGCGTGGAATGCTACAACCCACCGGACGGATTCTCCAACAACTTCGGCACCAAAGCATACTACTACCAAAACCGCGCCGGCACCAACAACACCGTCGCCATCGGCAACAACAACACCATCCTGAGTTCTTTCTACGCGACAGGAGACAAGCCATCCTTTGACCCGAACGCCAAGGCAAGCGGCACTTCCACCAGCTCCGCAGCCACCATGACCGCGACCCCGGAAACCGTACCTGGTGTCTCGGGCGCCGGCGAGAGAGGCAGCGGGAGCCCAGCCGCGCAAAATTCCAACAGCAACTCCAACTCGAACTCGGGCTCGAACAGCGGCGGTGCGTCAGCCAGCTCCGGCAGCGGCTCCTCCGGTTTCTCGCAGGGTACAAGCTCCGGCTCCACGGGAAGCAGCGGGGCGCCGAAGATTGTCGCAGGCAGCGCCTTGGCCCTGGTTGGCTTTTTCGCTGCCGCACTCCTCCTCTAAAACACACTTCTCTTTCCGGGAGTACTTCTCCTTTTATCAAGTGTCATTAACAATTAATGATAATGGAGGAACCAACAACAACAAGATGATGAACAATTTTTTTTTTGCGATAACGGCTTCCAGTCCTTTCGCTGCAAACAGAGAAGAGAGAAATGGGAAATGGGAAAACGGGATTTTGATGCATGGCGTTCTGGCGCCTAGAAAGCTTTCGTTTTGAGATGCGATGCGATGCGAATATGATGAGAGAGAGAGAGAGAGAAGCAGACGGAAGGAAGGAAGGCAGGCAGAAGAGGAAGCCCGGAGTAGGTGTACAGCACTTTTTTGACAGGGAACAGCGGTCCTTACCTTCGTGTGGATGATTTTCTACTAGTAGATAGTGAGATGGGAAGACAGAGAGAGAGAGAGAGAGAGAGAGAGAGAATCTAATGCAATTCCTAAGCAAAAAAACTTCCCCGGTTTGATGCATGATGTGTGTGAGTGAGGTGAGAGATTTTTTATGAGAAACGAGAGTGGTTAGAGAAAACTTTGAGCGAGAGTGAAAGAGTGAGAGATGCTTACCTTACCCGTGGATTACCATTATCTACCTTATTAATGTAGAGCAGCATTATCCGCGACGAACAGAACAGAAAAAGCCTGACCTACCTGGCTGCCCATACCCTTAGTAATGCGCCTAAAGATTGTCAGTCAGTCAGTCAGTCAGTCAGTCAGTCAGCCACCCACCCACCCACCCACCCGTATGTGCGCACCCCTTGGGACGGACGAAAGAGACCCATCACTCACTCACTCCATACAAGACTTCAGAAGCCCGCCATCACCATCCTTACCTTTCGTCTTCGGCTGCGAGCCCAAGCTATACATCGACGACGAAGACGCCGACGCCGAGGACTTGTTCAGACGCGACCGTGTAATCCGTCGAATCTGAGCAAACCCATCTTCCGGCAAGTGAGATCTCCAGAACAGAGACTTTTCCGCCGGATCCTGGGGAAGCTTCTGCGTCGGAGCGGGACACTGGGGTCCGGGGACGAGATGGTCTGATCCGCTGTTCCGGGACGGAGACCCACGATCACTCTTACTCCTACTACTACCACCACTACTACTCTCCTCGCAGACTTCATCAGACCGGCGGAAAGACCACGGACAGCGCTGCTGCCCGCAGTACGTGTTGGAAGATGTGACGCCGAGGTCTGTGACGTCCCAGCAGCCTGTCTTTGTGAGACCGGGCTGGGAAGTGGCGCGGATGCAGAGGGAGAGTTGGGGTTTGCCGTAGCAGCCGCAGGCGTGGTAGGAGGTTTCTTTGTAACACATTTTTTTCTTTTCTTTCCCTAGAGGGGTTGAGTGTGTGTGTTGGGTCAAAGAGGTTTCGTCTGCGGTGGGAGCGAGGGAGGAGGAGTGAGAGGTGTGGGTTCGTCTAGGACTGTTCTTTCGATACTTGCGCTGCAGGTGTCGAAGAGAGAGCCTAGACGAGCGGATGGGAGGGAAAGATCGGATTCCAGGAGGCATGTCGGGACGTTATAATACCCTTGTGTTCTTTGTTTGAGGTTGGAAGAAAGGCATTGTCGACGACAATGCTCAGGCAAAGAATGGCCATTGTGGTCGAAACAAAGCCCGCTTTGTCCATCTGGGAGAGGTCGAGTCCAAGTCGAAGAGGTGGTGTAGGCTGTAGTAAGGATACGCAGCCGTTCTTTGTCCCATTGTCAGTTCGATGGTGTATCTGAGGGCCATCGAGCACTTTGAAGAGCGTGTGTGTCAGCGAATAAAGCTGGCTGCTTCAAGCAGGTGCCAACACTTCTGAAGCGCTCCCACACTTCAGAGCGCAAGTCCAGGGCATCTCTCAGCATCAGGCATCGATGGTCACGGGGAATCTTGAAGCCGCCGTGCCCTGCTGCCTGAGACCGCTTGAGGTAGAATGGCCGTTCACATCGCCAACACAGAGGCGTAGAGGCGGGCCACCCTCGGAGAGATCCTTCCTAGACAATGCGGAGGGCAATCTCAGGCCACTGACGATGATTTGTGGGAAGTTTCCAGGATTTGGAGGTGGAAGATTGGATGAAGATGATTGATCTCGCTACTTCGCTGCCACAACTGGGAGGCGTAGTGACAGCAGTACGTCTTGTGCCAGAGTGAATGGTCCGGATGGAACTGTTCCCGTCAGCATAGCCTTTCGCTCTGCTGCGCCAACAGCCTCCGATGACATAACGAATCCGCGATTGGTGTCGGGGCGGAGCAAACAGCGGCTGACGTGGGTGTGGTGACCGTCATTTCCATGAGCAATGTTGCGGCGGCTGGCGGCCCAGTCTGAATGAAGATGTCAGAATACAACGCAAGGCGTGCGGTCGGAACAACGGGACCTCCCATAGAACAGCTTCGCCTCGATTCCGCGGAGGCAGGGCTCTACCCGAAATGTAAGCGCTGTGCCTCTGGCATGCACTGATGTCCACTGCTTTGCCGCCGCCGGCAAGTTATCCGGGCGAAGTGTCCACGTGAGGGTAGGTAGATACTCCCAGACACCGCATTCGGTGATTTGAGAATGTCCCAGATTGTCCTGCGCCTCGTAGTCCATGTTTTCGGGAGTTCAAGCCATGCGAACACCAAACATGTGTGGCATGATCAGCGCCGTGCATTTGCAGTGTGCATGCACTTACTACTTAGGCCCACGAGGCTCAGCGTAAGTTCTTCTTCGCACGCGGCGGCGTACAACACCCCCCATGCGACCGCGCGCTCGGGTATGTTGAGCGCAGAAATGGATGCTGGGCTTCGGTGCCGACCCATTCGGCGCGGGAAAGAGTAGATGCTGCGCGCCGTACCAACACAACACCAGGGAGAGCGTTGGCAGGAACATGGTGGAGATTGGCGAGACTTGTGTTCATTCCTTTGTCTTGGACATTGCTCACGGAGGGAGAGATGGAGGGAGCCGACGACTGCAGGCCGACGAACGCGAATCGAGGGTACATGTAGCGCCAGCGGCAGGAGTTGATGTCGCCCGCGTTGGTGCTGGTTCGGGAGAAGGTGAGGTTTTCCTGGCAATACTATAATTAGGTGTGTTTTTGGCGAGATGAGAGCTTTAGCTACATTTATCATCCTCCAAACAGATCTTTAGTCTGCATTCTCGATGGGCTAAGCCCGAATGGCATTAGCTGCATATGCGTGCCCACTTCCCAGCCGCCTTCTTCGACTTCGACTTCGACTTCGACTTCTACTTCTACTTCTACGGCGACGCGACGCAACGCAACGCAACGCAATGTCATACCATGCCGTACAACTTGACATCACTCACGTCAGCACCAAACAAGACCGAAGATCAGTGAGCCGGCGAGCGTGTCCTGTCGGAGAATGACACGAGCAAACACAATGGTTGCTGTTGCCGCCGCGGAGCATGGGGCGGGGGGCGGGTGTGGCTTCACCTGCCGAGCTGTACGGCGGCAAAGAATGGCACCCCCACTGCGACTGCGCAGATTCCGACACTGAGTTCCGCAGACCGAAGGGCGGCGTGGTGGGACTTCATTTCACGCCGCGCAGATCTGTGCAGGCCCGCATCCATCGTCTGCTCTAATTTTGCCTGTGCGGGTCTCTGTGCCGCATGTCTAATTCCATCCTCCACCGCCCTACCTTACTCTACCGAACCGCTCGCAAGAGGTACGTACGTATATAGCTTTCTCTCACGTCCACGTTGTACAGGTACATGCCACCAGCATCTTCTTGAACAACCGTTCCTTCTTCCATTCCAAGTCGATCGTTGGAGATCAATCTTCCTTTGATCACCTTGTCTGCTCGATCAAAGCAACAGCAACAATGCCCTCTCTCACACCCTCCCTCATCGCTCTCGCCTTCATGTCGATTCCCTCCTCGGCGCTCCCTTATGCTGGCAACGGCAACATCCCCTACATCAACCTCGATCTCACTGCAACACCCAGCCTCCCCCTGAGAGAGGTCTCGAATACCGGCGCAAGCCCCCTCCCATCGCCAACCGGAACCCTCAAATCCATCCAACTCGGCCTCGGTTTCCAGAACTACACCTGCAGCAGTTCAGCCTGGATCCAGACCGTCCCCTCGGCCGGCGCAATCGCCAACCTCTACGACATCACTCGCCTCGTCACTCAATACACCTCCGACTCCTACACCCAGACCACTCTCCACGCCTTCGAAGACTGCCTCAAAGCCACCTTCTGCCAACCTTCCCCGGGGAACAACTACTGCGCCTCCTGCCATCAGATCGCCACCGCAGCCCTCTCCGCCTCCCTCTCGGGCCTCCACTTCTTCGAACAGATCAACAACGCCCAGACCCCCAATTTCCACATCTGGGCTCCTCCCCCCACGACCGACTCCGACGAATACCTCTCCGCGAAGAAGGTCGGCACCGCCAAGGCTGCCCAGAATGCCTACGCGGGCGCCAATGCCCTCGGCGCCGTCGCCTGGCTCTACCTCGTCGACAACGGAGACGGCAGGACCAAAAATCTCAAGAGCGTCTATCGCATCGAAACGGCAGGCGGTGTTGCGCCGGCTTCTTGTGAGGTTCCGGGCGAAACCCTGCAGGTTCCTTATGCGGCGGAATACTGGTTTTACGACGGAGGGAAATGAATGAAAACCAGCATCCACGGCCGTTGTTTTGTGATGTTTGAAACGAATTCATGACGCTGGGATCGGGTGGGACGTGAGGAGATTTGGCGCGCTCCACAATGGTGCTAGATTTGCTTGGTTGCTTTGTTGGCTTGTTGCTTGGTTTCGACGATACCCTGGTCTCTTCGTCTTGCGCGGGTCTTACCCAAATGTCGGTTTCCCGAGGCGCTTGGTTGGTGGCGCTAGCTTTCACTGCTGGATGGGAGTTGTAGATAATGAGCTAAAAACGATGAGAAAAAGCATAATCCAGCTCTACGATGCAAATCTGGAGCCCTCCATTCTTTTCAAAGCAGCAGTTGTTATTTTTGCGTGCACCATCCCGAGCATCTAGGAAGCTGACTGCTTTTCCAGGCCAGCGTGGAGGGTGCGCAGCCAGCCTTGCTCGGTAGGATAAAGATGGAGTAGATTTGCTCCGAGCTATTAATTTTCCATGGCCGTGTGAAGAAGAAGAAGAAAAGAAAAGACAGCGGAAAGCATAGATATTAACATACAAGAAAAGAACAACGTAAATAATCGTCTCCATCGCGCTTCGCTTCGTTTCCAACCACACCCCCGTTTCCGATCAAAAGAAGTCGCCGCCCTCGAGAGCTGCAAGTGAAATCCTCTTACTACAGATTCCGCCCGCAGCGACCGAATCACAAGTCCGACGACTGGAAAACGTCCCCTCGGAATCACCCGTGGTCGGTCTCGAAAATGTGTCCCCAGAATCGCTCGGAGATGAACAGGGCAGAGGTTTCCGCGGGATACTCTGCTGTCGACGGAGATGGTCCACCATAGTCTGTAGAGTAATATACACTTCTTGATCATCATCATCATCTTCTTCATCCACCTCATCCAAACATTCGGAACGATACTCGGCTGCCATCAGCTGCGTCGGATCATTCATTGGCAAAGGTTTCCCAACTCGCCTGGCGGCTTCGTGTCGGGAGACTTTTTCTTCGCTTGGTTTTTGCTGGGCGAGGTGGACGATCCATTGTTTTTCGAGACGACTTCTTGCGATGCCGACGTAGCGGTAGGAGCCGTCGGTGATGACGGACCAGATTGCGTGGGTGGGGCAATTGCAAAAGTCTTCGTTGCTGGGTTGTTTGGAGTCTTCAGGAGGACGCATGCCTGGTTTGCGCTTCGCATGCAGATGATGGCCTCCCTCCGCCCAGAGAATGCCCGTTGCTATGGCGCCATAGCCCGCCGGCCCTGTGATTTGAACATGACCAGTCTCCTCAATGGTCCGCGCAAACGTCACGGCTTGAACCGTGTGAAGCTGGCGTCGTGCCAAATTAGCAGCCAGCTTCTCTTGCCCAGCTGTTGCGTGACCGTACTCCATTTTCGCACGGGCAGCCGCGGCAATCAGGTCCTGTCCATTGGCCGCGATTTGAGCATCAGCATCCAGATCCTTGTCAAACTTCAATTTCTCCATTCGAATGTCCTCCGAGAGCCTGCGGTGTTCCTTGCGAGCTTGTTCCAACTCTTCGGTGGTTCTGGCCTTGATGACATCTTTCTGCTCGCGAGCGAGATTGAGAGCTAGAAATAGCCGCAGCCTTTCCTTCTCGAACTCTTCCTGCTCTGGTGTCACAACCGGAGGGGTACAAGCGATGACCGAGACAGCCGCGGATGAAGGTGGCGAGACCAACGTACTGCCTGTCTGCACTCGTTTGAGGCTGTGAGCGAATTCGTATGCGTTGGAAAGCGGACACTGTTCGTGGGCCTTAGGTGAAGCCTCTTGAGAGGGTGTACCTAAATCAGCGAGGAATTTGTCCATGAATACGGAGCCCGACATATCCTCGGTATCTTTCGCAGCCTTCTTCGTCTCATCGGTAAGTTCGCAAATTGTGGGACGTTTCCAATTCCCGCTTGGTTGAACCCCAGCTGCGACACGACGGGCGAACTCGCTTCTTGCGAAGTAGGACATCTTGCTTCTTTCGATAACAATCTCGTCTGAAGATTGAAGCAGCTCTTCCTCCTCGTCCTGCTGGTCTGCAGATGCGTTAGAATCGGCTGCTGCCGATGCTCTTGTCTTGGCGCTGGGCTCTTTGAGTGCGAGCGCCACACGTGCTTTGAGCTCACGGGCAAAATCGCTATTTTTAACGAACGATGCGGAGTGCGGCTCCGCTCCTTGTTGTGCATGCTCGTCGTTTGTCGGTGTTATAACATCGAACTCTACAGCCGGGATGTCCTGATCCAAGATCGCCACGAGTGTGTCTCCTAAGTCTCTCCAGTGGAAGAGACTCATGGCTTTGATTCGCGACGCAGTCCTTGATAGAATACTAGCACGTTGAACCTGCTCGACGGTATCTGTGTGTTCAAGGTCGTCCGGTATGTCAACCAGCTTCGTAGTCGCTTCTGACTGCATCGATGACGTTGTATCTCTAGAAGACGTCCGTGGCGGTGCCAGATCGATCGGAGCAGGCGTGGCCTCTCCGCTTTTCGGCGTCACTCGTGGGCCATCCTTTGGAGGATGCCATGCATTGGGTATGTTATTCCATCGTACCTGCTTCTTCTTTTTCGTCGTGGGCGGCTGCTCGGGCCATAGTGTATGTTTGATTGCCGGGTCGGGCTTGAGAACCCCCTCAGCCATCCAACCCATTTCTGTCTCCAATGCTTCTCTCGCCTTCGATTGTATCGCAGCTGCGTCCTGATGTGCTTTTGCCTTTACTTCTGCTTCCGCTTGTGTTCTTTCATTGGGGTCATACAGCAATGCGTCTTTCCCGATCTTATTCGCAACATCGTTGCTTGCTATATAGTACGGCTCTGCGCAAAGTCGTACATCCTGATACTCGGGCGTCGCTTTTTGCTGTCGAGGGCCCGTGATGCATTCATTGAGCATGCCAAATTTCTGCTTGAGGTCCACCGAGGGAAACTTGCGTAGAGCGCGCTTTCGCAAAAGCTCATCGTGGGTGTCAGTAGAGAAGTGGCTGCATACAGCAGATGGAGGCGTTGGAGGTAATGGCTTGTCGACACGCGTGGGGACCATCCTCATGACTTGTTCTTCGCGTATGGTATCGACTGAGAAGCGACTTCTCAGTTGCGGAGGGGGGCGTGCGGAATGCGGTGTGGGCCCTTTGAGCTTCAAATCCTCAATACTTTGAGGAAATATCTTGTCCATAGCAATGTGCTTCGTGCGAGGAGGTGGAGGCACCGACATCGGTGTGTCTTTGCTTTTCGAAAACATGTCGTAGTTCGCCGGTCTCGAAGAAGAGGAATAAAAGGTAGCGATCATGCCGAACACTAGATATTTGTCTGGAAAGTATTTGATCATGAAGTCCATGCAGTCACAAGACGGCTGCAGCATTGCACTCGCACGTGCAACACCACATACAAGGCATGAAGTTGTGCTGCAATTACCGCGTGACATCTCGTCCGTCTCCACTTCGAGGATGTACAAACTTGTGGACATAGTTGGGAGGCGTTCGCAACGGGTGAGGGAAGAGGAGCACAAGATCGACTTGGGATTCCACTGTACGGCGAAGCCGCTCTATACACGTTGCCCTCTCCATGCGGCACAAGTTACAGCTCATGTGCCTACGCACTCTGTGTTGTGCCATTGATAGCAGTATACCGACAAGCGAGGACTCTCGCACATGGCCTTGGCGGCTTCTCGGTCCCGAAGTGGCTTAGCGCTGTTGGTCCTGTTTCCGACCTTTGTTGGAAGTGGTCCTCTTAGAGGCGGCTAGCTGTCGCTGTTGGAATAGCTGATTTGACTCTTTCTGTCAACCGGACCGTTATGATGGTATACCGCCGGAAGACGAAGACATCGAGCTAGGCAGTCTTGAGGTTGTGAAGGGTGACGTGACATTTGCGGCCATTTTGATTCAAGAAGCGCCTTGCCTCTTGCGCTCGAGAATGTCGTGCCTCAATCTTTCGCCTGCCGCTTGGGTCTCGATCATTCTGCCGATGCCAGTCCTCCATCCCTCTTCCAGACCGTGCATCTCTCCAGCGGCATTCGCTTGGATTGTCCTTCGCGTCTGTTCCAGCTGCTCTTGCTGCAGTTTGGCCTCTTGGAGTTCCTTCTCCAGTCCTTTCAAGACATCTTCCATCTGGCTATTCCCAATCAGCCAAGCGTTCTTGCCGTAAGTTTCGAGCAGGCTCAGATTGATGTTCCTGCCACGGAGATACTCGGCGCTCGCATATGCCTTTCCCAGTGTCGACTTCCACCCTTCCAAGTCACCTTTCGCTGCCGGGTCGAGCAGCTCGTATCGGCTTATGTCAAGACCCCCTTCCTTCGGCAGTCCGGTTGCTATCCTCGCGTGCTCTGCTTCCACGAAGTCCGACAACTTGGATTCCTGAGGCGCTGGGATCGAAGGATGCAGAGTTGCGGCACAGTCAGGATGCATTTCGGCGTTGATGAGGGCGTTTGCAGCGCTTAGCTGCTGGTCATGTACCGGAGTATCCACGTATGGTAGTGCGTCGGGTACGCTTTGGATGAGAGGCATGCTGGCGTCGTATACCTGTATGCAACGGTGTCGTAAGGATGCGAGAAGAGAGCTGGAGGTGGGGATAGACTTTCGGCCGAACGCCGGACTTTCCCGTTCCAGCGAACGAGTCAAGAGCTTCGGAGCCGTTCTCAAGTCAACGCATAGATGACTTGGGGAGTCTTGCTGCAGGGTTCCCTTCGATCGCTATCAAACGCGGTCATCCACTCGATACCGCGCCTTCTTGCCTTGTGGATGTTGACTTACACCGCCGTCAGCACGTATACCAGGCATCAACACCAGCCATCTCCGTCATCCACCGGCAAGCACGAAGCCTTCCGACAGCAACCGGAGCAGAAGCGTCATGCACGGTCAAGCTATCACTTGATCCATCTCAAATCCATTTTCTTCTCTCTTTCCCATCATCATGGCACGATCGCCACCTTCTGTTCTCATATTGGCTCTTGTTGTGTTTGTAATTCTATCCTCATTGAATCTATTCCACAGACTGGGCCCATCGGTGCTGGACCTCTGTGCTGACAATCTCAACTTCCACATCCTGCAAGGTCAGAAACCTGACAGAGATGCTGGAGACCAATTCCTCCTCGGCGTCGGCAAGGGCGACATCACCGGACCTGTGGCCGAGATCAACTTCATGGGATATGCTGATACCGCTCAGCTGGGCACTGGACTGAGGCAACGTCTCTATTCACGTGCCTTCATCATCGCCAGTCGGGACCAACCGAAGGATCGCCTTGTCTATCTCGTAATCGATACGGCGTGCGGTGATACTGCCATTCGACATGGGATACTCGAGGGCTTGAGAGACCTGGGCGAAGAATATGCCATGTACGGCCAGAACAACGTCGCAGTGACCGGCACCCACTCTCACAGCGGACCCGGCGCGTGGCTGAACTATTTACTTCATCAAATCACAAGCAAAGGCTTCGATAGGCCCTCGTATCACGCCATTGTCGAAGGCGCCATTGCGTCGATAAGACAGGCCCACGAAGCTCTTGGCCCGGGCCATCTGAGCATTGGTCATATCGAAATCGAAGATGCCAACATCAATAGAAGCCCATGGTCGTACTTACAGAACCCCGCAGAAGAACGAGACCGGTACAAGCACGATGTCGACAGAATGATGACCCTCCTTCGCTTCACAAGCGCGACCGAGTCCGGGCCCCAAGACATTGGCGTGCTCACCTGGTTTGCAGTCCATGGCACCAGCATGTTTGGCAACAACACTTTGGTCACAGGTGATAACAAAGGCTTAGCTGCTGCCCTGTTCGAAGATTCTGTTGGCGATCCCTCATTTGTGGCAGGGTTTTCCCAAGCGAACGTGGGCGATACAACACCCAAGGTACTAGGCGCTTACTGCGAGTCTGGCCCTCAAGCGGGCGAGCCGTGCGACTTCAAGACCAGCCTGTGCGGTAACAGCACTCAAGGCTGTCATGGTCGCGGGCCACACTACGGACGCGACGATGGCGGATCGGCAGACAATTACGAAATCGGTCTTCGCCAGTTCAAGGGTGCTAGACAGCTTTTCGATGATGAGAATCGCTTCGTCCCGGTCAGAGGAGATGTCGTCAGAAGTGTGCATCAATTTGCAGACCTCAGCCACTTTACATTCTCCCTGCCTAACGGCACGGAGGTCAGAACGTGTCCTGCTGCCTTGGGATATTCCTTTCCTGCGGGTACGTCTGACTGGCCAGGGCATTTCGACTTCAAGCAAGGCCAGCCCAATGACCCACATGCGAGCCCGTTGTGGAACGTGGTCAAGAATGGACTTCACGCCCCCAATGAGACGCAGCAAGCTTGTCACAGAGAGAAACCAATACTGCTAGATGTTGGGGAGACGAAGACGCCCTACGACTGGACGCCAAATATCGTCGATATCCAGCTCTTCCGGGTTGGCCAACTGTTTATGATTGTGTCTCCTGGCGAGGCAACTACTATGGCTGGTCGAAGATGGAGGGACGCCCTGGAGGCTTCTACCGTCTCGACCTTCACAGACTTAGACGAGGACCAAGAGCCGACGGTGGTACTTGGTGGCCCGGCCAATACCTATGCTCACTACATCACCACGCCTGAAGAATACGGTGCGCAGCGATACGAAGGCGCATCTACGCTATACGGTCCGTGGACGCTGGATGCCTACATCAATCTCACGTTGACGTACCTTCCACGCCTAGCTGCATCAACTCGTAACTGGCCGCACCTGGACCATGGACCGAAGCCGCCGATCTTCGTCAACAAAAGTCTCAGCTTCATCTCGCCCGTCGTCGTGGACAGAGCACCCTTTTTCAAACATTTTGGCGACGTCCTCACCGATGTAGATGGTACCTACGACGCAGGAGACTCGATCAAGGCAACGTTTGTCGGAGCCAACCCACGTAACAACTTCCGTCTCGGTGGCACTTTTGCCGCGGTGGAGAAGTATAACGCAGACAGCGGAGTGTGGGGCCAAGTCCGCGATGACGGGGACTGGAGCCTCGTCTACGAATGGAAGCGCACGTCCGAGGCGCTCGGCACGAGTGAAGTTACGATCTCATGGCAAACGAAATGGGAGACTGGGTCGTGGAAGGACGGAAGCGGAAAGGAGGAGGATGTGAAGACGCCGCACGGAGACCTGCTGGTTCGGGACCATGGCTTGCGGGGGAAGTATAGACTGCGGTACTATGGGGATAGCAAGTCTCTCGGAGGGCGAATTTCTGCTTTTGAGGGCACGAGCGGAGACTTTACGGTTTTATGAAATTGAAGTGGTGGGACAGAGATTGTATAGCGAGGTCTTTAGGAAGACGAAGCAATTCAGGCCTCGGAGGCGGCCAATGACCGTATTTGCTGTTACCTACGGTACGGTACCTCACCTTACTTACGAGATCGGATCATCATCGTCCTTTCCTGAGCAGATCGGAGGCGGCGGTGGGCAAGTGGGATGGATGCGCCGTGTAGGCAGTCGAGAGGAAATTCCGTCGCGGCTATCCAGGATAAATTTCCGATTGGTTTGTGCTAGCTTATGTCTGCCTCTCCTCTGGCTTGCACGTCTTCACCGCTCCCATCTCGAGGCCAGTCGCAGTGCCATTCTGCCACGGCAGGGTGATGTCTTGTGAAATGCACCAATTCCTCCATGCGATCCATCATTCGATCAACCATTGACGGGCGGCTGTACCTTTACGTCAGAGGATGATTGCGAGGCGGCTCTCATACGCCGCCAGCTGCCAGCGCAACGTGGGCGATCTGCAGCGCGTAGGCATGGCCTCGCCAACCACCACAACGGCAGACGAGCACAGTCTTGCCGTGCTTGGTCTTTTGCTTCATCATCAGGTGCCTGTCGCGCTGCACATGGTCGATAATCATCATCCTCCCCTCGCCGCCCTCGCGCACACTCCTCTCCCCCTCCCCCTCCCCCTCGAGTCGTGACGCACTTCACAGACACTCGAGTCGTGAAGCACACACAGACAGACCACAGACAGTGCGCGTCGCCGGAGCAGCAGGGCCATCCACGCTCACGTGCACGTGTACGGCTACTCCGCTTCACTCTTCCCCGGGCCGCCCCATCACTCTCACTCCGACCTTCGTTTCACCGGCCACGGCCACGGCCACGGCCTCCATTTCATCCAGCTCCAGCTCCAGCTCCAGCTCCAGCTCCAGCACCAGCTCCAGCACCGAAACATCGACAGAAACGGCATCCGACTCAGAATCCAGAATCCACACCACCTCCACACCCTCTCTGCCCGGTCCAATCTCCTCTCTGCCCGCGGAGCCCGACCTTCTCACGTCATCCAGCATCCTCTCGTCAGGCGATCCACCATCCCGGCCGTCTCCGCCTCCGCCCACCCCGCCACCCGTCCCTGAGCTTGGTCTGCGCCCGCCCCGATGGAGGCCTGGGTCGAGAATGGCCTCGAGGCAACCAACTACATCGTCGACCGTCACTTCGATAAGGGCTGGGATCGCGTCCGTCGCTATCGCAACGCCAGCAGGCTCAAGCATCAGGAGATCCCCTACTGTTCTTCCCCACGCCACTCCAAGCGCCGCAGCAACCAAGAGGAAGTAGACCGCCCTGACTCATCAGATTCCTCCGACGACTCTTCCTCCGACGACGACCGGGTTGGCGAGAGGACACCTGCGGCCACTGCTGTGAGGTCATCTGCCGCTTTCAGTGGCGCCGCTGCCGCTGCCGCTGCTGCTGCCGTCCCCAGCGCTACCTCAACTACCCGACCCAGGCAGAGAAATCAGCTGCCCTCCCCCGAGCGCGACCCCTCCAGAGTCAACCGCCGAGACAGCATCTGCAGTCTACAACAGGAGAGTGAGACCAGCGACCGCATCCTCCGAGCATACGAACTCGAGACCGACGACCCAAAGCGCAATCCAGAATCCGTCCTGTCATCCCGAGATCTGCGCCACCTCAAGTCAGCCTCCCGACGAGATAGCGCCATGGCCTCGGCATACAACGACGACTACGCTCAGTCGCGATACGACGGCGAACGTCCGCGCTCGCAGCCTCCGCGCAGCAGATATTACGACGACGACGACAGCGACTACGACGAGCGCTCGGGTCGCCGTTACGCAGGAGGGAGTGGCCGCGGATACGACGACCGCGACTATGATCGCGTCGTCGAAGAGACAGAGAGATACCGTGGCCCGGTAGGTGCAGGACCACTTGTTGTGCGTCAACAGCCCCACATTACTTGGAAGAAACACCTCACTGACTTGCTGCACAGCCTGCTCATCGTCCTTGGGATGCCACTCGTAAGGAAAGCTCCCGCTCTGGTTACGACGAGCCATATGGTGCGGGCGCCGTCACTCAATACGGACGCCGCTCTGACGCAGCCGTCGACTGCCAGACCGAGACCAATGTCAGCCGTCGCTCCAAGTCTCGCGGAAGGGACCGCGACGACCGATCCTACTCGCGCTCAGAATCGCGCTCCCGAAGCCGTTCCAGAGGCAAGGAAGGTTGGCGCGGAAAGCTTGACGATACCTTCGATACGACTGCTCGCGGTCTCGGTATCGGCGTAGCAGGTGCCGTTATTGGCGGACTTGCTGGCCGAGAGTTTGGCAACAAGCATCGTCAGCGAGACATCATCCTCGGCGCCGTTGTTGGTGGTCTTGGGGCTAACCTCGCCGAGAACAGATGGCGCGAGTGGAAGGATGGAAAGGAGCGCGATGTCGAGAGAGAAGAGGAACGTTGGGAGCAGAAGTATGACGGGAGAGACTACGGTCGAAGCAGGAGCAACGTCCGATAAGCGCTTGCTCGCGCGGTGGGATGGGTTTGGGGTAGCAGGGGCGTTCTGCTACGGCGTTTTTCGATGATGATGTGAAGCGATGGATAGTAACGACTTCGACGACGACAGAACAAGTGATGAAAAGTCTAGAGGAGACTGGGATGTAATGCGGCGTTACGGTTGAACACTTTGTACCTCTGCATACGACGACTTTCTTCATGAGATACCTTTCAACATCGACAAAAGCGCTTGTACATCAGTCACTCGTCGCGCAGTCTTGCGGAAGTAGCATTGAAGTAGAACTTGTGGAACGAACGTCACATCCCGGGCTCGTGTCCGCTCGCTTCGGGGCGTCAAGCCGACATCCAAGATCGCCAACTCCATCCACCATCTCTCCAACTTTCAACCTATCTACAACCCTGCACTACTCCGCTCTTCACTTCCCTTGCGATATTGCGTAGTTGAAACACACCTCAAGAGCGTTCTTGATTTTCCATCCTGAGAACCTACGCCTCGTTTCGTTCATTCTTTCGCCCGAAAGCCATTCAACAACCGACGCCTCAGCATAGCAAGCGACTACACCTCCACCGCGGCCCCCGAGGCAGAGGCAACCATGGCACCCGGACAAGAGCCTCTCCTCGCCAACAGACCCTCATCACAGAATTCTCGAGAGCGCGAGGAAGGCCTCGAAGAGGAAGACGCCCTGCTCACGGGGCAACGAACAGGCAAACAACAAGCGTCCGCAACCGCCGAAAAGACTAGGCGATGGCGCGAGATTGGACTCTTCGTGTGGGCGCTGGCTGCTACTGCCGTGGTCGTCGTCTTGGCGGTCGTGTGGCAGCACAACCAACAAACAGGCGGAGGGTCAGGCGGCGGGTCGGGGGATGGCAAGGACGACAAGGGCTTTGGAGGCAAGAAGAATTTGATCTTCATGGTCTCGGATGGGATGGGACCGACGAGTCTGTCGCTTACGAGGAGCTGGAGACAGTATACGGAACAGCTGCCGTTTGACGAGACGTTGATTCTGGATGAGCATTTGATTGGACAGAGCAGGACGAGGAGTTCGAGTAGTCTGGTCACGGACTCTGCGGCCGGAGCGACGGCCTTCAGTTGTGGGCAGAAGAGCTACAATGGCGCGATTTCGGTGCTGCCGAATTTCGATCCATGTGGGAGTGTTATGGAGGCTGCCAAGAGGATGGGATACACAACCGGGTTGGTGGTGACCACGAGGATCACGGATGCTACGCCTGCCGTCTTTGCGAGCCATGTCAGGAGGAGGGAGATGGAGGACGAGATTGCGTTGCAGATGATTGGAGAGACACACCCGCTGGGCAGGATGGTGGACCTGATGATGGGTGGTGGCAGAGCTCACTTCCTGCCCAACACCACGAATGGAGGCTCCAGGACCGACGGAAAGGATCTGACCAAGCTTGCGGCGGAGAAGCATGACTGGAACTACATCGACAACAAGAAGTCGTTTGACAATCTGGGGACGTCGGCGGAGTTGCCGTTGCTTGCCCTCTTCGCGCCAGGTGATATTCCATACGAGATTGATCGTAGGAATGAGACCCATATCTACCCATCTCTCGAGCAAATGACGAGGACCGCTCTGAGTGCCCTGAGCGCAGCGACCAAGAACAAGGATAAGGGGTTCTTCGTCATGATCGAGGGCTCGCGGATTGACCACGCCGGACATGCCAACGATCCAGCTGCGCAAGTGCATGAGGTCTTGGCTTACGACCGGGCCATGTCGGCCGTCTTCGACTTCATCCAGGACTCTGAGACTCCCACGCTGATGGTCAGCACTTCAGACCACGAGACGGGAGGCCTCGCTACTGCGCGCCAGCTGCACCAGTCATATCCTGACTACCTCTGGTATCCGGGCGTGCTAGCGAACGTCACACACTCTGCCAGCCACACTGCGCGAGAGTACAACTACCACCTTCAGAGTCTCGCCAAGGAGCGAGCTGACTCCGTCGGCGCGAATGGCGAGAACCTCAACGGCTACCTCAAAATGCTCCTCAAGAACTCTCTCGGCATTCATGATCCGACGCTCGACGAAATGGAAGCCCTCGTTACAAAGCCCGAGCGCTCCGCCTACACTTTCGCCGACATGGTCTCCCGCCGCGCCCAAACAGGCTGGAGCACTCACGGCCACTCCGGCGCCGATGTGAACATCTACACCTCCGACCCGGCAGCGGCCTCTGCCCTGCGCGGCAACCACGAAAACACCGAAGTCGGCGAATTCCTACGCTCCTACCTCGGCCTCGACGACGAAGTCGAAAAAGTCAGCGAAAAGCTCCGCAAGCACATGAAAACGGTCGAAGGCGGGCAGGAATTCTGGCTCGGGAGTATCCCGGAAGCCGACGAGAGACTGGACGGACAGGACCATTTGGATCATTATCACGGCGATCATAAGACGAAACGGTGCGAGGTTTGCGGCATCTAGGCTATGGCTGTGAAGCGCGTGCTGGGTGGTTTGGGGCTTTTGGTTTGGGGTTGGATGCTGGAGCCTGTTGACATGGCGGAGCATTTGCTTTGACGACGAGGCGTTTGAGGGAAGGGAAGGCAAGGGAATGAATGTGGCATGTCGAACGGAGTCTTTATTGATAATTTCTCTTTTTGGGGATACCCTATGTTTTTATCATCAGAATGCAATGGACGGGTTCTCGGTAGAGGAGAGGAGAGGATGTGAATTGAGGCAAACTTGTCGTCTTTCAAGGCTGGATTTTGAACGCTTTGCGTATAATGCTACTGGTGGTATCATGCGGTTTTGGTCATTTAGGGGCTTTTGGAATAGCTTGGCATCAATATCGTGATATGTTCTGATGCCGACGTACCCAGAAGGCATGGTGCATTTGTTCCGCAGACCGAGGCGGTGGGTTGGGTTTTGATGGAAGGTGGTATGTATCGCGTTTGGCTTTCTTTTCCTCTTCTTGTTCCTGTTCCTGTTCTTGTTCATGTTCCTGTTCTTGTTCATGTCCATGGCCTGGTTTCCTGTTCTTCCTATCAATCTCATCATGTACAGTTTTACCTTTCTTTGATTTCCATTCTCCTTTCTTGATGCTGTTGTTGTTATTTTCCTTTTGGGTAGGAAATCGTTCCTTGTGTGTGGAGAGAGTTTCCATTGTCGAAGTAGTGAGACCACATGCTCGCGAACGCCCGTCATGCCATGTTGACATGTGCCATGGAGGTGGTACGGAAGCAGAAGGGGGAGAGAAGGAGCCCAAGGTTTGGTTGATTGGTTGATTGGTCGGACGGTCGGTCATGTCTTGTCATTCAGAAGTAGCAGTTGGCGGGAGGTTTGCGTGGGTAATGATGTGGAAAACGAGAGGTCAGTACCTGTTACTCCTTTGAGCGCTCGTCTTGCGCGGGTGATGATGGCGTTTGTATTCCCATGATTGATTGATTGATTAATTAAGAAATTCCTCTCGCGTCGTATACCTATACCTATACCTGTCCCGGTTTCATTTCTTTTTCCTTTCCTTCCCATCAAGAACGCCCATCAGATCTACCTCGAAAAGGGGAGCGTCAAATTGCAAAAGGCGGTGTCTTCTGTTCTTGATGATGATGATTGGGCTCTTCTCCAGAAGATAACTCTATCAATCACACACATGGTGGCCTCAAGGTATTTACCGTTGCGTTCTCGATACTCGTTTGCCCGTATCTGCCATCGTCTCCTGCATGTGTCTTAGTTAGCAAACAGCGCAACAATGACCTCTACCTGCAGGCTGCGACAGATGAGAGCACAGATACCATTCAACCATTGTCGTTATATCGATCCATCGTATGCATAGTAATTACTATAGAAAAAAAGCAACAGTAGATGGGTTTCATATATCTATACTATAGTATTCATCTCTCATGTATTAGTTAGTATTTACTCTACTCTTGTACTACAATCCCCCATCATCATCATCATCATCATCACTGACGCAGTAGTGTGCAGGAAATCGCATGCAGCTAGCTAGTTGAGGTGGGCAGCATCCCAAGCGGTCGTGTTACGAGAACCCGGGTCCCGGTGCCCGGTGCCCATATCCCATTTCAGGTTCCGTCTTGTTCGATCCGGTTGAGCACTTCACCTGTAGATATCGCGTCTGCTGTCTCCCTCTTGCAAATGCCGGCTTTTCATAGCATCGGTGGTATGCTCGACAGGCGAGATGTCCAGGGCATTGATTGCTTCATCGGCATCGTAATCCGGTGGTTGGAAACCCAAGAACCGAGCTGCATACCCTGGGGAGGGGGAGGGGAGCGTTAAGGTACCTAGTGTTCCGGCTTGGGTGTGGTGGAGACTGTCGAAGACCAGGAAGGAGTCCGGGAACGCGGGAAGCACGACACGTTGCCCGAGAAGGCGCTAGCCGGCGGTAATGAATAGCGCGCCATGCCATACCCTGCGCAAAAAGCACGCCCAATAGCGGAAGGGAAGAGACCATTACACGCTGCTGCACATTGGCTGGGAGCGTTGGTCGGTGGTAGGACTCCTACACAATTCCTTGTAGCATTGACTGCCCTATCGGCATTGGCATCAGTATCCTGACCCATCCTTATCCAATCCTCCTCTCTGATGCCCGCCCGGAATAGCAATACAACAGTAGCCGTCACCCACTCCCACCTTTCGTTCTAATTAACACTTTCCCCCGCCCCGGGATAAGGAGAGATTGAAAATGCATGCATCCTCCCATTCATCGACTCATGATAAGAACATTGCCCCGTGCGCCTGCTTTGTGTAGCCCTTGTTGCTGCCCTTTTGGTACACAGAAATGCATGTCAGAGAACCACACCACCCACCGACCCCCAGCTGCACACTGCGCGATCCTCTCGCTCTCCCGAGAGGTCACTTTATCTTCGCGCGTTGCTTTTCCGCTTTATTTTCCGCGAGCGAGCCAAGGCTGGAACAGTGCTTCGCTCCATTCTATCGCTGCTTCTGCTTCCTCTCCATTACACAGCATATGCGTCCAGTGATCCACGTCGCTGCTTTCCATTCCTTCAGCATTGCCCCATCTGCTATCCCATCAGGGGTGGCCCGGTGGCCTCTGTGGCGGCTGATCTTCTTCCACAACGGGGCTTGGAGATCGAACAGTGCCGCTCCGCAAGGCTTCCCTCTGCGCGCTGGGATCGGTTCCTGCATCTGTTCGGCTCGACGAGCCATCTAGGACAGACGCAATCTGTGCTTGGGACACTGCTGCTGGGGGAGAAAGCGAGAGCGCTGCTTGAAGTTCGCTTTGCTCTCGTCGTCCCCGTTGCTGTTCATCTTCATCGCTGCTCCCCGGCGAATCTTCGTGTTGAACGCCGCCGCGGCCTCGTGCGTTGCTGTCCATGCTCTCACGCCTCAGCCGGTCGGCCTTGTCCTTGAGCACCTTGGCCTCCTCTGCCGCACGCTGAGCTCGGACTTGCTTCTTCCACATGCCCGCATAGCGCCCTCGCTTGGCCAAGAGCTCCAAATGAGTACCACTCTCGGCCACTTTACCCTCATGCAGGACCAGAATTTGATCGCACATGGTGATTGTGCTAAGACGATGCGCTATGACCAGCATTGTCCGACCCCTTGACAAAGTCTTGAGCGCTTCCTGAATATGCTCTTCCGTCTCAGTGTCCAACGCGGCAGTCGCCTCGTCCAACAAGATGATCCTTGGGTCCTTGATGATGGTCCGCGCAATTGCGACTCGTTGCTTCTCCCCTCCAGATAGTCGCAATCCACGCTCACCGACTTTGGTCTCGTACCCATCCGGGAAGCTCATGATCTTGTCGTGAATGCTCGCCGCCTTGCACGCCTCATACACTTCTTCGTCTGTGGCAGCTTGCCTGGCGTATTTGAGGTTGTACATGAGAGTCTCGTTGAACAGGACCGTATCCTGCGGAACAACGCCAACGTGCTTTCTCAAGCTGTCGATCGTGATGCTCTGTGCGTCGCGGCCATCGAGTTGCATGGTGCCGGACTGCGCATTGTAGAATCGGAACAACAGTCTGAAAATGGTGGACTTGCCGCCTCCAGATTCTCCAACCAGCGCCGTGGTCGTACCTGGCCTGCAAGTGAAAGTCAACCCTTGTAGAGCAGGCTTTCGGTTATCGTATGAGAAATGAACGTCGTTATATCGTATTTCGCCTTCGCACAGCGGCATCTCTTCCGCATCGGGGCTGTCGACCACCGTGGGCTGCTCCTTGAACAATTCGAGCATGCGCTCAGAATTGATCATGTTGTTCTGAATCATCCGGTAGAAAGTTCCAAAGAAGTTGAGCGGAGCCTGAAGTTGGCTCATATAGGTCAGCAAAAGGACAAAGTCGCCAACTTTGCGAAGCCCGCTCGTGACCTGATATGCAGCAATAAAACAAGCCACAATCAGGCCAAGCATAAATACTAGGTTTTGGATAGTATTCATCAGCGCGAGAGAGAATGTCACCAAGTACTCTGCTTTTTGATACTTCTTCACGGCCTCGCGGTAGCGATTGAACTCGTAAGCTTCGGCGTTGAAGTACTTGACCGTCTCATAAGACATCATGGAGTCGTTTTTGACTGCGTCTTCCTCTCGGCTCGCGTTGGTCGCCTGTCGACGAATCTCCGCTCTCCAGGAAGCCATCCGGACCGTGATGTAGATATACCAGAATGTGATGACTGCAATCACCAGAGCGTAATACGCATCGAAATAGAAGAGAAAATAGACCAGTGCCACGGCAAGATCAATGAGCATGGGAAGCACGTTGAAGGTGACGGACTCCAGAAAGGTGTTCAAGGAGGCGCCTTTGCCAAGCGCTGAAAGCACTTCACCAGTCTTCTTTCCTAGGTGGAATTCCAGACTCAGCATGTGCACATGCTCAAACGCAGCCACGGATAGTTCCCGGTATGAGTACTGCTCAATCGGTATCCATAGTATTTGTCGAGCGGCGCCAAGCAGGCCATTGGAGCCTTGAAATAGCCGGAAGGCGATGTAAACCAAGATGGCTCCCCATGGAAAGTAGACAGGACCATTGTCGCCAGCCAGAATGTTGGTGATGTTGCCGGCTTGGATCGGGACGGCGAGCTGGACGCCACGCTGCAGGATGACAATGAGTATGCACACGACGAAGTTCACCTGCAACATGCGATTCTTGTATGGCCAGATATAAGGGAGAAACATGCCATAGGCACGGATGTATTCCCACCAACTCCGAGTGGGCGTTTGTTTGGGCTTCTCCCAACCAGCTGGCACTTCATCGTGACCATGTGGTCCGTGCGGCTTTCCGTTTTGCTCAACGGTCCCATAACCATGGGACGAGCCAGCGGCGGATCCATTCGCCGCGTGGCCATTAGAGAGCAAAGATGTGCGCTCTTCCGGATCGTCTTGACAGGCGTCGGCCTTCTTTCGGCCTGCACCTTGTAGGTACACGAATAAGGCGAAGAACATGACAAGCCCGACGAGGAAGAAGGTGCGGACGATGTCGATGACGACTTCGGTGATTTCCCACTCAGTCATCTGCCTGCGCAGTCTCCCGCCATGAGGATGACCAACCTTGGGCTCTCGGTGGTCAACCGAATAGACGGCAAAGGAAGCGCCCAAGAGGATCAACTCCATGAGCAGCGCAGCCAGCCATGACACAAAGTGTGCAATGGTCGGAGACGGCCGCGAGTCTACCATGTGAATAAGGAGGAGGATGTAGACCATGAATGAGCCCACCAGATAGATCTGTTCCATTAGCACGTGCTGATGCAGGCTTCAGGCTGCTCCCAAACATACCGTCGGTGCTTGCCCGCACCACCAGCCTTCCTTCCTGGCCAAAATGGCGTGCAGGATGACGACTACAAGGTTGGCTCCCACGCTGGCTACGACGCCCACTGAGAGCCATTCAAAGAGCAGCTTCCTGGGCCTAGTGAAGTCCAGGTCTGGGGGTATGTCTAGCTCTTTCTTGGGATTGTTCTTCTTTTTGGGCAGTGGCTTGCCGCCAGGTCCCAGCTGCTCTGGCTGCGGTGACACATCGTTCTCGCTTCGTGCCGTGACGACGCTGCGAATGGTGAAGGCGACGAGGTAGAGGAACAGCAGGATGATGGGATAGGCGACCTGGACATAGCTGAGGACGTCTTGTGCCACAGGATCGGAGACCCAGGGTGAGGAGCCCTCATCGTCGCTAGCCATTGTCGGGTGGGAGGCGCTCGAAGGGGAGTGATGGAGTGTTGGATGTCGCCAGATTGCCGCCGTCGCCGATGCGAGTGAGTCCGCGCGTCGACCGTAGCGACTGTGGTGTAAAGCAGGGCAGCAGAGGGAAGTGGGAAGGAAGGCGAACGGATGCGGATGGTGGGGTGTATTAGGTGGCCATGACCCGGCGGGTAGCTGCTGCCGTGTACGAGTGGACACAGCAGAGGCGTGTGTTGGATGGAGGGAAGGACGAGGACGAGGACGAGGAGTCGAGGGACCGGAGAGGGAGAAGGTGGTACAGTGCGAGTGAGCTTGTGCCTGTCGTGGAGTAGTGTAGGTCAGTCGTCGTCTTCGAGGGCAGAGCCGTGAGCGTAGAGGGTTAGCGGCGCGGGTGTTTGCGGTGGAGCGTTGGCGCGTTGGCGCGGTGGAAAAGTCTGGTCCCTGTGGTCCGGTTCAGGTTGTCTGCTGCTGCGCACGCCCAGCTGTGTGTGAGGGCAGGCAGTCAGTGCAGACTCTGGCAGGCCGAGCAGGTGACAGGCAGCGCAGGCAGAGCAGTGTGCAGCCTGGACAGCAGGTGATGAGGACCGCCGTCGCCGCCGCCGCTCACTGGCCAGAGGGCAGACGTTGCTTCGAGTGCTAGATTCGATGCGGCCAACCACGGTAGGCGGCTACAAATCCCCCGGACAGCGACAGCGTGTGTGGTGTGCAACGATCGCCGGCAGAGTCTGGCCCGCATGCCTGTCCACCGTCCACAGTCCTGCATGCATCCTGCAAGCTGCAAGCCTGCATCTCTGGGTGTCTGCATCTGCATGGCGGCGGGCGGACCTGCCAACCTGCCTGCCTGCCTGCCTGCACGGCTCCTCTGCGAACGAGACCAACACCACTATCACACTGCACGCCCTGCCGCCACGACGATACTGTACACGACCACCGCCATGCGCCGTGCGTCCCGGCTGCGTACACGCCCACAACCACACACCTTTCCTGCCGTGCGGCCACGCTTACCTTACCACCGTATCAATACCGCCGCTTCCGCATCCTCGGCACACAAACGCACAGGGTCACATGCATGTCACCGCCTTCCCCGTCCACCCACCCTTCATCCATCCCACCGCCGCGTGCCCTCTCACGTGCGACTCCGAGCCCAACACTTCTCATTTCATAGCGGCCGAAGGTTTCTGTGCAGGCTCCGATGACGGCACTGAGTCGCCTAAAACAACCTTATCCACGCAAGTCTGTCTCCTGACATGGTCTGCCGACAACCCTACCAAGCCAGTCCATAGGACGTACAATGTATCAGTCTACGTAACGAGGAGGTATCTTCGGCTTTCACGCCGTCACCATCGCCAAGCGCGAAGCCTTCCAACTTGGAACCAACGCGAGGCGTGACAGATTCGCAGAGGAGAGGGAGAAGGCGCATACAACTGGCTAGGACGCCACGACAGTCCGTCATCTTGAGCTCCTCGTCCGAATGAGTTGGAGTTCAAATCCTTCGAACGTCCATCTGTCTGCTGCCACTTCACATACTGTTCAACGCTAGTGCCTTTCTGGGACTAGCGGCCAAGCTACGCTCTAATGGGATCGCTCAAGAGTATACATATTCCGAGAATCGACGCACCGCACCTCCGCTGCACGAAATGAGGTTCGGACAATGACTCCGGCGCATCCTCAGGATACGTCAACGCGCTCCCTAGGATGCACCACCAGCTCGTCACCCTTCCGATAATACCAGCGATCTAGCGTCGGAGCGAGACCGACAGAATCACCGATTCCGCAGTCCCGAGATTGCTCAGACATCAGACAGCATCTTCAACTATATTGGCATTCGCGGCGCGTACAATATATGAGAGATGGGCGAAGGTGCCCTTAGCTGTCAATTGCTTTAGGTCCTTCACAGAGGAGAAAAGGCAATCCAGACAAGAGGCCATCACGACCCACCCATTTCATACTCATAGTCCTGCCAGCCTCATGATCGAGGGTGCAGAACGAAGGTCCCATGCGGAGAGCGTGAGCACTCAACATTCCCAGGTTTCATTCTCCTCCAGGCGTTTCCTCGTGGCATTGAGCTTCGCGTGAAGCTGAGTTTTGGCATTGAGCCAAGTTTAGTGCAAAGACCGAACGCGTTGTTTGCAAAGAATCTAGATGGAGTATCGGCAAGGTGAGATTTTCGGGTTGAATGAGAGCTACGCAGGATATGTAGTCGGAGATCGGCGGAACGTTTCTCCGGCTGCAAACGTGTTTCGCTGACAAGACTTGCCCAGCGGCAGCAAAGAACACGACGTCGACCCCGCTCATTAACATGTTTCCACGCTGTGTGTGTGCATCTTGACATCACACTGAACGCTGTCCGTGGAACGACACTCCGTGTAATGACAGTCCGTGTCATGACAGTCCGTGTAGTGACAGTCCGTGTATTCACACCAGCACTAAGCTCACAGCCACAGTCCAGAGGTCCACCGTGGCAAACTATCCTTGGCGTTGACATATTCTTTCTTGTGGCCGCGTATGTCAGCGTCTGTGGCGACACTGCCGGATGATTAGCTGCACGATGCTCTGGCTACCGCCCTGTGCTCCACTTGCATTTGGCTGGACTTTCGGATAGCTATACCGCACGCGAATTACACCACAGCAACTGGATTCGGAAACACAGCATGATCGGGAACGACGTGGATATGCTGACCCAACAGCGCGACGCGCACGTTGACTGCTGTCATGTCGAACAGCATTCTCATGTGCCCGCTCAACAACTTCAGTTTCGCCTTGGTCTGTTCAACATCTAGACAACGTGAGGTCCAACGGCCTTCCCCTTGCCGAGCCCATCTACCCTTGCTAGCACACTAGTACAAGCCCAAAAAAAGCGCATGCAGGCCCGTATATCCGCGGCTACCACACTACCGGATTAGGATGGCATGGGTGGTTCCCGATGCCGCAAATGGAAGCGCCCCAACTCCGTACACGGAGGGATGCAACCTGGTTAGCTTACGCGGACCCGAGCTGGCAGAGCATCGGAACACCACGATGAACCTGATGATCTCATGCAACAGCAACACGCGCCAACAGCGGCGTTCAAATGCGGTTCCCATCATTCGATCGGTCAAAGATGGACCGGTCGAGGTCGGCCAGGACTCCCGGTCGCGCGCAGTCATCGGACGCAGTGCTACCAGGAGGAGGTACAGCTGTTGGAGGGGTCCCTTCGGTCCTTCCTTCCGTCATATGACAGTCTGCGATCTCGCGAGAGCCCTGGTAAACTCTGTCGGTCGCGAGGTGGATTTCTAGGTTCAGGCCACTGCCCAGGCAGCCAGGTCACAGGTCCTGTGTCGCATCGCCTGCTACACGTACGATGCTCATGTCATACGGCAGGCAATTAGCGGAAACCCCCTTCTGTCTCCAAAGTTCGGCCGCCGACCATCTGTAGACGTTGTGCTTCTATGCAAACAGTTATTGCACGACTTGAGGGCTTCTCTCTCACACAATATGCCAGCATCCACCCGACCTCGCTTCCAGCAATGCTAACATGTGGACATCCCTGTTCATGCTAAAACAGCGACAGACAGATGAAGCAGCTGACCGCAAAGCCCTTCTTCCAGAGCGAAGCTCAGTCACGACAAGAAAAAAATGGCAATGGCTGTCAAACATGGACCAGTAGACTTCAAGTCGGGTGAGGTCGCGATTGGAAATCCAACATTCCAGCCGGCGTTTGGAATTTCATCCTGCGTCGGGTCACCCGAACACGTAGTTCATAACAAAGACATTGCTTTCAGAGACAGTGTCGAAAGAACAAAGGAAGTAGATGCGATCATTTGCGCCGACCTGGACGATGTCGATTCCCGACCTGCCAATCCAGCATCACCTTGTGAGCCTGCAGAAGCCATTGTGCTCACTGATAGGAAATTCATGCAGAAGCGAAAATGGGCGCAGCAGCAGCACATAGAAACCGCAGCATGCCGTCTGTAACTCGCCCGCAGAACCGATTCGAATTCGAAGAACTACCGGGGATCATGGACACAATAGAACCACGCGATAGCGACCGCGGAAGGAAGCAAAATAAAGCTCCGCCATATTTCTATCGAAGTCCAGCGCCCAGTCCGTCACCGGAGAGAATGCGACAAGACTTGGAAAGACGCGCAAATTCGAACCTGTGATTAGCCCATCACTACCCAGCTGCCATCTTTTGCAAGAGCAATAGGGGGAAGATGCGGGAAAACCCCTTGTCTCGTGCCCTGGTTCGTTCTATGCGAAAGCTTCGCTGTCGGAGCTGCATGTCTACACATATACGGGATAAATGAGGCCAACTGCCGTACGATGGGTACTGCTCTTCTGCTGGAGAGCCAGCTCTGTGGGTATGGCGACGAACGGTGCGACGGCTCTCTGCCTCGTTCATATCGCATAGACAACACCCCTGTTCGAACAAGGCGATGTCGAGAGATGCGCTGCCCGTTTTGGATCCCTCACCTGGCCACGAAGTCGCATATCTTTGACGTAGGATGAAAGTGAGGAGTACCTGACGCAGTTGGAGAAGGGCAAGGATGAGCGGGCGAAGAAGTCGGAGTCGGAGGGGAGGCTTGTGGCGATTGATGGATGGGTTATTGGGAGGAAGCTGTATCGATGCAAAAGGTGTTCAGCTTTCTCGTGGGTCTTGAACGTTTGGTGCATGGCCAAAGCGCGACCAAGTGCTTCAAGTTCCGATCGTAGAAGGCATCATTATTCAAAAGCCTAACTGCGTGCCTGACCAGCCCGATAGTCATCGTCTTTCCCGCCCATAGGCGTTGGTGCCCTGCGCCGCTATTGCTTCTCCACTATCTGATGCAAGGGTTACCATCACAACTCCGATGGGGAACAACTCACCCCTTGAGAATCTCAATCCGCAGAATGGGGACTGCCGGACACTTTTGTTGCAACCAACCCTTCCGGGAAGGGGCGCCTGCTTGGATCAGGACTTACGCACTCTCCTACCAAGTCCATAAGTGCTTTAGAATAGCCTGGCTCCTGGCTCCGAGGAGACGGCTGCCATCGTCGGCAAGTGTCGATTATGGAACTCACGGGCATCTTACACTGACCAACAATTTCAAAGTCCATCATGTCATCACTACAGAGCCTCTCCACCGACTGGGTGTAGCAAATAGACCATATTCCTGAGCGTCGTACTTAGGGAATAGATCTAAACAGTGTTCAGCTTCCTGCATTTTCCTTTGCAAGAGAGATTCCAAGTCGCTACGCTCGCGCTGGTCGCAGAGCTAATCAGGCGAGCAAGCGTAGACATTGTTGGCGAGACACCCTGAATCCGTTGGGCTACTGTACTAGTCATTTGCTGAAAGCAGTCTTGTCGCTGCTCATCTCAGGCGCTCTACAATAACAGCCTTCGGTACCGGAAAGCACCTCGAGATGAGCGGGGATTATGCCGGGCTGGACCATTCGGGGCGGTTTCAACCCTCTGTCCAAAATCTCCGAGCTTGGGCACACGGGGCAAACGGGCCATTGGGCCCCGGGGTGGGGATGCTCGATCACTAAGAAAGCAGTTCCCGGGCTTAATGTTCGCGATGGATTACTTCTCGCTGGTTGGTTTCCATGCTCTCAGCGGCTTTCGCGGAGTTTCAGAGAGCACTTTGCCCGAGGAAACTTGAGAAGCAGATATGATATCTAGAGCATGTTGCTTATGTTGGTTGTTCGAAAACGCATTTATTAGAAGGGCCAACCGAATGGTTCTGGCAGCTCGCCCATCGGCTCTTCGTCGTCTTGTTCATAGCGGCGCTGCGGGACGAGGGATGCTACGAAGTCATGCGGCGACTCATGTCGCGGTTCGGTAGTCGCTGCTGGTTGGCCTCCTCCTTTGTCTTCATCGAGACTGCTAGACGAGTCTGCGGCGCTGCTGACGGAGATGATATCATCCTGTTTCTTTTTCGAATATGTCCGAGGGACTGGCTTCTGTCCGGTGGAGGCAGCTTTCGATGGTCCTTGGTTCGGATATGATGGGCTATCTTGTGAGATCAATCCTGACGGAAAGTGGAAGCTGGCCCTTGGAGATGCATGATCTGCATCATCTAATCTGTTCTTCGATGTCGACCTCCGTCGACGCTTTGGTGTCTTTCCAGGCAAGAATAACGCATCATGTGGTCCAGTTCGCTTGTGGTGGTTGGTGGAGCGATGAATATCCGAATTCAGCTGGCCGTCACCCACACCCGTGGGATGACTCTCCGTCGACTTGGATACTGCGTTGTTAGTTGGTGTAGGAGTGAGCGATTGCGCAAGTGAAGTCGATTGTAACTTCTCATCCGGTGAAATTCCTTGGGCTTGTCTTGATGATGATCCTGAAAGAGTCGAAGAAGAGATCGACCTTGGGCCCACGCAGAGTTTCCATCCCATGCCGCAGATCCTTCTCTCGTTCTGGCACGCCTCACAGGCAACCTTCGCGTATTTGGTACATATCGGCTTTCGAACCCCACAATCGCGGATGCTCGAGCTGCAACCGGGGCTGCATAACGCAAACTTCGCACAGCCGATCCGAGTGCCCTCACACCTGAAACCATTAGTAGGCGAACGGGGAGTAGTAGTTCAATTGTGCGAGGTTGTACCGCAGACCCTTGATGTCGCACACCATGCAGTAACCGCACTTGACCCTGGGGCCACCTGGAGCAAGAATCGACTTCAATTCGCATCCGTAATAGGTCATGCCGCATGCTTGGTTGCTCTTCTGACATCCTGCGCAAGCTACCTCAACATATCTTGTGCATGTTAGTGCTCTGCCACAGGGTACCCTCCTTTTCCTGCAATCCGAGCATCGAGTTGCCGTCTGATCCATGGAAAATAGTATCCCGGCAGAGATACGTGCCACTGTCGTGTTACTGTCGTGCCAGTATTACAGAGAAATGGCGAAAGAAAATGTGAGTTTGGAACGGAGGGGACTGGTATCCTAAGGGAAGGGGCATTTCACCGATGAGCACTAGCCATCTTGAGCAGTGCCAGACTGCAGGTGCCAGTTCCGGAGATGGACTTGGCAGGCGCATTAGCCTTACAAGTCCGCAATATCGTTCTGCCGGCCTACCGAGCCGGTACCTTGTAGCTAAGTAGGCAACACTTTCTAGCATCTCTACTAAACGACTAGCTCTACTTAAAAACTTCTCGCCTACCTACTTCTTTAGTAGTAATAAACTTCTAGCTCTAGCGATAACTTCGACTATAGTAGATTACTAGCTAGTATCTCCTATTAAGCCTAGAGAATCTAGCTCTCGTTCCGATAGATATTCTGTATTGTGCGGTTTCCCGTTGCGTCAGCTGGCTTAAGCCCCAAGCTTCTGATTCCGGGGTCCGTGCGTCCTGTCTCCTCCATCCAGCGCGTTTTGCTTGACCTATGTCGATGAATTTAAGCAGATCGATCTCGGCCAATATGTTCACTGTTGATTGAGTAGTGAAAGTAGCAAGAGATCGGTGCAGAACTTTATTATCCTGTGCATGTTGGGGGCTTTCGACCTTTACTGCGATGATTCGATCCTGAACCATATAGGAGACCCCAGACACTGGCCTATCCTCTTTCAGCGAGGTCTTTCTTGACGGCAATGCGTATGCCTTAGATGCGCATGGAGACTTGAATGGTTTCAGAATGAGACATCTGCGACTGTGTCAGTCTGGGGTCCGTAATGAAACAGTGCTCTTGGATCTATTCCCGATGTCGATGTCAAATACATGCGGGAGTCGCTTCAGTGTCTATCAAAACCGCATAGTTGCCGTTTGGGGATTTCGTTTGCAGGCTCTGAGCAAGCTGGCCCGCCACACCTCCTCCGCATTCGATGATCGCCGTATTTTTATTGCTTGCTAGCAGTCGATGTCGCCTGTCATGGTCATACGTTTCATCCCTACCGCGAAACCAGATCATCTTCTCTCCGGCCAAACACCATCCTCTAGAAGCTCAACGAGCTCATCAAGTCGACTGACGGCAACATCGGTCCTTGCATCGTCCACCAGATCCTCTTTCCCTTCACTCTTCAGCAGAACGGTCAGCGCCCCCGCGCTTCGGCCAGCGGCCATGTCGTCCTCCGAGTCTCCAACCATAATCAAGGGCAACGGAAGAGGCGATGCCGGAACTTCTGCAGACTCCACGATACCCCAAGCATGAGCGATGTGCAGAATTCCGTGCGGAGAGGGCTTCGGGGGCTTGAAGTCCCTCGTGATGACCGGCGCAAAAGGGTTCAGATGGCTCGGAACGTGGTTCTGGAGGAGATGGCTGACCGGCGCGCTGCGTATCGTCAGCGATCAGCTTTCGTGGATATGCGGTGCCACAGACTCGAAATTCCTCGTGCAGATCCCCTTTCGAATCCCATTCCGGTCCAAAAACTCCATCAACGTCACTAGCCCAGCCTGGGGGACTTGCTTCGCCATCGCCGTCCGCTCAATATCTTGCACTTTCGCAAAAGCCTCCGTCTGTTCAGGTTCTGACAGAGCGTGGATATGATCCAGAATATCGACTTGTTTGGAGATGCCCAGCGCGGCTCTCATTTCTCCGAACATGTAGTTCTGCGGTTCGCCTTCCTCAGATGGTAAGCCAAAGCCACTGAAACTCGCGAAATCTCTCAGACATACATAATGTACCATCCATATCGAAGACTACACCCTTTAACTGCATTCTTCCATCTCCAATGCCGAGGGCTTTCCCGATGGGAGCGAAGCCCGGGTGGCGGGAAGGTTGACTCATCGCAGCAGAGAAGTAACAACGTCGATGTGTTAGTATCTTGTACAGATAGGGAGCATTTCTTAATAGTTGCGTTGGAGATAGAATATGCATTGATTGGGAAGGATGTGTAACCCAAAAGCAGGTGCAGTCGAGATAGGCAATGCAAGGATGTACGAGGCCGCATGCATAAAACTTTGTACGCGCTAAATTGTGCAATAATGCAAACACAATACTGTTATATGTATTTGGGGACTGACTTACTTATGCTTAAGACATACCAAGTGACAGAAACTGCAGTTGAGCGATTGCTTCTAATACGCTAGAGAACCGTGTTTGATAATTAGAACAAAAAGTCTGCAGAAACCGCCGTGACGAAGAAATGAAGCCGGGTTGCGATAGTAGATCTGCACAAGACTTACACTGGCTGAATTGAAGGAGAGGTTGATTTGAACGTTTATAAATTCTGCCTGGCAGGGCATCGTTTGCAATATCAGTACACTCCATGCTTTGATCGAGGCACGGCAAACGGCAGTGGTATCTCAAAGGAGCGCGAGGTCGCCAAAGCGCCAGATGATGGTGATAAAAGTACATAATGTAGTCAGTCCGCTGTGGTGTGTAATTTTTGTTGAACCCCATGCCCGAACGCCGAAGGCTAATCACTCGAATGACCGTCGGTGTAACCTTTCCCCAGGATGTGCTACCTGTCCGGTAGCTCCGGTTCGGGATTGAGAAAAGCAAATCGCATGCGGTGTAGCTATACGGAGTCAGCAGTTGTTCAGCTCATGGGTCATGCTTCAAAGCTCACCGCTGGTAACTTGGGCACAACAACAGCGAGTGTCGCCAAGAAGTTGATCATGAAGTACGCCAGGTCGTAATGTGTGTAATGTGTGCTAACCAGGAATAGACATATCGGCACTGCCAGAAGGAATTTCTTGGCCGGCGTATATTGATCTTCATTGTCGATTTGCTCCCACATGTTGAGGTTGTCGTAAGCCCCGGCGTTGAATTCGAACGGGATGCCCCGGACCCAGTGGAACATCAGGTAGGAGCCGAACATGTACGTCGTGTTGACCAGTGTCCATGAAGTCTCTTGTGTGATGGATGGAATGATGTCGTAGACAATCTTGAGGAGGAGGATGAGAATAATGTGAATCATCCATGCGCCTACTCATTCCGGTATCAGCTCACGTGCTCTTATCAAACTTTCACATGCTATCCCTTCACCGGCACCTAGCTCTTCGAGATACGGGACTGCTTACCCTTTGCGTTGACCCATTGCGCGTTCAGGTTCGGGAGTACGGCCTGGTCACTCTGTTGTTCCAGGCTCTCCGGTGGCTCCTGGTACATCAGGCTACTACTCCTCCGCCGCCTCGGGTTGTCCCTGTTCTTGGTGTTATTGCTCATCTTGCGCTCGGCCGACTGTACGCAGAGCGGCGGAGCAGTATTCACCCTGTCGGCGAAGGTGATGCCGCTGCGTTGGAGAATTGTGGAAGACAGTTTGGCGGTGTTGGTCCCGGCTTGACGTTGGGCCCGGGGTTTATCGTGTGAGGGTAGAAATAGAAAGTTGGGCGCCAGATTGGCGGTGTCTGAGACCGTGATGCAGTTTGTGTACGTGGTGGCTGCAGCCGAGTCGTCTCGATTGGGAAAGAGAGGGAAGAGACGAGGTGAAGTGGTTCGAATTGAGAGCTCGTGTCCTCTTCTTTGTCCGGTGCTCGTGATGCCGGCGTTGGCCCTTGCGTTTGGCCGGAGCTCTTGGCCGCGGCGCGATGTCGAGGAAAGAGGCAAAGAGAACCAGTCGCGCGTGAGGTGTGGTGGGAAGAAGACAGAATCGGGAATGGAATGGATCAAGGTAGCCCAGGAAGATGGATGTGCAGCAGACGCAAGCAAAGCACCAGTCGGTGGAGATTCATCAAGCACCAAGCCAAGGGTCAGAAGTTACGTCGCCGGAAATCGGCCCGAGCCCGCCAAGTGAACGTTCGATTCTAGAAGCTTTTGCCTCTCCTTTGCCCCCACTCTCTTCTATTTCAGTCATCAATGGCTTCCTACTCGTAATCAGAAACGGCATCAGAAGGACATCAGCAACGATCACAAACATGAGAGACGCACATTGCCCCGCACCAGGCTGTGCAGTACACGTCAGTAGCTACTCTCCCATCAGCTTACGCCAGGCCTTTCCACCACGCCAGCGAGAACTTCATTCAGGCTATCATGGAGAAATGCAACGTCCTCTACCCCCAATGGCCTCGTGAAAGCTGCTGCCTTACGAGAAAGGCTAGGAAGCCTTGAGGGATTTTGGAACGGATGCGTTGTTCCGATTGCTGTCAAATACGCAGCGTTGTGCATCTCATCGAGAGGAACATCCCCGTACCAAATCCGAAACATTGTGAGACGGCATTGGCCTTTCCAAGCCACTCTGCCACTCTGCCACTCTACTGCCCTATCAAATCTACCGATTATGCCAGATCTATCCTCCCCAAGAGCTTTGGCGGATGAAGGCTGATATCCTAACATGCCAGCACTACAGCCACCGGCGAGCGTCACGGGACTATTCTTCCTCACGATGCTCCCATTTGAGGATTTCACGTGCCTTCATGGTCGTCCAGAACGCATTGTTTCCTTCCATCCCGGCTCGAATCTCTGCCTTCGGATAATGTTCCCTCGCCAGCTCCGATGAGGAAACCGACTGTGTTGTCGTGGGAGCGACGATGTTGAAGATTTCGGCTCCTTCAAAATTGTCTGCGTTCTCGACAGCCTGCATGCAAGCTCTGGCTGTTGCCTCCGGACTGACCCAGCCCCAAAGCTGTTTCAGGGCAGTCTCCGGATCCTTTTGGTGCTCATCCTGCACTTTCTGCCGCGGCGCGACCTGATGTATGCGCAAGCAAGCGATCTTCACGAACGGGAACCAGCGGACGAAGGCCCTCGCCTGCGTCTCGGCTTCTTGCTTGGCCAGAGCATACGAGTCTGTTGGCCTCTGGGCATAGTCTTCGTCAATCGGGAAGTAGTCAAACTCATTCGGCTGGTTGGAGAATGCGAGTCCGATGGCATTCACAGATGAGGCGTAGCAGATCCGTTTGATGCCTAGTTCTGCAGCGGCACGGAATCCATTAAAGGCGGCATTGACGTTACTGCTGTGCACCAGAGAGTCTTCCTTGTCCACCGGATTTGGAATCGCAGCAAGGTGGATGACTGCGTCGGCACCTTTGAACGCCTTCACTGTCTCTTCGTAGCTTCCGGAGATATCGGCGGTTCGTTTCTCATTGAACGGATGGTCATTGGCGTCCCGCTCCGTGCGATCTATTTCAATGATGTCCCAGTTGTGCTTTGCGGCAAGCTTGACGACCTCCTGGCCGACTGATCCATGCGCTCCAGTCACCGCGACTCTCATGATGGGCCGATCTCAATGCGTGAGGCTCGAGGGCGTAGCAGAGATGCTGAAATGTTTCTTCCTTGAGCAATGCATGATATGGAGTAACGAACAGAGGAACATGTGACGTTCCAGTGACGAGCGACCCAAAATCATCAAATGCACCTACCTATCCCTTGGTAGCAACTTGTTCAATGCTCTGCCAATCAATCATCTCTCCCTCGCGAGTCATGTCTGTTCTTGTTCTCGAGCGCACCTGTGGAACCCCGGGCAAGCGCGGCGTGTGTTACCAGTGGGAAGGCGATAGGGCGCTGGCTGTTTTGAGGCTGCAATGAGAGCTTCAGCTCGACTTCTGTCAGCATGTTGCGCGATCGAGCTTGACGAAGTACCGAAGAGAGAAAGCGACATGCCAAAGAAAACATCTACGTCCTAACAACATAGGTGGAATGTTGTTTTGTGGCGTCCTAAACGGGCAGCTGCGGCCGGTCGCATGTCTATCTCGGCCAGGAAGCACGGCGTCTACAACCCCGCTATCGTTGATGGCCCTCTCACCTGTCCCTCCTATTGAAAACAGCATTGAAGCCGACGAGGAGCTGTAGAGGGCAATTTCAGATCGCTCTTCGGGGCGAGTGCGGTACATCATCATGGTTCCTCCCTTCGATTACTTCGAGCATCGTGCGGCATGGTACGGCATAATATCCCATCTTAACCCCGACCAGGGTCCCACTGCATCCCACCACGCTTTGCCCGACTACACAGAGAGGATTGAGCTAACCGTTGATTTCTCATGCTGCAGTAAACGAAAGCAAGATGAACGCGCCGTTCGCATCGCCAGCCTACCGAAGGACTATCACCATTCTCTATCGCCCACTGAGAGATCCATTCTGAACGAACCGATTGATCAGCTTGTGCAGGACGTACAGAACAACAAGACCAATGCCGTCGATGTACTACAGGCGTATGGCAAGGCTGCTGTCAAGGCACAAGAGGAGACAAATTGCGTGACGGAGGTCATGATCAAAGAAGCACAAACATGGATCGAGAATGGTGATATCAACCTCAAAGGTCCATTGGCTGGTTTACCCGTGAGCTTGAAAGACAGCATCCAAGTTGGAGGCTTCGATACGAGCGTTGGATACTCGGTGAATACCGGCAAGCCTGCTCTGCAAGATGGCGCGATTGTTCGCATGCTCAAGGATGCTGGAGCTGTGCCGTTCGTCAAGACCGCACTGCCGGTTACGCTGTTGAGCTTCGAGAGCTTCAATGATGTTTGGGGAAGATGTCTGAATCCGCATAGCAAGGGCTACTCCCCAGGAGGGAGCACAGGTGGTGAAGGAGCTATTCTGGCATTTGGAGGTAGCAGGATAGGCATTGGATCCGATGTCGCTGGTTCCGTTCGTGCTCCTGCTCATTACTCGGGCTGCTACAGTGTTCGCTGCAGCACTGGTCGATGGCCGAAGCTCGGAGTCAACACATCGATGCCTGGCCAGGAGGGCATTCCGTCGGTCTTCTCGCCAATGGCACGTACGCTTATGGATTTGAGTTACTTCACCCGATCTTTCATACAGATGCAGCCTTGGAAACACGATCCATCCGTCCACCCCATTCCGTGGAGAGCTGACATTGAGAACGATTTCTCTGGGAGGAAACTCAAAGTCGGTGTCATGAGAACGGATGAAGTTGTTGACCCAGCACCTGCCTGCGTTCGCGCGTTGGATATGGCTGTCTCTGCTCTCAAGGCTCAAGGTCACGAAGTCTTCGATGTCACACCTCCTAATCCCTACGAAGCTATGGTCATCGCTAGCAATCTTCTCAATGCTGATGGTACCAGAATGTTCCGCTCGTATTTCCGCACCGGCGAGTCTGATGACCCTGGTGCTCGCGAGTTTGGCCGCTACATGAGACTCCCGCGATGGATCAAGTGGTTCTACTGGATGTACGTAAGATACGTCAAGCGCGACGCTATCTGGGCTGGCCTACTGGAACATTGGCACGAGAAGACTGCTCTTGAGAATTGGCAGTGGGTCGCCAAGCGGGAAGTTTACAAGGCCAAATTCTTCGAATGGTGGAACAGTTTCGGATCTTTTGGCGATGGTATGGATGTGATGATCACACCACCCAACGCAACCCCGGCTGTCCCTCATAACGGTATGAAGGATGCTGCTGCTTCTTGCGGATACACCTTCCTCTTCAACTTACTGGACTACACCTGTGGAATCATGCCCATCACGCATGTGGACCCCAGTAAGGATATGCTGCCGCAGAGTGTGAAGGTATCGAAGATGAATGGTGTCGCAAGAGGTGCTTACAAGCACTACGATGCGGTAAAGATGGCTGGGCTGCCGGTCGCTGTGCAAGTCGTTGGGAGACGATTGGAGGAGGAGAAGGTTCTTGCTGTCATGAAGAGGATTGAGGATGCGCTTGAGGCGAAGGGCGAGAAGTATAAGTTGCTGGAGGTGCCGGATGTTTGAGAGAGCAAGGTGTTGTGTTGCGTTGCGTATGACTGACTATTAGCGCGGCGTATCGCATTGCATCGCGAAAGTCTAGCATTGCTGAGCCCGTCTCCTCGCTGATTTCCTCGATGAGTGGTCTTCCAGCAAGCATCGTGGCGGAGGTCCGCGGAATATATGCACACGAGATGCAGCGAGCTGTCTGCTCATATACGTTGCTCAAGACTACAATCTCGTCATTGATTTATGACATGCAGCCAGCATTCAACCGTCAAATCGTTGTCCAGGCCAAAGAGACAAGGATCTCTCACCATCTCAGGGCCAAGTGGACGCCTCATGCTAACTCCGAGGTTTCACAAGAAGAGCCACAGTGTCAGCGGCCGCTCATGGAGAAGAAGGTGTGTGGTAGGCGCCTCCCGACTGTGTGCCCACTTCACACCTTCATTTGGCGCTGGATATATGCCCTCATCGCCTCCTCCTTCTGCACGATCGAGAGGAGGATGCCGCCGTAACCTGATGCGGTATGCAGAGCAAATCTCGTAGCCATAGCGAAATGCGCCACGGACAAATACGGCATTGTAGCTGATCGCGTTGCTCTGACTGCCAACGCGGGTCGTCCTATACGCTCTTTGCGCTGGTCGTCTACCGAGTGTGCTTTCCACGAACGGCAACCGCGATTATAAATTCAGGCCACTCAATCTGCTGAATGTTGCCTAAGGTAAGTCCAGGGCATCAGGCTGACTCTTGCTCCCTACAGCGCAATGGCGAGGACTCAGTTCCGTCGGCGAAACTTTCCGGCGGCGAGAGCAACGACTACGATTGCAACGGTAAGCAGCCTCCGAGTTCTCTCCCGTCGCCCAATCTCTTTCACAAAATGAAGTCCTGCCCAGCTTTGATCGACCTTTTTGCGAAGCTAGCAACTTCGTTCTACGGCAACATTACTCTTGTGCAAGGGCTGTCCAGTCCTTCACGTCGCCATGCCTGCACTACAGGCTGTAATGCACTCACTTGCCGAGATGCCAACCTCTGGCCAGCCTCCCAATTGAATGGAAGCATGTTACATCCACCTCGTCGCACGGCATAACGGGCATGTCGCGTAGCAACCGTCGCCGGATCAGAGCAGCGATCTTAGCCCTTCTTAGCGTCTCGCATCCTTGTTCACCCCAGCTACTCCGCACGTGGAGGGAATGGGGCTAAACCTTGCGAGGCAATCCGGGTGACTTGGCCTCCACTTTCCGCCGTATATTCACGGCTCACGAGGAGCGCTGTTGGTTCCTGCATTGTGGCTTCGTGTGAGCTTATAAGAACGCGGTGAGGCAATATACGGAGCCACGAGGTCCAGCTGAACAGAGTTTCTTCCCTTGCTCTTTCTCCGACTTTCCGACTCTCTTCTCCCTCCACCACGACAAGCTGAACTCGAGAAGGACAAGATCAAAACAATGCTGTCTTCTGTCGCCACGCTGCTGTTGGCAGCTACAACACTCGTGTCTGCGCAGTCGGACTATGGTGGATCGTCGAATGCCTCGTCAGCTTACCCGCCATTCTCTGGAGACCCATTCCAGAAGTACACCTTGAGCGCGAAGGGCATCAATGCCTCGTTCATCCCGTACGGCGCGCGTTTGACCAACTTGTTCGTCAACGACAAGAACGGCATGCCTCAAGATGTCGCGGTTGGGTACGACAACGGGAATCGATACCTCCAGGACACCGAAACCAACCACACCTACTTCGGCGCTGTTGTCGGACGATATGCGAATAGGTAAGATGACTCTCTGCTAGGCATTCAAGGACTCGGTGCTGACTCGAGCTTTGCAGAATCAAGAATGGCACTTTCACGATTGATGGCCAGACCTCGCACATCCCAACGAACGAACACGGCGGCGCGAACACTCTGCACGGTGGAAATGTCGGATACGACCAGGCGAACTGGACTGTCGTTTCGCACACCACCAACAGCATCACCTTCTCGTTCTACGACCAGCACATGAGCGGCTTCCCCGGAGATGTCTTGAACGTGGCATCATACACCTTGACAGATGACCAGGCCTTCATCTCCCGCCTTGTCTCGATTCCGGTCAACGAGGCGACCCCGATCATGCTCGCGAACCACATCTACTGGAACCTGGGCGCGTTTGTTACTCAGGACGCGAAGACGATCTTGAATGACACCCTGTACATGCCATACGCAGACCGATACATCCAGACCGATGGCATTCTTGTGCCAAATGGAAGCATCGCGTTGACGAATGGCACTGCACTCGACTTCACCAAGCCAACCAAGCTCGGTCCCAATCTCATGAAGGCGACCGACTTCTGCGGCACCGGTTGCACAGGTATCGACAATGCTTTCATCCTTGATCGCTCACCGTACGCTGCACCCCGTGATCCAGGGCTTAAGGTTCTGCAACTTTCCTCTCCAGTCACCGGAATCCAGATGGATCTTGAGACGAACCAAGGCGGTCTGCAGATCTACTCTTGCGTCGGCCAGAATGGAACGATTCCCGTCAAGCAGAGCCAGCAGCACATCCAGGGCAACACGACTTATGTCGAGAAGTTTGGTTGCATTGTCATTGAGACACAAAACGTAAGTAGAGCTGGACATGCGGTCTTCGGTAGAGATGAGTACTGACAGGCATCGCAGTGGGTTGCCGGCATCGACTACCCTCAATGGGGACGCAATGCATACCAGATCTTCTCCCCGACGACCGAGCCGGCGGTGAACTACCAGCGATACCAGTTCAGCATTGCAAAGTAAGACAAACGAAGACTCGATGAGATGATGAGAGTTGAGTGACCATTTGTATGTGGGACATGCGAATTGTAAATACCACATCATGATAGGACAGAAATTGAAGTGAAGTAGCGGCCACGGCATCCGATCTTGGGCTTTCACCGCCTTGCTACTTTTGGCAGTCAAGTGACTTAGCGCGGGCAGAATCGCTAGCGGCATGCTTATGTAAGCGTGCTAGTCAACGAGCTCCGAACTTCGAGTTCCTTCCTGTCTTTCTCCACAACCTCGACTCCAACCCACCACACTTCACCCAACAACGTGCGCGCCCAACACCGACGACATGGGTAAGCGCAAGGCACCTCACGTCTCGCTTGACGACATCATCAACCAGCCGTGGTGCTATTATTGCACCAAAGAGTGCACGGACCTCAAGACTCTACACGAGCACCAGAAGTCCAAGCACTTCGTCTGTCAGGTGGACTACTGCCCCCGCCGCCTTAACACGGCCGGCGGGCTAAGAGTCCACATGCAACAAGTGCACAAGAAGGAACTCACCGCTGTTCCGAACGCCATCCCAGGTCGCGAGGGCGTGACTCCCGAGATCTTCGGCATGGAAGGGGTTCCACAAAACCTGATCGATCAAAAGAAGGACTTGATCGCACGCGAGTATCATCGCAAAGAGCAGCAACACCTCGCTCTCACCGGCAACCCACTGCCGGGCACTGCGCACCTGCAAAACCACGTGAGCAAGAAGCCGAAGACGGAGTCCAAGGAAGACATCAAGCGCCGCGTCCAAGAAGCGAAGGAAAAGAAGGCCGCTGAGAAAGCTGCGGCCGAGGCTGCTGCCACCAGTGCTGCTGCTGCCAACGCAGTCATCAACACTCCTACCCCGCCAGGCATGCAGGCTTTCGCCGCTCCACCAGGCTTCCAGCCATACGGTGTTGCCGGGTACCAGTCGCCGGGCTACTACCAAGCCTCTACAGGCTTCTCGTCCAGTCCGCCGCCAGCCATTGGCTACCCACCGCCTGCCATGCCAACGCCTCCTGGCCACTTCGCATACCCGCGTCCCACCTACGGTGGTGCACCAATGACTGGTGAGCCCCGTAGTGACATCACTTTCGAACATCTGCTAACAACCTCCAAAGCCGAGAAGCCAATCACCAAGGATCCGCGTATCGAGGAGATGATTGACCAACAGCAGGCGCTCGTCAAAGAGGCCGCTGCCAAGCCCGCCACTGCCACCGCCACGGCCATGCCGAATGCCACGCCTGCCATCGCTGCGAATGCCACCGCCACCGCCATGCCGAATGCCACGCCTGCCATCGCTGCGAATGCCACCGCAGCAGTCAATGCCAAATCTAACACTCGGGCTCCAGCCAAGAAGTCGGAGAAGACGAACAAGGGCCAGCTTATGACTGACAACACGGTAAGCTGGGAAGAGAAGCGTGCCTGCAATCCACGATACCGCCTCAAGCCAAAAGCCTCCACGGTGCAGACCCAAATGGCGACTCAAGGAGCCTCCGGGACCGTCGACACAGCCGACCAGCTTTATCACACTGGTTAAGCAGATCCTTTCTAATACTCCGGCTTTTAGGTGATCACTGGCGAGCCAGTCCGTCTACCCATTCGGGTCAAGGCCGAGGGTGGATCGCGGGGACTTACCATCATTGCGCTTTAACCGACTCAGCTAAGTCACACACATCCGCTGAACTCACCCTTGTCGGATGAAGGATTTGGCTGACAGACGGTCTGCACGATTTTTCGACACTGCTTTTGGCACTGGTTCCACGGCACGGTGGATGCTCGTTTTGGGAGGATGGCCGAGCGACAGTTAAGTCCACAGCTTTCTGCACACTTTGCTGACTTGGCGCAACGGCGTACGCAATGGCGTATGCATCGGCGCAAGGACAACATCATCGGGACTGCGTATGCACACACTGCTGCACTGAAACAGCGGAGTGACGCAAATTAGCTTAGCTCCGACCTAGTAAGTCGAATAAAGAGTGAGTGTTTTCATTACAATTGTATGACTATACCAAGTCTCTTGCGTACCGTGAGGAGATCGTCGACCATGACGCCGCTATGCCAACCGGCTGGGAATGTTGCGGTTTCTTTAGGGAGCGGCGATTTTGGCAATAACAAGCCACGCGCTGCCACTCTCAAAGAGCAAGCAATCCCGCTGTTGGCACACTAGACGCTCAATATTGAGGCAAGTGCAGCTTCCCTCGGCGACAATGAACAAAGAGACCATGGTGACGATGATCCTGTGTGGGCTGAGGGGCCTTACCCAGAGCAGCCCAGACTATGGTCGCCTTCCTTTGTCCGACTCGATAAAGAGTTGCCCGAAGAACCACGCCATAGCATCTCGCGTGGCTGCAGTGGCCAAGCTCCTGGCATCGTTGACTTGTGATACACAACTAAACGAGAAGCTGCGCGGCCATGCCTCTGACAGAAGAAGATCGTCGAAAACTCTTCAGCGCATACCGAAGTCTCGATCCACCCGCGGTCTCCTCATCGCCCTTCCAGCGCGTCTCCATTGGGCCGCCCGAGTCCATCCTCAGCAACACCTCGAAAGCTTCGAACCATCCGCCTTGGGATCCTAATACTCGCACCCTCGAACCTTACCATAAAGTACAGATTGAATTCCCGCTTCTTAATTTGCTGGGAGAGGAAGAAGAAGGTGTACTGTACCGAGCGGAGAATTCGAAGAAGCGCTACCAGCCTTTACCGCTCATTCTGGATGATAATGTGTACATGAACTCCGGCCGAGACAAGGGGCCCGAGGCGAGTTTCTTCACCCTATACAAGGCCGCGCGCGGAGGGAGAGGCGTGGAAGAGGAAGTGTCGATGAGCGGAGTTCTGACTGCAGATGTTCGGGAATTGACAAATTATGTCGGAACCACGTACCTGATGCTCGTCATCTTCCAGACGCCACGGCGGGGAGGATTGCAAGTCCGCATCCGCCTCGCGACGGTTTTCCGTGGCGACAAGAATGGGGGGAGGGAGACGAAGGAATTCCGCGATTACGAGATGTCCCTGGATGAGTTCTTGTCCCTGCGGAATGGGGAGAGATGGTATCTGGACTGTCTGCATCTGATTGCTATGAAGAGTGACCGCGCCACACGACACGTGCAGTTGAAATTATACCCCAACGCGGTGCAGGGAGTCCAGGGGGCGTTGGAGCTGTACAAGAGTTTCCGGGCCAGTTTCCGGGCGCCGAGATGTCCTGATTTCGGGTTCTATCTGAAGGGACTGGTGCGAGAAGTTAAAAAGAAGAACAAGACCAAGGCGCGTTGTGGAATCTGTGAGAAGGCGTTTGGTGGGCAGGAAGAGCATGGAAGTCCTGTCTCGATGGGATGTTGCGGGAAGGTTGTTGCCATGCAATGTCTTGCGGGATGGTGTGAGGAGATGGCCGCGAGGAGTGTGCTGCCGCCTTTCTATCCGACTACATGTCCGATCTGTAAGACTGAACTCTTCACGGATGAGAGGACTTTGGAGCATTTGAAATTTGGCGTCGTGGCGGATACGTATTTCGTCGACGGGAGGTATTCGCAGTGGGAGAATTTCGAACGCAGCTGTGCGGATTTGGATCTTGGGGCAGCGGAGCGGGAAGAGAGAGGGGGGAGGGTACGAGTGGATGCGGATCTGATTGCGGATGTCTGGGTCAGGATGGTGGAGTATGGCGCTATGGAGGGAGATGGAGGAGGAGGCAGAGGAGGAGAGTTGGAGCATCTGAGGATGGACCAATGTCCGGAATTTGAAATTTGGCATGATGAATTCATGAAGCACATTTACAGGCTGGATGGACATGAGGCCCGCAGTCTGTCGCACTTGTACAATTTTTTGGAAAGCAAGATCTTCCTGGAATTTCGACGGCGGTTTCGACAAGCTGGACTGGATCGGTATCTGCCTCCTGGAGCGCAGGGGAGTTGGGTGGGCAAGCAATTAACGCAGGATTTTTTGTTCCGGGATGGATTTCGGGAGTTTACCGGGGGAATGCTGAATCGGACGTTGAGGTTCTTGGAATTGAGGGCTTGTGATGGGTGTGAGAGGGGAGCGGCGTTCCATTGGCATGGTGGGAGGGAGTACTACGATCCCCGGCAATTTGGCGGGCGCGGTGAAGACCGGGAGAGGGAGAGGGGGAGGAGGAGGAGGAGGAGGCGATGGCAGGAGAGTCGCGAGGGGCGGTCGTATCTGAGGGATTTCTTGGAGGCGATGTGATCTTGCAGCGAGAATTCGTCATATTCGTAGTACAACTACCGCCAATATACCTACCTTACCACCTCTGTCGGCGCCCCCGATCCAGAAACACATACCCAAAGCACTTCTACTCAATCTGAAGTTACCGTGATCTCCGCATCACGTGGAGAAGAATCAATCACATGCAAACGTTCAGGTCGCGGCATAATGAAGTCCACGGAACGCATAGCCAATCTTGCCTGTTCATTCATTCACTTTGCCACGACGATTCTCCGGATGGCGATGACGCTGACGCTGACGCAGGCTATAGGCTCGGCTGGCATATGATGGATGGATGGATGGACAGGCAGGCTCGCGGAGAGGTTGTTGGAATTGCTTGCGTTGAAAGTTGGAGTTGGAGTTGGAGTTGAAGAGTACAACATCTCGCGAGATCGTAAGAACTGCTAGAGCTAGATAGAAATGGACAGACACTTTTTCCCCGAACGCTTGCTTGCTTGCAAAGCCTTCGAAGCAGGTGGAGCAGCCCATTTCCGGAGAAGGACGAGTGTTGCAGCGGACACAGAGAGGTCGATAGAGTATTGCTGGCTTTCTCCGCGATACTAGCAAAGAGCGCGATATTTCTTACGAACCGCGTTCTTGCTCTCAAGTCTCGTTCGTTGTGCACCATATATAAAGATCTGGTAAGGGGAATCCGTTCAAACAAGAATGTTCATGAACTATGAAACACTACTTCACCACGCCCCGAACTGTCTGGGCCCACTAAATTGCCTTCTACTAGTCATCCCATCATGATATTGGTTAAATGCCGAGGAAACCACGCTCGAAAATGCCGAAGGAACGCCTCGCTATTAGAAAGAAAGAAAAAAACAGATTCAAATCCTTCTCCCGCTCATCATCTCATAAGCGCCCCCATAGGTATCCGCCTGATATTTACAGCCCCTCGCGGCGCTCTCCTGGGGTATCATTTTAAAGGAATGAAAATCGTCCTGCCCTGACAGACATGCATCGAAGATTGGTCGAATTTACCGCCTGAAGCCGGGAAAAAGACCGCGTACAGCCTTCCGCCAGGCTGGAGAGCGTCGCATTTCGTCCTCTTCAGGAGGTTCGACCGGAGCCCGATCCCCGAGCATGTCAACTGCTCGCTGTCGCGCCCACTCTCTTCGTCCCGGAGTCGAGGGAGGTTGAACAGCAGGCTGTGTTCGAGCGGCCTGTATACTCGATGAAGCAGTCGAATTCGATCGCCCTAATGGAGTCACCGTCGAGCCAGCCGGCGCTGAGTCAGGTCCTAGCTGTGACATCTGCTGACTGCTCCGCAACGGCGCGCTGCTGATTCTTCTCGAAGAACGGAGTTGGGAGAATCCAGACATGGTTCGCATTCGAAACCTCCCACCCAGACTCATCGGTCTGTTTCGGCCGCCAAGGTCCGAAACTTCCGCAGTGTCAGGATCCACGGCGACACGCTCTCGTATCTGTCTGACCATGCGCTCACGTCGAACCATGGCGTTGGTGATGACCTTGGGGCAGTATCCCTTGGGGAGAGCAGCCTTCTTACACATGGGACACAGACTGCTGCTGTCTCGCAAAAATACATCCACACACTCGGGGTGGAAGATATGGTGGCAAGGAAGCTCTCTCACGGTTGTACCCTCGCCTTCGGCAGTCGCAGGTACGAAGTCATCCAGGCAGATGGCGCAAGTGGGCTGTGATAAGGGCGTTGGATGGTAGCTATGTGACCTCAGAAGAGTTGGGGTAGGCCGACATGGAGTGGCGTCAGGTTTTGCAGCGTCCTCCTCCAGCTTCTCATCGATCGTCGGTACCTCGCTCTTCGTTGCGTCCGTGGCGGCTTTCGAGACAGGCTGACCGGTTCCGTATGTGTAAAGTGGCATGCAATCCAGCAGTTCTTGCGGCACGGTTAGACGTTTTATGCCAAGCGCTTCCAGATCGACTTCGCCGCTCGCGACCCGCCTCCGCAGCGCTTGTCGACGGCGACGTTGCAGCCAGTGCATTGAAAGCGAGGTGAGACCGATGATAGCCAGGAGAATGCCAAGAACGACAAGCAGGAATACCCACAGCGAGGGCAGGCTTGAGCTACCCGAACCTGTGGACATTAGCCGATTGCAAATATGGAAAGAAAGCAAGAGGACTCACCTGTATCAATGTCGACAAAAAGCCTGACGTAGTCTCGCGAGTCGCCGAATATCTCCGTCAAAGCATGGCCGTGAGGCACGTCTGTCATGTTGCCACTGTACAGCGAACTATTCCCCATGAGCCATGCACCGTCTTGTCCGGGCAGAGCGTAGACCGGCCAGCCATTCTCTTGTTTCCACTTGCCACCATCGCCGGTGTCCCACATGGGGTCGCCAGGTTCGGGAGGCGCATTGGTGCCGCTATCCGGTATGTAGAACAAGAAGCCGCGGGTAGGATATTGCCGTGCCGATGTCATGAAGCTCAGAGAACAAGTCGAATTTAGCCATGGCGCAAGTGCGATGAGATCGTAGTCTGTGGCGGGTAGATTGGATCGTCTGGTGGCATTCTGTGGGATGTATGGCGCACTCGCGTTGAGACATGGGTCGTCGGAATCGAGGTTGGGTACGTAGAGGAGGCCTGTGACATCGTTGCCACTTTGGGCGCCGGTGGTGGAGAGGGTGCGGATGTCGAAGTTGGTCAGAAAGTTGTAGCCGAGCGAGCTGTTGGTGATGCGATGGCCCTCATTGGTGCTGTAGCCTTGGGCCCATTCGGGATTGGGGATCTGGAGGGTGATGACCTGAACCGATTGAGCGCCTGGGAGTATAGCGTCAGAAGAGTTAGTGGTAGCAGTGGCGTTGGCGTTGGCGTTGGCGTTGGCATTGGCCGGGTGATGGTGGTGGATAGGCATAGGCGCTCGCGGCGCCATGGGCTGGACGGGGTTTGTGGATGGATCGGAGGGAAACATACTCATGGCGCGGAGTTGAAGCAAGACGGAGGCGGCCGCAAGCAGAGACAATGGGCGACGGTGAAGAATGCGATGCGATGTGACGCCCTCGGAACTCTTTGAGGCTCAACTCGACGGTGCAGCGGATAAAGCCGGGCGCATGCTGGCCTCGGACGGGACGGTGGGGGATACGGGGCTTCCAAGATGCGATGCGATGCGATGCGATGCGATGCGATGCGATGAGGATAGCAAGAGCGTATGAGGAGAAACAAGAGCCGATGGGGAGAGTGTCGGATGAGAAGAGGGGAAGTGTATGGAAAGAAAGTGAGGTGTTCGTCAGCAGCAGGAATGGCTGGACTGCGCGATCGACGCTCCGCCAGACGCCAGACGCCAGTGCAGACTAGTCACTTTCGGCCGTGTGCTGTCTCCATCGCGCTGACGACGCTCTCATCATCTGGAGTCTGCGTCGAGATGCGTCGAAAATGCGTGCGCGCGGGGAAACAACATGAAGTGTACATGTATCTTTCTCTTAGACGTGACGTGCATACTGCTCATCGTCTTGGATCGTCCGTCCAGGGACCGGGTGTAACTGGGCTTAATCAATGCAATCGCATGTCCAAGCGCCGTTGTGGTGCTCCTTCCCCAGAGACAGACCACAGACGATCCACCGGCATCGAGCCCGCGCCCGCGCCCGAGCTTGACGCTTGACGCTCTTGGCTGTGATGCTTGTCTGTCATCCCTGCGCGCCGCCAACCTACCTGTCAACTAACTGTGTCACTGTGTCACCACACACCTAGCGCTGCTATAACGAGAACTGCTTGGATTGGATAACGAGCCTGGAGACATAACTGACGGCCTGCCCTGCACCACTCCCGAGCAATGCCCTCCTAGTCCGTCCGTTTCCTTCCCAAACACGCTGTTCCTGAGACAGAGATCCGGGATATCCCATCACCATGCCCTCCACCGCCTCCAAGAAGGGCCAGTCCGCCAGACCCTCCTCCAAGACCGACCGCCGCTCCACCTCCCGCCACTCCACTCCCGTCTCCGCCCTCACCGAGACCTCCCCGCCCACCCCAGTCAACAGCACGCCTTCCGGGCCCTCGCAGACCATGGCCAAGGAGACCCCATACCTGCACACTTCTACCGCCGCCTTGATCTCCTCGGATCCGAGCATAGAGGCTCTGATAGACAAGAGCAATGCCTCTGCCGCGAAAGCAGGCGACCCGCCTTCAGCACGCGACTTGGCTGCTTTGGTGGAGAAGATCTCGAATTCCGTAAACAAGTTCATGAGCAAGCGCAGCGAGATCTGTGACAGAAGTATGCGTCAACTGGTCCAGAAGCGAAAGGATCGCGCGCACGAGGAGAGGGAGCTGGAGGCTGCGAGAGCGGAAGCTGAGCGAGCAAAGATCAAGCGGGAGGAAGACGAGAAGCGGAAAGAGAAGAAGAGTGCTAGCAAGAAGCGAAATCACGATGACATGGATATCGATGAAGACGAGGAGCACCAAGAGCGGAAGGAAAAGAGGGAGAGCTTGCCCCATGTCGGCGCGCACGGCCTGGCCAGGCAGGACGGCGTAGGTGTGCACCAAGGTGAGTTTCCGGCTACTCCCCCTGTTCCCTCCAGTTGCGACCAGATGCGCATGTCGAAAAGCGCAGGATACCTTCCAAGTCGGCCATGTGAGAATATGACTTCACGTGCCAGCAGGCGCCAGCTACTTCTGGGCCAGCTTGTCCTCACGCGAGCCCGCAAACTCACCTCGCACTGTGCAATCACTCCACGATGGTCGCACTCAGTCGCACTAATGCACCGATTCTCACGCAGGCGCGCCACCTCCTCCATCACCCCCAATCCAACCCGGAACTGCTGTTCCCGACCTCATGGATGCCGAGTCTGGTTCAGAATCCGGCGAGCCGCGCGCCGATGCTCCTGCGACTGCGCCGCTGTACGAGAGAATATTCGGAAAAGACCCGACGCAAGGTGACGACCCGATAATATACGACATACGTGAGCTTCGCGATGACATGACCGACGAGGAGAAGCGGCAATTACTACAAGTGAAGGAATGGCCTAGAAGTGACCTGCGCGACTTGACCGCCGGAGATCCCCCGGATAAAGACTTCAGCAATGCCAAACCTGCGAATCAAGTCAATTTCAGCACGTTCCAGACTTATGTTGATCCGTACATCCGACCATACACGGAAGAGGACGTGGCATTTCTCAAGGAACGTGGAGATCGCGTGACACCATACATCATCCCGCAGCGTGGTACGAAGGGTTACAAGGAGGTCTGGGCAGCTGAGGATGGCATGACTGGGCTAGAGCCTCCGCAAAAGCACGTGAACAATCCAAACGAGGCGAGGGGTAGCATGGAAGACATGGAGGATGACATTGCAGATCAGGATACTGTCAGCATGGGCCCGGTGATGAGTCGTCTACTCTCCGTGATGCGACCACAGCCCAACGGAGCGAGGAAAGAGAACGGCGAAGACGCCAGTGGAGATACGTCCATGGTCAATGGCGATGATGATGCGGAAGCCCCACCCGCCACTGGTGCTGAGGATTCCGCACCAGCGACACGCCTACCGCCTGATGCTCCGAGGCCGCCGAACTTGCCGCAATTGGACTATGAGACTTTCGAACAGCGAGCTCTACAAGAACTGCGCTACATTGGAATCTTGAGCCCCAATGAAGTTCCCAATTACGATGCGCACGACGATGACGAGGTCGCTATGCGCCTTCGCACTTTACAGCACGCGCTTCAAGAAAAGAGCCGGAAAAACAACGCCCGCAAGGCGCGCGTACTCGAACTAACAGAAGAGCAAATGGCGATGCAGGAATACTCCAACATCGCGGACGATCTGGACAACCAAGTCAACGCAGCGTACCTTAAGCGGAATCGCTCACTTGCGAAACCAAACCAGAAGAAAGGAGGCTCTCAAGCTCGACCAGGCCAGAAGGGCGTCGCATCGGGCGTCGTTGGCGGTAGAGGCGTCAGCGATGGCGTACGAGCTCTCATGCAAAAACGCAGGGATTGGAACGAGATGGTTGGTCCAGTGGTCGGCTTTGGAAGGCCCAGAATTCCTGGCGAGGACGAGACGATTTTCCATCCGGATGTTATGAAGAACTTCGAGAAAGCGGAGCGCGAGGCAGAGCTGGGGGAGAATGAGGCGGAATAGGACTCCGACGACGCGAAGCAGGACCCTGGCCCCGCTATGTGAGAAGAGCTTCGATCTTGAGTCAGAGAGTAGTTTTGAAGGGCAGATTCTCTGTCCGAAGAGCATGCAGACACGGCCCCGTAGCCGCCACCGCTACAAATGGATGGACCGCAGGCCGCTACGTCGCTGTTGATTCAGCTCTCTCAGATCACTAGATGCGTAGCACGCGGGCATGATGAGTGCATGTGTAACTACTGTCGTTGGTCAAGGGCTTGTTGCTCGGGATAACTTCTCAACATCGACACACTGATATGAACATGATGCAGCTCGTTTGCGCGAAGGAATGACGGCATCGCTAACGGTTTGGCGAGCTTGTCACAGTCTAGACTATCGTGTATGAAAATAAAAAGATCAAACATCTTACTGCTACATCTCGAGAGGTGCCGAAAGGTACATCTAGGGAAAGCAATCGAGGGATGATATCTGAATAGCGTTTGGATCTTAGCGTGCCGTCCCGAGCCACTAAGTGACAAGGGTTATTAGCAGCAACAAGGTATGTGACCATATCAACCTTGCTTTTCCATGTGACCGCATACTCCTTCTAGACGGTACTTCACGACTTGCATTACAGGAGTGGTCATAGACTCTGCACTTTCCCCTCGCCTCTACACTTCAGCATGCAACGCGGCAGAAGATAACACCTGCGGCCATGCCTTCCACCTCTCCCGGCCGCAATGCCTCGAGTCCTCCGCCCTCTTCCTTTTCTCAGATCCTACCGGGAGCTCCAACAGAATCACTGCAGTCATTCGCGACATTTGTGTTTCGGTTCAAGCGATATTTCGCCTACATTTCCGGTTCACAGCTTAATATCCTCTCGTCGCCGCAGACACTTGTCCAGGCGATTCGATTTCGGGAAGACCTCATAGCTATCAAGGCAGAAGAGAAAGAGGGAAAGATTGTGGTCGCGGATAAGACACATGCTTGGGTTCTGGAGCCGCACACGGAGGGTTGGACGAAGATATGGTGGGAGAGAGCACTTGTTCTGCGGCGGGAAGATGAGGAAGACAAGATTCGTTGCTTGAGCTGGGGAAACGATGGAGAACTGCTGGTGGGAGGAGATACGGCTCTGGATCTCTTCTCGACATTTCCTTCATCACGCAGTCATTCGCCCGTGATGACTGCAACTGGTGGTGAAGCGACGGAAGAAAGGAGAGCTTTGTGGTCGAAGTCGATACCGAATCCTATACGGCAGGCTGAGTTCAGTCCTACTGCTACGCTCATCGCGACTTGCTCGCGCTACGATCGACTTGTCAAGATATGGAGAAGGCTGTCGTTCGAGGAGGGTCTGTTCGACTACTCGTACCTTCCACACTCGGGCACCGTCACGCACGTCCAATGGCGGCCTCTCAATGAGAATTCAGAGGAGAGGAGGGGCAGCGGCATGGGTAGAAGACACGAAGAAGATGCGGAAGTGCTCTACACCATTGCGAACGACGGCATCCTACGGATATGGCGAACAGGAGGCATGCACGATGCAGACATTCTGCTCTTACATACCACTGTTGACCTCGTTGCTGCGATTCCCCAGTCTCCGAGTGTACTTGCGAAAGGGCAGTCCAGTCTCCCAAATGCATCCCGCTACGCAATGGTACTGCCCTCTGATCAATTCTGCGCTGCTGTAAATGCAGCCATTGGAATCACACAGTGCGATAAACTCAATCATTCAAAAGAACTGCTGAAAGAAATGGTCTCCAAAGAACCAGATGTGGTGGTGACTTTCGACGGGCATGGCAGGATGTCTGCATGGGGTATTCAGAGTATTGGACACAAACGACGGCCAGATACTCCAACCACGGCACAGCCATATCACATTGCACATGCTGAAGCCTTACAGCTTGAGCTTCCCAACGGCACACCAGCATTATGTGGGACCTGGTTTCAGGACGATAAGCTTCATCTCCTCATGCACGCACTGAGCGATGGGGGCGAGCTCACCTGGTGGCAGGGCGATGTGGAGACTTTCTTCTCGTCTTCTACCGGCGGATCTGAAAGGCTATCTGCTACTGCCACATGGTGTGGCCACAATACACCCATCAAGAGTGTGCAGCAGTCTGGCGATGGACTTTCATCTTGGTCGTCGGATGAAGTGACACAGTGGCGGCCTACGCGCTCTGGCCTGGGAGAGCTGAAGGCTAGACAGTCTTTTGGATTAGAATCTGATGTGCTAGCGGTCCTGACGCTCCGAGAGGGAGAGTTCCTGTTGACAGTGACTCCTGCCGCTTTTACCGTCTGGGACCAGAACGGGCAGAGGATTGCGAAGGCAGGTTGTGAAGTCGCCATGGGAGGGCGTTTCCATGTTATCTCATCCGGCGAAGGAAATGTCTCGGGCGTTTTTGTCCAGAGTGATGCTAAGACCGTCGTGAGATGGATGGTAACACTCCCGTCATCCGAAGCTTTCGAGGCAGAGGGCTCGTTGCAACTCGACAAACTATCTCTGACGAGAGTGGAGGGATGTGAAGATGTGTCCTTTGGATTACCTGTGCCAATGCCTTTTGAACCAAGCCAGAGCTGTCTGGTCAGCATCGCTACAAGCGGTCGGTTGGACTGTCGCTTGCTACCGGATGAGCTGGCCGCAGATCATGAGCTCGAACCATTTGCTTCATTTGAGACTGGTATCGAGGAGCCTGGAATGTTCACTGCAAACGAGGAATTCGCTGCTGTTGTTTCGCGGAACCGCAAGGAACTCGTCATCGTGGATCTGACAGATGGCTATGTCGAGCATCAACAGCCCACACATGCAGAAATATTGCAGCTGGCATGTTTCACTCCCAAAGCAAGGCATAACTTCATAGCCGTAGGATACGAAACGACCATTGATATATTGGCGCAGGGGCGATACGAACACCACAGCTCAGACGTGCCAGTTTGGCAACCGATCAGGACAGTGTCGATTTCGAGCCTAGGTCTTGAAGTGACAGCATTAGCATGGCTCTCCACTGGGGCTTTGGCAATTGCGGCTGGAAACGCCATATTCGTGACCAGCTCCGATGTGACGTACAAGGAGATCAACGATGAGACCAAGGTCGCTATCGATATGGGTTTGGACCAGAACGAAGCAGTCCATTTGTCCACCGTTACGCACTGGCTGAAAGATCCTCTGCCTGCATGGCATCCGAGCATGCTTTCGCATCTGCTGCGGCATGGTCATATCGGTCTGGCTGCCACACTTCTGAAGAGGTTGGCGCAAAAGCTCAAGTTCTGGAGCAGTGGTGAAGAACTTCATCCCACCCTCGAGGAACACCCCGAAGCTCTCCTGCGTGACCTGGATCAGCACGAGGCATGGCTTGATGAAGATACTGTGAATGATTTGCGAGAGCAGCTCGACGAAAAGGACCTTCCGAGAACGTCTCAAAGCGAGCAACAGCGGCTGAAGCATATCATCGAAGCGCTGGCCTACTTAAAGCAACATGTTAATGGGTTGGACAGGAACGCGCTTCGATATCTCTTCAATTGGAAGCTACAACTGCTTTTCTCTGAGGACAAGGCGCAGGCTCAAGCGAAAGTACCGAACGGCTCCGCTCAACCTAATGGCGTCCACCCAGGAGCGCAATTTGTTCCGGATATGCACTGGAGGGAGATATGTTTTGCGTATCACAGCACGACGCAGCAGCCACTGCTCGACATTTTGGTTCTACACCACGACAACAAGCTCACTTGGTCGATCGCACGCCGGCTTGGCATCATGGCATGGCTTGCTGATCGTGAAGCACTTGCGCAAGTTTTTGAACAGCTCGGCCAGACGGCATATCGCTCTGAGCAACCCCCAGATCCTGTCAATGCGTCGTTGTATTACCTTGCTCTCCACAAGAAACCCACGCTGCTTGCTCTCTGGAGGATCGCAACATGGCACAGGGAGCAAAGAACGACCATGAACTTCCTGAAGCGTGACTTTTCGCAGCCTGATGCCAGAACAGCTGCGAAGAAGAATGCTTATGCATTGATGGGCAAGCGCCGCTTCCACTACTGCGCTGCGTTCTTCTTGCTTGCAGACGATCCGGCATCTGCGACAAGCGTATTGGCAGGTCAATGCGAGGATCCGGCTTTTGCGATTGCAGTGGCGAGACTCTACTGCGGCGACGGATCGCCAGTAGTGAGGCAGCTGTTAGAAGACAGACTCGTTCCGCAAGCGAAGCGAGATGGCAATCGTTGGGCAATGAGCTGGTGTCATTCCGTTCTGATGGAAGGGCATGATGCCGCGGAGGTCTTGGTGAAGCCACTCGGCGGCGTCAAGACTTGGCAACAGGACGATCCCATCACATTGCTTTTATACCAGCAGCTGCGCAAGACGCCATCCGAGCATGAGTATGACGCTGTACTGAGAGCCGCGCGCATCCTGCGACGCATGGGTCTCTGGCTGCTTGCACTTGAACTCGTCACCAGGTGGGAGTTCAAGCCAATGGAACTGGCTACCAAGTCGGCACACGGGGCTGTGACGAACGGGACCGCCAATGGTGTGCATGAGGAGCCGATATCAATGCTGGACGACTTCACCGCGCCTCAGCCACAGAATTCAACAGCCAGCGAGGCTCCCTCTCTGCTCGATAGCTTTACTCAGCCTGAGCCGGCGAAGCCCGCGCCGGGTGACGAGAAAGCCGCGCGAGAGGCCAAGGCCGCGGAATTGCTCGCCAAGATCAAGGCGAAGGCGAAGAAAGAACAACAACCCGCAGCGAGTGAGACCAACGGCGGGCAGAAACGAGAGCCGACGCAGTTCCAGGAGCCCGATCCGAATTCTCTGTTGGATAACTTTGGCTTTTGATTTTTTTCCTTTTCTGATGTTGTTGTATGTTATAATACATGCTGCTCTTATTACCGGGGGGGGGGCTGAAGATGCCTTTACAGCGCGGCGTTTTTTCCCCCTAGAAGGCACTGTACCGAGGGATGGGTAATTTTTTGGGGGGTTTGAGATACCACGCTGTAACTCTCTTGTAGTAGCAAAGATGGAATTGTCTGAATGCATGTTGGGTGCGTCTCATGGGTCTTATCATGTTACTTGCCCTCGTGAGTCTAGCAGGATCGGCATCAGTATCGTGGACGGCAGAAGGGAAAGAAAGTATTTCATGGTTGATTACAGCTAGTTTGCTAGGTGATTCACTTGTTGACGGGAGACTACCGCTTTTCTGGAATATCACTTTGGCGGTTTCCTTGGATGTTTTTGGTGAGGTCTTTCGCGAGTCTGGGTTGGTCCTGTAGACGACGATGGAAAAGTCTATGACCGGAGGGAGGCGTGTCGGGTCGTGTTTTCTCGGTTCTTCAGGGCTGATTTGAGAGTTGAGGGGTGGGTCGTAGCAGTCGTCGACTTTGGGTTCTTTTTAATTCAAGGGGTAATGTATGTACGTAATTTGGAGGAGTTTCGTTGAGACTTTCGGGGGCATGCTCTGCGACTCTTCTATCAGATCAGCTTGATCGCGTAGTTGTGGCCGGCCATTCTTGAAGGGCAGATGTAACGCTGGAGGTCGACCCTTAGAATGAGTACTGGGCATGGTAAGAAGAGAGTTTGATGTCTGACCGAGCAGACGCTGTGTTCGAACAATGGATGCTTGCCAAATCCCGGCTTGAGGGCGATTGATATTTTGGTACATGGTGACGCGCTGTTGAAAGAGTGTCTATGCAGCAATGCAGAATACTTGAACAGGCTACTCCGATTCCAACAGCCCTGTCCAAAGCCGCGGTTTCAGCTTTGATGTCCTTTTCCGTCCATTTCCAATAGCTCCTGAAGTTCTTCAAGGTCGTTACTGATCCCCGCAGCTAGCTGCCGTATCGAGGACATGGTATCAAACAGCTGTCGCTGTGTGGTCGTCATCCTCTTCACCTCTCGCGCAGGTGCTTTCTGCGTCTGGGGTGGGTTTTGCCGGACGGAGCGCTTCGCTGGCGATTCTGGCAATGCATCGGGAACGTCAAATCTGCTAGGAAGTGATTCCTTTCTTGCCGGTGAGGGAGTGTTCAAGTTGCTACCAGCAACGCTGACATTACTGATGTTTGACAGGTGACGTGAGTCCGTTATTGGCCGACGAAGACCGTTCGTATTGTGTGACCGTAGACCCTTGGAAGCAGGTTCAGCGTTCGTGTTTAGTTTGTCTTCCAAGAGGCTCCTCATCGTCCCTCCCGTGGCTTCTGATGTTTTGAAAGAGGTTTTGGGGCGGCTGGACTCCTTTCCCTTGCTGTTTCCTCGTTGCTTGGCTTTGCCACGGGTCCTAATAGCTTCGATTTCAGAGTCCGCAAGGTATCCAGTACCCGGAGTCGGAAGGACTGGATAAGATGGAGGCGTCGTGTCCAACTTTCGGAGGATCCGTTCCCCTCTTGCGTGAGAAGACTTGTTCGACGTGGTCCTCTTCACATTCTTGATGATCTTTGATGCACCAGTATTCTCCGCCTTCTTGGATTCCGCGGCTTTGCACTGAGCTCTATCAGCGGCTGCGCGACGAGTAATGGGGGCCATAGCGAGTGAAGTGAGCACAGCGGATGTTAGACACGAACTCGAAATCAGGTTCACATCAGGCGTTGAGTCGAATAAAGCGCAATGAACCTTTGTTGTAGCTCGTGGCCTACATGGCCGGATCCGCACATGTTGCTGCTCTTTGTTAAGATTGTCATGCTATTGGACATAGGCTCTAGAGGGCGATGCAGACCAGGATTGCAAATAATCGTCACAATCAAGAACACATCCTACTCTGGTGCTTTCGTGGACTCCTGCGTAGCGGTGTCTTGCTTGTATTGGAAGACGAAGAAGGCGTTTCTTGCTCTTCTCCGCCAGGTAGCCTGAAGATTTGGTCTCTGCCTCGTCGCTCTTCCTCTTGGTCGCCGTCTTTGGAGTCGTTGCCTTCGCAGGTGAGGTCTTGATAGCCTTGCTAGCTAGTGTGGTGATATCCTTGCCTTCAGCAGCCTTCTGATGGGGTTTTTGTGGTGATTCATCTTCTAGTCCCTCGTCCAGTCCTTTGTCTGTCATGGATCGATTCTTGGACGCGGTTTCGCGTGAAGAACTTGGCTGCGACAAGTCTTCATCGAGTTCTTCGTCTGTCATCATACGACGAGACTTGGTCTGGGCCTTCGCTTGTGGGCTATCTTTTGCCGCTGGCTTGGCCTTTTTCGTAGGCGTCGCCTTTGCATTCTTCGTTGCCTCTTCTGGAGTTGAGCTGGCACTTGACCTAGTTACCCGCGCATTGACTGGCTTGATCACTTCCTTCGCTGGAACCGCATTGTGTTTGGGTGAAGGAGCTAGTGACTCTGCTTTCACGCAATGGCCCTGTTCCGTGGCGGCAGGCTTCCTTGTCGTTGCGGGCTTGACCGCTGGAGCTTTTGGTTGCTGCAGCCTTTCGCGCCAGCGGCCTTGCCTCCGTCAGGAGGAGGATTCGCAGTCGCGGCTCGCGAACCTTGTCGGCCTTCCAACGGAGTGAGTTGAGACAGCTCCGGCTCCGTCTAGTCAAGAACATTGACATTTATGCCTCTCCCGTGTGCATCACTCAGGATTTTTAATGCTTACTGCAGGCATAGGTTGGGACGCTTTCCAAGGGGGATCTGTTCATGCGTATTGTTCCTTATTCTTAGCTGCTCATGCGTTCGCTGCAGCGTTTCTCGTCAATCTCTATGTCTTCTAGCTTCCCCAGTAGCAGCGACGACTCTCCTTTCCCGGTCATGATTGCTTGGTGAGAGCCTCGTGTCTTGATGGCTCTTGCCACGGGTCTGCAATCGTTCCATCCTCCGTTTCAATGCGCCAGCAGATGTTGGCCATTGCAAAGCCCACTGAGCATCGTTCTTTGCCTATCCGAAAGCGTCCCGACGAGACGCTCTGCACAGGTGATGACCAGCTTTGTCTGTCTCCGACATTCTTTCGAGATTTTCAGCCTCGTCAGATCGCAAACCCCTTTCGCCAACTTCGTGCTTCTCGCACGAGGGTCGCGAACTTGGAACGAAAGTCTGCGACGATGATAGATGTGTGTCTAGAAGCGACTCGAAGGCCAGGAGCATCGGCGATCAGCACATCTTCGTAAGTGTATCACCTTTCTGGGTCGAGAAACTTCACCGGCAGCAATCGGCTTAACTCCATGCCTCGTGACTGCGTACCGAGACTTGGAGATGGCCATGCTGATGGAGTCGCGCTGCGCTGCGTTTACCACACAGCCTGTGCCGCGAGAGCTAGCATCAACCATGGCTTACTTCGTTCTAGGCCTAGATCTCATTGTTCTTTTCTTCCACAATCCTATTTATGCACGTTAGATCTGATGATTGCCAAGAAATCTTTGGATGCCATGAGAACTCTGTCACCGCCCGGCGTTCCCTCTTCCAGCTTGACTCCGCGACCAATCAATGTCCGTAGGAATATCTATGTCTATCACCGAGATTGATGAGGGGCTTCGGACGTTTGCTTAGACGCACTTCGTCTCTACTCCTGGGCAATGGCTGAGGAGCCCAAGGTTGCTCGCTTTTAAGTTCTCCGGATTCAGTCTGTGCATTGAGCAGGCCTATCGAGCCCAAGAAAAGGGAACGCCCCAAAGCAGGTGACGTATTCCATCGTCGCCCAGAGAAAGGTGCGGAGGTGAGATCCAGGTTCAATACCATAAAAGCTGGCACATCCATGGAACGCGGCTGGTAGATCTCCGGCTGTTGGCTGCTGTCAGCTTGGGCATTCCTCCCAACACTTCCCATCCTCCCTCACTTCTGTCCACATCGCCTACCATCCGAGTCTCCTCCGCGTCACATCAATCCGGACACACTCTTGGTCGACTGATCTAAAGCTTATAGTAGCCAAAGAAGAGCGGCTACGACTGGGGGTACCTCGCACGTAGCAGATTGCCCTTTGGCCCCGACAGCGAACGCATCGGCCTTTGAAAATTCACTCCAGTACTCGTCTTTCTCCAAGAGACCCTGCACGACGACTGCTCAATATCCGATGTGAGATTCCTCCAACCCGATGTACAAGGACGCAAATCCCGACTCAAAATCAAGTTAACGCCGCGATCTATGGAAAGTTCTGCGAACAATGGACACCTCCAGATGGTACCTATTGCCCAGTTTGAAGTCCGTCGAAGGCTCCAAAGGTTCGCGGGTGCCACACCTCCCGGTCGTCTGGGCGATACCTCGTTGACGTTGATGTCGGATCCTCGTACTCTTCCTGCAATAGCACAAGTGGCCGAGATAGTCTACTTTGACCTTCGAACACCGCTCCGTCCTTGGCCACAAGAAATCGAACAGATGCATGAACTTTTTGCAGGGCTGGATCATGAGTTCAACGTGTTTTGTCAGGTGCTGCCGATGTGGGTACCGGGTGATGAAGATGAACCAGATGTGGAAGAGGAACAGATCACGATCGATGGATTGGATGGGAACCAGCTAGTCCTCTATGTGACTCGTCCACAAAATCAAGAGGTAGATCTTCCGGCGATTGTGTATTTTCACGGCGGCTGCCTCATTATGATCGACATCAATAGGTTCCATCGCCGCTGGGCCAAGTCGTTGGTCCTCAGAGGCCACGTACTCGTAATACCAGAATTCCGAAACGCGTGGTCGAAGACACGATATAACCACTTTCCTGCTGGGTTGAACGATTGCGTAGCCGCCGTCGACTATGTCGACACGCACCGCTGCGACTTGGGGATCAGCACGATTACTCTCCACGGAGATGACGGCGGCGCCAATTTGGCTATAGCTACTGCGCTGAGAGCCAAGCGAGAGGGCTGGGTCAAAATTATCGCCGGCGTGAGCGCATGTTCTCCGTATATCGGCGGAGAGGCGCATAGTTGGCCTATTGAGCGCAAGCTCGCGGAGCTGCCTAGCCTCGTGGAGAATGAAGGATACCTGCTCGATAGTCCGTGGCTCGGTCCTGGGGCAAGATACTACTCTCCGGATAACACGACCAACCCTCTTGCCTGGCCGCTCTTCGCTACGGAAGATGACCTCACTGGGCTACCGCCCCATTCGATCGTGTTAGACGAGTTGACCCCGGTAAGAGACGAAGGTGTGGTATATTACCGCAAGCTTGTCGCTGCTGGCGTGACTGCAACAGCGTTCGTCCAACTGGGAGTACCGCATGTGGGCGTGTTGTTGTTTCGCCGTGCCATCCCAGATATATACGAGAACTTGTGCAACCATGTCTCTGCATTCGCAAAAAGGCTAGCATGATGGAGAAGGACTCTGGCTGCACATTCCTACCCAGTTCAGATGCTGTTGGCATTTTGCTGTGTCGTGTTGGACCGGATCGAATCGCAGGACTGACCTCCACAATGAACTGTGGACGCTGAAGCACCAAGAGTGCTTTCCTCGGCGCAGAAGAAGCGGCCCCTACTACTTTCAAAGCTTCGGAAAGGCGACTTGTGGTGGACGAAGCCCGTCAAGACCGACGCAGAGGATGAGATGAAGCCAGAATTCCACCTCAGACATGCCTCTCGAGCACTGCCGTTGAGCCATATCTCGTTGTTCATGCTCGGAATCAACTTGCATCGTACCAGATCAGCTGATGGTCCGCGAAAACGCAACCCAGGTCGGCTGCATTGATCTGTTTCATAAGCGAGCCACCTGAGATGCCATGGGGTTCACGTGCTGATCACGTGTCGTACATCTGCTGAAAGCAAGTTGTGCTTGCTGAGTGCCGACTTGCGCTTGAGCGATGATTATCACGGCTCGGCATCCTTGCGCAACAATTGCAGTCGCGAGTGACGTCTGCTTGCTGCGCTCTCAATGTGGAGGGCGTGGAGTCGCGTTCAGAGACCAATTGCCGAAATGTCAAAGGCCCGGCTGTTCGACATAGTACACCATGTAGCCTGCTAGGATGAAGCCCCCAGCGCGAAGAGAGCCGTCAGCAGTCGGGAGCTCGTGACAGTCGTACCTACGCCATCGGGATCCTATCCTTTTGAGTCTCACACAAAGAGAATTCTCATAAGCTTCCTGCCTCGAAGCATGTGTGATGGGCTGGCTGACGTCGCGGATTCGTCCACAAGCTAGGGGAAGTTCAGCTTCAAGTTGCTGATTGTCCATGAACATTTGGAACATTAATCGACTTGAGTTCATGAGCTTGCTTGCCACTGTATCCTGTTGCAACTTTGGGATGCGAACTTGCAGACCCATGTTGGTCATCATTGAAGGGAGCTGCGGTGCGCTTCGATTCTCGAAGCCGGGGGGTATGATGTGGCCAGAATCAGCAAAGGCTGTAGGCGATCTCGCCAGCAATCCAGTGGGCTCGACATTCGCCGTCCATGCCAGAATAGAATCATCCGACGACTTGCTGAGTAGTTCAAGCTGAAGGCGCATGAAAGCCTTCCTGCCTTCGCCATAGACCAGGGGCATAGAGATGTCGAACAGACCGAGCAAGGAATAGCCCATGTCTTCTTCCAAAGTGGTTTGGCGGTACGCCATCCAGCTCATCTTCATTGCAATGCTGGCCTCTTTCAGTTGATTCCGATCCGTAAGATAGATTGCCGGGATCTTGGTGATGTCTGAAACCTCGTTGGCAAGATAGGTCCGACTTGCGATCATGTTCCAGTTCGTATCGTAGTAAGTCAACCTCGCAGGCGCCAGCATTTCCTGGAGCGTCCAGCCTCTTGTGAACCATCGTGACTTTCTCATCTTCTGGAGTGTTTCGTCTCTCAGTCGTTTGCCAGAAGGCCACTTCTCGAGATGGCTTTTGGTAACATGGCATTCTGGGACATCTACCAAGTAGACCAAGCATTCTTCGGCATTCCAGTACCAATTCCACATTGAATTGATGGCTCCAGACAGCTCTGCACTGCTGGATCTATCAATGCAGCAAGTGTCGATCCAAACCCACTGGTGGCCTCGTGCCCTTGCGACTTCGCAGAGAGCTTGTATCTTCAAGTATCCCGGACTGTCCCGACGTGGTACTTTCGACATGAAGGCTGCCAGAACTTTGGTCTTGATCTCATCTCCGGCGATCTCATTGCGCAGGTACAGATAATCCTGGTAAAGGATTTCGCCCTCGCCCCACGTATGTGAGAGGATGGCATACTTGGGACGCTGGGCATCGCCATACCACTCAAACTCTCCGGTAACAGTTGAGATGAGACGCATTTTGAAGAGATCAGAACGTCCATGACTGAGTTCCGAGTCGGTATGGGGATGTGAGAGCCAATGCCGGTCCGGCGGGAAAGCTCTTGGAGTTGATGAGGTTGAGAGCTTCCTTTGTCCATCCGGTCCCACAACATGGTCATGCAGGGTCTGGATCGAAGTATAAATGCCACTAGCGCTGTGATTGGCGAGGGGAAGCCTCTCGACATCCATCTGTCCAACGTCGCATCGAGGTGGTTTTAAGTGCAAGAGTGATGTACGCTCACTCCGGGACAGTCAGCTCTGTTCAACGTATACAACACCCAAGTCACACCCGAGGAGACCCGATGGGGCATCCTGCATTTTCGGCGAAGCGATTCAGTCTGGTAGGGAAGAGATGCTGGACGGCTGCTAGATTTCTTTCGGGCAATCTCACGTAGACCTTCATCGCCTGTGCAAGCAGAAAGACGCGGAGACAGTTTCAACTGCGAGCTGGCGTGTTGCGATGTCTCAGCGGTCTGGCGCACAACGTCGAATCTATCTCGACGCTCCCTCTTTGAGCGATGTCCCTCAAGCTCTGCCGAAATAGCTCCATTGATTGTGTCAATTGTTTCTCCAGGATGCTTGGGTATGGGGCCGGCCTCCTGTGTTAGTGAGACCATCTCGAACATCAACACCGGAGAGATGGCAAGTCGTGAAGGTGTCAGGGAGACGCCGACGCATAGGTGAAGTCGTCTACTACGCCTACGCTGCGGGATGCTGTGAGGGGTGCTATCGATGAGGTGGAGTTCGAGACTCGAACCGACGACGCGATTCACTGAAGCCTGGAGTCGGTCGCGTCTATTGCCGTGGCGTGGCGAGGCGAGACAAGACGGAAGGTGCGCTGCCGCGGGTCGTCGTGCCTTCCTCGAATGGAGAAGCTGCAAGATTAAAACCGACCGACCTTCCCGTCTTTCCCTTCCACTTTGACTTCCACCACCACCACCACCACCACCACCACCACCATCACCGCCGCCACCACCACCATCATAACCAGACTCGACCATGACTATGATAGGTGCCGCACGCCCTTTGCCGCAGATCGGTGGGCCCGATGCCTACGAGGCCTACCGGAAGCCAGGTGATAAGTTTCGCTCGGACGCAATGGTACGATGCCTCAGTGCGCGTGCCGGTGAAGATGAAGAAGCCGACCTGCGGGCACGGGAGGATCTGCACCAGGGGGCAGCCGAGCGCGAGGCTTCTCGTCGACTCGAAAGACTAGAAGGACGTCCGGTAAGCTTATGACCCGAGCATCACACAGAGCCACACCCACAACATAACTAGCTGCGAGCGAAAGACGATATATTGCAGTGCACATAGCAATTTGCTTCATAAAAGCTGACTCGTCCTCGCACAGAATGACAAGCAATCTGAGGACGAACCTGTATCACATGCCACGGTGGAAGTGAGGGCTCGAGACGGCTGGAGTGAGAGCGGCCGAGAAGAAGCGCATCACCACGCTGATGGCGGGGATAAGACCACGAAGCGAACTGTCTCGCCGAGGGAGAAGAACGACTCCACTGGATATGAGCATGCAGAAATATCGAGTGGTAATGGCTGTAGTACGAGGAAAACGGAGAGGCAACAAGAACGTCGCAAGACCGGCGTCCTTCTGCGGATGCCCACCAAGGGCAGAGAGTATACCGAGGAGCAAGTATCCTGGATCCGAGAACGCCACATCGAATACGGAAAGAAGCAGAAAGGCCGACGGATCCCGGCCGGAGAGCTTCTTGAAGGATTTAATCGAGCTTTTCCGGGAAGCACGAGGAGTCGTAGCAGTCTTTCGAGTTTTATCGACCGGCGCAAAGAGTTGAGCGCATTGCGGAATGGCTTCCGCGGCTAGGAAACGGCAGCAGACGTTGTTCCTGCTTTGAACACTCTAAGGTGGAACCAAGGGCTTGGGCAGAATCTGGTGAGGGGGCAATCTCCTCCATCGGGTGTGAGCCCTTCACACATTGGGCGGGAATGGTACATGTAGTTTTGTGGAGGGAGAACGAGAGCGGTCTGAAGTGAGAGGGCATCACGGCAAGGCCCGAGGGCCCGAGCGTCTAGGTAGTCCCTACATGTACCTCTCACATCTTGCCTACCTTACCATCCCTAGCAGCAGTGTTTCATGGCTCTGACTTGCTTACTCCTCGTTCCAGCTCAATGATTACTCACTCTCACTCACAGACAGAGAGCATTAAGGACGAGTCGACGGTCGAGTGCGCCGACTTGCTAGGTTCGCAAACTTCCATCGACATCCAGTCTCTCCACGAAAGCCAGAACCGGCATTCGAGCATTGTCACGACCAACGCATCTTTCTCTTTTGTTCAGCCAACAGCCCATCAGGATGCGACTTCTCAGCCTTCCTTCTGCGCTTCTCGCACTGCTTGCGATCAGTGATGTCTCCTCCGCGACACACACTTCAAATTGGGCGGTGTTGGTCAGCACATCGCGTTTCTGGTTCAATTACCGCCATCTCGCGAACACCCTCAGCCTCTACCGCACCGTCAAGCGTCTTGGTATACCCGACAGCCAGATTATTCTCATGCTTCCTGACGATATGGCATGTAACCCTCGCAACTCCTTCCCCGGGAGTGTCTTCAATGACAAGAGCCGCTTGCTTGACCTCTACGACGATAAGGGGACACTCGAGAATATGGCGGCCGGCATGGGAGGTATAGAAGTGGATTACCGCGGCAATGAAGTCACCGTCGAGAATTTCATTCGTCTCCTCACCGATCGATGGCCTGCGTCACATCCGACTTCCAAACGCCTCATGACCGATGACCGATCCAACGTCCTCATATACATGACCGGACACGGAGGAAATGAGTTCCTCAAATTTCAGGACAGCGAAGAGATATCGTCATTTGACCTGGCGGATGCGTTCGAGCAGATGTGGGAGAAGAAGCGATACCATGAGATGCTGTTCATGATTGATACGTGTCAGGCGAATACCATGTACCCGGCGTTCTACACACCGAATATCATTGCTACCGGAAGCAGCGCAAAAGACCAGAGTTCGTACTCACATCATGCGGACCAAGATGTGGGCGTAGCGGTCATTGATCGGTGGACATACTACAACTTGGAATTCTTGGAGACGAGACTGAACAGCACGAGCGCGGATGTCAGACTCGGTGAGCTCTTCGATTACTATACGTTCGACAGAGTACACAGCGATGCTGGTGTGAGGTATGACCTCTTTCCAGGTGGAGAAGACGCAGCCAGGAATCTCAGAGTGCTGGATTTCTTCGGAAGCGTACAGGGGGTTGAGACGGAAGCTGCTACAAGTGGGAATGCGAACGAATGGAAGGAGGATCTAGAAGCTTTGAAGAAAATCATGGAGAGGCAGAGGGCTGAGGCGATCAATGTCACGGTCGCAAAGGAACCAGAAGTGGTGTCGAAGAGCCGACAGCAGAACAGAGTGGCTCTCGATATGGCACAGAAAGGAGATGACTGGGTAAAGAAGGCCGCAGGTTTGGCATCTCTGCTTGTACTTGGTGCCGCTTGGCTGGCTTCAAGCGCGTTGGCCAAGAGTGCTTGAGGCCGTAAAAATTGAGCGTTGATTGTTTTGTCTGATACCCCCAACGTACGATTGAATCACATACCACTCTCACGTGCCCTGTTGCCAAGTTAATGCTATGAGGCTGAGACGGGATGCCTGCCTCGGTGAATGAAGCAGGGTCCCGCATGAGGTCCGGCGTTAAGCTCCCTGTCACAAGCCACAAGTAGACATGGGTGCTCTCGCACTTGACCTCGTCTAGCTCGTGCAACATCGGACTACACTTCACCTTCCTGCCGCCACTCCGATGACGCACTTTCTTGCAAGAACTTGAACTGCCACAGAAAGCCAGAACTCACCACTGTCATTTTCGATTGTTTGGAAAGCCGGACCGCGCTTACCGCAGCTCTCAGCCACCAGTACCTTCCTCCGAACCAACGACATTCTATCGGAGGCACCTCCTCCTCGGATACATACCTACTGCGACGAGACAGACACAGACGCAAAAGCTTCGAGTACAACCACAGACCACTGGATACATTCCTGGGAGGTGCCTTCTATCTCAGCGAGCTGCATTACGCGGCACCTAGCACAGCATACTCTCCCAAGATGGCTTCGCCAGCCTCGCGCAACACAGGCTCGCCTGGTGGACAGTCTAGTGCGGCCATCCTTCTCCAGAGACAGCTCAAGCAGATGCAAAGCGACAGGGATATCCCCGGTATCAGTTGTGGATTGGCGAGCGACAACATCTTTGAGTGGGAAGTCATGCTCATGTTGAGCGAGGAGCAAGATAGCATGTACGGAGGTGAGTGAAGAAAAAGATTGAAGAGGACATATGAAGGCTATGGATGCTTGTCATCGGCTCTGGGAATGGCGTGCGGTCAGCTGGCGGTATGTTCGCCCACCTGTGAGCCAGACTGTGCGAGGGTAGAGACGGGAGACGATACAGCCAAAATTCCATTCAGACATGCCCTAGCTGACCACTCGCTTGTGACATAGGCGGCATCTTCCGAGCAAGGATGACCTTCCCGTCATCATACCCCATCAGCGCTCCCAAGCTCAAGTTCGAAACGCCCATCTTCCACCCAAACGTGTACGAGAACGGCGAGGTCTGCATTTCCATCCTGCACGAGGGCGAGGATCAGTACGGCTACGAAGCGGCAAACGAGAGATGGAATCCTGTTCAGACACCAGAGACGATTCTTCTGAGCGTCATCAGCATGCTGAGCAGTCCGAACGATGAGAGTTCGGCGAACGCTGAGGCCGGGAGACTCTGGCGGGAGGACCAGAAGGAGTTCAAGCGTAGGGTCAGGAGATGTGTGAGGGAGAGTCTGGAGAATGCTTGGGACTGAAGTGGCCAGGCGGGCACGGAGGCAGAGGCAGCGGCGGTGAGCAGGCAAGCGTACGAGCGAGCGAGGGAACGACTTGGCTTCGCAGCATTGACGAACAGCGACGAGCTGTACATATTATGGGAGCTACTGACGAAATGATATCATGGTAGGAAGCGGCTAAGTACCCTTCTCAATTGCATTGTTGCACAATTATCTGAGCTGTTTCCTGGCAGCGTTTCAGTGCCGCAAAGACCAATCCTGAACTCGTACTGACCTAAAGCTCTTTTCTTGTTGGAACTTGCCAGGACTGGGAAGGCTCGATTCAATCTTTCATCCGCAAAGCTTTGGCGGCTCCTGTCTCTCTGGTACTCGATCTCAAGCTGTGCGAATGGGGCATCTTTCGTTGGGAAGAGACAGCGTTTACTGCTTGAACACAGACATCATGCCCCAGACAAGGTAGAGCACCATGGTAGCCGTGACAGCAAAGTAGACAGAGAGCGGTACGCGTTCTGCGTTGGGAATACGCTGGTCACGCTTGTACTTCTTCTGTCCACGGAGCTTTCCGCCAGTAGACATGCCCTGGACGACCTCGCCGTGCTGTGGCTTCTTCTGACCCGCGGAGTTCTGAATGATCTCAACGTCGATCTCGCCATGCTGTGGCTCCTCGGCCTCTGGCTTCTCCTGCGGCTTGCAGATCTGCTTGTGCTTCTTCATGTCGATCTCGCGGCAGTCGATGGAGCAGTGGAAAACGCTTGTCGCAGCGGCTACAGGCTTCGAACCCCTGACTTGCTGGACCAGCCTCGGAGTAGCAGACGCCGCATACCGCCCCGGGGCGGTGACTGCGACCGGACATGAAACTTCCTCAAGCCAGTGCTCAAGTCTTTCGTCGAAGTCGCGCTCCTCGTATCCTTCACGGTCCCCGTCGGTCTTAGAATACTTGAGGTCACGCTTCTCAGCGAGACGGCGGCGGCGACGGTTTTTATCGAAGAAGGCGGCGAAGGCGTTTGGGCGTGAGCTTCCTACATAGCCGACTCGTTCTTGATGCGCGGCTGGGAGCTTGGTCGAGACGGATGGGAGGCGCTTGCCTCGATGAGTTTCTTTGACGGGGGGTTAGTTACGTTGTTCACGGCCTTCTTGTCGGTCTTCTAAAGAGCGATATCCCTTATTTCTAATACGACTGGTAAAAACGATCCGACTACCTTTATACAGCAACGCAGAGCGGATCCCCGACATCGCAGATCCGGAGAAAGTTGGCGGCGATGGGCTGGGAGCAGGGCCGAACTTTATTGGAATCGCCTTCATGGGGAGGCCCACCAAGGCGGAGGCAGGAGTGGTAGCGCAGTCCAGCTCCTGGCCTGGAAGAAGGCCGCACCGCCGTCGGCCAGCATGATCTCTAGCGTCTTGTCCGCATAGATCCCCAGCAGGGGGGAGGGACGCACACGCCGTCGACCCGGCGCTCCATCGTTGTGTTAATGACGGAGTTGGGTTGTCGCAAGTGGTGGCAATTCACGGGCGTTCAAGTGTTCGAGCGGACGGGTCTTGGCGTTTGGTCTGGGTGCAGAAGATCTCTAAAAGGTGGTGTGGGACAAGCGGCGCGAAGCTGAGAGCAGTGGCATGGAAGTTGATTGTTTGATGGAGATGCGCTGGCAGAGCCGGGGATGATTTATAGGAAAGATGGAGGCGCACGAGGCGGCACCACGGGCACCCATTCACCCTCCGGCTGCAGACATGTGGAAACTGCTCTAGCAGGCATTGAGCCGTGAGCTACCGCCTCCACCGTGCTTGTGAAGGCGAATGTGAACGCAAAGGCTGCCGCTCTTCCTACACCTCAGGCCTTCATGGGAACTGCAAGTCCACTCCTTCGACTTTGAGAGCCTCTCGCACCCTCTGTAGCCTCTCTGCCCCCTTCGTCGCGGCCTTGAACTTCAGATAGTCCTCCACATCGAACCCGCTGACCGCCCCGCTCATCTATCCCCACCGTCAGAACGTATGCAGCATGAAGTCCACCACCGTTAGATGGTTCTAAAACGCGTGGCCCTCTACCTGAAACCGATTCTCGATCGACGCCAAGCATTCACGAAGCGCCTCCTTTTCATGTTCCTGCATAGCACTCAGAACCCTTTCAGATGCGTCTGTTCCCGCAATTCGCGATGGAATCCATCTCCCCGCAAACCCATACTCTGCAATCGCAGTCGCGAGCCAAGACAGCCACTCCCCGACCTTTGCGGTCTCGATTGGTGTCCTCCCCGTCAGGCCTTGCTCTGGTACAGGCTGGCGACACTCTTAGAAGAGCACGGCAGGCAGCTCGGAGATATGGACATCGTTGACGGACGGAGCTGTTCCGCTACGGAAAGACGCTGTAAGCTGCTGGGCATTGACATGAGGATGCACTTTATATGGCCAGCACTAGTCAAGCTTGCCCTTTGAAAGTCTTTGTCCCGTCTTTGGATTCCTCCATGGCAGCCTCATCTTCAATAAATTAGCCCTCACAGTCAAGAGGGTGGCGGTGATCAGCATGATTGGCGTCGCTATTACCCAGAAGTATGCATCACTGTGTTCGTTGACTACCGGCATGGGATCGAAATTCATGCCAAAGTAACTTGTCAGGAATGTCAGCGGCAGAAAGAAGCTCGAGACGAATGTCAGCTTCGAGATGCTTTCGTTCTGGCTTGCAGCGATTGTGTTGAAGATCAACGAAGAGAGGTTGTCGGCGGACCGAATCGACATATCTGTGGAGTTTGAAAGTGCCGCAATGTGGTCCTGGACGTCTTGGAGATAGATTTGTGCGGTGGACGAGATGTGCACACTGGTGACTGGGTCGTTCAGATTGCCATCTGCGGTTGCAATGGCAGCGCGGTGATCGACCAATGTCTTGAGCAGGCTGCCATTAGCAATGCTATTGTCCATGAGAAGTGTCAGGCCAGATCGCAGGATGTGAAGCTCTTTTGATTGCGCAACATTCGGCCTCCTGAGGACGGACTGCTCGAGGTCGTCAAATACTTGGGCGTATGCTTTGCCAATCGGAAGAGACAGATCAACCACTGTGTCTATCACAGCGTGCAAGAGCATGGAAGGATCGTTGCTGGAGCGAATGGTGCTCTTGGGGGATTCTAAGCGGGATATGATGGGATTCAAGACCTCTTCGCCAGAGCGCTCGAAGAACGTGATGAAGGTGTTATCGGCGGTCAGGAACATTGAGACCTGCTCGACCGTCATTCTAAATCGCCCTGGGACAAGCGTGCGCCATCTAGGGTGAAGTCTGCTGCCAATGCGATCCCGTAGTGACGAGGAAACCGGGTCGTCTTCGACTCTTGTCCTCCGATCGTCATGGATGTGCTCTAATTTCACGAGGTTCATCTCCAAGAAGCAGTGGTCATCGTACCAGTTGACTTTGGTCGAAGTACCTGTATCCATGACATCCTCGATGGCAAGCGGATGAAGGCCCTTTTCGCTGCCGAGGCTCCTGACTACATCCCAATTGATTCCATTGACGTAGATCCAACGGCAGGAAGCCCAGCTCGGTCTGGGCTGCTCTTTCAAGAACGAATCCAAAGAAGCCACTTCCACGTCGTGCTTTATCACACGTTGGTCAGAGAAATCGACAATGCAAATCTCGCTTTCGGAGTCATGTTGTTGGCTGAATCGTTGTGAGGCGAGCTTTGAGGTGGGATCGATTCCAGGTTCCTCGCCCGCCCGAGACGTCCAGCTGTCTGCTCTACTGTTGTGGAATAGTCGCCTCCAAAGCGATGCAGAAACCGGTATTGGCTCGTGATGCGGTCGAGGGACCGGGTCGAACTCCGTTTCTAATTTCGCTGACAGCCGTACTGAAGTGCTGATATTGCGGTTCACGGCCTTGTGCCGCCACCAAGAGCGCGACTTGAGGCGAGTCTGGTGCCGAAGAGGTCCACTGTTGAGCACGACTGCGTGTAGGTCGCTTGCGAAGGCTCGGAACATGTTCCCCGAAGAAGACGACCAAGGATGAAAGATTTGTCGATAGATGGGAGCAGATTATTTTTAAAATAGAGACTCGCTTGGAGGAAGGGGTCCTCGACGTGTCCCATGACTTTTGCGCGGTGACATATATATTGGCCTAACGCGCGGGCGAACTGCACGCGTGTGTGTTGATGTAAGCAATACCATCGACATTTCCATAATGCGGGAAACATGAAGATATCTCTGGTACCTATCTATTGTGCTGCCTCAGCTGCGACTGTCCACGCATGGACGCTCCCTCTTGGAGTGAATCCGATGTTCGCTAGCGCTTTGCTCAAGACTCCACGACTGGCATCACCTGATGCATGACCATCACCATCACCATCACCCGGAGCACCATAACCGCCTCCGCCTGGTGTGTGGATGAGGATGCGCTCGCCCGGCTGCGCGTTCATCTCCATCTTGCCGCCGATGTTGATGATCCTCTCACTGCCGTCCGCCTCCTTTCTCGCGTACAGATTGAGTCCGGCTTGTCCCGGCTGACCTCCCGCCATTCCATACGGGCGGATGACTCTGCGCTCGCTCAACATGGACACAGAGAGAGGCATCCGGAACTCAATCTCACGGAGAACCCCATCGCCTCCTCTGAACTGCCCTTGACCGCAGGAGCCTTCTCGGATCGAAAATTGCCTCAGGATGATCGGATATCGTAGCTCGTACACCTCTGCGTCCGTGATACGAGTGTTCGTCATGTGGACGTGCACTCCAGACGTGCCATTCCACGTCGGACCGGCGCCTGAGCCACCACAGATCGTTTCGCCAACACCAAATCCAGGCACTTCTCTACCAGTGGCATCTAGTCCTCCAGTCCCGAATGAGATGATGTTGCAGCAGCCCTGCGAAGCTGCACATGCTCCGAAAGCGCCAAGAACGACATCTGTAATTCTCTGAGATGTAATCGGGTTTCCAGCACAGACTGCTGCATATTCAGAAGGATTCAAGAGGCTTCTCTCCGGAATGATAACCTTGATTGGCGCGAGGCAGCCTTGATTTAGTGGAATATCCTGGTTGATCAACGCACGGAGACAATAAATAATCGCAGAATGCGCGATCGCCTTCGGAGCATTGAGGCAATTGAACGTCTCTCTTCCGGTCCCTGTGAAGTCGAACGTGCTGTCACCAGTGGCTGTATCGATCGCCACCTCGAGATGGATCTCTGTACCGTCGTCCATGAAATCGGAGAATATCAGTGGCTTGCCTTTCGTCTTCCGGCCGACGTCCCTCAAGAAGTTTCGCACGGCAATCTCCGCATTGGACTTGATAGCATCCATGTAGAAGTGCACCACTGGCAGCGTGTATTCTTCAACAAGGGAATTGATCAACTGTGCACCCTTCTGATTTGCCGCAATAGCTGCTTTCAGGTCGGACACGTTATCTTTGTATGTTCTGGTGCCACTGCAACCGGGATAGGAGGCTGGATCATCGTACAAAAACCGCCGCACCATGACCTCGTCGAATTGGCCAGCAGAGACAATCTTGAAGCCTGCAAGCCATCAGCACAACACTGGAACAAATGCGAAAATGAGACTCACCCATGGTCATGGCACCTTCCTCGTATAGCATTCGGCTGTCTGATGGCATAGACCCTGGATGAATACCCCCAATCTCTGCATGGTGGCCCCGAGATGCAACGTAGAAGATGATGTTGGCGCCTGCGTCGTCCCAGACCGGAGTGATAATGGTAATATCGGGAAGATGAGTGCCTCCTGCCACCGGATGATTGGTGCAGATGTGGTCGCCCGGCTGAAGCTTGCCGCGAAGCTGCTCATGTTGGAATCTGACAGCATATTCCATAGATCCCAAATGCACGGGTACATGGGGCGCGTTTGCCACCAGTCTCCCGTCGGGCGAGAACACCGCGCAAGAGAAGTCCAATCTCTCTTTGATGTTGGTGGAGACTGACGTCTTCTGGAACATACGGCCCTACAAAGCGAAAGGTAGGACGTGAGTGGCTGGTCTCGACATGAAAAGGTGCCATCAGCCGTGGCATTACTTACCATTTGTTCGGCGATAGCCATGAAGCGATGGCCAAATACCGACAGGCGGATTGGATCGACCACATTGGCAGACACGACCTTCTGCTCCCTGGGCGACACATCGAGAATGACGTGTTTCGAAAGGATGGTCGCGGTGGATCCCGGCTCTACCACGAGTGTTTGTGTGCTGTCAATAATGATTGCTGGCCCCGGTATCGTTGTTCCAGGACTCAAGCTCTCCAGCTGGAAGACTGGCGTCTTCACGGTACCTGTGGCAGCGAACGTCACAGGGGTTCGAGCGGTCGCTTGTTGCGTGTCAACGAGTTGCTTCTCAATTTCGGAAAGCTCTGCATTAGGCGACTCCGCTGGCAATGAGAGCGACTCGCCGATGCCACGAACTCTGATGTCTTCGATGAGAATTTTCCGGTCTGGAAACGTGAAGCCAAATTCTCGCTCATGTTCGCTGCAGAAGGCATTGAGAAAGTCGCCGTCCTCTGGCTCAAGCACCATCAACGTGTTGTCGGTGCCTTGATATCGAAGGTTCAGATATACCTCGTGGCTCACACGATCTGCAGCGACGCCATCCTTGATAAGAGCTTCAGTTACTTTAAGCTTCAATGAAGCCACTCTTTTCACGATTTCGACCAGGCTGGTACAATCCACGACACCTGTGGCAGGCTCTTGAGCTTCATGGACAAGATCTGCAAGAGCCATGCCATAGGCTGAGAGAATCGATGAATATCGATGAATGACCACGGTCTGTATTGACAGCGAGGCAGCGATAGCGCAAGCATGTTGACCGCCAGCGCCTCCAAAGGAAGCCAGATGGTGGGCTGATGTATCGAATCCGCGAGCTTCAGTTAGAAGGCGAATGGGCTTGGCCATGGACTCGTTGGCGACCTCGATGAAACCTAGAGCTATTTCTTCGGCTGTCTTTGACTGGCCAGTCTCCGCATTGATCTGGTCTGTCAGCTCCCGAAATTTTGTCCTTGTCACTTCGACGTCCAAGGCTTCGTTCTCTCTTGGACCAAAGATCTTCGGAAAAGACTCCGGCAGCAGCCGTCCGAGGAACAGATTGGCGTCTGTCACTGTCAATGGGCCACCTTTGCGGTAGCATGCCTAACACACGGCCGTCAGTGTATGCTACGGCGCCAAGCGCACACTATCTTAAATCTCACAGGACCCGGATGAGCCCCAGCACTCTCTGGGCCAACAACAAAGAGGCTTTGCGAGGTCAGCTTAATCAGGACGCGGGATATGCTAAGAACTTACCCATTCTTCCAGAAAAGGATCGATCCACCGCCTGCAGCTACCGTGTTAATATCGAGCTGCGGTGCCATGACTGTGACCCCGGCAATCACGTTTTCAAACGTATGCTCGAGCTTGCCATCAAATCTGGATACATCTGTGCTGGTGCCACCCATGTCGAAGCCAATAATTGGTACTCTTTCTTTTTGATCAAAACAAGAATTCGCAATACCAACAACGCCGCCGGCGGGTCCGGAAAGAATCGCACGAAGGCCTGAAAATTTGTCAAACGCTACCAGGCCGCCATCACTCTGCATGAACTCGCAACGGACAGTATCGCTGGTAAGGCGATCTTCGAATCCGTCCCGGAATCCTTCGATGTATCGCTGAAGAACAGGGGTTAGATAAGCGTCTGCCGTGGCACTTGTTCCCCTTGATGTCAGCTTTATCATGGGAAGTAGCTGACTTGATAGCGAAATCTGGGTGAACCCGATTTCTTTGGCGATTTCCTGAATGGCGAGCTCATGCTCTATCAGAGATTAGCGTCTTTCACCTGCCCCCTAAATGTCCAGTCGAATGCGTACCCTGGAATGTGTACGAGTGTACAAGGCACACCGCAATACTTCGATATCCTCCATCGAACAGGCGTTGCAAGTCTCTTCGTACATCGTCGCGCTTGATGCGTTTCAGTACCCGGACGACCTCACCAGACACGCCCTTGCAAAGATCAGGATCGGTTTGGAGCGCAGCCTGCAGCTTTACCGGATCAGGTTGTGGATTCTGCTGATATTCTTCGATAGTCACTCGCTCGTCAACCTCGACGACGTCCTCGTAGAGCACATCTGGTCGTACAATATTAAGATCGAAGAGCTTTGGCCGCGATTGCGTGCCAATACGAAGGGCGTCTTTGAAACCGGAAGTGATCAGTAGTGCAACCTTCTCGCCTTTCCGTTCAAGGAGCGCATTTGTCGCGACTGTTGTGCCCATCCGCACACTAAGCTCAGAAAAGCTGCTCACATCGAGCTTTTCCTTGCGAGGGAAAGGCCTTCCGGTTGCTTGCTCGAGAATCCGTCGGATGCCTTCGATGGGAGCGTCGTCGTAGTTTTCTGGATCTTGCGACAACAACTTGACAACGATGTCGTCTTTGCGGCCTTCGACTATCCCCAAGCAGTCCGTGAAAGTGCCACCTCTGTCTGCTTTTCTTAGCAGGGGACTCGATCGTGAGCGACTGCCTGGACAGACCAATAGCAATCTTGAGTTTCAAACCGTTGGACGCGCCCATGCTACCCATTGCGCCGATCACTCGTTCCTGAATGATAGAAAGAGAGGTCGTCAGCTTCGTGCCACGGCAAAGAACGCAGTGTCTTACTGAGGCGTATATAGCTGGATTCTCAATGGGCGCAACGCGACAACAGAGCTGACTGTCCAGAAGTGGCTTCGGGCAACTGCTGGCAACGCCAACTCGCAAGCCCCCCAGGCCGGCAAGCTTGATAGGCCAATAACGAACCTACGTTATCGCCTGCGACCGTCTGTGGTAGCTCAATGGAGGTAAATTCCGTCTGATGCTGTTGTGCTCCTGCTCGCGCTACCTGGTCATTCGAGATGCCCTATCATAATCGGGTTTCCTCCAAGCCATACGCACTTTGTAGTCAAAAGATACGTCTATCACTGACCCATAGTATTTGCAAGGATGCAAAAGTACAGCTCCCGGTGAAGAAGGATTACTTTGATTCTACCGCAACAAATTGGACTGGCACCAGCGACTGACGGTCCAAATTCACAATCGGTCTCGTTGCGATGGCAGAATCGATCAAAGAACCAACCATCCAGATGGGGCCTGTGACTCCGAAAGCAGGCAAACGTAAATGGCTTCTCTCCCCGCCCAGTGACGAGAAGTCCGAGGATGTTGCCGCAAGCTTTCTTGCCCAACTTGACCCAAGTATCGCCGACGAGCCCGTCACACAACAAGAAGAAAGGAGACTGCTTTGGAAAATCGACCTTGTCCTCATCCCGATCATTTCTGCCACTTTGATTCTGGGTGCGGTCGATAAAGTCATCATATCCAATGCGGCCATCTATGGCGTCGGTAACAAGTTACACAGCGTGTGATCAAATCATTGCTAATGGGACTAGATGCGCACCGACACGCACCTTACAGGAAACGACTATAGTTGGGTGGGATCTATCTTCTACTTTGGATATCTCCTCTTCGAGTTCCCGGCTGCGTATCTGGTCCAGCGACTGCCAGTTGCCAAATTTCTGGTATTTACCGTATTCGGCTGGGCAGTGCTCATGCTATGCACGGCTACAACGCAGAGCTTCGCGGCACTCGCAGCCTGCCGCTTCCTCATGGGTATGATGGAGGTTCCGGTCTTTCCGATATCAGCTATCGTAACGGCCATGTGGTGGAAACGATCTGAACAGCCGATCCGCATTGCCTTTTGGTTCAATCAGGGGTCATCCATCTTTGCTGGCATCGTCAGCTACGGCATTGGCCACACGCATACTTCTATCCACCCGTGGCGGCTTCTCTTTCTGGTCCTGGGTAGCTTTACGCTGCTCTGGTCCATAGCGCTCTTCTTCCTCTTCCCGGACTCACCAATGTCTTGCCGGTATCTGTCTGAGCGCGAGAAGTATGTCTGCATCCAGCGAGTCAAGTCGAACAACACGGGCGTCGAAGACAAACGGGTCAAGTGGTATCAGGTCCGAGAATGCTTGCTGGATCCCAAGACCTGGTTGCTTGCTCTGTTCGCATTGGCGCAAAACATTCCGAATGGTGGCCTTGTCACTTTCTCTTCCATCATAGTGACGGGCCTGGGCTACAGCGCGCTTGCCACGACACTTTTGGGAATTCCGACCGGCGTCATCGCCACAGCATGGCAGCTTCTGTGGAGTTTCATCGTCGCCAAGTTTCCCAACGGACGATGCGTGACCATCGCAATCATGGATATATTTACGCTGATCTCTGCCGTGCTAATGTGGAAACTGCCAAGAGACAACAAGCAAGGACTCCTCGCGGCGTACTACTCGTTCTACAGCTATTGGGGTAGGTTATCCAAATGACGCGATGGTATTGTCCGGTATGCTAATGGATATGATAGGGCCGTACGTCCTGGCCACTTCGATCCCGATGGCAAATTCCTCCGGCCACAGCAAGAAGTTGACGATCAATGCCGTCTTCTTCCTCTCCTATTGTATTGGCAATCTGATCGGTCCGCAGGTCTTCCAGTCATCTGACGCGCCCGACTATTCGCATGGATATCGGGGTCTAGTGGCGTGCATCGTCGTCGCCATGGCTGCAATCGTCGGGTATGGCCACCTGTGTCATCGCGAGAACAAGCGACGTGATGCACTGGGAGCTGTGGTGGATTCGGAGTCAGAGGCGTTTTCCGATCTGACCGACCGGGAGAAGGCGTCGTTCAGATATGTCTTCTAACCCTTTGAGGCACTAGAAGTCCATGGGACGTTCCAAGACTAGCGTGCACGCCATCCAATCCATACGGGTGGGTCTGTGCGCTCGCGACGATTGAAGTTCTTTTCGCAGCGATTTGTTAAATCTTCATCAACAAGTCATCAAAATGCCCTCTTTATTATATTGTCTGTCATGTCGTCGTACGGAATCACAGCATACCATACGGTACCTTAGCACGAAAAGCGAAAGAATCGAGGTCCGGGACAAGGTCGGATGCAGAAGGCGTCGACGGAGCGGAGGAGGCCGGCGGAATTCTTCGTTGATGAGAACACTGCACTGTCACGGCATTGCACGGCAGTGGGTTTTTTGAGCGGGTAAACACTTCCACTCGTTCCCGAATCGTCGCGATTATTGAGCAATGAAAAGACGATCAAAGGCTTGTATGCGAGGCTGAGGAAGAAGTCGCCCCTGCACGTGCGCTCTAGCAGCCACTCATTGGCCGCTGATCTTCCAGAGGAATGGCGCTTCTAGGAGGCGAGGATGAGACACAGACACATGCGAGAGAGGCAGCCAACGCAGCCTGCAGCAGGGCGAGGTCGATCTCAGGCTTCACAGCCTACATAGACGGACCATAGCTGTCATAGGCAGGTCAGACCACCCTAATAAGTACACCCCAGCAGCGATCCTCGACCTCACATCTTCGTAGCCTTTCCTCTGTCACGTCCGGATTCTGTCGCTGAATTTATCTCCGCCTCCATCGTTGCAGAGGCGATACGTATCGTCAAGCGTCACCCATCCTAGAACAATCCCGCACGGGATCGCATGCAAGACCGCAGCTTGTCTCTGATCTCGAGGCTAAGCCCTAAATAAGCCTACATTAATGGAGACAATATTAGTAACGACTGGGAACACTTCGGTGCCGGCCAATCTACCGGACAGCGATGGACATGTTTCGCGTATCGGCGACTTCACGTCTTACGACGACAAGGGCGGCAAAATTCGCAAGTGGATGGAAGACATTGATGCCATCGACCACATCAATTATTATACTCGGAAGTCCATGCTTTTTGGTCCGGGCACGGAACTGTAGTCTGTCATCTCCAGCGAAGGGAGCCGGTATGGACGAATCGACGGAACGACGATGCGCGGGAGCGACACCGAGACTGTCGACCTGAAGACACCTGGCCAGGACGCGGACGCGCTGTTAGGAGACGACGACTTGGACATGGATGACGATGTTTTCGTGGAAGCCGCCCAGTCGGCACTGGACAAGGGGAAGTCGGCGTTTGCTGCCGGCGACTACAAGTCCGCTGATGCATTACTGAGCGAAGCTCTCACCATGTTGAAGGAGCTCACCGGGAAACAGCAAGCTCCTGCAGATATCTGGGAGCAGAGACGAATCCTTGGCATATGTGCTTTCCACGTACGTACGCCGGCTGAGGCCGAGGACGCTCTCCTGAGTGTGCTACAGCACGCTCCACGGAATGCGATTCTTGGCGAAGCAGAGCGGCTACAAGTCAGCGAGATAGCTCATCTCTTGGCCCAAGTCTACGTGAAGCTTGGCAAGCTTGACAAGGCCTACCAATACTGCGAATATGCTCTCCGAGGAAGACGGAAGATTCTGGGCAAGAATCATAGCGAGAGCTACGAGTCCTTGGCATTGACTGCGCGAATACTGGAGCTTCAAGGCAATGAGATCCGCGCTGAGTTCTTTGTGGATATGATCCCTCAAGATGAAAGAGACACCTATGTCAAGAAATATGCCGAGCTTGCTTTACCCCAAGAAGTAACATCAACTGAGGATGACAGACCGTCCTTGGAGAATCGTCCGATGAAGACAACGCCTCCAGCCAGCTTACGAAAAGTGATCATCGCTGGAGAGTCACCTCCTCCAAAGATCCCGGAGCGCTCACCCTGTCGTGGCCTACCAGGAATTGCGCCGCGCCCGAGGAGTGCAACATCGCCGGGTGGCAGCCATCTGCGGACCATGAGCTCGTTGAGCGGGCAGCTCTCCAGCGAGCCAGGTGATGTTACCTCGAGACCACTAGTCAGTCTTCTCCCGAGCCCAGAGATTGGCAAGACTGCTACAGCGGCCGAAACTGCAGTTCCACCGGACGCCGTTCGCTCGGTCAACCAAGATCTTCCGCCAATCCAACAGAAGCCGATCCCTGAGAGACCGGCACCCACCCATACAAACAGTGAACAGTCTGCAGTCTCAGACATTACGACCATGTACGAGCCGAAGGCTCTTCAGAGCCAGATTTCAGGCTCGCCAGAGTCTCGCGGACTTATACCGAAACCTCTCCGGACGCAAACAACACATGTGTACGAACTTCCCGGCGATACGCATTTTGGCAATCTTTCCCAATCGACCTTGGCCGCACTGCCGACCACAGATCCAAATCAGAGCATTCTGGACAGATGGGCGTCTGCTCCTGTTGTTGCGCCACAAGCACGCCCAAGCGACGATCCACCTCAATACGTGCCACGCGAGCCGTCTGTGGACCAAGTGCGCCCATGGGATCTTCAAAGCACCACCAGCAGCAACTACTGCGACAGTGTCTCGACCTGGGACACTCGATCCACGGAAGACTTCAAGTGGTCCATCGCACCCGATGCGGCGCCCGAGTTCCGCAACGCCAAGTTGCCCGAACGCAGACGCAAGATTTCCCTCCTGAGCAAACTCCGCAAGAACAATTCCACCAGCGACTTACAAAGGAGCGAACCGCTTCGCTTTCGCGGCGCCCGTCTCTCCGGGAAGGATATCGATTCGGTCAGGAACGATCGGCTCACGGACAACGTCATCGAATTCTGGCAGGAATATCTGGAAGCCGAACTGCTCCACCAGAGTCCCAAGTTCCTCCTCATGCGCCCTCTCTGTGCATCCCTCCTGCTCCGCGAAGCAGAAGACGGCGCATCTCTCAAAGCAACCCTCCCGGACCTCACCGGTAGCACCCTACACGTCATGATCCCACTCAAATCCCCCACGAGCGCACACTACTCCCTCCTCCTCGTCTCCGCCCAGGACGGCGTGGCGTGCCATTACGATCCCGCGCGCGCTCGCAACCGCAAGCTCGCCGAGACGGTCGTCAAGCAAATCTCGGCACATCTGGATCAGAGACTACAGTTCCTGCATGTCCCCGGCACGCCGGAGCAATTGCGCGATCAGGACTGCGGCGTGTATGTGTGTGTTTTCATGCAGCATCTGATTGCGAAGATCAACGCCACGCACGTCTCGGAGAAGGTGGATGCGAGTCTGGCGTTCCATGTGGATGCCAAGAGTGGGCGGAAGAGGATTCTGAAGGCGATTGAGGCGACGAGGAGGAGTCAGGCGTTGATTGAGGAGGAATGAGAATTTCTGAATGACTGACTGACAGTAGGGAGAAGAATGCTTGAAACGTGGGAATCTGGGTTTCTTTTTTGGGTGTTTATTTTGGTCCGGATACCCTCTTTGCGAGTGCTGCATTTTAAAATTCTTGAATGAGAAGACACCTTGATGGGTTGTTACTTCCATCCCACGACCTCGCTCGCTTTCATGCTTTGGCCCCCCCCCAAAGTCTGTCCCATATCTCGTAGCCATTTCCCTCCCCTCCGCCTTCAACTCTGCCGTATCTAGTAGCGTGAGGACCAAACATTCTACGACGTCCCAGCACGCTTCTCATTCACCAACGTGATACGATACCGTGCCCTCCCCGCTTCCATATCCACAATCGCCCGATTGGCGTCCTGCATCGAATACCTGTTGATCCAGGGCTTGATGTTCTTCTCTGCCGCCAGCTGCAGCATTTCTTCAATCTGCGCGGGGCTCCCGATCATGCTGCCGCCGAATTTCGCGCCCTTTGCGATGAAGTGGAAGGCATTCATTGGGGGGAGTTGGTCTTCGGGTGCTCCGACCTGAGGAGGCGGAGGTCAGTAAGGTACCGATGATGTGAAGAGGGGAGTCGAAAAAAAAGGAAGGAGAAGGCCTTACTTACTTGGATGAACGTGCCTTTCGTCCTCAGGAGACGCAGATACTGACTCAACGGCATCTTCGGACTGCTCACCGTGCAGATGATCAAGTCCAGGCTCCGGGCATGTTTCTTCGACCAGTCCTTCTCCTCCTCCGTCGCGATGTAGAGATCCGCTCCCATCTTCAATACCTAAGAGAATAGACAGACCATCAGTTCGACACCCTCCCACCTCCATTGGAAATAAACGAAAGAAAAGGAAAACTTACATCCTCCCTCTTATCACTCCTCCTCGAAATCCCCACCACCCGATCCGCCCCCAGCGCCCGCGCAAACAACAACCCGAAATGCCCCAAGCCTCCCACCCCGATAATCCCCACCTTCTTGCCCGGCCCACACCCATTCTCCTTCAACGGCGAGAAGACCGTGATCCCGCCACAGAGCATCGGCGCGGCCTCTGCACTCTCCAAGCCCTCCGGGATTTTAAACACGAAATGTGAAGGCGCGCGATGGTAATCCGCATACCCGCCATACGACTCCCCGCCATCGTGGGGATACTTGTCCGCGAACGTATTCACGGATCGCGTGCAGTGGTTCTCGAGACCCGAGGAGCATTCCTCGCAGTCGGCGCGCAAGCAGGAGGAATTCTGCGCTCCGACGCCGACGCGGTCGCCGATTTGGATGTTCTTGGATACCCTGTTGCCGACTCGGATGGCGCGGCCGATGATCTCGTGGCCCACGCAGACGGCTGGAATCGATCAATCATCATTATTATTGGAGCTTGTCGTTGCTGTGGGATATTACTCACGATAAGGCGTAGGTCCCCAACCGCTTCTCAAAGTATGAATATCGCTCCCGCAGATCCCACAGTGAGAGATTTCGATGTCGATGTCTGTTTCTTCCCATTTCTTGGGATTGGGGAATTCTTGCCATTGCATGTTGCCTTCGGCGGATTTCTTGTCGAGGCCACACCAGCCTTGGAAGTCTGATTTCTGGAGAATTTTGGCTGCCATCTTGGGAGTAGAGTAGCTTGAATATATTGTATTGACTGAAAGGGACTTGATCCTGTAATGATGGCAAAGTGAGGTTGTCCTTCTGGCGGCAACCTAGCATTGGAGTAGTACCTCGGGTCATCGATGCATGGCTTAGCCCCACTATCTCCGCTCGTCGGAGGCGTGGCAGCTGTATATCGACATGTCGGTCGCTGGTGACAGGGAAGATCATGTTGAAGACAGTGTTCCTTTGGTCACATTTCGATGTGCGCCTCATGACCATCTCTGGCACGCTTCCTTTGCCAGTTACAGCTAGGAACAGCAAGATCATGTTACAGAATGATATAAACTTCAGACACTCAGACTCAGGTTTCAGTGAGCTCGAGGGTAGCCATAGAGACACGGCGCAAACGGAACACTCGATGGTCGGGCTGCTAGGCCTGAGCTGCAACGACTCTCGGAGCCTCATTGCTAGACAAGCTCATTGAGGCCATCGCGCCCTCCAAACCAATCAGACCCGGCGCATCGTCGTCCTTTTCCCAACCTCTGAGTGGTCCCCAGACCAGTTTCTTCCCCCGCTCTTGTATCAGCTCTCGCACAGCAATAACAAGCATTGAGTCTTTCTTCACTGCCGGGAAAGCATCGATCTCAATGGTCTCCAGGCTTGGCACCTGGCCCATGATGCCCGTAAGCAAGTCTACGCAGAACCACTTGTATGTATCCTTGGTCGAATTCTTACCGCGGAAGCCATTGAAGACTTCCACACTGGGATCGAGCTCAACAAAAACCTTGAGATTCCGCAGATTTGTGCAATCCATCAGGCCAAGCGTGGGCAGCGTGTTCTGGCAACGCGGCGGGGCACTCCATCCCGGACCAAGCCGCAGCTCCATCGTATTAATCACATTCCTGTATCTCACGGGAAGACGCTGGAGAAGTGGCTTCTTGGTGTGGAAGAAGCGGCTGGCGGGAGAGGGGTAAAGGCGAATTGTCTGGGCATAGAAGACGCGGTATGCCTCCTCGTGCATGCGCTTGCTAACACGAAAGAGGGTCATTCGAGGCAGAACGGCGCGGTAATTCATGGAGTCTATGACCGAGTCAACACGCATGCTCCATGATGCCTGACTTGTAACGTCTTACCCAAATCCAGCGGGGGACTAGGGACGTGTAGGACCTCCTCATAAATGCGCAATCTCAACTCCGAAGGCAAGTCGAAGAAGCGGAAGGGCTGTCTCGGTGGACTCGGCGACGTGACTCTGGATGGCAGGGCAGACGAGACGGCACTGGTGCTGACCGACGCGGTCTTACGCTGCTTCGGCGGCATGGTGATGATGGTGATGATTGCTGTGTCGGATCGGTGGAGTAGGACGTGGACGTGTTGTAGCTCTCAGGCTCAGATAGGAGGGCAGCAGCTGGAGGCCATGGTTGCTCGCGTGACCCACGCAATGTCTATGCAGCCATGACTTCCACGGCTGCAGCGGCGAGGGAGTGGTGGTTGCTTCGGCGGAAGGTGAAGTCGGCGTCGCGGAAGTTCATGGAGTAAGAAGGATGCAAGCGTGCAAGCAGAGGAGCAGCTGATGGTCAGTATGAAAGCGGAGTACGGGTTACGAACAGAGGACAGAGTACGGACAGTGTCGATGTGATTGTACAGGTTGAAAGCAGAGCAAGTAAAGCAAGCAGAGCAAAGCCGAGCAGGCCGAGTGATGACATGAGGGGTCACCTGATGTGGTGGCGACTTCCGACATAACTTGGTCTTTCCCATTCGGCTTGCTGGTCCGGAGGGGCATGTTTGCTTACCTAAGTAAAAGACGGAGTAAAAGACCAATATCGAAATCTCAAGCAACTTTCGCACGGCAGACACCACTACCCAACTCGCCGGAATGCCTTCCTTCAGCATCGAAGTGTCCGGCGAGGCAAATCCGCTGACGGAGCATCTGCTGGTCCAGACCTTGCAATCGGCCTCGTCTTCCGATCCCCACCAGATCCAGACCGGCACCAAACAGCTGGCCCAGTGGGAAAGGTCTCCCGGCTACTATCGACATCTCCAGAGCGCCTATATCGATACCCGGCTACCCATTGAAATCCGCTATCTTGCAGTTATCCAGCTGAAGAATGGCATCGACAAGTATTGGCGGAAGACCGCGACAAAGTAAGTGCATGGGTCATCTTTCCTGCCTCTTCCCTCTTATCCTTACGTCGGGCGGGCCTGCCGCTGGTGCATGCGGGAGGTGCACGCCATGAGAGGACAAACGCGTCTGCTAAGCACAGAAATAGCATGGGATGCTACCGACCATGCGCTATCTCGACTGTACCAAGTCAATACACGTCAAGTTTCTTGCTAACATCCGTGCAGCGCTGTCTGCAAAGAGGACAAGGAAGTTATCCGATCTCGACTGATTGAAAGTGTCCTGAACGAGTCCGACAATCGGCTGGCCCTCCAGGATGCTCTCGTCATTGCCAAGATCGCTCGTTATGAGTTCCCCAACGACTGGCCGGAAGCCATATCGGGCTTTGTTGGCAGCATACAGTCACCCAACACGCCGCCGCTACAGCTCGCACGTGCGCTCTTGACACTGCTCCATATCATCAAGGAACTCTCGACTGGACGGCTCCAACGAACCCGGCAACACCTGCAGGTGGCAACTCCTGAAGTTGTAGCAGCAGTTGGCACCGTGTATGCTCGTCTTGTCGAGCAGTGGATGAACGCGCCAAATGCAACCGACATGCAGCAGAGTTTGCTTGCGATCAAAGTCTTGCGTCGCCTTGTAATCTTTGGCTACGAGTACCCAAACCGCGATTCAGACGTGACTTCCTTCTGGTCCCTGTCCCAGCAACATCTCGGCGCTTTCATAAACCTCGTAAGCAACAGCGAGAATGGATTAGCTCCAGATTCACAAGCCTTACTCGGGAAGCACACATTACAACTTGCGAAGCTGCATCATGAAATGGCCCGAGATCACCCTGCAGCCTTTGCTCTGCTGCCAAACTCCTTGCAACTGACTCAATCCTACTGGGGACTAATCAAAGATCTGGGCAACGTCTTCGGCGCCAAAGACGCTGTCTTGCATGCCGTTGAGTCTGCAAAGATTGGTACTGACGGCGACGCCGAAGAGAAGCCATTCACAGAGAAGATTGCCCTCAAAGGCCTGCTTCTCATCCGGGCCTGCGTCAAGATGGTGCACAACCCTGTTCAGACCTTCAAATACAGGACTCCCCAAGACAAAGAAGAGAAGAGAGCGGCGACTGAATTTGTGCGTCACACTCTGCTCACAGAAGCTTTTGTACGCGAAGCAATGGAGACAATGGTCACCCGTTTCTTCGTCTTCCGAGCAAGCGACCTGCGCGAGTGGCTAGAAGAACCCGAAGAATGGGAGAAGCGAGAAGAGGGAGATGGAGAAGACTGGGAATTCAGTGTCCGATCTTGCTCTGAAAAGCTCTTCCTCGACCTTGCAATCAACTACAAAGACATCATCGTAGAGCCACTTCTCCGCGTCTTCTACTCTGTCGCAAATCCTCAGAACGAAGATGTTCTCTTCAAAGACTCAGTCTATACCGCAATCGGCCTGTCGGCCTCGGTTGTCCACCAGCACCTAGACTTCGATGCCTTCATAAGGGATGTGCTTGTTGCTGAAGTTCAGAAGACTGAACCTGGCTGGAACATCCTGCGGCGAAGGGCGGCTATCCTGCTAGCTCAGTGGATTGGCGTCAAGGTTTCTGATGGAAGTAGACCCATCGTCTATCAGATCTTCCAGCATCTCCTCAACGCTGAGGATGCCCTGAATGATGAAGTTGTGCGAGTCACAGCCGGCCGACAATTCATGAACATTGCGAACGACTGGGAGTTCCAACCGGAGCATTTCTTGCCCTACGCCCAGACTATCCTAACACAGCTCATGCAGCTCATTGGAGAAGTTGAGCTTACAGACACGAAGATGGCGCTTTTGAACACGATCAGTGTGATTGTCGAGCGACTGGATCAGCACATAACTCCATACGCCGAGCGCATCGTCACCCTGTTACCAGGACTCTGGGAAGAGTCTGGGGAAGAGCACCTGATGAAACAAGCGATTCTTACCATCTTGGCTCGGCTCGTCAACGCTATGAAGTCGGAGTCTCTACCGCTGCACTCATTGGTGTATCCAATCATCAAGGGTGCCGTAGAGCCTGGCTCCGAAACACAGGTATATCTGCTGGAGGACGCGCTAGACCTGTGGGGCGCAATACTTGTCCAGACACCCTCGGGCTCTGCATCACCCGAGCTGATGGACCTTGTGCAATACCTCTATCCGATCTATGAACTCGGCTCCGAAAACCTACGCAAATCACTGGAGATCACCGAATCGTATGTCATACTTGCTCCCCATCAAATGCTCTCTGCTGGAATTCGTTCAAGACTCTTTATCTCGTTGACAAAGTTACTGGGCTCTCTACGACCGGATGCCAATGGCCTGGTCTGTAATTTGGTCGAGACGATACTTCGATATGCTCGAAACGAAGAGGTAGCAGCGTCTCTACCGCTCGGAAACTTCGACGACGCCGCTTCCATGATCACCTGGGACTTATGCCAAGCATCAGATCCCGTGTCAGGTGACGTTGGATTCTTGCCGAAGCTCCTCCAGGGACTTCGAGGCAGCTGGGTTGCTCATTGTACCACTGGACCGAACGCAAAAGAAGCGCCGGTTGACGGAATTGTCGAGACCGATTACTTTGCAATACTTGCGCGCGCGATCTTGGGTCCCATGGACGGATTCTTGTACGCCTGTCAAGCAGCAGCGTCTGCTGCATTCGCCGAGGAGCAACCGCTGACAGCACTCATGAAGTGGCTATTAGAGGAATGGTTCTCGCATTTTGAAAATATCGGTGATCCCTCGCGCCGGAAACTGATGTGCCTTGCGTTGACGAAGCTGCTCGAAACCGATCAAACTTTCATCTACAGCAATCTGCAGTCCTTGATAACTATGTGGACGGACGTGGTTACTGAGCTTCGAGAGGTAAGTTACACAATACGGATCTGGCGTTCAGTATTTGTATTAACCCACTTCCAGGATGCAGCAGATGTTGGCGGCGACTCCTTGGTCTATCGTGACGATGGTGCGGCACGAGATGGCGCCGAGGCGCCGGAAGATGCAAGGCGCCGCGCTCTGACTTACTCGGACGATGTCCACCGCTTCAATATGACCGATACCATCCGTCACTATCTGCAGCAAGCAATCACTATTTGCGGAGGCTACGAACAATTCCAGGAGCAATGGCTGGTGAACGTAGACAAGGATGTTGTCAAGGCTTTCTCTGAGCTGGGAATCATTTGAGGGGTAAGAAGTCGGCATGCAACCGTTTAGAAGCACAAACGCGGGACCATCAAGCTGCCGGGAATTCTCATCGCTCCTCCTCCTTCTCTACCACATCGCCCCCATCAATATCGTCCATCGTTCAATCCGAGCCAAGGGGCAAGGCAGCATCGTGGTCTCCGAGACAAATGCAAGTAGTATCGGTGCTTCTGTGAATGAAATCATTAATATCTAGTTTATGCTTACTGTACACTAGTACTTACTTATCCTTCTGGTACGCGAAACCGACTCCTCCGCATCGTCCGTTGCACACCGTAGACTGCCTCACGCAGTTCGGGCCCGCCAGTTGCGGGACGACTTCCTCCTGAGCGCAACCCCAAGAGCCCTGCGCCTTACACGCCGCAAGACCATCCGCGCTACATTGTCTGGCGTTGATCTGGACGTACGCGACCGCCGTAGAGGCGAGGGTAATGATGATGGATAGGATCGAAATGTGCATGATTGCTATCATTGATTGGTGTTCGACGAGTAGTAGCCAACCTAGAAAGGGCGAGGGGAAGAAGCGGACTTCATATACTTTGCGTCTTAGGAGTTTCATAATCACAGTAATACGAAGTACTCCGGACCGATGTTGGCAGAATTCGACACTACTTTGCTATAAGATTTTAGTTAGGTAGAATCAGTAATGACCTGAAAAATTACTAGGATTCAAGAGTAGTAAGTAGTATCTAGGTAGGGTACAGTAATCTTGGTTCGTTTCGAATCGAACACGCACACGCACACGCGCGCGTACAGACTGTATCTATCTGTATAGTGGTTTTGTGCGTGCGTAGGGTTCTTTAGTCCGATGATTTTTAAGGACTAGCCTTCTTTCTCAGTGGTCTTGTTGTTCGGGTAATACGCAAGGGTTGCGATGACCCTTCCGTATCTATATACTAAAATGAGGGTTTAACTTTTCTTAAGACGACGACGACGACGAGAATTGAAGCGACTGCTTCGCTTTATATTTATCGATCTCTGACCTTATAGGAGACAACTACGATAGCTTCAAGAAGCTAAGCTTATTATACACACATACTCTTTTTCGCGCGTGCTTGTAACGATCAAGGTAGCTCTGTTGTTCTCTTCCTCGGCTCTACCTATAGTAGCCCTCCCGCCCCTTCTCCTAATCGCCGTAGGTAACATGCAACAAGGCAACCGGTCCCTAATGCTAGGTATCCAGTTGTCGTAATAGGTAACGAATTAGTGTCCTACGCCGGGGGAATCCGCTTTGTGCTTATAGTAGGCTGAGCGGGTTGATTGTTAGGGTTTTTGGAAAGGGCAGATTGCGAGTTACGTAGAGGAACGGTCCCAATCCGTCCGCGCGATAAGTAGTAGTCGAGTAGCTAAAGGACGGGCGTATGTTACTAATACCTTACAGTTCCAGGTTACCTTACAGTCGCGAAGTCCCCTGTCGCTAGTACTAAGACTTTAGACTCCACTTCTAGTAGCTGAGCTGGTTGTAGCGCCTTACGCGATATCGCTCCAAGCGAATTCGCCGCACATTGTACGGAAGATAGTAGTTCTGCTTAGGCGTCCTCGCCGGACGGTAGCCGCAATCCTAATAGTCAGCCCGGATAATAGTATCTTAGTTAGTATCTTATCTGTTAGAATCTTTTGCGTAAGCTATCCGGGGCGTCGGTGTCTTCGTCTTCCGAAACATTCACTTACATGTCACTATCGCAATTGCCGATGTAGGCGTTTTGGCGGTGGCCTAAGCTTACAAATCCGCAAAATGGTTTTGCCGGTTTTGCTACCGTACCACTACACTCTCACACACCGTAATCGCAGTGGTTAGGCACTAATATACTCGCTATCGACTCGCAATCCATCTATTAGGTCCTTTATTGTCTACTTTGTCGTCATGCCGCCTTAGGCCCTCGATTTACAGCCCTATCGGCTCTAGATTAAGCTTTAGATTCATACTAGATATACCTACTAGCGAGTCGTATAGAGCCTACATAATACTAAGGGCATTCGCTACGGTATTAGAACTCTATAGACACACTTATCGCGATAGGGAGTGACTACTCGCCCTCGAATTAACTATAGTAGTAACGTAGTACTAATTAAGCGGATTACCGAGCTATTCTAGCTATATACTATTAGCGACAAGAAGAGCTATACTATACTACGGCTTAATAGCTATAACATCTCTTTAAGGTAGTATTAAGAGCTCCGCCGTACTTACGGCCTTAAGCGTCGACTAGAACACGAGGAATTAGAAGTAGCTACTACCTACGTCGATAAGGTGCTTCGAGTAGTACTAATTAATAGGCAAACCTAAGACTTTAGCTATCGTAAGCTCGTACGAGAGTTAAGAACCTACTAGTATATTATAGGTAGGTAGGGAATCGACTCGTAGCCGACTCGTAGCCCTCTTCTTACTATACTAATGCCTACTAGGGACCGTATCTACCGGATTTCACGGCAAATTAACGCTCTACTATATAAGCTTCGCGAACTACGTAATCGCTATCCGAATAGGCTACGGTACGTACGACTAAAAGCTAATAGGCCTAACTACGTCTAGTTAATTGATACCTTCTACAAAATCGAGCAATTCGGCATTTAGATTTACGCCTATATTAACGTCTACTTACGCCGGATTATCTAGTTCTACGTTAGCCTAATAGTAAAGACAAAGTACTTAGTGTTTTCGTAGTACTATACTATAATTAACTATATCTAGCGAGTCCCTTAGCGAGTCCGCTCTAATTAAGGTGTCGAGACACCTATACTAGTAGACGCCTATCTACGGCTTCGAGAGCTTATCGAGGGCCGTAATATCGACTTTATTAAGGCCTTCTTATATACTACGAGTAAAGGCAATTAGACTATTAAGTACTAGTAGGGCGAGATAGCTAAATTAGCTATAAATCGCTAGAGAGACCTATTTAACTAGTATATTAACCTACACCTTTTCGAGGCCGCTAAGCTATCTAATCGACTCGCCTTCCTCGTAATCTATACTCTAATTATACGCTATATAGTTAGTTACTTTGTCTTAGAGTAGAATCGGCACCCGGTACGAGTACAAAACCTTAAGAGCTATATTAGTAGTATACCGGATTTGCTCTACGAGTATCTAGAGCTCGAGGACACTACCTAGCGTAGGCATCTAATTAACCCTAAGAGTCTAGCGAGTACTACTCTTAAGTAGTAGATAAACCGGATAGACGGCTATAGTAAGCTCCGCGGGTAATTAAAGAGCTTTCTATATTAGTACTAGGTAAGTAGCTCGAAATTGGACCGTACTCGTAGCCAATTTAGCTGTACTCGTAGTCACTCGCAGCTCTAGCTACCCGCCTATAGAGTTACCCCTCTCTTACTCCTACGCTAACTACGCCTCGCTATATATAGACCTTAGCTTATACCTGCCTCCGACAACTCTATAATAGGTAAACGAACAGCTCGTACTCGCTAGCTACCCGTTAACCTTTAAAGGTAGCGAACCCGGATTCGGTAATAGGCCTAAGAAGCTTTATATACACGCTTATTAGTACCTCCGAGGAGTAGCTAAGTAGTACCTAGATACTAGTAGACGACTCGCTAAGTATATCGCGCCGACTCGCTTAAATAGCCTCGAGCCGTCTAATCGTACGAGAACCGTCTTTACTACTACTAGGGAGCCTCTATAAAGCTTCGTATATACTCGTAGTAGACTCGTAACGTTACATTCCTTAATACTACGTCTTATCTTTCTATATACGTCTATTATAGCTTCTTCTACTAACTTCTAGGAAGACTTCTATATATCTAATAAGGTAGATTATACTCTTAATTATACTAAAGAGTATAGCGATAAGCCCCGCTATAGTAAATGCGGCCTTAGGAACCCGTTCTTTACTATAGTAGACACTAATATAGCGAGTCGCCGCGAGTCGACTGTAGGCCCTTCCTTAATACTAGTACCGGATCCGATCGATTCCCCTACTCTACGGCGGAAGGAGCCCGCGTCTATAAAGGGCTATAGTAGCTTTACTAGACTCGCTAAAAGCTTATTTAGCCGTACTAATGCCGTTTTAGCCGCTAATAAGAAGTAGCATATCCGCCCGCTTAGTAATGTAGGTATTAATCCGTTATCCGGAGAGGTATAAGGTCCTCGTACTAGTAAAGCGAGTCTATATAGGAGCACGCTAATCGCTACGAATCGACTTAAGGCGGGTAGTAGTAGTAGTACCGAGCTACGAGACGACTCGTAGGCCGACTCGTAGTCGTAGAACAAGGGTAGTAGACCGAAGAAAGTACTAAAGGGCCCTAAGCTTTACGTTATAGTGTATATAAGCAAAGTAGTAGTTAATGTAGTTAAGAAGGAAGGCTAGTAGAGGTGGACGGTTAGAGATAATCTAGAGCTAGTCGATTACTAGTCTATCGTAGGCTACTAGAGCGACTTTAAGGCCCTACTACTCGACTCGCCGCGTACTCGTAACTAGCTTTACTACTAGGCTTTATACGCTAGCTATATTAAGGTTAAGAAGGTTACCGGCCTATAGTACTACAAACGTCCGTTTATATATACCCGGTACGACAAAGAGTAGAAGCTCTTAATTATACTAAGCTCGAACAGTAGAGACAAAGACGACCTTAACGAGCAATTACTACTATTTAAGCGTAGGTACTAGGCAAATCCTACGCGAAAGGAGGTAGATATTAGGGTCGCTGTCCTTGTAGCTAAAGATAAGCGGTAGAATAGGCTTCCGAAGGACTACGGCGAGTCTAGCGAGTCTACCGACGACAGCTCCTCTTTAGATCCGGATCTAATAAAGAGCCTTAATAGGCGCTATCGTAGTAGGCGTCTAGGTTAGAGGCCTAGTACTAAAGCTAAAAGAAAGATAGCTAAGGAGGTAGTAGCGAGTGTAGTAGCGAGTATAGTAGCGAGTACTAGCGAATCTAAAGTAGTGCCTTCTACTAGCCCTAATAAACTAGCTAAATTCCGCTAGCCTACGAGTCCCTCTACGAGTGCCTAATCTACCGAGAAAGAGGCCTCTACTAGTCCGCTAGTTAGTTACAAACGTTAAGCGAGTCGCGAATTACCCTATCGATCTACTCCTTCGTCTATATCCGGTACCTAGGGATTAAGCGCCTATAACCCTATCGATATTATTAACCTTACTAATAATAACGACGACGACGAGCCTACGTACGTACGAGTGCCTAAAAGCAAGCTAGTAGTAAAGTAGGAGGCACGTATAGTAATAAAGAAGGAGCCTATAGATTTAAGTACTATTAAAGAAGGAATAGAGATTACTCCTACGGATTTAGTAGAGCGAGTCGCTAGCGAGTCGCCGGTAGCGACGGAGATTTAGGGCGATAGGTAGGTTACTAGCTTACCTAAGGATACTAAGGCTACGAGTGTACTAGCGGAGCCTACGAGTACGCCCCCGAGCGGACTAGCGAGTACTACGAGTGTACTAGCGGAGGCAATAAGGAATAAGAAGCTAAGGAAGGAGTATATAAGGATTCCGGAGTTTTAAAGGGTTATAAGGGCGTTAAAGAAGCTATAGCGAGTCGGTAGCGAGTTAGTAGCGAGGCTTTAAAAGGATAGAAGGGCGTATAGGGTTAATAGTATAAATATAATAACGATTAAAGGCTTAGAGATCTCTAATATTAACATTCTCCCGACTCGTAGGCTAAAATTAGGTAGACTCGCGGGCGATTTAGGGATTCTACGATCTCTAAGATTCGTAGTATTATAATTTGCCCGACTCGTAGGCCTAAAATTGCTAGATTCGTAGGCGATTTAATCGCTCTAAGATTCTATATATCCTAAGCTGCCCGACTCGTACGGAATCGTAGGCTAAAATTAGCTATACTCGCTATAACTCGTAGGCTAGAATTAATCTATACTATCTACTAAGTATATTTGCCCTTATATTTAGCTACGAACTACTCGCTACCCGGTAGCTACGTAATAAAGTCTATTATATAGTAGAGCTTAGCCTCTAGATTATTAATACGCTTATAAGCAAACCCTAAACCCTCCTTAAGCCTAGTAATCTTAGTTTAAAGACTCGTAGGCTTCTACGAGTCGCCTATCTTAGCCCTAGAGTTACCTATAGTAGCCCTAGAATTACCTATAGTAGCCTACGAGTCCGGCTTAGGCTTTAGCGAGTTATCCTACTTATCCTTCTACTTCTCGTACTTCTTCTAGAGCTTACTATTATAACCTAGGCGACCGTAGCGCTTATAGAACGCGTATTAAGTATATTCCTTACCTTTATAGATAATATAATCTAGACCTCTCGTAGCGTACTACTTATAGCCGCTAGGCTTAGAAGATAGTATACCTACGAGTCGATTAGATTTTAGTAGCGAGTCTATATAAATTAGAAAAAGCATACCTAGATCCGTCTCTATTATCTCGCTAGCGTAAGTAAACCGCCGTAGGCTATTAGCCGCGGACTTACGAACCTACTTATTACTAGATTTAAGATTGTTTAAATAGCGCTACTAATCCTTATCGGAGATATACTAGAATGTAGTCTTATCCTACGTCTCTAGTTTACGGTAGGACTCGCTAGACTCGCTAATTAGCTTTTGCCTATTCTTTAGGCTTCGGATAGCTTACCTTAGGGCCGATATAGTTACTACTAGGGCGCTCTCGGGCGTAGACTAAGGCGGAGGCGAAGGAGTAGGTTAATAATTAGGCTAGTATCGGTCGTAGAGTCGTCTATAGATAAATGTAAGAGTCTCCTAGTCGATTAATACTATAAATTGTCGATTTACGAGTCTACGAGTACGATCTAGGTAGGAAAAGAGGTCTAGGTTCGCTAGATAAGAATGCCTTCTTATAAAATAGCCTACTTATTGTTAGTAGCTGCCTTATTGTTCGATATTGTAGACTCGCACTTATAATAGTATAAGCGCGACAATAGCTTTTAATTAATATAAAGCCGCGTACCGCTATTAACGGGTTCAATATAAAGCTAAAAGCTGCGCCTGACTTCATATTGACCGTTCACGTCGACAATAGCGGTGCGCGACACTCGTGGAGCCTCATTGTCGCCGTCGTAAGTTGTTATTGTGGTGGTAGAGTGAGTCGCGACTCACAGCGAGTGCCGCTTCGGCAGTCGGCAAAACCATTTTGCGGATTTGTAAGCTCAGGCCACCGCCTTTTAGCCGAGAGAGGGAAGCTGCAGCCAATCGGAGCTCTCTCGAATCCGATTGTCTGATTTGTCCTGGGCGACATGGACCTCGGCTGCGGCACGACTGTCCATTACTCTACAACCACATTGCTCTCCAACATAACATGCATTGTGGCAACAGAAGACCTCCCTTCCACCTCTCCACCTCGACCCATAGCAATAGGTATTCTTGGGATCTAAAACCACCATGACGGGCCCAATCACTCGGCACGAAGTCGCCAAGGTACATCCATCGCCCGCCATCACATCTCATTGGACCAAGCTAACGTCCACCTCTACTAGCACGACACCGTCGAAGACTTGTGGATCATCGTAGACCACAAGGCCTACGACCTCACCGATTTCGTCGACGCTCACCCGGGAGGAGAGGTCGTTCTGCGACAGGTTGCCGGTCAGGATGCCACCGAGGCCTTCTACAATCTCCACAGACAGGAGGTACTGCAGCAGTACAAGAGCTTGGAAATTGGAATCATCCAAGGAGAGAAGCCAGAAGTCATTGATCCTGAACCGGGAGATTTGAGCCAGGTTCCCTATGCGGAGCCGATGTGGTTGGTTCCGCAGTTCCATTCGCCATATTACAATGAAAGCCATCGGAAATTGCGAAGAGTGGTAAGGGAGTTCACGGAGAGATATATCTCGCCTGAAGCGAAAGAGAAAGAAGCGAGTGGAGAATATATTTCCCAGGAATTGATCGATCGTATGGCGGAGACGAATCTCCTCGCATGCCGTTTGGGACCAGGCAAACATATGCATGGTCGGGAGATTTTCGGGGGAGTGGTCAAGGGAGAGGACTTTGATTATTTCCACGATTTGGTCGTTTCGCAGGAGATTGTGCGGGCTAATATGAGAGGGTTCCAGGATGGGAATATGGCTGGGATGACGATTAGTCTGACGGCGGTGCATGAGTGGTGTAATGATCAGGAATTGAAGGAGAAGGTCAGCAAGGAAGTTTTGTCAGGGAAGAAGAAGATTTGTCTTGCTGTGACGGAGGCTTTTGCCGGCAGTGACGTTGCTGGCTTACGGACCACCGCGGAGTTGAGTGAGGATGGAGAGCATTACATTGTGAATGGAACGAAGAAGTGGATTACGAATGGAGTGTGGTGTGATTACTTTGTCACGGCCTGCAAGACTGACAAGGGGTTTTCTGTCCTGTTGATTGAGAGGACGGAGGATGTGGAGACGAAGCCGATCAAGACTTCCTATTCGATTGCGGCGGGAACCACGTTCGTGGAGTTCAACAATGTGAAGGTGCCCAAGAGGAACCTTTTGGGCACGGAGCATAAGGGCTTTGTGGTCATCATGTCGAACTTCAACCACGTAAAGTATCACCCCAACGCACTTGCAGACTCTTTGCTAATTGGCATAATAGGAACGCTGGTGGATGGCCTGCACGGCCTCCCGCTGGCAACGCACCGTAACCGAAGAATGCATGAAATGGGCCCACCAACGCATCGTCTTCGGAAAACCCCTCATCGCCCAACCCGTCATCCGCAACAAACTCGCCAAGATGATATGCCATGTGGAAGCAACCCAAGCCTGGGTGGAATCCATCACCCATCAAATGTGCAAGATGTCCTACGACCAACAATCCAAGAATCTGTCTGGTCCTATTGGTCTGTTGAAGAATTACTGTACGAAGTGCTCGCACGAGGTCGCGGATGAGGCCACGAACATCTTTGGCGGACGGGCTCTGACGCAGGGTGGAATGGGCAGGGTTGTGGAGATGTTCAATCGGACGAACAAGTTTGATGCGATCTTGGGAGGGACGGAGGACATTTTGGCAGATTTGGGCGTGAGGCAGGCCATGAAGTTCATGCCTGTTGGGGCGAAGTTATAGCGAGGGTGCTTTGGGATTGCATTCGTTGCTGAGAGACCTGTACATTGGGTTTGAGAGAAGGTCGATTACATGTGTTGGAGTCCCTTCGGCTTAGCATGTGGAGAGAGAAGGTATGTCTATATTTGCAGATATAACTACCATCAACCATCTTTTGCACGCTTACAACACGCGCAGCAGTCTTAACACTTCAACACTTCTTTCCGGCCAATTAAGCTCCAGCTGTAAGCTCTACAGCATCTCGGCTTCAACGACTTTCGGAAACAGAACAGGAACATTCACAACATAGAAATAGAGGGCTCGTAGTGAGTATTGCGTCATGAAGCAAGCACTACGAACGTTTCTTCTCCCTCTCTTGCTGTTTCCCTCTACCTCCCTAGCATCCCCAATTTACGACTCAACACCCCCTCTTGGGGAAACACTGGTACAGCATTGGAGACTGAAGATCCGTCAAAGGATCCATCGCCCCATTCCCCTGGCAAGGGCAATGCTGGATTATTCTTTTGTCGAATGGACTTGAAGGTTCTGAAGCCTGATGAACCTCTTGATGCGGTTGAAAAGGGCGATCAGGTTCGATCTTGCTCACGACCTCGGTAAGGCATATGTGCCCTTCGCTGTAGCCTCCTGCTAATGTTTGTTTTCAGGGCATGTGATGGGTCTGGAGCACGAGGAAGTTAGATGCTTGGATGACAAAGTCAAGATTTGCTACTGACGAGGTCCCAGACATCAGCGGTCAGATGCCGGGAAACACGTTACATTCGATTGCACAAACATGGAAACAATGCATGGATAGGACTAATTCGTGAAGAAGCTTGGAGTTGGGGCCTGTGAGCGTTCGACGCACGGACTCTGCAATCAGATGCGTCAATGACGTAATAGAAGTCTTCATGTTAACGTGCTTCTCTATGTGTATACACAGCAGGAGTTCTGGTGGGCGTTCAAAGTGACATTCGATCGAGATGCGCTGCATCTTGAGATGGAATGTGTCTTGTAGACAGTCTTACCCAATGCATACATCCATGTACCGGCGTAATTATTATATTTAGGCCTGGTAGCCAGATGTCCATTCCTAGGTGACGTATCGTGCGGCAACTCATACCTACAGCTTCGAATATGCCATCTGAAAGATCAATCAACCTCTAAAGGGAGAAGTACGAATCATTATTATGAAAACTTGCTGCAGTACAAAATATAGTTTCAATTGCTAACGCCGACAGAATTATTGGAGTTCGTGTCCTCTGCTCAGTGTCAAACTAGAATAATACTATCGTGCATGCCGTCTCACAAGTCAGTGATATCCTTTATGCGCGGGTATCTCTCGCGGTACGGAGGCTGGGGGCTTGTAAGTAAGGGTGACATGGGTCCGGGTAAAGTATCAGCCGACCGGCTAGACCCGGTCACTGCGGAACACTTAATAAGCCGATCATTCATGGTATCTTTGCTCAGGTGACACTTTGGTCGCAACAACACGGCACCATCCCTAACTTGCGCCAAATCATCGCCATGACCAGTGTGATTACAGCATGTCCGTTCCGGATGAGTATAGACGTATGTACATACATACGAAGTGCCGCATCCGTCCACGAGCAGAATGCGACGCGCCCACATTTCTTTGTTTCGCTTTCATTCCGCGTTTTGACCAGCCCAGCAAACCCGCGCGCCATAAAATGCTTCCATGAGCAGGGAGTGCGTACATGATCTTCGTCCATCAGGCACAATAGAGATGGAAATGGATACGGCAGCCCCTCCAGACTTTGTACGGGAGGCTCACCCGGCCGTGGGCCACAAGGTGACTGCCCACCTCTTCAAGGACCTGGCTGTCAAGCTGGGAATACCACACGATGCGTCTTCCACTGCCACTGGCGAATGGCAAGGTGTACGACCCCTTGGAGTAGGTGGCCAAGGGAGCACAGGACTTTTCATCCGGGTTGACCAGAACAACAACGTTCGAGAGGTATTATGCGTCCATTGCCGACTTTCATTCGGCATGTTTAGTGCTAACGCTTCTCCAGCGTCTCGTCGTCAAAGAGTCAGTTGTAATGAGTCCGGGCGCCTGGTACTTTCCTCTCAGTTGGGCGCCTCGAACGTATCACCGCCTGGGCTATAGGGACTACCACGCTGCCATTGATTTTTCGGAAGCTAGTGAGACCTACATCCATCGCATACTCTCAAACACACAGAGTCAATGGATAGTCGAATACCGGTAAGTAGCCTCTAGCTGTTCTACCAGAAGGAAGACATACTAATCCATCACCTGCGCCGGCAGTGGCCGAAGTCGAGTAAATACCCGACACCAGCGATGGCGCCTGTACACAGAATATTGCCCGTACGGTAGTCTCGCTGACGTATGGCGTCGCTATCAGGGGATCAATTGGCTTGTGCCGGAGGCCTTCATCTGGTATTGTGCTCTCTCACTCGCCAAAGCAGCTCAAATCATGGAACATGGCAGCGAAGATGATGGTCCCAACAATTGGAGGGAGGTTATCCACCGCGACATCAAGCCCGACAACATCTTCCTGAGCGATCCCGCAGCTGAAGGTACAGAGTGGCGCCTATACCCTGGAGTTAAGCTGGGAGATTTCGGTCATGCCGTGGAGACGACCGCGAACGAGCCATCTATCTATAATCCTCGATTATACCGAGCTCCATCTGGCACACCTGGCTACGTTTCGCCTGAACAGCGGCCGTTGTGGTTCGAAAGAGGAACGAGAAACTTCTACGATGAGCCCCGCCTTAGCTCAAAGTCCAATGTCAGTTGAACAAGGATAGAAATGCACTTTGAAGTGCGGACCGTGCGCTGACCTTCTTCTCCGCCAGGTCTATCAAATCGGCATGACGCTGCTCACACTTGTGCATCGAGCTTATCCCGAAGCCGAAAGACCAAGATACGAGCAAGAACTTGGAGCCGAAGAATTACTGATTGACCTACAAAATCATGGGATGCATACCCAGCAGGTATGTATTGTCCCTGCTGCTTTCATGAGTGACAGCTTACGAAATTTGGATTCAGATTCCTGGATACTCTTCCGACCTCATGGATCTGATTGAGGAATGCACCGCTACGGACCCCGATGAACGACCGTCGCCACGTTTCCTGCAAGAAATTATAGAATCGAAATACCCCGAGCTCGATAACACGCGTTTTGCAGGCATGCGCACTCTTGTTCCAGATGCCGGCGAACTAGTAAGTCTGTCAGCGTCGTCATGCTTTGGTATTGCTGCTAATCGCGAAATGAAGTGGTCTGAAAGTGGTGCGGGGGGATGGTCTCGACTGGCAGGAATGGAGGACAATTACAGAGTGGGCTTGGCTTGGGAGTACCTACCGGAACCCAATTAGCGACGCGGTCCGAGAAATTTAACCTTGAGTGAGCGTATACGGAGAAGCAATTGCGATACTGAAGTTTGTGCGCCGGGTCTGGAGGGACAGTGTATGCCTTGGGTTGCTTGCGTGTGCGGGAGGCATGGAGGTGCAAAGGTGCCAAGCGAGGAATGCAAGCGCCTAGTTAAGCACGGCAAGCCTCGTTCTGATAGAGTCTCGCTTTGCCACGTTACTGCCACATGTGAACGGGCAAGCCCTTCGATTCTCTATCCACTTCCTCGCCCAGAAGAGTTTGAGAGAGCCCACTTTCAAAGTCCAGGCGATCGAACGAGCTGAGATCCTTGATGGCTCGAAAAGATCAATTGTAAGCAGAGAGTTTCGATGAGGCCCGTTTCTCCGCGAATATCTATTCCACCGCCGTATCGTTTGCATCTTCTGTGACTTACCTTCGATGTGGTAGGATCGCCCTTTCTATCACGGTGTGTTGCGTCTAACGAAGAAAGACCGCGAGGCATTCCAGCGGAGGAGAAGCCATCCTTGAGCAGTCCTTGCCCCGAGGCCTTTGGAGACGCTTTTGGATCCATGTTTGATGCAGTGCGGTGTTTGAAGACGCTGTATACTACCGCTGTATGGCCTAGGAAGTGAGGTGGATGGACTCCTCACTAGCTGAATACGAATGCGAGTACGAATGCGATGTGGTCAGCCGACAAGCCTAGGTTCCTTTCCCTCCATACGATATGTTCATTCTGCTGTACACCACGTCCTCGGTAAGGCCAAACACCGTATGCTTGGCTCGCCCTGCCATCATTCCAAGATCGCACGTGATGGCGCGCGTACATCGAATAACCGTGCTCAGCGTATTCCCTCCACCTCGGCTAACGCAACTTTGTGCCATTATAGCACCAGAGCTCTGTCTCGCAATGATGTAACTAGCGGATTGCAAGCTACAGCATATACCTACCTTACCTCACCTTACCTGCTTGGACCCCAACAGGCACACGAAACCCCACCACCAAAAATGACCCTCATCGTCCACCACCTCGGCCATTCCCAATCCGACCGCATCGTCTGGCTCTGCGAAGAACTCGGCCTGCAATACACCCTCAAGAAATACGACCGCAGCCCCGTCCTCGCACCCCCCGAATTCAAAGCCCTGCATCCCATCGGCGCCGCGCCCGTCATCGAAGACACCCTGCCCAACTCCGGGGACAAGGAGGGGAAGAAGATCAAACTCGCCGAAACGCAGGCCTGCGTCGAATGGATCTGCAATAAACACGGCCACGGACGGTTGCTGGTGTCACCGCACGAGGAGAATTATGCGGACTTTTTGTATTGGTATCATATCACGAATGGGACGCTGCAGCCGTCGGTGGGGCGGTTGATGGCGATGCAGCTGGCGGGGATTCCGGCGGGCAACGAGACGTTGAAGCGGTACGAGGCGAAGATTTATCAGGTGCTGGGGTTGGTGGATGAGCGGTTGGGGAGGTCGACGTGTTTAGCCGGGGAGGAGTTGACGGGTGAGACTCTTTGCTGCTTTTCTTTTAGTTCTTTCTTTCTTTCTCTCTTTTTCAAAAAAAGGAAATCTTCTTGGTTTTTTTTATGAGGGGTGCTGATGTGATATCTTTGTCTGCTGACTAGTTGCCGATATCATGATCATCTTCTCGTTGACGACGATGAGAGAGGTATGTTCATGTTCCGTCTTGGGGACAAGATACCCTTTCACTTACTAACACGACGAGCAGTTCTGCCCATTCGATCTCTCCAACTACAAGAACATCCTATCTTATATCCAAAAAATCGTCAAACGACCGGCATACCAGAGCTATCTCCAAAAGGGAGATCCCGATATCGCCATCCACAATTACGTCCAGGGCCCTCCGCCTCCCAAACATCCAGCCTTGGCTGGTCACAAGTAGGGAAACACACATATCGTATATTTTGGAAAAAAAAAGTATTGGTAGCTTATCAGACGGAGTGAAATAGGACTAGACCATCCTCTTCAAAACCTCCTCGCCTCTGACCCACCGCTCTAATTCCTCAGCCTGTTCCTGATACCAACGATTCATCGTCCCTTCGTGCACATACCCCATATGCGGACTCAAGACAACCTCACTCTTAGCCCACGAATCCACCGTCCTCCAGATCGAATCCTCGGACAACGGTTCCTCCCAGAAGACATCCAGAGCCACACCTCGAATTCCTCCCTTTTTCAAAGTCTCGATGAGAGCTTCTTCATCAATCAACCCACCCCGGCTCGTATTGACCAACACGGCCTTCTTGCCCATCCACCCCAATTCCCGCTCTCCCACGATCCCCCTGGTGCGCTCGGACAAGACGAGATGCAGAGCCAGCACGTCCGCACGCCGAAAGACTTCCTCTTTCGACACAACCTGGAACTCTCCCGACTCAAACCCGCACCCGTGGGCTGCGGCGTCCGCTTTCTGCTGCGTCAGATTCTCGCTCCACGCAATCACCTTCATCCCGAAACTCTGCACGGCGACGCGCGCGAACGCCGTGCCCAGCTTACCCAGCCCGAGCAGGCCGAGCGTCTTCCCGCCCAGCGAGATGCCCACGCCGCTCTGCCATGAGGATGATGATGCCCTGAAATCGCTCTTCTGCTTCTTCAGAGCGCGATCGTCTTGGGGAATCCGGCCGCACAGACTGAGGAGGAGCGCCCAGGCGTGTTGATTCACGGCCGAATAGCCCGGCGGAGGCGGGGGTTCGAAGTCGTCGGATGCCGTCGCGGGTTGATCGCCCCGCGTGGCGGTGACGGGAATGCCTCTCTGCCGGAACGCGTCGAGGTCCAAAGCTGCATTGCGCGTCCCGGAGCTCAGCAGCAGTTTCAGATTCGGTAGGCGGTCGATCACTTCCGCCGGGAACGCGGTTCGCTCCCGCATGGTGGAGATGATGTGGTATGGTGTCAGACGTTCAATGAGAGCTTGGAGGTCTTCTGGTTTGGTTGGGTTGAGCGTTTCGGGGAAGGAATCTACGGTTCGGAGGAGACCTTTGGATTGTAAGGGTTGGAAGTGTTTGGGGGCGATGTGCGCGTAGTCGTCGAGAATGGCGAGGGAAGTCATGGTTCGTTGTGAAATGATCCTGGGCGAGGGTGGTCTGTTGAAGTGTGTCTGCTGAGAAGGATTGTCAATTGAGAGGATATAGGACTGGGATGAGATACCAGTGTAGAGCCCGAGATAATGGTGCAAGAACGTGGCTGGTTGAGAGCTCGCGTGGGGCAGCCATCTCAAGAGCCGGCATCGGTGCCGGAAGAGGAATGAATCACCCTCACTCAATAATTCCAAGATTATTGGACAGGCATATCAGCTCAGAATCGCATAGGGCGGCTTCGATTCATCAACATCCGTTGCGATTTCTTCGAGTTCTCTAACCCCCTACGGACTCGGAGATCAACTCCTACTGCTCCTCCATATGCTCCCTCGCACTCGCCGCCCGGATCTCGCGCTTCATCTGCTCCAGCCTGCGATGCATATCCCACAACCTCTGCCTGTCCTCCCTCGGCACCGTCTCACCACGCTTCTCCATCGCCGCTTGTTCGTCATACAGCTTGGCATACTGCGGGTAGTAGACGTCGCGGAACTTCTGCGCAATGTTGACGCCCTGGCTGTAGGTGATGTCGTTGATAATGGATGACGCGCTGTCGCTGCTGGCGGTCCTCTCCAACCGAGCGTCTTCGCTAGAATGAGATTTCCGGGATTGTGATGAGGACGATTCCGTCTTGCGATGTTTGGCTGTAACCCCATTCTCGCGCAGTTGTGCGGGCGAATCGACGGCCTTGCGCTTCAGACCGTCCTCGTTGTTCTTGTGACCAACACCATTCACCTGCGAAGGCTTGGGCGTGCCATTGGTACTACCAACTAGGTTCTTGCGAGGTCTGTCCCCATTCATTTTGTCGGGATGATGTGATGCCGAATGTGAGTCGCTGCTGGTAACGGTGTCCTGCCGCTTTCGGAAGCCGTTCGTGATGCCGAGTCCCTTGGGAGTTTCGGCGCCGTGTTTCACGCGTTGCACGCCGACAGCTCCCCGGTCTGACACGTCCGAAGCCACTCGTGGTCGCGCGGCTCCGAGCGGCGAGGGCACCGTCGGTCGACTGTCTGCCTTCTTGGGGCTCAATTGACTCCTGTGTTGGGATGATGGCGCCGAAAGCCCGTTCGGGGTGCTCTTTCCGAGGGGAGCAGGTTTGGACGCTTTGGCGGATTTGGAGCTCTGCGGGTTCGACTTTGAAGCAGTGGAAGGCGTGCCTGTCTTGGGGGTACTCGCGGCCTTCGGGGTGGCAGCTGCAGCTGTCTTCGCCTTGGTAGGCTTCGCGACGGCCTCGCTGCCGTTTGAAGTCGCCCATCCTGCAGGTTTCGCAGGCTTCGCCCTCGGTTTGGTAGCAGCGTTTGGAGCGGGTTTGCGGTCGCCTGCAGCTGATTTCGGCTGGCTGCTGGGTGCCGATGCGGGTGCTTTTTCCTTCACTTCGCCTTCGTCCTCATCGCTTGAATCTTCCACCATCTCTGCCGACAGAGCTTTGGGGTTGTTGTTCTTGGTCGTCTGTTTCTTTCGTGCTGGTTTCCCTCCTTCCTTGTCGCTGGCGGCCGCTGCCACTTCCCTTTCCTTCCGCTTCTTCTCCTTTGCTTCTTCCGCCGCGCGAGCTTTCTTCGGATCCTTCGAGAACAGACGTTTGGTATACGCATCATTCTTCGCCCCTACCTTGGGCGTGGACGCGGGTCCCAGACGAGGCGAATTCGTTGCGCTTGCCATCTTGCTGTCTCCCGTCCCATCTCCCTGTACCATCGGGCTGGATGCGAGATTTGGCGTGAGGCTCTTGTTTGCAGCTCCATTGCCCAGGTGTAGCTTCGACAGCACGATGCCTTTGTCCCGGTCCTCCCTCGGCAGCAACATCTGCCATATCTTCTCGTCTTTGCCCAGTCTCATTCTGTCAAACGCTCTTATTGCATTGTCAATCGCAGCCTGTCTGTCTTCTTTCGTGCTGTATCCGAATTTCCAGACATCTAATTCTTTGTACGCCCTGTCCGATAGCTGCCACTTTCCTTGGTCTGGCTTTCCAACTTTCTGCAGAACCTCGTCAAGGTCGTCTTTCGGAATGTGTGTCTTTTGCAGCATCTCCTCGCGCGAGAGCGAACGCATGGCCATCAGATGGGTGAGAGCGGTTCGCATGGCATTGTTTCTGGCCGCGGAGTCGCCGGTGGGCATGGAAGTCGGCGCCGCACCTCGGGTTGACGTCGATGAAGCACCCAGAGAAGGGTTTGCGGGCTGTGAGCCTAGCAGGCCTCGCCTATATGCCTGCTTCTGCTCTTTTGCGGCCTCCCAGCGATTCTTGGGTTCCCTTATCACCCTATCACTAATGTTGACGGACTTTGCCTGCTTCTCCTGCTGGTACGAGGCCAGGCTACTCTGCAGCGCCGCCAATGCCGCATCGCTACCGACACTCTGCTTCCTTTCGGGTACTTTCAGCTCTGCGCGATGGCTCACCACGGCGGCAAGGTCGAGGTCTCCCAGGTTTTCTGTCGAGGCAGCGTAGAGTTCGTGTCGGAAGGCTTCGGGGGAGATTGTGAGATCGATGGTTCGTTTACCCAGCCGGATTTGCTAGGCATGTTATCTTAGCACACCGCCCCGGATCTACCATAGCACGATTTTGGGACCTTACGGGAGTATTTCCGGTGACGAACTGGAAGCCGCTCTGCGAAGATTTCTTGACATCTTCGAGGAGGTCAGGGCTGAGCTTGAAGAGGATTGCCGAGTTGGAGGAGTGCTTCGGATCGTGGTTTCGTGCAGCTATGCCGTGCAGCTGGAGGCCAGCGGGTGGTATGGAGACGGACATGGCGGATGGTGTTGAACTCCGCTTTGTTACCACGCACGGGGCTCGAGGGGACGTTGAGCGGTTGTCATGGGCGCCATATGCTTGCTAGGCCAGCGAAGGGGCAAACTTGGGACATTGATGAGCGGATTGTTGGTGAAGGGAGGATGGCGATGACGTGCAGCAGCGGACTTACCAGCGGGCGGTATTTCAAGGGCGAAGTTTGCTACAAGACATGTGGATGAAGCTCAGGTGACAGGCTCTCAGACAGAAGTGTTGACGAGTAAGAAGGGTGAGGTGTGTGTGTGTGTGTGTGTGTGTGTGTGTGTGTGTGTGTGTGTGTGTGTGTGGGTGTGTGTGTATATGTGTGTGTGTATGTGTGTGTCAAGTGTGTGGGAGAGGGGGAGGGAGTCGGGCGTGAGTTGAGACAATGAATAATGAAAGCGCAGAGCGGGAGGGTTCGCCGAGAGGAACAAGCCTAACAAGGTAGTCAGCAGTAGTGGGCGGTGCGCGAGCGAGCTAGCGAGATGCATCCGCCGACTCAAAGCGCTCCCTCCACCTGTGACCCAAGCCCATCCTGTGATCCAGTCAACCAGTGTTGCCAGTGCACCGCAAGCATATTGACACTATCAACTGATTACGCATGGCAGAGGGACAGCATGTGACATTATTCTCACGGGGCCATCGGCCTCCGCAGTAATCGCCCATTAGGCTCGTACGTACGGACGCCAGAATCGTCACGGGCAAGGCCAGGCAAGGCCAGACAGGGCAGGGCAGGGCAGGGTACAGTATGGGCAGGGCATGGCATGGCATGGCATGGCATGGCAGGCGTCCAAGTCCGATGCAAACCTAACGCTGTTTCACACGGCGGTGCAGCAGGCCACCGCCCGCCTGGGTCCTCCCTCGAGCCATGCCTTGGAGACTCCCGTCTGCCTCACTCTTCATCCACTCGGACATGGCAGACAAAGGGCGGTGATGGAACAAGCGTGTGCCACGTTTCTTGGCCAGAAGCTCTTTGTCAGAAGCTCTTGGTCAGAAGCACAGGAGTGTGGGAGGACGGAAGCGCATCTGGGCGGGCATCCTCCTCCGGCACGAGCAGCAGCCAGGTGGCGGCGAGGATGGACAATGCAGCGCAGAGTTGTGGGTGTGGGTGGTGCGGTGGTCCCAGGTGTGCAGCACGGTGCAGGATGGCAGCGAGCCGATGCGTCCCCATCGCCGAGCTCCCGTCCCGCAGCGGTGGATCGACCAATCCTCTCCCACGCCTCTCACGCCTAGCCGAGTCAGGTCAGCACAGGGCAGCACAGGGCAGCACACGCACAACCACCACACACCACACACCACACACCACACACCACACACATACCACTCACCACTCACCACTCACCACTCACCACTCACCACTCACCACTCACCCACCCTCACCTCTCCCAACCGTCTTGGCCTCCCACCTCTCTGCCCCCTTGCCCAACACCGCCTGCCCCAATCGGATCGTCTTTCGCTCCACCTTCACCTCCATCCCCCATATATGAACAAATGGCATGCAATGCGCCACCTTCGTCTCAAGCAGCCACCTGCCCCTCCAATGCCACATGGTGGCGCCGCCTCAGCGGAGCATTCCTGCTGCTTCGGGCGTAGGTACCTGTGGCCTGAGGTTCGGCACGGCGCATCATCCCGCACCACCACGCGACCGTGTCAGCGCTACTGCTCGCTGCTGGAGAAGCGCTTCCTCGCCGCTACGACAACACGGCCATCTCTTCCCATGCAAGTCGACACTGCTCGCTGTTGACGCGAAGCAGGCAACAATTAACCGCCCGGGCCGCGCGGTTCGGTCCAGAATGTCGACGCGGGGAGCTATACACAACCGGCACTGCACTTGTTGTACACATGAAATACACATGAGAACAAGGCACTGTGTCCCTTCACCCCACTTCTCTCTTACCGGACGATGCCACTCCCTTCCACAGAAGCTTGTCACGCGGAGTAAAACTTGCACGTAAGACCACCAAGCAAACTAGCAAGTAACACTAGCAGGTCTTGAAGCTCGGCTTGTTTCTTGCCTGGCATCCAGCTCGCCGACCGACGGAACTCTCCACCTCCCGTTTCAGCTCATCCATAGCGGTATGCCGAATGCATTCTAATGCAATATCGAAATGTACCGCACAGTCCCGGATAATTGCCACGTGTCACCGCCAGCTTTATTGGGAGTGCCGTCAGCATCAAAGTGGCAGGTCTATGCTAGAGGGTACGTACCGTGCGTACAAAGCAGCACCCTGTCTTCCTTAACTCGAAGCTCAAGCAGAGCCGACATACTTCGCCGTGCCGCATCGCCACCCAACCTATCGATGCTGTCGTGGCATCGGCATCACGACTGGGCAAATCAGGTTGACCAAAGAACCAGTCGAATTCCAGCATCCCTCGACCTCGTCCGAGCAAGTCCGTCGGTGGAAATGTTGGAAATGATCGAATCGCTCGTCACACGGTCTGGCCGAACGCGGCACGAAAGCCTGTGCGAGAGACGGATGAGATCATCATGAGAACGCAGACAAGCTCCGGTGGTCTGGAAGGGTTGAGGTTCAGAGCAAGAAGGCTCACCAGGATGCTGGCGCACATCCTGCCGCAGAACGAGATATTCCTCCAGGATCCGGTGTCCGATCGCGAACATCTTGTCCCAACCACAGACGGCCCTCGTGTCGACTTGGAGGATTCGCAACATGTCCCATAGGACTACCGAGTCCAACAACACGAGTCCAGGATACTCTTTCTCCCCATGGCCAGCTCGCTGCGCAGCACCGAGATTCGTGCAAAAACGTCGATACGACTCTCACAGCTTCCTCTCCATGGCTGTAGCCACTTGCACCACATCTGATGATCCGGGATGTCCTGTCTCATATCTGCGAATTCAACATTCACAGTCCTATTGGGGTGAGATGTAGCCACCATCTCGTATATCCTTCAGCAGTAAATATTTCGACCATCTTTGCCTGGAACATCTTCCAGGTAAGGCGTGAGTGACCAGACCAAAATCGTATCCTACCTTTCTCTGTGTGTGTTTCACCATGTCCAACAACTTGCGCACAGCCCAAGCAACACTCGTCGTGGCCTCTGATTCCCGTAGCCTCACTTATCCGCTCACACAGATTTCGCCACCGCTCCCAATCTCAGCCATGCCATGCCGCACTTTTGTCCCACTCCCGTCTATCAGGCTCCTCCCCAGGGGATTCGGACCTCTGGACCAAGTCCACCCGGGCGGGACTGGTCAATTACTTCGGACGTGGACCATTTTTCATGCCTTCGAGCCCCGAACGAACATCCGTACGCGAAATGGGAGACCCAGAGCGAAAGTTTGAATTCAAACAAATGCTTTCTGCGCCTCTCTCTTTTTCTCTCTCTCTCTCTCTCTCTCTCTCTGGATCCAGTCAGGTCGGTCAGGTAATTTCTCAGGCAGGCAGGCAAGCCTTATCATTCGATTCGATTCGATTCGATTCGAATATCGCGTTCTGAGACGAGAGAAAAGAACCCGAACGACACGAGAAGTAACGAACGAACGAACAAACTCACTCACTCACTCACTCACTCACTCAAGAGAGATCCAATACGTCTGGCGCGGGAATCTGCTTTTGAGTCTCATTCCATACGTTTGGGCGAAACGAACTATGATCAGAAGGTCCGTCAGCTTTGCTGATGATGTTCTCAAACAGTGGTCTCATTTAGTCATCAAGAACGACCGGGAGAGTCGCTGAGCAAACATTTCATTTTTGGCTCAGTACCGCTTCCCCCCCCCCACCCACATCTTTTCCATCTTGAGAGATGCACGAAGACGAATCAGGATTCGATTCCCCGTCAGATCCCACGAATTCCCACAAGTGAAAGCCTCCATGTTCCATCGCAAAAGTGGTATCTCTGTAGTGAAAAGCGGCAAGAAAGATAAAAAAAAAAGGCCGAAAACCCGCCCCCAATATGAACGCCATGCTAAAAGCATTCTCGCTCAAACCCCATCAAAAACGTCCATTCGTAAAACTCTTCGGCCATCCTAATCCAATTCAATAATTTCTGCAACTCGATTCGGTTGTGGCGCCGTAGCAGAAGCAGTCCTCCGTTGTTCCTCCCGTTCAAGACTCGGAGACCGCACACCGTCGCGATCTTCACCCTTCACCTTCCAGGTGCCATCGGCTTGAACAATAATGGCCCTCGTATCCAGCTGCCCACGTCTCGCCAGCTCCTCGCGGACGCTCACCAGGAATTCGTCGAGCACGAGTGTCTGGGGACGGACGTCGCCACGGCAAATGGGACAGCGCCAGCAATCAATGATGGTCGGCCAGCCAGGGCCCTTCCGCTTGCAGCATTCGAGAAAGACCTGGAGATCGAAGCAATCCTTGTGCAAACATGCAGACCCTCGTACCGGCGTGTCGAAAATCCTGCATCCCGAATAGGGATCAAATAGCTTGATGGTGAGCGCACTGGAAGTCACTGCAAGATCATCATCTCCCGCATCATCGCCCGAGAGCGATCTCTTGATGGAATCTAATGATTGATCTGCTGCGATTCTCAAAGCTTTGGCCTCAATGGAATCCTGCCTTATCACGCCGACCACCTCGATAGCCACAGCATGTGTTTGCTTCTTATTTCTGCATTTGTTAAACACTTCCAGGTTATTCGTGCCTTCCCGAACCAGCGCAGTCAGGTCGATTGGTACATAGCGGCCGTGCTGAAGCTTCCGTCGGACATCCAAGACGGTGTCATTGAACATGAACCTCATCTCTTCCGGCCAGTAATTTTCCGCTGTGACCCAATCGCTCTCGGATACGAAGCCCTTTGGCGGTACGACAGAGCAACGCAGTCTATACATGAGCGAAGCCTCCTTAATGTCTCGTCGTTCTGGCTCCCCGGCTACCGTAGCAGGTAGATTTTTCGCGACGCTCTGCATTGCCTGAGCCGGAATACTGAAGGAAAGCTTCTGGGCTGGTATATCCTTCTTCAACGTGGTGGGCGGTAGACCGAATCCAATAACGTGCCTGTATAGTCGAGATGCATCATCTGCGGCAGGCTTCATGATAGGACTGCGAAGCAGTGCTTGATGCAGCGCTGCACGATGGAAGTCAGGGTGTGTAGGCTGCGGAGGTGCTGCATCATTCTGTGCAGGAAAAAGTCGTCTAGGTCGCGCTTGGGGCGTCTGAGATTGCTCGGAGAAAGCGTTTTGAGGCGGCATTAGGGCCTGGTGCGGTTGTTGAAGTTGCTGAATGGATCCAGGACTCCCGCGCCCATTCTGGAGATGCGCCTGTAGTAAGCGTTGCTGCAACACATTCTGGTCTGGTGAAGCAACGGATTGCGGATGCCCAGGACGTCTTTGCTGGGGCACTTGAGGCTGCTGGCTTCGCGCAGCATTCGGATGAGGTGAACGGAAATGGTCCATGACTTGCTGCGGTAATACAAACTCGATAGAAGGATTTCGATGCTCTTGGTGGCGTTGGAGGAAAATCTGCCACTGCTCATAGACTTGACGAAGCGCCAAATATGCACCCATCCTCCATTGAGGATGTCTATGAAGGCCGTGCACGTAATATGCATCTTGATCCAGTCGGTGTACTTGCTCGAGTGCTGTGATGGCTTTTGTGTGTATCGGGTCATTACCATAGACCATCCGAGCAATGGCTCTGAATACCACGGTCTGCAAGACGGTGCCCCTTATATTGAGCGCTTCCACAATATCTTGCACGACCGGTGGCGCTGACAAGCTTTCCTTGCATCGCTTGATCAAGCCATCCCAATTTCGAGGCAGCCTGTTCAAAAACTCTTTGACACCGGCGACGCGCATCTCGTATACCTCACGAAAGCCATCCTGGTCTGAGTAAATGTCCATGACTGGTTCTGGGAACTCGGCGCAGAACTGCACCAGCGCAGGACTAACACGAGCATTCTCGCAGAGGAGAATGCTGAGGAAAGCATAGCATCGGGGATCAAGGTTGCGCATGGACCGGGGCAATAGCGTTGGGTTGGTGTGGCTCAGGCAAAACAGTTGACTGACCATCTGGTAGAAATAGTCGCCTTTCTGGATTGCTTCGCGAAGCAGATATATCCGGCCGTTGTCGGTGGGGCTCAATACGATGCTCGCAGCAAGCTCCGTCTCCTTGCTGGCCAAACGTTGCATTAACACATTGGAGGGCACTCGTGAGGGCGGCGGCGACGTTGGCTGAAAAATGTTGGAAGGCACCGGTGGCGTTGGACTGTTCAGGGCTTGACCATTCGACGGCGCAATTGGAGGAGCGCCCTGTGGACGTTGGCCAATGGTGGACGGCGGACGTCGGTGCTGGCCATTGGGAAATGCGGGTAGGGAGAAGGCTGTGGGCGAAAAGGCCGGATGTCCAGGCGCATGACCGTTCACCTGTACGTGAGCCTGCTGTGTTTGCGTAACATTGCCTACTCGGCGTGTATGCTGCTGCGGAAGGGGTGTCTGTACGCCATGTTGTGGACCTGTCAGGCCCGGCGAGGTTCCGGTTGCCATGGGCCTCGCTGATGGTGTTGCCGCGCCTGCTTCAGTCGGAATTCGAAGCTGGTGGAGGGAGGGACGACTCCGCGCGTGTTGAAGTTGGAGGTGGTTTACCGCGAAAGTGGGAGAGTTGGTGTTCTCATCGCTCGGCGCAGGTGAAGGCAGTCCAGGCTGCAGGCCCGGCCTCGCTGCGTCCACGGCCTTCCTGCTCTTGTTACTAGCCGCGAATGCGCTGCCGTTGGCGATGGCGGGATGTGTTGTTGGGTGGCTCAGCATCTTGTCTTCCACGACCGGCGTCTCATATTGTACTAGTCCAGTCGAAGGAGCTCCAGCTGGTGCGCGAGAAGTTGGTATTTGTTGGCCTGCCGACCTCGGTTGCTCCTGCTCTTGAGGCGAATTTCCACGGTGGACGGTGGTGAGGTTCGCGCCTGCCGCGCGAGAGTTCGCTTCGGTGGCTATCGACGAGGAAGGAGCGTGTGGGCGGTGGGAGGCGGCGTTTGGTACCGCGTTTGATGCCGCGTTTGATACTGCGTTCGTCGTCGAGGTGTATTCGTGAGAGTCGTTTGCATTCTGCGCGTTCAAATCTGCAGTATGTGCAGTGTCTGCAATGTCTGCAGTGTGTGCAGTGTGTGCAGTGCCCGGCGCGAACCCATGCATCCACCGATTATGTCTGCCACCCAGCATGTGTTGCAGTGTAGAGTTGGTCTGCGCAATTGCGCTCGGCGGTGCGTGGACGGTGTCTGCATCCTCCACTGCTGTCCGTCGTCGCTTTGGCGGGGGAGGGGAGTCAGAGTCAATGGTAACCACTTCGACCATCTCTGCACCGTGTGCAAAGAGATCTGCACCGTGTGCAGCGTTGCATTCGGTGGCGCACGCATCAACTTCAGCCAGGATCGCAAGGAGAGGTCCAGTCATACATTCCTGGGGACGTGTGGGCAGGTGGCCTCTTTGTCCCTTTCTTCACCTGTACTGTGAACACCGCTTCCAGATCTCCGAGGATGGCGGCACGGCCTCTATGGACGGCGGTTACACGACTTGCGGCGCCTCGAAAACGCGACACTGCAGAGTCTCGACCACGCGACGGCAATCCTTGGACGCGCGGAGAGCGTGTTCTGTGCGAGGGCAAGGAAACCTTCTCTCCGTGTAATCAGAATACCCTTTGCGAAGGGAAGGCTCGGAAACGCTTGCACGCGTCGGGAAGAGACAGGTCACATTTGGCACCAACAAATTGAAAATCTCTCTGAGTCGTCGAGCAGTGCGGTGAAATGCTGGGTCAAACCATGTACTTGTGCGGCGGTGCACTGGTGCAGGTCTTCTCATGGCATGCTGGGAAGCATCTCTACCACGGGCATTATTCGCTATGTCGCGGAGCACTCCAGATGACGCCAGCAAGAAGGCGGAGAATTGTGGAAGGGAAGACTCGGGACTTAATAAGCGTCTCAGCACTGTGTATAAAATTGGGCGGGAGCGAGTCAGCGGAGTGGTTCCGAGTCCCACCCTGGTGCTCCGAGCTGACAGACGGGACGGCAGACCTGGCCCCATCTCATCCTGTCGTACCGCTACCGCTGCCGCCGAGAGAGGCGGCTTGGCTCTGCCAATGCGTACATGCCCAGTAGACAGCGATCCATCATCATCATCATCACCTCGACTCTCATCTGTTCTTCATGGTGCAAGGCCATGTAATAACGAGAGCCCCATCGGCACCGTCCATGTAGCCCCGTCCATGCAGCAATCGACCGACCTTCCCACCGAGCCCTCCACATCCATCCAGCGCAGCAGGCTGCCTCCGGTCCCTCCTCCGTGTTCCTGAACACAGCGCCCAATCGTCACCTGGCACGTCGCCTCCAGCACCACGCTGCCTCGACGAATCGCCCTCGACCGCAATCCATCCGTGTTGCGCAGCCCGACGAGCTCGTACGGGTTGCCATGGTGAAGACTGATCGAGAGCGCGAGAGAGGTCCACCGACGCCCCGCAGGCACATCACTCCAGCACTGCGACGGCCCAAGAGAAGCTAGGAAACGGGACACGAGATGGCATCCAGGAGCAGCTTCATCAACAGCGCGCTGCCGGGCACGATCCTGCTTGCTGTCCATGACTTCGTTGCCCGCAGTGCCGACGAGCTCAGCTTGGCCAAAGGCGATCGCATCGAGCTCATAGAAAGGTACGCTCGCATCACATGTTTCCATCGTGGGGACAGACATGCAATCGTCCAGCTCTAACGCGTGTACTCTACAGGGACGATGACTTCGGCGATGGATGGTTCTTGGGCAAACACCTGATCAACGGGTCGAGCGGACTGTTCCCAGAAGGTAACTACACCACAACAACTTTCGCTTCCTGTGGCAGTCCATGCTGCTGCTGCTGCTTCCGGATGACCGCTGACAGTCCGCAAGTCTATACCACTCCTGCGCCCAAGGGCACCCTCGCCAATAGCATCCGACATCGCGCCACGGACAGCAATAGCAACAACAACAACATCAACAACAACATCATCATCAACAACAACAACAACAACAGCGCCGCGGTAAGCGATGGCGCAACGAGAGCAGCCCAGAATGCGGCTGCCTCACTCTCATCCACTGCCACGCGACATTCCCAGCAGCTCCCCGTCGTGCCTTCCATAATCACGGGCACCCAGTCGCTGCCTCCTCCATCGACATCGCACAACCCGCCCTTACATGTAGCGTCAACGGCCTGTCGACCGCCAGTATCCACCCATGCCGCCGCTCCAGTGCCAGCTGTGAATGTGCCTGGTGGGAGGAACTTCATCATCAATTCAGATTCCCCCGTCATGAGCGAGACGCTGTCCGTCATCGACGAGCACATCACCGACATGAGGTCGCCGCGGACCTCCCATATCAACGGCAATGGCAACGGGAACGGGAACGGCATCGCCCACCACAGCAAGCGCGATACCGTGAGCAGTGTCTACTCGGCCTACTCATCCCAGCCGTCCATGACCCGTCACTCATACATCGCCGGCCATGAAACCGATGAGGAGGAGCAGCAGACACACACCGAAGACGAGGTCATGGCGTGGACGCCTACCCGTGTAGCAGAGTACCTGGAGGACCACGGCGTGGAGAAGTCACACTGCCAGGTGTTCGTGGAGCAAGAAATCAGTGGCGAGGTCTTGTTGGCGATGGACCAAAACAGCTTGTTCATTAAGGAGTTCGAGCTGGGCTCAGTCGGCCGTCGACTGAAGACGTGGCATAAGATCAAGGCGCTGCAAGATGAAGTACGACGTACGGTCAATCCCGAGCGAGAGAGGAGCGCTTCCGAGTACTCCGGGGGAATGGAAGGTGAAGAGGAGCCCAGCGTTGATGGGGGTAGGAACCGCAGCTCGACGATTGGGGCGCCTTCCTTGCCAAGAGGCCTTTCCACCGGAAGACGCCAGAGCGGAGAGACTACGCCAGTAAGGCAGTCTGCCCAATCCGCCACGAATCGGGACAGCTTTGCTGGCATGTCGCCTTTGCAGAGTATGACTTCCACGACCCGGCCGGAGAATACGATGAGACCTTCCGCCCAGAGCATTCGCAACATGAACCACTCGCAGCGGCATTCGAGTATCGATTCGACTTCTACGGATGGCGCCAGCCGGATGGGTCATCGCAAACAGCCTTCGATCGATCAGAAATGGCAACCTGGGCAAGTCAGCAGTCGACATGGACACACGACCAGTGCAGACTCGCAATTCCCACTGCGAAACTCGAGCATCATCATGTCCGCTTCTCCCGCCGATGTCGACCGCGGCTATTTCTCAGAAGCTGAGCCAACCGCCAGGTCACGTAGGAGTTTGTTGACTAAGAGAAAGTCGACTCTTGTGAGTCCAATGCATTCCAGGAACAGCAGTGTCTTGGAGCGCCAGCCGGGCCGCATCGCCGAAGCTGAAGGTTACCAAGACCCAGCGAGCCCGATGGCCACTTTTAACCATCGTTTCAGCGCCCTGAATGCGGTAAACGACAAGTTCGGCAACTACCGCTCAGCAACAGACCCAGCCGTGCATGGCAAGCCAAATCGTTCCGCGCAAAGTCCAGTATCGACAGTCGTCACAAAGCTTGATCGCAGCGGCAAGCAGTCTCTCGGGGCTATTGCTGCTAGTCCAACGAAAATGGAGGATGACGCAAGTGTAGCCTCCAGCGAAAAGGCCACGCCCAGTCCCTCGGGCAACTTCGGCTTCTTTTCCTCTGCTAGAGCCAAGGTCACCGGACTGAGATCGAGCAGCGATGCTGTCACAAAGAACGAAAAATCGATTTCACCACCCAAGGTCAGCTCACCGACGCGCACAACTACCGGATCATCAACACCGAGCACGGAAAACCGAAGTATGGACATAGCCAAGTCCGATGGTTATTCGCGCGAATCGACAGGATCTGGCCAGAACCTGATGCCACCACCTCCGAGCACGAAACGGCCCCGGGCGAAGTCAAAGAAGTTCACATCAGCATACACACGGGGGCTGGAGAAGAAATCACCACAGGAACAGATGCTGGATTGCGACTATTCCGGCTGGATGAAGAAGAAGAGCGGCTCTCTGGTGGCGACATGGAAATCACGTCTCTTTGTCCTCAAAGGGCGACGACTTTCGTACTATTACACTGATGGTGATACCGAGGAGAAGGGCCTGATTGATATCTCCTTCCACAGGGTCCTGCCCGCGCAGAACGAGACACTCACTGGAGTTCTTGCCTCGGTCACCGGAGCTGGTGGAAGCCCGACAAGTCCTACACAACGAACAACGCCGACCATTGCACAGCAGGACCTTCGGAACCATCCACCTATGGACCATGAGAATGATGAAGGATTGTTTATCTTCAAGCTCGTTCCTCCGAAGGCAGGCTTGTCCAAGGGCGTCAATTTTACAAAACCGACAGTGCATTACTTTGCTGTCAAGTCTCGACAAGAGGGCCGTCTCTGGATGGCAGCCCTCATGAAGGCGACCATTGACAGAGATGATACGGGAGTTGTCACGACAACGTACAATCAGAGAACGATCAGTCTCGCTAAGGCCCGAGCTAGACGGGAGCGACCGCCGGCATTGAAAGAGGAGGGCGTCGATGGACGTGCTGAGCTCGATGGCGGAGCAGAGGAATCAAGCGAGCAAGGTCTGGGCATCGGTGGTCTCAACGAGAAGGAATCTACAGTCGGCGGCGCCGAGCAAGAAAGAAATACCCTTGGAGACCGCAGTTCGATTGCTACGAGTACACAAGCTCCTGTCGATACCGATGTCCTCAGCGAGAAAGAGAGAGAGGCAGTCGCGCTCAATGGCTCGGCATAGTCAACAATGCCAAACCCACCGGCAATGCGACCTTTTCGAGCGTCGAGCAAAGCGGAGCCGCCTGGGACCGAACGCAATCGACACCAGTCTCCTTCATCTGCTTTTATCGTTTTATTTTTCACTGGATGATTGATGATCAAGAGGAAATGATTTGAGGCAAAATTATTTGACAATTGGAACTCCGCCCGCAACGGGCTGAGGGCAATACTGCTAACGCTTTTTAATCCCTTCGCACGAAGCCGCTGGCAATGCCTTGACCAGATACCTACTCCACTGCAAATGGACAGGGTCGTGATACCCACTTTTGTTTTTTCTCTCTTATTTCTACAGGATATGGAGAAGAGCACAAATGTATGCAGATAATCTGAAATGGAATGTTACCATCAATTTTACATCTTTTGCTACTTCAGGTCCTGCTTGTTATGGACACCATGCTGGTTGCTCACGTTGCTGCAGAAAGGGGAGGACGCATGTCAGCGACTTCCGCCTTCCCGATCGGACGATGATTCGACTCACCGCAACCCGGAACAGTCCGTACAGTTACTGCAATTCTCGCAGTCTTGGCAATCTTCGCAGTTGGAACAGTTTGTGAGGCGTTCGGAGCGTGTCTTTTTGAGACAATGTGAGAATCTGGTTGAGGGAGGGAGGAGGAGGCTATTGGGTGGTGTGTGTGTGTGTGTGTGTGTGTGTGTGTGTGAGTGAGAGAGAGAGAGAGAGAGAGAGAGAGAGAGACCTTACACCTGTAGATAGATCTGTTTGTCAGCGGTGAAGATGGGGGATTTATTCGATGAGGGGAGAACTTGCAGTTGGAGCAATTGGTGCAGTCGTGGCAGTCGAGCATGTTGCTGCAGTCTTTGTTGCCTTGGGCGTCGGTTGGCATCTTTTGGGGAGGGTTGGTTGGTTGGTGAGATTCGAGATTTGGGTGGGGGTCTTTTTTTTTCTTTCTTTCTTGAAGAGTATTATAAAAGTCAGACTTTGTCCTCCTTGCTCGCTCTGAGATATGACGGGAGACTTGGATGGAAACGACCGATATGGGGTTCTTATCTTCATTCTTCTTCAGGGCGGCATGCAACGACACATACTGACGTGGGTTGCATGGCTCGCTTACCGACGGGAGTTCCTCCAAGCTGAGCTGCGATGGCCATCCTCGTCAATATCCACTTTGTGCAGGCGACCTATGCGTCAAGGTTGTAGCTTTACCATTGGTTGGTGACGATGTATAGTGGTTGCCTGGGACCTCACGCCGCGAGGCATAGCCCCACGCGGAAGATCTTGATGCGATCTACATCATCGGAGTAGCGTTGATCGATCTCGAGATGATGTTGCGGCATATACGCATCTCGTCTTCGGTAGGAAGATGTAGTTGACGATGCATGCCTTAGGCAGCAGCATTTTTCCGCTTTAGGATTAGTGTATTTGCACCCTCGCTTCTCTCTCTGAACACTTCCTGCTTCCTTCCTGCCTGTTGCTCTCTGTATTGTTTTTTCGGCAACGCGGATACCGCTTCATGGGAGCGCGTATCTACTCACATCCAAAGCATATAGGCCGTATCAGCAAAAAAGACGCGCGTTTCTGGCACGATCTGAGGAGCGAATCGCATGATTACAGCCATTGGAACTTCGACTACAATCCGTCGAGGCAACCACCCTCTTGCTCGGCGAGCCTTATCTGGCCTATCTTAATGCTGCCATTCCACGAGCTTCCTTTCGTACCGGAACACCTCCAAGTCATCTGGACTCATGAGGATCTGCCTGCGTCCCTTCACGTCAGTCCGGGACAGAATATCCTCGTAATTTTTCGCGAAGTTGGGTGTCTTCTTCACGAGAGACACAGCAGAATCATGGTTTCGATATCGAGCTTTTGTTCACTGGATTGATGGAAAATAGAGAATAAACATGTCGATTGCGATATTGATAGTTCTATGTTCTATTCGGGGTCAAGTTAACTTTCGTACATCTTCCTGCTTCTTGGACGCAAAAGCACAGCTCGGTTGACCAACTCGGGTCGTCGGGTGATGGGCTCGGGCAAAATCCAGAGTGACGACTGTTCTGCTTGAAAGGGGGAACGTGCCAAAGACGTCGATCCTTTGGACTGGGGATTTCAATTTTCCGTAGCAACGCAGGCCCATTGCAAATGCCGTGGTAACATCTAAATCTGACACTCGACACCCCTTTCCAAGGGACAATGAAGAGCAAGATATCTACACTTGTTCAGAACAGCCTCTGCTTCAGACGGGAAGCCGAAGCCGTTCTCGGAGTGTTCGTTGGAAGTGGAAAGTATTACGACCAATTTTCTACAGTGAACGACAGTGCTAAACAATGACTATGGATTTGGCTGCTGGTTTGTCGGTCCTTGGTTTTCCGACCTGGACACGTCTTAAAGTCAATGTTGGAAGTCATCGTACGCCTCGTCGCCTGATCTCATGAAGCTGGGTCTTCTTGGATCAAGATGGGTAATCAAAGGCGGCATTTCAGCAATGGGCTTTGATGGTCGTAGACAACGTCTCGCCTTGAAGATCTTGTCTTTGTCTGAAATGAAGAGAATCCTTGCAAACCTGGAGCATTCCCCACGAATCCGGCGAAACTTCTTTGTTGGCTGTGCTACCCCAGTTCAAAGGAGACATGGCATCGCTAGGAAGGTTCTGAGCATATTCAAGCAACAATCACTTGCTCATTCCATTCGAGTGTCGAAAATATTTGATATGGCGCCAGCTCGATCAGGGTCTGTATCTCCGAAAAGGCTTTTAGGGAGCCCGCAGTCGAGGAAGAGGTTCCTTGAGAACAGGAGAGCTAGTCATGCTGACTGGAGAGAGTACTACCGCTGGGAACGCGATCATTTCTGGTCTCACAACCGCGTCAACGGGCTTTACAAGCGATGGAGCTGGATGCCATACAGAGCAGAGTACGTCAAAACTATACGCGAACTGAAGAATTGGCAAGAGAATGTCGCACTGTGGGACGACCGTATCGTGAAAGCCGAGACTACAAGCGCAGATTCTAGCCGGCGCCTCTATGTTGAGATACAGAAGAGGCACAACCTGGAGCGTTTGGAACGGAGATTGAAGAAGTTTCGAGAGATACAGCAGCGGCCTTTTCCCACGAGGCGACGTCTGGAGCCCAAGTACGCCGCGGACATGCTGAAGAAGACGTCGGCGGAGATTGCTGCTATTGATCAAGCTCGAGCGGATGGACGCGTTTGTTGTCGCGGACACACTGAAGAGTGGAGAGGCGCCGACGGTGTGCCGGCGGACGAGCAAAGGGAAGAGGACCGCAAGGCTCTTGACGAAGCGTGGCGATATTACTACTACTCCTTCACAGACCTACACCAGGCTCCAGAAGATTGGGTCATTCTCGGCGCTTTGGACCGAGCATTGATCCTTTTCGATCACAACGACACTAAGATATATCCTCCCAAGATAGAGGATGCTGAAGGCGACCACGAGCAAGATGTCGAGGACTTGGTAGAGACGCTGAAAGAGTTACATGACGCGGAGCAATATGCTTACAAGAAACTGCCGATTCACTGGAGATCTTTCGAGTCAACTGTGAAAGACGCTCTGGCCAACAGCGCGGCACCGCTCGGAGGAAATACTCTGGGAAAGGTCACTGATGCGGTGGTGCCAGTCCAGATGACCAATCAAGATGAAGAGACGCCAGATACTCTTGCGCCTAGCCGTAGGGCTCTGCAGCATTGGTGGGAGGAGAGGATTCGTCTCGCTATCCAGCAAGAACGAAGCCCGGCACACATCGCCGAACAGACTGGCTACTACCACCTGGCTTTGCGACGCTTTGACGCTGGGAGAGATTGGATACTGGACGAGACGGAATTTGACGGTTAGTCTTACGTCTATAGGTAGCATGGTGGGAGATGTACGAATACGATCAGCTTTTCTATGGCGTCGTGAAAGGACTGTAAGCTCAATACCGTGGATATGAGGAGGATTGGACCGCGGACACGATGTTATTGTCTTCCCAGTATTTCTAGCAAAGATCAGGACAAAGTCGAATGGAATGCGCCAGATCAGCGGTAGCAGCCGTCAAGAAAATTATCCGCTGTATCGCATCGGCTTTGTTTGCTCTCCTTTGTTGCGGGAGCCGGAATTCGTTTCTAGAAGCACGGCCGATTGCCGACATGTCTTGGTGTCTAAAGTGGCAAAGCATGACTTGGTGTTAGCACAGCGCAGCCGAGTGTCATCTTTAAATTAAGATACGCAACCGCATCTTCGCATGGCCACGCCTGTTTCTCAAGCTGGAGCGGAGCGACGTAGGCTCATCGCTGACCAGGATTTCAAGCGATGGAGGGACCACTTGGACATTGGATGCGACCGCTTCAAGGATGCTTGTAAGTGTAGTCCAGCAGGATGATGGATGTGAGACAAGTTCTGATGTGCAAGCAGACAAGAAATCCAGAGCAAGATCAGAATGCATCTGAGCCCGAGGTCGTTCAGGCGACCGTGGATGAGCGGAACGAAAGGGATCGAAAAGGTCTAGGCGCCGTCGAGTTTCAGAGTCAAGAGTCGTTGTAAGACTCCTACATTTCTTCGACAGCGCTTGTCGAGTTTTCGAGCGACTCAGATACCTGCAGTTTCACGTGAAAGGACATCGCGCCATTAGTGCAAGATACAAGAGGGCAAAGGAAGAGGAAGTTTCTTGCTTGCATGCTGCCAATTCGGCAGGCATTGAAAATATACGTGCCAACCTGGTGATCGATTTTTCGATAGCGGCCATGTATCAGGTGTCTTGCAGACCCAGGTCTCTTTGCAAAGTCTGCATGCCAGATCTCCAGACTAAAGACTGACAATCGCCAGACCAAGCGTGCGTGAAGAAGTGTAGGAACATGTGAATGACGGTCCGCATGAGATGAGGTGAAGTGCTCGGCAGAGAATGTTCGGCTACGCGTACCAGCCGAGAGCGTAATTACGCGCGGTGGTAGGTGCGTCAGTCACGTGTAAGGCGCCATACACCTACGACCACAACGGCCTGAGAGAAAGCGGCTACAAGTAGTACCTATCCAAATCTGAAGGGACGTCATCTTCGCCGCAATCACTTCGAATTCTTGCGAGCCCGCACCACCTACCGCCACGCCCGCCGCGAGACATCGACTTTACAGTAGAGCACATCGCTCCGTCGCAATCTGCACGACGGCTGGCGTTACCGATGCGGCCGCTTCTGTCACTGTGAGTTGTTACACCAGCATCAGCCCGAGACGTGCGACCGAAGCGACCGGAACCTCTGCATCTATTCGCCACGCGCGCTGCGTCGCTGACACGGGCAGGACCTACCTACTCAACAAGTACTGAGGTCTCCGCCTTGCGCCCCGTTGCGTCTGCTCGTTTGCTGTGCTACCGCAGCCGCCAGCCGGTCCCGCTGTCTCGAAGCACGTACGGCTGTGCCAAGCCACAAGGCCGCATGCTGCATACGATATTTGCTTGTGAACACTTCCTTCGCCGCCACCACCATGGACATCACAGAATTCCCTCCAGTCGACGACCTCAACATACATCAGCTCAATGAGGAGCTGTCATACATAGAGGTCTTGCTCATGAGCCTGGATTCCGAAAGCGATAATTACCAAGAGCGCCACGCTGAACTGGACGCGCTTCAGACCCGATACACAGACCGTCTCAACACCCTCAGCGCCGAAAGTGCCCACACGCAAAGCCAGGCTGACGAACAGATCGGCATGGACGGAGCTTCCGACCCGTCGAGTGAACCGTGGTGGTCAACCGGTAGGCCAGGTAGTGATCACAGCAATTTCGGGAACGGCTTCTCTCTCGACAGTCAGCGTGGAATGCTAAATGGCAACGGTACCAAGCGTCAGCGAGCGCAGACATCTCACCTGAATCCGTACGAGCATCCTTCGAAGAGGCAGACGCCAGAGCCATCTAATGCGGGAACACCCGCTTCATCTGATGGTTCATATGATTTCGTCGACCGCGAGCCAAGTGAGAGGGCACGAAGGCAGCAACTCGCGGCCGAAGCAACCGCACGGAGACAGTACGAATCTACGCAGGCAGATGCCGCTTTCGCACGTGAGCTGAATCAGCAGAGCCGACTACCAACTTTGGGTTCCAGTTCTTCTTCACGACCTTCTTTCCAGACAACCTTCGGCCATAACGGCGCATACCAACGACCACCACCGGTCACGAATTCAGGGTCTCCATCAACCATGCGAGGTCCTTCAGCCATCCAACCTTCGCAGTATCCACAGCCTCTTGCTTATCAGTCGCAACAGGGGCAAGGCATCAAAGCGGAGTCTGGTGCAGCACGAGCGCAGCAATTACCGCAGCGGTCAAGGCAGCCAACACAGGTAGTCGACCTCACTGGTAGCGACAGTGACGAGGACATCAGTGAGATCGCGCCTACCCGTTTCACTCCCAATCGTCACTACCCTGCTGCGCAACATTTCAACCAGAACAACACAGCTTTCGAGCCTGCGAGAAGTCTACACGGCCCTCATAGAACAACCATGCAGATGCCTACGACGATGCACCAAATGCCCGGCGCCTACCCAACATCTCAGGTGCCGGCCGGTCAGTACGTATACAATCAAGGCTCAGGAGTCGCAACTGGAACGGATCGGATATCACAGATGATGACTGGTATCCGCCATGCGGCTGGAGGGCTTGCTGAGCCTGTACGAGATCTAGGTCAATTGATATATGGCTCCAGCAGCTCTCGCCCACTCGAGCTAGACGACGAAGATGATGACATTATGTTCAGTGGCTCGCGGCAGCGATTTGGTGACTATGCCGGACAGGAAGACCTTTGGCAAGATCGATATGATGCCTTGCGTGCATACGATTCAACAAAAACTAGGGAGGAAATCCAGGCGCTGTTGGAGAACATCCGCCCAGACGAAGAGTTGCCGGCTCACCTGCGAGCTCAGACCCCGGAGGCTATGTCTGTCAAGCTGCACAAGTATCAGGAGCTCGGGCTCACTTGGCTGACGAGTTGCGAGGAGGGTGGCAACAAAGGCGGTATCTTGGCAGACGACATGGGCTTGGGCAAGACAATTCAAATGCTTGCGCTTATGGTGTCGAGGAAGTCGCAAGATCCGCGATGCAAGACTACACTCATCATCGCACCTGTTGCTCTGATGCGGCAGTGGGCCCAGGAGATTCAGAACAAAGTCAAAGCCGGGCACAAACTTACGGTTTTCACCCATCATGGCTCGCGCAAGGCCAAAGATTTCAGCAGCCTCCGCCAATATGACGTTGTTCTGACCACGTATGGCAGTATTTCCTCGGAAATGAAGAAAATTGAGAAGTTCGAACTTCGAAGGAAGGCAGACCAAAATGCAGTTCCGTACCCAAATGAAAGATGTGTCTTTCTCGGCCCCAATGCTCGCTGGTACAGGGTAATCTTGGACGAAGCGCAGTGTATCAAGAATCGAAACACTCAATCGGCGAAGGGTGCGGGCCTGATCAATGCAGAGTATCGCTTCTGCGTGACTGGCACTCCGATGATGAACAATGTTGAAGAATTTTATTCTCTCATCAAGTTCCTCCGCATCAAGCCGTACTGCCACTGGGACCGGTTCCGTCTTGACATCCACACCCCACTACGCTCCGCCAACGACAACGTGAAGAGCAAGGCCATGTCGATGCTTCAAGCACTTTGTAAGGCAGTCATGCTCCGCCGCACCAAGCAAAGCAAGTTCGAAGGCCAACCTATCCTGGTGCTGCCGGAGCGGTCAACAACGGTAGACAACCCAGTGTTCAGCGAGGAAGAGTGTGACTTCTACAAGGCTCTCGAGTCGAAGAGTCAGTTGACATTCAACAAGTATTTGCGTCGTGGCGAGATCGGCACGTCATACTCCGCGATTCTGGTGCTACTTTTGCGACTTCGTCAAGCATGCTGCCATCCACATTTGATCAAGGATTTCGGCGTAGCCGCGGCGGCGGATCTTGACGAAGAAAAGCTAGTGCAGTTCGCGAGGGAGCTCGGCGAGCCCGTTGTCGCCCGCATCAAGGAAGCGCAAGGAAATTTCGAGTGCCCGGTATGCTATGATGTTACGCAAAATCCCGCGATATTCATTCCTTGCGGCCACGACGCCTGTTCGGAGTGTTTCGCTCGCCTTGTCGATCCCTCGAATGCGATACAGAACGGAGAGGATGGCGGTGGCACCAAGTGCCCCAATTGCCGCGGACCAATTGACCCGAAGCGCCTCACTGACTTCACTTCCTTCAAGAAGGTTCATCAGCCTGAATTGCTTTCGGATCTGGAGCGTGAGGCTCTACAAGCTGATGAGGTCAGCGACGAGGACAGTGATGATGATGACGAAGAAGATGGCGGCAGCTCGACAGAAGAAGATGCCGAGGATGAGACTGACGACGACGAGACGCTGGGCGGGTTCATTGTCAAGGATGATCAGGAGTCTGACTCTGATGATGAAGATCTTGACGAGACCGACAATGGCGAAAAAGTCAAGCGTGAAGAGCAAATGCCGGCAGCAGAAGGCGTCGCTGGTCCTTCAAACTCTGAGGCGAGCACCAAGGCCAAGTCTAAGAAGGTCGGCAAAGACAAGGACAGGAAAAAGGGCAAGGGAAAGGGAAAGGGAAAGGGAAAAGGCAAGAAGAAGGAAAAGAAGGCGAAGCCGGCGGTCACACTGGCCGAACTGAAGAAAATGGCTAGCCGAAACAAGGCTGCTAAAAAGCGGTACCTGCGACGCCTTCGGAAGGATTACGTTGGCTCCGCAAAGATCGATAAGACAATGGAACTATTGGAGCAGATCATGACCGATGGAGAACGCGAGAAAGTCCTGATCTTCAGCCAATGGACTTCGTTGCTCGACCTGCTTGAGATTCCGATAGATGGACAGGGATATGGCTACCGACGTTACGATGGCAGCATGACGGCTACAATGCGTGGCGACGCTGTGGACGATTTCCGGGACGAGACTAAAGACGTCCGAATCATGCTGGTCTCTCTCAAAGCTGGAAACGCTGGTCTCAACCTCAACATGGCAAGTCAAGTCATCATTCTCGATCCATTTTGGAACCCTTACATCGAGGAACAAGCGATTGACCGCGCGCATCGCTTTGGTCAGATGAGGCCTGTCAAGGTCCATCGCGTGCTTATCCAAGAGACGGTCGAAGACCGAATCATCGCATTACAGGAAAAGAAGCGTGCGTTGATCTCGGAAGCATTGGACGAGACGCAGGCGCGCGAGCTATCACGTCTCGGTCCCCGGGAACTTGCCTACCTTTTCGGCGTCACGCACGATCCCTCACAAAACGTCAATTATGTGCCTCGTGGGGCACGACGCTAATTTCGCTTGCGATTGCAAGCTCGTATTGATATTTCGAATTCTCGGCTGAATTCAAGGTTACTCAACGGCCGTGGAATATCTTACTTTGCAGTATGTTCATATGCAGCATGTGGCACATGAGGGAGGGAGAACATAGGTTTGCGGGTGGTCTGATTGGTAAAGCGCGTTCATTCATCGGCAAGGGCGTTCGTTCGACGGCGACAGGAAAACAGTGATACCCCAACAACTTATGGCTACGAGCTTATGAAATAGTTGTACCACGCGCCCAGCTCCAATTTCTTGCTGTCCAATGCCGCAGAATCCTATAGACAGAGGAAATGAGCATAATGTATTTGCACCGATATCTCCTGTGGCTACTCCCTCTTTGGGACCGAGACATGCAGACGATGCCTTCCTAGACAAGTCGCACTTCCTTCTCACAGTTCCGTCCAGCAACACTTCCATGTTCGGGTCTCGAAAGCAGTCTTCTTCTTGATCGATCCACTTGCTGTTGATCTGTTACCTGCGCCCTCGCGCTCACACCTCCGCATTTTCTTCCATTACCAGAGCACAGCACCGCAAGAATGGCGCACATGCTGTCACTGTCCTCCAACACTCCAACCCTGAATCCTCTCGCCAACGACGCAGCTGCCAGGTCTTGCTCCTCCGTGCCGAGTGCCGGCTCGAGCGGTACCGTTCAGCACAATCGTCTGCGCAGCATTTCCACCAGCTCACTCTCCTCGGTGGGCTCATACTTCATCTCGTCACTGCGAAGGCACACCGAGAACGCGAGTACGCCGTCCAGATCCACATCTTCCATCAACTTCAACAAGGTCAGGACTCAGTTCGACCGAACCAGCGTCTCTGCTGCGACCTCTCGGCGTACCAGCTTTGCCTCGTCTGCTTTCAGCGGAAGAGTGAGATCCGAATCTATCAGTACCGCCGAACCAGCGAATAATGTTCGGCTCGTAGGAGTCGCAGAGAATGATTTCGAAGCTAGCGAGAAAGAGGGAGATGCTCTTTCGCAGGCAGAGTCAGGGCTGGACGAGCAAGGAGAAGATGATGAAGATACTACGCTCCAGCTCGCCCTTGAGACGCCCATCGTCGACGAGGCCGACTCAGTGCAATCGGACTCCCCGTCTCCGCCATTTCGCAGATGGGTAAGCAAGCTACGCAGGAAGCGACGCCGCTGCGCACCCGCAGTCTCGCCGCGGAGGGAGAGATGGACACTAGATGACTTCGACTCACTGGCCCCATCGCCGAGAAAGCGCTTTTCTACCCACCGCAAGTCCAATTCGCAAACTTCTTCGCTCAGGTTCGTCACTGCCATCAGGTCTGCAACTGCAACTTTGGCGAGCGCCAGCATTGCTACCGTCTCTCGACGTACCGGCAAATGGCGACGTGGTCAACAGCGCAGCAGTATCCTGTCTGATGGGGTCCCACGACCGTCCGTTGACAGCGCACGCTCAGCAGTTGATGAGGCAGCCAAGCAACGATCTCGGAAGAGAAGGGAGAAGCTAGAAGAGCTCATTCGGACGGAGGAAAGCTACGTGGCAGATCTCAAGGCTCTTTCTGATGTATGCTCTTGACCCATGAGTTCCAGAGTCAGCATTGACAAGAGACGTTACAGGCGTACTTCACCATCCTTGGACACCAGCAGACTTCCACGAGCTTCGCCAGGCCATCTGCACAGAAGAGCATCGCGGAACTCTTGCATCTCCACGACAACATTCTGGGCGAATTGCAACGCGTCGTGCCGTTTGCGGAATACGACCAAAGTTTGGCAAGGGCGCCAGAGCCAGTTCATACGAGAAGTCATACCAGATGGCACAGTGTCGACGTTGTACCTCAGCGTGTGACTCCCACCAGAGCAGTGCTAGCAACCATCAGGCAAGGGCGACGCTCGCTCAACATCAGTCGTTCTTCCGACGATGATCCCGCTATTCTGCGGTGTAGCCCACAAGTCGTAGCAGCCGTTACGAAAGTGTTTGGGAATCACGTAGGACCCGAACCCCGAGTTGTTGCTCCAGTTACTAAACAAGTATTGTGTGGTAGATGGAAAGATTCTCGGCGTACGAAGACTATGGCGCCAACTACGAGCTGGTCCAGCGAGATATCGACGAGACGCAGCGATCTATACCGATTTGGCAAGAATTCGACAAAGCGATTGAGGCGCTGTCAGCGCATGTAAATCCCATGAAGAGTCGCGAGGCTAATCGGAAGAGGGCGATGACTGTGAAAGACCTGTTGATCAAGGTGAGCACAACTTTGTTTCCACACGACTCAACAAATTGACTTCTCTCCAGCCGGTGCAGCGCATACCGCGGTACGAATTGCTGTTCAACGATCTTTGCAAACTCACGCCGGTCTGTGACGATCCGATTGCTCATACTGCTGTCGGCGACCTTTGTACGCAACTAAACAATGCTTGTCAACGCATGAATCAGGCCAAGGACAATCCGAACAGAGCCAGAACGCTTGAAACCACATGGTTGATTAGAGATCGCCTGAACTTCTCCAGCCAAGTGCCCCGCTCGGTGTACCTACAACTGTTAGGCCAGGTGAACCTGTGTGGCTGCCTCCACATCGCCTATCGCAGCCGAGACCGCATCAAGGGTAGCTACGTGGTGTGTGTACTGTTCGAGACAAGCCTTTTGCTGGCGACGGCGAACGAGGATCAACCCAAATACTCCGTCTTGGCTGGCATAGCACTGGCTAATGCCACGATCGAGGAAATCGACAACCAGAAGGGCTTGCAGTGCCACACAGCTCCACACTCTTGGAAAGTTGTGTTTGAGCACGCCGCTCGAATGTATGAGCTGGTATTCACAGCCTGCACGGCGGTCGAAGCGGAGGTGTGGCGTTCGCACATTGCGAGTGGAATCGTTTCGCAGACTCAAGCCGTGGCACAAGGCAGTACGCACATCTTGGAGCTTCAGTCACCGCTCACTGGTGAGATGAAGAGTATCGGCAAGGCGCTCGGGAAGCCTGGAAGCTTCGTGCGGCGCATGTCTGTCCATCGAGCAGCCACAGTGGGTCCGACAACAGAACTCAACCAGATCATTATCAAAAATACCCAGGCCATGAAAGAGGTGCATCAAGAGAATGAGTCTCAGGCTTCCCTTCAGATTCCCAGATCCCAGTCTGTGCAGACTCCCAGCCATGTACAGACCTTGGCGCCCCGTCGAGCAGACAGGCACCGCCTCGAGACGATGCTGTCAGACGTCTGGTCCAAGGGACTGCTTCCGTACCCAGGCATGGCTCGCCGTTCAGATCCCATCCGCGCAGGAGCAAATCATGTCATTCGCAAATTCAGCATGGCTAGTATCACTAGCAACTTCTCATCATCAAAGCGCACGCCAAGTTACACCAGCATTGCGTCCTCGCGGAAAGAAGATATACCACCCAGCATCCGGACTTCACGCCGAGACAGTCGAGCGGCGTATCCCGGAAGGCCGCCGGTAGTGAACTTCCACAACGCCCCCGATGCTTTCTTGCCAGCAGATTTCGAGTTGCAGGACCCAGGTAGCAAGCGTAAAAGATCTGCCTTGCGAACGTTCACCATGACGATGGAGAGGCCGTTCAGTCCTTTGTCAGGCAACGAGACCAAGGCGGCCAGCTTGCGCAGAGCTCAAAGTGTTCGAGACGTGACTGAAGGCAGTTCGAAACCGCCTCCTTCACCCGTCCCGCCGCCAGAGATGGAGACGAAGAAGCCTCCCACGCCAGTTTACAGCGTCGTTCAGGAGCGAGCCAAGACACCTGCCGCCTTGCAGGTAATGGATGAAAATGCCAACCGAGATGGTGTTTCAGCAAAGACGCCCAGAAAGTCGAAGAGTAGGATGTTGCTGCGTCTTTTTGGGTAGAAATCTGGGATGCGTACGGAGTAGTAGATTTTGGATATCGGTATGGGTGCACATGGTTCGGGATGCTTGGGTGATGAGGCAGAGTTGGTTATGAACACAGGTTCCATGTTATTAGATGAGTATTGGCCGGTAATGCAATGAATGACTTGCGCGCTTGTGAAAGATGTCGGACCCCTGTCCATGCCCCTGTTTTGAGCTCAGCGCGATGACGTTGTCTGTGCGCGTTTCAGTGACTTCATGTGAGCTCCACGCACGCGACAGCGGTCTTGTTTGGAAGCTGCTAAAGCTTCAAAAGGGACCTCGTGTCCTTTCACTCAACTCTTCTAACTTGGAAACTCGCGAAAACACCATCAACACGCTCAATCGACACATACCAGATTTCAATCCCACTTCGACAGACGAAACTCGCTCAAGATGCGCGGAAATGACACTCAGACCAAGATCCATCACCAGGGCAAGGACGACGACTTCATTGTCCTCGTCGACTCTGCGGATGCGGTGCGTGAGTGGAAGAAGGATCCCTCCATACCGCTCGCACAGGTCGTGTCGGGATGGAAGGTCTTCGTGACGCATAAGTGAGTTGAACACGGCCTACCCTCCACCAGCGGGTATCACCAATTGGAAGTGGTATGTGCTAACATAGTTGGGATATTACAGGCACGGCAACCAAGGTGTCATGGACGCTGCTTCCAAAGGCCAGCTTCAGGACGAATTCGGTACGAGCAACGACGATGAGGTCGTGAAGCAGATTTTGGAGAAGGGTTCGATCATTGAGAAGCAGGTGCGTACAAACAGTGAAGGACTCTGAGTAGATTAGGACACATTACTGACGTTTCTTTCCGCTCAGAGCAAGGGCCGCGATGGCAACAAGAATGACTCTGATGGAGGAATGGTTGCCCACTAAGCTCCAACCCGACCTACTGGACCTCTCCCGGAAGACCGCCAGGGAAGGACTGAGATGTCCTGGATCAATCGAAAGAGGACTGGCCTCATTATCAAGACAGGGAGACAGGGAGTGGTATAAGCAGCTGTAGGAAGACTGCAGCCACCACGGCCAAGCCAGATACGAGAAAATGATGAATGAATATTAAGAGCACACAATATCCCCTGACTCGTGATTCACATGTGACACTCAGTAGCTTCAGAACGCATTTGCAGAGAAAGGGAAGGGCAGATAACACTCATGCCCATAACTGTAATATTTTGTAAGTCCTCGAGTACACCAAAAAGTAGAAGTGTGGCATGTTCAGTTCGTCATGCTAATCGGACTGCATCGTAGAGTCCTTTCCTTTGCTGTAGCTTTAAATCTACGCGGCCGCGTCAAAGAAGACACCTTAGCACTGTAGGAGGCAGAGCATCACGGCAGAAACTCTTGCCAGAAGAAGACCTAGTAATGTCCCGCCGTGCCGTTCGACTTATAGGGGTACTGATTGTTCGATAGGAGTGCACGTTCTGAGCTGAGTCGTAATCTCATCTCGGAGACACACAGGCGGATAGACACTGGACAGCAGACTCAGTACCGGAGCCTGAGTCTGTACGCAAGTTCCACTGGATTGAGCGCTGCTAGGCGCAATAGGCGTGAGTCAGCCTGTCTGGATGTGAACAACGAGGTGAGGTCGTCGCCGTCGTCGCTTTCGTGGCTCTTGATTGGTCGTCGCGGCAACTTCACGGAAGCAAACGAGCGGGCTCTGGCTTTACGTCTGGCGGCATTCTACTTCTTGTCTCACTTCCGCCTCCACTCCGACAAACATCAGCACGCGAAAATGGTCTGGGACAATCTCGAAGGCCATGGCTTCTCCTCGCCGCGTCCGCCTGTGGGCTCCTGGCCACAGCAGACGCTGCGGTCTCGAACTGGATACATTCCGCACGCTCCTGCCTCCGCCGCAGCTCCAATGACCACAAACGCCAACACCTCCGGCGCAAGCAGCACCGCGCAACTGGACCCAGGTAAGCTCGACGATTTGGGCGACTTCTATCTGCTGCGCGCTGACATCCCGACTTCTCTCTGTAGCGGGTGCCCCTGACTCTGGAGTGCTTCCACAACCACACGCCATCGTCGCCATGCCCGCTATCGTGCCTGCCACCCAGAGTGCTCTCACTGCGGCCGACATGCGTGACATACAGGACATTCTTGCTGCTCGGGCTTCGGGCTCGACTTCCGCAAGCGCTCTCGGAACTACCATGGTCGGCCACTCCTCCACATCCTTGCCAGGTCTCGGCGGATACCTTCCAGGGCGTACGTATTCGCACTCGCACTTGCGCGCATCGACTCTCGCTGATCATAGATTGCATTTCACAGAATCCGCACAGCAGATGCCAACCTCTGCAGATTCCAGCTCTGCAAGCTCCGATCCAAAGCACATGACCTGTCAGACGCCGAGGACCTTCATCAAGGTTCTTCAAATCCTGGAGGAAAATGGCAACTCTGCTCTCCCACTAGAGCTTCTTGACAAGATCGCGTACATGGCGCATTCCGGGACGTCTGCAGGTGTTGATCCAGCCCCTCTCGTTGAGCCGCCACTTCCCATCTGGCTCCACCCTGCGCGCCATCCGCCAGCCGACGGCTCCTGCAAGTTGATGGAGTTACCGATGGAACTTCGTGAGCTGATATTCAAGCCCTTGATTCTGTCCGAGAATGTCGTGATCCATCCGACATGCTCGAAGAAGGCGACGGAAACATCCCCATCGAAGAAGGCGACGGAAGCAGTCCCACGCATACGGCGGCCGAAGCGCAATGACACGGGCAATCTCATGGCAGTCAACCGCAAGCTCCTTGCAGAAAGCGGCACTTACACGAGCGATCTCATGACAGTCAACCGCAAGCTCCTTGGGGAAATCAAGACTTGGTTGTACAAGGAGCATACATTCGTCGTCCACGTCCACGAAGGCCTTTTCAGTGGTGGCATCGAATTTCTCGATGCGGGACGTCAATCGCTCCAATTCCAAGATTGCGAATCCGACACGCGCTTCGCTAGATTCAACAATCTCGACGAATATGGCTTCAAGAAGGTCAAGAAGCTCACGGTCGTGTTTTATCCAGCCGCCAACAAGGCTAGGCACACGGCTCTTAGCACTCATTACATGAGTACCGCCCTTGCTCGGCTGTTGGATCGGTAAGTCTGGAGCCAGCCACTGATTATCAGAGCACAGCTGACCTTCAACCTTAGTGGTAGTAAAGAAGAGGAACGCATCAAGAGACTCAACATCTGCTTCGCGATGAACAATTCGTCAGCCGAGGAGTCAGTTTCATATTGGTGGGACGGCGTCCGGAATCAACCGCGCAGTACGAGCATGAACTGTGTTTCCGACATCGAACTCGTCTTGCACCCATTCTCGATTCTTACCAGAATCCACAACGTCACCATCACTCTCCCACCTTTGCTCCGTGGCCACGAGCCAACGACCTCCTACGCCAAAGACCTTGCTGAAGGCATGAAGAGTACCCAGCTACTCCCACAATTGCACGATGATCTGCTGTCTCAGCAGGCCGAGTGGCTGAGAGAGCAAATGGAAGAATACATCTTTACAACCAAGTACGGAGCGAAGCCGGCAGCAATCGATAAGCTCACCCAAGACGAGATGATGGAAGAGAACGAGGAGTTCAAAGATACACAGAAGGATGAAGAGGTCAACCCGAATGGGGCCAGGGCTGTGGACATTTTCGATGACGGCGATTACGGCGATGGCGAGTCGCATCAGTCGAGCTCCTTGCTGCCTCATCAAGCTGTACACCAAGCTCGAAAGGACCAAGAATCTCCGGAATCTCACAAAGAGAGGAGCGCCGAATTGTATCGAGCTCGGCAGGCTTCCATCATGGGCTCTTCGGATCGTGAAATGCTCAACTTCACAGACCACGGATCCCGGAAGTCTCACGAAGAGAGGGACACCGACTTGCATCAACCTCCGCAGGCTTCCTCCATGGCTTCTGCGGATCGAGAAACCGACAACGTCACAGGCCCTTCTGCTACGGTGATGGACCCAGTTGCCGTCGCTGAGGTCATGGGCTTGCTCACGAGGGAGGAAATTGAGATGCAAGCCGTGCTGCTTGCACAGATCCCACAACCAGGAGAGAGATTTCCCTATCTGTAGAGGATAGCGAGTGCTAAAGCTTGGCCGAGTACTACTTCAATGCGACTTTCGTGCGGAAGTATCAGGAGAAGGGATATGTGCTTCTCCGGAAGTCGCAGCGTAATCGAGACTTGGGTTCCGAAGATGCTTTGCAATAATCCGCGGCCAACGGTCGACAAGGTAGCAAGTTAGCTTAGCGGTAGACCCAATACTACTTCTTCTGTGATGTGTTTCTCTTGCCACTGCCTGATAGCATTCGGATCTGATTCTGGTACGATCGTGGGTTCGATTCAGCTAGAATGTACAAACGGCGTGAAGTCTTCGGCTTCGAATGCGCGCGAACTCCGTGATCATCCCTCTCTACTGACCCTTCGTCACTTTCGCTATTACTACTATCGCCGTTTTCATCCCTGGCCTTCTTGACTGCGCCGAGTATGTCGCCCTCAGTGGCTACCACTTCGGCGGATCAAATTCTTCCCCATCACTCGATTGTCGTGCTACGCGACGTGGTAGCAGCAATCTTGAAGATGACGCGAAAGCACAGCGAGACTCGGACCCAGATGGCATCTTCTTCAGCGGTCCTGACGTCCTTATAACCCCCTCATAGAATCACTAAAGCTAAGTAACCATGTCCGTCGTGTTTCCGAACATGAGATCGAGACGTTCCGACCCGAGAGGCTCGGCTGAATTTCACATGCACGTGGCATGACGTAGTCACCCTTGAAACCTGATCCCGTCTGCAGATCACTGTTGGTCTTGAGCTGCGCTGGCACCTGCAAAGCCACTGACTACTTAGTGTTCATCTGCGTGTGTACACTCTCCGTGCATTGGTTATCTTTCGCATTTGCTCGAGTGGGACTCGATTGCAATAAGCACGAATACGAACACGGCGATGGGGCTGCGAACGTAGCTTTGCGCGACGCTAAAGCGATAGGCAACGCTTTCCGATACACCAAAGTCCGTCTTGGGGGAACGAGTTGACGCGCCGAGATTTACGGTTGGGGATATAGGAAGGAGCTGGTCGCGGCAAGATGGCTCCTCCAGCGGACGAGCAAGGGCAGCGAAGGACAGAGGAGCAGTCGGAGAGCCAGGCACAGCTAGAAGTGCTTCGACAAGCAGCAGGAGCCGTCGCAGGGGAGAACGACAGGACAGCTACAGAGAGGAGACACATAGGACAAGATGTGCCGCTGGAAAGCACAGGAGGTTTTGACACCACACAAGCCGAGCAACATCTTCCACCACCGGCGTATGGTGACCATTGTGGCAACATCAACCAGGAGCAAGAAGGCTTTGGGACCAAGGCCAGCGTTGCGGACGATGGACGTGTCAATATACGGATCAACCAGAGGAATCGGAGATTATCTGGATTGTTGGTCCCCAGTCTGGAGCAATTACAACAAGCAGCCGATCAGCAACATGCGCCTCCTCCGCCCTATATCCCGCCTTCCTTGGGAGGTGCTGAGGGCGTTGCACCTCCGCCACCCCTGAATGTGGTTGTGCAGGTGGTCGGATCCAGAGGCGATGTGCAGCCATTCGTTGCTCTGGGCAAAGTCTTGAAGGAGAGATACGGACACCGCGTGCGATTGGCAACGCATCCCAACTTCAAGGACTTTGTCACAGAGAATGGTCTGGAGTTCTTCAGCATTGGTGGAGACCCTCAGGCTCTCATGGCGTTTATGGTGAAGAACCCCGGTCTGATGCCTGGCTTCGACTCACTGCGTGCTGGAGACATCGGCATGAGGAGGAAGGAGGTTGCAGAGTATCTGAAAGGCTGTTGGAGATCCTGCTTCGAGACGGGAGATGGCTACGGGCCTGAGGCGTCCGACGAGACGATTGAAGATTGGACTTCTCGTGACCCGACGGAAGACGACTATCTTCACAAGCCATTTGTTGCAGACTGCATCATTGCGAATCCACCCAGCTTTGCCCATGTTCACTGCGCCGAAAAGCTTGGTATCCCGCTGCATATCATGTTTACGATGCCGTACTCGCCGACACAAGCCTTTCCTCATCCGCTCGCCAACATTCAATCTTCTGATGCGGATACTCATCTCACTAATTACATCTCGTATGCGCTGATCGATATGCTCACTTGGCAAGGACTAGGAGACATCATCAATCGCTTTCGGCAGAGAAGCCTTGGTCTTGATGAGATCAGCTTGGTCTGGGCTCCAGGGATGTTGCAAAGACTCCGCATACCTCACACATACTGTTGGTCACCAGCGCTTATTCCAAAGCCAAAGGACTGGGGACCGGGTATCAGTATCTCCGGTTTCTACTTTTTGGACCTGGCGAAGAATTATACCCCTGCTCCTGATTTGAAGGAATTCTTGGATGCTGGTCCGCCTCCCGTGTACATTGGTTTCGGCTCGATTGTTCTTGACGATCCAGATGGAATGACCAAACTCATCTTCGAGGCCGTGAAGAAGACTGGCCAGAGAGCGCTTGTGTCAAAAGGTTGGGGCGGTTTTGGCGCGGATGAGCTGGGCAAGCCTGATGAGGTCTTCATGTTGGGGAATGTACCGCATGACTGGCTCTTCAAGCACGTCTCATGTGTTGTACATCATGGCGGTGCAGGTACAACAGCAGCGGGCATCACGGCTGGTCGACCAACTGTAGTTGTGCCTTTCTTCGGAGATCAGCCCTTCTGGGGCGCTATGGTAGCAAGAGCCGGAGCAGGACCAGATCCGATTCCGCACAAGCAGCTGAACGCGGATAACCTTGCCGATGCCATTAGGATGTGCCTGGAGCCGCAAAGCCAGGAGAGGGCAAAGGAACTTGCGGCCAAGATCGCTCGAGAGAATGGCAGCGAGCTTGGCGCGCAGAGCTTCCATCAATTTTTGGAAGTGGACAAGCTGCGGTGCAATCTTGCTCCATCAAGACCTGCTGTCTGGCGTATCAAGAGGACGCAAGCACGCCTTAGTGCTATGGCAGCCTGCACACTAGCTGAAGAAGGCTTGCTTGACTTTCATGACCTCAAACTCTTCCGTTCCCGTGAGTACGAAACAGACGAAGGACCTTGGGAGCCGATCACCGGTGGTGCGACTGCACTGATTGGTACCATGAGCACAATGATGCTGGGCGTTGCGGACTTCCCGATTGAAACGCTCAAAGCGCTCAAGATCCACCCTGACGCTGCCAAGAAGAGCAAAGAGAGCAAGACCGAAGGCAAGAAACCAGAAGGTGCTGCTGCAAGCTCCAACGAGTCCATCAAGTCGGGCACGACTGGTGCCCTCTCGGAGGATACCGGCGCACCTCAGTCATCGTCACCTTCGAGAGCCTCGACATCCAAAAGCATGAATGAAACTCCCATGACCAGCGATGCAGGCTCAAGTCGAACACCATCCTCTTTCAATCTTGAGGAATCGATGGCCACTCTAAATTCGGGGCCCCTTTCACCTTCGTCAGGCTCAGGTGGGCAGAAGCATGTCGCTTCGTCTATGGCCCAAGCACTGGCTGGCCAACTGAATGGCAGGCCTCGGTCCAGATCTGGCAGCCGCCCACGAAGTCCCAAGGGATCTGTCTCATCCAATGCTCCCGGAATGCTGCAGACTGCCACAGACACTGGCAAGGGCGTTAACAGAATTGTGGGCGCCGGCCTCAAGTCTCCGATGGACTTCACTCTCAGCCTCTCGAAAGGCTTTCGCAATGCGCCGAAGCTATATGGCGATGAGTCTGTCCGACCCGCTGAGAAGGTGACTGACCTGAAGTCTGGCCTGAGAGCTGCAACGAGAGAGTTCGGCTACGGTATGTACGATGGTATTACTGGTCTCATCTCTCAACCCATCAAAGGTGCTGCGAAAGAAGGGCCCGCTGGCTTCGTGAAGGGCTTCGGTAAAGGCATTGGTGGTATCATGCTCAAGCCTGGCGCGGCAATCTTTGGCATTCCCGGATATACCATGAAGGGAGTCTACAAAGAGATGCAGAAGCACTTCGGATCGAGTGTACAGAACTACATCATCGCCGCTCGCACTGCTCAGGGGTTCGATGAGTATCAGCGCGCCACACCTGAGGAGCGCCGAGATGTCATTATGCGATGGAAGATGTTGCAACAGACTCTCAAGAAGAAACGCAACCCAGATGAGCTGGTTCGAGATATTTTGAAAGAGCAGATGGAGAAGAAGAATACCTGGATCGGATCGAAGCGTACAGCGTGGAAGGAGAGAAGTAGTAGCCGCAGCCGGAGTCGAGCCGCCAGTACCTCGACATCTGCGCGCAGCACGAAACAAGATCACGAGAGCGCTATGTTGGCAATGGGTACAGAACAAGCTCATGATGCTAACAGACATCGTTCGCATACACTAGATCCGAGCACAGCCGAAGAGCGGGCCGTTGAAGAAGCAATCAGATTGTCAGTAATAGAGACATCCAAAGGCAATGCCGAGGAGGATGCTCGAGTCGAGCGTGCCATCCGAGCAGACATGGCTGAAGTGCAGAGGACCCGCACAACTCGCGCAGACGAGCATGAGGACGAGCAACTCAAGAAAGCCATGGCAGAGAGCGCCGCTGAAGCTGAGCGACATCAGGCAGCACAGCAGATGCATGATACCGAACTCGAGCGCGCGCTTGCTCAGAGTCTGAAGGAGCAGCGAGGGTTGACGCAGGACATTGATAGTGATGTTCCCAATAGCCCAACTCTGTCCGATGTCACGCTGCCCGATCAACCACCAGCGTACGACCCAGGCCATCTCGCTGGCACGACGCAAGAAGAATTCGAGCATCGACAAGCGGCACAGCCTGGTGAGAAGACGCAGCAAGAACGGACCGAGGAGCAGATTGTGATGGAGTACATCAAAAAGCAGAGTTTGCTGGAGGAAGAGAACCGCAACAAGGCTCGAGCACCCCAGCAGTCCACACAGACGGATGACGAGCATGATGAGGAGTTACAGCGAGCCCTCAAGTTGAGCATGCAGCAGGGCCATGGACAGCATGGAGAGGCGTCTGGGTCTGGTTGAACATGAGGGACAACAGTGAATGTGAATGTGAATTCGATGACACAGACTCTTAAGACATTGGCTTTTTAGTTGTCCGTTTGTTGAGATTTGAAGATACCCATGATGCACGCGAGAAGAATGAAAAAGGAGTTGGGGTTTGAAATTTCGCGAGGCTGGCTTCTTTGGCCTAGCACACACTCTCTGTAAAATTCGAAAAGACATGAATTTGCATCACGTGGGAAGTGGAAACAGAAAGACAGTGATGGCAGCTATGGATGTACGAAGTGTGAAATTTGATCGTGGGCGTGACTCGGACGAACTTGGTGACAAGAAGCCCAAAAGGGAAGGGTGGATAGTAAGTAAGTTACTATCCACGGCGTTGACTCATCGGAATAGGATCGTTATCTAATAACTATTAATTATTTACCTAAAGAAAGAAGCTTGATTAATTAGCTCATGGAGAAGTTCATCAAAGCACAACTCCGAAGATTAGACGAGTGAGTGACACGTGAAGAGTCGGATCACGTGTTAGCCCGACTAGTGGGATTCAGGGGCTGGGTACGCTGCGCCGACAGTCCACACGGCTGCGGACCGTACTGGATCAGAGGACTCAGAAAGGATAAGTATCAAATATGACAGAGTGCTCGCTGGCTATAGTGAAACGTGAGGGACCGAGATGAAGAAGCAAAGACTACCTGATGCCGCATTGTCAAAGATATAAGCATTTGTACCACCAGCCCAGACACTGCATCATCTTTACTGACAATAACATTCATTTCGTTTAGGTCATAACGAGAAACGTACAATGGTAGTTCTTTCAATCTTGGGGCAGCTACGGTGAGTCTTTCCACGCGAGACCTAAGGATTTCCGTGTGGCCAGTGATGTTGTCTCGAAGTCGTTGGAGACACGGAAGAATGTAGTCGCCCAACACCTCTTCACTGTGACGGGGATTGTCACAAAACCATCGTTTTTCTGATGATGCTCGCTGTTTTGTCGTTCGTATGCAAGACTGCTAATCTTTAGCACTACTCCTCTGGCCAACTCATTACCTTCTTCGCTTCAAGACCAAATTAGCCCAATACCAACAGTACACCAATTTCAGCGATACCAAGATGACGATCCAAATCCTCCCAATCATACTGTATCTTACGACAGGTACCTCTCGAAACGACCCTCCCTCGGTGGAGTGACATCCAAAGACCCACTCTCCTGTCGCTGCACCCAAGTCCGGCGATTCTCTTCCAACTCGCCGATAGCAGGCTCGATATCGTTCTCTGAAGAACCCGAGCCTCGCTGCTGCTGCTGCTGCTGCTGCACACGAGTAGCCTGCTGAGTCTCTGTGACAAGCTGCTCGACCGCCAGTGACATTCTGTCCGGGATGCCATAATGTTCAGGGGACTCCTGAGGTAGAACTGCGGATGGATAAGTATGACGGTAGGGAGTACGTCCTTGAGTGGGAGTCGTATTAGCTTCCCCGGTATGATGGCGCCGTGTAGATACTGAAAGGTCAAAGCGACCACGGGGTCGTCGAGCTATGTCTCCTGGCGTCTGAGGCTGAGAATTCGGTGGTAAGCTGTCATTGTAGACTGGGACACGCGGTGTTGCAGTTACAGCCGTAAACAATGTCATAGCTGTTGGTGTGGAACCTGCTACTGACGATACATGGGACGGTGTTGGTGCCTTACTAGTTGGGGGGCGCAAGGCCCTGGCCGTAGGAGTAGCTTGCTGGGTCGAAGATGTGTTTTGCGAAACAGGAGAGGAGGGCAGTTCTGGAGACGGCAGACCGAGAGCCAAGGCGACTGGATCTTCTTCAGTCGAGCTGCGACTCTGGCAGTCTTCGTTCGGCGGCGAGCTTCTTGCTGCCACCACAATATCGGCTCGTCTGCGAAGAGGAACTGTGGCTTCGAATGTCGCATACCCTGTCTCATCTTCATCCCCCTTTTCAGGTTCCAGCTCAGGAGACTCGTTGAGTCGAAAAGGGTCGCCGTTGAGCAGGGACACTCTACCGTGATTTACCGGTGGACGTTCGAATGATCTCCCCACGGATCGTGGGCGGCCTGCAAGGTGATTGAGGTGTTTTACCAGCTCGTCCAACGGCGACCCTCGCGACAGCCAATCTCCAGAAAATACGGCACTGGACTCGCTGGATCTTTGTGTGGCTCTGCTATTGCCTCTGTTACCAGCATCGACATATCCAGGGCGAGCAGCTCTGTTACCCCTTAATGAGCTGCTTCGAACCGGAAAGCGGGGACCTGCGGGTGCATACAACAGATTAGGAGTCGACTGACTGCTTGTGGATGCTGCAGGTGAGATAGGCCGGAGGCTTCCGGGAGGCACTGTGAGATTACTGTATTGAGCTGATGAGGTTGCACGATGCTGGATAGTCTCACGAGATGGCCGACGAGTCCGCTCAAACTCGACCAGGTGTTGTCGCGAGCTCTGTCTGCGAGGCAAGACAACCTGTCGATGGCTTCTGGAGCTTACAGACGCAGTCTGAGGGTGTATGGCTGGATATCGGTCGAGATTGGGAACTGGTCCGCGCAAGGCGGCATTTTGATCGTTGGCGCGTCTTCGGGAGCGCTGTTGCGCAGTCGTGTGGATTACCTCGGTCTCAAAGCCTTGATCTTGTCCCGGAGGTGAATGCTGAGAATTACGCTCGAATGAAGACCGTAGACGAAGATGAGTCTCGCTTTGCGCACTTTCAATGCTGCTCGCTTGTCGAGCTGACCGAACAACGGCGTTATTCTGATCCGCTGCGTTGCTCCAATTGGAGCCGAACCTCGTTCTGGGCACAAAAACGGGGGCGCCTGGGTCCAAAGCCGGATTGGGGAGACTGTCGGTAGTTTGTACATCTCGAAGCGGGCTGCTGGCTGGGGGTTGCGTTACGATGGTAGGGACAATGGTCTCCAGCAAGGAAGGAATCTCTGGCTCCCATCCGTGTCGACGAGCCCACTCGATGCGGTGTTGTCTTTCGATCTGCGACTGAACATGGGGTGGATCTGCGTAGAGCAGAAATCCTGGGCGAGCAGAGGGCGACTTGCTTGGCGACCTCGACCCTGCCGGCTGGATATCGCGCGCATCGTGTTGGATTCGTTCTGGCCGGATGGGGCTCAAAGGCTCTCGAGATGATGACTGCTTCGCACTTGGAGAGGCAGAAGGTTGGACAGGGCGTCTGCTTCTGTCGCCATGGAGGGCAAGTGTTGATTGTTGAGGTCGCAAAGCCTGTAGGGAAACTGCTTGTGCTGTTATGGCGACATCTTCAGCTTCGTCGTCGGCCTCAGTGCAGATAGTGGCTTGAGAGGAACATGATTGTGCTCGCTCGCGGCCCTTGTTAGCGTTGGCTGGCACGAACCCAAGCCTCACAGGGCGCCCAGGACTTCGGCCAACATGTACGCCTGCGCCGCGCAGTCGATGGTGAAGGTTAGCTCGGCGAGCCAGAAATCTGCGTTCAAAGTCAGAGCAATCTGCGGCAGTGAGGTTGATGCGGGTTGGAGGACAGGTCAACATGGCGGCTTCAGCTGAATTGCCTTGCAGTGTGTCTGTCGAGAACGCCTGATCAGCGCATAGACATGTAAACAGAACAAGAGGGAAGCAATGTCACAAAGTGGGAAGTGTCCGTAGCAGCACACCGAAGTGGCCACTGCGAGACTGCATCCATCGTGGTCACAGCTGCCCTCGCAGTGTCGGAAACAACCTGACAGGCCATCAGCCACGGATGAGGCAGGCGCGCTATGACTGCGACTTCCAAATGATACGGAAGACAACCTCAGCATAAGAAAGTCCAACCTGACCAAGGAAAGATCCATCATCGTTATTTCCTTCAGCCACAGCCTTCATTTGCAACCGAAGAGAGGAAATGTGAAAATGCTACCATGCACAATGAATGCTCTCTGACCGCTTGTCATGGTCAGCGTATCTTCCACGGTGCCAAGGTAATCAATGGTAATCTCCTTTGCCTCTCTGATCTTGCGCAAAGCATGAAAGGTCTCTCTTCCCGTTCCATTGGACATGTGCATTCGGCTCGCAGGAATGGTTGATCAGCGACACGAACTTCACGGCCCGCAGCTCCACCAGCTTGACGCCGTTTTCCTCATAATGGAATGTGATAAGCGTCCGCCGCAACCTTGGACATATCACTAATTCCATCCGAATGGCTATAGGGTGGACGGACTTTTATCTGACAGCATCTTCGTGCGGATGCCAGACCTCTCGTTCACTCTGAGTAGTCTCAGCTTCGACCTTTTCGCCCCCAGCAACGCCGCGATGCATTCCGCAATGGGCTGGCGGTGATGGTATTTTTTGTTCTATTCCAGAACCTCTTCTGAGCCATGAACTTCTGCAGTAAAGGAGGGATATTCGAAGATAGTCGTCCAGGACGCACTCTCCGCGCTTGATCTCGCGGTCGTGGCTTGCATTCCTTGTGCCTTGCCCTGCAAGCGCATGATAGTCCAGGTTTCTTGCTTGGGTGCCATGGAGATGGAGGTGCGCCTGGCTCCGGGGACCTGTTTGCTCTCGTGGTCTCGCATTCACTGTAACTGTAAAAAGCCTTAAGAAATCGGGCTCACACTCGGCGAGGCTCGTACGAGACGTTAAGTCCCCGGTGCTTGCTCTCTGCTTCGGTGTCGCTCCGTCGTGGGCCTCCCAGGTACTGGTCCATTGTCTTGCTTGCTCCTCTTGGCGTCGTAATTGAGTACCAATGAGCCTCCCAAGACAGACCTCGGATCGCCGCCAATATGCTTCACAAGGTGCAGACACGCAAGTACAAGCTTGACAGTGGCCCAACAGCGGTTGAACCGCGATTCTTCCGATCTGCCGGTCACGCGCAGAGCAGGCGATGTGTCGGCAACGTGTCGTTGATGATGGATAGCCGCGGCCTAGCTTGCTGTGGACAGATGCTCTTCAGGCGCTGAAATGCCTGGGAAATGGTGTGTGGCATTGAACGCGATGCAGTTGAGTGAGGTCAGAACAAGATTGCGCGGGAGATTCGTACCATAAGGTAAGTATCCTTCCATTCGCAGGTTCCGAGGAGGCGGCGCCAAGATCTGGTGATGGACGACGGGCCGCGCAAGAACCTCAGGCATCATATGTCAGGTCTCACGCTGCTAAGGTACGTACGGTACGTGCCCTGGCTCTGCCTCTGCCTCTGCCTCTGCCTCTGCCTCTGACGACGCAGATTGGAGCGGCATTGCGAGCGACTGGAGATACCTTACTATCGACACCGACACCGACACCGCCCCCGTCCACCAACCACAGACTCCCTCCCACCACGCCCCCATTACGACGCTCACATGCCCGCCCGTCGCCGCCGCTGAAGGACATCGGCTTCGCTCCCGATCGCAGGCACGACTTGGACTGGAGCTTGAGCGGACCGTAGGCAGTGGCCTTCGAAGTTCGGCATCCGTCATTGCTACCGCATCGCTACTGGCACTGCTACTGCTACTGCCACCGCTACCGCTACCGCTACCGCTACCCTCACCGCCGGCAGAGAGTGTCCTCGTCAGCCGGCCGCACGCTCGCTGGCTGCAGCACCCCACCGTCGACTGTAATGCCGTCAGGCCGGCCCTCCTCTACTCGCACACTCCCGAGCGGCGCCGCTGCTGTCCGCGTCCTGAGCAGACATGAACGGCGACCTCTCCCTCGCTCAGTCTCTGGGCGGTCTACGAGTCACCAATCCCGACACTGAAGCCCTCCAATCGCCAACCTCGCCCCCCTCCTCCTCCGAGAGCAGACCGCCGCCGCCCTCGTCCCACTCCTCTCAGAGCACCGTTACCGACTCTCGGCAACCCGATCTGAGCTTGCCGTCCTTCGAACATGAAGCTGGGAGCGAAGGCTCAAGCTTAGACTTCAATCCGGACAGCTACAACCTGCAGGTGGCCAATGACCCTCCTCAGCATGCATTGTCGGGGTCACCATCGACACCGTCCAACAACTTCTCCTCCTCGAGACTGAACCACCGGTCTAGCATGGGGTTTGGCCCGCAAGCCCAGCAGACTGGCCAGTACCCTGCTCATCCCGCCGCATACCACAATCAACTTCGCAATCCAAATGTACAGGATCCCTCATTAGCTCCACGACCGATCAGCGCTATGTACAGTCAGATGAACAATTCCTCGAGCTCCGGAATGTCCCTGGGGTCAACGTATCGTTACAGAGACGACGTGGGATCGTCGGACGGCAGTCTGGGTGGCCTGACAAGGAGTGGATCGCGGGCTGCAAGGCAGATGATGGGACAAGTACCTCAGAGGGAGCTCAGCAGATCCTACAGACAACCAGCAACGCCTATGAACGGAGGAAACGTTGGAGGGCCACTGCCACCCAGAAGGGATTCTAGGCGAGCTCGAGCTCCGACGGGAAGCTCTACTGCAACTGGCGGATATGATGGCGTTGATCAGCCGTATGCAGGCTCGGCACCCGTACCCAGACCAGCAGAAGAATGGCGGGAACGCGCTGCAGCGACAGGAACGCAAAGAGAAGCGGACGCTTCGGGACAAACACAGTCACGATTGGTCAAGAAAGGACCGAAAGATTTCAACTTTGGGAGAACGCTTGGAGAAGGCTCTTACTCGACCGTGCTGGCCGCTACCGACAGGCAGAATCTGAAGGAGTACGCCATCAAGGTCTTGGACAAGAGACACATCATCAAGGAGAAGAAAGTGAAGTACGTCAACATCGAGCGTGACACTCTCAATCGACTCACTGAGCATCCTGGCATTGTGCGTCTGTACTACACTTTCCAGGACGAAAGGTCGCTGTACTTTGTCTTGGATCTGGCATCCGGGGGAGAGCTTCTGGGAGTGCTCAAGAAAATGGGCTCCTTCGACATTGAATGCACACGATTCTACGGCGCCGAGATTCTGGATAGTATATCATACATGCACAGCCGAGGCGTCATACATCGCGACCTGAAACCAGAGAACGTTTTACTGGACCGGGATATGCACGTCAAGATCACCGACTTTGGGACAGCCAAAATTCTACCTGATCCGCGGGCGAACAACATCGGAGAGACTTCAGGCGATCCGACAGATGGAGCCGAGACAGACCGAGCGGTCTCCTTTGTTGGTACTGCAGAATACGTGAGTCCAGAGCTGTTGCGCGACAAGAACGCATGCAAGGCCTCGGATCTCTGGGCGTTTGGATGCATCATCTACCAACTCTTGGCAGGAAGGCCTCCCTTCAAGGCCGCCAACGAGTACTTGACGTTTCAGAAGATTTTGGCGCTGGATTACACATTTCCCGATGGCTTCCCAGACCTGGCACGGGACCTCGTCGAGCGACTCCTTGTGCTCGAACCCGCGAACAGGCTGCCTGTAGAGCACATCCGAACTCACAGGTTCTTTGAAGGTGTGCAATGGGGCAAGGCATTGTGGCGGCAGAAGGCGCCCCGGCTGAAACCGTATGTACCACCACCTGCGGAGCCGATCAGGCTGAATGGCCTGAGTAAGAGCAAGAGCAATGGAAGCGCAAACGCCCTCGCAAACATGGGTGCCGCAGCAGCCATGAACAATGCTGCGGCAACGACAACACAGCAGTCACAAGCTCCAGCTCGAAGGCCGCAGCTACAGAATGTGACGGAGCTCCCACCGCCCAGTCAACTGGATCTCGAGTGGGCACCTGTGCTCACACATAACAATGAACGGATCTTGAAGCTGGGCAACCTGGTGGTAGCGGCCGTGCCACAAGCATCGAGCCCGAATGGGAAGAATGGCGAGCCACAGACGCCGGTGGAGAAGCCGAAGTTCTCGCGGTTCTTCAGCAGCAACACGACGAAGCGGCGAGAACGGCTTGTCCTGATCACGTCGGCGGCCAGACTCGTCGTCGCTGCGGCGGGCGGGAATGAGAAGAAGTCGAAGATGGAGATCAACCTCGCGGCGAACGGATCGACATGTAAGAGCTGCATGGACGGCAAGGGACTGACGTATTGGTCGCTCGGCACGGTAAGTGGAGAGAGGGCGCATTGAGCGGCGAAGCGAAGCGATGCTAGCATGTTGAGCGGGTTGCTGACGAGAGTGGTCGCAGCGAGACAAGCAGTACATGTTCGAGGATCCGCGAGCTACGACGTCTGACCCGGCGGGCAGCAAGTACAGCACACAAGAGTGGCTTGACGCGGTGGAGCAAGCGCGCGAGGTAGCCATGGCGACGTCGATGACCAACAGCTACTCGGAGGACTCGACGCTGAACGACCTGCGCAACACGTCGAACAAGGGCAGCGCGTCGGAGTCGGTGGGTGGCGATGCGGTGATGCCGCTCAGCGGGCCGAGCGCGGGCGAGAGGCATAACCTGCGGCACACGCTGCGCAGGAACACGGACGACGAGGCCAGCCTGAAGGGACGGAAGCGGTTCAGCAAGCGGCACAGCAAGAGCGGGCTGGCGGCGGTGTTCTAGGAGAGGGCAGGCACTACTCTTGGTGGCCATTCCCCGTGTGCGGACTGCTGGGCCGAGAGCGGTCGATGGGCATAGATTTTGGATCAGGCTGGGCTGGAAGAAGGGATGGAATAGAGAGATGGTATGCCAGACCTCGCCGGGTCTGTCCTGTCCTGTCCTGTCCCCTCCTGTCCCCGCCACCTCCCTTCACTCACACATTTACGACGACTGATGACCCCACCACCACCAACTACTACAACTACTACTACAATTATTATCATACCACTACACCTACCATTAACGCAGCGAGTTTGTTGTTGATCTTGTTGTCGATCTTGTACCTGTTGATCTGCCGATGCCTTTTCACATGTCTCCGGATTCTACAGTACTTGTTGGAGCAGAGCAAGCGGGCGTTTACTACTACTTTTGGAACGTGTTTCAAACTGTCTGTTGTTTCGCCTCACTCGGTACTTACCGGCAGAGCGGAGGCGGAGGCGGAGGCGGAGGGATGTCGAATTTTTAAGAGGGAGGGAGCGAGGCTTAAGGTAGCAGCATAGACAGACTGGAATGGGACACTTTTCTGATGTATACGTAGGTACGTATGTACGTGTGTGTAGAGCGGGTCTTTGTTGGGGAAGTCCACTTGGGCGCATGGGCAGGCCGGGGTTTCGTTTCGTTTCGTTTCGTCTACTTTTGGTATGATGATGATGATGATGATGATGATGATGATGATGATGATGATGATGATGATGGTGTGGTGATGATGGATGATGATGATGATCAGTGATGAGGGAGAAGAAGAAGAAGATCAGGCACAAGGTATCGGGAACATCGCAACGGGATGCCAAGATGCATGACCTCGCACACTCGCGTCTCCAACGTCCGTCCGTCAAGTGTCACACCGGGATAAGGCTTGCAAGGGTTCGCGTGCGCTTTCCGACGCCTCGTCCGTCGATTGGCGGTGTCTTGCTTCCCGCTGACGGGCGATCATCACAGCTCACGTACTGTACCAGCTGCTTTCGTCGGAGCCGGCGCAGGTCCAGACGTGCGTGCACGGTGTGGTGGTGGTGGTGGTGGTGGTGGTGTGTTGGGTGTATGGCATTTTCGTGCCGGGAGCGTGACAGATTGGCCTGCTGCTGGTACTGTACGAGGAAAAAAGTGGGCGATGGGAAAAGACTTGAAAAGAAGCGGTGGCACAGTGGCACAGTGGCACAGTGGGGAGGGGAGGGGAGGGGAGGGGAGGGACGGGTACGACAACGCCGCTTTCGCACGTGGTGTTGCGCAGCCATGCAGAGAGCATGCGATTGGGAAGGAAGGGGGAGTTCTTCCTTCTCTGTGTTTGGGTGACTCTTTGCCCATTGCACAGCGTCGGGTTGCGAAGAATCATGTAAGATCGGAGGGAGCACGTACGGCTTTTTTCTTGCGAGATGCTCATCTCCTCCGTGGTCAGCAGCAGGCGGCGGGAAAGGGTCACGAGGTGGAGGCGGTTTGGGCATGCTCTCTCGGAAAGCGCTGTTCAGGTGGTGGCCGATGGGTTGAAGGGGGATGAGAGATGACGGGGGGATGGTGTGTTTGATGGGTGATGGTGGAGAGAGAGTCGCGTCTCTGTCTCTGATAGAGCCCGGCCGGGGGTGTCTCTGCTCTGAGAGAAGTTGGAAAGAGGTGGAATCCACTCACGTGCAGCTCAGTATGGAAGGTGGAAGGAGCGTCCCCTTGCCACAGTAGTAGTAGTGCTTGCTGTGCCCTTCGCTCCTGCCATTGGTGATTCCCCGTCGCCTGGAATGCGCATCGGATCGCATCGTGAGCGGCTGCGGTCTGTCATCCGCTCCGCACGGCACTGGCTGCTCGCAGTCTGGCGTGTTGGGGATGTTGCCTGCTCGGGCACACATCAGGAAGGATGTCTCGCGTGGTGATGAAGGCGGCAACTGGAATGTGGAAGGAGGAGTGGGTCACCGGTCACACAGCAGCACCTCACTCTCACTACTCATCACCAGCATCCCTCAAGTCAGCTCACCACTCACGGTGGTATCGCGAAGGCGTTCGGCGTGTGCACTCGTTGCCCTTCCAATAATAAATACTCCGACGTGCAACGCCGCACGCACGCACGCACGCACGCACGCCAGCCAATCCACGCCCGCTCCTTTGTACACTCCCAGTACACGCTCGCCCGCAACGGGCAATGCCCACGCATGCATCGCATCGCATCCTCTGCTCTGCTCTCGGCGTCTGCGTCTGCGTCTGCGTCTGCATGCGTCTCTATCTCGCCGGATGCTGCCACGGCGGTTGCAGCTGCAGCGCTGCTCGTGTGTCGCCTGCTGCTAGGCCTTGTCCACACACACACAAACTCTACTCTTGGGCCTCTCCTAGTCCCCTCCATCTCCCTAGCTTTTCCTCGACTACGTACGTACCTTACTACCGCCCATCTATCTCTTGCATCTATCTCGTGCACGCCAATCCCCAGATCCCTCTCGAGACTCATCACGCCTCCACTGCCCCTCGCCTCCCCTCCCCTCCCCTTCTGCCATGTCCATTCACACGTCCCTCCACACGTCCATTCACACGAGCGCGATGCAAGCATCCAGATCTCCCTCGCATCTGCCCTCCCACGCATGAACACAACAATCACCTGGAGCGAGGCGAGCGACGACCAACGCTCACTGCGGGCCCTCCTCATACCCGCCGACAGAGTTCGACCTGCACATGGCTTCTCGCAATTATGCGCAGGTCGCCCCAACCGCCGCCACCATCGCCCTCAATGCCTACATCTTTGGATACGGTGGCCACTCGTTGGTCACTCCTCATGCCGCATTGAAACGACTCTGGTGGACCGACGAACGCATCGAAGCCAAAGTCACCCGCGCTTTCGTCGTCTCCAAGCTGCGCGGTGAGGAGAGGGAGTTCCTCGACCGACCCCTCGGATTCGGAGACCTCACCGACGACACCTACATGGAATGGATCCTCGACCGTGCCAAGCGCCTCTTCCTCATCCTGACCGAGGTCGGCGTTCCCGATCAGATCTTTGGATGCATAGACGACTCGTGGGATGATGAGGACCTGCCCATCCCGTTGGAGAACGTCAAGAGTCTGGAACTGTCCTACGACAATGACGAAGCACTGAACAAGAGGTTCTACGACATGCAGTTTGTTTACCTGCTCCGCGAGTTGAAGCAGGGATCCCACATCGACTATGGCCCCAATGAGCACATCCCCATGGAGCATGTCAACACGGTCCCTCCGGCCGTCTGCCTGCAACCCTACGATCGCGTCCACTTCCCCGGCCGACAGGACGACGTCTTCATGCGCCGGAAATACCCCATGATCGATCGAGACACGGGCCAGTCGTACGCGGAAGCATTTGCAAGCGACGTCCGCCGAGCGAAAGCCCTACCGCATCCACACATCGCCTCGACGTGGGCGTCATATACCACCGAAGGCGCCGGCTTCATTCTGTCGGAATTCGTACCGGAGCATACCCTCGGTACCTTCATCGACCACCGGAAACCCATGCAGCTCCTGCGCGTTGCTGCTTCCGAGAGACCCATCCTTCTCGTAGAGTGGATGCACTGTCTTGCCGACGCCGTGGCATCGCTACATCACCGCGGCCTTGCTCACACGCAGATCCGCCCCTCCAACATCTGGATCGACAAGCAGAATCGAATCGCTTTTGCAGATATCGGTTCTCTCCCCACATTCCAGAGGAACAAGAAGGGACCCAAGACGGAAGCATACGACTACGCGGCACCCGAGCAGCACATCACCAAGACCCAAATGAGCCTCAAATCCACCACTCCCCCCATCAGCAGCATGAACGCTCTCAGCAAACTCCGCAAAATGAGCACCAATTCCATATCCGACTCCAGCAGTGCCACCAGTGCATCTTCCAACGGGAGCAGTACGCGCAGCAACAGCTTTTGCAACAACAGCCCCATCACACCTTCCTCGCTAACTAACGGCCGCTCCAACAGCCTTTCAACCATCCGCACTGCATTCTCTCCCACAACAATGGGCAGCAGCGCGAGTCGATCTCCCACCCGCGTTCGCAACTTCAGCCGCCATCTCCCCATCTCCCATTGCCCTTCACCAACCATCCACACGGCTCCTCTCCCTACTGGAACGTTTAATAGCATGATGAGCAACACTCTCCTCGGCCTCGGACCGCGACCGAGTTATATCGATCCCGCGACGCTGCTCGACCTCCCCGTCAGCACGCCACAACAATCCGACATGTTCAGCCTGGCCTGCTGCTTCCTCGACCTCATCACGTTCCTCCTCCGCGGCAAAATCACCGACTTTATCAAATTCCGGCAAAATCCCACCACAAAAGCAAAATCTTTCCACTCCGAGCCAGACCGAATCGCCGCATGGATCGGCGTGCTCGAAGAGGATTCCTATCGCCATCCGGAACAAATCTTCCGCGGAATCCCGGAACTCCTCAGACTCGTACGATTGATGATGGCGCAGAACGGGACCCTCCGTCCGACTGCCTTGGAGGTCCGAGACCGCATACAGGATATTCTGGTCGGAGAATGCGGTATCGAAGCCATCTGCTGTGCGGGGAGAGAATGGGCCGAGACTCCCAAGGACGATACACTCTCCACCACCACCACCACCACCACCACCACCACCGCCTCTACATCTCCCTTCCGCCGCAAGCCCGACCGTGACAACAGCATCGACGATTTCGGCATGGCGACCGGCATGCTCGGCCTCCCACCGCGAATCGGAGGAGGCGATGGGACTCGCTGCGCGAGCCCTCTGCGCCATTCCGTCGAATGTTTTGACATGGAAGCGTCGCCCGCGGCCATGGGAGGGCCCGTGCGAAGGCCGCCCATGAGGGCACCCTTTGCGGCGGCCGAGCACCTGCCCGTCTTGACGCGAACGGAATCCCAAGCCACCACGGATGGTTCCATCACAGCTACTACTACTGCTACTACTACTGCTACTGCAAGGAGACGGAATTCGGCCACCAGTTCGGCCACGGCCACATGGAGTTCATGGCGGAATAGGTTCTTACGGTCGGCATGAGAGGGGATCGGGGGGTAATAAGACGTGGGCAGTTGAGTAAGTAAGCACATGTATATGGCAGGCAATGGAGGGGTTGTGAGAGAAGGAAGGAAGGAAGGAAGGGCAAGGGTCTCGAGACGTCACGAAACGGAACGGAATGGCGGTGTAAAGGTAACGTAAGGTAAGCTAAGGTACATGTACTGATGATGGTCCAAAAATCAACAAGAGCAGAAGAGGGAAAAGGAATCCAACAAGGTCCTCGAGAATCGAAAAATCACACATAATGTATCAAATTAAGATTATACTCCTCATCGTCGTCCCCATCCTCATCATCCCCGTCATCAATGCTGGGATCTAAGGGCCCATTGTTCTTCGCAAAAAAAAAAATGCACATCTTCCTCCCCCATCTAGCTCACTCATCTGTTTGTCTTCTCCGTCTTCTCCGTCTTCTCCGTCTTCTGCCGTTTCTGTCTTCTGTCTTCTCCGTCTTCTCTGTCGTCGGTATTCAACTCCTCAATCCATTCTAGAGCTCATTTATGCCCGAGCCCAAGCAAAAAGTCCCAAGCAATGCCCGTCCCCCCCCCCCCCCCATCCCTACTATGCAAAGGGCCATTATCCCCCGTAGAATCGCAACGATGCCTCATAACAGCAGCCAGCCTCATCATTGAACCCAGACCAGACCACCGTTTCCATTTCCGTTTCCATGTCCCGCACATGCCAAGCAACACGAACCAGAACAAAGCACCCAGAACCCCAAAAAGATTTTCCATGCCAGAGCTCTGTGAAAGAGGCCTAGAGCGTAAATGCAAAAGCAGCAACCAGCGTAAAAGCACCCGCGCAGAGAGCAAACATCATTCCATCCGTAAAGGTACCCGCGCGAGTGACCGAGGAAGCGCTGGAAGCGGAAGACGACGAGGAAGAAGCAGCGGCAGCGTTTCCAGAAGCCGACGTGGCCTGATGAGAGCCCGAGGCCGTCGCCGCCGTGCCGGCCGTGATGCTGCTCGAGACCTGAGCGCTGTACTGTTGGTTCAGAGTCGGGAGGGAAACGCCGCCGTTGACCAACCAGACGTTGCTGGTGAAAGACGGGCAGGGCGGCGCCGAGAGGGAGGGGGAATAAGCCGATTGCGAGATCCCCGTGGGGGACAGAGTGGCCCATTGGCTCTTCAGGTTGTCGAAGTCCGGGGAGATGGGGGTCGGGGTGCCGGCGCGGGTGTAGCCTGCGACCACGTTCTCGCCCGTTGCGGTTGCGGCGGCGGGGGTACCGTACGAGACGAGGCCGTAGTCGTTTGTTTCTTCGATCCATTCGTAGATGATGGCGCCGGACCAGGTGCCGGACATTTCGGGGCCGAAGATGGCGGCTTGGTCGCCCTGTGGAGAACAGTCAGACAATGTCCAAGGAGTACATCCTTGTTGATGGACTTACAAAGGTGCGCGGCTTGACCGTGTTGCATCCAGTCTCGCTGAAGAAGATGGGGATGGAGTAGTCCGAAGCATTCTGCTGCAGCATCGAATAGCCACTCTCGGTGTAAGTGGACTGACCGCACCATTCGTACGCGTTCAAGCTGAAGAAATCGAGGGTGTCGGAGCTGTTGGATCCACAAGCCAGATAGTTCTGCAGGTTGGGACGCAGATCGGCAATGTCGGCGGCAGAGTAGCCGACAGGAATCTTGCGGTATCCCTTGGAGTCTCGGTAAGCCTTCATGTCCCTAGCAGCGGCCTTGACCTACATATCCAACAGGATCAGCAACGCTCAACACGCAAGGGAGAGTAGAAAGCGAGAACTCACGTAGGGTGCAGCGATACTGTTGGCTCCCGTGGTGAGGACCTCATTACCGACGAAGAAGCCGGCGACGTTGTCGTAGCTGTGGAAAGTATCCATGACCTTGGAGTAGGCCTGGAGTTGACTGTTGTTCCAAGACGGGTCATCGGGCAGGATGTAGGTGCCGAGAGTGTCCAGGTCGAGGAAGACGTAGATGGCGGCGTCGGAGAAGGCGGACATGCAGGCGTCGTGGTTGGCAGAGGGATCGACATGGTAGACTCGAATGGTGTTGGCTCCGAGAGATTTCATGAGGGTGGCATCCAGCTTGCATTGGTCGCCATCTGCGAGAGGGTCGTCACTGGTGAGTTGGTAGGCGACTCCCTTGATGTAGAACTGGTTGCCGTCGCTGGTGAAGAACTTGGAGCCCTTGGCGGAGATGGTAGGGATGGCGAGCGCTGTCGAGGCGAACAGCAGCGTGGAGAGTAGACCGAGCATGTTGAGTTGGGGGGAACGAGCGACGGGGGGATTCCTCGAGTGTGAGCGGTCGTGCCGCCGAGGTGGTGGAAGAGATGGAGGCGCAAGAGTCCAAGAGGGTGTCTACTGCAAGACCAGAACCAGAGCCGGAGCGGTGACGAGGTGAGGACGGGGACCTTCTTGGCTGGACTCACGAGCGAAGTTGCCGCGGAGGGAAGTCGAAGTCCAAACAGCAAGAATATGGTATTCCTCGCCCGAACCTTCAAGACGTGCACCCGGCCGGGTGGATCAATGTGTCAACGATCGTTTCCAAACGGCCGGCGAGCGAGGCAACACAACAGAGATGTGGATGCGAAGATAGCACGGCCCCTCGTGCGTGCTATCTCGAGTCCAAGCGAGTGAGGATCGACGGCGCCTGCGGGAAGGAAAAGACCGGCGACACGACGAGGCAGCAAGCGTGACGGGGGAGGAGGAGGAGGAAGAGAGGAGGAAGAGAGAGGCACGTGGAAGGATGCAAGGATAATGCAGAAGAGCAGGAAGAAGGAAAGCAAACGGCAAGTACCTTAGTGTGGCAGCAGTAGCAGTAGCAGCAGCAGCAAACGCCGCATAGCAGCAGCAGCAGCAGCAGCAGCAGCAGCAGCAGGCGGGAGAGACGTCGAGCAGCAGCAGCATCGTCACATCCGCGCAGCTTCCATGATGTGTTGATGTTGCCCGCAGTAGTAAGGTGGTAGTGGTGTGGGAGCAACAACCGAAGTGGATCGCCGTACATTAACCGCCGCTCGCTCTTCCCAATGGGTACAACCATGGGTACAGCAATGGGTGGTTGAGGAGAAGATGTCAAGAAAGTTGAGAAAGTCGCTCATTTTTACTTTTCGGCAGTAGCCTAGCCAGAGCCAATCTGCGCCACAGCTTAACAAGTGTCGCGCGAAAGCTTGTCTTGTCGCTGGAGCAAAGACGCAAGACCAAAGCCGGTGTTGAAAGTTGAAACACACTGGTGGCGTACACAAACAACATTGAACAAGCACTGTGCAAGTGTAACGGGCACGCCAGATTCGTGTTTTATATGATTGCAGTGGGCGCTACTACAGATGGGAGACTCTCAGTGTGTCGCAGACCGACCGAACCAGTCGAGGACATGCGCCCGCCTGCACACCCAAGGTACGGTACGTGGTACGTGCAGACCGTCCCGGACCCAGCTCCGTGGGGTGGGTAGCCGATGGCCCGAAGTTGCCAAGACCGCATGTGAATCCATCCATCTTGCCTTGCACGGCGACGCGACCTTCTCCATGGCGGTGCAAACAACCTGATAAGGCTCAGCGTTGGTCAAATACCCTCAGCATCCTGCGCGACCGCTCTGCAGCGACCCGGTCGCAGGCAACGTCGGACCCGCATCGCCAATTCCCTCATGCAAAAAACGCCTTGGGAGAAAGTGCGACAGACATGTTGGGTGTACATGGACACACAGTCCGCGTAGGAACCAGATACGTCTTGGGAAACAGCCCCTCTATCGAAAGATTGGAAAAAAACATTATTCCACATCTTCTCTCTGCCCAAGATTCCTGAGCTGCACTCCACTAGAAGATGGAATTGACAATATTTCCACCGATCGTGGCACCGGCTCCGAAGATGGCCGCATTTCCGAGTTTTTTGCCTGCACATCGCGAATTGGTCAGCATTACATGGAGGTTATGTCGTATGGAATCGAGGTCCTGGTCGTGAAAACTCACCAAACTTCTTGCCCATCTCCTGGCCCTTGCCGGGTACTTTCCCCTCTCCGTTGCCCATCCCCGACGTCTCCAGTGGCATGTTACCGTAGTTGTTGGAGGTGCTCGGCTGCGGCGGTACGGCGCCCTTCTCATCTATGACCTTGACGTAGCTGCGTGGGAAGATACCCTCGTGACCTGTCCGGCTGGAGCGACCCTTCCACCATTCGGCATTCATGTACTCGATGACGGTGATGTGGTCGTTCGGTTGCAATTCGAGATCGCCGGCGTCGGCGGATGTATATGCGTACAGAGCGGTTGCCTGGGCGAGAGGCGGCCAGTTGGCAGCGGGAGGTGGGGCGCCGTAGGCGGGCGGAGGAGCTTGGGGTGGAGGTTGGTAGAAATCGCTCTTTTCGTTGTGAGTGCCGTTCGTTTGCGGGGCGGCATTGTTGTTCAGGGACATGTTGTTCATGGGCGAGGTCGGTGGTAGGGGTGTGTTCGTTGCGCCTACCGCTGAGGGCAAAGCGCCGACGGAAATTGGTGCATGGAGAGCGGTTTGTGGTGGAATTGCTTGGAGCAGTTCGTTGAGGGCTTGTGGTGTGATGACTTGAGCATCGCAGAGGTATTCAAGTTCTATCCGTATGTCAGCATGCAAGCTTTCGCGGAGAGGTGGTGTCTTGACTGCGCCTACCGGCCTTGATGGTCCTGATGCTGCGGTTCACCATCGCGGTGTGCATCTCTTCGGCGGAACTCATGCTGGCGGCGACGGTGCCGGGCAGGATGTAGAATGGAGGGTCCCTGTGTGTGCGGTGGTGGGTTGAAAGGGTGGAGTGAGAAGAAGAGACTGGAGTGACGAGGATGTGAAGTGAGCTGGAGGGTCGACGAGGCGCAGCAAAAGCCCCCGAGGGTTCGACGAGCTCGAGATTCTCGTCTCACTCCACGCTGCTTAAACGAGATGACAAGATCCATCTTCAACATGCTCTGCTGATGCGAACATCATCTTTTGTCCTCGCCAGGTCACGTTGAGACCAATTTCTGTACTACTCTGGACAATTGCACCATCCACAGCCCAGATGGAGGATGCCTCTCGCATCTTTGATTGTCTTCAGCCACCACCGATGCAACCATGCAATCATATACCTCGTCGCGAAGAACACGTCCAACGTCCAGCACTCTGGCCAGAAATTCCCGTAGCACTCGTCGGCGTATATTGTCAACATCGACTAGCCTTGGGATGCATTTCCGCAGAAACATCCTTAAGCTCCTGAATTCACCGGTCGACCAGAAGAAACCCTCAAACTTTCATAATACTTCCCGGGCATCCCAGGCTCCGACCCCAACCCAGACGAAACGTCAAGTCGTCGGCGCCATACATACCCCGAAGAAGAAGGAGGTAATAATGCACAATCACAGCAATAATGTCCAGCAGACTCCATATCGTCTCTGTTGAAACAATCCCATTGATTCCCCACCTTGATCCCACGCATCCATCTATCTGCTGGAGATCCTTTTGGTTAGGTTCGAATTGCTTCGCTTCAACAAGGATGATAACTTGTTTGAGCAGCTAGGCGGCGGCGGCGGCGCACCCTGTTGGAAAGCATAGAGCCGCGCATACTAGTACTGAACGCAACCCAAGCCGTGCCGCATCCAGTCCAGACCAGACCTCTGATAATGATGGAAGTATACTCCAAGCCGCCAGAAAAGAGCCGACATCGAGAAGCCCAGCCATGGTGGTGAGCTCTCGTCAGTCATGGTAGCGTAGTTTGCCCGTGAGTAGAGTTCCTTCCCGTCAAGCCAAGAACGCAAACCATACCGAAACCCTCCAGCTTCCAACGTAGCGGGAAAGAAAGCCTTGTTACTCTAGACCGCGACCACCGTGAGAAATACTATGCACTGGAAATCCAAGATCAGGCCAGTCTGGTTGCGCATGTCACTCAGCTAGACTAGCAATATGAGCTCACGGCAGATCCAAACCGCTTTCGTACGGTTCGGACGATCTGGGAGGAGGGAGGTAGGCATGAGATTCCGCGGAGAGGGTCTCCAAGCTCATGCAGGACCAAAGCTTACCAGCGTGATGTAGTGAGCACAGCTTGAACTGGTGCGAACCGATGGAGGGAAAGTCGGGAGACGGAGAGGAGAGAAGTTTGTAGGAATGACCGAGGAGAACCAGCTAAACAACAACGCCCGAGCCCAAACACCATGTCCTTCTCAAGAGGGCAACAAGCCTCACCAGCAGCTTCACGTTTCACTTGCACTGAGTAGCCTGCAAATCGGCTTTCTGGACGAAGCCGAAGCGTTCTTGGCCCTGCCGGTCTGTCAGCATGCAGAACGTAACCTCAACATCAACCAGCAGGGAAACCCACCTGATCGAAAATCGCATACATGCTCTTCAGCACCGTGTCGCCAAAGATACTGAAGCTCATGTTTCCTCTGCTTTGGAAGCCGCCGTAGATCCACCCGCCGGCGTCTGCGAATCCAATGTCATCCCTGTCAATGATCACGTCGTGACCACCAATGTCCAGGCGGATTTCAGGTAGACTGTTGCGGTCCGTCGACGATGGGTAGACCCAGCCTCCCTGGTTGGCGTCGTATCTGGCCCCTGGGATTGCGGCATAGATGTTCTTGCATGTCTGATCGTCGACCATGGCGAGGGTCGTGCCTGTGTCCATGATGGCCGAGTTGCCCGCAAGGGGAAGTCTGTTGCCGTTGATAGTCACGGCGGTGGAGTCGACCTGCCAGAAGCCCTGGGACCTGTTGATGGGGCAGTAGTTGATCGTGCCGCCTGCAACGAGGGACTGTTGGGGGCGTCAGTGACTTTCCTCCACGATCAGAAGGCGATGACGAAGGACTCACTTGGTCAATGTATCCGAACGTGTAGCAAGGTGGCACCCCGTCAATACGATTTGTCAGGTAGGCCGTGAACAGCTCGGCGTCTTTCGGAATATCCGACTGAAGGATCATGTTCTCGACTGGCGTGTGAACTGGCTGCGGTCGGACCGTGTTGAGAACGCCCTGAAAAGCTGTCAACATGCAATAGCGTCATCTTGGAATTTGATTCGACTCACAAAAGCAAGACCCATCAATCCATCGCCCTTGTTGGTCTCGAAAGATTGGGATAGCTGAGCAGCAATCTCGACACCTTGATTTTGAACATTGAGGCCGCCGACAGTGACCAAGTCGTTGCCGACGGTGCCTTGAGCGGTGGAGCCATCGCCGTATCCAATCTTCCACCGACCATCGCAGGCTTTCCATGTGCTGCTCTTGCTTGGGTCGAAAAGATTATGGGCGCCAGCGTTCCGATTCTTGAGGTCATTGGGGAGGCTTGTCGACCAGACCTAGAGGTCCGACGAGCCCGTATCGAAGTCGACGCTCAAGGTCTGAGGGGGAGTGCCGATTTGGATCTGAGCAAGGTACTCGGAGTCGTTCTGAACATCTTCAGTATCGACATGGCCGACCTTGCCGGAGCTGTCTTTCTTGACCTGTTGCAGTCGTCAGCGCTGTGCATCAAGTCTGCTGGCTGCTGTAAAATCCCTACCATGTGAGTAACGGTGTTGCTATTCGACTTGTGTGTCCTCGGTTGAAACCTTCTGAGGAACTGGTGTTCGCCCTCTTCGACGAGCTCGTGTACCACTGTAAAAGGACAGGGCATGGTCGGGGTGATCTCGTCTGCACAGGTGTAAGCTCAGCGGCCGCATGGTCGAGTAACGACCAAAGACGTACATTTTCTGACCAGTTGGCCGAATGACTTCAAGCCAGATTTTTGATACTTTTCATTCTTGACCAGCTTGATCTGATGGAGACCCTTAAGGTGCGAGGCCATGGCGTAGGTGCTTGGTAGGTTGTGGCGTTGTTGATAGGGTGTCTTGATATCTTCTAGCGGTGCCGTGATGAAATACGAGGTGCCTGATTTCGTTAGTATGCGACGTGAGAGGTGTCTGTCAAGTATGATGTGTTAAAGAGGGACGGAAGCTGTGTCAAATATATTACTGGCACCGATACCTGGTCAACAGCGGCTTTGAGGCAGTGACGAGTTGTTGCAGTTACCTTCGTCTGGCACCGCAACTGCACGCCTCCAAACCTGCCCTATCCTAGGCAACTTCGTAAACTCCGATCGCGACCTCCCATGTGAAGTCAGCCGTCTTTCTCGAGATCACGGTCCGACCGCTTTGATGAGTGAACAAGTTCACAACCAAGATAATGGCTCTTGGAAGCTCCTGCAGGCTGCAACTCGGCTTGAAAACCTCATTTTCAGTGGTATCTGCTCTTTCACTCCAACCGATTAACAGCAATAGCAATGTCTTTCCTGGCACACAAGGCGCTCCAAATCCCCCCCCCCTTGAACGCCTCTGCTTCACAAAGCATCGCCCAGCCAACGATTACAAAAGGAGAGTGTATGAATGAAGACTTCTACCCCAGGGATATCCATTCCAAAGCCTCTTCCTCATCGGAGACTCCAATTTTGCCCAAGAACGCCTTGCTTGCTGAACAGTCAAACCATCTCAAACTCAAGCGAAGCCACAGGTGGCCGGAAGAGGTAGAGCAAAAGCAAAAGGAAGCAAAAGCGAGCATGGAAAACATCAGGGTATTTTGTTAAGTTGTAAGCGGCGCCAGTGTTGAGCGACTCCTCTCATTCCGACGCTGATACGGATCCAGCGTAGCCCAAAGCAGCGATCACGGGCCAGCACTACTGTCACCCCACAGCACTCGTAGGAACCCATGTTATTATTGACCCTGTGCAGGATAGTAAGCAGCCGGCATTGGCATTGGATAGTAATATGCAGACTCTGGAGCTGGTGTTGGCGGCGGCATGCCTGGCATCGCGTAAGAAGGGACAAAACTTTCAGCCGGTTGGTAGCTTTCACCTTGAGGCTGCTGCTGAGCCTCCGATGCAGACATGTAGTACACCATTCCGTTGCTCTCGTGCGCCACCATGCCGGATTGCGACTGCGACTGACTTTGCTGCTCTTGCTCGGCCTCCACCGGCTGCGAGGGTGGTTGCTGTGCTGCGGCCTGCGGTGGCTGCGACATCGTAGGGGCTGGGGGCGACATCATCGGATATCCTTGATGAGGAGGGACGTACATGGGCATTGGCTGATATCCACTGGGTCCGGGAGGATAGTAGAACCCTTGCTGCGGCGGATACCCGTAATATGGCTGGGCGTACTGCATCATGGGAGGTTGGAACGAAGGAGCGTTGATTGCTTGCTCCGGGATGTTCGACAAAGGGGTGCCATTCTGGGCTTGTGGGTACGAGTACTGCTGACGCGGAGAGAAATAAGCTTGAGGAGCCTGCGCGAATGCGGGCTGCTCGTGCATGTGAGGCGGCAGTTGGTTCTGGAATGGTTGCGACTCGGGCGGTGCAGGAGCGTGTTGCAACACAGCTGGCGACTCAATGCCCGTAACAGAGATCGCCTTTTGTGGGCGTGGCTGGTGGACGGTCGTGGTTGGCGTGCCTTGGAAAGTTGGCTGCTGCGGAAGCGGGAATGTGTGCACTTGAAAGCCGGTAGGTGTCTGATGTCCAGAAAGAGGGCCCATAGGAGTGTTCGCGGCCGAGAAATGCGATTGTGAGCCGTGCGGCAACCTGACGACAGGCCTCGTCGGCGGCATAGCTCCCGCGAATGAACCGACCGGAGAGAAAGCGCTCTCACGCGCGACACTTGCAAAAGAAGAGCGACGGCTAGCGGCAACGCTCGCCGCGTACATGCTTCCACCGTACATGCTGGTCCTGCGGCTGGAATAGCCATATCCGCCGATGCTTCTCTGATACCGACCAAACCCTTGTTGATTGGGCCTCATCTGTCTAGGAATGAAGATGAAGGATCGGTCGGAAGAAGGGAAGATGTAACGTTGGGTGAGTCCTGGAAGAGAAACACGAACAGGCTTGTCGCGTCGAAGAGGTGGTCGATGGTCTGGCAAACGTGTGTACTGTTTCCAAGGCACCTCAGAAAAGATGATTGGTTCTTTCATTCTCAGCAACTGCACACGAATCTGGACCTTGCCGACCAACGTAGTGCTCGAGAAAGATACGACTCGGGGCTGCTGTGTGCTCTGGATGTGGCCTTGATTCACGCCCATAGCTTTAGGGAACAGTCGTGCAGATTCATCATGATCTTGAGGGGAGTCCGCTTTCGTCGGAACAGAAGCGCTGGGCTCTTCGTTGATCGTGTCGTGCAGATCGTGTTTCCAGGGCTGTTCGGCAGCTCGTTCCGCTTGCGCCATCTGGTTCGCTGGTGAGAAGGGACCTCCTACGTTCGGACCTCCCCTGCCACGACCTCTTGTATTCCAGGCACCTCGGACGGGCGCATTACTGTGCGCAGCGTGGCTACGAGTATCGTGCATGAAGAAGTTGCCGCGGTTTGGAATGAACGCAGGGTCCGCGTCTCGCCTCCTCTTATAATCTTCGTGCTCCCGACTCTGTCGCTCGGCGCCGGACTGCGCATACCCATGGATCAGAGTAGAAGACATAACAGGCTGAGAAGCATCGCCCGCTCCCGTCAGAGATGATACGTGGCGATCCAGGCTGTCGAAGTCGGCAACTTCTTCGGATGTTTGCTCGCCGATTTGAAGACCATTGATCATCGCTTCCGTATCCGCAACCGCCTTGAAATTGCTGACCTGTGGCTGCCGTGATGTTTCCAATGTCGGCTCTTTCCCCGCTTTCTTTGCGCTCTTCTTGCCCTTCCGCGCCCTCTTGCTGGCAGATTTGGTACCATTCGATGCTGCCTCGGACTTCTGCTGTCCGCCGTCCGCTCCAGCGTCGGCTGCGCTCGGTGCACCCAAGCTGCTCGCATCCGCCTCGTCGTCTCCCATATCAGTGAACGCAGAAGCCTCGCTCTGCGAGTCTTCCACCATGACCGGCCCTTCCTCGTCCTCGCCCTCCTCATCGGCACGCCGCCGGCGGCCTACAAGCGACTTCAATGAGCGTCCAGCCGCCATGCTTGTATCGAATAACGTGTGCTGTGGAAATAAAGAATGGCCGAAGAGAACAAGATCCGGCGACGGGCGACCGAGTGCCGGAGCACGAGTTGATGTTGCGGTGCCTGGAGGGTGGCAAGAAGAGCACTAGGACCGAGAGCGCGCGCGAGAGATCGACTGCGCTGTCATCTCAACCCGCGCTCGTCTCCAGATAGGGGGTAGCGCTGCTGATGTCGGAAGGATATGGGGAGGTGTGGAGGTGGATGCGCTCCTCGAGGGAACGGAACGGCGAGCAGATGTTGAAATCTAACTGGCCTTAGTCAACAAGCAAGATCTAGAAAGCTCGGAAGCCAAGCCCCGACGGAACATCTGACGGCCGCAACTCCGAGCACGCGGGTTTAGCCTGGAATGGTAAACGCAAGTGGCAGAACATTCGCTCTACCATGTCGTGAGGAGAGAACAAGGCTGTTTAGACACGCGCACAAGTGTGGCTCGAGACGTCGCGTGGAAGTTCAGTGTTTGACGAACTCTATGCAGAGCATCGCGGCGGACATTACTCATGTTTCCAAGCTGATGCTGGCGGTGATCGTACAGTTCTGTCAACGTCTAACTCTCTTTGCCCAGCTTGCCCAGCTCCTGCAAAAAGCTCCCAGCGTTGACGAGTTCAGTGCTGCCATATACTACTCGCTTCCTGCTTACCGCGCTCGCAGCACCGCTTGCACCGCTCGTTCGCTTGGCCCAGTCCTGAAGATTACCATACTCGTCCATACTGCCGCCCCCAACAGTGAACACGATGGCCTCGCTGAAGCCCTGCCTGCGCTGGCCGAAGGAGGGATCAATACCACGGGACTGCTGGTTTCCTGATCGGGAATCCTTCGCACTGGGCGGCATCGTGCCTCGTGCATTTGCTGAACGTGGATCGAAGTAAAGGAAACCCTCGGTTTTCTGGAGCGCGCTCGTCGAGGCGTTCTGTGGATCCATCAGACTTTCGGTGATCTTGGTCAGGGTCAGGTCCTTGTTGGCGGGCAAAAAGTTCTTGACACCTGAGATGAGGTTGTCAAAGTTCGCTCCCAGACCCGCATCTTTAAAGCGATCAGTCAACCGGGAAGATATGGAGCTGAAGCCTCGGAAAAGGTCATTGGAAGCTGACGACTGTTGCGGTTGTTTCTCTGGCGCGGAGGAGATCATCGTCATTCGTGTAATCTCGCGTACTTTTCGGATGTACGTGAGGGGGGTGATGTCAACGCCCGTCTTCTTCAAGACGTCCTCGAATTGTTCCATGTCTGCTCTTGAGAGGTCCGTTTCGGTACTGAGGAACCAGATGATGAAGATGCGCAGCTTGTCTGCGGGCTCATTACCCTTTTCCGGGTCCCTGAGTAGCTCTAGCATCTGAGCTTTCGTCTGTTTCTTAATGTCTTCTTCGAGTTGGAAGAAGTTGTCGAGTTGTCGGTCTTTGATTCCTTTCAAAAGAGCAGTGGCGATGTTCATATGCATGTCAAGAAGAGCCTTCCGTTCCCGTAATTCGGGCAAAAGTGTGATTGCTGCTTTGAGATGTTGTGCTGAAGCACTCGTGTCGTTCTGTAGGTCTTCAATCGAGTTCGCGCCTGTTTTCTTCGTAACTTCTGCTGCGTCGTCTTTGTACCTGGTGAGCTCCGCGTCAATGTCTTCTGCCACCTGTGGAAAGGGTACGCCCGCGTTTTTGTTCCAGAAGAAGTCGTTCTGGTTGAGGTCGTAAGACTTTTTCACAGTGCCTTTTGATGGACTCTCCTCGTCTGCCGGCGTCTCGACCGTAATTCGATTGAGATGCATGCTCAGCACATCGTGTATCAACGACTGGTATGTCCAGGAGTGAGAAAGCATGGGCACCAGGTCGACGTTGCGATCGACAATGATTAGTACAGGCCTTGAAGACGAGGCGGCGCCATGACCAGTCGAGGGCCTGCTTGCAGAAAACAAGTTGTCCTTGGAGTTGAGAATGTGGTCTCGCAGCTTTCGGTCCAGCTTAGCTGCAATCATCTCGGCGGCACCACCTTTTGGACATCTGATGATTGGGATAGTGCCTTCGAAAGCGTTAGTCGTTAGTCCTATGACGACCAAGCTGTTATTGATATTGACCCACCCATGGTTGCTGCAACACTGAAGAGACCGCTCACTATCCGATCAACGTTTTGATCTATGTCGTCGTCGCTAGTCTTAGCACTGTTCATCGTCCAGTACGTTTCTCTCCCCATCCCTAAGCTGAAAAGATTTGGTTCGCTGACAATGAAGTTCAGGTATTGGTCATAGACCTGACTGATGCTCTCCGCAGTGCCTGCTTGAGCCGTTTGTGTCGCAAACTCTTCCAATAGCGGTCGGGGTATAGAGGAGAGAAAGTTGATATAGGCCGGCGAATACAGTCCCTTCTGGAGATCCTGAGTGATGTGCTCCAGATTGGCCGCCGTGGGCTCGACGAGGTAGAGGACTGGGACATCTGGAATTGGATGCCGTTGGCCATTGATGTTTCTGACCCGCCATTGTCAGCGATTGCTGCTTATCTCTCAGCACGTTCTGCGACTCATGCTCCTAGTAGCCAGGCGCGTGCCAGACACGTACAGATGTATTGTGATGCCCCAACTTCGCAAGTCGTTCACTCTGAGAACACTGCTGATCACATCTCTTCCCAGATTATCGAACACCAAGACCTTCCAAATCGGCTCGCCGTTGGAATCCAAGATGGGCGTGGACTTGGAAGCGATTCCGTTCGAAGTTGCGCTTTCCCTCGCAAGATCGGAGTCTTCCGCCGCGGCATGGTTGAGGTTGAGAATGCGTTCAATGGAGGCTTCGGAAAGTTAGTGCGAATCTGTATTGGAATGGGTGTTGGGATACAGACCTACTTGGCGGTCGCGCAGGGAGGTATACGTGGACATGTTGTTGGAGGCTGTTCTCCAGCCCTTCGTATCAGCGCATGAGGTCCTCGAGGTGGACAAGTAGAGACGTCGTTGGGCTCTTGTGCTGAAGTCTTCTACAGGCCACGTACGCAGACCGCTATTCACAATGAATGCAAGAGACAGCGTGCCTGGGCTTCTATCGCATCTCGCCCTTGTGCAGCTGCCTTCACGGGTGTCAGGTCGAATGCTTAGTCAGGTCCCGCTTCCCTCCCGCGCCCGCAATTTAGGTGGCAATTGGCTCCAGCCGCCGCCGAATTGCTCTCTTCACCTTCACCCTCCCCCTTCTCACCACACTCCCTCCTCCATCCACCACCCGCAACAAGCAACACCCACACCCACACACAGCACATCCACTCCCCCCGCCCGCTACTCTAGAGATTTCCCTTTGCCTTAATGAGTGCGTGCGTGATGAGAGACTGACAGGGCAATTCGGCGTTCTTCGTGGTACTTAGTCGGTGGAGGCTGCGTCGCAGTTCCCGCTCACGGGCGAGGGCAGATTGCGACGACTGCGCGCGCGCTGTGTCTGACTGCACAACCAGCTCTACTACTGCTGCTACAGCACCTACTGCTTACTGCTCTGCGTCTGTCGTGTGCTTCAGCACCGGGCGCAGATTCATTCACTTACTTACTCACTCTGGGCCGACACTTTAAGTCGTGCTGCTGCTGCTGCTGCGCGTTGGGCGCCTGGGATGGGGAGTCTGCTGCTGGTGTCCGCCACATCACAAGGTCGCTACATACCGCTTCCTCTGCTACTGCTCGTGCCAGCACAATCCGACCACAGAGATCTTACGAACACTTCAACTCCTGTCCCGCCTGCACACACGCCTGGTAGAGCGGCGGTGGGCGCTGCGCTGCGTCAGGGCCACGCCGGAGACGCCGTGACTGTCTGCTCTTAGACTTCATCGCGTTCGCGGGCTTGACGCTGGCCCTTTCTTTGCTGCATCATCCGCGCACGGACCACCATTCTTGCCCAAAGCGGGACCTGTACTCTCCTCGCAGAAAACGACCCCACGCCCTCGCGATGGATTCAGGTGGTAACAACAATGGGTTTGCAAACAACTCCATGTTTGCGGATAGTCAGCAATTCAATGCATATGACAACCTGAGCCTCTTTCAGAACGGAGTCGATTCCACTTTCACCGATGCTAGCTGGGGCGTAAACGCCAGCGACTATCCCAACCAGAACCAGTCACGTGGCCAGCAGTCAGCGCCAAGCTGGCAACAAAATGCGAACCATTTGTCTGCCCAGTCTGCAAACCCAGGCTACAGCGGCCAGGCATCGCCTTACGGACGTCCCATCACCCAGAGTCCTGCTCCGTACGCCCAGAACGCCTTCAACAATCTCGGCGCGCAGCAAAACTTCCAATACCGGCAACAGCAGTACGACCCATCACTTGGCAAGAGACCCAGCAACAATGGACAGAACTTCAACCTGCCAATGCACGGCTACAATTCGCCGGTGCCAAACAGCGGCACCATCACGCCGCAAGCTCTCAACCGCCCAGCTCCACCTTCGCCATTCCCAGGCAACCCTTATGGTGGCAGTGCATATCAGCCAAACTATGGCTATCTTCCGCCAAACCGGCCGCAGTCGACGAATCCCCAGGCGCGACCCGTGGATGGGCGGGCTCTTGCTGCTTCGATACCGCAGGGATCCGACTCGGGCATGTTCAGCGTCATCGACCTGAATGGACTTTCCCAAGCCACCAGCTCAGAGAGAATGGGCAATTTCGTCAATGTTGGAAAGGAAGCACTAGAGTTCGACTGCTCGAGGAGCGCAGTGCCAGCATACGTCCCACGCAAGTCTCGCAACGAGTTGAGAACTCTCGCTGGCAACAATCCCAATGCGCTTGCCAAGATCGGCAAGAAGCCGAAGGTTTATTCAAGTTATAACAGGCCACTGCTTACATCAGACGTAGCGGGTGCACAACGTGTGCTAGACGAGCAGTCGTCTCCCAGCTCTGACGAGACCTCATCCGACGACGATGTTTCGGAGTACTCCGATGATGACGAAGCTTCAGATTCACCACTTCCAGCAAAGCGACCGGACAATCCCAAAGGCGGCATCGAACACGACACGATAAAGGCTCTTTGGCGTAGCAAGCGAAAGTCGCTCGATGGTGACACTGTTCGGAGGTGTCTTGTTGATTTCTGGGAATTGATCAAGACAGTCCGAGATCGCTGGAAGAGCGATTCTGCAGCTTATGCAGAGGCAGAAGAGAAGAAGCGGACTGGTGAGTTGCCTCTGCTCCAGAGCCGGGTAAAGGACGGACGTGACATGATCGAGGTGGCCTTCCGGACTGCGCTCAAGCATGGTCATCGCGGAATTGTTGAATTGTGAGTATCTTCCCCTTCCCGTTTTCCCCCCACCCCCTGGCGCCAGAAGTAGTGGCAGCAGCAGCAGCAGCAGCAGCAGCAGCAAAGATGCATTCGTAAGCGTAACCGCTTGCGTTTGCGATGGCCGCCACGATTGAGATGAATGCTGTGATAATGGGAGAGCGCCTTGGCCAGGCTGTGGCGAAGTCTATCGCGGACGTGTTTGTGTAGTTTTGCGTGCGCACTATCACTCTGACTCGTGGCTCGACCTGACACTGTCCAATCCGTCGACATACACGCCTTAAATAGCTTTCATCACTTCAAGTGGGAGGCAGTGGGAAGCCATTGTGGCTTCTAAAACGATGCCACATTACATGTGCTGACTTGCTCCTGTTAGACTCGCCGAGAATGTCGCGCTTGTCTTTCTCTGTTACCAGTTTCTGCTCGATCGCCTTAAGGCCGAAGATTGCAATGGCAGTCTCTCCCGCGCGATTCTGGAAACCATGAGCACATTCACTACTTTGACCAAGTCGAAGCTTGAGAAGATTCACCTTGACAAGATTCTTCCACGTGTCCAAAAGAAAGGAGATGCCAAGACCCAGCATTGGGTCAAGAAGATACTCAGCAATGCGGAAACCGCGTCGAAAGAAGCAGCCGACAAAGCCGCACAAAAAGAACCCGGCAAATCATCATCTACGACGAGGGATGGGCCTTCCTCGTCCTCTGCCAAGAAGGGTGGATCAGAAACAGTTGCAGGCGTCAAGCGTCCTGCCACCGCGACCTTGGGAGATGGGACAGCATCCAAGAAGGCTGCCATAGGTATGACGAAGCCAACTGCCTCCACTTCGGCAAGCAAGATCAGCGGCGTAGTGAAGAAACCTCCAGCGCCCGAAGGAAACAAGCCGACTTCTACAGCTGGGTCAACAGCTATCAAAAAGACCGTCACAGCTGCTAGTAAGTCATCTGGCTTTTTTTCCAGCTTGCAGTCCGCCGCGAAGAAGCCGGGTACATCGATCGCCGACAAAGCCATGCCGTCGGGCGTCAAGACATCAGCTACGAGATCTGCTGGAGCAACCGGCTCTTCTGCACCAAAGCCGGCGTTCTCCTTTGCGGAAACCATGGCAAATCTTGCCAAACCAAAGGAGGAGAAGCCGAAACCGAAGCTTGAAAAGGAGGTCCCCCAGGAGACCCCCGAAGAACGTGCTAAGCGTCTTCGGAAAGAGCAACGTCGGAAATTGCATGTCCAATTCAAGCGTGACGATGAGCTTGTGTCCATAAAGTATTTCACGCACGATCCAGAGGAGGATATTGGTCACGATTCTAGCCAAATGCGTGACGTGGCCGATGTAGGAGGGGAGGGTCGCATGCTCAAGCAGCAACATCACATGGACATTGATGATGAAGATGATATGGCTGAGGAATCCGAGGAACTGAGGAAGCACAAGCCTCCAACCTTGGTCGACTTCAGCGGCGTCGACAAGGAAGAGCGCAAGCGCAACTACGCGCCGTACGGTGGCGGCGAGCTCGAACCAGTATCAGCCGAGCGAGCGAAGCGTGACCAGTATGAGAGCAACAATCTCATCGTATTCTATACAGATCCTAGCCAGATTCCACCAAACCCGAAGGAGCCTGCAGAGCCTTACAATGGCGATCAGGTGGACACCATCAAGTACCTCGGTGCGCCGGAAGAGAGATACGCAGCTCGTGCGCGTGCTAGGATAGCTCCGACAAACGGACTGTTCTCGGACTACGGCCAAGGGACGGTTGCGCAGCCAACTGCGGCGCCAGGTTCGGACATAACGTCCATCTTGGCCACGCTTCAGCAGAATTCACAGGCACAGACAACGTATCAACAGCAGCCGCAAGCAGCACCCGTCATGGGACAGCCATACATGGGCGGCCAGCCCCAGCAGACCGCGCAAGGTCTAGGAGGACTTGATCTCGCTGCGATTCTGGCATCCCTACAGCCGAACAATCAACAACAAGCAAGCTATGGCGCTGCTGGCGCTCCTTCCATGAACTTCTTCCCGCCTCAGCCGCAGATGTTTGGCGCGGCCAGTGCAGGTACTGGACAGGATCAGGAGGATGAAGCGTCCAAGAAGGCCAAGAACCCAAACTACAAGACCAAGACGTGTCGATTCTGGGAGCAAGGCAAGTGTCAGAAAGGAGATGCTTGCAGCTACCTTCACGAAACGAAATGAGATGCGCCAAGATGTGCAAGACCACGATTCATACTATCTCCGAATCCCGCGACAATCGAGTTGTGGGAGGGGTGGCAGACAGGCATAGCGAAGGTGTTTTTGGAAGGGATTCATGGGCCTGTGGCAGCTGAGCTGCTGTTTTGCTCATCGCCCAAGGTGGACTTGTGTTTCCGCGCTTAGGGAAAACGGGCTCGATTACGAATGTGATTAGCGTGTAGACATCTTCGAAGGGAGGGGAGTAGCCGAACTAGTTTCGGACAGATTCGAAAGTGAATTCAATAATTGCTTGAGAAGCTGTTCCAAGTCTACTAGAGTGTACTACTGCACGCATAACAACAGCATGCCGGCGAGAAGCCACGATGTCGTTTGTAGTGATCATCATCCGGACTCTGGGTCGGCCTGTGTCTTGGTAGCAAACACAGACCGTTCTAGTGTTGCTTGTGTAATGATTGTGTAATGTGCTGCAGTCGGTGTGTGCTGCCAAGGGCCGAGATCCCGACAACGCGTTACGCGCGTGAATATGTTAATAAAATGGCCATGAGATGATCTCCATCAGCAAAAAAATGGCGGGCGATGCGAAGGCGTTGACCTTCCAAGCATCGTTGGAGTAGTAGTATGTGTGCTTTTGCCGCACATTCTGGAGGATCGGCAACAAGTGCAGTGAGACCGGTGAGCACGGACCGTAAGCGCCGTAAGGCGAACGTCCTTGTTGCTGCCTCCAGCTCCCTTCACCTTACACCACCCTCCCCCTCTCTTATCGCTCACCAACACTCCATCCACCACCTTACTTTCCATACGCTCCATCGACACATCGTGAACGAGGAAGAGCGGGCTCCTATTCTCACACTCGTCGGCTCACTTCTCGACATCGTGCCAACCACGACCGAAGACGTCATCGCCGGTTACCTCCCGCCCAGCTCAAGGCGTCCAGCGCCCTCCTCGACTCCGAACACTACACTACCACCTACCACGCATACATCACTCATCATGGCCGCTCCCGGTAGCAGCAATACTCCTGTCACCCAGGATACGCCCATCACCATCAAGATCTCCGTCAACGACTCCCTCAAGAAGTTGAAGCTGCCCCTGCGGGATCTCGGAGCTGCAACACTGCTCCCCAAGGTGCGTACATGAGCTCGTGATCCGCCCCTCGTCAGGCTCGCCGCCCAGGTGCCTGGACACATATCATGCACTTCCACAGAATGCTCTTTGTTGCAAGCACGTGAAGCGGGGTACTGATGGTCATTGTTACACAGCTCCGCCAGGTACTCGACATCAAGTCCGATCAGCATGTCGTCCTCGAGCGCTACTCCGATTCCGCTGGCGGCTATATCGCTCTCAGCGAGGCCAACGCGCAAGCCTTCAAGACTCTCATCCGCGCCGCAAAGGCCAAGCTGAAACTGCGTCTGAAGGCCACCGTCAGCCCCGTCGAGGTGTCGGACCCAGCCGAGAACAACAAGGAGGTTCAGATGGAGGAGACGAAGATTCCAGCAGCGGTACGTACATCACATCACATACTCAGTGCTCCTCGCAGAGACTCATGGTACCTTCAGAATCTCTCGCGCGATTCCATCGCCTTCGATCGACGCTCGGTGGGCAGCGGCATCTTCCAGTTCCGCGAGGCTCGCGCTTCTCGGCAGACACTGGTCAACGACGAGGCTCCAGTCCCACAGCCATTCACCGCCGACCGCTCCAGCTTCTTTGACAAGCTCGCTCCTGCATCTGCTCAGCCACAGCCCAGCCTGGCCTTCCGACCACGTGAGCCTGTGCTTCCCGCTGTATGCCGTACAGCTGCATGGTCCGTCTACTGCAACGCTTGCGACAAGGCCATGGCAAACGAGCACTACCACTGCAGTATTTGCGATGACGGTGACTTCGATCTCTGCCAGGAGTGCGTCAGCGGAGGCAAGCTCTGCCCAGGAACCGGTCACTGGCTCATCAAGCGCTTCATCAAGGACGGTCAAGTCATCACTAGCACCACCGAACGTATCTCTCCACGCAAAGTCAAGTCTATTCCATCTTTGATCAAACAGGAGCCGGAGGCGGAGAAAGAGATGCCCGGTGCTTTTACTGATGAGACCAAGACGTTGGCTGAGGAGCCACGCGTGCCAACCCGCACTTGCAACAGCTGCGTGATTGTTCTTCCTGAGCGCGAGTTTGTCACTTGCACCTCCTGCGATGACTTCGATCTGTGCATCAAGTGCCACACTGCCGATGCTCACGGCCACCATCCTGCTCATGGCTTCAAGCCTGCTACAGAAGAGACCGTTCTTCCACTGTCTGCCGAGACCAAGCTTGCACCTGGCCGCAATGTTCGACACAATGCGATTTGTGACGGCTGTGACAAGAAGATCTATGGCGTCCGCCACAAGTGCTTGAACTGCCCCGACTGGGATTACTGCAACGCTTGCATCAAGAATGCTCGCAACACTCATCCACGCCACCGGTTCGCCGCTCTCTACCAGCCTATCGCTGATCAAGGTCCGTCCATGGTTCGACACTTTGGCATCTACTGCGATGGTCCACTGTGCGGCAACAAGACCGATCAGTCTTACATCCAAGGAGTGCGCTACAAGTGCACCATCTGCCACGACACGGACTTCTGCGCTTCTTGCGAGGCTTTGCCAAGCCACCACCACAATCGTACTCACCCCCTCATCAAGCTCAAGACTCCTGTTCGTAACGTGAACGTCTCCACCGAGAACGAGGATCTTCGCGGCAACGTGCGCGTCATGGGCGATCGACGTCAAGCTTCGGTGGCCCCCAGTTTGCAGAGCGTAGCTACTGAGACCACCCCGGTCCAACAAGCTAACGCTGCCACCCAGGTTCACACTGTGGCCGAGTTCACTCCGACTGAGGTCAAGAAGGAGGAGACTCAGACCGCCGCTGCTCCAGCCATCCCTGCTGCGGTCCTCAACGCACACTTCGTCTGTGACACCATTCCTGATGGCATGGTTGTGCAACCTGAGTACCGTTTTACACAAATCTGGACCCTCAAGAACCCAGGTCCACACGCTTGGCCAGCGGGCTGCAGTGTCCGTTATGTCGGCGGTGACAACATGTTAAACGTCGACAACAGCCATCCAGTCCCAGTCACGGCTATCGCCGATGCTACCGAGAGCAACGTGGTCGGCCGTGAGGTTCAGGTGGGCGAGGAAGTCGCTTTCAAGCTGATTCTCAAGGCTCCCGCGCGTGAAGGCAAGGCCATCAGCTACTGGCGCCTCAAGGCTGCCGATGGCACTCCGTTTGGCCACCGCCTGTGGTGCGACATTGAGATTAAGAAGGCCGAGCAGCCGGCATCAGAGCCCACTCCACTGCAGCTCCAAGAGCAGCAGCTTGCAATGCAGCGTCTGCGCATGCAGCAGATGCAAATGGCTCGCCAGGCCGCTCAGCAGAAGGAGCGCGAGCAGCAAGCTCGTCAGCAGGCAATGATGCAGCAGCATTTCATGCGTCAAACCCCACAGCAGTCTCGCCCACAACCCCGCACGATTCCATCTGAGCAACCACCAGCATACGATGTGAACTTGGCCGCTCGTCTCGCACAGCAGAAGCAGCGCCGCGAGCAGATGGCGGCTCAGCTGAATGCTCAGCGTCAGCAACTTCTGGCTCAGGTCGAGGCATTTGCCCCGAGTCGGGAAGCCGAAGATTTGCCGCGCTTCGCTTATCCGTCGGGTACCAAGTTCGACAACATGCACGAAAAGGAGCACCGCGACGCTCTCAAGCAGCGTGTCGCGGCCCTCAAGGCCAACATTCTCAAGACTCGTGAGGAGCGCGAGAAGCTCGCAGAAGACTTCAACAAGCAGAGGGCTGCCGACGCTGAAAAGAAGGGCTCGGACGACATCGAGAAAGTTAAGAAGATCGTAGAAGAGGTTGCCAAGCAGACCGATGCTGAGAAGGAAGACCCCGAGGAGTCTCTTGAGGGAAGTGAGATGGTCTTCCCTAAGCTCGACAAAGAGTCTCCTTCCAGCAGTACCTATCATTCCGCCACAAGCAGCTCTGCAAAGGGCAAAGCTGCCTATGTGGAGAACGAGGATGGCGAGGTTGAGCGTTCTGCCACTCCAATAGCCGCGCAAGCTCCAGTCCCGGCCCCGATGTCTCCCACGGAGGTCGGTGATGACTTTGTCGATCTCGATGATGAGCTGGAGGTTCTCTCCGCGAATGGTGAGGAGAGCGACGATGACGGATTCCTGACCGATGAGGAATACGACATTCTCGATGCCTCTGACTCCGAGACCGTAGCGTCCAGGCACTGAACTCTTTGTGTCTCTATACGCGACAGTCGCAATGAGAGCGAGGGCCATGCAAGCTTCTCCTCCTAAGCTAAGATTGAAAAATCACGACATCAACACGTTGAATATACGCGTTCCTCGACAGGAGAGGAATAACGCGTGCGAACAAGTAACGACTTGGAATTATGCGGTGCGATTTTGGAAGGACGGCGAAAAGGAGTTGCGGTGGTGTGCAGCTTCTGGTTATGATGGCTGTCTCTAGGTCGTTATCTCATAGCCTTTTAATGATATGACTCTCCTATGCATTCGCTCCGTCTTCAGTGCCATTCCGATTTCGCTAGAGTGTGTTGTAATTTCCAGATCTAATCTATGTCTAATCCAAGTTCTCGTCAATCATATGTTGACGATCAGTCTTTTGCCTGCAATGGGAACCCGATGCCCAAAAGCAGTGCTGGTTCGTCAATGGCGTGATGTTGATAACTCAAGACACCTACTCCACCAGGTTCCATCATGAGGCTGAGCGGGAAAGACATGTCGTAGCCCAACCATCGCTTGGCGAAAGCTCGTGTCAGATGCCCATGAGCCACGAGGAGCACGTCTTTAGGCTGGTCGTCTTTCATATGGGGAGCTTGTAGGGCACGAATCTCGGATATGAGAGAGTCGATGCGGGCTGTGACTTGAGCAGGAGATCTAGAAAGAAGGAAAAGAAAGAAGAAATTGTTAGCACTGACTGGAGACCGTTTGCGGGGGGGGGGGGAGCAAAAATGAAGGGTAAACGACATACTCTCCCCCATGAGCCTCACAGCCATCCCTCCAAATATCCCACGGAACCTCGCGATCCAATCCCGCCTCCTTCCGCTTCTCCCGAATCTCATTCGTCTTCAACCCTTCATACTCACCATAGTCCCATTCCGCGAGGTCTTCCGTGACCTCGTAGCCGGAGGTCTGGCCGGTCAGGAGTTCATACGTTTTCCTGGCGCGATCTCGCGGGGAGATGTAGATTTTTGCCAGTTTTGCCGGGTCGATGAGCTTGGAGTGGCCGTAGATTGTCTTTCCGGAGGAGAGGACTTGAGCTTCTCCGTGGGGGGTTAGGGGGATGTCTGTTTTGGAGGTGAATTGCCCGGATTGGGACCAGAGGGTTTCGCCGTGGCTTTTGTTGGGGGGAGTGTCAGAGAGAGAGAGAGAGAGATTGTGGTAAGGGACGGGAAGGGGGAGAATACCGGATGAGGAAGACTCGGGGGGTTGAGGAGTCTTTGTCTGGCATTTTGTATTCTTATTTCTTGTTATGAGAGGTTGCTGTGAGGTGAGAGTTATCAGTAGTTGGGAGATAGTGAAATTCGTGGTTCATAGCGAGGTAATGCCGTTGTGTTCGGCTTTCCCGAAAAGGCATCCCTCACCATGTCACCGGTACGCACCTTCACGGCACTCTCGTGAGGCAGGTTGGAGATGCAGGATGAGTGAGGTGGTGGACGTTGTTTTTCGTGATATCCGTCCGTACCAGCAACAGCGTCCGACGACAGGCAGACAAGGGCGGTCCATGACGAAGCTCGGCGCTAGTGCATGGCGCCGCAACGACCTCTCCGCTCCTCCAACCTCATCTTAAACTTAACCTCCCTCTTCTTTGCGTACGTCGAGAAGAAAGAACACGGACTTGCCCTCAGAACAGGACTGCAAAACAGGTGGAAGGGCAAAGTTGCCAGCAAGACTAGCTACCTCACGCCCATCAGAACACAAGCTTGCTGGCTCGCTGTGAATCTCCCTCATACTACACGGCAACAGTCCTGATTCTGCACTGGACTTCTGGGCGAACAGTATCGCTGGCAGGCAGATTTTCCGCTATTCTTCAACATGTGGACTCTTCCGGGCTTCCTCCAGGACCTCCAACGCATGTGGCACGAGCCACGCGTGTGGGATACGACCATCAACAAATCAGGCCTGATCTTGATCACTGTAGTGGTCGTCGTCTTCAGCATTGGCTTCTTCGCCAACCTTCGCAACACTTCAGATCTGCTCAAGGATAAGGTCAATGTGGCCATCGGGTCCCACTCGGGGGTTGTTCACAAGAAAGACGCGCCACCCATTCCACCGCCATCAGAGGTGGTCTCCCTTCGGATCTATCCCATCAAGTCGTGCCGTGGTTTCGAAGTCGACAGCACACGACTCAAAAAGGCCGGCCTCACCCTGGACCGCAACTGGATGTTCATCGATGCGCAGGAGAAAAAGTTCCTCACCATCCGCTCGGATCCTTCCATGACCCTGATCGACACCAAGATCATCGAACGAGACGGCCAACAGATGCTCGAAGTCAGCATTCACAACACCGACGGCCGCGTCGTGATTCCCGCGTTTCCCACTCAGAAATGGCTCGAAGCGAACACCACCCTCAGCGAAGTCGAAATCTGGGGCGCCAAAACGGACGCCTGGGAGTACAGACCCGAAATCAACAGGATCTTCTCCGAATTCTTCAACAAAGACGTCCTGCTCGTGTACAAAGGCCCGACGCATCGCATGGTCGCCATCAACGGCCGCCGCGAATTGTACGGAAGCGAAACCCCCCACCACTTCGCAGACGTCATGTCCCTCCAGATCGCCTCGGAAGCCTCCATCAAAGACCTCAACAAACGCCTCGGCCACGAGCCCGGTACCCCCGAAGCCCTCACCATCGAACGCTTCCGTCCCAACATCATCATCCGCGGGCGCGACGACCACCCCTGGGAGGAAGACACGTGGAAACGCATCCGCATCTCCACCCTCCTGCCCGCGGAGGAGAAACTCTACAAACTCGACTGCGACATCGTGGCGCGCTGTGCGCGGTGTCAGGTCCCGAATGTGAATCCCGACACGGCGGAGAAGCACCCCAAGCAGCCGTGGGATACGCTGATGGATTTCCGGCGCGTCGACACGGGCGGTCCGGCCAAGTATAAGCCCTGCTTTGGCATGATGGCGATTCCGAAGAACGAGGGCGTCGTCAAGGTGGGCGCGACGTTGGAGTGCCTCGAGACGACGGATAAGCATTGGTATAACGAGAGGGCTTTTAAGGATCTGTGAAGGGGGGGGAAATACTGAACGTGCGGCGAAAATTGTTTTACGGGATGGGGAGATTGGCAGCTCTGGCTTTTGGGAAGGTTATCTGGTGAGTTGGATGGCTTTGCGGGAACTCACCATGTGTTTATGAGGGAGCATTCTAGTGGATGTTTAATGTCGTGAATTTGTCTGATCTCGCAGCGTCTGTGAGATGTCTAATTCCAGCTTGGACTCGAAGCTGCTCTCTCTCTCGCCCAGGCTTTGAAGACGCAGCTGTGCAGTATGTATACACCAAAGCCAGGTCGTACGTGTATCTCCGCAGAAGAACGCTCGTCACGCCCTCGCAAAATGCAGCCAGTAAAGCAAAAAATCTAACGCCACATAGCCCATCCGCAATCATTCAGCACAGCAAACTCGTCTTCGTGCCGGATTCTGTGGTATCTCGTACTTCCTCGTGCTCGCGTCCTCAACAGTCGGCAGCCCATCTCTTCTCTTGCTCCTGCTGCTCCGCCGTGCAGTCCCTCCCGTGCCGCGGCTCGGAACAGTGTGTGAGTATATCACCAAACCTCACTTCATCACCCGATCAAAGCTCTCCCCCTTGACACTCCCCCCCGCCATAGCACTCCGGACATTCCTCTTGAACCGATCCCGATCCGTCATGAGATCATTCGCGGCGTCCTTATTCAACGGATCGCTCGCGTTGGGCTCCAGGAACAAGAACTGCAAGCCGACAATCACGGCGTTCAGATTCAGCACGGGTTTCCAGTCCTCGCGCAGGATGTTCAGACACACGTTGCCCTCGAGGTCGATGTTGGGGTGGTAGATCTTCTCCTTGCATTTGACTTTCGGCGGCTCGTGGGGGAAGTTTTGGGAGATGGTGAAGGTGAAGTTGAAGATGCCGCCCTTGTAGAGGGCTTCGTCCGGGGTGAGGGTGAGGGTGAAGTTGAGGATGTCGTCCGGGTTGGGGAAGTGCGTTTTCATGGTGCTGCCCAGGGAGAGTTCGGAGAGATCTGTTGGGTTCGCGGGGTTAAACCGGTTATGTTTGTCTCTGTGTGAAATCGTTTTTGCCAGGACGGGCTTGCTGCAAACTGCAACTGCAACTGCACTTACCCTTCTGCACGCGCAACTGTGCCGCCGTGACTTTCTTCTTCTTGCTCTGCCCCGATGCCGCCTCATTCTTCTGTTGCTGCTGTTTCATGCTCCATATCTTCAACATCTTTGCCGGTGTCGTGGCGCCGCCTGCGCCGAGTTCGGATGAGGTGGTAGTAGAGATGATAGCGGGTGGATCTCAGGTGGATAGGTTCAGTCGCACGGAGCGGTTGATGGTGAGCAAAAGCTGTGGTGGTGGGGTTGACCACAAGGTTCGAGATGGTCAAGAGGTTTATCTGGCCGGTCTGGTCCGCGCTGAAGAGTGGTGTCGTGTGCGAAGTGAAGGCAAAAGCGTTTGTAAGGTAGTTATCGGGAGTGCATGGAGTAGTGACTCGTTGCGTCAGGCGCCAACCTTTCGCCGAGGCTCTACCGATGAGGCCATCAGAGTCAATCAAATATCCACGAGATTCACTTTCACTTGGAGCTTTGCCACGGGCTACTGACATGTGACAACGAAGAGCATGAAACGACTTTGAATTCTTCGAAACTATTCTCATCCTGTGCTCTGATTCTGTGGGAGACCTCCGCCGGCAATTGCAGCCTCCAGAACGCCTCGCTAGTTCGATATGGTACAACTCGTAGCAAGAGGAGTAGTATTCAGACAATGCCGTAGTGACCGTGGAACTCATTGCGCATATAAATAACGAGAAAATTGAAATAAGGAGTCATAGCCAAATTGCTAGAGCAAGAGATCCAAGTGCCAAAGAGACAACGCTCAGCTCGATGGCTAAAGAAGAACCAGCACCAGCAAGAACGGCTCCATTGCCCGAAGTAGCTGAAGCGCCAGATCCAGCAGTCGCGCCCGCGCCTACAGTCGCAGTAGTACCGCGTGTGTTGTACACAGTCGTCCCAGTCATAGTGGCCGGGAAGAGCGTCTCGAACATCGTTGAGATGACTTCACTATCAGAGCCAAGGACTTGAATTTCAAGCATCGTAGCATGCGGAAAAAGCGTAACGACAAAGCTATGTCCGCTGATCACGACCGTGTCGGTCCCACCAGGAGTCAAAGTCTCTCCGTTGATCACGTAGGTAGCGCCATTATTGATCGCATTGAATCTCTCTCCTCCAATTGTAAGGATGGGAGCGGCAGTGGGCAGAACTCTATAAGCGCCAGGTATTTGAGAAGTAGTTGTCGTTCCAGAACGAATGCTTACGAGAGCCGTACCGTCTTGTACCAAAGAAACCGTCTCCAAACCGTCTGAGCCAGTGAGGACAACGCTCCCACCGGGTGTCAAAGGTTTGCCATTAACGAGGTACGTAGCACCGGATCCAGCATCGTACGAGACTGCAGTATATGTCTTGCCATTGATTGTCAAAACAGGAGCTCCACTTGGCGAAGCTCCCATGAGACCAATCAAAGATGTGCCAGTGACACCTTCCGAAGCAGTGACCAGTTTGTTAGCTGCTGAGTTCAACGAAATCGTCTCACGGCTGCCGTCAGGTCGGATCATCGTGACTGCGCCTCCGGGAGTCAAAAGCTCGCCAGAAATGATGTACGCTGTAGCGCCGTTCGGCGCGAACGCATTTCCGTCGACAGTGAGGACTGGCGGGGCGGTGATGGTAGCGAGATCATCTCCACTGTATGCTCCAGGCTCTGACGCACCAGCTGACAGCGCAACCCCGTTCACGAACACTTGCGCCCCATCAGAAGCCAAAGATACAGTTGTGCCTGAAGCCACAATCTGCCCATCAGGCGTGAGAAGTTGATGCTGGGATCCAATGTCATACGTTGATCCGACATTGGGCGCGTACACCGTTCCGTCAATTGTGACGAGTGGAGCTGGTGTAATCACCGGCGCGGACAATGCATGTGTCTGGCTGTTGATGATCACCTGTGTAGCACCCGGACTTAGACTAACAGTCGTTCCGAAGACCACTGCAGAGCCTCCCGGGGTCAAAATTGATCCTCCGATGTTGTATTGGGTAGCACCGTTCGCCGTGAATGTCTCTGAGCCAATAGTAATGAGAGGTATATTGGCAACAGCTCCTGGGAGAACTCCTGGTCCAGTCATCTCGGCACCCACGCCGACTCCGGGTGTTGCAAGAGCAATATTAGTTGTTGAACCCCCAATCATCACGCCGGTCCCCCCAGGAGGCAAAGAAACTGCGGTCCCGTCAATCGTAATGGCCGGCCCACCAGCAGAAGCAGTCTGTCCTGCAACTACAAGAGCCGGAGGCAAAACGGTCCCAACGATCTCAGCCGTAACAGAAGTGTCTCCAATTCTCACTACAGGCGTCTTTTCTGGCCTTCCGTTTACTCCAATATTCGTCGTCGAGCTTCCAATGACAACAGCTGTGGCATCGGCCGCTAACAAAACACGGGTATCGCCGACAGTAATTGCTGGCCCTCCAGCGACTGCCGTTTGGCCGTCCAATACCAAGGCTGACACTGTTTGGCCCGGAGCAATGGCAGCTGTGATCTGCGAGGATCCGATGTTGAGCACAGGCAGCTGCTTAGAACTGCCAGATCCAGAATTGCTTTCTGAGCCTTGACGGCTTCCTGAACCTGAGTTGCTTCCTGGTCCGGCATTGCTATTACTATTCGAGTCAGAATTGGAATTTGCAATGGAATTTGCGTAGGTATTGTCGTTCGAATTACCATTCGAGCCTCCTGCGGCGTTTGGTCCAGAGCTGCCACTGTTCGCACCAGGATTGCCAATAGAGACCTGTCCGATGCTAGAGCCTCCCGCATTTTCCGACCCTGAATTGCCAGAGCCTGTATTGCTCACGGATTCAAAGTTCTCGTTGTTTGATGAACTCCCTGGCATTGCTCCAATGATGCCAGCAATCGCAGAGGCCGTGGGGTTTGTACCAGCAACCATGCTTCCAGCCTGGGCCACATTTCCGTGCTGCGCAACATTACCAATTGCAGAGAGAAGACGACCCACGTCGTCCTCGCTCGACTCTGGACTTTGCGGCAGAGCTGTAGCGGTGACGGTCTTGCCATCATAAAGCGCTGTAGCAACTGACTGTCCTGCAGTTGGATTGACCTCAATATCGATCGTGATATCACTGCTTCCAACACGAGCCTTGAATGGCTTGGCAACAGAATCGCCATTCGCGTTGACGCCTGCATCGTTTGCTGTCTGCACTGATGGCGTGGGGACGTCCAAAGCTGCCTCGCTAGATTCGATGTGCGCTGTCATCGGTACCCAGACAATGCCAGTCTGGGTGGGCGCGGTCTGCGCGATCGATAGGCCCGAAGGCAAAGTTGCAGTGGGAGTTAAGAGAGACGGTGCGGGCGGCAGAATGCCTCGCACGTTTGATGAGGTACTGGCAGCCACAACCTTCTCCACGACAACCACGACAGTTGGATTGGCTGAAAATGTGCCGGGAGTGGCAGTTTCCGCCCCAATGGCTCGCAGGAAAGCGAAGTGCACACCGCCAATGATCCCCTTCTCTGCCGGCTCTGTTCCATTGGGGTCCTGTCCTGCATATGGAAAGCTGAAGGTCTCGTTCAAGGCACGGGTGGTCGTGGACTCGGCGCACTCAACCTGTCCATTTCTCTGCCTACTCGGCCGCGCGCTGACAATCTCGTACTTGCTGAAGTGGACGACCGCTGTACCGGCAGTGATGGTTGCATTGCGACCGAGCGTCAGAGCGGCTGGTGCAGGGGTGGTAATCACGTCAGGTATTGTTCCTTTTGCCGTTGTCTGGTTAATTCGTTTATATATCGTTTGATCCACGGTTGTGGTTGCAGCTGCTATTGGGGTGGGCGTTTCCCAGCAAGAATACTTCAACATCGTTGAATTCGCTCGCGGGTTGAACGCTGGGGATGAAATGCATGTCGGCGCGGCGAGGGCATCTGTAACATCAAATGAAGTTGATGCAGGTAGCAGGGTCCATCCAGTCGCAGAATTGTTCAGGCCGGTTTGAATGAGGAACGTGGAGTCGATCTGCGTATAGGTCTTCGTGTACCACCAGTCCATAGAAGCAGAAAGGATGTTCACCGTAGGACCACCACAACTTCCATTGGCAAAAGGGAGCTGTCCCCGGGACGGCCTGAGAGACGGCACGTAGCCGGAGGGCGCGTACGTAAAGGAAGCATTGCCGCTCCTGGCAGGCCCAACATCGCTTGCTTTATGTGTGTACAGAGAGACGGATCTGCCAGCATTTACTGTTCCAATTTCCGGTGAGCGCAAGTAGGTAATTTGTGTGATGATTTTTGTAGGTGTCGCGAAGGTCGCTCTGGGCTCAGTAGGAGGTGTTACTTGGCCGCCCGAGACGAGACTTTTCGCTGTTGAAGCGTTGTCGACGGAAGATCCCGACGAGCCTTGAAGATACGTCAGAGTTGATTTGTATTGTCTCTTCTGCCGTAGCTTGCCATATGAATCTTTTAGTCGATCTTGTGGAAGCTCATCGGCAGTCACGAGGCACAGCAAGGCTAGTATCTCCAATACTTTTACCCGCACCATGGCGAAATGGGCTTTCCAAGAAGTGAGATAGAGTGTCGAACGACACGAGGGTGTCTAATTCAACGCATAGCCAAAGGCGCCGAGAGGGAGCAACTCGGTATGCACAGCGCTGATGTGGGACAAGTCGTCGTGAGCGGTGAAATGGAGAGTGTCGAAGGCGCAGCGAACGAAAGTCGGGCGAAGAGAGGAGAGGCACAGGCAAGAGGTAAGCCAGCGGATTGTATAGAATCCATCACAAGCTGATGGTTGGGGAGTGGTGCTGGCCCCATGGCGAAGTTCTGGGTCGTGGTGAGGTGGCAAGCATCAGTATACAGACCTCTCGCGTGTTCTGACGGGTTGTGCGACGGTGGGGCGCCGATTCGTGCACGGGTCTGGCGCATTTGGCAAGGGAGACAAGAGCTGCATGACCACGAAGATGCCAGATTGGGGAGTGGGAGACAGCTTGCATGGGAAATTGCGCCAGTGAGCGAGCGGCGAGGGAAAGAATGACTCCGCAAAAGGAACGTTGGCCGGTCGCACAGCGTAAAGCGTGCAGTGTGGCGGGCAGTGAGGAGGAGAGCCGGGATCGAGAGTGGTGCCCAGTGCGTCCATGTAGAGAGATCTTCAAGAGCATATGGAGGGAGATATTCTTCTGTGATATCACTGATACGATACGCTGTTCACCGGTCATGAGCAAGCCAGCCGTGGGATGCCAAGGTCGTCGTCGTCGCTGGCACGTGGAGATGCATTGCAATCTGGCATAGAGATAGAGAGGACCTGCGGACGTTGGCTTGCTTGGAGCGCGTCGAGGCGTGTGTGGAGGGAGGTGTGCATGTGCGGATGGATGGCGGAAATCTTCAGCCATGGGCTTCATGTAAGCAAATCAAATCAAATCAAATCATCGGCGGGATATGGAAGATGGAGATTACACGAGAGCAAGCCGCATGGGCGTGGCGGGAGCGTCAGGATACGAGGCGTCTGGTGGGTGTCGGGACAGGGCTGGACAGGGCAGGGCAGGCGGGCAGCTCGCGTAGGCGCGATGATGAATGCTGCCTCCTCTGCAACTCTGCGATAATGATTCCCGTCTGCAACTCTGCAAGCATACTTCATCATAGCATAGTACACGCAGCAGTACCGACGTTGGAACGCTTGCCATGGACGCTGGCCCAGGCTGGACTCTTCCCACCGCCCGTCCATGCCGCTCGCGCGCTGACTTGTTGCTGTCGTCTTCGTCTTCGTCGTCGTCTTCGTCTTCGTCTTCGTCTCCTTTCGGTGCATCTTCTTCGCCGCGCGCTGTGGTGACGTCCAGGGGGACAGAGGTGAGAAGGTGAAAGTCGTCACTTTCCCTGCTCGGCTCGCTCGGTCCGATCGGCTACGATGGCTGCCTCATCCTCCACCTTCAACTTCAGGCATCTCCTCCTCCTACCCACCGCCCTACTGCCTTTACTGGCCCACGCATTGCATGTCGACGCCAATGTCTTGCAGCTGCAGCCCCGAGCGGACACCACGAACACCATCCCTGCCCCGATCTCCATCAGTCCCGATCAGAATTGGGATGGCATTGACGGCGCCTGGTCCACCTTCACCTTGAGAGTCGGCACACCCCAGCAGTTCGTACGGACATACATTTCATTTGCCGCATATCAGACCTGGGTAGTACTGCCAGAAGGCTGCGCGGCCGCCGCAATTCAAGCTTCCTGCGCCGATTCGCGAGGATGGCTCTACAACGAGTCCGCGTCTTCCACCTTCGATCGCATGGGCATCTACGATCTTTGGATTGAGAAGAACCTGGGTTACAATGGGAATGCCATATATGGCTATGACACTGTGGGTCTCGGTGGACAAGGCGAGCAAGGGCCGACGCTGAAGAACACGACGGTGGGCGGATTGGCGGTCGAGGATTTTTGGCTGGGTGTGTTTGGCCTGAACCCGAAGCCAACCAACTTCACAAGCTTCAGCGATGGTTCTCCCAGCTACATGGCCCTACTGAAAGAGCAAAACTACATACCAAGCATCTCCTTCGGATACACAGCAGGAGCCAAGTACCGTTTCGCCGGCGTCTATGCATCATTGACATTGGGTGGTTACGACACTTCAAGATTCGTCGAGAACAATGTCACCTTCACATTTGCCGGAGACAACGAGCGAGATCTGGTGATTGCGATTCAGTCCATTACAACCCCTTCCACGATCCAGTCATCGCCTACTGCAACCGAGCTTCTGCCTACGCCAATTTTCGCATTCATCGATGCCACCGTCCCGCAAATCTGGCTGCCTGTGGAGGCATGTCGAGCATTCGAGCAGGAGTTCGGTCTAACTTACGACAACAAAACGCAGTTGTATCTGGTCAACAACACCCTGCACGACACGCTGTTGGACCGCAACGCCAATGTGACGTTTACCATTGCCCAAGGTCTCGATGGAGGCCCAACCGTCCAGATTGTGCTTCCGTACGCCGCCTTCAACCTGCAAGCTCAGTCACCTTACCGTGGACTCTCAAATACATCCTGGTACTTCCCTCTTCGACGTGCTCAGAACGAAACGCAGTACACCGTTGGGCGAACATTCTTACAGGAGGCATACATCACAGTAGGCTATGAATCTGCCGAGTTCAACGTATCGCAAGTCGCCTGGCTTCAGTCGCCTGAACAGAATCTCGTGCCCATTTTGCCAGGCAAGGAAAGTGGTAGTCAGACAGGCTCGGATAACTCCCATGAAAACAGTGCATCTAGTGGGCTCTCTGGAGGAGCTCTGGCCGGCATTGTTGTTGGTGCCATTGCAGCTATCGCGGTGGTTGCAACAGTCGTTACCTTCCTGATCCGTCGCATGAGGAAAGTAGGCAAGCAGCGTGACGGCGAGAAGTTGAACACAACAGCTGCAACGGCGGTTTTGGACAGGACTCCGAGCCGGCACGTCTATCCCAAAGCAGAGCTCGAGGGATCAACAATCGCGGACATCGAACACAGGCGCCTCTTGTCAGCGCATGGATCGATGACTCCTGGAACGCCGCGCTCTATTCCAGGTCCGGGTTACTTGATGTATGTCAACGGCGGCTCAAGTCCGACGACGCCTGGAGGCGGTGAAGGAACACGCTCGAGTACAAACAGTGGCCAGCCTTTCACGCCGCTGTCTGCAGCAGCTAGTGAGGCAGACAGCAGAGAGCGACGCGTCTTTGAGATGCCAGGAGATATGCCTGCTGTGGGCGAGAAAGATGGCAAGGCATTGACCGAAAAGGAAGCCATTGCACGACGGGAACGTATCTACAATGGAGTAGATGCTACGCCGACCTCTGCGACTGACTCCAATGAGGGAGTGCGAGAGCCGCGTCGAGTCAATCCAGAGGATATCGTGCGGACGGACGGGATGGCAGCAGAGCCGCGAGACAGGACACTCCATCGGACATTCTCCTTTGAGGAAGTCACAGAGCAAGTAAGGTAATCACGCGAAGCAGCGATGAGCGTTACGAGTGAGGTTCTCATTGGGATGCATTTCCAGCAAGCGAGTCATTCGGAGCGGGGAAAGACAGCACAGCGCTCCTTCTCTTTCCATGACCATGATAGGTCTGGTATACCAACAATCTAGTCACGACTTATGAACATGTCATCGTACAGCGGTCCGGAATGATACCACCACAGCACGATGCAATTGAGGAATTTGGTTCAATTTGTGAAAGATGCGATAAGCCTTCCTCTACGCCTAAGCGAGAATGCATACTGAGGCGAAGAACAGACAATGCTTTGCCCAGAGTAAGTCGATTTCACGTGCCGACATGATCTTGCCTGACTGTGTAACGTTTCTGGTGGCGCGACAGCACGCGAGCTCAACATCGGTACCTTGCATATGTGCGATCACTAGCTCCACTGGAGGGAATTCCGCCCTCACTTGACACGTGCATGGCATCATACATCGTCACCCACGTCACCTCGAACGGAGCTCACAAGAACACAAAATCTCTCGAATCCAAGAGCTGTCACGACATCTTCTCCTCATCACACGACCAACAACGACACGATATATATACCCACAGGAGACCAGCTGAACATATCGAAACCAGACACTACTATCCACGAGCTACAGATCCGCCACCACCATGTCTTCCGAATACCAAGGCCAGGACCCAATCGACATTGCAGAGCAAGCCGAAGCAGACCTCAATACCCAGCAGGCCAAGGGTAACATTACCGCCCAGAAGGCTGGGGTGAGTGATAGCAGTAAGTCCACACCATCACACCAAACCAAACGTATACAATCACTCACCAAGGTTTGCCAAATCCTCACAGCCCGCGAATCCGGCGTCGACGAATCCGTCGTCGGCAAATTTCCCGGCGCGGAGGTCCAAGTCGGCGGCCAGGGAGCGGGTGACAACCGCACCATCCCGCTTGAAGAGGGGGGAGATATCACCGCGACGGGAAAGTAAGTCCTCTCACCTCACCACCTGCTACATACATACATACATACATACATACATACATACACACAATTCCTCTCTTCCTCACCACTCCGGAGAACGGACTGACTGACTGACTGACCTCGTGTGCGATCTTAGGCCGACCAAAGCCCGCGACTTCGAAGGCGTAGGCGGTCCGGAAGACAAGGCCCGGCTCGCGGCCGAGGACCGACCCGGCGACGACGACATCCGCGAGAATATTCGACAGGGAGGGGAGACGATTCGACCTCCGGGTCAGGTCCCGAATGCTTCGCAGGGCGGTACGGGTGGAAGGACCGAGTGATTCAAACACGAAAAAAAAAGCGAAGAGAGAAGAGCCTCAACCGACAGGATGCCTTGGATATCGCTTGAAGACAGTCAAGCTGCATTGTGTAGATACATGTGTTTTGCATTGGGTATGGCCCACAGAAAGAGTCCAAAGGGTAGCGTAGCACGATGAACAACGCCACGTCTATGGCCAGTCTATGATATAATTCCTCTTCCCCATCCCGGCTTCCCATCTCCATGCCTTCCTTCCTTTCCCTTTCACCCCAGTCTTAATCATAATGCGAACGCCCGCGCTTGCGCCAGAATGCCATTTCGCTCAATGCCATTGCCTAGTTTTACAGTTTACGCCCGACCCCGTTTACATGCATCCCGTCGTCTAATAGTAAGTATTCCTGTCTCGATGACTCCTCACCGGAACAAAAGCGGGTTGAGCAGGTCGCCGGCTCGTGCCAATATCAATACTGGAGATCTCCCGCGAGAGAGCATCTGGTCCGTACTCCTGCTGCTGGATCGGCACTTTAGGCGGCACAGATGGTGCGTAACCATTGTACTGCCCTCCGGGACCTCTACCGGGGCTAGGATCACGGAACCCGCGAGTATATTGCTGTTGCTGCTGCTCATAAGGATTCGGGACCGGATTGAAGTTCGCGTGATCTCTGAGAGGCTCCATGATCGGACTCGATCCCAGTCCAGCCCTCTTCACGAGCTTCGCCCTGATCTTCGAGGGTTGCGGCTGCGGATCGGGCTCCGGCGGCAGCTGGGGTTTGGAACGCACATTGATCAGAGTATCCTTGGACACCCTACCCGCGGTATTTTTAATGCCTTGCGCGCTTCTAGGACCAAAGTCGCGTTCTCGTCCGGTTCCATACGTCTTGTTGGGATTCTTTGCCTCGGGCTCTGGCGCCCAAGAATGAACAGGAAGATGGTCCGAAGGATCTATCTCCTGGCCATGCCATCCTACGATCGGTCCTGTGCGCGTCGGGGACGTCTCCTCTAGAACGTTAGGATTGTGAACACCGAAGCTGTCGGGCGAGAAAGGTACTACTGCAGAGCGGCCGCCATCAGAGGCGAACGGTCGAGGCGAGACCGACTTGCGCGGCATCTGTTGCACCACCGGCCGCGACGTAGAAAGTGGGTTCTCATCACAAGACTCGAAAGCACGAACAGGATTCTGTATGCTGTACAAGCTCTTTGGCCGAGATGATGATGGAGGGGCAGATGAGGGATGTGCTGGTGCCGGCTGTGGAGACAGAGCTCGTGGCTTGATGATCGGTGGCGCCCCTTGTCGATGCGGATCCTGATCGTAAGGCGATGAGCCGGCAGTTGGTTGGCCGTAAGGATTGGGACTTCGCGCTCGAGATACTTCTTGCGATAACGGATGGGGCCTCAAGGGGGAGCTGTACATGTCTGCAACGCTGTGTCGAGCAGCGTATGGTCTTCCCGATGGAGAAGTCGTGCCGTGCGGAGGCGGTGTTTGGCTCGCCGGCGTCAGATTTGGCGTCGAGCCGTAAGATCCCTGGTAGAGCGGAGTACCATACTCATCAATAGACCTACCTCTTGGTGGGTGTCTCTGACTAGGTGGTGTGTGAGGTGCACGAGCACGCTCAATGCTTTGCAACGGCGATGAGTTCGGTATGTACTGTTCTCTCATGGGCGGTGTTGTCCCATATCTCGGTACTGGTGGTGCGTACGGACGTCCATGAGGCGAGCTGTATTGTTGGGGCACCGCAGGGGAGCTGTTGCTGTGGACTGGCGGCGGCGGAGGTCCATCTAACTCATCCTCCATATAAGGCTGTCGATCAGCATATGGGCTACCATATTCGCTTTCCCAGCCCGGTGGAACATCGCTGCGTCTCTGGCGGACATGTTGGTACTGATAGTCCAAGTCCGGGATCGGCTCCGGGTAATCAGTGTGCAGCTGCGAACTTCCACCATATGCCGTGTCGTCCGGACGCGCTACAGGCACAGCTGGCGCCGAATGCGAATGCGCAAGCACCGTGTTTACTTGCGGCCTGAGCTGCTGCGGAAGGGGCTGACGCGGCGGAGGTCTAGCCTGAGGCTGCATTGAACTGCGCTGCCGCGGATTTGGACCCAGTTGCGGTAGGAAGTCTGGTATGGGCGCGGGCTCAGCCTCGTACAGCTGAGGGCCCAGATTCGGATCGTACTCCCCATAGTACTGATCTGCCGGAGGATGCTCCGGATGCACCGGCGATGCTCCCGTTGGTGTGCTTCGCTCGTGATGTCCGTTGACGGGCGACCGCCCAAACAATGTCGCTTGCGAGTGTGGATAGTTGTATGTCTTCGAACCCTCGGGCGGCAACGAATTCGCTCTTGGGGGTGTCGAAAAGTCCCTAGGGCCATGTTTTGCTCGCCCAGGCGGCGCACGATCAGGAATAACCACAGGTGTCGTGACGGGTGCATTTGGATTGACCGGCAATGGCCTCCTCTTCACCTTGGCATTGATGCTCCCGTATTGCTGCTTCAATTCATCCGCAACAGACGTGACTGTTTCTCCTTTGTCCGGCTTCTCTCGTGTGTCGTAGTATGTCAACTCAATTCTGATCTCGCCCGCATATTTGCCCTTGCAGTTGAGCTGCTGCCACAAATCGCTCTTCCCACCTCCAGGCACGACGACGTCCATCAGGCTGACCCAAGCCTCGCCAATGAGGTCGGTCCGCTTGTCCTCGCTGAACACGGAGACCTTGAGGTTGTAGTAGTCGGGTGAATCGTGTACGGTAAATCGAAGCTCTTGATCCCTACAACACCATTAGTCAGTATTTCGGTGCCCAAATGCTCCTATTGCTCTCCAACTCACCATCTAGGCGTCTGCCCGCCTCTCTTGTCTGTCTCGGTCTTGCGAGCCTCCTTGCCTAATCTCGCAGCCGCGTACGGGTTCTGCTTGCCCATCGTCTTTCTATTAGGCAGATTCTTGGCCCGGTCCACCACAATGACCAGCGTCCCAATCTCAGGTCCATCGACCGTCATGTCGGCGAAGATGCCAGCGGCATGGGGTCCGTTGTTCGCCATCTTGTAGGACGTCTTTTGCTCCTCCCCCGGACTGTCGCCCGTAACGACAGATCTCTACGCCAACCAACAGCCCGCACAGAGAATGGTTCCGAGGGTTGACGTTCCAGTCGAACGAGGTTCGGAAGCTCGATCAAAACAACGATCGATCTGCCAGGGCGCTGCGGCGCATTGCGTGCAGATGGAAAGCTTCAGGTTGGATGTCGGATGCCCGGAACTTTAATCCCGATTCATGGCGCAGCAATCAGAGTCGAGGATGCAATTGCTGAGCGTAAAAGGGAGGGGCGGAGTGAAATAATAAGACAATGCCGTGTTGCTGCCTGGCAATGCAAAAGGAAGAGAGGAGCAGTCGGGCGTCGGGTATTTTGGGGAGCCTTCACTCTGTACTTGGCGAGCTTGTTGATGCAATGGTGGTGGCTGAACTCCATGTCGCTTGCTCCCCGCCACCTTCCACGCAACCTAAGCGGCGGCATCGTCAACTTCCCTGCGCGCTTCCCACTCCCCCATCTCCCGGGTTTGGCCAACGTTCATCAACACAGAACTTGCGCCAAACAAAGGCGATGTGTGCAAGGAGACACAATTGCAACTGGAATCGAAAGGTCAACACATCACACGTCTCGGCTGCAAGCGTTCGGATGCAACGCGAAACGAGCTTCAAATTGTTTACATTTATTCCGTTTGAGCAAGGTTCCTCGCCCACAACCAGGGATGCCATGCACATCGACTCGGGCACAGACAGATTACTGCCTGACAGGTCTTGCCTGTCAGGCACAGAGGTCGCGCAGCAGACGGCGTCCTCATCAAAATGGCAGAATCTTCCAGTCCACGCCGACCGTCCACTTTCTTCCATCCAACTCCATCTCCCACGTTGGTGCCCGAACACCCACCATGCTACCCTGCACAACATCACTCGAGGTCTTCCTCGCTTCCCGCACGAGCATGAGGTTCATCTCTTCGTCGTCTGGCAATTTCCCTTGCATCAGAATCGGTCCGCTGCCGATTACCGTCTCAGCTTTCACACGCAGAACATAATCTTCACCTCGAAGATAGCTCTGCCCTCTCCTGCTGTGCGCGGCGCCTTGTCCAGTCTCAATCACCCATTGCTGCATCGTAGCGGCCATACCACCAGCCACAAACTTCTCCCCTCGTCGATGAGGAGAGAACGCATCTGGCAACGGCTCAGCTGGCTCCAAAGGCGCGAGCGAAGAGCGTAAGAATGGAGGCCGGCGGATCTGGCTATCTCGGTCGTTGACAGTACTTGCGACGCCGCCAGCCCGCGTGAACTGCTGCGGCCTGGGTGCATTGGCAGATGCGGGTGTAGTTGGGTGCTTGAACATGGATTTTGCTGGCGACTCCTGAGCAGCCTCTTCTAATTTACGCCGCTTGGGTGAGTAGGGAAGCTCATTCGTCCATGCCTCTTCATCATGCCGCTGTTGAGTACTTTCTGTCGTCGGTAGTGCCTCCGCCTGCTCATTGTCAAGCAACATTTCGTCCTCGTCATCTTGAGAAGCAGGTGCTTCTTCCACATCTTCAGACGGCCCTATAGATGCACGAAGAGCCTGTGCAGTGGTTGGTCTGGGCGGCGACGGCGCCTGAGCGGGCTTTCCAAATGAGAACCGCGGCGTCTGAGCAAATTGTGCATTCTGAGCAGGTGTCCTCGTCTGCGGAGTTTGGTGCTGCCTGGGAGCTTGACTGCGCAGTCCCGGACCATGCTTTGGCTGTTTTGGTGGAGACCGACCACGGCGTGAACCTGCCAGAAAGCGATGCGGCGAAGGTGTCTGAGGATCGTGAGTATTCAGGACCTATCATCGTTGAACGTCACTTACTACAGGAGGCATTGCATCAGCCTATCGCGAACCCTCAAGGGTGTTGTAGGTCAAGAGATGGAGAGCGATGTCTTGAGGTGTGAAGCTGCATGATGATGAGAGATTTGCGCCTTCCCGCATCGACAATCAGGCGGCTGCTTTCACATGCGTGTCCCACAACTTGATGTATGCTGTTATCAACTCTGAGGACGGTCAAACAGAGTGAGCAAATGTCTTCGAAGGGCCCATCTCATCTAGCGTGTCGGTTTCGTGTCGCATTACGTCATCACCCAGGAATCTCACGCGCCTCACCGTTGGAGGGGAACTCTTCCTGATCTTGAAGAAGAGATTTATTCTGTTTCTAAGCTTGCTGTCGCTATACTCCAACCTAAAACATCTTCATCGTTGCGTTGTCGTTGCCGAAATTTCCCGTCTGAGTGGTGAAATCGGACACCTCACCCAGATTATCAATTCTACCCAGCAAGAACTCAAGCTGGCGATACGCCGCGCTGGGTGCGTATTGAGGTACCATGTGGCCTGAGAGATCGACCGTTGCGAAGGTCAATCCGCGCTCCGTATGCCATTGTCCGAAGACACCGGCGCCGGCAAGCGAGGATTCGCTCAATTCGCTGTGGTACGGGACGTAGAAGTCCTGCCACTCGCTAGGGCCGACCGAGAAGCCTTGTGCTCCATTCCATGTCATGTTCTGGATCATGACAATCGTGCCGTTCATGATGAGAATCATATCCAACATTCCGTGGCCGATGATGGTCTTTGTGTTCTTCTCGATCACGCGAGGAAGGACGCTGAGACCCGAAGGTGGGCTCGTGTCTTGGTCCAGAACGCCGCTCGAGCATTCTTCCCATTCCTGCACAGGTGCATTGATCGCTTTCTGCACCTCTGTGCGGTTGAAGTAAATCGAAGCTCCTTCTGGGAGATAAGAGAACGAGCCGGGAAACCCTAGAACGTCCCATAGCAAAGGGCACGTCGTCGCGACTTGGTATACGTCCCAGCATGGGTTGATGAGCGGCGCTGCAATTGTGACGTCGTTCCACAAGCGACAGGTATCATTCAGTTCGTTGACGTCTGGAGGTGTGGGCAGGGGACCAGTAGGCGGGAACGTAAATGCTTCCTCCAGGAATGCAGCATACCCGCAGCTCTCGTGTCGCGCTTGGAGACTGCTCATGAATGTCTTGTTGAAACTGAAGAGTGGCTGCCAGTACTCGACGAATGGAACGGTAGGAATGTCATCTTGGACAACGTCGTAGGAAGTCGATGGATCGTAGAACATGATGGATTCAATGTTGTAGTACTCGGTATCCGTAGCGTTGTGCATTGCATCTGCGATGTAAGGAACGCTGGAACATATGTCAGTTCAGGTCCTGTCTCGAAACCGAGTTGAGCACATACTAGTACCCAGCGTACGACTCTCCGGTGATATAGACCTTGCGGCCGTGCAGACCGAATGTGTCCATGAAGTTCTTCCAGAAGCCTATGTTGCGTCAGCTCAGGACGAACGTACTCGCTGTGTCTCTCCCTCTCTCATCAGTGTACGCACCCAGGAACTGCTCTGCAACCTCAATCTCATTCGTCGCAGAAGGCGTGCCCTTCTTCTGACTGAATCCGGTTCCAGCAGGCTGCTCCACCCAGACGACGTTGGTAAGATTGACCCAAGTGTAGGGATTCTTAACAGGCTTGTACGTGCCGTATTGCCAAATGAAGGGCCCGTTCTCCTGTAGCAATCCCTCAAGAGAACTGCATCCGGGACCTCCATTCAGCCAAATGAGGATCTCGTCGCCAGCTAATGCGTTCTCGGAAGGGAAGAACCAGAAGTACAGCTCGCTGACATTCTTCTTGTCCGAGATGGGGAGCAGACCAGCATAGCTCTCTCCGATATCGAAGTCCACGTCTGGAATCTTAGTGCCGTCAACCTTGAACTTCTTCGTAGCATTCGTCTCTGGGATGATGGGCTTTGGCGAATCTGTCGACGTCGGCAGCTTGTATGATGGCGCGGTCGGCGCTCGTGCCTTGATCTCGGGCCCGCCCATTCGAGGGTGTCTCAAGTCCTTGGCCAGCGCCATACCGGCGAACAGCAAAGCAGAGAGCGAGAGCCGCATGTTGACGTTTTTGGTCCTGTATTCGAGACTCGAGCGAAGTGAAGTCGCGTGAGAGGAAAACAAGCTCGCAGCGGCATTAAGAAGCAGAAGTGATCGTCATCACTGACCTATGCATGCCGAACCACCAGTAGCAGCGGTCCCAGAGCCACGGATACCCACCGCTATCTCAGGCACGAGATATGCAACGGAACTCGTTTTGCATGAGTGCTAGCGTTCCCTAGTCGGCTTAGGATTTCATGTACTCACAACCAGCTCCTTCGCACGTCGCGAGGGTGTTATACTGTCATACAGTCTACGCATCGCATGTCACATCCCCCTGTGCGTTCAAATGCCGCCACTCGACCAGCTCTGCTTCTCCCATCTAGCATTTTTTGCGGCGACTTCATGCTGCTGTCTCTCGGCTTCGATACTTGTTCCAAAAGAATCCGGAAGATGGCAACTCCTCTCCCGCAGCATCCAAAAATCTCTTGTCTTGCCTGCCTGTTGAAGATTAGCGCGCCAAAGATAAGGTCGAGTCGGTACCTGGATTGGAAGGTGCGAGGCGGCGCTCGTGCAATATCAAATCTTGGCCGAGTGCGAACATTAGTCAATTAGCGATACTACATCCCACCAATGGAACTTTGGAAATCGATGCCTTCTTTTTCGGCTCTGTGGGCTGATGCTGGGGGAGCGCCAGAAAGGCGTGCGGAAAGCCATCCATACCCTGTGATTACATATTATTAGGGGCGAGGATATCCGCCTCTGTTACAGATAAGGTATCTTAACCTAATAAAAGTTATCCGAAGCCGACACTTTGGTCTGAAATATACAATACAGTATGGTAGCTACCGAGAAACATAGATCCAACCGACAGGCTGCTACCTATACTGCATACGCTCCTCGAAAACCCGTCCGTCAGCGATGGTATAACAGGGACTCGTACGGATAATAGAGTGGTTACTAGCCAAAAGAGCGGCTCGTTACACCGCTATCCAAGGGTTGGGAGTGCAAGACTGGAGTATCCTCGTCCTTTGTCTGTATCAGGGAACGACCACCCGCGACGGAAGCATAACTGTACGCTCTCCCGTGACCACTACTCTTCCAGTTCGCGTTCTGATCCAAAGTAATAAGAAGCGTGAGGTGAAGTCTCAAAAAGCAAGAACGGGGATCACAAGCTGTCGTCTGACAGCCAGGTACAGGGCTCCTGAACCCGGCTCGTCGTGACATGCATGGTTCAGCGTTACTCACCAGGTCATCTGTCATCAAGCAACATAAAAAACGGAAACGTAGTGCACGAAAAGAGCATCGACCTGGAATGGGATCTTCGGTCGTGCATCGGTGGGCTCAGACAGGAATCTTAAGGCGCAGCTGATGTACACTGTAGGTTAACGCAAGAGTGAGAGTCACTAATATGACTGTAGGGCAAGAGTACCAATAACCCAATCGGAGAGCTTTGATGTGCCCTGGCTAGTGTGCCCAAGAACTGCCATATCGAGGCATCCTTTTCTGTACAGCCGAGATACTTCCACGGTGCCAAACCCCTTCACTCTCGGTCACTACTTACCGTAAGACAGACGGCACACGGCCCTGAGACGGCTAGCAGGTAATGCTGGTGAGATGTGGGGTTTCAAGAATTGCTCCGACAACGAAATGGGTATCAACCACAGAATGCAAGCAATGGACAAATGAATCACAACACACGAATTCTGCTCAGATCTCGAAAACCTCTTGTACGCCACTCCAGTCAGCGGTAGCACGCTTCTTCCAGTATTCAGCGCCCTGCTTGAGGATCCAAACTTCCTCGTCTGGATCGGTGTTGGATTCGACAGCCCCTGCGGCGACCTTCTCAAAAAACTGTGGTTTCCAGGTTTGCCCGTGACTTTCCATGACCTTGCGCCGAGCACGCTGCCGTTCTTCCAGTCGAGCCTTGAGCGCTTCGGCTTTGTCGACATCGCCGTCCTCGAGGGCCTGCTGATCAGGACGTAGTCGCGAGTCAGTAGGTGGCAAATGACCCTGCTCGACTTCTGTGATCTGATTGAGGGCCGCCGCGAATGTTGTAAAACCGTAAACCTTTGGCGCATCTAGAACAAGTGATCCGGCAGCCCAAACTATACCTCCTGTATCGGTACGCTTCAGGCTCTCGGTCCATTTGCCTGTAAGTCCAATGGTCAAGGGAGAGTCTTTGTCCAAAAGTTGCACTGAGACATCCTCGCTGCGACCAGAGAACATGCCACCAGACTTGAAGGTAGCTACAGCACGCATGCCGTTTGTCTCATTCTGTACAGTCATGGTCTGCACAGGTTCGACGTACTTCTCGCCCGCGATGACGTTGCGCAGGAAGCAAGTCGCCTGACTCCAGGAGTAATGCTCGCCTGCTGCATGCAGCACCACTCTCGCTCTCCCGTCGTTATTTAGCTCCACAGACTTGCCCCAGAATTTCTGGACTGGTGAAGGAGACTGCGCATAGCACCAGCCGCCATTGTTGAGACTCTCGGCTTGGCAAGCCAGGCGCACAGGATGATGGGACACCTTCTCGGCAACAAAGCGGAAGCCAAGATCTTCCCGCACTAATTCAAATGTTTCGCCAAGCATAGGATTGAACGGTTTGCGGATGGCTCGTTCTTTTACACGGTTGTTGGAATAGTACGACACAGCGAAAGCCGCAATGTACATTAGGCGTTCAGCAGGCAAGCTAGCGCCCGCCGCTGCATCTAAGAGTTGGGAATATTCCAGCGTCTCAGCCAAGCGTTGAAGCAGCGATGTTGGCTCGTTCGCTGTGACCGGCATGGAGATCGTTGATAGATCCTTTCCAGCGTTCTTGCGCAGGAAGCCAATGAAGCTTGGCGGCGACTGTTTCGGGGGCGTGACAGTCGTGCGCCGCTTCGCAGGAGGAAGAGGCAGAGGTGCCAGCGATTCTGGCTTCGTTGGGAAGAGCGGAGATTGCGAAGTTTTGCGAGAAGGCGAGAAGATCGTTGTTCCTTCTCTACCGTCACCAGCTTCGCTGTCGGAATCTGAATCGGACTCATCGTCCAGGAGGCGCTCTTCCTGGCGCCCGTCGTTCAGCTCGCTTGAGCGGCGGATATTGAGCAGCTGCGAGGGACCGTCTTCGCCAACCTCAGCATCGAAGAATTCTTGATCATCCACCGAGTCGAGCGAAAGCCGAGAGCTCGTTGTTGGCAGGGGCGGATTGCGCCGTGCTTTGCTCTCAGCAATCAAGGCTGAGAAGTTGGCGACCACGCTGTCCAGGTCGCGAAGTAGAGCCATACATCTCTCATGGACATCACTGTCTGCTTGTGACGGGTGTGTCGTTGGCGCTGAAAAGCTCGGCCGCTTGGAAATGCTGAGCGACCCACTTCCTGAAGACGTTGGGCCACCAGCCATCGCAGGCGATGGCACGGCCAATTGCGCGGACACGCTTCGTCTGAACAAGGCGGAAGGACTCCTCTCGGCACTCGCCGTGCGCTTCCAGAATGGCCTCTTGCTCTGTACCGAACCGCGCTCGTCGGCTTCAGGGAAGTACGAGCTCGCAGAATCATACGACGTTGGACTAGGATCACCGCTGCTGCCACGAGATTGTATCAGACCCAGACCGGCACCATTGCTACCGTGGCTGTATCTCGGGTCTGTGTCTTTCGCTAAGCCACGGACAGCGTCTCTCGTTCCTGCAACCTTGCTGACCAACTGCTCGACCCTCTCCCACTCGCGCTCCTCACGAGGATTGGTTGGCTTCGGTGCTGGAAAGTCGTCAAGACTGCGCGAGGGTGTCACCGAGCCGGATGTGTTGGTCGCCTGGGCCGACGCTCGCTCAAGCGCGTTCCGCCAACCCTCAAAATCTTTCTTGTTTACTGCCTTCAGATGCCAGACCTCCGCACCAGAGTCAACTGAGAACTCTCGGCTCTTCTCATTGACACCCACAGCTGCCAACGACAGCGGAATTGCACCTCGTAGCGCGGATGAGTGTCTATTTCGGTAGTAGGAGAGCGTGGAAGAGGTGAAGTCCAGGGAGAAGAACCGCTTGGCGAAACCCTGGCCCTTCTTTCTCTTCCTCTTATAGAGGATCCCGGTGTAAAAGCTTGCGCCCTCAATACCTTTGCTCTCCGCTCCATGACCACCTTTCGAGGCTGGGCGCGGGTCTTCCAGCACTCCGCGATGCAAATTTTGCGGGAGCGACTCGTCAGAATCCGTGACAGGCCGCAAAGAGGGACTGTACCCTTTTCCAATAGCCCCACCAGTACTCCCAGAATTCGCCGACGTGTAGTGTAGATGATGTCCAGATTTCGGCGCCGCATTTCTCAGATGTGTCATTAACACAAACGTCACGTTCTTCGACGTCTGCTTGGAGAAGGTATTGTCGAATACCAGTCCGTATGTCCCGCTCTCTCCGTCTGGCACATCATAACGTCCCATGGTGACTTTGTCTGCGTCGCATCTTCCCTGCCATGCTACCGACTTCATGCCAATGCTCTGCAGCTTCTCCACGACATTGCTCTCCGTCACTGAGGCGCGTCTGTTTGGTTTCGGGGGCCTCGCATCTCCGTCCGTCGCTGGTGTCCCGGGAATCTGCGCTGCACTCTCGACCGTCTCTTGCGTGGGTAAATTGGGAGAGACGCCATTCTTTGTACCGGGGTGCTTGAATACGCCAAAATTGATGCTCTTCTTGTTGGGTTGTAGGGACCAGGAGATCGAATGATGTTCAGGGACTTGGATCCAGCGTACGAGGTAGCTCTGTAGATATGCGCATATCAGCGGCAATTCCTTGAGCGTGACCCACTTCGGCTCTTGGGGAAGTCTGAAGCTCGTTGGCAAATCCCTCCGTCCTCAATCATACCTTGGAGTGCACCTCGATATGCTCTATACCCGCCATTCCGGGAAAGAACAGCGGAGGAGCGGCAGTGCGATGGCGATAACGTGTTTATTCATATGGATGCGGCCGATTGGTAGAGGAAGTCGAGTTCATAGCCGGCCGGGAGCGGATCCAACATAGACAACAAACAGCTGTGGTGATGTTTCTCTTGCAGCTGCTGCTCCTTCGCGTATGCTTCTCCGACAACCGCTTCCAGATTACGATTAAGAAGAAGAAGGCAACGTTCTCAATTAGTGCGCCACGTCTGTCCTATGAATGGGGATAAGATATTGCTGCTCAAGTTGTCGGACGCGTGGCGGTGCCGAACAGAAGCATGATGTTGTCTTGGCCTGTGATTCCTGACGGACCCTTGTCTGCTGACTTGACGCGGGCCGAGGCGCCGTCCGCTTTCATCTGACACGATTCGATTTGGGCCGAGAAGCTTCGGAGTACACCACCACACCACGAGGTCAGGTCAGCGTCGCGCAGCAAAGGCATGATGACATAGGCATCGCCTTGAGAGCGCTTGCTCGGATCTTGACATCACCAGACAATCAAGTCTCTTTCCCATTCGACCCCTGAAGGACTTCTCGGGTCGTCGAGAGTTGCAGAACAGATCTCTTCTCCAGCGACCGAACCTTCGGACTTACAGACAATTTCAGGGGTGAAGATATACAAGTTGAGAAGGCAACACAGAAGTTGGGACGCTCGCTCTCCGAGTCTTCATTCATAATACGCTAACGCTAACCATACAATCGCTTTGCCTCTTCAAAACACAGATAAGTAATGCCATTCAGGCGCCCTCGCGGCGAGAGGTTGGGGTATCAAATGACCGCACTCGCTGGTTGTAGAGATACAAGAAGCAATCCACAAATTCTTTTTCGTTCCCACCGAATAGCCCAGAACAACGCCGTGAACAAACTGTCGAAATTGAGATGCCGCATGCATGACGGCAAGGCAGCCATCGTTTCCCTCCCCAGCCCAAGCGCCAACGCTGTTTTGTTGGAAACGCGAGAATCAAGAACCAGCTCGCTGAAATGCCTTTTGATTTTCATGAGGGCATGTAATAAAGTGTCGTAAAATCGTCATAATCGAAAGCCCGAGAGCTCGGGTCGCACGGAAAGGAGAGGAAGTCATCTAGGATCGTCGGCTAAACACGCTGAGCATGCTGCCACGCCTATTCGGCTCCATCCTCACACGCTCGCTCTCTGATGCCGTGGAGTCGGTCGAGTCCTTCCTCTGCGAGACTGGCTTTGGATGTGCCTCGGTGAAGAGGTTGCCAGCGCCACCACGTCCGATGTGGTACACGGGGGCGGAGTCATTGCGCTTCTTGACCAGGTCCTCGTCGAACTGGAAGATAGGCTCCTCAGGCTCGGAGATCATGTTGCCTGCGCCTCCTCGACCAGATGGCACGGTGCGCTTGAACGGTCGAGAGATTCTAGTGAGCGGGACGCGAGAGGCCGGGCCCGTAGCATTTGGGCCAGTAGTGAGATCCTCGGGCTTGAACTTCTTGATGTTGCCAGCACCGCCGCGTCCTGAGCCGATGTAGCCACCAGACTTAGGGATAGTTGGGTGAGGCTCGGTCAATGCGAAGCGAGACATCTTAGTCGGTGTTGAGATGTGCTGCTGTTGTTGATGTTGTGTGGGTAGTATATCCAGATGTTATGATGTAGGTACAACCAGATGGCAAATGCCCTACCAGATAGTGATTTTCGTTGCTGTTGATGGAATGAGATATGAGGAGGGAGACAAACACCTACCGGAGAGCGGTCTAATATAACCAGAAAAATCCTTCGCGCAGTCGCTGACTCCTTGCAAATTTTACTAAACGCAATCGCTGCGTGTGACCTCCATCGTTCCTTGGCTGGTAGAAGCTATGCAGTTAACTGCAAGAGCACGCGTTCTTGTCAAACTTTTCGCAAGCAAAGCCGGAGTTCCGTATCCCGGCTCCAAGCGTACGCGGAGGCGGACCTGTGGCGTCACGGCTTCAGAGCGAGAGAAGTTTTCACTGGGTGACCTCATCATTCACGGCCTCCGGAATGTCATCACGATGCCTGTTCTCGTTGTTTCCAGCTTCTTGCCATCATTTCGTGCCGACTTTGCCTCATCGTCCTTCACATCGTCCAGATCCTTTTCTGCATCACGTGGAGCGCCACTGGGCATCATGATCTTGGGGAGTCATGCGTGCATCAAGCGCACGCCGTCACTGGATCTCGGCGACGGGCCGTAGTGTTGCTATTACCCCATACTTTGCATACCGCAGCATTCGATTACCCCCAGGAAATTGTGAATGGGGAATGGTGCATGTTACCGCGATGGACATCACAGCCTGGGACAGCGACACGTATGACCAGCGACCAGTCCACTGCGAGCTGAACGCGCGCAGTTGTTCGGTGGGCGTCAACACGTGGTTAAATGGCGTGCTATCCGATGTTGTCGTCTACAACGAGCTGCCAGCTGCAGGAACCTGCTGTCCCTCCGAAGCGATCGCATCCTCCGGGGCATCAGCCAGCGAGCCAGGCGACTGCTGTAATTACCGGCCTTCGCCTCTGTCGGTGTCCGAGAAGACTATCGTGGGCACCGGATCTTTTACCGTCACGTTCCCGCACGCTTCCCCGCATCCTCATTGCTAGCGCCCTGCCATGAATGACGGCGATCATCAGGTACCAAATTCTGGTATGCTTGGCATTTCGTAAGTAGGCTTCCAGGTTCTTCTTCTCCGCAACCTCAACCTACCCTGGGCCCCATAATCAGCAATAGACTGGATGTCGAAATCGTTGCTTCTCATTGCGCATACTTGAGACCCACAGCAAGCACCCTATTACCAAATACCGTGGATAGGCGACGCGATGCAGCTTGCTGAACAACCTAGATCAGAGCGAGCCAGGCCGATCGAGAAGCGGTCAATTGAGGTGAGGATGTTCTCACGGCCGAAACAGAATCCTGGGCTGGTTGAAATTGTGGCATTGCAATTGGGTATCTCTCTATGCGAACTTCTGGTGGATGATGTCCGGGTCTAGACACGAATCAGCAACTGCAACGTGCTCGGATCGCGAGGTGGGGAGGAATTACTTACTCTCATGCCAATCATCAATCGTCACATACATCTTCCTGAACGTACTCAAGCCCGCCAGGATGCTACCACCAATCCAAGTACTGTAAAGTCTCTCTGGCGGCGCAAAGATCTTGATGCGCATGTCCTTCACCGCCAGCCTCTGTACTTCTTGGAGAAGTCTATCGCCGAATCCCTTGATCATGGTAGAGCCTCCAGACAGGACAATGTTGCCATAAAGCGCTTTTCGCAAGTCCATATCCGTCCGATTGATCGAATCAACGACGATCTGGTGGAGGCCGGGCCATTCCAAGCCGATGAGCTCCGGATCGAAGAGGATCTCTGGTGCTCGGAACCGCTCTGAGCCAACCTTGAGCTTCTTACCATCTGGTAGCGTGTACTCCGTGACCTTGCTTTCCGCACCTCGACTGCTGGCATTGTGCCATTCCTTCTCCTCTTTCCTGGGGTCGATGGCAACGTATGATGTCTGCTCCTTGATGTTCCTGACAATCTCCTTCTCCGCGCTTGTGTGAAAGATGTGTCCACTTTTGCGCAGCAGTCTTTGCAGCTCTTCGGTCACATCGCGTCCTGCAACGTCTATTCGACGGATGCTATTTGGAATCGCGAAGCCCTCGTATACAGGCACAGCGTGAGAGACGCCGTCGCCGGCATCCAACACAATACCAGTCGTTCGTCCAGATGCGTACAAGGAGAGTACAGCCTGTATTGAGGTGTAGAGCGCAGGCACATTGAACGTTTCGAACAGAATCTGGGCAGCCGTATCGCGGTTGGTTCGAGGGTTCAAGGGAGCTTCGGTGAGCAAGACAGGATGCTAAGACTCTGGTTAGGTGCGCGGTCTCACGGGATGTATTCGCGAATTGCCAGAGGTTGCAACCTACCTCTTCACTTAATGTCTTCAGGTCTTCATGGTAGATATGCTGCCAAATCTTCTCCATGTCATCCCAGTCTGTGACAATGCCATGTTCCAGAGGATATCTGATTTTCAGGAGACCCTTCAGTTCTTGTGCTTTCTTCCCTATGAACACGTCTCCTTCCAAACCGCCAGCAAGTACTCGGAGGTGTTTTGGACGGCCGACGAAGGATGGAAAGTAGCAGCGCGGTGCGTCTTCTCCAGCATAGCCCGCCCTGATGGTGCCGCTGCCGTTGTCGATGACGATGGGCGTATTGTGGAGGTCGCCCATCTTCGCGAGTTGTCTGCGCGTCGGCGCGCCGTACTACAACGTGCTGTCCGGCATGTATGTATCTTCTTCGCTGTGATTACCTAGTTGATATCGTCGTCGTTGCGGGCGGTAGCGTCATGCGCAGATGTGGTGTTGATTGAGTTTCATGGGCTGGAGAGGTTCACGAGTCTCAAGCGGAGCCCACTCCGCCTCTGCCAAGCCAGCCTCCCTAGAACATCTCCAGTTGTTCCTCGCTCGGTCTCGCTCCTACACTACGACGATTTCATCTGCTACGCTTTCACCACCTTATTTCCCTCCGACAGCTACCGTAGCGCTGCTTGAACGACTCGCTCGAAGTTAGCTGTGTCAGACAACCACAATTCTCCCGTTCTCCCGGCTTCCTCCAACAAACACAACACGCAGGCCCTGTCTTTCGACTTCACCTCAGAAATCTCAAAACACTCAATCCTCAACATGGAAGTCCAGTCTTTGCCACAGGCAGGCGCATCGCTCAGGTCTCCTTGCTCTCGGCTCGATCCGGATCTCGAGACAGTCCATATCAACGTCTTCGTTTCGCTGGCAATATCGAGCTGCACGTCGACGTGTCCAGCCGTGACACCTTCCCATTTCGATATACGACCGCTTTTTATTACGAACCCCGCTGCTTGGAGAGCGCAACCGAGCACGGAAACTTCATGACCGAAACACTCCACAGACTCGTGGGCATGCAGCGATTCATGCTAGCACAGCTAGTATTTTTCAACCCGGCTTATTACACGGTAGGTCTGTCACTGTTAGTCTACATAGTAATGTCACAGCATCCACGACTTCGGCTCCACATCTATACATGTTGCTGCCAGTCCTCTCTCTCTCTCCCCCTATCGCTCTCTCTCTCCTCTTCCTCTCTCTCCCTCTCCGTTGATCAAATCACTTGTATACTTTGTTTCTATTCCAAAGATGCTCTGGACGATTGGCATTCTGCCGGCAGCTGTAGCTTTTGCACATGCAGCACCGGCGGTCCAGAAGACTAATGGGCATAGCTCAGATTTGGGGCCTTCGTATGGCGGTAATTGGCCAGGCTGGTCCGGCATAACTCACATGTTCGTTTTTGGAGATAGCTACACCACAACAGGGTTTGAGGTGAATGAAACACAGCCATCGGAGGTTAATCCCCTCGGCAATCCAACTTACCCTGGATACACATCATCTGTATGTTGACAGGATTCAGAGAGGAGTGGTCAAGCTGACCAGCTTTCTCGAGAACGGACCGAATTGGGTCGACTTCTTAACTACGACCTGGAACAAGACCCTTGTAGAAACAGTCAATCTGGCATATGGAGGCGCCACTGTCGATGCTGCCCTGATTCCGCAATATTTGCCGACCGTCCTATCGTTGAAGCAGCAGGTGGATGGTGAATACGGCCCTACTTACGCCTCCCGTCCAGGCTTTTTCCCATGGCAGCCCGAAAACACACTTTTCGCCGTCTGGATCGGGATCAATGATATCAACAACGCCTATCACTGGGCAAACAAATCCGAAGTTTTCGACTTGGACATCAAAGAATATGCTGGCTTGGTGGTAAGCGCTCTAAGGCTTTCCAAGACCATCATCAATAACCCTGTCCAGGACACGCTCTATTGTAACGGAGCTCGAAACTTTCTGTTTCTCAACGTCCCGCCAATCGATCGTTCGCCCTCAACGATCACGAATGGCGCGTCCTCGCCCTCCATCCAAAGGACAGACATATCAGAATGGAATAGGAACGTATCACGCATCGCTAGCAATCTGAGCAGCACTTATCAGGATGCTACGACTTTTGTTTTCGACACCAACAAACTCTTCAACCAAGTCCTAGACGATCCGTGCTCGTATGAGGCGACTTGTGCGTACAAAGACACCAGCGATTACTGTGCGAGCTGTATGTGCACCGATACACTGCCTTAAAAGTCTGAGCTGACACGTGAGCAGACGAGAACGGCACTCCCTCGGTAACATCTTGAACGTGGTAGGAGGTGCAGGTATTGGTTGCTGACAGGTGACAGTGGTACACGAAATACGACAACTGTACATTTGCGGTCGATGAGTATTTTTGGGTGAGTGGAACCTGGCTCGCAGCATGGCTTTTTCTACTGACGAGTCGAAGCTCAACGATTTACATCCGACATTCCGGGTGCACAATATCACGGCAGAGGAGATTGCACGGCGATTAAGTGCATGACTCTAATAGAATATCTCTCCTTCTGCATCGAGATAGATTGCCTTCCGCGATCTTTATTAGGTCTTCATTGATGAAACGAAGTCTACCGAATAGCTCTGTGCGCAAAAAAGCTATCTACTCGTATGCAGACGCACCCTACTCAAACTTCATGACATTGACAACCTTGCCAATCCCTTCAATGTCAACCGCAACCTCATCTCCATCCTTCAAAAACTTCTGCGGCTTCATTCCGATTCCCACGCCGCCGGGAGTGCCGGTCATGATCAAAGATCCCGCCTCCAATGTCTGTCCCTGACTCAGAAAGCTAACCAACTGCCTCACCCCAAAGCACAGATCAGAAGTGTCAGAATTCTGCCTCTCCTCTCCATTCACAAAAGTCCTCAGCCGAAGCCCCTTCGCATCCCCCAGTACCTTGGAGCTCACAATCGCGGGTCCAAGCGGGGCATACTTATCAAAGGATTTGGAAAAGCACCATTGGGGCATCATTCCGGCTTTGTCCTTTTCCATTTGCCAGTCGCGGCAGGAAACGTCGTTCCCGGAGACATAGCCTGCTATGTAGTCGAGGGCATCTGCTTCCGAGACGTTTTTGGCGTCTCTGCCGATGACGATGGTGAGTTCGCCTTCGTAGTCGAGCATTGGCTGGCCGAGCTTGGGGATTGGAACAGGAGAGCGGGTGTCGGCGATGGTTCGATTGGACTTGATGAAGAGGGTGGGGTTTGCTGGGAGGTCGAAACCCGTCTCGAGAACTATTACCTCTCAATCAGTCTGTTGTGGCGAATGTAGATTTGAAAGGAATGGCTTACTGTGTGTCTTATAGTTGAGGCCGATACAGCGAACCATCGGGACATCCTTCGGGGTGAGAGGACCTAGAAGCTGCTTCACCTGATCCTCCTCACCGGTCTGCTTTGCCTCAACAAAGCTGGCTCCATCCAAGACCTTCACCTTCAAACTTCCACCCTGGGCAAGAGCGTCGATATCGGGCTTCGCTTCGGAGACGATGGGCTCTCCCCAATGTATTTTGCCATCCTTCGCCGAGACGTATCGGATGAGACGGTCCCAAGCCGTGACGCCTGCCATTGAGGATACCGGTGGTATGGAGTAAGATCTGGCAAAGCCGTTGTTCAGCTGCGTACGGATCTGTTGGCTTCTCCTCGTGGCTGCGCTTGTTCTCCAGACTTTGCAGCCTCGTGAGAACATGCGTCGGCCGTGGTTCGTTCAAAGCAAATTTATGTGGGATGGAAGAGATGTGTATACAGGTGAAGTCTGCTCCGCATTAGCCGCTGGAGGAGTGCTACCTAATTGGAATGTGGTCCTGCGTTGCGGGGAGCTTGTCCACTCACGGCAGTTGGTACGGCAGGATCCGATGGATGATTTCCCTCGAGGCTACACTGCTGAAGACGCTCGCTGCACGAGAAGACTCGCGAAGAGTAAGACGATGCTGGAACATCAGCAATGATTCGGTGCTGCTGAGGTTTCTTGAAAGGACTTCATTTGGGAACAACTAGAGTTAAAACCGAACACCGGACGTATTCGGACGTGTACTGACAATCTTCTCCGTCAACACAAGCAGCCTCGGAGGGAACAACTAAGAACCGCAGGGACTTTCTGCGACCAGACCCGAGACACTTCTTTCTAATCTTCGGCGTCTTGATTGGAGATCTAGCATTATTTGTACACTGTTTCTGATGGCTCGCCCGCCTTGTTCTACAGCCCAGCCCTAAACGCCGCCGCTATGCACCGACAAGCATTCAGTCAGATACTAACACAGAATCGGAATCGTTCATCACATGCTGGTCATGTTTAGAATGGATTGTCGGAGCGTGCGGGTCTGCGTCCAAAGTCGCCGCCGCTACCACGGTCACCATAGGATGGTCGACCGTAGCCTCCTCTTGTATCGCGGGAGCCACCTCCCATCCCACTGTCTCGTCTCTCGCCGCCTCGACCGCCCGTGAACCTCCCACCGCCTCGTGCGTTGTCGTATCGTTCGCCCGTGAACCTCCCACCGCCTCGTGCGTTGTCAAATCGTTCTCCCGAAAACCTGCCACCGTCTCGGTTACCACCACTACGGTCACCACCAAAAGCACTTGGCCTATCGTCAATCCGGACGCCAGGTATGCGCGCAATTCTCAGTCTCTCTGCGAGACCAGGTGGTATGGTTGGAGGGGTACTCAAGCCCCATCCGAATTGAGAAAGGTCGTTCATGGCCCGAACAAGTCGATCCTTGTGTGTAAACCATTGATAGACACCCAGTAGGGCAAGATAGACGCCGGACTTTTCCAGAATCGACACGCCTTGGATTGCCTGTTGATACGCGCTCAGGATCTTGCTAGCATGGGCGGGCACATTGCCAGCTTTGGTAAGATCGAGGTTGGGGATAGAGAGAGTGTCATCCGGTTTGATTGGCAAGTTCTGCAGACGGCGGCGAGATTCTCCATCCTCGAGTTCGTTCAGGAGAATCCAGGCTTCGCCTTCTTTTCCAGCCCGTCCTGTACGACCGATGCGGTGGATGTACTGCTCGCGGCTGGTCGGAAGACCCACCTGAATGACATGAGTAACGTTCGGGAAGTCCATGCCTCTCGCTGTTACGTCTGTAGACAGGAGAAGACCGGTCCGGCAGGCTCTGAAATCGTCCGCGGCTCTTTGACGTTGCGGTTGAGTAAGCTTGGCATGAATCTCCAGGGCTCTGGCTGAGCCCAAAAGTGATGGGCCACCAAATGCACCAGAAGAGTTGCCTTGAGAGTGGAAAGTCTGTGCAGCGAGACGGACTTCTGCGGTGCTGTTGAAATAGACAATGCCCTTGAATGGCTTGCCACCAGGCTGGCTGCCGGCGTCGATTTCGCGCTGACACAATTCGATGAGAGACGGCATCAGATTCTCAAATCCCCCAACACGCACGAGCTTCTGTGGCACACGCTCGTGTGTAGGCTGTTCATCATCCCTCACGGTCTTCACAAACTGAAAGCCAGGCTTCAGCGTGCTTCTGACGAGGTGTACCACCTCCTTTGGAACAGTGGCAGAGAACATCAGTGTTTGACGATCCTTCTCGGCAGGCGCCGGAAGTTGGTGCATGATTTCCTGGATCTCCGGCCAGAAACCTTGGTCCAACAATCTGTCCGCTTCGTCTAACACAAACGCATCGAGGTCTGGGGCCTGCACGCGAGAGTACGAGTCGGTCAGGAGGTCCTTGAGCCGACCAGGTGTCCCCACGAGCAAATGGCAGCCTTCTCGCTGGATTGCTCTCAATCCCTGCATCTTCTGAGTTCCACCAACTGCTGTTTGCACAACTATACCAGTGTTTGCTGTAAGCTTTTTGGCCTCAACTGCAATTTGTTCCGCCAACTCTCGGGTCGGAGAGATGACAAGCCCACGAATATCGTCGGCCGTCGTGCGTGGACCACGTCGCCCTCCACTGCGTACCGCGAGGCCGGGATCCGCTTCAATCATGCGCTGAAGAATGGGAAGTAGGAAAGCAAGTGTCTTTCCCGTACCGGTCCTGGCCTGTGCAATCATATCTTGTCCCTTCAATGCTTGTGTAATTGTGAGCCGCTGTACATCCGTCATAGTCTCGATTCCCATGTTTTTGATGGCTCTAACGACAGTGGGATGCACGAGGCCGTGCCTCTCGAGGTCTGCGAATCTTGTCATGGACGCGTCGCCACTGCTGGCCGCTTCTGTCGCTTGAGCGGCAGCTTGCTGGCGGAAGATGGAGGATTGATGTATCCGTCGCGTCGCAGGGTAGGCACGGAGGGCGACATGTCGAGGGAGTGCAGCCCTGGAGATGGACTTATGTGCCAATCCATTGCTACTCGAGATGGTTCGCGAAAGAGATGCAGCGCATCGCTGAAAGGATCTGCGCATCGCGCTGCCTGTCTCTATTTGATGCCGCAATCGTCTGGCAGAAGAATGTCGAAAGAAAGCAGATGAAATTTGGTGGCGGTGATTGGGGATGAGATGTAAGTGTAATGCGTGTATACTCCTATCGATATTTTTCTGAGCAGAGCAAGCAAGCCCGTGCACGCTACTCACAGACCCTGATGATCATCGCGTTCGTGTGGCCAATCGGCCGCTGCAGCTCCGGTGATGCCTCAGGCAGGTGAGATATGAACTTCTATGCTTCAATAGACGGATACTCTGTTGCACGTTTGGCGACTCAGAAGCAGTGCGCATGAAATATTGCATGTGAAGTCATTCCCATCTATCAACACCTTAGAGAACGTCTTTGCGGCCACTGAGCCGGATTATATAACATGCAGCGTTTTGCGCTGATCGGAGTCTCAATCCATGTCCATTCCTTCATCCCCCGAACAGTCGCCCTGTCACGGCTACTGGGTGCCACCGTAAGTAGATGGCTTCTCGCCGCCGTCTTGGCTGCCTGTCTGGCCAATGGGACTGGCCTCCGCGCCGCTGTTGTCGCCGTAGGCCTGAGGAGAAGCATGGCCTCCTTCACCACCCTGGCTCTGCCCTGACTTGCCGATGGGACTGGCTTCCGCACCGCCTTTGCTGTCGCCGTAGGCCTGAGGAGCAGCATGGCCTCCTTTACCACCCTGGCTTTGCCCTGACTGGCCGATGGGACTAGCCTCCGCGCCGCTGTTCCCGCCAGAGCCCTTAGGAGTTCCATGACCTCCAACGGGACCGGCTACCGACTCCCCGCTGGGCATTTTCTTGTCATCACCATAGCTCTGAAGACCTCCTTGTTCACCTCCCTGCTGACCTTGAGCTGGAGAGGCGATACCGCTGCTCTGTCCCTTTCCGGGTTGTGGGATGGGAACAATGCCTTGGCCAGACTGTCCTTGCTGAGGGGAGGCAACTCCACCCCCATTTTGGTTCTGGCCAACTCCATTCTGCCCGTAACCATTCTGACCTTGAGCTGGAGAAGCGATGCCGCTAGACTGTCCCTTCCCGGGTTGTGGGATGGGAACAATGCCTTGGCCAGACTGTCCTTGCTGAGGGGAGGCAATTGCACCCCCGTTTTGGTTCTGACCGACTCCATTCTGTCCGTAGCCATTCTGGCCAAATCCATTCTGCCCGATTCCATTCTGTCCGTTGGCGTTCTGCCCGTAGCCATTCTGCCCGTAGCCATTCTGCCCGTAGCCATTCTGCCCGTAGCCATTCTGCCCGTAGCCATTCTGTTGACCACTTTGGGATTGAGGGACAACGCCTCCACTGGACCCCTGACCCTGATAGCAAATATTAGCACCGATCCTATCAAAACCTAGAGCCTTCGCTTTCGCATGACTTACAGGAAGTTTTCCGCCCCCGGCCTCATGAGGAAGCTGGCCATTCTGTTGACCCTGACCAACAGGAGATGCGATGCTTCCTCCAGCCTGGTTCGGGGGCTTGGGAATAGCTACAATGCCCTGACCGCCGGGGACGCCTTGATTGCTCTGTTGGCCACCTACTAATTCTTAGAGGGTGTCCGGGGGAGGAATGCCATTCATACACATACCTTGAGGGCTCGGGCCTGAACCTCCAACAGCTCCTGGTTGCTGTCCTTGAACGGGAGAGGCAATGCCGCCGGACTGCTTGCCTTGGTCTTGGTCGTCCTCGCCTCCGTAGCCTGGTGGCAAGGTCATTAGCCATATGCATGGGTGAGCAAAGATGGATGGCTTACTTGGAGGGCTGTTTTCTTGGCCTCGGCGATGCTGAAGAGGAATGGCAGACGCCAGGGCCAAAGAGGCCAATCCCAAAGCGAGGACGCGCATACTTAGTTTGCAAAGGAGAGGATAGAAACAAAAGACTTGCTAAGTGTTCGGGTCGATGGTAGTAGAGAATTGAAAGATGAATGTCGGTATGAGCTTGAGCGATAAAGCGCCTTCTCGTTACTCCTTTTTGTACTCATCTCTCCGTACTCAGCGTACCTTTTGCACGTCACTAGCTTTCGCGTCGCCATGACAAAATCTTGGAACTCTGCGCGAGAGCAAGACTGGGATCTTGATTCTGGAGACGCAGATGTCGGAAATCTGCTGTGGGCCAGTCACTGACCCGTGGCCAAATCGAAGACGGCAACGAGTAGTGACGAGTCACTCTGTTGAAGCAGGCCTGGAACACGAGCCCGATTGCGTCGCAAGGTATGCAGTGTTTGTTTGACATCGTAGGATTTACTAGTGCCTCGTTGCCTCCGTGCTGCACTTTCCGATCAGGTCATTGCTTCAGCATAGTCCTTGCTGAGATTAAATATATTTCCCACATCCGTATGTTGATCATATGGTAACGGCTGGCATCCCAGGGTCTTGTCTGAGCCTGAGAGTGTTATGATTTTGGCACCTGTGACTGCAGATCACGTCCTTCCAACGTGGCGATACATGATCTTTCCACGGCGCCGTTTGCAATAGCCAAGAGCTGTGAAACAAATCCCGATGGTCGAAGGACAGAGACAACACGTCTCGTTACGCGTGCCACGTACGAACGCGTATACAGGCGGAGAGCCGACTGCTGGCAACGGGGCCAGCACAGCATGCACCTCGCCCGTGCCAAGCGGCAATAAGTTTGATGAGGGTCGTTGAGCTCCGTGACTCGCGGGGCGATCGGAGAAAACTCTGCAGCCTCAGTTTTGAAAGATTATATTTCGGGCGGGATGGCGGCCTTCAAGATCCGGTCGCGACTAAGTCCTGGAAGTAAGTTCTTGGTGGCGTTAAAGAGATGGTTCCAAGAGATGGAACTGGCCAGAAATGAGCGAAAGCCACTCCAAAGCTGACGCAGTCCTAGAGCTCGTGTTTCAGGGTTTTGTGGACAAAGAACCGTCGCCTTGAACCTCCTGCCAGTGAAATGATGTGAATTTGGTTTTCAGTCGTATACGGCGCCCACCGAGAGACATCACCTAGTTTCAATGAGGTACTAGTAGTCAAAATGGAAGTACGAGCGTGGAAAGCACGGAGGCTCTGTCGTTGTAGGTGAGGTGAAGGCGAAGTCTACCTACTAGCCACGACAAGGGTCACCGGGTCGCAGCGCCAAGCTCACGTAATGCCGCCTTGAGAATCCAACACATAACCCATCAAAAAATGCTATCCCCACGCTCAGGGCCGGTGTACGTCTGGTCAGATGAAAAATTCTGATTGAATTCTCCCCACGACCCTGCCTCCAGAACTGAAAAGATCAGGTGCAGCTCTACCCGACAATACAGTATGCGATCTGTCACTGCTGCTGTTCGAAGCTACAACTACTGCTGCTCCAGTAACCACTTGATGCCATTGATCGAATCATCCATGAATGTCTTTGAAGCTTTCATGTGGGGAAAAACGCTCCAGAACCCGTGCGGCTGACCTGGATATAGGTCGACCTTGGTCTTCACGCCGTCATCTTCGCGCAGTATCCGCTCATAGATGAGCGCTTCATCCCTCAGAGGATCGCCTCCAGCGATTTGAAAGTAATTGGGTGGAAGACCCTTATGGCCAGAAGGCCAGAAGAGCGGGCTGAAGAGATGGTTGGCTCGATCTGCCTTGTTCGGGATATCTGAAAGGCGTCAGCGTTAAGAGCAGTGTGGACACAAGCACCGTGCTTATTAGCACTCACAGTTGTCTCTGAATAAGTCCGTAGCCTTGTGGTTCAAAATCGCTGCATCTGGCAACTGATCCCACGACTTCCAGTCCTTTTTGTGCTTCTCAGGAAAACATTCGTCGCTGCAGACTGCCGGAATCATCAAATGACACCCAGTCAACGCTGGCTTTAGTCCCTCATCTCTGGCCAAGTGCGAGACGACCACACCCATGTTACCTCCTGATGGCACAAGAAATCTTAGCGAAGGGCATTTGGGTCTTATTTCGATGGAACCTACCAGCGGATGAACCACCAACAGTAAATCCCTTCGAAGGATCGGCGCCCAGGGCAGAGGCATTTTCAGCAGCCTATCTATGGTTAGTCGGGTGACCGGTCGAGATCTCTCACGGAACCTGCCCATTTGGTTGCATCATAGCAATCTTGCGGCCCCGTAGGGAACTTGTATTCTGGCGCCAGTCGATAGTCGACGTTCACGGCAACCATGCCGAGCTTACTGGCCATGAGACGGCACAGGAGTTCTTCGCCGACGAGACCGCCGAGGCACCACCCCCCTCCGTGAAGGACAACACCCAAAGGACTACCTCCTGACGGTTTCGTCTCCGGCGAGTATACGCGCACTGTAATTCTGTGTCCATCTCGCATCTTTGACCAAAGTGTCAGCGTGAAGTTATAACCTCGAGCCGGCGGCAGCAATCTAACCGGAATCTGGTGGTCTTCTTCTTTGACACCTGGGATACCGCCATATCCGTCGCTCATTGCGGCCTTTGACCTGGCGAGGAATTTGCGCAAGTCTGCGATATTGTCGAAGGCTGCAAGATTTGGGGCGCCTCCCATCGCCTGGATGGTTTCGAGATACTCAGGATCCGGATCTGCGAACGAAGTCCATTTCGAGGCATCTCGAGCATCGTCGTCTCTGATGGTCTCCATTGTCGTGTTCTACGAGCGGGAAGTCGAAATCAAGCGTGATAAGCGAGTTCGGATTGGCGAAATTCATCCGAGCTCTTGTGGTCTTTTATACGCTTATGACACACCGGGTCCTTTGCTGTGAGAGGGTCAAGCTATGCGCTCAACTTTGCGAATAGAGGAGCAACATCTCCAACGTCGTGCAGAACGTACCCAAGCACGCTCCGAAAAGCCAAAATTCTTCGACCGCGTAGAGCTCAGCTTACTGGTGCATCGACGTGATGAAGGAGTCACACTTCACAAGTTGGGGGAAGATGTCAGCGTGGTCGGCGTCGGGGTCGGCGTCGCACCGGGCTGCACTTCTGCTCCTGCTGCTTCGAACTGCAGATCTGTCAACCACGATCGATCCTTCGCAATCGCGTATCGACAACAAAAATCTGCAGACCTTGGGCCGAACAAGCAACATGAGAAATATCGCCGACGTCTCGATACTGAAAGCAAAATGACCGATGACGCTGACAAGCATGATATGAGACTCACTGTCTGGCAAGTTTTATCTTGAGACTCAAGGCAAGATCTTACAATTCTCCCGTAGCCTCTTTGCTAGAGGTCATGATATTTCTCAAATTTGACTTTCACGCCAGGGGTATGATATTATTTCATTCTATTGCATGGACTCATTTCAACGTGACGCATTGCATGTCTCTGGTTTAATACACCGGAAGAGAGTGCATCGATCAAGTATCTCCGAATCTGGCGCGAGAGGTCTACTGTTTGCCAGGCTGACCGAACTCTTGGTACTGCAGATGGAGGTCAGTCGACGCGTTCGCCATCAGACACTAGATGCACATACCTTTGGAGGAGCCGAAGAACCGAAGCCAACCGGGTTGTACGCCTCACTGACAGGCTGAAAGCCTCCCTTCTCGTTAGAAACGCCCTGTGCAGCTTCCGCTCGCTTCACATCTTCATCGGGGACGACACCGCCGTCGCCACCACCAACAACGACTTCACCTCCGCCGCGCACCTTGCCGATGACCATTCCTTTGGCGACAGACTTGATCACGGCACGTCGCGACACGCCTGTCACATCGATGTAGACCAGTCCCACGTTCTTGACACCGCCAGCAAGGCTTGCGGCAATAGAGCCGGCCTCTTCGCCGTAACGGTGACCGACCATAGTGCTTGCAGCCACTCCGCTCGTCTCTAATAAGGACTTGCCGCTAGTCGCAATGCCGTCCATGACGGTGCTGAAGGCGATCATGGATCTGTTCAGCAGACCAGCTTTGTACTCTTCTTGTTCAAGAGGTCTGCCCTTCTCATCATATCCTTTGTGCGGCTTCTCTTTCTTGTGCCCAGAAGCCTTTGCTGCGAGATTCTGCACAGTGGTCGTGATGTTACCAACTGTCTTGTTCGAAACACTTGCCGCTCCGCTAGTGAACGTATTGATCTTCCTGACACGCTGATGTGTAGCTGGTGAGAACTCCATTGGCTTGGCGACTGGCTTCGTCTTCTGTGTGAAGTTTTCCGCACCACTGGTGAGCATGTTTCCAAGCGAAGAGCTGGTGGTGACAATCAGGCGCGACGCAGTTGCCGCTCTTTGGACCAGGTTGCTGTTCTTGTAGGCCGGATGCCGCGCCATTCTCAAATAGTCCTCTGATACAGGACGAACCTCAATGCGCTTTCCATCCTGACTTACTTGCACTTCCACGGGATCTTTAGATCCAGCCAACAGCTTTGGGTCTTCGATCACCTGAGCACCTTCACCAAGCTCGCCCACGACTGAGCCATCGTCTTCATCGATCAGGACGATTTCGCCATGTTTCCTGCCCGTCTTCTCATCTACCGCATAGCTTCCCCCAGGCGCATAATCTTGTGGGTTGTATCTACCCTTCTCGCTGGCACGTGAAGGCAGTGGAGGTCGTGCTCGCTCGAGGAAGGCAGTGCACTGTGCCAGAATGGTCTCAAATGTATCCACATCCTCTTGCGTGACGCCATAGCCGATAGGAGGGAATTCGATCTTGGTGAATGCTCCTACACCTGGGCCTAGGTCCCACCTGGGAATCAGGTAGCTGGAAGGCGGCTGGTGGTAGATTTGGGTCGTAGCGGGTAAGGGTAGGTCGAGCTCGGGCGGAAGGTTGAGATGCAGGTAGAAGTCCTCTTCAGGCGCTTCATTTTGAGGAATCGTGGTGCTAAGGTCGGCGAAGGGCGAGCTGGTAGGAACCATGAGAAGGGAGAGGGTCTGAGGTCCCGATGGCGTGAGTTCCTGCTCGGTGCCGTCCTGGATGTGGTGCGCCTTGATTCCCTTGATCGCGTAGAGCAGCTTCGGGTCGTGATGACCGGCCATGGTGGGCAACGAACTTGTCTAGTTGTCTGCTTCGCGGTGCAGTTAATTCTTCTTTTGGGGCTCCCTGCTGAGTGTTATGTGAAGAGCGTTTCGTTGTGGCGACGAGAGGAAAAGTTGGCAGCGGAAGAACCAGTTCTGCGGCCGTCGATCAACGCTCTGGTCAGAACGTGCAGCCAGACGTGGAGAGGTGTGCGACGTGTGCCCCTCGGCGGCTACGTCAAACACTACATGTACCTGCACCCTTTCTTCGCGGCCTTCCTTCAATCATTATTGACCCGACAAAGACAGCCTTCGTCTTCTCATTTCTGCGCGACACTGCCATGGTCGACTGCCATCGCGGCAGAGGCAGAGGCAGACGCTGCGACGATGAGCTCTCTCCATCCATCGTGACTGAGGAGTCGAGGGTGAGACTGGACGGCAACGTGCCTCCGCGAGCAGAGTTTTCTCGTCCACTCCCAGCACAGCGCACAGAGCAGTTCACGTGGCGCCACTGCCTCTTCACAGCGATCGTCAAACCCATCCCCGACGACCTCACCTTGTTGCTGCCATAGCTCCAATCACGCCAAGCATACCAATCGTTTGCTGAACGCCCTCAACCTTTTCCAGCTCCCAAAAGGTAGCGTACATCTTTCATCACTTCCACTGGACACTTCACGTCAACACATCATCCTCCACCTCTCTCATACCGTCCGGTGCTTCCCAAACACACCAAGGTCATGCAGAATACCATCACCACGGCCATTTCAGACATCTTCTACGATCCCACCATTCCTCTCTTACGCTGGGCCGCCCCGGAGTCCAACACCCTGGACGGCTCCTACACGACGCCGAAGTAGGCACGCAGTCAAGCAGCAGACTGTCCAGACACAAAGACTGCCATGGCAGCGCTGAAGTCTCTTTCTCTTGGTGTCCTTCTAGGGCCGCTTAAGAAGCCTCTACGGTTCCTCAAGCGACAGCTGCCGCCGCTGAACTTCATTACAATCCACTATGCGTACTTCATCGTCACATGTCTTATCAGCGCCATCATCCTGTGGGGATCGGCCACTCCATTACGCAGTCTATCTTTCACGGATGCGCTTTTCCTAGCTATTAGTGCTATGACCGAAGCTGGCCTGAACACCGTCAACCTGTCGTCCCTGAACACCTTCCAGCAATTCGTCCTATTCCTCCTTGTCATCATTGGCTCAGCGATCTGGGTCTCGGCATTCGTGGTCCTTTTGAGACGGCATGCATTCGAGAAGAAGTTTGGCGAAGTTGTGGAGAGGCGGCGCGAACGGGAGAAGAGAAGACGTAGCGGGTCGAGGGGACATAGACGGGCATCATGGTCGATCAGCAGGAGGTCTTCTCGTGCCGCATTATCCTTGCCGGCGGCTCAGGTGGACGAAACCTCTGCTCAGCCAGCTGAGAAACCTAGCGACTCGAGCTCCCGAGATGAATACAATGAAGAGAGTCCTATGCCACGCTCGGTCACTCCCCCGGCGCGGGCTGGCGGTGCTGAAATCTATGGATTCTCCAGCGAGACTGGTGAGCCTTTGAACCGGATAGATTCACCAGAGCATGTTGCCCGAGAGCCGCAATCGGCAGCTCAGGCTTCAGGCATTCAATGGCGATCCGACACTGTCTTCAAGCCCTCTCGTCCGTCGCGATCCCCCACCTCACCTCGCAAAATCCGCACGGGTATCTTCAGCGCACAAGGCGTTGGCGCCAGACCTACAGCCAGTCTCGAGGCCACGCTTTCCAGACACTCTACCGGCCAAACCGATCGCCCCTCCGGACCGGTGAATCCTAAACGAGATGTCAATCGGTATCTCGAGTCCATGGGTGGCTGGATTTCTAGGAATAGTCAGTTCCATGGTCTTACGCAGGAGGAGCGCGAGCAGCTTGGAGGCTACGAGTATCGAGCTGTAAAATACCTTTCGTGGGTAGTCCCGGCATACTTCGTACTCTGGCAGCTTTTGGGCGCTATCGGCTGTGCTGCATGGGTTGCCACCGTATCCCCAGATGCCTCAAGAGGAAATGGCTTGAACCCTTGGTGGGTAGGCGCTTTCAACGCCGTCTCAGCGTTCAACAACTCCGGCATGAGCTTACTAGACGCCAATATGACCGCCTTCGCGACTGGCTACTACTTGATCATCACGATGGGTCTTCTGATTCTGGCAGGCAACACGTGCTTCCCGATCTTTCTCCGGCTGATCGTCTGGTGCATGTACAAGCTTGTCAAAATGAACGACGCCAAGTCTGAGGAATGGGCTGAACGTGCTCGTACCCTGCTCTTCCTCCTGGATCATCCGAGGCGATGCTATACCAATCTCTTCCCGTCTCGACACACGTGGTGGCTGCTCGTAGCGGTAGTCACCCTGAACGGCGTTGATTGGGCGGCATTTGAAATACTGAACATCGGCAATCTGCAATTCGAAAAACTCAATTCGGTTGGCGTCAGAGTCATCGACGGCCTCTTCCAAGCATTCGCAGTGCGCAGTGGTGAGTAACCCCTCGGCCATGAGTGCGCTATGTGATTCCCTTCATACATACCCGGAAATACCAATGAGCCTTGAGGGAATCGTACAACACGATCTAAGCTCGCACCTAGATCCTTCTCTTCCATTCTCCTTGCCGGAATGCTGACCTGCGAAACCTCTAGGTGGTTTCTACATCGTCCCTATCCCCGTCGTCCGCGTCTCTCTACAAATTCTATACGTTATTATGATGTATATTAGCGTTTATCCCGTCGTTATTACGATGCGCAATTCGAACGTTTACGAGGAGCGCTCGCTCGGGATCTATGCCGATGACCAGGACAGCGACCAACATGATACATCCGTCGGAGACTCTACGAGTATTTTGTCGCGACTTCACAGTCGGCTCGTCGGCACCGGCGGAGACGGGACGGAGACGAACGGCACATTTGTGCGTGCCCAATTGCGCGCCCAGCTTGCACACGACGCATGGACGATAGCGGTTGCCCTGTTCTTCATATTGGTTATTGAGAACAGCCAATTCGAACGCGATCCGGCAGTCTTCAGTGTCTTCAACTTTCTGTTTGAGATTGTTTCTGCCTATGGATGCGTTGGGATATCGATCGGCCTCCCGAATGAGTCGTACAGTTTCTGTGGATCTTGGCACGTTTTGAGCAAGCTGATTCTCTGCTTTGTGATGCTGCGTGGCCGACATAGAGGTCTGCCGGTGGCCATCGACCGAGCCATCCTGCTTCCGGGTGAGGAGAACGAGCTTGCGGAAGAGGATGATGGCAGGTGAGTCAACATCCTCGTCGAAGAAGAATACAGAACTCGAAGCTAACGTTTGCAGGATTCGGCTTGCTCGAACAAGTAGCCGCGGCAGGCAAGGGGCCACTGTGGTTTGACCATCTTTCTTCTGGCGAGGACGGATGAGCGACACTAGGCTCCTATGCTCCCTAGCATAGGCCATATGAATAAAACGACGATGGGTGAATGTCGGGTGAATGTCTTGTTGTGACAGAGAAGCATGTGATATGGTAACTATAAATGGATATTTCGCATCAAAAAACAAGCTTGTGAAACGGCAAAGGCCCGCAGATTCCTAGCCCTCCCCGCTCATGTACACTGCTGGCCGCACAAAGGAGCTTCACTTTTATTCCACCTTGCTGACTCCATTAAAAGCTCGGACAACAACATCATGTTACCTCGACGTGCCGCCAGACGCAGCGCGCGACTAACATTCGAAGCCGCATCAATTCGTACTCTGGTCGGCGAGCAGACGGACTGCATCACGACCTCTCGAACTCTCAGGAGCCAAAGATTTGCTCAGGTGTCGAAGCAGCTCCGTACCCATCCTCTACTCTGACTGTCACTGGTTCATTGCCGTAGGTTCCAACTTCCGAGTCCGCGCCGGAAGATCGCACGGGTTCTGGCACACTTGGCATTCAAGAGGCCCGTCATGAAGTTCCTGCGCAGTTCCCGCGACAATGTTACGCCACGCAACTTCACCGTTCGAGTTCATCGGTCAGACACCGCCACATGGGTTCGGCGAGACATCCGGGACGAGCGGCGTTTCGCTTATTACTCTCGCGCCAGTACCATTGCCACTATCAATGTAAGTAGGCTGGGGAAGAAGAAGAAGCTCGAATGCGCTACAGAGATTGCAAATAACATGCCAGGAATTTAGCAGGGTATTGCCGCTGCCAAAGCTGCTGCTCAGGAGATTCGTACGAATGATGATTTCAGCGGCTTCACGATTGCTGGTGTTGACTCGCTGGCAAAGAAGTTCCGCTTTTGATCACGGTCTTACGAGCTGGAGAGGTGGGGCAGGGAGTGCATGGGGTACGACTGCAGAGCGGATGGCGCAGTAGAGGATCGCGGAGTTGAGACTTGATTTTGCTATGACGCTTGGAAAATAGCCTTGGCGAGAGATGTAAATTCAAGAGGCAGATTGAGGCTCTTCTGTGTGAGTAGCACTTTGACAGAATGCACAGTGGGCAGGTTGCGCACGGGTCATACGGTCACGTGTATGCGCCCCTTAGCGTGAACCCCGCAACTTCCTACTTCGTCTTTCGAGACGCGACTGCTCTTTCTTCCCAACACTCGCCATCCTGCTCTTCACCTCGTATATCAAGATTCCCACGCAGACACCTCGATTCAACATAGGCGATGATCTACTGCAACAATGTCGACATTCGACGGTGTCGTGCCCGAGTTCGTTGACATACGCATCGACCGCTTCTTGAAGAGTCAGTCGGCAAGGCCACCGCTCGCCACCTTTCTTAGCCATGTCCACACCGATCATCTTGTTGGTCTTGACGCTTACAGATCTCCGTTCATTTACTGCTCCGCCGCGACGAAGGAGATTCTACTGAAGCTCGAGAAGTACCCGGATCGCATGAACTTTGCCAACGGCATACTAGAGAAGCGCATACGCCGATTCGAGCATTTGAAGACCGTGCTTAGAGCAATACCACTCGAGACGCCGACGACCATCGACTTGGCTCTAGGGCAGTCTATCCGCGTCACGCTCTTCGATGCCAATCATTGCGTCGGCGCGGTTATGTTCTTGATCGAGGGTGACGGAAAGGCAATCCTATACACTGGCGACATAAGATCCGAGGCCTGGTGGGTCAACAATCTCATACGCAACCCTGTCCTTCTTCCGTACGTGACGAGCACCGATCAGCCACCACTCAAGCGTCTTGACAAGATCTATCTCGACACTACCTTCGCGAGCAAGGTCAGTCGGTACCACCAGTTCCCTTCTAAGGCTTCGGGAACAATGGAGCTACTCAGGAAAGTCTCACAGTACCCAAAAGATACAGTTTTCTACCTTCATGCGTGGACATTTGGTTACGAAGAAGTGATGCACTCCCTCGCAGCTTTTCTTGGCTCTCGTATCCACGTGGACAGGTACAAATATGGCGTGTACAAGTCGCTCAGGCAAAGCGACGAGTCCAAAGCCACAGAGGCATTCAGCTTGATAGGGACTCAAGTCGGAAATGTGTATCACAGAGGCTGTCTTACGACGGAACAGAACGATCAATGTCGTATCCACAGCTGCGAGAAAGGCACCGCCTGCGATATCTGGCAGAAACGTAAGTACCGCATGTGGGTTTGTGTGATGTTGCTGACCAGATATAGCATTTGTCCGAATCACCCCGATTGTCTCCAGACTTCCGAATGGGCAGGAGATGGGCGAGGTTGGAGCTGGCGGTGGTCAGAACGACCTCACTCGGCAGGTGTCGCTGGACGTGAGCAATGGTGCTGTCTATGGCTTTCTGATGAAGCTTTGCTTCTCAGAGCTGAAGCAACAGCCGCAACTCCGCGACAAGGTCTTGCAAATGCTCAACGATACTACCGAAGGTTCTGAAGATGCCGCAATCATCACAATCGATTTAGCGGACGTGATAGGTCAGCGTTCCGACCATGAGGGCTCTTCCAGCCCAGAAAGTGGCAATTCATCAGGTCAAGTGCCTCTGAGAAGCATCGTCCTTGCTCTTGCGAAACGTGCGGCATCGATCGCAGCACCAGCAACTGGAATGGAACCCACAGTTACCGAGCAAGGTTTGCCCAAGCAGATCACCTTCCCGTTCTCGCGTCATTCCTCATACAGCGAACTCTGCCTGCTGATTGGGGCCTTCAGGCCCAAAGATATCCACCCTTGCACAGTGGACGAACAGAACTGGCACTCAACTCACTCCATGAGCCATCTTTTCGGACACCTATATGACACAGTTGCGACTTTCGGACACGACCAGTTGATGCTACAGCGACAGGCTGCAGCTGAGGATAAGGATCGTGCAGATGCAAGGAGTCCGAGTCAAACCCCTCCCAGAGACACGCAGGAGTTCGAAGAGCGTCTAAATGCCGGGCACGGGATCTCGAACGCGCCATCGTCCTCGGCACGTCGTCCTCGTCGGCGGTCTCTTCTTTCTGATCCCCAAGAGGATTCTGAAACCGCGCGGAAGCGAAGGAGACTTGGGCAAGACTATCAGCTTCAAGGAGATTTCTACCCTTCTCTTAAGGTCGACCACTACTCTCCACCATCGAGGCGCACGCACTCCAACGAACGAGACAGGCCCTTCCCGGCCGTGAGACAGACGCGTAGCTCTCGGCCGTCCACGGAAGCACCGCATCGCGACGTCTTTGAATGTCAAGATACTTCGCAGAAAGTATGGAGTCAGCCAAGTATGGTTGAGTCGACACCGCAGTCTCCTAGCCGGCGAATCAATCGGTGCCAGAAACGTATCGCCGAGTCGCGTCGCCCATCAGCAGTGCTGAAAGACGGAGAGCGCTCAAAGAAGGATCGTCGGCAGCCTGAGAACTATGGACGTCTTTCTCCGCCGCCACTGTTTCCCATCGGCCGTAAGTCTGTCCAGCCGCCAGTCAGAAAGGATGGCAGAAAGTCCGAGGATTACGGACGTCTTTCGCCGCCGCCGCCGTCACTTTCTCCAATGCGTCGCAGCGTCCAGGGGGATTCCGACCAGCGCAATGGTGACCGACGCCAGTCCGAAGATTATGGTCGGCTCACTCCCCCGCCACTCATCAAAACCCGTCCCGACGTTGAGTACGATGAGATGGCTATCAAGCGAGAGTTGCAACAAGAAGCTTACTACGCTGCACTGGACGGCAACTGGTCATCGATTGAATTGATTAGTGTGCATGGACATCAAATCAAGGAAGACGAACTATGAGAGGTTTGAGATGCGAAGTCATGCTGTACGTTGGTATTGAGTTGCCTACGGCACTCCACACGTCGCTGTGTCATTCCAAAAAGACTCATATGCTTCTGATTCTTGCATGACTTCTCTGGCTCTGCCTGCCCCTGTTTTGGGCAGCTTCAGCTCTCCTTGGGTACTCCGTGGCTTGGTAGGCGTCACTTCAACCACTCAAGTCAAGAATCAATCGAGCTCTCTGTGTATGTCTCGTCGTGTTTCTGTCTCTCATGCAGGTTATAAGCATCAACCGCGCCCACTGCTACCACGCGTCAGACGATTGAGTAAGCCACTACTCGATCCACTGCTCTTCTTCCGACCACTTGGAGCCCGAGGTGCTTCGTCAACGTCCATAGCATCGTCGTCTTCATAATCGTCATCCGCCTGATCCCGCTTCGTCGCACCCCTTACGTTGTGACCCGAGCTATTCGTCCCGAGAACTCTTCCAGGGCCGCTACCGCCCTTTTCTCCCACGTCTGTCACTGCCTTGATCTGCTTCTCTGCCCTTGCCTCTCTCTTCGCTCGGTTTCCTGCCTCTGTTTTGACCTTCCTGATCTCGGCTTCCAGGTCTGCGAGTACGGAGTCGCAGCGTCCGCTCCAGGCTTGTAGCTCGGCGATCATGCTCTGCACGCTTCCCGGTGCTAGGTCGCGGAGTGGGGCGACGGAGGTGATGATTACTGTTTGAGCAGCGGGATTGAGGGTTCCGGTGATGAGGTTCTGGTAGAGGGCTTCGGTGACGAGGTGTTCGAGGTCGATGGGGGATGAGAGGCCGAGTTGAGCGCAGAGGGACTGATAGCTTAGGTTGGAAGTGTTTGAGGATGTTGTCGACTTTTGGGATGCGATGGTGAGGAGCGAGAGGAGGCGGAGCTTCAGCAGTTGGGCATCTGTGAGTTCGGGCAGGGGGTTTGCTGTGATAGATGTCAGTCGGAAGAGTGGTGCCTGGAAGATGACGAGACCGACCTCTGTAGCTCTCCAATGTGCCCCAGGCGAAGTGCTGAAGGACTTTGAAGTAGACGCCATATTGCTCGTTTTCTGCAAGAGCCTGGATGTTTGGCTGCTGTAGCAGTTCGGCGAAGATGTATGTGTTTGGTGCTGAGGTTGCCTGCGTCACGAGGTCCGCTGCTGCTCGCGGAGAGTTGGCTGATTTGGCCAGCGCGATGAAGGGCGCGAGGGAATTATTGGCACGAGTTTGATCCATTATGAGCTGTCGATTGAGGCGAGGATCTTCGGGCTGTCTAGAGTCGGTGTTCGGTTGTAGTAGATGAGTTGGAGGATGGAGGGACGTCAAGCTTCCAGGAAGATCGTTTTTCCGGCCAATTTCACTTCACCTCGTCGCCGCGATCTCTCTTCGTCACAGGTTGTACCAAGAAGCACATCGAATATGACATCTGGCGCGAGAACTTCATTGCGAACTATGCGCAGTGTAACCTGCTCGTGCTTTCTCCAGGCAGTGCCTGCTGTATTGTGTCTTGAAAAGGTAACGTGCGCCGGCATCAAACCGCCGTGATGGATGGGTGCAGTTATCCTTCATGTGTTCAGGTCAAGGATGCATTCTTCAGGCAACCTCTCAAGACACCCAGACTCTGACGAGAAGGGTCATGGAGCAGCGTGCTTGCATGACAATTGGATCCTGGATTTAGTGGACGGGTGACAGAGGTGCTCCTTGGGACGCACAGTCGTGTCGCGAGTGGTGTCTGCTTGGCCACCGAGCCGAAGGTAGCGCTACTACCATCCGTCAGGTGACACGATGGTCAAAACTTGCCTGCATGGTTTCCCGCTTCCTGCGGCTTTTAATGTCAAGCTGCTCCACCGTTCTGAGGCATCAGCAAGATCCATATTTACGACCTTTTGGCCTGTCGTTAGACCTCAATACGTATGGCTAACAACATTACCTATTTGGAAAAGACTTGCTCCCCGTCAGACGGGACTTTCACATGTGCTGGTACTTCGAGGTCCGTAACTCCAGCCGCTGGGACTGAATATGTCACCGTCGTCGCATACCAAGAGGCAAAGCCGACATCCGGGCTGAGTCCTTTGGATGGCGAAATGTCTTGGATTTATGTGCTGGACTGGAAGACTTCCCTGTAAGTCGAACAATTCTTGCGGATTGCGCCAGAATTGCTGATGCTGTACCAGTGCCTCTAGCAGGAGCAATTGGGAGTCAATAATCACGAGCATGGTCCCGTCCACTGCTGATCAACTGGAAGCTGCTTTCCTTTATCAAAGACTAGGGCAGACTCCTGGCTGGGCGTCGCCAATGCCAACAGACCTGCGGAGCTATTACATGTCTGGCCACCTACCTTTGTTCGCGACCGTGATGGAATATCAGGAAATACTCGTTCCAACCAAAGCTCATGAAATGTCTCCAGCTACTCAATCACATGGTATGGTGCATTGATTCCCTATCTGTGGTGTATGGAACTGAAAATTTGGCCGCCAGTAACCTTTACGAGCAATCTCCATGGCACAACGACAAAGGCAACCTTTCCGTCTTCAATGCTATCTCCATCGCATAGTGCCATTTCGAAATCTGAAACGCCTCCAAACCACGAGGGATCGATTAGAGCAGTGGCGATAGCAGTGCCTCTGTGCCTGATAGCTGCCTCGCTAGTCTGCGCGTTTGCACTATTTATCTGGAGACGACGCACGTTTCCGCGCAGGAAAGGCCATGGACATACAAACCGCGCGTCTACGTTCCGACCAGATTACAACGCCAGGCCTCTTTTCCCTCATCGGCCATTGGCTCATATGTCAGACACCAGCTTTACAACGACAACGACTCGGAGTTCTTCCTCGTCTTCGACTAAAAAGCAGAAAACGGTCACTCCACAATTGCCGCCTTTGCCAGAACTCGAAGGCTCACTGCCAGCGGTCCATCTGCACGGGAGTCTCCAAGTGACTGAGGAGACTATTCCTGAAGCTCTGCAGGATCTGGTAAACAGCTACTTCGCAGCTACGGGAGAGGCACGGGTAAATGAGACGGCCAGGGATAGTCAAGAGTCGCAAAGTGTTGCGCGGTCGACGCAGCCTTGAGGGACCGCTGTGGACAAGGATCCACTGCCTATAAAATCTTGCAACTCCATAGGTAGACGGCGATGTTGCGCATGAAAGACTGTGATGCGTTGTCGCGGCGCACGTCACCATGCTGTGGATATATCGATTGGTACGCACAAATTGCCAACAATAGGTTTTTGCTCTCCTTGTTTGCTTTGTGTTCACGTCAAGATAACAGAGACTTAGAACTGGGAAACCCAGTCCCACACCATGATGGCTGAGCAGCGCAAATGATGCTATCGTCTCCGGCAGCTCCTTAGATTTTCGGTCCTTCTCGATAGACGTAGAGACAAATTCGCTTCGAGAAGGTGGAAAGAGCGTCGGTCGCTATCAGAATGCCTAATGAGCTTACCGTCGATGCCTTGCCATGGTTCAGAACGGCCGAAAACCTGATGGGCAATGTACACCTTCGCGAGAATATCCTGAAATGCTACGCCGACGAAGCGTCTTTGGAGGAACGATACGTGAAACGACCGATTAGCCCACATGCCCGACGACCACGGATGCAGGACAAGCAAACACCCACCCATTCCACGACTTCGAAGAGCATCTACAACAAGCCACACAAGCTTCCACCATCATTCCAACCATCGCACTCAAGACAATATTCTCGTCCTCATGCTACCCATCCGATTCGCAGCTGACCTCGTGTTCTGCGCCGGGAATCTCACCGACGCACGTAAACAACAACGTCGGCCGAGAGAAAGAATTCAAACGCTCTCCAAAACACACAACTGACTTCCACGCCAAGCCTCGCTTCCCTCGTCGACTACTACAGACTCTCTTGGAGAATCGCCGCTCCAGCATCGCAGTACCAAGCCAGGAGGAAGCCAAGGCACAACCCACAGCTCCCTTTTCTCCCAGGTCTAGAAGACAGCGCATTCCTGGAAACTTTTTAGCAGCCGGCAGCGAGGTCCCAGACACCGACCGTATCTACCGCTTTTGCACGGCCTCCCTTTTCTTCAGATTTCGCGGCCATTTTTCACGTTCCCGCTACGTCTAGAGCTACGCCGGGTGTTTCCCCTTGTACGTATCCTTTTGCGCGATAAGGCTGAATCATGCAATGATTCTGGGAGAAGACGAAGGGCGATTTGAGAGACGGTGAGTAGAGGGGGTAGTAAATTTGGCCAAAACCTGGTAGTTGTGGGAGAGCTAGGATAGGATAGATAGGGGAGTAGGAAAAATGCAAGATTTTGTTGTTGATGGCTTTCGATATAGGTTGATGCGGGCCAGCTCGCGAGGGAGGAGAACAGAATCGCGCGCTGGTCGTAGTCTGGGACAGTGTGTCTAAGATTTGGACGGTGATCAAAGTCAGAGATTGACGCAGCGCATGTTTGGTGTCTGCGTGAAGCGTTCGTCAGTGTGTATATGGATGTACGGATTCACTATTTCTCGTTCTGCTCTGCTCTGCCCCTGATGATGAAGGCACAACACTTTGCCCCCATCTGCCTGCTTTACTTCTCGCCAGCATCACGTGTCAAGATAACGGCGGAGAAATTCCTCAATTTTGTGTCACGCTCGTGCATCCCGTTGGGTTACGTTACCCAGCAGTAGGATGATGAAGGAAAGCGCCGCAAACATGTACGACCGGTGCAACGTGATTCAGGCCTGCCGCAGCAGGATGTAATCCCTGTAGGAATACCAAGTAGTGTCTCTTGCCTTGTCTTTTTAATGTATGGCAGCGCTGAGAGCGTGAGTACCTGGCGCCGAAACACACTCTCGCTGCGCGGATTGACGAAGTTGAGATTTTGTGAAGATGCTGGATCCAGCGCATCTTCCAGAATTCTTTGATCCGAAGCGCTCCTTCGCTGGGTTTCAACCTCCAGGAGTGTCGATTTCTAGAACGGCCGATGGCAATTCAAGCATTACGGCAACCATACACTCGGGGAGTCTGCAAACCAGCATGAGATCGGCCGATGCTGCAACGAAATCGTGTAACCCGCACCAGAGCCCATGCCCGGCATCAATCACGTCGAATCCGACGACCTTGTCCTCATTCAGCACTTCGACAACAGCCACGACAGCAAGCGCATCACCATCGTCGAAAGATGAGGGAGCGCCACTAAGCCAACAAGACGTTCACGGAACGAGCAACGATTCACTGCCTGCAATGCCCGTACTGGTGGTCGTTCTTGGCGTGTTGTTACTGGTAGCAATTCTCATAAACCTATGGCTAGTCTGGCGTAGATGGAGCGCACGGAAACCAGATCGGCAGAGCAGAGCAAGTCCTGGCCAGGAGTCGGGAGAGGTTGCTATATACCCGCACAATTTGGATGTCGCCCAGTCCCGAACCAGTCTTGCAGCTGATCCCCTGTTGGCCACCGAGAAAGACCCATGCCCGGGAGTGCAGGTGCTTCGGCCACAAGACGGCTTTCTTGATGCCTCTTCCCAGAGGAAGAACTCGAGTGACGCGGAGAGGAGGCCCAGGCTGGGAATGAACCGAGCAGGTCGATCGAGAGTGCTTGCCCCGCCTCCTTCACCTACTCTACCCTCGCCGTCATGGCATCAGAGGGCCCATTTTGGTCCGTCTAGAAGTCAGAGTCCCTTAGCAGAAAGTGAGGACGTAGAGCGCATATCGCCGGTCTCGCCTTTGAGCGATGAAGCTTCTCTTCGAAGCGAGAGTCCGTCAAGCCAGTCAAGAAAGTGGCAGTGTCGTCAAGGAGGTCAGTCACAGGCATAGGATAAACGCGTCGGCCGTATCGCTTCAGCGCAACATCGATTAATTCATGGGTTCCTCATATCGAGTGGCATTGAGGACCGGCCGAAATTTAATTACCTTTCCTTTTCTCCCACAGCTTTCTAAGGCCATGTATTTCAGAGCTCTTCCTCCTGTGCAATGGCCACGTCGTCCATGTGAGGGCGAGTTAGTATTCAACTCACAGAATGGCTATTTCTGATCCATGGCAGCTGATACTCCGCAACAGAAGAGGTTGAACAGCATTCTGCGCCCGGTAATGTCCTGTTGCACATGGTCTGCTGCAGGAGGCAGCTGGACACTGCCCCTCTCTATCAGGGCGTTTGCCCGTTGGACTGTCGAGGTATGATGCTACGCCTGCAAGTGATATTGACCTTCTCCTGTCAGCTGTTTGGACGAAGTTGTGATTGATGCTCGTCTCGTGACGGAACCCAGAACCCTGGTCCCCACCGTGGGCAGCTTGCCTTCGCCCTGCTGATTTGGGTTCTCGTCGCCCTGTTCTACCGGGACCGCAGCATTCTCGCACACTCAAGATGAGGATCGAGGAAGCCTCGCGACTTCAATGCACCGCCGCTCGGACGATATGAGCCGATGAGCCGGTATCCAGACACGACCTTCATGTCTATCCCAACGCGTTCTCACAAACACAGAAAAGGCACGCGACACCTCAGTCAGCGGGAATTCAGACTGCCATCCCATGGTCTGATACGAGGACTGCAGACATCTCGACGCCTGCACAAGCTGCTGTTTGAGCCTTGCTCATGGCAGATCAGGCAGCATTATCGCGCAGTACTCAACAATGCCGTCTGCCAAGAAACCGTCACGCCCGGCAATCAGCCGCAGCGTGGTGATGCCCGGACAGGTCGACGCGCAAGCGGCGCCCAAGAGTATGAGGATGACCCGTCCGCGCCGCGCCGGCTCGATCTCAGACTCGCAGATGCGGGATCTCCAGCAGTCTGCGGTCAAGCTCCAGCAGCAGGCAGACAAGAAGCTGCGCGTGTGCAGGAGTTTTGAGACGATCGGTCGTGATGCAGGGCAAGGGCTTGGTGTATCTGATCTGATATCTGATATACAGCCGTGACAGGCGGTGCTTTGATGCCAGGAATCGGCGACGGGCGAAGGAGGAAGTAGTCGATGACGTGCGGGCGTCTGTCGCGGACGGCGGCTATATCGCAGGGAAATAAGAGGACGGACTAGGCAGGATATACCATGGAGCAGACTATCAGAAGATTGGGCATCGAGTGTAGAGTGTCAGGTGAGAGGAGCGAGAAGGAGCCAATGAGGGGCTGATGTTTCACATTTAGAGTTGTTCGGACCGCACTGCAGGCGTCCGCCGCTGGCTGCTGCGAGTCATCATCCAGCTCGCAGCAACGCTAATGCCCAGATGCGTGCCGAGACTGGACGGAGGATCAACACGTGAAGGGCGTCTGAGATAGCGAAGCGCATTGGCTTCGTGTCTGCGACAATAACAATGCCTATAATCATTACAGTACAATGGGAGGATCTTCGTGCCTGCAATAAGGCACGCAACCGCGGGCTGGGCGCACAGCTCACGGGTGACAAGTGATTGTCGGAGATCGACGTGGGGCATCACTGATGAGCGTCGCGTAGCAGATGAGACAGGTCGACCCAGGTGGGCAACGTTGCAAACGATCTATGGATGGTGCTCCGGTGCCGGCAGCGTCGCTCGGCATTTGCTATGTCGTCGGCGGTGGTGGTGATGCAGCGTCCATGCTACGATCGCTCCCGCAACAACATGCATGGCATCGCACCGCAGGCAGCAATTTAGAGTATGGCATTGGCTTCAGAAGAGCAAAGCATCCATGCCGAGTTGTTGTGCATGTCGTGGGCGCACATCTGTGCGCCGTGTTGATGTAACTGCACTCTGCTGGAGATTGGCGATCGAAAACGTGCGCGCGAAACGACTCCAGCCACGCTATTAAGTAGAGAGGAGCCAGCGGGCGCGGCGGAGGATCTGGCGGCGGCGGCGGCGGTGGTCAGCTGGCAGAGCTTCGAGGTCTCACTCAGTGTCTGTCACTGTACAGACCCGTGCAAGAAGTAGCCTGTCAATGTTCCAGTGACAATAATAATATGTTGCCCGATTGATGACTTGTGCGACGATGCAGGCTGCGTTCGGCGTTGTTGAACAAGTCAATAAGGTATTATTATGTCCAAGCGCCGTTTAGAGTGGAGACCAGCTAGCACAGAGCAGCGGTACTAGTGGCCGTGACTGAGGTGGGCCGTGCTCGCCGCTTCCAGTTGTCTCTGGCTGCTGGCTGCTGCACCCGACAGCTGCTGCTGCTGCTGCTGAGTAGTAGTAGTAGTAGTAGTAGTAGTAGTAGTAGTAGTGCTCTCACAACAGCTCGAGCGCGGCTTCCTCCTCCGCTGCTACACACACCATCCAATACATACCTTACACACCACCTGCACTTGCTGCGCTGCGCACGTTACCACTGCACGCTGAGCATTTTCGGAAAGAGCATATCACGAACAATCACACTCTCCCCACCCGACCCACGCACGCAATGGATCGGCTCTAGGTGAGCCCGTCTCTTCAGCGCGCCTCGCACCTGCAGGCAGCGGACCCGACCACCACCACCACCACCACCACCACCACCACAGTCACCACCACCACCAAGTCCGCTCCCTCCCTCTACGCAGACGCCGCGCCTTGCGGCAAGTCAACTCACCCACCGCGACTCCCCTCTGGGCCTCTCGGGCCTTTCCTCCCACGCTGCCATCCATCAGGTACTACCCAACACCGGCCACGCTCTGCCAACTCCGAGCAATTGCTACTGGGAGACACAGCTGTCGAGTCCCGTGAGCCTCAGGAAGAGATTCTAAACGCGTCGAGTCTGCTCGCAGCCAGTCACGACATCTCAGACCAGAAGCACATCCAGTACCACCTCACCTTATACAATACGTCGACGCTCGTCACAATGGCGACCACGTCAACCTCGATGCCGCCGGCGTCGCTGCCCATCCGGACCTCATCACAGCCGCATACCCCTTCACACTCGGCCACTGCTGCCGCCTACGACACACGCGGCTACACCTCACGGTCTTCCCGCTCCCAAGGCCAGGCCGGCTACGGCAGCGAAAGCGACAACGAACGCCAGCGCAGCCAGCGCTCACCCAGAGAGCAAACGTCTAGCTCCAGAAGCGAGCGTCACCGCACCGCACCAAGCCAGAGCCGCTCTGCAACCGCTGTAGGACAGCCGCCAATGGGTACGGACCTCCCACGCGAGAACAGCGCTATCATCAACCGCATAGTAGTGGACGAGCCCGAGGCAGATCTCGCGCGGGAAAAGGCACGCATGGCGGAAGCCACGCCGAACGCTGGCCCTTCAGACGTGATCGCCATGGCAAGCGGCGAAGCAGCAGACGTCCCACCTGTTGCAAGAAGCCGTCATGAGCACCTCAAACATCAGGCAGGCAGCCGCAGAGAGAGCAAGTTCGGCGACTACATCCTCGGCAACACCATCGGGTCTGGTGAATTCGGCAAGGTCAAGATGGGGTGGAAGAAGGATTCGCCCGTTCAGGTCGCCGTGAAGCTGATACGGAAAGACATGGTTGGTAACACCAACCGTCAGGCCAAGATTGAACGCGAGATCGATATTCTGAAGAACTTGAGACATCCGAACATCGTGCGTCTGCACGAATTCGTTGAGACTGAAAGATACATGGGCATCATCCTGGAATACGCATCAGGAGGAGAGCTCTTCGACTACATCCTCACACACCGATACCTCAAAGACCCGGCAGCCAGAAGGCTCTTCGCCCAACTCATTAGTGGTGTTGGGTACCTGCACGCCAATGGCATTGTTCACCGCGATCTCAAGCTTGAGAATCTCTTGCTCGACCGGAACAAGCATATCATCATCACCGACTTCGGCTTCGCAAATACCTTCGATTCGAACGATGAGCTTCCAGATAGCATTGTGGCGCGCATCATGGACAAGGATTACGTGAAGCGGGAAGGTCTGGACAAGCTGAGGCCCCGCAAAGACGGCAAGTCAGGCGGTTGGAGGCGCGGCGACTTGATGCAGACATCGTGCGGTAGTCCATGCTACGCCGCACCAGAGCTCGTCGTCCACGATGGTCTCTATACCGGACGCCTTGTTGACGTCTGGAGCTGCGGCGTCATTCTATACGCCATGCTGGCAGGCTACCTGCCGTTCGATGACGATCCCGCCAACCCAGATGGAGACAACATCAATCTCCTCTACAAATACATCTGCTCCACTCCACTCACATTTCCAGAATTTGTATCGCCGCACGCACGAGATCTCCTCCGCCGCATCCTCGTTCCCGAGCCGAGACACCGAGCAGACTTGTTTGAGGTTGCCAGGCACAGTTGGCTGAGTGAGTACTCACACGTGGTTGGTTTCATTGGAAGTCGCGTCACGAGTGATCGGGACATGTCGCAGACTGCGGTTCAGAACGAGGAGGATTCACAACTTGGTCGCAGTGCATCTGTCAGAGAGCCGAGTACTAGGAGCCCTGTGGCCGAGGTGCCTTCCAAGGCTACTACCTTCATACCTAGACATGGCCCATGTGCCAGCGTCGGCGGCGACGAGGCCAGCGACTTCAGGAAGCAGCAGCAGCAGCGAGACGCCAAGAGACGGACAGTGCAGATCGAATACCCATATGACGCACAACCTGCCGCAGCAGCTGCTCGCAACGCCAATGTATCTACGCAGGCTAAGCCTGTGCCAGCATCATCAGGCTCTTCATCTGGCAAGACAAGAGCATCGCCACAAGCACAAGGACCTGTTGAGGTTTCCACAAAGAAGGATGAAGCCTCAATGGCACCGCCTTCATGGGGTGCAGGTCAAAGACCAATGTCGGAATCGACAACGCCTGCGGACAGAGCTCCGTCAAGACCAAATACAAGCGGCACATTAATTGGCGGCACCTCTCGTCTGCCTTCTCGCGGAAACTCCTACAGCCAGCCAGCTGCGGCTCAGCCGACTAACACAACAGCCCAGGGTTCTTTCTCGCAGCCCAAGTCCAACTCCGGCTACATCATTGCTGGGTCAATGTCTGGTGAACAGGGCGGCGTAGACTCGAGTGGCAGACCAGTCAGCGAGCAGAATCGCACTGGTGGTCAATACGCTGGTGCTCCACAACAGCCATACCAACAAGGAAGGACATCAGCAAGTGGCCACCGAAGGAGTAGCACACTCGGCAGCCTCGCCGACAAGGTCCTGAACAAGAGCGGCTCAAGACGTTCATCACAACAGGAGAACGCGTCCTCTGCCAGCGAGAAGAGAGACCGCAGGTACCCACCAGTCAGCATGAAGAATACGATGCCGCAGACGCCGCAGGACGAGTCTGGCCCCAGACCATCCTCCGACAGCCGCCGTCCCAGCTTCGGTTTCTCACGGAAAGCCTCCAAGGAACGCGATTCCAGTGTTCAAGGACGCAGAGCGTCTGGACGTCGCTTCTCGTGGCTGCCGGGCAGCCTGAGCATGGCCAGCTTTACCGGCAAGAAAGATCAGGGTTATGAGTCGGGCGACGATGGCTACCGCCCGCCACCGAAGTCTCAGCAGTCTCAGCAGTCACGCATGAGCAGACCACCCAGCAAAGGCATGGCTTTTGGCCGCGGCACTTCCGACGCCCCCAGTGAGGAAACTACGAACAGCACGATCCCGCTTCACGATGATGAAGAGCGAGAGATGGCACGCGAGCAGCGACGCCAACAATCCCGATACGACAAATCTCTGCCACCTTCACCTGGCGCCGAGCAGAGCTATGGCACACAGCGAGCTGGACAGCCGCAGTACCCGACTTCCTCACCCGTGCAGCGTAAGCCACTGCGCGACGATGGCTATGGATCTGGCACGTTGGGCCAGCAAGATCAACAAGAACCAGTGGAGAGGTTCTACACCCCCAACCAAGAGTCTGCAATGCGAGGCTCTTCTTCACAATCACGGACCGGACAGTACGGTCTAAGCGGTCAAGGCGAGTGGGAGCAGTTCGAGCCAAGCCAACGCCAACAAGGTCTCAGGCCACAGCAAAGGAGGCTGGGCTATGACAATCATGGCCACGGCGGCAGCTCCAATGCGGCAAAGAGAGTCATGAATTATTTCCGCAGCAAACGAGGCAAGGATCTCGAGGCATAGGACGCTTCACGGCGACGACCATATGAATTCAGCAGTAACCCAACAGATTCAGCGGACTCCCTCACTCACATTTCCGAGGGCAACGGCGAGCCTGCTTTCGAGGCATCTTACGACACCTGCAGCACAACGACGCAAGGAAAATATTCCTACAGCCATGATATCGCTGCACCCGAGTCTTTCGACGGAGGAACTGTGATGAGACGAGTGGAGAGGGCTGTAAAGAGGCGCGTTCGAATCTTCTCTCCAAGGCTCAAGGAGAGCAACAGAAGTCCAGCAAGCATGTCATTGACGCCAACTCCGCCTGCAGATTGCATTCCGGCAATCCTCTTCTCATCTCGAGGAAATCAAAGTCCTGAAAAGGCAGAGCATGAGCATCAGTACTGCAGTATCGTTATTGAAGGCAAGATTGTGTGTGGGGGGGGGGAGAGAGAGAGAGAGAGAGAGAGAGAGAGAGAGAGAGAGAGAGAGAGAGAGAGAGAGAGCAAGTTGAGACTGAAATGGACTTGGGAATGGGAGATGGGCATCAGCATGGTTTGCTGTACAGTATTGCAAGCAAGCGAGGCGTTTAGGGAGTTTGCTATTGGACTTGATGCGGGCACGGATGGGCGGGCCTTTGATTGACGTATGTGTACATGGATGGGATGGGATAGACTCGCTCACAGGCAGCGCAAGATGTTGTTAATGATACCGATTGTGGCCCCGGAGGGGGTATCTAATCGATTACATTTTCTCGAGATTGTTCAACTGGCATCTCAAATAAACAGGTTGGTCAGGCAAGCAGTCGTCTTTTTCGTCCCACGATTCGCTCCTCGGCAAACGTCCGAGCGTTTAAGACGAAAGCGATCGCTTCATCCATGTCGTGAGAAGGTGCAAGTGCTGCCGTGAAAGAACCTTCTAGTGATCACTGCAATGATCGAAAGCCTGGAGATGGCGTGAGGTGGAAGTGCAAGGATACTCGGTATGTCCCTTTTACCAGAGGGGTGTGGGGGTACCCGGGGATTTCGGAGTTTTGGCCTTTGTGGGAAAGCCGCTTCTCGAACCCCACGGATCTCGGATCTCATCTCGTGGCTACGGCCGCCACGGCGCATGTCCAGACTTTCGATTCGGGAATCGTGGTAGAATAGGGGCGGGCAGAAGTCGATATTGGCGTGCTCTGGCGTGAACTGTCCACTCCGGCCACGCAGGATAAGCGATACGGGCCGCTGCCGCCATGCTATTCTGGAGCAGGGAGTATCCCTGCTCGATCTGATCCCGGACGCCGCGAAGTGAGGTGTGAATTCGGGGACTGCACCACTTCCTTCCATCTCGGCCTTATGCGTCCAGCCGAGCTGACGTTTTGTCAGCGCGCTGAAAGTCCTTCTTACTGTCTTCCGCTCTGTTTCTCGACCATTGTTTCCTCTACGAAGTATTCTATCTAATACGGCTGGTTCTTTGTTGCTTGTCTTGGGAATATCGGCCGCCACGAGACGTTCTCGACCGCCAATAGGATCACAGCGCCACGCGACAATGAGCTTGCCTCCGGTCACCACGACGAGCGATTCGTAGCACGTCCTGTGCCCCATTGACGCCTGTAACGACCATACCTCCTATATACATGAGAATAAGGGACTCAGGGTACTGCAAGGACCGCCTTTGTGCTTGGAGAGACGATACGCGTACACCCTGATCTTCGACTCCACATTCCAACATGGCTCCTTCGAAAGCAGCGCAGAAGGCGCTTACCGCCCACATGACAACAACCACCCTACGAGTAGATGGCATGACATGCGGAGCATGCACCTCATCCGTGGAATCCACATTTGAAGGCGTAGAAGGCGTAGGAGGTGTATCAGTGAGCTTGGTCATGGAGCGTGCGGTCGTGGCCCACGACGCGGATAAAATCTCCGGAGAACAAATACGAGAGATGATTGATGACAGAGGATTTGATGCGCAGGTGATCAGCTCAGACCGGCCTGAGTCACCGCTATTCGATGCTTCAGAGGATGAACAGCTCCTAGACGACACTGGGGCGGACTTGATGAGCAGCGGGTTTTCCACTACAACTATACACGTGGGCGGAATGACATGTGGGGCTTGCACTTCGGCTGTAGAAGGAGGTTTCAAGGACATGCCAGGCGTGAAGAGCTTCAGCATATCGTTGCTGGCAGAACGAGCGGTGATAGAGCACGATCCTACCATCGTTGGTCCGGAGAAGCTCGCAGAAACAATAGAGGACACCGGATTCGATGCAGAAGTCCTAGAGACCAAGGCTGCTGAGCCGAGCGTGACCAAGCCGAAGCAAAGGAGGAAGAGCGTCACCAAGCAATTGATGACTACAACCGTAGGCATTGAGGGCATGACATGCGGAGCTTGCACTTCAGCGGTCGAGGGAGGCTTCAAGGATGTTGCAGGATTGGTGCAGTTTAACATCAGCCTGCTTGCCGAGCGCGCTGTGATTGTGCACGACCCCGAAAAGCTTCCCGTGGCAAAGATTGTGGAAACGATTGAAGACAGAGGTTTCGACGCAAGTGTTGTCTCCAGTGTCGAAGAAGGCGTTCAAACATCCAGCAGCAACGCGTCGGTACAGCTGAAAATCTACGGCTTGCAGAGTCCTGAGTCAGCAGCGGACTTGCAGGTCAGCCTCAAAAATGTTCCAGGAATCGCATCCGTGAACATCAGTTTCGGTACTGGACGTGCTTCGATATCGCATACTCCGTCAAAGATTGGACTCCGTGCCATTGTTGAGGCCATCGAGAATGCTGGGTACAACGCTCTTGTGGCCGACTCAGACGACAACAACGCTCAGCTCGAGTCTCTGGCCAAGACTAAGGAGATTCAAGAATGGCGATATGCGTTCCGGACCTCCGTCTCCTTTGCCGTGCCTGTCTTCTTCATCAGCATGTTTTTGCCAATGGTGATACCGGCGCTCGACATTGGGAGCATCAAGCTCCCCATAATCCCTGGACTGTGGTTAGGTGACGTGCTTTGCCTGGCCCTTACTATTCCAGTGCAGTTCGGGATCGGAAAGCGTTTTTACATCTCAGCCTTCCGGTCGATATCACATGGATCGCCAACTATGGATGTACTGGTCGTGCTTGGCACTTCTGCGGCATTCTTCTTCAGTTGCGCGGCCATGGCTGTTTCAATATTGATAGCTCCTCATTCCAGGCCCGGGACAGTGTTTGACACCAGCACCATGTTAATCACGTTCATCACGCTGGGGCGCTTCTTGGAGAATCGGGCGAAGGGCCAGACAAGCAAGGCGCTTTCAAGACTAATGAGTCTGGCACCTCCTATGGCGACCATCTACGCGGATCCAATCGCAGCAGCGAAGGCTGCGGAAAGTTGGAATGCCCGAAATGAGACCGACGAGAAGCAGTCGAAGGTCGATGACCAGGAGACTCCCGGTTCCGCAGTAGAAGAGAAGACGATCCCCACTGAGCTTATTGAGGTCGGAGACATCGTAATCCTAAAGCCTGGCGACAAGATTCCCGCGGACGGATTTGTGACCCGCGGTGAGAGCTATGTCAACGAGAGCATGGTCACTGGAGAAGCGATGCCAGTCAACAAGAAGTCAGGATCGCCTCTGATGGCAGGTACTGTGAACAACGCAGGTCGCTTAGATTTCAAAGTCACCCGTGCTGGTCGCGACACGCAGCTGAGCCAGATTGTGCGGCTGGTACAGGAGGCACAAACGAGCCGAGCACCTATCCAGCGTATGGCCGACATCGTTGCTGGCTACTTCGTTCCAGTGATTATTACACTTGGTCTGGCTACGTTTGTCGGCTGGATGGTACTCAGTCACATCCTGCCGCACCCACCCAAGATCTTCCTCAACGAGGCTTCCGGCGGTCGACTGATGGTCTGTGTCAAGCTATGTATTGCAGTCATTGTGTTTGCTTGTCCCTGCGCACTTGGTCTGGCTACTCCGACGGCTGTAATGGTCGGTACTGGTGTTGGAGCCGAACAGGGTATTCTGGTTAAAGGTGGCGCTGCTCTCGAAACTGCGACCAAGATCACGCACATCGTTCTCGACAAGACGGGTACCATCACGATGGGCAAGATGAGCGTATCACAGTTCGAGCAGGCTGGTTCGTGGAAGACCAATCCTGCTCGCGTCAGTCTGTGGTGGACGCTTGTTGGTCTTGCGGAGATGAACAGCGAGCATCCTATCGCCAAAGCAATTCTGGTGGGCGCGAAGCACAAGCTCAATCTGGGACCCGACGCTCAAATCGAGGGCAACATGGGCGATTTCAAAGCGACAGTCGGTAAGGGCATTCGGGCATCGATCGAGCCCAGCGGTGCTTTCGAGCGGAAGAGATACCAGGTCACTATTGGCAACGCATCTTTCTTGCGCAGGAATGGCTTTACTGTCCCGAAATCCCCCGAGGATGAATACGACAGCAGCAGAAGATTGTCCGTCTCTGCGCCTTCGTCTTCCAAGATGTCGCAATCTGCCGGAATCACAACCATCCATATTGCCATCGATGATGAATACGCTGGTTCGATCGGGCTATCCGACACACTCAAGGCCTCTGCTAGAGCTGCCATCTCGGCGCTCCACAAGATGGGCATCAGCACATCACTGGTCACGGGTGACCAAGCAGCAACTGCCCACCACGTCGCCGCTCTCGTTGGCATCTCACCAGAGCATGTCCACGCTGGCGTTTCTCCGGAGGGAAAGAAAAGCATCATCGCCGACTTCCAGAAGCAAGGCCAAGTCGTCGCAATGGTAGGAGACGGTATTAATGACTCTCCAGCCCTTGCAACGGCAAACGTGGGCATTTCTCTCGCCACGGGAACGGATGTGGCGATGGATGCGGCTGATATTGTGCTCATGAAGCCGAACCAGCTGATGGACATTCCTGCTTCTCTGCATTTGAGCAGGACGATCTTCAGGCGGATTAAACTCAATCTCCTGCTTTCGTGCGTTTACAATGCCGTGGGCTTGCCGATTGCGATGGGATTCTTCTTGCCTTGGGGTATCACTTTACCGCCCATGGCTGCTGGTGCCGCGATGGCTTGCTCCAGCGTCACTGTTGTTGTCAGCTCTCTGCTCTTGAAGACGTGGCGGAGACCGAGCTGGATGGTAGACGGCGAGGAAGAAGCCATCAGGTCCGACTTTGCCCAGAGGATGAGTCTCTCCTCGACACTCTCCGGTTTCAGAGACCTGGTCACGGGGAGGAAGAGAAGAAATTCTGAGCGCGATCGGGGCGCTTATGTACAGCTTGAGAATATGGAAGTGGTTTGAATTCCCATGAAGTTTGGTTTCCAGGGCAAACAGAGCAGTGGGCTGGACAAACAACAAAGCGGTCATTTTGGTTATGAATTTCGTGTATAGACTGAGGAGAGGATGGATACCCGTGGAGCGATCGCGTTTTTGTTGTAATGCAGCGGATATGAAGGACGAGAGAGAGAGAGAAAGTTGGGCTCTTCCGCTATCTAGCATAATCTTTTACCCGTCCCTTTTCTGTCATCTTCGCGGACAGTCGTTTTATGTTACCCCCCCCCCTCCCTCCTCTCTCGCGGACGATTCCTCCGCTCGATTTTCCAAAGCAATAAGCTTCAGGATGGGTAGCCAGACCAGAACCTTGCATCTCACCCCAAAGGTAGCCGAAGATGATAAATTCGAAGTAGATGGGTAGGCCTTTTCGTGGGCGGATCTAGCGGCAAGGTGGTGGTGGTCATGAGGCAGGGCTGACTCCTCCTCGTACGGCACGTGCCGACCGATCGATACGGCCATTTTTCTTTCGGAGCAGCATCATGTGTGTTGGTGAAGGAGGGACATGTCGATGAGATCGTTGGCTGTCAGGGCGTGCTCGAAGAAGATGGGCTCTCTCGCAGCTCCGCGGGCAGCTCGGGAAGGTGGCAGTTCTGCAATCAAGCAATTAGCACAGGCATGGGCGTGATGCTCGAGTGGGGACTTACGCCGGGCTCTTTCATGGTTGCCTTCTTGCTTTTTGCTCGTCATCCTTGACTCCATCTGCCTTGTGCTTTCCGTGCTAGGAGTGGATAGGTGTCGTGCCACGCTTTGCACATTCCACTGCAAGTTTATCCCCTTGCTGCTTTGGTGAAAGGGATCCATAGACCGTGTCTTTTAAGATGGCCGTGTCAGAAGCGGTGCGAAGCCGCAAAAGCTTAATAAGCGTCCTTATTCTGATGTTCAGGCACACGTCGTCGTCGATCTATCGTCATCCGGTCTCCACAGTCCGACAGACAAGAGGACCAGGGAGGGGAGCATGCGAACGTATTCGTTGTATTTGTACTGCATTCGTTTCCTTCCTCGACAAGTTATACAATCAGGGCGATTGACCTAACGACTTGCCTGTGTAAGTATCACACTGCTACTGATACATCTCGTCTTTTTGTCCTCTATGCCACCCTTCCAGGTCCTGCCTCAAGTCATTCGCGATTCGGTTCCGACGAAGTTCGCGCTGCTTCAGCGGTTTCACCGTTGCCTTCGGCACAACTGTGTTTTTCTCTGGACTCCCCTCATCTATTTGTCCTTTTTAGGAATGTCGTCAGAGTAGTTCAGAGTTTGGCGGCTGAACTCATCACTCATGCCCTGTGACTGCTTCTTGAGGGTCTCAATATCCTGGTCGCGCTTCGCAAGCTCTTTCTTCAAGCGACCAATCTCGCCGAGGTCACCAGCCTGGCCGAGGCCGGACGATGTCTTGCTATTGGCTGGCTTCTCGCCCTCCAGCTTCTTGACTTCCTCCTCGAGGCGCAGAGTGTCCAGAATCATCGTGTAGGTGCGATTGAGGATCAGGGAGAGGAAGAGGGTGAAGCCGCAGAGGTACATGTTGCGCTGGGAGTAGAACTTGCGAGCCTGGACCTCCATACGCTCGCCACCGGCCACGGCTCTGGTGAAGTATCAGCATCGAAGCATTTCATTTGCCATCATAATCCACTTACCCAGCTACTCCCTGTGCGCTCTTGGCCTGAGCCAACTCGACCTGAACACGGTAGACGCGGTTCACGCTGTCCACGAACAGGATCAGGATGAAGATGAATGTTATCTAATTCAATGAGCCATGCACAGTTGTCAATGGAGTGAGATTGCGGTACTTACCTTCATTCCATATTGTAACTTCGCAACCAGCGGATTCTCTGAGATGAAGGTGAAGAGACCACGCTTCACCTTGAATGGCAGAGGGACGATGAGCGCGATGAAGACGCTCATCTCGAAGACAAGGAGGGCGAAGACCTGGAGAAGCCATCGTTAGCGACCGCATGTAGGCTATCTTGGAGCTGTAGCCGGACCGGAGCGTAGATGAGGCTGGGCATGATGGCTGTGGAGGTTGCTGTCGAGTTGGTGTTTCGAGATTCCGTTTGCCTTGAGTGAAGAGGGTAGAAGTGGTGTGATGGGAGAGTCAGGGAGACTTACAAGACTGTAGTACAACGTCATCGTTGCGGTTACAGGTTTCTGCGGCAGTGACGAAGTTCTGAGGGTGCTGTGGGTGGTTGTGGTTGGAGTTCCCCGCAGGAGGCCGAATGAAGGATGCAGGTACTCTGCTATCCGCTGCTGGTGCTGTCGTCTCGAGAACTGCTGGAGCTGGCTGCCTTGGCGTCGTCGGTAGTAGGATGTGGGTGTTGTTGATTATCGAGTCTATGGTGTGTGTGTTGCCCAGGAGCTTTTAAGGTAAACGTGTTGCTGGACGGACACACGAAGACACCGCGCTTGTCGTCAGCAGCAAACCTGGAATTTGGCACTAGCTGACGTCACTCGAGCTAGAATAGCTCAAGCTAAGGATCATTCCACAATTCCATTCTGTGATTCTTTCCCAGACTCTCTCACGTGATGTCTACGTTGGTCTTGCAGCGCCCCATTTTTCTCTAGCGTCATCCTCGTCTGTCATTTGAAGCTACACGGGAGATGCGAAAGCAGAAGATCTGATAGATAGCCGAAATACCGATACCGATGCAGCTCCTCTCTGCCGCCACGTCGGCCGTCTTGCTCTCCGCACTCCATGTCCATGCTTTGCCTCGAGACGAGCCCCAGCGACCTCTCCTTCGACCTTCACCTGTGAGGCCCGCCAACTCCATCGAAACAGGAGTCGGCCACTTCAGTGAATGGTCCCGCGCTACAAAGAAGGACTTCCTCATCGACTGGCAGGCCGGTCGCTCTTCGAAATGGATCATCGTTCAAGGCAACGAGGGTGGCGACTTGGACAGCATGACCGCCGCTCTCACCTGGGCTTACCACCTTGAACATTCGACGCAGAATACGACCCATCCTATCCGTGCGATTGCCTTGTTGCAGACTCCTACGGATGCGTTGGATCTGAGACCGGAAAACAAGTTGGCGTTGAAGAATAGTCTGATGAGTACGGGCCATTCTGACCTCCTGACCATCGATGAACTACCCGAGAGCCCCGAGACATTATCGAAAGACATCAAAGGGATCGTGATTGTCGACCATCCCTCTCCGCTGCGGAAATGGCAAGGTGCTCCGATTTTGAGCATTTTCGACCATCATCTAGACGCAGGCTACGGAAAGGATGCGAAGCCGAGGGTCTTTGAGAAAGTGGCGAGCTGTACTTCTCTTGTTGCAAGGCAAATGATGGATGAACTGGAGGCTCTGCCGGAAGAGTATCACCTGCCCCATGAATTGCTGGAACAGATCCTTGGTGCGATCGCGATCGATTCGGGTGGACTGGAAGATGCCACGGAAGAAGACAGGAAGATTGCCGAGAGGATTCTGGAGAGGAGTAACTGGCATGGAGCCGACTTGGATGAGAAGATGGAAGAATTAGACGATGAGCTGAGCGAAGCGAAGAAGGACCTTGATGATCTGACCGTGCGAGATTTGCTTCGCCGGGACTGGAAGGGCGATTTCGTGGACACGCAGTCTGTGCGGACGCCGACTGTGAGCCTCGGATTTTCTTCCATCCCCTTCTCCCTGGACGAGCAGATCGAGAAGACAGAGTTTGAAGCTCTGTTCGACTGGTTCGCGGTCGAAGCCGCGTGGACGGCGCAGGAGGAAACGGACGTCTCCGTTGCCCTGAACAAGTACAAGGTCAAAGACCCCAAGACCATGAAGAAACGCAAGGTCCGCGAGATCGTCCTGGTCGTGCGGAGTGACGTGCGAATCGATCCGGTTCAAGCAGACAGCCTCTTCAAGACTGTGAGCGAAGCGATTGAGCAAGAGCCGACTTTGAAAGCCAAGCCATGGCATCGTGCCGATGAGTTGGGGAAGAGGCAAATGGTATGGGTGCATGAGAGGAAAAGTGCGGGAAGGAAAGTCATACGGCCGATTATTGAAAAGGCTGTCAGAGAGTGGAATACAGTATAGAGAAAGAAGATTGCGCAATAGAACGAAGCAACGAGTTATGATCCTTACTAGACTGATTTGCCTGCCAGTTGACCGATGTTTTAGCTTCAACCTAGAGTCCTATTGAGTAGTATATACTGTGATACAAAGATATTAGAAAGCGCGTAGAGCTTTAAGAAGTATTTAAGAGGTACGGGTAAGTACGGTTACCTAGTAGGCGTAATACAGCTCTTAGCGTGTAGCTTAGTATGTACTTTAGCTTCCCTGTCTTAGAGCTAGTATCTTGCTTTAGAGGCTATAGCTTATATATAATTATAGTAGTATACAAGAGAAATCGAATCAATACTGTTAATTCTCGTAAGAATCTATAAGTTCCTTTCTATAGTAGCTACTATACTGGTCTATATAAGAAGAAGGCGTTATACGCCTGCCTACCTTACCTTCGTCGTCGAGTCGATGCCCGATTATTAGTAGGAAGGCTGTGGTGGTGGGTCTTCCATAAAATCACCTTCCGTGTAGTAATCATCCGTGTAATCATCCGGGGAATCATCATGGCCATGGCCAGGACAGGGAGTTTCACCTTCTTTCGGGCCACATTTCTTGGGGTGACGCTGTTCGCTTCGAGTCGCCAGCTCGTGGTTGAGAGAGAATTTGTACGTAGCTTGCAGCACGTACGGATCATCGGCTGGTCCAAAGATTTGCCGTTTGTCTCGGCCCCACTGAGGGTTGTTGATACCATCGATCCAATCTTCCACCTCGATGACCACGCAGCCGTATTTCTCGGAGACCCGCGGGCGAGATGGATCGTTGAAGAAGCCTTGTGTTTCCTTGAGAGCGAATGTGCCTGGAAATTACTCGTCAGTAATAGCTCTACTACTGCAGCGTAGCTCCGAGTTACCATTCATATTGTTGCACGTATACATCTGCAGAGCCTGTTGGTCCGTGTAGATATCAAGTTGAATACCCGACCACGCGCTTGCAAGCGTGGCCACCGGGGCGGCACTCCAATCGTATGGTCCAAGTTGTTCGCGATTGGTCAGATAGCAGTTATCGTAGCCTTCACAATTTGTCCCGCAATTGCCTAGAAGCTCTGGATCTGTAAGATTGGCTCCAAGCTGTTTGGGTGCAGACCAGAAGTCATTCAGACCATACTTCTCATTAGCCAGGATCTCGCCGGTAGGCACGGCGATGCCGTCAATCGCGATGCGCTGCCTCGCGTATGGCATATGTAAGCTGTGGTTGAGAGCCAGACACGTGCTCGGGTTTTGAAAGCCGTCGAGATTCCAGTAGTCATGCGAGCTGAGCATGATAGGCGTCTTCTTCGTGGTGGAGATGGCTTTCATCCGCAGGTGCCATTGATAGGGAGTAAGTGTGTATGTCACACAGGCAGTGACTTCGCCTGGGAATCCTTCTTTCCCATCCGGATCTACCAGGGAGAAGGTGATCGAATCTGCGGTATGCGCAGTGACTGTCCAGTTCCTGTAGTCCCAACCGTCGGAGCCTCCGTGGAGAGTGTCCCGGCCGCCATTGTCGTTTGCATCGACGTGGTAGGTTTTGCCGTCAATGGCGAAGGTCGAGTTCTTGATCCGATTTGCGTATCGACCTGGAACGCCGTTCAAATGAGGATGAAGCCTCGAGATACTATAGTAGGTAGCATTGTCGAACCCTAAGACGACGTCCCTCTCCACTCCGTGAACGTCCCTGATGAAGAGGTTCGTGATCGACGCCGCGTAGGGGATGAATTGCGCCCGGATCCCTTCGCTCGCAATTTCATATTTGCCATTAGGTAGTACCTGTGGGGTGTTGCCCGGGATATCCGCTGTAGAGAAGACCGGCAAGATTGCCAACGCCGCGAGAAAGCCTTGGGTTAACATCGTTGCAGGAGACAATGTGCCCATCTGGGGACACAGAGGTCTTTGTATTGAGACAGTACGGCCATTTATGTAGATAGACGGCTGAGCAGGTGTAACGGTGGCTTAATTGAATAGTAATAATGTCCCGAAAATATCTGATACATACCGTGTGTCCCCCAGGCACACGGGGGCATGGAATTTCATGCTCCGCTCTGGGTGATCCTTGCAGGACACTAGACATTCCGACACTGGTCCATGGCTTGACAAGAAATTTTAAGCCCTCCGCGTCAGATCTCCATCTGTGCATACGACACGATCTGGTATATCGTGGTCGGATGGTGTTATGGACGATTATAAAGAGAGGAGACGGATGACATTCACTGACAGCTGCGCCGCTAACCCCTCTTCGGCCTTTGCCAAGCTCGATGACACCAGGATGACAAAGCAAGTTCCAACGTCTCTTCTTGAGATGAAACAAATATACTCGTCCAATCCATGATCTTCCACTTCCACTTTCGGCAAGGCCATATCGACAATGTCCAACGAAATCATCCTCTATGACTTGCCCAGCAAAGGCAGGAGCGCCTGCTGGAGCTTGAATCCCTGGAAAGGTGTCTTGCTCTTCTTGCGGCTACCACTACCGCCTTGAACATCGGGTCAAGAATACTACTGACATTGTGATCCGATGCATCACAGCTCGCCTGGCTCTCAATTACAAAGGCGTCCCGTACAAGACGGAATGGGTCGAATATCCCGATCTCGCCCCGAAATTCAAAGCCTTGGGCATTCCACCGAGTAAACTTTCACCCATACATCTCCAAATTTATCATCAGCACTAACGATCCACTCTCTCTCTCTCTCTCTTTCATAGACTCGCCAGAAACCAACCCCAACGCAGAATACTCCAGCCCAGCCATCAAACTCCCCGATGGTCGCTACATCATGGACTCCCTCGCAGCAGCGCGCGAATTGGAACAGCTCCAACCCTCGCCATCCCTCCACATCCACGGCAACGACTACGCCAACCGCACCCAGGAAGCCGTCGGGCAGATCATGAAGGGCCTCGCGCCCATCGCCATGCCGCGCATCCCGGAGAGACTACTCAACCCTTCCAGCGCGGAATACTTCCACACCACGCGGGAGAAACGCTTCGGCATGCCGCTTTCCGAACTCGCCCAGAGCGATAAGGCGGGTGAAAGGGCTTGGTCCACCGCGGAGCCGGGTTTCGGAGCTGTGAAGGCATTGCTCGTGGAGAATGGGAATGGACCGTATATCCAGGGCGGAGAGCCGAGTTTCGCGGATTTCGTTCTGGCGGGTTTCTGGAGATTCATGGAGAGATTGGATACGGGAGGAGATTTATATGGGCGAATTATGGAGATCGATCCGGTTTTTGCGAGGCATAGGGAGGCTTGTCAGCCGTGGTTGGATAGAGACGATTGAAGGTGGGTCTTTCTCCTTGTACGATGCAAGGATCTCTAAGGAATTCCATCGTTGACGACGTGACAACCCAAAACACCCTGTCTAGTGAACCGTCTTCTCATTGTCGCTGGCACTGCCACTAGCACTCCCATCCCCGAAACCACCCTCCACCATGTACCCCTCGTTATGGCTGGAGCGATCCTTGTCCTCGACGACAGTCACCATACCCTTGCCACCGGGCGCAACCACACTGCTGCTGCGACGCCGGTGCTCTTCGGTTTCCAAGTAATTGACGAGCAAGTTTCCATTCCTATCGAAGCGATTCGGCGTGTTCTCAGGACGAGCAATCCGCACAACGTCGAAAACACTGGTCGTCTTGTGGAAAATCTCGTCCATTTCTTCGAGGGAGCGGTAGGCGGTTTCGGGGTAGAAGAAGTAGACGCACGGGAAGATGAAAGCGTTGATGACGGCGAAGATGATGTAAGTCTGGTATTGGATGTTGGCGAACGCGATGGGGGTGATCTGGTGGGTCACTGTTGTTAGTCTTGCTTGTCGTGTGGCGACAGGGGTTCAAAGCTTACCATCACGACCATGAAGTTGAAGATCCAGTTGGCGCTCGTCGACAGGGCGCTTGAGGGCGCACGAATTCGAAGGGGCACGATTTCGGAGGGGTACAACCAGGTCATACCGAGCCAACCAATGGCGAAGAAAGTGTTGAAGATGAAGAGGAAAACGGCCGCGACGACCCCAGCCGCATTGTTGTTCCTGAACGATGTCGTGATGGCGAGGACGACCATGGAGAGCGACATGCCAGCAGCACCGAACAACATGAGAGGTCGACGTCCGATCTTCTCGATGGTAAAGACTGGGATCCAGGACGCCAGGAAGTACTCGGTGCCGTTACAAGCCGCCAAGATACGGGACAGGAAGGGCGAGAGTCCAATGTTGTTCTCGTAGATGGTCGCTGCGTAGTATGTGATGAGATTTATACCTGCTGGCCATCAGTAACACTCACCACGACAACGGGGGTGATGAAGTCTCAACGTACCAGAGATCTGCTGGAACATCTGGTTGACATATCCAAGAGCGGCACGATGGAAGTTGCGGTCTTTGCCCATTGTGAAGACTTCCGCAAACGTTCCCTGGGATGCCTCGATCACGGAGTCCTTGATAGCGGCAAACTCGCTTTGAATGACGGCATCTTCCTCGGGCAGATCACTGAGGGCGGCAAGCACGGTGATGGCCTCGTTCTCACGTCCTTTCAGAATGAGCCAACGTGGAGACTCGGGCAGGCGGAGAATGGTGGCAACAATGATGAGTGCGAAGAAGATCTGGAAAGCGATTGGGAATCGCCATGCGACGGAGCCGGGGGCGAAGGAAAGGCCAAAGTCGATCCAGTAACTGTACGATTCGATCAGTGCCGTTCCGCGCTTGCCATCTTGGCAGTCCTACCTGATCATGATACCGCCAGTAATGAGAGCACCCTCAATCATGACCATCTGGCCGCGTTTATGCGCTTTGGAAGTCTCGCTCTGCCATGTAGGGACGGTAGACGTGTTGAGACCATTTCCAAGCCCGGTGATAATCCTTCCCACGATGAGCTGGGCGAGGCCGAAGGCAGAGCACTGCAGGATAGCTCCCACGATCATGATGGCAGATCCGACGAAGATGGTCCTCCGACGTCCCAGGTATTGGCCCAGCCAGATGGTGATGACTGCTCCGACGAAACATCCCAGGTTGTAGGACCCGATGGCGATTCCTTGACGTGTGGCTTTGGGACTGCTACCAGAAACGGTGGTCGTGTCGATGGAGGGAAAGGTGCGCGTGAATTCGGGTAGCGTCAGGAGGCCTCCCATAACACCCTGATCGTATCCAAAGAGCAGGAAGTCCATGCCAGCGATGATGCCAATAGCAATGCTGAGGGGAGTGCCCTTGAGGCCATAGTAGCGCGAGCCAAACATGACTGTCTTGTCCACCCGTCAACGGCTTGACTTGATGATGGATGGGAGAAAGAAGGAGGTGAAGGGGTAGAGAGCAGTCGTAGGGGTCTTCTCAGCCTCAAGCAAGTAGAGGACAGAGAGGAAGCAGAGCGTTCTTATGGAGCCGATGGTAAGTTCACGCCAGCCGTTCTGCGATGACCTGACCTGGCCTGACCTGCCCTTGCAACGAACGTGATATCGCACGGACGCGGCATCCCATGGGAGAACAGTCGCTCGGAACAGTCGCTCGGGAGCGTCGCTGTCCAGGAAGGGCCTCCATAGCGGCAAGCGGACCACTGGACGCCGCCGAACGTTGTGCGCTGCTCGCGTGCTCATGCTCCTTGACGCAGCACGGTGCAGCGAGATGGTACAGGTGATGTGATGCGCCTTCGGAGATACCCAATCCAGGAAGCCGAAGCTCACCTCACCTCCACCTCCACCTACCTACCAGCCCAGGTAGCCCGAGTAAGGTAACACATGTAAGGTACTCCATGGGCCTCCACTGTGGGAGAAGAGCGGATTCAAACCTGGAGCAATCTGGAGAGGGCGGGGGCCCCGGCAGAGGAATCGCTCAGACAATGTTGATGTCACCTCGCCTCCTGCCGAAGAAGTAGCGACAACATCCAACCACCACCGTCTTCGCCTCGAGGCTCGTAGGTGCGGCACGCGGCACGCGGCATACATGTGTGCATGTACCTTTCCGATTGACACGTGCGCCATGTGCGATGCATGCTTCAGTCAGCAAGAAGACTTCTTCCAGAAGCTTGGCAACGCATCAAACACCATCCTGCTCCTCCACAAACCCGTCTCCCTCCTCCGCAGTTCCCTCCCGTGCAAGGACTAACTAAGCTGACTTGACGCAAAACTGTGGCCAAAGAGTGGTCTCGTGATGAGATACCGATGATTGGATTCGATTTCACCCTCTGTCTGGTATCCAGCACCAGCACACCAGCACCAGCACATCTAAATCGCTTCTAGGAAGAAGAAATCCGCCCCCCAACACTCCCTCTCATCGCCAAGCGCGAGCGAGCCTGATCTCACTGCGGCCGTTGCCTGTCTCATGAAATACAACCAAGGCTTCATCTTCAAGCCTCGCTAAAAAAACTGATGCAGGAGAACCAACAAAGGTGAGATACCACACCGGCAATGTGAACGAGAAAGACCCGAAATCGTGGACGGCTCTAACCAGCCAATGTCGTCTCGCCTCTCTGCTTTCTTCCACCTCTTGCTACCCGATATCCGCTCTGAACAACCAGAGAAAAGAAAGGAAAAAAAAAGAAAAGGCTTCATCCTTCGGCACTTCATAATCATATTCCATAGATGCACTCAACAGCGGGGGTAAAAGAAAAAGGGAAAAAACAAATATTCCGTCACCGTTTTCTCGGCCCTCAAATGATCCTGAAAATCATATCATATTTTCGCCAGGGGAGGGTGTCCCGTTACTCTTGGCTTCCTTCTCTTTCTCCGCCTTGTTCTTCTTTCTCAAGGCAGGCACAAGCTTGTTCATCTTCTTCTTCTCCTTCTCTTTATCCTTGATCTGCGCCGCCTCCATCTGCTTCTGAATCTGCAGTCGAGCCGCTTCCCTTCGCTCTCGATGTCGCACTTCCTTGTCATAACTAGGCAGTGCAGTCGTGCCGGTCGTGTGTTCCGTGTCGCTGCTGACAGCGCTCGACACATTGCTCTGGCTGGCCGATGCTCCGGGCGATGCAAAGTTGCGGGTGCTGCTCCCCTGAAAGCTGCTTCCAAGACTTGCAGATCCTGGTCGCCGTTCTTGGTGGTTGGCGCGTGGCACCTTCCAGTGGGCGACAGGCTCCGACTGCGGTGGTGTCTGGCTGTACACTGGCTGTCCCCCCTCTTCCTCAATGTCATCCGGCTGTACACGTAACTGCGCCAGCGTGGCCTCAATCGCGGGATTGGCATCGTCTGGGATCATCGAGGGGTCGCTGACGACCTTTTCCGCGGTGCCGCCGCCGCCGCCGCCGCCGCCGGGCCCACTGTTATGCGCCTTCTGCAGTTGGTTGATGACATCTTCCCACTGGAACTCATGAGGACTGTCGGGACGCTCTGCTCTCTCAGCCCGATTCAAACACTCCTGCGTCCTGGCATTCAGCTCCTCACACAGCTGATGGAACCCCTTCAGATCACCTTCAGAAGCCTCGATGGCGTGGACCACATCTTGATGTGACTTGCCGGGCAACGAGGCCGAGTCGTTCTGATTCGATAGCGCACTGACAGCTTCAAGCCAGAGATGGATCAGGTCAGCAAAAGCCCTGGCCTGGTCAATGAGATAGGGTAAGCTCGGGAAGCCTTCTCGACTGCTAGGTGGTAGGCGTTGCATGATTGTCATGGGTGTGGTGTAGCTCAAGTGCTGTTCGGCGCTGACCACGCCTGGTGGGTAGGTTGGTGAGGTCGACGCGGGTGACTGCGGTCCCAACGCTGCGCTTGGAAGGGGCGCAGGCACATAACAGACGTCGTCAATAAACGACTTGAAGCTGTCACGATGCTGCACAAGGAAAGCATTCATGGGCTCCATCCAAGGTTCCTTTGTACCAAAAGATGCCATGTTCGCCATGGTCTGCAGCGACTTCGCGATGAGTGTGAACGTTCGTCGAGCGCGTGGCTTGATGTCGTCTGTGGACACGTTAGCAGCGGCACCAGATGGTGTGTTGGTATTCAAACCTACCCTTCAGAAGCCCAAACAGCTTGGGATTCAGAACCGCTGGGCAGAAGAACCGTAAGAACAAGAAGCCGCTCACACTGCTGTAGCTGACTGTACGTAGGAAGTCGCCGTAACGATCCTCTGCGCATGCACGGATGTGCCTGAAGATGACCCTAAGCTCGATGGGACAGCGTGTCTTACTGGCTGCAATTCCTTTCCAGACCTCCTGGGTTGCCAAAAGAAGCTTTTGCCAATTGCGATTCACCTCCTGAGGCGAAGTAACTCTATTCGGATCCACTTCGCAATCCTCGTTCTTGTCGTTGATTTCCTGGAGTTTTGCTGCCAGAGATTCTTCCAAGTATTCTTTGCCAACTCTTCTCATATGCGAGTCTAAACTCTTCGTCAGTAAGGTGTTGCCTCGGAAGAGCAAGTTGGCCTCGAGGGTAGCGTTCTTGTTTAAGTCACGGACAATCAATTCTCTGTCGCTGTTTGCGGCGCCGCTCCCAAGCGGATCACCGCTGTCATTCGATCCTGCACGCCTGCTGTATCTTAACCGACTGATCGGAGTTTCTTTGTGGATTCCATCAATCTCTTCCTCAACCAGTGCCATGATCCAGTCGCCGGCTTTGCCCGAGACCTGGTAGATATTCAAGAGAGCATCGCTAAGCCGCTTAAGCTCGCTGGGTATCATCTGCGCAATTTGCAAAGTGAGTCCATTGGAAAATCGATGGAGGAGATCGCTCAAGGGCCGGTAGTCACGCGCCATCAGGATGATGCCCTCGTCCGCGCGCACCTTGACAAGGATTTCGCCGACTCTCTGCCCGTGCATATTGACCACCGGCCACCATTTCTCAACTTCCTTCTCAGGTTCGAGCTCTTCCATCTGAATCTCGACCTTTCCGCATGTGACGTCAAAAGCTAGTGGTGTAAAGCCTCCTTGCTGGTCGCCATTGACGTCCGAACTTTGCCGGCCATCCTGCTGCATCCCTGACTGTTCCGGGGGCCTTCGCTTAACAATTATGCTCGCACTATTCAGCACAGGTGGCAGGTCTTGAAATTCGAAGCTCTCACCCCAAAGGGGGTTGAGTCCGTCGAACTTGACGACAGTCTTGCCTCGCGTCTCGTTGTCCAGTAGGACTTGGGAATAGTATCCATGTTTTTCAGGCGCAGAGCTAGATTGCTGTCTGCTGAAACCGCCACTGAATCCGGAGTCGTTGGTCGTTGCGTTGTGAGGCTGCATCTTTGCTTCGACTACTCTCACGCTTAAGCTTCGTTCCATTCGGAAAGTGTATGTTGTGCTTGTTGCGATCATGTTCTCCAGGTCTCGATTTCCTGCCTCGCCTGATACTACGCCTTCCGCATCCATTCGAGGGCCATAGATTGAAGGCATGGTGAAAGCCCGGAGTAGCACGAACCAAACCTCGTACAGTATCCGGTTCTCTAAACTCAGGAAGATCGGTCTAATGAAGCCTGGCTGAGTGTTCGTGTAGCCAGAAGTGTATTGTGGATAAATTGCGATGCAGAAGTCGTGGTCGAGCACGCTCGGGTCCAATCGTTGTATCGCACATCGACTCAGCTGGCTCAGTTGCACGACGGAGATCAAAGAATTATCAGCGTCCGAATGAAGCTTCAACTCTCCATTCTCCCGCAGCTGGCCACTAATGCGACGCCACCTCCTTGCACCGACGCTCTGCACCCGCTGCGCAAAGGGCCTGGTGGATGGCTGGCCCACGGCTGACGCGGTGGAGTTGCTATAGCCAACATTGGTGTCCCAGTAAATCATCTTTCCGATCTTGATGACTGGATTCTCCTTGGGTAGAGCAGCAATGACCGACTTACGTCTGTCGCTCTTGACGCTCTTGTCGCTCGATGCACGATCGCGACTCATTCTATTGACAGGGTTGTTGACGGAAGCCCTGCGCTTGGAATTCTCCGCTGTTGTTGCTTGCTTTGTTTCCATCGAAGAGTCTGGTCGCGGCTCGTTACTCGATACCGAGTTTGTGTCCTTTGGCGTCCAGTGGAGTAGAGCAGCGAACCAGGCATCGAAGTCGGATTGCGTTTGCAGTTTGATGTGAATCTCATCGGTGTTGTAGGGAACCGTCACTTCCAGATATGGCACATCGCCGTCCAGATTCGATCGCACTTTGGCGCCTTGCAGGTGCTCGATCAAGGTCTTGTGAGCGCCCTCGCTGCCTCTGGATTCGTACATCAAGCTCCCGGATTCTTCATGGATATAGCAATAGCTCTGCGCCCACGGGTTGCCGAAGCCGCGCCGAAAAACCACATTGCCACTCATTCTGCCGTTCAACGTTTTCATCAAGTGCAAGATACGCCTAGCATTCGCACTGGGAAGCGCCGAGGTGATGGAGTCAACTGTACTGGAGGATACTGGCGATATCGAACGAGGACCAGGCTGTTCCGAAGGCGATTGGACGGGCGAGCTCACGGAAGATATTGATGGAGCTGCTGGCGTCTCTACTGAACCCGGCACGGAGGCAAGAAATTCTGCACCGCCCTGGTAAGAGGGGGAGGAGAGCGCATGCACACTGCCAATTCGGTTCCTGTTCTTGGACATGATTGCAGCGGGAGACTGCTCTCTCCCTGTCGTTTCCTCCAGCGTCCGGGTCCGCGGCCGGGAAGAGGCATCGTTGTCGACCATGGCGCCGTGAGGGCGCTGTCCATTGCTCTTGCTCTTACTGCCGCTCCGGCTCAAGAACGACGTGCTGCCAATGCTGACGCTGCCGTTCCTGCTGCTCGGCGGACTGTTGACCTGACTCGTTCGTCCCGAGCGGTCGCTGTTCCACTTCCTGCTCTTGCTGGAGCTGCTGGGGCTGTCGGTGTTCTTGCTGGCCGCGGCGCCGCCCACGATGGTGGTCGTGGTGTGGGGAATAAAGACGCGCTCAAAGTTCATCGTTGTGCTCTCTGGCAAATTGGCGCGATTGTGCTCCGGTGCCAGACCCAAAGCCGCGTGGTGGTCGTCGGGTGTTACCGGTCGAATGGTGGTGCCGCTTGCTGTTGTACTACTTTGCCGCAGGGGCATTGAAGGCCTTCGCTCCACGGTCCGCGGCCTCGATCCACCCTCATTATTACTATTGACGGCTGACGGCTGCTGTTGTGCGGCCGCCTTGTCCTGCTTCCTTTCCTTTGACAGATACTCATCGTACATGCTCGGCTCACGGCGCTGCTTGTCGCCGCCTCCCCAGCGATGTCTCTTCTCCTTCTCCACGGCCATCGCATCGCCCGTCTTGTCGGTCTGTGTCCACACCCCGGAGCGCCGGCGTTCCGAGCGCGAGCTCATTTCGTCGAGGCCTGCCGAGTCCGTGGGCAGATGTGGCCCTGATGCCGCGCTCACAATTCCTCCGTCTCTCCACCTGGCTGCAGGTCTCGTGCAAATCACTCCTCCGCTCTAGCAGCGCAGATTCGGGCGCGCCTAGCACTGTGCGGTCGCATTCGCGTGTGGGTAGCGACCGCGGCGCATATCGCAACGAACACGGTGGAAGCCCTCGGCAACAGCGCAGCAGTGACAGCCTACTGTGTGCACGGGTGGAGTGGTGGGCATGGGTGTTGGTTGTAAGCCAGGCGGGCGGCGGCCAATGCAATGCAGCGCGATGCGCGAGAGAACAAAGACCAGACGGGGCGTCACCGGTGACCTCGCTCGGCGACAGACCCACGCAGTCGCAGTCGCAGTCGCAGTCGCGAGATGGGAGGTAGAGCACGCAGGCGGCCAAGCGGTAGAGGAGGAGGAGTAATCGAGAGAGGATAATGGCAGGCGTATACGGTAGGGTAGTGGTAGCGAGAGTGGACGGACGGGAGTGGTAAGGCGTAGTCAGGTACGGCACGCACGGCGAGGGCTTCCGCACAGGCCTTGTCCTTCCCGAGTCCTCCCAAACCTCCTCTGAGTCTCTGACAGCACCACTTGCACGCTTGCACTACTGCTTCCAGTCCTTGCAGTACACAGGTATCCTTCTCCTGGACATACCCTCCGTGCTGTGCTGCTCTCATCCATCACATGCCATGCCATGCCCAACCCCAACCAAGAGGTGGCGCCCGCCCGCAGTAGTCTGACACCGGCGCAGCATACCTCTCCGTACAGCCGCGCAGATCCATCCTCCATCGCAGAACTACACACTAGAACTACTAGACCTCTCACGCGAACCACCAGCCAACAACGCCCTCGACCGTACTCGGTGCTCTCCTCTCCCAAACACACCCGCCCTCTGATGATGTCTATTGAATCTTCTCGTTATCATTCCGCCCCGGGCCTCTCCTCCGCTGTCCCCGCCCAGAGACCCTCTCGGAGATGCGTCGGCCTCCGCCTCTATCGTGATATCACATACACCTTCGTCGCTTCATCCAACTGGCTACGGAACGGAGCCTGTCCACCGTGTGCTGTTCCTGCCCGAACAAACTCGCCAGACCTGGCAATCAGCCTTCCGCCTCTCGCCCCATCCCTGCAGGCGCCGCCGTGGCTGTCCAGACACCACGCAGCGATGCCCAACGAAACATGCTCCTAATACCAACCAACAAAACCACCAACAACACCACCTCCAGCTTGCTATTACACACTACTACACCCGACACACCGACTTTCTACAACCAACAACTTTTACTACCATGACTCTGGGATTAGACCTGTGTCTGCTGACTTCATTCTTGTGAAGCTTCCCCTCTCCCCGACGTCGTCACCAACTCTGAATGGGCGAGAATAGAATAGAATAGGGGTACCGACCTTTTTCTGTCTTGCGATTCAGGTACCGGCTCCTCCGCATTCGCACAGGCGTACCGTGGCACCGCTTCGGGCGTATGTCTCCGTTTCACCCTGCGAGCTCCCAGAGCGTTTCATCTTGTTTACCATTGTGCTGATTCGCAGGATGATGTCAGTTGTATGGGATGGCATGCTCAGCAGTGGCCCTTGAGTTCGAAGATCCCAATATGCAATTCGCAATGCGTCGTAACAGCCGACGCCGATGAGAACGCTTCACTGACTCGTCTGGCGCCTACGGCGGGAAACGGACTGATACGCGTACCACTTGGGTCATAGGCGATACCCTTCGCCATCAACGCGGCAATCGCAAACTCATACCTTCGGATCATAATAATAAGAAGAGCAGAGGTGTCTTTTTTTCCGAAGTTCCGAAGAAGAGAAAAACTGCAGCTCTCAGCAAGCCCTAGGCGCGAAACTCTCGACGAACGAGATAGCCGAGCCGACGAAGCACAAACAAGATTGATTAGTAAACGCCGTGGACTTCCCTCTCATCATCTTCCCCATCTGGCCTTACCCGCACGTGGCAATAATCATGCCCTACCTTAGACACGATAGTTTCATGCTTCTCTCGCCTCCCCCGCCCCCCCCTCGAAACATCCATCACGCCTTCGCAACAAGCCGTGTGGTCACACAAGCACACAAAAGGCTGGAGATAATCATCAACGCCGGGATCAATCCCATTGTGCATGGCCGGTAATCAACTTGAGTCACGCCCCTTCTCCACTATTCAAACATGACAGCACTCTATCCGTATCGAGAACTTGGAAGGATGGGGCAAGCCACACGATAAGAATTAATTGAGATCGCGACCAGGCCCCGACCACACGTATGCAGATCCGCTCGTACGTACATATATAGCACGCTATCTACCAATCACGCCCCATTCTTGTCCTTCTCCTCCTTCACATCATGACGGTGCGCATGGATGAGCACGTTCATATCCGCCCATAAATGGCAGCCGTGCGTAGGGAAAAACATAATCAATGGAATTGTGGTGACTTCCCATTTTCGAAGCCCCAAAGGTATATTGCCAACTGTCCCAAGACACGTCCCCAAGCAATTCCCCCTCCTCCCTCCTCGCTCCATGTGAAAGGCATGCAAGCAACAAATCAAAGTAGATCACCATAACAACCGACAAGTCAAGCACATAGATTTCATCTCATCTCCTCCACAGTCATCAGCCTCATCATCCCGTTCACGTATTCGTCCGACTCCTCGGCGGCTCCTTGACAGAATTCTCATCACTGACAGGACTCATGCCTACGCCCCTTCCATTGCTCAAATCGCCACTCGCCGTCTTCCTCAATGCCTGTCTCATCGTCTCGATAGTGAGTTCTCCATGCTGAAGGCCAGGAGAGCCGAGTCCGACGCTCCTCGACGGACTTTGTTCAGGATTTGTCGTGGTGCTGGCAGCGTTCAAGGGATTGGTAGCATTAACTCCCAGCGGAGGCGTAACTACTCCACCGCTCAGACTCTGGCTATGCGTAGATACCGGTGATCGAGGAGAACGCAATGGCGAGGCGGCGCGGTTCTCTTGCTGCAGGATACCCGGCGGCACATTGGCCATGTGAAGACTATCACGACTTCCTACTTCCCCTAAGATGGATGCAGCCTGGTGTTGGTGTTCGCTTTGAACAATGTCTTTGAAAGAGATGAAGCTCAGCCTTCGAACATCATTAGGGTCCAATTGGCCGTAGTTGCTTGCGCCATCGTCATCTGCTGAGCCGGAGAGAATGCCAGATTGGTGCAGGCTCACACCCGCTTCGGAATCCTCGGATTTGTGGTGTTGAAGGGGCGCCAGAGGTACCGAGGCCGGGGAGTTGAGCTGTGTTAGGTCGGCCTGGCTTGTTGAGCCTTCCAAGACAGTCGATGCGGGCTGGTGGGTAGATGAAGTCACAATCTCCACGTCGTCTGGGTTGAGTTCGTCGCTGGTGATGGCCTGCGCTGAAGCCTCCAATGCCGGCGGGATAGAGTCTTCGGTTATGACGTGCGCTGGTATGTGCGCGGGGCTCGATTCAGCTCGTTCGCCTCCCAAGCTGCCTATCGACACAGGCTCCTGTACATTGCGTTCAAAGATCTCGGACGAAGCAGGGCTGTTTAACCTCGGCGAACTGGATCGCAATCTCGAAGGGGATGCGGCGGCGGCAGCTTGATGTGGGAGGCGAGAAGGAGAGATAGGAATTGCTTGAGAGTTCGCCTTCAATTCTGGATGCTGTTGCTGTTTGAGCGAAGGTGTGCCCGCAGCCCCTACCGAGTGCTCAGGCACGCTGCCTGCTGCTACAGACGATGCATCCATGGCCGCCTTGTCTTCCTTCTTCTTTCCCAGTCCGAAGAATCTGCGCTTCGCAGACTTGGGATCTTTCTCGTCGATACTATTCTCTGATGGCGCTCCGGCGCGTTGCAAGTCCTGGCGCTGGGAAGAAGAGATCAAGGGCGTCGAAGAATTGTGCGGCGAGATGTCGGTATTCGCAGTCTGCGATTCCTTGGGCGGCATCACCGGGTTTGGCGCAGCATGTCACAGAGGATTTCCCGAAATGGCGCATTCAACGCAAAGTGCCGCAGGAGCAGCTTATTTCGAGGCCCTGGTGGTCTTGGGCGTCGACGGGGAGCGACGGAAATGGGCCAAACGTGGCTGACAGAGGAAGGGCAGCACGGTCTCTAACTCTCCATAGAGGCGGGTCTGTTGTTATCGTCGCCGCCGGGGGGTTGTGACAGACGAGGGCGGACGGCTGCGCATGTGCCGTGTCGGTCGTGTTGCGGTGCGGAGGAGACACGAAGCAGCAAAGCTGTTGTCTGTGTCCAAACCTAAGAGCTGAGTGGAGGAGAGGTCATGTGTCAGATGGGAGCTGCACGGGCGATTGGGATTCCACCCTGCCCGGTATGACGTCTCGGCCCTCCACAGCTCGCCCACGGCAACAACGGTTCTTCAGGGTCCGGCTGTCCTGTCGGCTGCGCTTCTTCTGCATTCACCAGGGCGGCATGCACTCCTCCAACGCCGCCCCCAAACGCCCGCGCGACACTACGACTGTGCCAACGAATGCGCTCGTCGGATCGCCTGGCAACTCATCCCGACGGAGGCTACCGCTCGGGTGGTGCTATGTGACTGGCTGTTCGCCCAAGTCGTCGCCGAGTTACCTGGGAAAGACATACCGTACCGATGCGTTAAGACGCTGTGTCGCCGTGTTGTTTCTGTTTCACACCTGGCACGCTGCACTGTGATGACGACGGCGACATGTCGGCTGCCTGTATTCCTTGTGCTCCTGCGGCGTGAACAATTCTGTCGAGAGCATGAGCACACCCGGCACCACGCACCGCACGCAGCGCCTACACTGCGTGGTCTGCGTCGCATCTTGCTTGCCCATCAACGCCAATGCTTCTCCGACTCCACAGCACGACCCGGGCGAACCTCGTCGAGTGCTACGGTCTCCGGAGGCGGTGGTGTGCTGCTGGTGTCACTGCTGCACGGCGGCACGTCGCGAGCAGTCGCAGTGAGCGTGATCAGCATGGTAGAGGTAGCCATGATCGTTGAAGTCTTGTTTCAATGGCTGCTTCAGCATACGACGGGCGCTCCTGCTTGTCAGCTCTGCTTGCGCTCATTGGTCTCCAGTCTGCTCACCGCAGCATTCGCTACTGATATCCGTCTGGGAGGCGGGATTCAGCCGTTCAAGCTCGAGGCCGAGCTAGCTACATGTAGCCCTCAACTAAGCCCCTACGCCTCATTCTGCACCACATTGACGGGCGTGGACATAGCACAGGGCTGATGGTGCGGCAACTACCTAGTGGAGGCAATGCCAGGCCTGTATTTGCTCGTCCCGGTCTTCGGTGCAGGCTGAAGGTGGGACGAGCGAGGCCGACATTGGCTCTGGAAACAAGCATTCGCGACTTCCCTCCTCTGCAACAGCGCGGTTGGAAATTTGTACCTGCAAACTGCGAGGACTCATCATATTTCATTTCACGTAGCCACACGCAGGCGTTGCGACGCTATGCTAATTCGCTTGAACGCGACGACAAAGCAGATCTATGGAGTGCTTTTGGTGTAATTAGGCGACCCGTTGTAGCAGGCAACATCCGCTCAGATCGCGTCGAACGCCTTGGAGAAGACCTTCTTCTCCTTCGCCTTGCGGTCCGCAGCAGCTTTCTTGACCGCCGCCAGCTCGTTCTTGATGCCGGCGTCGCCCGGGACAAGCTCAGACGCCTGCGTGAGGTACTCAAGCGATCCCTCCTCATCTTTCGACCCCTTCAACGCGATGCCCTTCCGGAAGAGAGCTTTGCCCTTCTTCTCATTCGAGATGCCTGGTACTGCAGCCGCCTTATCTGCCGACTCGTACGACTCGCGGTACTGGCCCAGCTTGAACTGCATCAGAGAACTGTTCGTGTGCAATGAGACCTTCAAGTCCGTGAGTTGCGCTCCTAACTCTTTCGGGTCGTTCTCCAGCGGCTCGGGATACTCGTGCAAATATCGAAGGGCCTTCTGATACTTGCTTAGAGCCAATTGAAGCTCCTGATTCTTGAACGCCTTGTTGGCCATGCCCTTGATGTCCTCCACAATCTTCACGATCTCAGTGCCCTTCCATTCTTCGTCCCCTGGCTTTTGATCTTCCGGGAAGTCTTCGTAGCTGTCGCCTGTGGAGTCCACCTTCTTCTTAGTGAGCTCGGCAATGTCGGCGTCAGCAGGCAGCTCTCCGCAGTCCACAATAACGCAGTCCTGAGTTGGTTTGTCGTTCGCTCCCACAGGCAAGTTCTCCACCTGTCTCACCACGCTCTTTCCAGCCAACACCTCACCAAATACCACATGCTTTCCATCCAGATGCGGCGTCGGTACAGTCGTCACGAAGAATTGGCTGCCATTCGTGCCCGGTCCCGCGTTCGCCATCGACAGCAAGAATGGCTTGCTGTGCTTGAGGTCAAAGTTCTCATCCTCAAACTTCTCCCCGTAGATGCTCTCGCCCCCTGTACCATTGCCCGCCGTGAAATCTCCTCCTTGAATCATGAAGCTCTTGATCACTCGGTGGAAGCTGGAGCCTTTGTAGTGGAGCGGCTTGCCCAGGGCTCCCTCGCCCTTCTCGCCGGTACAGAGAGCGCGGAAGTTCTCGGCGGTCTTTGGTACGATGTCGTTGTAGAGCTCAAAGACGACCTTGCCGGCATTGGTTCCGCCGATGGAGATGTCGAAGAAGACGCGGCTACGCTTTGATCCGGCCATCTTTGGAAGGTTTGTGGTCTCGTGCTAGCAGTATCGTGGAGAAGCTTGTAGAGGTGCGAAGGTTGCGTTCGACGAGGTAGATGGTATTCGCGCAAAGGCTGTGTTCTAGAAGTTTGTGTGTCGTGAGAAAATCGCGGCAAGAACACAAACAGCTGCAAAGCTTCCAGAAGATTCAGCTGCGGGAAGATTCACTTCAGCTAGGGCTGTCCCGCTGCCCCGCACTAGAATCCACGCTAGCTCAGGCACATGCCGAGACGATTCACATGGACATACACAGATAGGCCACTTGAGTCCAGGAAATAATACTGAGTTTCATACCAGCCTTCGAAAATACTGCTGTCATACTACCACAGGTACAGTGCGAATCCAGGGAATCGTAGGCTCTCTCAACACCATCAAAATGCTCATCGATCCGAGAGAACGCTCCAGGTCATCATCATCAATCATGCCACTGCTCATATATTTCAACTTCCCGAGGCCCATCGTCGGGGAAACACTCCTGTCGGACCGTCGAGGTATCTCTAATCAATTCAACACTCACGAGTGACTTGTCTCATTCTTGGCCTTGGGCGATGCTGTATGGCCCAGGTTCACGTCGTTCGGGTAGCCATTTCGATGGCCATTTTGGGACTTCTGCTGATCAGTGTGACTGTGCACATACTGGACTGGTCCTGAGTGGTGCTCTGTCGCTGGCTTTTCCGCATGCGGTGGCGGCTTCGAAGACACGGCCTCGGTGGGGGCATACTCGCCCTCGGTCATCTTGCGAAACGTGTCCCAAGGGGTGACGGCGCCTAGAGCGCGCTTCATATGGGCATTAACAATCTGAAGCCCGTAGACGTAGGATGCGTTGACCCATCCAAACCTTTGTCGATCGTCAGTAAGATTGTTCTAGCACCAGCTTCACAACATCAGACTCACCCTTCAGTTGCTACACCCTTGAAGTCACCTCCCTGATTCCCATACTCGGCTTCGACCTTGTGGGGATCGACCTGTCGTGTGACGTCGTATTTCTCGACCACCACGCCGTTGAAGTCGACGAACGCTTTGGTGCACATGTAGATCCATCGGTACGCGAGCCTCTGGGCTTCTTCCTCGAACCCGTACCGCAAGAATCCGGTCCAGGCAAGAATCTGCTGAGGAGCCCATCCAAAGGGATAGTCCCATTGTCGGTTGGGCCGATGGACACCGACGGGCCCGCGGCTCTTCTCAGTACCACTTACCAGTCCACCGTGGACTTCAAACTTGGGCAGTGCCTTCTCAACCATGACCGCGGCCTGCCGAGGCGTGCACGCCCCAGCCCACATGGCCCAGAAAGTCGTTGCACTCTCGTAACCGGTCTGCTGCTTCTTGACGGTGTTGTAATCGAAGAACATGCCTGCCTCCTCGTCCCACATGAGCTTATCCATCTGCTGACGACGCTTGCGGGCTCGACGATCCCAGGTTGAGGATGTCTCAAACTCTGGATGACCGGGAAGACGCCACTCCTTTGGGATGTCGAGCTTGTCGCCGAAGAAGGCACGAATCGTGCGAGCGATGTCGCATTCATACTTGTACAAGCATGAGTTAAGATCGACTGTTGCCAGGTGCGCAGCCACCTTTTCCAGGCGATACGAGGTGTCGTGACCCGATTCGCGGACAGCGCGATCGTGAAGGAAGTACTCGTCGAGCTCAGGCTCGTACACGTGACCATAGTTGTATGCATGCACAAAGTTCTGAATGGTCATTTTGTGCTTGTCGGCGTACGGTGACAGGATGTGAACGAAGTGCGTTGCCTCGGTCTCCGGGGGGACGCCGAGACCCCCAGGAACGTAGCGGGACAAACCAGACTCCTCATCGTAGCGCGGTTTCGACATCCAGGTACAGTAGTAGTCCTTGATGGCCGCAAGTATGGCCTGACGGAGCATATCGAGGCTCTCGGGCTTGTGCTTTATCCGATCGTAGACGCGAAGTGCCATATCCGTGAGAAAGGGCGGCTGGGATCGTCGTAGATAGTATGATCGGTTGGCGTTCAAGATCTTGCCATAGTGCCGAATGCAGAAGCAGAAGTGCTTGACCATCGATTCGCACAAATCTTCACGGCCATTGAAGAGCAGACCAAGCGTCTCCATGTAACTGTCCCAGCCGTACAATTCGTTGAAACGGCCACCAGGAACCACGAACGGAAGGCCCTTGAAATCCACCTCTCCGTTTGGCGTGTCGTGTACACGCTCCATGGCAATGGCAAGTATGCCTGGAGCTTCGTTCAAGTCACGCACATACTCATCATCGTCCGGACCTCCCTCTTTTAGCCATCTTACATCCAATCTAATATCCGGGTGCTCTTTGGCTATCCGAGTATAATACTCAAATTGCTCGGGGGCTCCTGGAGGGACGTAGATGCGCGGCCGCGGGTCTGATGTCCAGTCTTTGGGATCTCTGGCAACTGCGGCAATGTTCGATCCGTCAATGCGTCTGGTCAGGTTTGGCCAAAATTGATCCTTGATGAGGCGAGCCAATCGATTGACGGGATTCTCGTTCAGACGGGCTTCATCAAGCACAATCTGTTTGCGGCCAAAGAGCTCCGCAAGAGTGAGTTCCTGTAGTAGATTGCTGAGCATGTAAGTGCCGCGGACATCGATACGTCTGTAGCCTCCGGAGGCAGCTGTGCCCAGCTCGATGGTTTTGGGTCCAGAGTCTTCTATGGTTATCTGGATATTACCATCCGTATCCTCTCTGTTAAGGAGCGCCTTCTTGGTCTTCTCCACATCGATGAGATAGCGGCGTGGGGCATTACCCTCGATGTCTGTGTGCAAATGTTAGCGAATGGCGCCGGTCATGCTCCGAGGAGCTTCACATACCATGACTGGCTCGCCTCGCCGGTGGCTTGAGGTCGTGTGCTATCCGCTCAAGATCCGGATCTACCTGTTGATCATGTTCAGTAAGCACTGCTCTGACCAAAACGACCACCGATTGCCGTCTGAAGGACTTGGCAGCTGTCCGGACTTCACAGGTGTTGTGAAAGGAGTAGGCAGGCTCACCGCTGAGTATGTCCGACTCTTGGCGACCTTTCTAGGGCTGTGACTGGCGCCATAGTAGACGCTGGGAGCAGCAAAAGGGTCGAGATCGAGAGCCGCGGCTTCAAGGCTCAAGTTACGCCGGCCGTTCTTCAACTGCTGCTCTTTCTCGTGTGTTGCATGCTCATGGGAGGCTGCGTGGATTGGCAGATCCGATTTCTGCGCGCTCATGCTCCGAGCAAAGGTTGTGTGCAGAGTCACAATGTCGTTCCAAGCGTCGGCGATAGAGGAAGTCGGAGTAGGTAAGTGTGGTCGTTGGTGGGGGGAGGGAGGGGCGTTCAGGTGGTGAAGTTTATCTCAGGGACAATGACGGCAGCTGCTGCAGTGGTTTAACGTCGGCACAGTGGAGCTTTCATCACGATTTCCGAATTTCTGATGCAGACTTCTCCGGTGCAAGACTTACGTTGATTCGCAGAGACCGGGATGCGGGCTGCAATTGGTCGCGACACTGGAGGTGTTGAGGCCGGAAGCTGGCTGCTGAATGCTGGCAGAGGGCGAAAGAATGCGCTGTTGGCAATAGCTGCTGGGAACAGGAGGTGGCCTGGGCCGACAAGGACAAAAGAGCTGAGGTCTTGAATGCGTATTGAATGCTGTGAAGAGCGGGTGGAGGAGGCGATCGAGCGAGAGCCGATCTCAACGACCAACTGTCGAAGAGAAGGCAAGGAGCGTCCCGGAGATTCAGGTGCCTGCTCTTCTGCTCCTCCGGTCAATCCCAAATAATGCCCTGGCGTGGAAGGAAGTGCAAGGAAAAGCACCGCAGAGAGGAAGTGCTGAAACCACGCATCACAGATCCCAATGCTCACCTGCCTCATCCACCATCGGCATTCTGTCCGGCCGAGAACCTGACGCCTCATCAGCTGCAGCCACCCAGGACGCGATTGCCATGACGGGGCATCAAATTCAGGGCAGTCTCGCACATGCCCATCACGAGAAAGGCCTCGAGCTTTTCCCCGAACTTTTTGGAGCCGAGCTCATTGACACGCCCCGTGAGAGGTACCCTGCCTAACCGGAGACGCTGTACGACCACAGCGCGCCGAGCTTCTCTACGCCCATTCGTCCTGCCTATCGTCAGCCTCACACGCTCAGCTCCAGGGCACAGGGTGCGGCGGTGATCTTCTTCACATCATCTCAAGGGTCCAGTGGACGACGTCAACGCTGCATTTGCTGCTGGTGTCTCAACCGGATGATTCTGTCAACAAGATCACAAGCCAAATGAGAGAGGCGCAGAATATATCGTAGAACAATCACCAGACTTTTGTGCCAATGGTGCCGGGTAATAGATATCGTCAATTGAGCATGTGAGCCAAGATCAACCACCACGCCGCAATTCCAGCTAAGACGCATCTCGGTGCCGCTCTCACATGCTCATCAGGTGCCGCTGGTCCAAGTCTCGCCGATCTCGGTCCCACGAATAACCAAACGAAAAGAAAGAAGACATGTCCTGCGTACGACAGTGTCGCGATGACAGAAGACCGCAAGCAGACATTCAAGGTGCTCATGCATAATCGTGTATACTCTCTCTAGCATCTCGTTGCATTTCCAGCATTCGCTAGGTAGGTGCTCAAGGTAATTGGTGGTAAGTGGCAAGAGAGCGAAGCTGAGAAGCTGCAAAGAACTTCCACAGCTTCGACCTTTGCCATGGCTCTCTGATAAGATTTCGGGCCCTCCATTCTCTTCGGGGAGACTGTTAATGATCTTGTAGTGCACTATTTATCTCCATCTGGATCCGGTCCCACAATCGCAAGCAAGGATCACACGGAGCAGCTTCGGAAAGCCACAATGCTATGATATCAGTGGAGCATCATGGCTGTCAATGCGTTCGCGACAACGACTTTGAAACGCATCCTTCATTACGCGTTTGTCTCCCTTCAACAACAAACCCTCAATTGCCAAAATGACGGCCACGGCCTCAGAGATGGGCACTCTCGGTAGCGCCAAAGAAGTGCTACAAGAGCCCAGTACGTATCGAGCCGCACACCTGCTCGGAATCACTGAGCGTTCAATGCTTCCCTCTCTCGGTCTCCATGGCGGCCTCAGTCTCGTCGCATACGGAATTGCTCGCACGACGAATCGAGTCGATCTCAAAGATTACCTCTGGGCAACTGGAATGGTAGCAAACGCATGGTACACAGCGGTCGGACGACATATGATCTTCTCTCCTCGCGCAGCATCTTTCGCTCAGGCGCTCAGTAACCTCAGCTATTCCCAGCAAGCTCTCCTTGGTGCAGTGACCGCCTGGGGCACTCGCCTCACATACCGCGTCGTCAGCCGCAGTCTCGCGCGAGGAAAAGACGACCCGAGATACGAAGTCGTAAAGAAGCAACCTGGGTTCTGGAACAAGGCAACTCTGCTCTTTGGCCTCGAAGCTGTCTTCCAATCTCTGATCTCGTTACCGTTTACCACGGCTTTCCGTACAGATCTTCTTTCCGGCTTCACTGGTGCTCCGTCAGACTGGGCTCCATGGGTTCGATGGTCGGCTGCTGGACTCTTTACGGCGGGACTGTTCTTGGAAACCATCGCCGACTGGCAGATTGATTCGCACAAGAAGCGAGAGGCGGTGAAGAAAGAGCAGGGCGGGAGTGGCGAGCTTTTGAGGAGCGGAGTCTGGAGCATTGTACGACATCCCAACTACCTCGGCGATGCGTTGTGCCATTTTGCCTTCCCTCTGTGGACCTATGGTACGGGACTGTTCAGCTGGGCACAAGTGGCTGGCCCACTGGCCAATTACTTCTTCCTCCGATTCATTGGCGGGGACAGGGAGAACGAGGCTTCTCAGGCGGAGAGATACGCCAAGGAGGACCGTGAGAAGCACTCACAGTTTGAACTGTATCAGTTGCAGAAGCATGCTTTCTGGCCCAGCGTCTTTGAAATCGCGAATCCTTGGACTTGGGTCGTTGCTAGTGTCGGCGCCTTGGGAGCGGCTGCTACATGGTGGGCTGAGTCGAAGCTCGGCGAGGCCGTGATGGCGGTCAATCCTGTTGATCCGAAGATAGGAGAGGAGCTTGCATCTCTGGCCTAAGCATGGTCAAGCAAGGTCAAGCAAGGTGACCGGAATCAAAAGTAACGTTTACATGTAGATGCGGCTGTAGGCATTTAGATGTACGTTAGAGTGTCAAGTCATTGAGCGCAGGCCGGCCTAGAGCCACGTCTGTTCATCCAAGTGTCCGACGAGCTTTATCAGTCTCGATATCTGGTAATACTTAGTTTTATCGCCCTCCAAATTGCAAGCCATGAGTTCAACAGATCAAAGCCGAGGCAGGCATTGAATTGCCGACAGCGGGGCTTGTAAGAGAAGCTCAACATCACCCGGACCTTCTTGTTCTCACAACATCCGATTCCCATTCTACCCAGCGACATCCAGAGATTAGAGCATCTGAGCGACTCCCGACCTGTACATACACCTACTCACTTCTACCATCCTCCATCATGGCTGGTGGCAGCACTTTCACCTGGTGCCACGCCCTCCGCCTCGACTCAAACAAGAGTCCCTTCGCTTCACCTCTACCGAAAACTCACACAGCCTTCTCCGACGTCCAGCCCGTCTCCCACACACGCCACAACATCGCCGGCCTCCTCACAACGGTCTACGGAGTCTCCGAGTTGCCCCAATTACCCTCCGCCGTCGTCTGTCTCTGGCTCCTCCACGGTCGAGGAGATACGCAAGATAGCATGGCTTACACCGCCGCCGCAATGCTCAAGGCCTGGAATACCGACAAGAGACGGAGAAACGAAGGGGGCAAAGGACTGATATGCGTCTGTTTCGACCAGAGGAACCATGGATCCCGAATGATAGAAAACGCAAACAACGTTTCCTGGAAACAGGGAAACCCGACCCATGGACTGGACATGTTCAATACCTACGCCGGCACTGCACACGACCTGTCCCTCCTGATCGCGCAGATACAGCATTACCTGCCCTTCAAAATCTCGGAGCATATCTGCGGAGGCGTCAGTCTGGGCGGACATGCTACGTGGAACGTTCTCATGCGCGAACCGCGCGTCACGGCGGGGATGGTCGTCATTGGATGTCCGGATTACATTCGTCTGATGACCGATCGTGCGATACGGAGTAAAGTCCCCTCGACCCTCACATCGGATCCTCCAGGCAAGGACTTTCTGGGCTCCAAGGATTTCCCGCAGAGTTTGATCGCTACAGTGGAAGAACACGATCCGGCGGGGATTCTGTTGAGTGAGTTGGATGTGTACTCACCGCATGATGTTAGGCATGACCCTTCGGAGAGTGAAGTGAAACGCTTAAGACCTATCATTGAGAGGACTTTGGCGGGAAAGAAGATCATTTGCTTGAGTGGTGGCAAGGATGGTTTGGTACCATATGCTCAGAGCGAACCGTTCCTATCCTGGCTGAAACGGGCGGTTGACAAGGAGAATGGCTGGGCAAAGGACCAAGGCATCGAGCTGGAAGACGTCGTCGACGCGGAATCCGGACACGCCTTCTCCGCCGTAATGCGCAAAGAGGCCGAACGCTGGCTCTGCGACCTCCTATCAGACGAGACCCGCCACTCGAATCGAGATTTCAAACTTTGATTTGCAGATCTGAAGAGGTTCTGTACATTTCGATCATCTATCGATATTATCGATCAAAGAAGACCTTAGGAGGCATCGATGCATCACAGCGTCAGAACAAAGGATGTCAGAGCAGCAAAGCTATGCAGCAGGAACGTGCCCGAGAACGCTAGCTAAGAATTCTCGGTGTAGCCCAGGTTCGCCAGATTCTCGACGTATTTTGTCTGCTTCCGGACCTGCGCTCGTTGGAAGGCTGCAGTCAGGACGCTGGCGTATGACCAAGTCAAGTCGACGCAACCTTGCGGTGCTCCGGTGTTGCGGTTGTACTCTTCCGCAAGGCTTCCATCAGATGGAGTGTAGTACTTGACCGTCCGCATGAAAGCATCTCCCCAGCCGTTCAAGCTATCAATGACAGCATTGAACTTCTTGCTGTTCTGCTTGCAAGTCGTGCCAACAGTCACGTTAGCCGAAGGCGCGAAATAATCAAAGAAATCCTTTGAGGTATTCGTGACTTGGATCTCGCCAGCTGAAGTATATTGCTGTGAAGAGGCCCAGAAATATTGCGCTAAAGCGGCGGTAGTCAAGTACCATGGATTGCCGCCATTCTGCTGCGTACCGGTGCCGTTGTAGATGTCTTCAGGATAGCGACCCGTGGGAATGCCCAGTACCCGGCCTGAGGAGTCCTTTTGAGTCTTGTTGAAGATCGGGTACACATCGATGAAAGAGGTTGCGAAGCGCACAATTGTAGACTGGATCTGGTCGTTCGTCCAACTGTAGACGTTGTCGCCAGCATACCCGTGGATCAGGCCCAAAGGTACAGCAGCATCGAGGTAGCTTGGCTTGTCATGAAGGACCGGGCCTGGACAAAATTAGCAGATGCCTCAGAAAGCAGTGTGGGTGGCTTGCCGTATTCATAGAGGATGATTTGGCGCCCCTGATCCCAGAATTGACTCATGGTACTCGAAAGTGCATCTGCGGCGCTTTGCAGTGTCGAAGCAGTCTGGCTGTCATTCATTTTCTTCGCGAATTTGACGCCCATGACTAAGGCTTTGCGCTGCACCATGCCTGCAACGCAACAGATAGAAAGTAAGCAAGTCTCTTGAGACATGAGAAGACGCATTGCATCTATCGATTTGCTTACGAGTATAGAAATGATCTGAGCTTTCTTCCTCCCAGAGATCGTATGAAGGGCTGGTCCAGTTCTTAGCAACGAAGAGAAGATCCTTTTGCACAGGCGCGGCCTTGGGGTAGGTCGAGGAATCGTAAATCTTCCGCTTGACGGCCGTGAGGTTGCCTCCCTTGTTGAGATAGCTGTCTGCGAATTCCATGAGCGTAATCGCAGCAGTAGCTGGACCGTCGTTTTGCGGACGTCCCCAAGGCTTCTCGAAGATGGTATTATTCAGGTAGAACTTAGGTTCACCAAGCCCAGTCTGCAGATCTGGGTCTGAATTAGCAAGACGTCTTGGAGAATTGAATCGGAAACGAACTTGGGTCGTTCTGCTCAGTCGCGCGAGCAGTCGCGTACTTGAAGAGAACATTCTCATATTGGGAAATGGCCTTCGCCTTTGTAGATGCACTGTACAGCATCTGGACGACGTCGTAGGTAAGAGACGAGTCTCTTACCCAGTCGTACTCGTAATCAGGATCCTTGGACGCGAACGTCGGTCCACTCCTTCCAGCAACGACCACACCCTCGACCGCGCCAGTGACGTTCGGGTTGATGTTGACAAACATCTTGGTAACGGACCTCTCCAACTGGGACCCACTCGCCACCGCCAGCCAAGTTGTGATATCATTCTGGAAACCCAAAGGTGTTGCGTACGGTTTTGGAGGAGAAGGGAGAGACGGGGCGGGTCCGCCGCTAGCAATAACTTTTTGGCCGAGTTGTTGAGAGTAAGTCTCGCCAATATCCGTGGCCTGGTAGGTGATATTCAAGAGTTGCGTGATGCCATCGATCCAAACAGGTGTTGAGCTTGTCCAGAGTTCATAGTTGTTCGCTACGCTGCTATCGTATCCCAGACCAACAGAACTCAGAGGCGTGCTCTTTCCTTGAGCATTCGTGTAGTAGATGGTGACGGCTTTGTCGTAGTCAAGGTTTGCGATGTATCTGAGTTGAAAAAGTGGAGGGTAAGTGCATGTCTTAGACGTGGATAGACGCTTCCCCGACTCTTACGCTGAGGTGTTCAGTGTTCCGCCGCAGTATGAGAAGCTCTTGAGGGTGACATTGGGACCTCCACTCGCTGGCACATCGTTCTGGAGGGTCGTGGTATTACACGCTTGCCCAGCGACTCTGCTCGCGAGGGCAACGCCAGCCGCGAAGCCGGCTGCAGTTCTCCTCCGCATGACCCCGCTTTTTTAACAGTAACGAATGCGAGTCGAAGCAGATAATGGCGTAGGAAAGACGGACGGTAGCGAGCAAGGTGGAAAAGTTGCGGGGGAGGTGGATGCGTGGTTCAATATATACCTGGACTACATCCTGCTTCCAGTTGATGGTCGGGGCAACGACGACCGCAAATGAAACCGCTCCAGCGACTCCTTCCTGATGAATCAGTGGTGGGACAGAAGGTTCGGTTCCTGCCTCCGTGCATTCACCGTGGCACCTGCCGGGGAGGGAAAGAGATCTGCAATCGTCCGGGCCGAGTCCGATGTGAAATCTTTGGAACATTGCGGAGTTGCAGTCATCGTTCCAACTCTGCTTCCTCTGACCACCGCACTCGTGAACGGATCTGGCTTGCTCGGCTGTAGTATGGACTTGGAACGAGGAAGCCTAACCGGCGCAGGGTTTGGCAATACCCGAGCCAAGAGCATTCCAGCCGTACTGTGCAACCCACAATGTCTCTGGAGGATGGGCTTCAAAAGATCATGTCGATGTGCAAGCCGAGGGCCAGAGAATATAAGAGCAATACTTCGGATCCGCGTTATCAAACCCTCACTCAGAAGGGAAAAAGCGTTTCACTCTGGCTTCGATCGAAGCATCGATGACTTTGTACTGCGTCTCAAGGGCCCCATTTCTCGCAACCCACAGCGGAGACCACAGCATCTTGATCCTTCAGGGCTTGGACAAGCTCGGTCTGAGGCAAGTAGTCGCTGACGCGAACGTCTCTGACTGCTCTAGGGTACTTGGAAACTGGACGTCTTCCTAGAGAGGACAGAGACGGTGTAATCGTCGTTGATGAGAGCTTCGATGATGAATTTGCCAGTGTTGTCACCTCCGCCGCCGTAGACTGTGATGCTCCAGAATGTAGAAGACATGCTGCTCAGCCTCGTCGATTGCTCGGTGGCGTAGAAGAAATTCTCAATGGTGTGTGAGATCCTTTGTGGACGACGTCGCTACCGGAAGTCTTTTATGCATCTCGGAGAGGCAAATCTTCCGCGATTGAAGGGCGAGCTGGTTCTACATGATTGAGCGTAATTGCTGACGCAGCGTTGCTTGTCCCAGGAGCGGAGCCACAAATTGGTGAAGTGCTCATGCTGTAGCTCTATACCAGGGTATTGTCTGATACAACGTTGAGGTACAGATCTTATCTTGCAGCTCGGTGTTAACTGTTGATGAGTGATCGCTCGGCTGTGCTCCATACTGAATACGATATCCGGGAGCGGTGGCCATATCCATGCGTTCATCAGCAGGACTGCTAGGAGATACTCCGTGCACTTTGTAATGAGTTGTCGCAGACGTATACTCTCATCGCAGTGGCCAGCCACACATCACAACTCGCTCTTTGCCTCGTCCTCGATCTGCTTCAGAAGCCCCTTGCCCATCCGTGATACTTGCTCATACGCGACTTCGAAGCCTTTGCGTCCTCCGTCATACCAAGGATCCACGATCGTCTCCTTCTTATTCTTTCCGCCAAATTCTCCATACATATGCACCTTTTGCAAAGCATCGTCTCCTAGCTGTCCCTTCTTCTGTGCCCTTCTCACCATATCTCGCAGATCAATATAGTTGTCTTCGTCCATTGCGAGGAGATAGTCGAAACGTTCGAAGTCTTCCGGAACCTTTACCCTTCGCGCCTCATGTTTGTAGTCTGTCAAACCATTGTCCGCGAGCACGGACAGTGTGCGTGGATCTGGGCGATCTCCTGCATGGTATGCGCCTGTACCGCAGGAATCTACTTCCTTGATGAGAGGATGCTGCTTGGGGGTGCCGAATTGGGTGAGGTTTCGGAAGACACCTTCTGCCATTGGGCTGCGACAAATGTTGCCGAGACAGACGAAGAGTACTGAGACGGGCTGTCCGCTGGTCGAGCTCGCGGCCATTTTGTACGTGTGTGGAAATGTTCAACGTTCTTTGGGAAGAATATCTTGAAGGGGAGAAGCTTCCACCTCGGCCGTCCCGACTGCCAAGAACTTGTCTCTTGCCTCTTGCCTCTGGAGAACCGCCTGCCGATGCTACGCAATCAATGCGGCGGTAGTTAATGTTGATTGGGTCTCTCGCCAGTTTATTCTGCTGCCTTGGCTTCAGCAGAAGGCTAGGGGCTGCTCTCTTGCCTGATGTCACCGCGAAGAAGGTGTGTTTCTATTTTTACGGACTCGAGGGCGGCCCGATCGATATCACGTGGGGACAACGGGCTGTGGCGGGCGCTAGAATCTGGAGCTTGCCTTTGCGTTGCACGCTTGGAATGGTCAGGAGATGCTTCTGCGAGTCTCGTGTTTATTAGTCGTTGACCGGCCGAGACCTGACGCTTCAGCTCGACCGGGCTACAGGTCATGGACAGAAGATGGTGGAGAAGAAAGGTGAGGTAGAAACATCGGAACACAGGCACTAATAAGGTGAAACGCCGCGGCAGAGATATGCACTGTGTGCTGGTCCCTGGAGATGGTGGGAAGGTACGCGCGTGCACAGCGTGTTTGAGAAAGGCGGTGCATTAGATGGCGAAGTTCGCAGGATGAGGCGACCACCAGAAGGGTAGCTTGATATCTGCAACTGCACACGCACACATCCACTCTTCTCATCGCCAGACCAAACTTCTTCCCGACGCTCTCCCTTCAATCTCCTGCCCAGGCGCTTCGTCGTTTCAGACCGTTGCTACACCGGCAACACATCCAAGTAAACAAACGGCTACTCCGCACCCGCATCATCACCTGAAACCACTGCAGCTCCTCCCGAACCCATACTACGCAACGCGGGTCGCATTTTGGCGCAGTATCTATCGAGCCGTAACTCGATCCTCGCACGAACAAACACCATCCCGGGGCGTCTGCGCGTCTTCCGTCCAACTGCCCGTCTTCTGTCCGAACGTCGTGGAGAAGCTGGGATTGGTGACAAAGCACAGACAGAATGAGTTACAACCCGCTAGGTACGTTCAACACAAGGTCACGCCGCGTTTGGGAATGGTTTGAGGACATGCACCGCGGTGAACGAAACGTGCCGATCAAGCAGAATCACACGCGAGGAGACTGCCCGCATTCCAGCGCACGCCTTCACGAACTCCATCACAGCCTCGCAGGCACACTCGGAGACTAACTGCAGTATACAGGTGGCTACGGCCACAGCGGCCACTCAGACGAACACCTGAACGACCCTGAGAACCCCTTCATGGATCACCAACACCCACCCGATCGCTTCAACCCCCCAACCCCTGGCTACCAGCTCGAAGACCGCCCGTACATGCACCATGAACCCCTCGAGATACCTGTCGGGCCTGGCCCAATGCATGCAGGCCCCATGCAGTCGGCCGATCGATTAGCTGCGCAGCCAACATACGAGGTCTCGAACATGCCAGGAACGTATGGGCACTCTCAGGCCTACGAAGATACCCACTCGCACGGATACACTCCCAATCCTTACCAGCAGGCGGCGCATCAGGGCAGAGGAGAGTACAACCTGAGCCCACGCTACGATCATGACGACTATGTTCACGACGACTCATATGACGCGCCGCAACATCCCTACTATCAGGACGAGGCGGACAATCGCCCAATGCTACAACCAGCGGCATCCTATGGCCCAGATCCGCATCAGCCTGTGCTCACTCCCGGCCCAGAGCATCCAGGTGACCTCGAAGCAGGCTACAATGACCCACCCCCACCCCCTGCGACTGCGCCAATTCGGAGGTGGAAGACGGTGAAAGAAGTGCAGCTGTTCAATGGCAACTTGGTCCTGGATTGCCCAATACCTCCGCGACTACTGAACCAAGTGCAGCATGCGAAGCCGCCAGAAAGAGATGAATTTACACATATGAGATACAGTGCCGCAACCTGCGACCCAAGCGAGTTCTTCGACAAGCGCTTTACCCTGCGTCAACGTCTGTTCGCGAAGCCTCGTCAGACCGAATTGTTTATCGTTATTACCATGTACAATGAGGAGGACGAGTTGCTCGCACGGACGTTGATTGGTGTCATCAAAAACATTGAGTTCATGAATTCGAGGACATCGTCGAAGACGTGGGGTAAAGAAGCCTGGAAGAAGATCGTTGTGGCTATTGTTTCAGACGGACGTGCCAAGATCCATCCTCGGACTCGTGCTGTGCTTGCCGCTATGGGTATCTACCAGGACGGAATTGCGAAGCAGCAGGTCAATGGAGAGGACGTCACTGCACACATTTACGAGTATACCACTCAAATGACGCTCGAGATTAAGAAGGGTATTGTGCAGGTCAAGAAGGGCAACACTCCAGTCCAGATCTTGTTCTGCCTCAAGGAAAAGAATCAGAAGAAGATCAATTCGCACAGGTGGTTCTTCCAGGCGTTCGGCGAGGTCCTTCAGCCGAATATCTGTGTGCTGCTCGATGCTGGTACTCGACCCGGACGGAGCAGCATCTACGACCTGTGGAAGACCTTCGATCGTGAGCCGATGTGTGGCGGCGCATGTGGTGAAATCAAGGCCATGCTGGAACATGGCAAGAACCTCATCAACCCGCTGGTCGCAGCTCAGAACTTTGAATACAAGATGAGTAACATCCTGGACAAACCGTTGGAGAGCGCTTTTGGCTTCATTACCGTGCTTCCTGGAGCCTTCTCCGCGTACCGCTATGTAGCTATCCAGAACGACAAGACAGGTCAGGGTCCTCTCGAGAAGTACTTCGCTGGCGAGAAGATGCATGGTGCCAACGCCGGCATCTTTACCGCGAACATGTATCTGGCCGAAGACCGTATCCTCTGCTGGGAGCTTGTCAGCAAGCGCAACTGCTCGTGGATCCTGCAGTATACGAAGTCCGCGACTGGTGAGACAGATGTGCCAACCGAGATGGCGGACTTCATTCTACAGAGACGTCGTTGGCTCAACGGCTCGTTCTTCGCCGCGGTCTATGCTCTGTCACACTTCTATCAGCTGTGGCGAAGTCACCACACGTTCATTCGAAAGTTCTTCCTCTGCATCGAATTCGTCTACCAACTGGTGAACATGTTGTTTGCCTGGTTCGCTATCGTAAGACAGTCCCGATGTCTGAATGTGTTCACTGCTAATCTGCGCAAAGGGCAATTTCTTCCTGGTCTTCCGCATCCTCACTTCCTCCTTATCGGCCGACGATCTGCTCGGCACTGCGGGACTGGTCCTCTCCATCGCCTTCGAATGGATCTACCTTGCCGTGTTGTTGACTTGTTTCGTCTTGGCTCTGGGAAATCGTCCACAAGGAAGCAACAAGTTCTACATGGCGCAAGTTTATTTCTGGGCAATACTCATGGGGTACCTCCTATTTGCAACGGTCTTCATCACGGTGAAGTCGGTACAGCAACAAATCGCGGACAACAAAGGCTTCAGTGTGCAGTTGCTTTTCACCAACAAGCTGTTCTTCACGTTGATCATCTCCATGCTGTCAACGTACGTCCTCTACCTGGTGGCATCTATTCTCTTCCTGGATCCGTGGCACATGTTCACAAGCTTCCTTCAGTACATGCTCCTTACCCCCACGTACCTCAACATTCTCAACGTCTACGCCTTCTGCAATACCCACGACATCACGTGGGGAACAAAGGGCGACGACAAACCGGAGAAGCTTCCAGCGGCTAACCTTAAACCCGGCGGCAAGGTCGATGTCACGATTCCCACAGACGATCACGACCTCAACACGCAGTATGAACAAGAACTACGGGCTTTCAGCTCCAAGTACGCAGCACCAAAGAAGACTGTTACTGCGGAACAAAAGCACGAAGACTACTACAAGGGATTTCGTTCGACAGTCGTGTTGGCTTGGATGTTCTGCAACTTGGCCTTGGCGGCCGTCATTTTGAACACTGCCGGATTACAGAAAGTTCAGAAAAACGGAGACGCGGAAGAGACCGCAGAGACATTGCGTGCTACGATCTACATGGCAGTCGTGCTGTACTCGGTAGCGGCGTTGGCAGCAGTCCGATTCATTGGCTGCTGCTGGTTCTTGGTCGTCAGGATTTTCCGAGGAGTGTAAAAGAGGCGAACAGCGGCTCAGGCGTTGGCTGGCTCTGGATTGTGCTATGGAATGTTCCGAGATACCAATGTGATGATTGAGCGTTTGGCGCTACAGTAAGAAGGCAGTCAGGGAAATGAAGCTACTTTCACATGTAAACGTCACGTGACAAGGCCGCACCTCTCCTTACCTCGATAACAATGATGCAGTTGCCTTTGCATGCGCTTACCCGTGAACAGTACGCTTCGCCATCGTCTCTACAGCCTCGACCATCTTCTAGTGAGTTGGAGTACCTTCACATCGTTGTCGTGCCTTCCGCATCTAGACGATCTCGGAACTAGTGCCGGCAGCCGAAGTGCATCCGCGCAGGGTCCGGCTCAAACGAGCACACTGCAATAGACATTCAAATTGCCGATGAACTCCATGCTCTTCTTCTCTCTCTGTCTATCTTGACCACCTTCACCACGCAACACTTCCAACATTGGACGGCGGCACAACACCGCCTCCAGCAGCGGACCTTCCTAACTGACAGACCAAGACTACAACCCGGAACTCGGGTGCGCCACTGTCACTGCTGTTCGCCAACACACACACGCTTTTTCTCGGCGCACATTCTGCCTCGACCCACCTGACAGTCCAGCAGCAAGCGCGCTCCTCTTTTCCTATCACGCTCTTCACAAGCTTCCAGGTACGCCTTACCTCACTTGTTCCCCCATTCTCGCGTGCTTACTGCTGCCTACGCACGGTCCGCTCTCGCTCCTTTTTAAAAGTCTTCCTCGACTGACTCTGACACAGTCAACACACCCACTTTCCGAACACCATCAACAACACTTCGGCAGCATGGGCGCTTCTACCTGGGACGACACTCCTACCCGTAAGCATATGTTACACCTCAATTATACTGTCTCTTGCTGATCTCCCCTTAGCCGCTGGCGACAATAGCTGGAAGGCTGACGCTGGCGGCGACGCCGGTGGCTGGGAGCCTGACAACTCCATGGCCAACAACGGTTTCGCCGAAGAGAACATCTCGAAACACGCCGGCGGCGTTGACTTCGGCGACGACGCTCCCCGTGACGGCGGCTGCCGTGTGTATGTTTAAAGTACCCGACGCTTAGTGTTATACACTGCTGACCTTTTCCAGCTGCGGCGCCGACAGCCACTTCGCTCGTAAGCTCCCTCGCTCCATGTGCGCATCTCTCGACATGACTGACGGATCATCAGGTGACTGCCCAGACAAGCCAGCCAACTCGGGCGAGTGCTACAACTGTGGCGAGACCGGCCACAACAAGGTGAGCAACCTCAGTGTTGATCCGCCATTGCAAGATGCTGACGCGCACAGGCCGACTGCCCAAATCCTCGCGTCGAGCGCGAGTTCACCGGCACCTGCAATTTCTGCGGCCAGGAGGGACATCGCAAGGCTGATTGCCCTGAGAATCCCACCGTCTGCAAGCTCTGCAAAGGCACCGGTCACGTCGCCGCAGACTGCGAGGTCAATCGCGCAGAGGCCATGTTCGCTTCCATGGGGATCAAGGACATGGAGGGAGAGGAGGCTTGGCTCGCCATCGTGGCGGGCGACAAGGACAAGGATGTCGAGGACATCAAGAAGGTAATTTCATCGCGCCTCCAAGCTGCTCGATTACTCGATCCTGACCACATCACAGGCAATCTTTGCCTACGCCAAAGCCGTTCCGTACCTCCTACTCCCGGACCTCGAGGGCGTCTTCCGCGCTCATAACATGAACACCCGTCTCATCGCCAAGGAGCAAGAGCTTTCAGCCGCACATACCATCATCAACTTTCAGGGCAAGCCTGACATGAAATACGTCGTCTCCATCCAGTGGTCGGACAAGCCAAAGCGCGCCAAGTTCGCTGAGGGCTGGCCATCGTCTACCGAGGAGAACCTGCTTCGTCTCGCTGAGGCAGGTTTCATCGTCGACTCCCTGGTTCCAAAGTGCAGCAACTGCAACGAGTACGGCCACATCTCGAAGGACTGTGAGCAGGATAAAAATGAGGCTGCCAAGGTCATCATCTCTTGCGCCAACTGCAGCGAGGAGGGTCATCGCGCTCGTGACTGTGCAAACCCACGCAAGTCTGGCAAGAAGGGCTGCCGCAACTGTGAGTCTCTACAAGACCTATGAGACTGACTGAAGCTGACTGTAAGCAGGCGGATCCGAGGACCACATTGCCAAGGACTGCGACCAGCCTCGCGACCTCAGCGACGTCGAGTGCAAGGAGTGTGGTCAGATGGGCCACTTCTCTCGCGACTGCCCCGAGCAAGTCTGCCGCAACTGCAACGAGAAAGGCCACTCCTCCAAGGGTTGCGAGAAGGAGCGCGTCATCGTGTGCCGCAACTGCGACCAGGAGGGACACGTCTCCAAGGTACGTTGTCTGATACCGAGAGTTTACGCACGACATGGGTACTGACTGACATTTCTCGTAGGAGTGTCCAGAGCCACGCAATATGGCCAAGGTCCAGTGCCGCAACTGCGACGAGTTCGGCCACACTGGTCGCGACTGTCCAAAGCCAACGGATTGGTCTCGTGTCGAGTGCACCACCTGCCACGAGAAGGGCCATTCCTACAAGCGCTGTTCGATCAAGCCTGAGGAGGGCTCCGGCGGCAATGGCGGTTGGGGTGAGGGCAACGGTGCCGGAGCTTCTTCTGGCGGAGGAGGTGGCGGCTGGGAGAACAACGACACCGGCGCCTCGTCTGGCGTTGGCGGCGGAGGCTGGGAGAATGGAAACTCTTCTGGTCCCGCAGACACTGGCGGTTGGTAAATCTCCGCTGGCTTTCTGACCTCTGAGAGACCTCAGACTCTCACATACCTCGAATCGGGCAACCTGTTCGAACACCCTGCATGCTTGAAATTCTGTTCTTGGCTGTTACCAATAGCTTAGGCAGATCAAAATGAGACTACTGTGAATGAGATTCTTCTTCTTTGCTCGGATGCAAGTCTCTCTGGCCCATTCCAAACCCTCCCATGGCACTTCCCCTTTCACGCCTATGGCATCGCATTGACCCGTTCCCAGAGTTCCAGAAATTCTTGTAGGGAAAATGGAGCCCGCAACAAGCTCCATGGACATCCCGACGCCTCCAACACAATTCCAGCGCATGACCACCCATACGATGGATGAGGTCGAATTACTTCGGATGCTCCGCAATCATCTTCACTTTCTCATGGTCCCGTATATCCAGTGCCTGGATCTCCTGGAGAAGCTGTGCTTGTCGTTCGCCTTGCTTCACGCCCAGGTAATAACCAATTGCCGAGGGGATCAAAGTCACCGGAAAGGGTTTGTTGTATTTCGATGTGAGGATTGCGTCTTGTGACGGGCGAATTAATTGTTATTAGTACGGAAGATTTGGATTTAGATAGATAGGGAAGAGGGGAGGGGAAGAAGTACCGAGGAATTTCATGAAACCTGACATGATCGATAGTCAAAGATGCTCAGCTATTACGCTCCACAAGACCGCGTTTTCTGGGAATTTTTTAATTGATTTTTTTGGAGTATGTACAAGTTACCTGGGTAAGTATTTGGTATGCAAGAAGAGGTGGAGTGAAGTCGAAGGGGAAATGGTTGGTCATTCTTCGGACTAATGGATCCCTAGATTGGGTAGGATTTGGTGGAGAATTGATTAGCGTCGAAGCCAAGTTGATTTAGCCGGCTCTGCCGACAGGGAAGGTGTCCGTCCTTGAACACTTCATCACGTCGTTTGGCGATAGTCTGATATTGTGTCTTTTGTGCGTGTGTGGAATTTCTGATTAAGTGTGCTGCTCGAAATTCTCAGCGACCTCTTCGGCTGCTTCCTCTCCCCCATCGAACCCCGGCTGCTTTTTCAACACATGCCTCCTCCGCATTGGCCTTCTCGGCTTGGGGGAACCATTTTGCTGTACCTGCGTGCCCATCGCCTGGAGTCTGGATGGCCGATGAAGGCCAGAAGAAAACTTCCTTCTCTTCGTGTCAACAGCAGCTGTTCTGCCTTTCATGTCTTTGCTCCTTTCGTTCCGAACCTCTAAACGCTCCTTGGTGTTGTGTGCTTCTGTGTTGCCAGAACAGAGTGAACAGTTTGTTCCGATGGTGCTTGGAATCTTTCCTATAAGCTCTGTGGTGGTCATGCTGGTTTCATCGGACGCAATGATCTTGGGCTCGGTAGAGCATTGAGAATCGGGCGTGAAGGGGAGAGAAGGGCTTGTGCGCCGGCTTCTGGTAGATGCCTTGCTGACAGAGCTGTGCTCCAGTTGTCCAGTCTGTTCTGTCGCTTTCAAGACGATCTTGCTTTCGATCGCGTCTACCATATGGGCTACCTGACCTTGCATAGGGGCGCTTGCCCTCCTCTCGAATCCAATGTACAGCATGGTTGGAGTGACCGGCTCACTCATTGCTCTTTTCCGACCAGGTGACGTTGGACCGCTATGCTTAGTCTTGGAGTTGGCCCTTTTGCATCTCACGCTGGAAGGTAGAAGCGTGCTGCGGATGAGTATGAGTGTCTGCATCTGGACAGGATGGGTCCACCTCCGGAGCTGGATCATGTTGTCAATGACATCCACGGCGACGATTGCCAATACGTAGATGGTGATTGTCACCGGCACGGCGAGCCAGACAGGTACCAGTAATCCGAACGAGATGAGTGTTTGCGCATTCCGCATAACGGCCACGAGAGACAGTACAGTGAGGCTTCCGAGAACGAGGAGAAGGAGCTGGATTGCTTCGGTGGTGAACGCATGGATGGTAGAGAGCGTTTGAAGCCTGCGTTGTGTAAGCTGAAGTCGCTGGGAGAGACTGTAGCAGATATCTAGAACTGAGGATACTGCTATGATCCCCAGCGGAAGAAGCATCGTTCTGGGAATGTTCGCTGGAAACTTTGGACAATGTGAATGTGAAGTCCAAAGATAACATCTGGCCCTGTAGCGAATTTTGAGCGGATATTGTGTTGTTGGGAGCCTCCGACTGTTGTTTGCCCCTGGAGCGAGACATGCGGCTCTCTGTTTCAACGCCTTACCATCTGATGTAGAACAGACAGATAGCTAGCAACTCTTGATGCACGCGCCCATAAGACTTGTCCTATCTGGCTGTTCGACTTATTGTCTTTGTCTCGTGAAGATCCACTTGACTCAACCCTTCAGGGGTTTCCTTGACCAGCGCGGAAGGATACAAGGCATTGTCTCCGGAACCCTCACGATGTAAATCAGTGAATGTCATTCGGTCGTCGACAAGGTATTTAGAGCTGTCGGCCACCAGAATGCTCGTTCGACCCTGTTGAAGAATCCATACTCGATCCAGCAAAAGCCATTTTGTCACCTCTTTGCGACAAAGAAACGACGGCATTCTACCATCAAACGACAAGAATATCAATCGTAACCAGAGATGGACAGCAATAGCGACTTCCCATCGTCGAGCTGCAGCTGGCCCCAGATCTTTCAAGCGCTCGTCGTGTACACGCCGATAATGTTAGCCATCCTGGCCACGCTCATCACACTCGTCGGAGAGATCATCAACTTCAGATCGTGCAGGACCACTGAACATCTGCTGATCAATAGCATTGCGAGACGCATCCGGACACGTCCTTCCGACGGGCCATGCGCGGTTTGCAAAGATGACTTCAAGTGTCCAATTGAACTGAAAGCGTGTGGCCATATCTACTGCCTCGAATGCATCCAGCAGACATTGGCCAATATCACCTTTTGTCCACTCTGCACCAAGCAGCTATACAGTCGATTTGATCTTGATAACAATCAAGCTTTTGCACGGAGTAAACAGCTGCAGAGGAAAAGATATCTGATCTCTTTGACAAAAGGCGTCCACTTGATGAGAGTACATCTCTGCCTCGTTGTGCTCACGAGTTGCTTGCATTACTGCGGTGTCCTCGGAAGTGCCATGGGCCGCACTCTCCGAGCGTATCGTTGCATGATGCTGGGGCTCGAGCTCACCGCTTTTGTTGGAAGTGTGCTGCAGTCCCCGACTCTAAGTTGGTTCCATCCCGCTCTCCAACAAATTCCAGTGCTCCTAATCGCTGCTCCCTTCTTTGTCGACGATGGAGGCTTGCTAGTGCTGCAGGTGTGCATGATCTTTGGGCCTTTCATGGCGGCCGGCTGGGTGTTCCGCTACCCGTGAAGTCGTGCCGTCCTCTTCCGACGGACGCGGTTGTTCTTCTGGGAGTGGTTTTGAAACAGCGGTTGCGGCGAGTGTTTCTCTTGACGCGCACAAGAGCGGGAGCGCCAAGGAGTGACGGGCAACGCATTGCGAAGCTCGGTGGGTTGCGGACGATGTTAAGGTGGCGGATCCCAACTCGGAGTGGGGCGCTCAGCATTACTGCACTGTGTGAGAAGAGTTACAGCGTCATGAACACAATATAGACCCACACGTACAATGTTTCACTGCCTAACACTCGTCTCCAGAGCCTTCAACCAGAGCTTACGGGAGGGATGATAGCAACCTCATCCCCTTCACGGATAACGAGCCCATCTGTACCCTTCGCTGCCTCTTCCTCGACGTCCACATAATCCAAGTTCACCGTGACTGCACTACTCGACAGAACCTTCTCTTGAATGCCGACGTATCGCTCTTCAAGTTGATCAAACAATTTGGTGACGGGCAGAGGTGCCACGAAGAACTCGTGCTCTTTCTGCGTGTAAGACATCGAGGCAGCGAAGTAAAGGAGCGTGAACTGGCCAGTGGGGGCTTTCGGACCACTCATGATTCCTAGATCCATCGACATCAGCATCTGGTAGAATGACTCGGCTAGCTATTCAGGATTGAAGTCGAGTTGATTATCAGAAATACCACTACAAAAAGTAGATCCCCATTGCGTTTGTCGGGTAATACATGCTATAATTTTGAAACATCATGTGAAGCTGGAGGGAGGGCGGAGGACTGATGAGGAACATACCTTGAGATGCAGAACAACCGAGCAACGAGACGTGAGGAGATGACTCGTTGCGGGTTGTTAATGGCGAGAAAGAGATGAAGTCCGCTGGAGGAGGAAGATTCCAGCCGGACGGGCCGGGTGAGGTCGATGCCAAGCTTGTTGCCTTACCTCAACCGCGGGTTTCTGCCTGATAACTACATGTAGCGTCACTTTACTACTCTTCTCCAACATCGACATCGACACCGCCCACGACTGTCTTTACCACCTTCACCGCGAGAAGCTTGTTGCACGATTCGGAGCCTCCAAATCGATCGCAAAGGGATCGCCTCTTCTTCAGCCTACGATTTGAAACCTCACAAAGCAAACATGCAGAAAGTAACACCAACGCCGCGAACCTGGACGCTACGCTTCAAGCACCAGCGTGCAACAATTCTGCTCGAAGTAGATCCGCTGCAGCGATTCTCCGACATCAGAGCTGAGCTGCTTCATGCTATTGAAGAGACCAACCCGTCCGGCATGCTCAATGGCCAAGAGATTCCCAGGAACCCAGACCACATCAAGCTCGGACGAGCAGTCGACCGCAACAACCTGAGCCTTGGTTACACTTCGATCGGTAAGACATTGGAGGAGGAAGGCTCCAGTACACGCAAGGGAAAGGGCAAGAGTGCCGTCATGGCAGCTTCCAACTCAGAAGCTGGCCAGCTGAAAGACTGTCCCCAGGGTGCGGGCTTCAGGAGTGGAGACGTGGTTGCCTTCAAATTTCAAAGTTACGAGGAACCAGAAGACGAGGGAGAATCGGCCGAGAAGTGGGAAGTGACCGTGCCGACCATGGAGGAGACATACGGCGCTGAGGACGAAGGCGTTGGTCTGGAAGAAGAAGGATGAAAAGCAGCATAGCAGCAGTGCTCGCGCAGGGTGCTGTGCTTTGTACAACTATACAAAAGCCGACAAGCTCGAACAGAAGCCAGGACGACCGGCCTGTTCAAGACCAAGCTGCTCTAGCTCATTGTACAGCTTGCGGTCACACCGGCCGTGCCGTTGCCTGTACTTCTATAACGGAAACGGACTTCCCATTACGGGAATGACAGCGGCAGCCTGCATCTGCACCGTTGCATATCCCGGTGTCGTCCTACTCGACTAGCGGATAGCTTCCAAGTCACCGGCTCAGCCCAGGCGGAAAGGCCTGATTTGCCGACTTCACTTCTCCTCGGGCATCCCGAATCGCGTACCGATGTTGATATGGCCAACGGAACAGCTTCAACTGCGCTTTCAGAGCACCCAGAATCGAAGAAGCTCAGTGTCAAGTTCAATTTCGACTGTTACTGTCGCACGGATTCGTGGCACGTCCAGTTTGTTCAGCATTGTTTGCTAACACTTGACAGATTCTGACTGGTCCCTATGAATTGATCTTTGTCTCATCGAACGCGTAGCTGAGGAAATGAAAGCGGCTGCCTCCATCATCCCTGCCCACTCCTAGACAAGTTATTCTTCCGTCGAGGCACTTGTAGACCGAGGTCAGCAGTGCAGCTTAGCCCACGCAGTAAATGACGGCTGGACGAAGCGTGACCAGCTGGTCAGACTGCTGTCGCCATTTGTGGAGCTCGTGGAGGCTAGCGCTCAACACAGATTTGGCAGGTCTAATTCGGAACTCTATCCAGCCCGGCTGCCAGACCGCGCTCGTCGTGGTCCCGACGTGTCCAAAAGCGCATCGGCTGTCTACATACTCCGTGGCCAATGAACACACCATTACATGCGGCGCAGCTCGAGCAAGATGGAATTGTGAGCCCAGGCACAGCTCAGGGAGCATGTACATTGGATTGACGTGCTCTAGTAGCCGCTTCTGCGACGTGATCATTCCATGTGCATAAGCTTCCGTGCGCAAAGCGTTGTGGTCCAGTTTCAGGGGCCATGAGATCGCGGCTGATGTCTTCCTACGGCACACCTTGGCTTCACGACTGGTCGCATGTCAAGGGTAGAACCGAGCATGCGGGATGCATCGTCCCAATGCCGTCCCGAGTACCTGAGCTCGGCAACTTGTCGCCGCTGTCAATCTAGGGAACGCAGAGTTGTGCTTTGCAGTTACGCATAGCGCTCCAGGAAAGCTCACCACGGCTGCCAACTGTTTGAGATCGGCTGCGCATTGCTTGCTCCTGTCTGCAAATCAGTAGCCGTCCTTCTACCATCGCACTATTGCGATCTTTTCATCACGGGACTGCCATGACGGATGAATGGTGTAGGACTCGCTGACACTTGCAAGTGCCATTTCTGCTAAGGACCCAGTTTACTGGGCTATACGTGATGCGCGTTGCACTGCTGAGTACAATGGACTCTTGCCTGTCGTCCGCAGCCACGACGTCTCTCGATGCAACAACCACCCACGGGGAGCTTCTGTTTTGGAGGGCTGGTTCCTCCCCAACAACATTGCTGTCTGCTCACTATGTGCAGCCTCTCCGATCTCCATGGTCTTCCTTCTCGACCGAGCAATCGTTCGCCTGTGCTACCGTCCAAGGCTTGAAATGTGTTTCCACAGCGCAAACACACGCTAGCAAAGGGAATTGGTAGGCTTCTTTCAGTCGAAAACTTTCTCTTTCAAGCTCGACCAGATTAACAACTCACGAAAACAATAACCCAACAAGAGCCCTTCGGCGCGAACAATCGTGGAGCTGTGGATGCGCGGCATTTAATATCCCAATCAAGGATGCTTCTGGCCTCACGACAACACAGCCTGAAGCGTGCGCGCCGACATCTGTTTGTAGTACGCAGCTCGTCAACTACAGAAAGGTTCTGTCCGACTTGAAAGGCAGCCATAGCGTGGAAGTCGAGAACGGCGGCAGAGGCAAAGCTCAGGCAACACATCCCACACAACTCAAGCATCGCGCCAACATCCATGCCGCTTCACACCTACGTCTACACCTGCGGACATCTACGCTACGTCCAAGGCCGAGAGTGCAACTGCTTTTACGAACAATTGATGCGCATCAACTATTCCGACGCCTTCTTCGGCCAATCGTCACGATATCTCCCCTTTGATCACGATAATTGTCGACACAACAGGACGGTCTACCGAGGTCACGAATGCAGAGAGTGTCGCGAATTGCGGCGACGGCAGCGCGAACACGAAAAGATGTGGAATCATGGTGGCGATCAAGGGTTCTGTGACGGATATAGGGGTGGACCATCCTGGTGGTGTGAACGGTGGAGATAGGAATTTGGGCATGATACATGTAGCGAAGAAGTTAATCCTCCAGATCAAAATGAGCATTGAGCCCTAATAACTCTCTATCATACCCACGCACCAGGCTCGTGGAACGCGGACCGTGAAGCAAAAACTTCCTTCAAGCCTTCGGCACCCGCAGCTGCACGCTATCAATGCGCAGCTAATAATTGGACAAGTATGCCGCTGGCTAGCGGATCCCTCGCCACACCACCTTCATACATACAAAAAGAACCGGTGAGGTAAGCGCCGAGGCTGATCAATCGAAAAGCGACGTGAACATGTTTCCAACACCACGATGGCGGGGTCGAGGAGATGGTGCCTGCCGAAGAGGTGCATGCTCGCCGTCATCTCGACAGTCAGGCAGAAATGTGTCATGTGTCAAGCGTCCTATGAAGTCTATGAGGTGGTGAGCAGTGCGTGTATGTAGCTAGCTCGACACAAGGGGCAACATGATGAAGCTGCAATGCGCGACGCAGCCGGCACTACTGCCATGCTGCAAACTCTCCACCCACCTGCTGCTGCAGCGTCTCGAAGCAGCCATCGCCTGCAGATCGTCCAAGGGTCAACATGAGAGGAATCTAGATGTCATTTCCATTGGTCTGACTGTGTCTCAGTGCTCTAAAATTTACAAGAACGTACGTCGTTCACACGCCGCCGACGCGGAATTACAACTTGGAACTCAGGACCGCCCGCATTCTCTTCTCGACTGCGTCCAGGTACTCCGTGGTGGTGACGTAGTCGTCCTTCTTGCCACAGCTGATGGCGAGGTCCTTGGTCATGATGCCTTGCTGGTCGACGACGTGGACGCACGCTTCCTCCAAGCTCTCGGCAAACTTGACCAGCTCGGGGGTATCGTCGAGCTCGCCGCGCTTTGCCAAGCCACGGGTCCAGGCGAAGATGGAGGCGATGGGGTTCGTCGAGGTTGGGTTGCCCTTCTGGTGTTCACGGTAGTGGCGGGTGACCGTTCCGTGTGCTGCTTCGGATTCGAATGTCTTGCCGTCGGGAGTGACCAAGACTGAGGTCATCAGGCCAAGGGAGCCGAAGCCCTGAGCGACAATGTCAGATTGCACGTCTCCGTCGTAGTCTGGGAAAAAATCAGTAGAGCGCCAACATCCATCTCGAACGGTAGGTTCTTACTTTTCATGGCAATGAGCATGCCGCCCTCGTTCTTGATCATCTGAGCAACCATGTCGTCAATCAGGCGGTGCTCGTACCAAAGACCCTTTGCCTCGAACTCCTTGCGGTAGTCCTTCTCATAGATCTCCTGGAAGATGTCCTTGAATCTGCCGTCGTATTTCTTCAGGATGGTGTTCTTGGTGGTCATGTACATTGGATAGCCGAGGGAAAGTGCGTGCTTGAACGAAGCATGTGCAAAGCCGGAAATACTCTCAGAGGTGTTGTACATGGTCATTCCGACACCACCCTGGTGCTTGTCCGTGAACTTGAAGACCTCGATCCTCTCCGGCTCGCCGCCCTCGGGGGTGAAGACCATCTCGAGCAAGCCGGGCTTGTCGAATACGGTGTTCTGTGCACGGTATTGGTCGCCGTGTGCGTGACGGCCAATAACGATTGGCTTCTTCCAACCTGGCACCAATCTCGGTATCTTAGGAATAACGATAGGTTCTCTGAAGACTGTGCCTCCTAGTATGTTCCTGATTGTGCCGTTTGGACTTAGCCACATCTTCTTCAGCTTGAACTCTTCCACACGGGCCTCATCCGGAGTGATGGTCGCGCATTTGACACCGACGCTGTGCTCCTTGATCGCATTCGCGGCATCGATGGTGATCTGGTCGTTTGTCTCATCTCTCTTCTCCAGTCCCAGGTCGTAGTACTTCAGATCAATGTCGAGGTATGGATGAATGAACTTGGTCTTGATATCTTTCCAGATGATCCTGGTCATCTCATCGCCATCGAGCTCCACGACGGGGTTCTTGACCTTGATCTTGGGGATCTGCTGGGAGGCCATGTTGCGGCGCTGGACGAGTTTAGCAGCTACGGGTCGAGGAAATGATCGCGGGGTGGATGCGAATGCTGTTCGCGCAGCAGTGGTAGGAAGGACGGAGGATGCGGCGGAAGAGGAGCCAAAGATCTTGAGAGAGCCGGCAGACGACATTCTGGCGGGAAGGAGGAAACAAAGTTCGGGATGGTGATATATGTCAGCCGCCGCCGCCGCTCGGTTAAGTGTATCTGTTGAGAGGCTGCAAGGCGTTCGCCCTCCTCCAGAGACAGCCGGAGAGAGCTCTGATTCTGCACGGTGAGGTGAGGCCCTCCCCGCCGTTGCCGAGGTGTGGAGTACGCGGTGCACCGTGGAATTTGCGGACGAGAGATAGCCGTGATATAGCCGATTGCTACCCTTACGACTCTTCCCATTATATGCTGTCGCCAGACGCGGTCGCCAGTGAAGGTTTGGCAACAACGTGAGGCCATCACCTTGTCATGTGAAGGAGCTACGTCTGATTCGCTCGCGGCCATGCTGCACCAGGATCAGCTCGGCGGCAGAATTGGAGTCATCCATGGCGACAAGCGAGGACGAAACTCGAGGACGAAAGTATAGACAACCCATCTTCAGCAGGATGTTGGGGCAATAATAGGGCAATAGGACGTGAGGAGGAGGCGACGTGAGGTGAGCTGTCAACGCCCCGGCCAAGGCCTGCATGCAACGCCACAGACAACGCCTCTGAATCGACATACATGTACCTGACGTACATGCACTTCGGGACCTGCATCAAAATATAGATATCCCTCTCCAACCTGCATCGGATCACGCCCTCACGAATACGTTGGATAGAAGTAGGATAGCATACAGCAACGCAGAAACTAGCCTTAACCACGGATGCAGACTTCCACCGGACAGCCACAACTGTCCACAGCTCTGGCCTCCTCCCTTTGGACCGAGCCCTGCGCACGAGACATACTCGAACATGCAGATGTGTCGAAAGGCGAACTCCTTTTGTTTTGCTCTCAATAATACTAATCAGGGCTTGCAATGGCCATGGAAGCAATCTAGCGCCAAAGAAGGTGAGACACATGCTCCGTTAGCTGACGAGTCATAGTTCCACGATCCTCAATGTCTCTTGCTTAGAGGTCTTAGACCACTTCAAGTTATAGTGTACAAAATCACAGAAATAACGCTGCCAGCTCGATATGGTCGAATCACATCAGCACAGCACCACTGTCGCCTTTAGCATCAGACTGACAACAGAGAAGCATCTATTAATTGTCGAATCAACAAACCTCTCTCAGCATGTCCATCCAACTCGCAGACCCAGGCTCAACTGGGTTTCTCGCCCTCTACGAGATGTGCTTCGTCTTCCCAATCATCACGCCTCTTGCTTTCTTCTGCGCACTCTGCCTCGTGGACCTCGTCCACTCTCACAAGATCACCATCGCGAAGAATCTTCGCAAGACTTTCCGAGCTTTGGTCGACATTCTACAGGCTCTCATCGTGCTGGCTTGTCTGTACCTTGCAATCATTCCCACGAGATATAGTACCACTGTAGGATCTGGCATGTTGGGCGTCGCCTACGGCCTCATTCGTGCGATCCTGGAGATCGTTGTCCTCTCTTGCCTGGCCATCGCTTCTGTGTACGCCGTGGAGAGCGCAGCTTCTGGTGAAACACCGAAAGCTATTCAAGACATGGCCTTTCTCACACCCTTTCAGACCATTCGACCCTATCTCCCCCAACGAAGTCTCCCATTCGGCCTGCCCTTTCTGCCGTCACCCATCATCTTCACTCCTCAGCCGATGCCCACCCTCGACCAAGTCAAAGCCGCCATTCCTGCAGAAGGCATCGAAGCACAATATCTCACCTGCCACTTCCGCAACCAAGCTCGCCGGGATCCCCTTGCGTTCGCCGTCCTCCTCAAGCAAGCGGGCCACTATCAAGACGTTTCATGCCCGCGCCCGCCGCCCTTGAGGGTGGTACCGAGAGCTTCCGCATCGCCTCTGTGTCACTGGCCCGGTCTCGCAGACACGCTCCTGATCCGCGATGTAGTGCAAGCAGCGAATCTCGACCATCTGGAACTGCCATGCGATTTTGTTGAAGTTGTCAGGAAAGCTCCTCCCTTGGCCCTTGCTATTGTTGCTGCTTCGGAGGCCTCCAGCGAACCGGAGAACAAGTCTGATGATGAGCGGAAGCATTTGGAGGACCAGGAGGAAGACCCCTCGGTCACGAGCGAACGGATCTTGCGGGATGATGAATTGGGACCGGTGCTACATCCGGGAATCGTGACTGCCATGGCGGATGCGATCGAGAGTAACGAGACTTGACTGAGAGAAGACCAGCGAGAGCATGTTGTTGCCATCACGGCGGTAAAGGTCTTCAACGTTGTGTCCTGCCGAGAAGATCACGTATCTTAGAAATGAAATCTAGGAGTATGGATGATTTCTCGTACGAACCTTGACTTTACCCATTTCCCATCCGTGGTCCGCGCAGTGCTTGCTCCTGCTCCTTTCCCAAGACGAGCGATGGGCGGCGCTCAATTGCATGAGAGGGTTAAAATATCTCCGTTATTCTGAAATCGTCAAGAGAAGCTTCTTGTCAATTAGTCGATTCCATGAATATGGGCCTAGAGACTTGCAATGGCAGGGATGAGGTGCTGAGTGTGATGCAAAAGTCAGAAAGGCTAGACATGCGTCCATGCCGTTGTAGAAGCTTGTGGTAGGAACACTGCCATCTGAGAGCGTAGTGCTTTTGTACACTGATATTTGTACAGTATTTCAAGGCAGCATTTGCAAGTACCGTCATGTCAAACTCCACGCTATGCGATACGTTCACTTTGCTGAGGGTCCCAATTACAGGCTGATTTCGCCCTTCCAGGTGCCGTCGGTGAGACCAAGCTTCTCGATCAGATTCTGCCATCGGGGCCCTCCTCTTTCTTTCCTTCTCATGTACTTTAGTAACTTCGCGCGCTTATGGACCAAAAGTCGTAAGTTTCGCTTGTTGACCTTGTCGGTCGGTGTGCCTCTCAACTCTAACGAGTCTGCCAGGGTCCGAATCTTGGCTGTCAAGATGGCGATCTGGACCTCGCTGCTTCCAGTATCGCTGCCAACCCGAGGAAACGCCTCCGGTTGTTCCCCAGTAACTGCCGCCGCGGGTCGAGGAGGTAGAGTGTGGTCGGTGTTGTGCCGGCCAAACTCGTCGATGCAGCGCTGGATGTTGACGCGCAGACGATCTTTGCTGCTGCCAAGAGACAGGCTCGATATGCGCTTCAGCGCTTCCTGCGCTGTCTCGTGCTCTTGCCTCCTTCGCTTTATGCGATCTTCGAGTGTTTCTTGCCCAGTGACCATTCTCGCGTCGTCCTGAGCAGCTTGGTCTCGACTCGCGCTGGCAGACTTTCTTTGCAGAATTCCTGCCATTGCACTGTTATAGAAATCCACCCCCTCCGGATTCTCAGATGGCTCTGACACCGCGGAGACTTCCTCTGCAGGTGTTGTCTGATCTTTGGTAACCTCGGGTGTCGACTCCAAAGGCTGCGTAAGCCATTTGCTCCTCATGATGCCGCTGTCTAGCTCGCTCTTCGAGAAGTAGAAATTTAAGTGCTCGTCTCTCTCAGCTGCGGGTCCAGGCGCGTCATCTACGGGAGACTCATCGATTCGAGTTCTAGTCGATGCAAAGGATGGCGATGGCTCCAGCGGAAGAGCATCATCAAATGACTTCACGAAAGGAGTCGTGACACCGCGAACAGGATCTCCCAGAACCGAGGCCCGCTCTTTCTTCAGCACTTCCTGTCTGCTCAAGTTTGCCGCTTTTCGTGCCTTCGCCTGTGCGATGGCATATGGATCACGATGTCTCTTCCGCTGGGTCACGGTCGATGCTTGTGATGAAGGAGTCGAGGAAAAGGCACGTGAGGTCGATGCTGGGCATGCTGAAAGACATTAGACGTCGTTGAAGTTGTCGGTATCTAGACACGTACCATTTTGGGCCCGGAGGCATTGTACGAGCGGTATTCGAGGTGGCATTGTGATTAATGCTGGGCGTCAACTATCAATGCTCTCCATTGCGAATGTCCAGTCGCGGCGACACGGAGGTGACCGCCAAGCTTCGGACCCGGGACGGCACTCGCCGTACCTGCCGCACACCCAGTTTTTTCCCACCCCATATCGAACCTCATCAATTCTCGACTTGAGATTTCGCAGCAGCTTCAGCATCGTACACAACATCGCGCGTCGCATCTTCGACAAGCTACAACATACAGACAACCGCGAAGATGGCCGCCAAGAACCTTCCTCCGGCGTTCAACGCAACTGCGCAGGACATCGAGATGCTGCTGTCCGCCCAGTGCCATATCGGCAGCAAGAACCTCCAGGTCCACATGGAGCCATACCTGTGGAAGACTCGCCCAGACGGCATCAATGTCATCAACATCGGCAAGACCTGGTGTGTCATGAACTGAATGAGGAAAGCGTTGGAGCCGCGCGAAATTGCATTATATGTGCACTTCCAGCTGTTTCTCGCGACTCTAATGGTCCTTATGTGAGATATGTGCGCTAACAACCACCTCAGGGAGAAGATCGTCCTCGCAGCCCGCATCATTGTCGCCATTGACAACCCAGCCGACGTCGCCGTCATCTCTGCCCGTCCCTACGGCCAGCGTGCCGTCCTCAAGTTCGCCGCCCACACCGGTGCCTCTGCCATCGCCGGTCGCTTCACTCCCGGTAACTTCACCAACTACATCACCCGCTCGTTCAAGGAGCCTCGCCTCATCATCGTCACCGACCCACGCACCGACGCCCAGGCCATCAAGGAGGCTTCCTACGTCAACATCCCCGTCATCGCCCTTACCGACACCGACTCGCCGACCGAGTACGTCGACGTCGCCATCCCAACCAACAACAAGGGTCGTCACGCCATTGGTCTCGTCTGGTGGATGCTTGCTCGTGAGGTCCTCCGTCTCCGTGGCACCCTCGCCAGCCGTGAGGCCGAGTGGGACGTCATGACCGATCTGTACTTCTACCGCGACCCAGAGGCTGAGGAAAACAAGGACTCTGCCGGCCAGGACGAGGCCAAGGTTCCAGGCGCTGACGAGGTCGGCCCCGGCGCCGTGGAGAGCGGCTTCAACAACGAGTGGGAGGTTGGCAATGCGGGCTCGAGCGCATTCGCTGCTGCTAGCGGTACCGCTGGCGCAGCTGCTGCCTCGTCCTGGGATGCCGAGGGTGCTGACTGGGCTGCTAGCAGTGCTCCCGTGGAGACTGGCAACCAGGGCTGGGCTACTGAGACTACCGGCGAGGCCCAGCCAGAGACCACCTGGTAAATGCTGCGCTTACTGCAGACATTCGCCCACATTCTAGATCGCGCACCGTACTCGAATTCTACTGCTTGCCGACACAGGCTGAGAAGGTCATTGGCACTTATGATGGAAAGATACCGTGTGAACGGGGAAAGCCATGTGCCGAGCCTTGTTCCAGTATGCTGAGAGGCTGCTGGGGTCTGTAGATATGGGAGCACTATCCGTCAAGAATCTTTAAAGCACAGCAAACTCGTTTTCCAGCGTCATTAAATCAATGTAGGCCGTTGTCATTCAATGCGTGGATGAAAATCGGATAAAGTCTTTACCGGTGCCTGAGATCATTTGACGCAGGGTCCTGTAGATCCTGGGAGCTCGCTCCAAGAAAATTTAGGTGACTCTTTCGCTTTGTGCTACTCACAATCGATCGCCATTGACTTCCCACACCCAACCGCGCACTTCCGTCGACGCTTTCCGTCTATGACTCCCATCATGAACTAGTCTCATATGCAAAAATTGCGCCTCTGGGACGTGACCAACTTGCAAACGTTTCAGCTCGTCCTCCTCGAAGCAGCCACGTGCTTCACTTCCGAGCTTCTTGTCAGCTAGAATCCAGAGCCTTTACATCACAATATACCATTCACTTCTCACGGAGGCAATAGAAGCATCGACTATGGCAAGCTCAAAGCCGGTCAATGGCTCCTCGACGGCCATCAAAGTGCCGATCCTGGGCAAAGAGAGCATTATCGTCGACTATGGTCTATGGCCCAACTTCGCCGCGAACGATCTCCTTGCCAACATTCCCTCGTCGACCTACGTGCTCGTCTGTGACACGAACCTCGCACAACTGGACTATGTGCCCGCATTCCGAAAGAAGTTCGAAGAGGAGCGACAAAGGCTTGGAAAGACTGAAGAAGATGCCCGGCTTTTGGTGTACGATCGCATCCCACCTGGCGAAACGAGCAAGAGCAGGAGAACGAAAGATCGGATTGAAGACTGGTTACTTGAGCAGGGATGTACTCGCGACACTGTTATTCTCGCGCTTGGTGGAGGCGTGATGGGCGACCTGCTCGGGTTCGTGGCAGCTACTTACATGCGTGGAGTACGCTTCTGCCAGATTCCCACATCTCTACTCGCCATGGTCGACAGCTCGATCGGGGGTAAAACAGCCATCGACACACCGCTCGGAAAGAACTTGGTTGGCGCATTTTGGCAGCCCGAGCGCATATACATCGATCTCGCTTTCCTGGAGACGCTGGACAAGAGGCAGGTTTGCAACGGTATGGCGGAAGTGGTGAAGACAGCTGCTATCTGGGACGAGCACGAATTTGAGCGGTTAGAAGAGAATGCGGATGCGATCATGCAGGCTCTTGAAAGGCCATTAGGCAGAGGAAGATTCGAGGGCGTCGAGGAGATCTTCAAGAGGATCGTATTGGGCAGTGCGAGAGTCAAAGCGGAGGTAGTGAGCAGCGATGAGAGAGAAGGTGGACTCCGGAATATTCTGAACTTTGGACACTCCATTGGACACGCATATGAAGCAATTCTGACACCAGAAATATTGCACGGAGAGTGCGTAGCAGTAGGGATGGTGAAAGAAGCAGAGCTGGCCAGATACTTGGGCGTTTTCCCACCAGGCGCGGTCGCGAGACTGACCAAGTGCATTGCTAGCTATGGCCTGCCAGTATCTCTACGGGACAAGCTCATCACAAAGAAGACCTCGAAGCACTGTCCAGCGGATGTAGTGCTGCAGAAGATGGCCGTCGACAAGAAGAACCAAGGCTCCAAGAAGAAAATCACGCTTCTATCGGCGATCGGCAAGACCTACGAGCAGCAGGCGACCAAATGCGAAGATAAAGACATTCGCATCGTGCTATGTCCTTCAATTCGAGTCATACCGGGCGTACCGACAGGTCTAGAGGTCTCTTGCAAACCTCCTGGCAGCAAGAGTATCTCCAATCGTGTCTTGTTGTTGGCCGCGCTCGGTCAAGGCAAATGCAAAATCAGCAATCTGTTGCATTCAGATGACACACAATTCATGCTCTCTGCCATTGCGAAGCTCGGCGGAGCAACGTATAGTTGGGAAGATGAAGGCCGTGTGCTGGTATTGAATGGCAATGGAGGCGCGTTGAAGGCGTCAACAGAGGACATCTACATTGGCAATGCAGGTACTGCATCGCGCTTTTTGACTACTGCTGTGACGCTTGCGCGACCCACGAAAGATGCTTCGCACACTGTTCTTACTGGAAATGCGCGCATGCAGGAGCGACCGCAAGGGCCCTTAGTCGATGCTCTGCGATCGAACGGCGTTGACATCGAGTACATTGGCAAGCCGGGAAGTCAGAGTCTGCCCTTGCGCATTGCTGCCGCCGGTGGTTTCGCAGGCGGCGATATTGAGTTGACAGCCAAGGTGTCATCCCAATACGTCTCTTCAATTCTCATGTGCGCACCTTATGCTAAGAAGCCTGTGACACTGCGCCTCGTCGGTGACAAAGTGATCAGTCAGCCTTACATCGACATGACCATTGAGATGATGAAGGACTTTGGTGTCAATGTCGCCAGGGACACGAAAGAGCCAAATGTCTACCATGTACCAAAGCAGCCGTACCAAAACCCAACCGCATACGAGGTGGAGAGCGATGCTAGCAGTGCAACCTACCCGCTCGCAATTGCTGCTATTACTGGCACCACGTGCACAGTACCTAACATTGGATCGGCATCTCTGCAAGGTGATGCACGCTTCGCCGTGGACGTGCTGAAACCGATGGGCTGCAAGGTAGAACAGACAAAGACAAGTACGACTGTGACCGGACCTTCCGTTGGACAACTCCAGCCGATTCCAGAGGTGGACATGGAGCCCATGACGGACGCATTCCTGACCGCGTCTGTGCTCGCCGCCGTCGCAAAGCCCGGCAAGGAAGGGGCGACGACAAGAATCGTTGGTATCGCCAATCAGAGACAAAAGGAGTGCAATCGGATCAAGGCTATGTATGAGGAGCTTGCCAAGTTTGGCGTGACCTGCCGAGAACTGGACGACGGCATCGAAATTGACGGACAAGGCATGAGCATCACGGCTCCCAGGCAGACCATCCACACCTACGACGACCATCGGGTCGCTATGTGCTTCAGCGTTCTAGGCACAGTGGCGCCGAGAGGTACCCTGATCGAGGAGCGAGAATGTACAGGGAAGACATGGCCTGGCTGGTGGGATCAATTGCACCAGATCTTCGGTGTCCGGTTGGAGGGCGTAGAGCTCAAGCCGCCGCACGCGAGCGGCATGTTAACGAATGGTATCAATGGCGTAAAGACACCGCTCTTGGTGAAGGGAGTTAGCGGTACTTATCTGCACAGAGAAGTGAAGAAGTCAATCTTCATCATTGGAATGCGAGGAGCCGGCAAGACAACCACAGGTGGCTGGGCTTCCAGAATATTGGGCTGGACCCTTGTTGACATGGACACCGAGCTCGAGATCGAACAAGGCATGACGATTCCTGAGATGCTCAAAGATAATGACTGGGCGGGCTTCAGGCGGAAGGAGCTCAACCTTCTCAAGCGACTAATGAGGGAGAAGCCGGAAGGCTACATCTTCGCTGCTGGCGGTGGTCTCGTGGAGACCCCCGAAGCTCGTGAACTTCTCAAAGACTGGCAGAACGAAGGCATGGTGCTCAATGTGACTCGCGATGTCAAGGCCGTGATGGACTTCCTAAACATTGACAAAACTCGGCCGGCGTACGTCGAGGACATGATGGGCGTGTATCTCCGTCGCAAGCCTTGGTTCGAGGAGTGTAGCAACTTACACTACCACTCGCAGCCTGTCGACGAGTCTGCTGCCATCGTAGGATGGACAAGCCCGCTCGATGACTTCACTAGATTCCTTAACACCATGACGGGACGAAGTGGAGCTTTGCAGAAGATTGCAAAGAAAGACGTCTCCTTCTTCATCGCGCTGACTAGTCCAATGATCCAGCAAGTTGTTCATTTGCTGCCGGAAGTGACAATGGGCGTAGATGCGATTGAGCTCCGGGTTGACCTCTTGGTCGATCCAGATTCACCCGATGGACTGCCTGGTGCGGATTTCTTGACTGAGCAGGTCGCCCTGCTGAGGGCAAGTTCGACGCTGCCACTTCTGTTCACCTTGCGCACTGTGAGCCAAGGCGGTCGTTTCCCGGACGATGCACCCGAACGAAGTGTAGAGTTGTACAGAGTCGGTCTCAGGATGGGCTTCGATTTTGTTGACTTGGAACTCACGGCACCGCCAGAAGTGAAAGAGTATGTGCTCAACCACCGAAAGATGTGCACCATTATCGCCTCACATCATGATCCGAAGGCCACCCTCTCATGGGCAAATGATGCCGAAGAGTGGAAGCCTTACTTCGAGTCCGCACGGGAGTACGGCGACATCGTCAAGCTCATTGGTGTTGCAAAGCATGTGGATGATAATGACGGTTTGCAAGCCTTCAACAAGTGGGTGAAGACAGAGTTCCCCACCCTTCCTCTCATCACTATGAATATGGGCGACAAAGGCAGGATGTCGCGGGTGAACAATCGCTTCATGACACCGGTTTCGCATCCCAAGCTTCCTTCGAAGGCTGCACCTGGCCAGCTTTCCGCAGCCGATATCAGGAAAGTACAGGGCTTGGTGTCAATCACCGAGCCCAAGAGGTTCTTCTTGTTCGGCAAGCCTATCGGCCATTCGAGGAGCCCACCGCTTCACAACACCCTGTTTGCCCTGGCTGGCATGCCGCATGAGTACCATCTCTTCGAAACCGACACCGTCGCCAACATCAAGGATATCCTTTGCATGCCCGACTTTGGAGGGGCCAGCGTCACCATACCTCTCAAATTGGACGTAATGGCTCTTCTCGATGTGATCGATCCTGCAGCTGAGAGAGTCGGGGCTGTCAACACTATTGTGCCTGCCAAAGATGAGAAAACAGGGAAGACGGTCCTCGTGGGTCACAACACTGACTGGCAAGGTATCGTCCTCGCGCTACGAAACGCAGGCGCCCACGGCACGAGCACTGGTAAGAGTAAAGTTCAAGAAGCTGCTATGGTCGTTGGGGGAGGTGGAACCGCGCGAGCAGCTCTCTACGCTCTGAATCAGATGGGGTACTCACCCGTCTACCTCGCCGGCAGGAACAAGGAAAAACTGGCTAAGCTGGCGGGAGCCCTTCCAAAGGAGTACAACATCGCCCTCGTGTCCAGCGAGGAAGAAGCCCGCAACATCAAGACGGAACAGCAGCCCGTCGTAGCGGTCGGGACGATTCCCGGAGACATGCCCGTGGATCCCGGGCTCGCGAGCATCGCCAGCGCCCTGTTCCAAGTCGGCACGAGTCCCGCGAATGTGGGCGTCGCCGGCGTCCGGAGCAATGCGAGCGATAAGGTCATGTTGGAGATGGCGTACAAGCCGGCTGTCACGCCACTGATGGAATTGGCGGAGCAGAGCGGCTGGAAGACCGTGCCGGGTCTGGAGCCTTTGGTCGGTCAAGGCATTCATCAGTTCCAGAAGTGGTGCGATATCACCCCTCTGTATTCGGTCGCGAGAGATGCCGTGACGGGCACGCCGATCACGGATGGGCGGTTCAAGATCGCGTACGTGTAGTCTACTAGGTAGAAGATAGATATCTGTTGTGTACTTTGTTGGAGGAGAAAGAGCCGATGTGTATTATTGGAATACGTCTTTTCGATTCGAAACATGTTCAATGCAATGCAATCAATCACTGCGACTGGGATCTACGAAATGCAAAATGATATTCACAGGCCGCCACAGCGGCTCGACAAAGTAGTAAACTCAGCAATTACGCGTCCACCTCTATCTCGACTATGCGACCCAAGCCCTCTTCGATCGCTGGTCGGGCGCCGGTCGAAAACCCTTGGGCACCGTGCCCATACCCTGGGTCCCATGTGCCTCCATCGCCAATTGGTACAACTTGGGGTAATTAGGACTCCCGAATCCACTCACAGGATCCCAACCCTTCGTGGCATTCCACCCCGCCCCGGGAATATTAGGAGTCGGCCCATTAGTGAAGTAGTCCGTCCCATCGCATCCAACACTGCCCCCAACGACAATATCGTTCAGACCCTGATATCCACTCGAGTAGATCCAAGGGTTTAAGAATCCGAGTGGCTTGTGTCCGTTTTGGATTCGCTGGGCGTTCAGGAGGGAGATGACGCCCGCGAAGATGGGAGCGGCGAGGGAGGTGCCGTCGATGAGTTTCTCTTGGCCTCTGTCGATGACGTGAAGGGACATTCCTTGGGCTGCTACGTCGGGAAATGCACGTCCCTGGGGATTGTAGAGGCCTTTCCAGAGGTCGCCAATGGATCGGAGGTAAGAGGTGACGGCCTGGTCTTGGTAGGCGGGACGTGCCCAAGTATCTGAGAAACCACCCGAGGAGATTCCAATGGCCCGTTCGGGGGCGTGACCTGTCGTGGCACCGACGGAGGTGACAAAGGGACAAGCGGCCGGGAAGACTGGAAGGAAACGCTCACGGTTGCTTCCGTCATTGGCCAGGCAGGCACTCGTGACGCCCAAGTCTCCTGAGGCGAAAATGACGGAAACGCCGCGTGCACCGAGTTGGCCTAGCATGTTGCAAACGGTTTTGCGGTATTGCTCAGGAACGCCCTGTTCGTTTTCGCCGTAAGAGACTGCCAGAGTGTGTGGCAATTCATGATCTGGTCTGGCCAAGACGTAGTTCAAGAAGTCCAAGTACGGCTCATTGTTGTTATACTTTTCGGTGGGCGTGTCAAGGTCCGGTACGAATGGAGCTCTGCCTGCTGTGTTGTAGGCATGCATCGGGACTGGCCAGCCTGTGGTTTGAAGGTATTCAACATCAAGGTTGGCCTCGTCACTTTCAGCTGGTGAGTTCTGGTCGTTGTTTGCGCCTGCGATGCTCTCCCAAGAAAAGCTTTGTCCAAGCGAAAAGGGTGTGTACTCCCGTTGGAATGTCTTCAGGTCGGCGTAGCGTGGAACTTGTTCCAAGAAGTTGGCGAAAGCCATGAAGCCACAGGATCTATTGTCGAGTTGCGCGTGCAGTATTTCTGGGTCTGGAAGCTTGTACAAAGCCCGCACACAGGCAGCTATGGTCGTCTCACCGTCGCACACACTCAGAGGACCTTGCGTGAAGTCGGCCATCTTTTCCAGTTCCTTCTGTTTATAGTATGGAGCTTGACCGAGTGTTTTGACAGCATGAACGAGACTCGCTTGGCTTTGCATCTCTCCAAAGCGCGTCGTTGGCTGGATCATGTCAATGTAGCTATTAGGTGTGAGCATTTCCAATAGCATCGATGGTTATGAAACAGGAACTTACGGGTGCAGTGGCTCAGGAACAGAGTATTGTAAGGTACGAACCCTCGTAGAGCCTCTGCGGTCCTTGAACAGAGCAAAGGACGTATCGAGAAGTTTCTCAGCGATGTCGACAGGGGTGACGAAGTTGATCCACTCGCCATCATCCGCGATGGCATTCCTGCTCACTCCAGACGAGAGCAACCACTTGATAACCCCTGCTGTAGCTTCTGAGGTAGGGCGTAGGATCTCCTTGATTTCATCCCGCTTCAAGTATTGCGCGTAAGATGGGCTTTTAGGGTCCGAGACTTCATACAATTTTTGCTCGAAGAGTCCTTGACCAGGCGAGTTCATGGATATACGAAGAAAGAGCTTCTCGTCGGGGGATGGCTTGCCGACCTTCTTCCAACCATCTGGTATGTCTTTCAAAGATTCCATGAGATGAGCGCTGCTCGCGCCCAACAGGGCAAAAATCAAGGCAGCACGCATGCTTGCGATAATTGCAACGTTGGCCACGAGGAACGAGTATGAGTGACTGGCCGAACAATGTAGAGATGGCGGATCGGAAAGAATGGTGGTTCAAGCTGCGGCCAAGTAAACTGCCGTGAGTGAAATTAGAATTGCGTGGGTCGGGCAGCACGTGTCGTCGGCTCCTCGATGCGAAGAAGAAGTCGGGAAAGTTGAGAGCCGCAGAAGACTACTGCGAAGGAGCTTGGTGCGTCGGACCGGCAAGCAGAATAGATAGCGAAGCGAGCGTATGAAGTGTAGACGTATTAGTGAGGGTGAGCACTACAGAATCGAGACGGTCTACCTTTTCAGGTTACCTTTCAGGTACGGGTCCGGTTTGAGAAGGCCTGTGAAGTTTCTTTCGGCATTGCGCCTTTTAATAAAATGTGAGCATGCCAACCCACGGCAAAGACACACAGAAACGGAAACCTTCAGCGTTCGCATGGGGCGATATCCAGGGCGATGCTCGCGAAAGTCCAGGATCGAGCAGCATGTGTCCCTGCGTCCACGATTAGATTGATGTTAGAAGAGTAGGGGCGACACCTTGCAGGAAGCCGCGACGCTGTATTTCGGGAACCATTGGACGATAATACGGCGCAATTCCAGTGCGGATTGCACGCCTCCGTTGCCGCAACCCGACGTTGCCGCCAACCCCGAATAGTTATCAATGGGGATCGGATCGGATCCAAGCGCACAAGCCTTGATCTTGACTTCAGAAGCGACAGTCAGGTCATCCTGGGAGAGCAGTAATGAAATGATCTTATGTGTTAAAACGGTCCCAGATTCCGCGTGATACCGCAAAGCTTGTCCAGTGCTGCACCAAACTCAGAGTAGACGACTCAGACCAGACGACTCCGAGGGGACGACTCCGATGGAATGGATGAAACGCAACAGGACAAGATGAAGAGATATGTCATGAGTGAGTCGTTGGAGGAAACCGTCGAAGGAGTGGAAAGAAGAGATATAGACTACGATCGGCGGAAGGCCGGGCGCTACTGGAAGACGGCGCCTGCCGCGGGCCGAACACGAACCCGAACGCGAACGACGGGACCCGCAGTGTGTGCGCAGTGTAATACTAAGTGTGTGTAAGTGCACCACGCGAAATCCCGCTGCATCCTGCCGACGCGCATCGCATCCTGTAATTTGGTAAATGTATCGCATCGTATCGTCTCGCAGCGTATCGCATCGTATCGTAACATCATATGGGATTACTCGCGCCGACGCCTTCTGCGTTTCAGCATCCGACAGAGCAGTGACACCCGACGAGAGCACTCACTGCACTGCACACTGCGCCCTGTCCAAATGAGAGCTGCAGGGCCCGAACCCGACGTGTTGTCCAAGTCCACCGTCCTCATTTCCATCTGGGCCACTGCCGCAGCTTTCTGGAGCATCTTTACGCCTCCCCAGAAGACCTTTGCCGCCCGCGTCCTCCTCTTCCAGCCGCTCTGGATACTTCGCATTGCGACCCGCGATTCGACATGGATCCAGGACTTGGCCCTCACCCTCTCCCTGCACTCCGTCTATTCCTTGTGGGCCCGACACTCGCATCTGTACACCCTCGATGACCTGAAGGCCTTCAACGCGCACGATGAGACCAGTCGCGTGTATCTCCAGGTGTTCGCTCTCCTCGCCGGATGTGGCGTTCTGGCGGGCATCATCGTTCATCGTGGCCGTCAGCTCAGCACGACGGAGGAATCCAGTGGTCCATTCCGAGCACAGAGTATCTCGGATTCCGTCCTGCCGCCTCTCCTGATCACGAGTCGTACGACCCATTCTCGCCTCTTTCCTAAGAAGCACGCATTCTCCTATTCCTATCTATTCGCCGGCATCCCCGTGGGGCTGCAAGGCCGGGTCAGCAATGTGCTCTCGGTCGACAGTCAACGCCCGGCGTGGTTTGATGTGCGGTCCAAAGATTATCTCAGTCGGAATGACGACCACATGGGCCTTGGGGAGAAACTCAAGAGTTACTTGCATTCTCAGGGCGTGACGGATCGGGACTATGCATACGCTTATCTTGTCACAGCACCGAGGTTCCTGGGCTACAGCTTCAACCCCGTCTCCTTCTGGTATCTCTACGACTCCGACACCCGGCTGAAGTACATGGTCTTGGAGGTCAACAACACTTTCGACGAACGGCGGATGTACCTGCTCAATGCCGACAAGGCCAAGGATGCCGCGGAAGCTGACCTAGCCGACGGCACGGATGAAGAAGCCTCAGTCAAAACCCTTGTCTTCACGGAAACTTGGGACAAAGATTTCCACGTATCGCCGTTCAATAGCCGCAAAGGATCGTACTCGCTCCGAGCAGTCGATCCTCTGGCGGCGTTCCAGGAGACTGGCGAGGTGAAGATTGATAACACCATCGTCCTGCGATCGTCGAAGGAGCATCCAAAGCTCATCGCTCGCGCGTGCTCTGTGGGCAAGCCCATCGAGCCAGATCATGTCTCGATACTCCAACTGGCCAATTTTATTCTGGGGTGGTGGTGGGTCGGACTGTTGACCTTTCCTCGCATCATATGGGAAGCATCGAAACTCTACTTCTCGCGGAAGCTGCACGTCTGGTATCGCCCCGAGACTACGGAAAAAAGCCTGGGGAGGTCGTATACGGACGATGAACGGATACTCGAGGAGTACTTCCGCGCCTTTCTCACCGACACCATCGAGCATGCTCGGAAGCCTCTGCGTGTGATCTATGAGCCGGCGCACAGCGATGGCGGCGAAGTCGTGCTCTATTCGCCCGGTTTCACGTACGAAGAAGACCACGGCCGCACGCTCACCATCAAAGTCCTCTCGCCGGCATTCTATAGCCGCTTCATCCACTACGCCCACGCCAAGGAAGCTTTCGATCGGGAATGCCTTGGCACAGACGACAAGAATCGCACCATCGCCTTGCACGGCGCACACGCTCTACCAGCTCTGCTCGACGCCATCAAAGACATCACCTACACGTCCTCCCAGAACCACCACCACCACCCGCAACGCTTCTTGGAACGAACGCGATGGTCTCTCCTCCGACGTCTCCGATGCCCTCCAGCCGCTGCTAGCTATCCCTCCGACGAAAGCCGCCTCGATCCCGAATTCTCGGTCCAGGACATTCGAACTTTCCACTTGTCCGAACTCGATCGATACATCCAAAAGGCGCCTTCGCACGCAGGCCTCTACCAGCGTATCGCTATCAAGCTCTTCGTCGCGGAACGCATCGCGCTGGGAACACCCATCGTGGTCGTGCTGGCCGACTGGTCCGTCCGCGGAATGTCCATCTTCGTGGCCATGCTCTGGGCGGACCATTCGAATGCGTACGATGTCTTCCGCCCGAGGAGTCTCGTGCGGGCCAATCTGGTGAATACGGCCTTGATGATGGGGCTTGCGAATGTGGTGCACTTTTGGAGTTTCTTGAAGGGGTATTGAAGGAAAGAGAGAGAGAAGAGAAGACGAGGAGAAAAAAAAAGTTGAGTTTGGAATCGACAGAGACAGACAGTGAAAAGAAGCAGACAAAGAAGTATTTAGACTCACACTTGTTTTTGGCATTGCATTGCGTTGCATTGGCCTTCATCCTTCTCATTCTCTTTTCTTTTTTCTTTCTCCTCCCGCACGTCGTCCTCGAATCTTGTTTTTTCCTTGCTTTTGTTTCCCTCACTGCTACACCGAAGCTTTCCCCTCCAAAAAAAAAAAAAAGACAAATTGCAAGGAAAAGAAGAAGAAGAAGTAGACTTACGCTTTTGGGGGGTGTTGCAATGATGTGCACTGCAAATCCATCCTTCTCGTCCTCTCTGCTCGTGTCATCGGCATCTGTCTTCTCTTGGTCGTTTTCATCTTTCTCCATTCCAACACCGATTCCGTGTTGAGTTGCCATTCATCCGATTGCCAGCCACTTCCGGTAAAAAGTTAATTTACTCATTTGGCTCCTTCCGAATGTCTCCGCTTCGCGGCAGCAGCAGTGCGAGCGCCGGGGACTGCTTCGTCGTCCGCCTTGCGCTGTCCCCGGGTCTTGCGTGGACTCGGGTTGGCGCTCGCGGGACTCGGGGCGATCTTCTTATTGAGAACCGAGTCTCCCACGAGAGAAGTCAGGGTCTTATTCCGACGGGTCTTGGTGTTTGCTGGGGTAGACTTGGTGGGTGTGGACTTCGCAGAGGGAGCTCTGTTTTTGGGGGTGGATTCGGCAGATTGGGTAGCCGCGGGTCTGGACTGTTTGGCGGATTTGCGCTTCGCTGCGGCTTTCTTCTTGGATGGCTTTGGTTTTGGGACGTCAGGCTCGGTGTCAGATGGGTGTTGGTCGGTGGATTCGGTCATCTTGTCCGCTTCCTTGGTCTTGCTGGTTTCCTCGGATTGGGGCGCGTCGGGCATTGCCGAGTCAGTGGCATCTTCTTCGTCCTTGCTGTCCACCATGCTGGTATCATGGTCAAGCTTAGGATCTGCAGCTGGAGCAGTGCTCTGAGCTGCCGTGGTGGTGTCCATTGGCGATGATGGCTGGTGCGTGGACGACTCCATTGACAGATCGGTAAGAGACGAGTCGCTGCTGTCTCCTGTCGTTGCTGCAGGCTCTGTATTTGCTTGCGTGGTGGCAGCAGGAGAGGCAGTTGCATCTTGTGCACGCGTAACAGTGTCTCCAGCATCACTCTCCGCTGCTCCCGTCGAACGACGCGCTTTGACCGTGGATCCTGAGTTGTCCTCAAGTGTGACGGTGCGGTTCCGGAGCTCACGCACTTGGACATCGCCGTTGTTCTGTGGCGCGAGTACGCGTTGGGAGTTGTCGTCAGCAAGTTTTGCCTTCTTTGCCAAAGGCTTGCTTGGGCTAGGTGCCACGTCTTCTGCGGATCTCGCGGGAGAAATCGACATTCTTGGACGCTTCTGACCTTGTGGGCCTTGTGGATCATCTCCTGTCACGCTCTCGTCTTCTGCTCCTTGATCATGCTGGAAGTCGATGTGGTCGGAAGCCGCCGCAGGCTCACCAACACGTGTCCCTGCCTTCTGTTTGCCGCTGGAGCAATGGGCACTGGGCTGCTCGCGCTCCACAGCAACACCTGAAGCCGGGTGGGCCACTGACCGCGTGACGCTACGAAGGCGCTCCTTCAGGCTCGCGTTGAATGGCGTCTGAGGAGTTTCAGATGACTCGCGCTCTTCCTCGCGCATTTCGTCTTGAAGCTGCGATCTATTGCCGCTGGAAGGTGGTAGTGGAGAGACCCGGGAGTGGTCCGCAGCCTCGAGCATGTCCACTGTGGGTGTGAGTTGCGCATTGGAAGGTGGCGACTGTTGGAAGACGGCAGAAGCAAGGCGCCGTGGTGTCTGAGCGGCGGGAGAGCCAGCAGCCGTGGACTCGCCTTCGAGGGCACTCGTCGCCGGCAGTTGCTTGCCTTGAATTGGCGGTGCTACATTAGAAAGCTGCTCGATGTCTTCCATCAAGCCGGGAGATTCATTGTCGTCATCGTCGCCCATTTCAACATCCTCCTGAACAGTCTCATCTGCCTCTCCTGACCCTGCTGCTGCTGCTGCTGGATGTGCATCTACGGCGGGCAACTTACCTTTGGTGGACGATGGCGGCGGCGAAGGATCGAAGAAATGATCGATCTCTTTCAAGCCCGCCTCATGGCTCAGCTCGTGGAGTTGGAAGTTGTCCATCGGATTCTCTAGACGGAAGTCGGCAGTGTTGGCAACAAGGGCCTGCATGTCAAGCAGCTCGTCGTGCAGCTCGTCGTGCACTTGGCCGGGAGGTGGAGACAAGTCCATGTAGAGAGGCGGCAGGGACAAATCGCCTCTACCGGCCATGCTTTGTCGCTAGTTGCTGAGTTTGACGAATTGGGAAGAGCTTGCAGGTTGGTCTGTTGGTCTGAAAGGCAGGTCGCGTCGGGTTGCGTACAAAAAGCCAAGCTCACGTTGTTGGCGTGGTGATTGCGCGCGTCGTCAATGTTTACACCGCGTTTGCTCGAGGCGTCGACAAGACCAATCAAGGGGTCAGTGCCAGTGCCAGTGCCAGTGCCAGTGCCGTGGCGGCGTAGCGAGAAAGTGAAGACTATGGATCAAGATGTATTGAAATTCACTTACGCCCTGACGCGGCTAATCCTTTTCGTTATGCATTGTAGTGACAACACCCTCTATCCGTAGGTCCCGTCCCGTCCCGTCGGTTCCGCATCACAACCGTAAGCATCAGGTCTTCCTTCCCCAGCCCATCGTGCCTTCCATTTTCGGCGAATCGCCCCTGCCGAGCCTGCTTCACTCTGCTTGACTCGCGTCATCGCCATCGCATCGCAGGGATTCTAGAAGGGTATGGCATTTCCGACTGCCTGTGAGGTATCTGCCGGAGCTCCAAGCATTCTGCGCCGGCCGTTAGCAACTCATCCCTCTCCCTGGTGGTTTGCCTGTTTCACTCACTTCTTGCCTGCGTCGGTCGCGCAGCAACAGCACAGCAACGAAGCTGGCCAGCAAAAGACCTTTGCTCTTGTCAGCTCTCGCTCCCTTCCATGTCTTTGCCATCTTCTCTTACAGCCATCACGACGCCGGTAAGGAATCCAAGCGTGGGACCGACAATCTTGACGTGGCAAGGGTTTTGATCTGTAATAGACATGAGCGTTGGGCGTGTGAATAGCAACGCTCTGCGCAACGCTCACTCACCAGTGCCGCATTGAATGCAGATGGGAAGCGGGATTCCGAGGCCGCAGTCCGCCATTTCGAATGCTGTTATTAGATGTTGTAGAGGTGATGTCGCCGGTGGATATGGAAGCTACGCCAACAGCCGCGCTTCGTGTTCTGTGCTCCGCGAGACGAGATGTTTGCGATATGATTAAGTATGAGAAGGAAGACGAAGCCCGCGGTCTTTATCGCTTTCACATGATGATAAGAGCTCCTCGTGCTCGACGGCACTCACGAACGACGTCGTTCGTTGTCCGGGTGGGTCTACGATCCGACTCAAAGCGGTTTAGCTGCATCTGCGACATGACGATTGACGAGCATCATCCCGGAAACTTGGAAGGAGCACCACCGTGCACCGGACGACCGGTAAGATCTTCCATTCCACCTTCCATATTCAATCTGCGGCAATTTTGGCAGTCTCAGTGTGTCCTCATTCTTCGTCTATTATTATTATTGTCGACCGCCCTGCTCGCGACTCCTCAACCTGTGGTCACGGGAAGATAGAGACCTCCAGTCGGAATGGGATTCATACCAGCTGTAGAGCCGGCTGCGTGGTGGAGAATACCGTCTGGCCATTGAGATGCACCCAATACTTCCAAGGCCAAAGGGAAGGGTAACGATATCTTCATCTTCTGCATCACGACATCCTCACTGGGGGAGATAACACCGCGCACTCACTCAGAGTGAACCCATTTGCCCGCGATTGGACAGGACAAGGGAAAACAACGAGCTCATCTGACCCAGGAGCAGGAGTATCCCCAACACATAACATACCATTCCGCAAGAACTCGGCGATGTTGCTTCAAGATCGCATATCAAGATATTGAGAGAAGGTCCTAGGCATGACAAAGCCTCTCGACGTGTGGAATTCCTGATGGGTGATGAGTCTGCGAGTGAAGCTGTTTTGAAGGAGTGGCCAAGCCAAAGAAGCTGCCGCCATTCGTCGAAATGATGCATGCGTTGCCGAAAAACGTTCACATTCGTCCACGAGGCGCTCGCATGGCGCAATGTGCTAACGTCAGCGATCGATAGCGTCAACATCTAGACAATGTCTCTACTATTGAACGAAGTAGGGTATCTAGTAGCGCTTAGAGTGGTATATACCTACTCTGGAGTGGCTAGTAGTAGGTAAGCTATAGCGATAATAGAGTATTAACTACTAGTGTCCTCTACTAGATCGACGTCTACGGGCCCCTGAACGGAGCCTCCGTTATAGCGGCAAACGGCCTCGTACGGTATGTTCTAGGAGGATGTTTTCCGCTCTAGACAATATAGATGTACGAGAGTATAGGGATCGCGTAGGCAACGAGTCTCTTGGGGTTGGTATGTGTGGCGATGACGCCGATTCCGTTCTTGTTCTGGTAATTGGGGGAAGGCAGAAGGGGAAAGAGGCGGTATGTTGGTTGAATTGAGAGACCTTAAGTTGTTTGATTATGAGAGGGATGTCTGTGTTTTCCCTTTTGGTTATTATTGTTCATCTGGATTTGGATGGATGATGGGAGTTTTCTTTGCCGAAGAAAACATGTTCCTGCTGCCTTCGTTCTGGACAGCTTGCGGTCTGAGCGGCCGCTGTGATATATTCTTGGAGAGTTGTCTCACACTCTCCTCCGCTGTGGAGTCTACTTTTAGAGCGCTCCGTGTGCGGTGTGAGGTCAAATTGAAGGACGAGAGCAGACCGCAAGGCTGAACGCACGCATGCACTGGCGTCGCGCCCCAAGGCCGTTTATAATCAGCAGCGGCAGAGGTTTCGTCGGTATTGCCGGCACGCCACACAACCGTCTTCGATGCAGCGAGTCCACGGGCACTGTTTTCAAATTATGCGACGAGCGTTCGGCATCGCAAACGATCCATCATCTCATCTCACACCTCGAATTCCGCCGGGTCATCATCATCACGCTCGGTGCGGCTCCCTCTTGAAACAAAGATGGCATCCTGACGGAGCACTGGTGGAAACCCTCGCGATGAGGGACAACAGGTTCGATTGCCCGGAGCGCGGCTGAGACGGGCCTTGCTTGCGATCTAGAAGGCTGTTCCTGAAACAGATCTCTCAGGGCCGAGCTCGACATCTCCATCGACGACGTCATGTCCATCTTTCCCTTCTCATGGGAGGACAGTGGTCATGTTCTCCCCAGAGTCGCTTTCTCCCTCGCTCGAGAGAGAAGGGCCAATGCAAGAAATATATGCAGGGCCAAATACGGGAGGATGTTGGAATTCCCACGCTAATAGAGGATTGGGTTGGGCTTGGCTTTCTGGCTTTCACGTGGTTCAGAAACCCGTCAGAGCCCGATCGAAGGGAACCTCAGCTGTCAAACAAAACCTCGCACGCTCGGTTTCGACTCCGGCCGTGTCCCCTTCGTCAGTCGCTTGCCCCGATACGTAGTAGCTGACCCCGTGCATCGCGGAGCCATCGGACCACGTTTCCTGGCGCGGCGCAGTCTTAGAAACGTTCTGTAAGGCCCTCTAAGTCCTGGATCTGCGTACTTTTCTCAAGTCGCTGTCGGCGATTGAAGGGAGGATTGGAAGTGTGTAGGCATCGAAGATGTATCGAAGATGGGATTTCTGACTCCGGAAGCTGCATTGCCGTGCTGTATATAAGCTTCGTGTCGCTGGTGTAGATTTTAGTTTTTGGAACTTGCGGACGGTGTGGGGACTCTTTTTTTTTTTCTGACATGCCATGAAGAGGCCGTCGCGCGCTCAAGCCTTTCCCCTCTCCTCTCCATAATTTCTTTGCGCTGTGCGGCATAATCTAAATTCTAATCGACACCGCGATTCGACACATTGGAACCGACAAGGCGAATCTTTTCAAGCTCTCCGATTCGCACCGACACTTTCTGCCATGAGCGCGCAAGCCGACGCTCTGAAGGGATGGCTCCTGAGGAGAGTCTCCGACCCAACGTCAGCGCACTACACCTACCAGATGACCGAAGATCGGTTGGCTCTTATTGTTGTTGGTAAGTCGACCGCCCGAGGTAGATGCGGTTGGATTCTAAATGACTTTCTAGGCGTCATATTCTCCGTGATAGGGTTGTTCGCGATTCTGTGCCGCGCATTCGTCCTCTTCCATCGGCAGCGAACACCAGGGTACGATGATTACATGCTCTTCGTGGCGTACGTGTTTTCCTTTGGATTCACAATCGCTTCATATGTTTCCGTGCGGTGGGGTGTTGGATTGGATATAGCCAATGTTCCTCCAGACTGGGCTATTTCGGCGATCAAGGTGTGTTGAGATGGCTAGCATTGCTGGAAATGCTGTAAGAGCATCTGCTGATTCCTTCGTGCAGGCCGTGTACGCCATGGAGATATTCTACTACTTCACACTTTTCTTTATCAAGCTGTCGATTCTGCTCCTGTACATGCGGTTAGGTATGGCGCTGCCACAGCAAGGAGAAGGTCGCAACATGCTGACAAAGTTGCAGCAAAGGAGTTGCGCAATCATCTTTATTGGGGAACTTTGACTGTCCTTGGCTTGATGTGCCTCCAATTCTGTTCGACGATTGTGGTGACTGCGACGCAGTGCATCCCGATGAGCAAATATTGGAATCCTTCTGTATCTGGTCATTGCATTAGCTTGACTGGATTCTTCTACGGTGAGAGTTTGTCCATCTTCCACATGTGACCCCAAACGCTGACGCACAAACAGCAACGAATGCTTTTACAATCGTCACCGATTTCATAATGATAATAATGCCGATTCCGACTATCTGGAAAGCGCCGCGCCATCAGAAATACGGATATCTCACGGCTTTCTTGCTTGGTGGGCTTGCCATGCTGGCGAGCTGCGCCCGACTGTACTCGATCAAGATATACACCGACTCGCATGAGCCGATGCGAGATGCGGCTCCGATTAATACCTGGTCCTTCGTTGAGGTGAACGTTGCCATTTGCTGCGCGTCAATCGCGGTGATGAGACAAATCGTTCTTGCTGTGCGGACCGGATCCATCAGCCCGACACTGAAGAGTAGCTTTCAGCGTTCCAGAACTTCGCATTCGACAGGCTGGAATTCCGTGCCATCGACACCAGCATTCTCAACCAAGATGTCTGTGCAAGAGGATGACTTCTCGCAATGGTCGAGAAAGCCCAGCGGCATCTTCGAAGACATGGAGACAGGCAGCGTAGAGCCGAGTGCGAGTGCGATTGCGAGTGCAATTGCGAGTGCGAGAGCGGAGGCCGACAGACCCACGCGACAAAGCTCGCCGTTGCCTCCATTGCCAGCACACTGCCACGACACATGCAGCCGAGACAGCGCAACCTCTCCAAAGTCACCGCCGGCGTGGCTTCCACCGAAGACGGGCCAAAAACAACTTCCGCAGCGGCCTGCTTCGTCGCTGTACTCGCAGTACTCTCGCTATGGTCACCATTGCCGGGAGAGTTACAAGCCGGACTCGGCCCCTTTGGTGGTAGTCACATGCTGCTAGGAGGACATGTCTGCGGTATTTCGTTCTGAGCGAGTCCTTGTCTTGATATCGTGTGTGTGCGATCGCTGGTGTGGTGTCGGACGTCTCATGGCTGACGAGTAGACGCTGTATGATAGCTCGATAATGATCTCATGTCCTCGCGGGCGGTCGTGTTCTCATGTGCATCGTGCATCGTCGCGGGGCTCCGGTGGTGTGTTGGATGATATTGATGAGGACCAGTGATTTGGAGTGAAGTTTGATGAAGCATGAGCTTGGGTCACCAGCTGGTCCAGCCCAAAATTTGGCGCGCGCATGCGAGTGGGTCTAGTCATCTTGCAGCGGCAGTTGTTTAGCGAATTCCGCCGCCCGGAGTCGGCTCCATCGCGATCGCGTTTCCACCCTCCATCTCCGTGCCAGCATGCGATTCTGCAACTTCTCCGACGACAAGGCCACGCACGAGACAGTCTGGTGCGCTGTACATACGAGCCGATTTACGCGCCATGTTGGGTTCCAGACGGTCCGGATGAGCGACCGCTCTGCAGTGTCTATCCTGGTTGCCTGGAAGCAGAAAGAGAAAGGGCGGACTCAGGCGCGGTCCGTTTGAGAGGGCTGGGGAACCTGCGAGCATTGGCAGGCGAGAGGGAGCGATAACAACATGTCGACCGCGGCGCTCTCCAGAGAAGATGAAGCAGCAGCTGTCTCGCCCGGTTCTGGAGATGTGTCCCCAACGACGGTGACCCGGGACGACGGCAAGATGCAGAAGGATAATGGCTTTGTATCGTCGCCATTGCGGACAGAGCAACGACGGAGCACGGTCTTGGATAAAGAGCTCCCCGACGTACCGCAGCATGAGCCTGGCGCCGAGAAGAAGTTGGTGTTACCGCCTACCTTACAATTCCCACCCCCTTCTTCAGCAGCGTTCCCTTTCAGTGCGAGCCCTGGCAGCGTGGGACCGTCGCCGACCACCGCCGAGGCTGTTGCCAATGGATTCAGTGTGAACGGAACTCTAGAGCCGTCCCCCAGCGGTATCGATCGCAGACGACCGCCAGCTCTCGGCACATCCACGCCGCCAGAGCGACGACGAAGCGTGCAATTCGTGCGTGGAACCAATGAGGAAGAGGGGAGGCCAAACCACCTTGCCAAGACAACCACATGGGAGACTGATGAGGATGCTGACGAGCAGGCTCAGAGAGACAGGCAAGGCTCTCACTCCTTCATGAAGAAACTCAGGGCTTTTGCGTCCTCAAACCATGTGCGGACCGCCAGCAGCGCGACTGTACCCACCGGCTTCTCCACGCCCAACGCCGCCCTTTCCCCACAGTCCGAACGCAGCGAACCCTTATACCCCATACCTTCTGAGGATGTCGAAGCCGGAACGGAGGCCGATGAAGAGGATTTGTCTGGAAATGAGGACATCAGGGAGGGCGGGCGAAAGAAGCGGCGAAAGAGCAGGAGACCGCCGGTTGGGGGGAGCGAGTCACTGCCTTCAACGCCCAAGACATCTCGCTTCACTTCGTTCATGAGAGATCATCCCATTCCCGGCACGTCGAGCAGCCGTCCTGCGCCTTCACGTCGAGCTACTCTATCAGACGTCTCAGACAGCGGTATGTTCGGAGTCTCAGAAGACGAGGGCAGAGACAAGATTCGCAATGCTTGGCGGCGAGGCATTGAGGGCGCTCGCGGCTTGAGCTATACTGCGCGAAAGGAAAGGGAGGGTGAAACCTCTGAGCACCGTCGTCCTGGGAATCTGCGACGTATCACTGGACTTGGGGACAGCTCTCCATTCCGCCAGCGTGCCGACAGATACAATAGCGCTAGTGCGCAAAAGTGGCGGCAAGTCAAGGCTGGTCTCAAGATGATAGGCCAGCGGAAGAAAGACGAGCGGATGCGAATTGATCACCAGAAATCAGCGCAGCTGATGGCTGAGTTGATCGCAGGCGCTCCTGCAGCCCTCATATTTGCTAGCATGTTTCAAAGGGACGACAAGTCACGACCCAAGGTACCCGTCCTCCTGGACCAGTTGAAGATCAGTATTCCTAGTGTGCACAGCCGCACAGACAAGACGGGCGACCGAGACTACATCTACAGGGTGGATCTGGAATATGGGAATGGGCCGGCACGGATGAACTGGACTATCCATCGATCTGTGTTTGACTTTGTCAACCTGCATGCCAAGTACAAGAGTGGCGAGTACCGCGACAAAGTCAAGCATCTTGGAGCTGAGGACAAAAGCAAGGCAAAAATCCCGCGATTTCCCAAGAGTGTAATTCCATATGCACGTGGCATGCGCGGTCTGTTTGATAAATTGCAAGACGAAGACGACGAACCAGCAATGAACGAGGCTCTAGCAGCGGCCGCGTCTTCCGGGACATTGGAGAGCGCAACTGCGGCGAATACTGCAGCCAATTCGAGCAGCGCTCCAGGACACAAGAGAAAAATATCCGCATTCGCTCCGCCTAGGAGACAGAGCACGAGTGAGATTGGCAACAATTCAGCAGATCCCGATGCGTTGACTGCACGGCAACGTGAGATTTATGCGGACCGATCTCGCCAAAAGCTAGAAGTGTATCTACAGCAGATGATACGATGGCTGATTTTCCGCCCCGAGAGCACGCGACTTTGCAAATTCTTGGAGTTGTCGGCCATGGCAATTCGACTGTCCGCGGAAGGTGGCTATCAAGGCAAGCAAGGCCTACTGAGGATAGCTTCACGGCGACAGAAGGGACCAATCGAGCTGCACCGGAAAACTTTGCATCAGATGTGGCCGTCCGCAATAAAAGACCGAACTCGGCCACGTTGGTTCTTGGTTCGGCACAGCTACCTTGTGTGCGTCGACGGACCAGAATCGCTCAACCCATATGATGTGTTTTTAGTAGACTCAGACTTCGTCGTTGGAAAGCCGAAAAAGAAAATTCGGGACCAGAAAAGTGCGCAGCAAATGGCGAAGATTGCAACCGAGAACGCAACGCCTACAAAGAAGGCTCATATCGTGCAACTCTACAACTCAGAGCGCAGCCTGAAGCTGGCCGCGCGCAACGAGAAGCAGTTGCAGCAATTCGAAGAGTCAATTCATCACATGATGACAAACACAGTCTGGGCGCAGAAGCAGCGATTCGGTAGCTTTGCACCTATACGAAACAATGTCTGGGCGCGCTGGCTTGTAGACGGCAGAGATCACATGTGGCAAGTATCCCGCGCTATTGATAATGCGAAGGACTTTGTGTATATCCACGATTGGTGGCTAAGTCCAGAGCTATACATGCGACGCCCTGCCGCAATCAGCCAGAAATGGCGACTGGACCGCCTGCTTCAAAGAAAAGCATCGCAAGGTGTCAAAATCTTCGTTGTTGTGTACCGCAACATTGAATCAGCCATCCCGATTGATTCGGAGTACACGAAATGGAGTTTGCTGGATTTGCATCCGAACATCTGGGTACAGAGGTCCCCGAATCAGCTTCGACAAAACCAATTCTTCTGGGCGCATCACGAAAAGATATGCGTAGTCGACAACATGATGGCCTTTGTTGGCGGCATCGACTTGTGCTTCGGCAGGTGGGATGATCCAAATCACACTCTGACCGACGACAAGTTGACAGGCTTTGAGCTCGATCAAGACTTGCCTCGAGATTCGGAACACTGCCAGATGTGGCCCGGCAAGGACTACTCAAATCCCAGGGTGCAGGACTTCTACGCGTTGGACCGCCCGTACGAAGAAATGTATGATCGTACCAAAGTACCACGAATGCCGTGGCACGACATTTCCATGCAGATTGTCGGTCAGCCTGCGCGAGACGTTGGACGACATTTTGTTCAAAGGTGGAACTATATTCTGCGTTCGCGTGTTACTACCAGGCCGACTCCGGTATTAATGCCACCTCCAGAGTACGATCATGAAGAGTTGGAGAAGCTCGGCATGACTGGCACCTGCCAGATTCAGATTCTTCGCTCATGTTCATTTTGGTCTATTGGGACACCGAATAAAGTGGAGCACAGCATTATGAATGCGTACTGTGCCCTTATTCGGAACTCGGAGCACTTTGTCTACATCGAGAATCAGTTCTTTGTGACCAGCACCGAGAATGATGGCACTACCATACATAACAGGATAGGAGATGCCATTGTAGATCGTGCGATCCAGGCGCACGTGAAAGGTCAGAAATGGCAGATCTGCATCATCATCCCATTGATGCCAGGGTTTCAGAACAGCGTCGAGGCAGCAGACGGTACCAGCGTTCGGCTGATCATGCAAGTTCAATTCCGCAGCATTTGTCGCGGGGACAAGTCGATATTCGGACGACTACGTGCAGCTGGAATCGAGCCAGAAGACCATGTCCGCTTTTACTCACTCCGGCAGTGGGGGAAGATCGGGCCTCGCAAATGCTTGACCACAGAGCAGCTTTATATTCACGCCAAGTGCATGATCGTCGATGACAGGTCTGTCATTATCGGCTCTGCGAATATCAATGAGCGTTCTATGCTGGGATCGCGAGACTCAGAAGTCGCTGCCGTGGTCACAGATTCCAAAATGCTGCCTAGCTTCATGGGAGGCGAGCCATACGAAGTGGGCGAGTTCGCCCACACGTTACGAAAACGTCTGATGAGAGAGCACTTGGGCATTGACGTTGATGCGATATACCGTAGCGAGCAAGCAGCCGCCGAGCTTGAGCGGGAAGCGCAAGAAGCCGAAATGGACCGCATCTACAACAGCAACGATTACTTCACTCCCACTCAAGAGTACTTCGAAACACCTCCTCAGTCTCCTCCAGCAGACGCTATCAAGAACAGATTGCAAAGCCTCGATGCAACAGCCATTGGTTCTGCCGGTCGCAAAGAAGAAGTGGACGGTTGGGCAGGCGCTAGTCAGACCGCTTCTTCGGAGGACAGGCCCGACCGTGAACAGGAGCCTGACTGGACGAAAGGCGGAGACCGTGAACTTGATGTCGAGGGATTTGGCTACGATAACATGAAGGGCCTTGCCGAGGCGGGACAGGACGGCTTCAGAGACACCTATCTGGACCCCGATGGACGCGAGGTTCTTGTTAGGAAGGATGCCCCTGACGCGCTTAGAGTCCAGGCCCTCGCAAACGAAGAGATTGTTCGTCAAAAGACCAACAGCACCGAAGGACGAAAGGAGCCGGCTGTTCATCCTCCATGGCCAACAGAACGCTTGGACACTGTTCAGCTCGGCCTGCCGATGCGATCACAGCTTCCCGAGCTACCTGTCCTCGACGATACAGACATTGGAGGTCCGCCACTAAGACAGGGTGCATCTGAATCGGCCAAGAAGATCGTCGATCCTCTTATTCGTGCCCTTCGTCGACCAGAGGTAACCAAGGACTGCATGACTGATCCGTTAGCTGATGGCTTCTATCGAAACATCTGGAATCAGGTCGCTGATAACAATACCAAGATCTATCGGCAAGTGTTCCGTTGCATGCCAGACTCAGAAGTGCTGGACTGGAGGCAGTACCATGCGTTTATCGACTACAACGAACGTTTCATGCAAGCTCAAGGATTGGGAACTAGCAAGCCACAACCACCCAAGGGAACTCGCATAGCATCTGGTCCACCAGGAGCAGGTGGTACGAATGCATCAATGCCAACCCATGCCACCTTTGGGGAAAAGGCGAACCCTAAAGGCATGTTGGGTAGCCTAGTCGACAGGTTGCGACCTGGCAGCAAGGCTTCAACTGCTGGCACTGTTCACACGGATGTTAACAACGAGAAGGATGGCCGCGTCCGAGGCTCCCCTGCGACTCCTGGTTCCGGTGCTTCAAGTGGGCCAACTGCTGTCCCTTCAGATGGTCCGACGCCGCTCGAAGAAAAGGACAATAACAGGGAGAACGCCGCTTCAGACGGCAGAGAACTGCTCGAACAAGACACCGTTCCCGATGAAAAGGAAACGACCAAGCAAGAAAATGACGAGGCCGCAGCCACGCAGCAGGATGACAACGTGGTCGTCAACCGCACGCGCACGGTGCAGATTGACGCGTCTTCCAATCCGCCAGAGATGACTGCCACGCAGTCTTCCCAAGGCAACACGTTGCAATACACAGCTTCGCAGAAGCGCCGTCGGCGTGCTACGACCAAGAGCAGTGCACGACCGGTGCCGGATGACATTCTGGGTAGAGAAGAAGCGGAGGAACTGCTGAATCTTGTGCAGGGTCACCTTGTGCATTGGCCCTATGACTGGTACGTTCTCACTCTTTTATCACTTTTATGCCCCTCACCGTCTAACCATTTCACAGGCTTGAGAAGGAGGAGCGGGGTAGCAACTGGCTCTACACCGTCGACACCATTGCGCCGTTGGAAATCTACGACTGAACACCACGTAATACTACAGACACACTCATTGCTGTTTCCTAATGCATTGCGGGGCGCGCCGATTGACAGTTACGGAGGGGCTCTTCGGTGGTTTATTGCACAGCGAACAGGCACAAGGCAAGCAAGGCGTTGGAATCGGTTGATGCTTTGGGTCAGATTGGTGCATGTACAGGCGGCTGGACATACTAGACACCGACATACTCCGTATGAGAGGAACCGTAGCTCATTGAAGCAATACGCGTACGGCACTGTACCTTTTGAGCAGTGGAAGCTGTTTGCACACCCCATGTCGCCGGCAGCCTCAGGTTACACCCAGGACCGGCCGACATAGGTGCGGTGGGTGTATAATAATTTATCCGCGGTAGGTGAGGTCAACGCGCCAGCACGGACCAAGAGACATGTACCAGTTCAGACACGCGTTAACATGCCACGAAGACCGAGCAACTCGCGAAGATTTACATGTCATCCGTTTGGAGGAACATGGGCGAGCGTCGACGCAAATGGGCCCTCATTGCCAGCGCGACTGCTGGCGGGATTGGAGAGGCATACGCCATTACATTTCGGCGACGAGGTGTCAATGTGATCGCGGCCGCGGCGGACACGAACGGTATGGAGTATCTGGAGCCCGAGAAAGGATCGGACGACGGATTCCTTATCACTCTGGAGCTCGACGCGACGTCTGCCTCGTCGATTGCCGCCGCAGTGCAGCAGATTCGCCAGCTTACGGATGGAACTCTGGACTTCTTGATCAACTGCTGCGACTCGGCCTACTACGTGCCGCTCATGGATGCGGATATCGAGCAAGCCAAAAGTCAGTACGAGGTCTGCGTCTGGGGCCTTCTGGCCGTCACACAGGCCGTCTTTCCCCTCCTTCGCGATGTCAGAGGAATGGTGGTCAATCACAGCAGCGTTGCCGGACTCCAAGGCTCCAATCGACCATTCGCGGGCATCGATGCCAGCGCGAATGCCGCGATCCTCCACTTGAGCTCCACCATGCGTGTCGAGCTTGAACCTTTTGGCATACGAGTCGTCGCCCTCGTGTCTGGAGCTGTACAGACCGAAGTCCTCGACCATGTGACTGGCGGCGGTGTTCCCGAACAATCAGCTTACTTCCCGATCAAAGACGAAATCGAGCAGGTGATGAGCGCTTACTCTGCGAACAAGGGCCGTGACAGGTACCAGGTTGCGACCGAGACGATTGACCAGCTTTTGAGTGAGACGCCACCTCTGGTCATCCGCAAAGGGTACATGGCCAGCTTGAGTGCCCTCCTCTACTGGCTGGTTCCGACCTGGATATTGGATTCTTGGGCAATTAAGCAAGGTAGATTGGATCGACTGAAGCTCCTGCTGTCGGGATCTGTCGAAGAGAAGAAAGATGAGTAAGATCAAGTTGCTGCTCTGGATCTTCTTGGCAGCCCATGACACGAACGCAGTGACCCACTGATCGATTCTAGCGAGGCACCTCTGATCCGATCTCCCGGGGAGGGTGCTTAGCGTCTGCCTGGGCACCGTGTGGGGAGCAACTCCACCTCACCATGCCATACAAGCACCGGTCTCCCGCATTACCTTCCATCGACCTAAAAACATTCATGTGATGCGTCATTTCCGTCTCGGAAATAAAGTATTCGAAGCTCATGTTCCCCTCTCCAAATCCTACGCAAGCCGGAAGTATGGCATTCATGGTCGAGATCTACCGCGATGTCGTCTCCGCACTGTGCGTACATGTACCTGGTCAAGGTATCCCGCCTTCGACAAGCATCCTACCACAAGAGCTCTACGGATCCCGCTTTGCTTGTCTCGCGCACTAGGAGTTACCTCGCTGCACTGTTCGCACGAAGATCTGGTGGCTCGTGATGCCAGTACCGACTGCGGGGTCGTTTCGCTGCGGTCCTGCCTATCTTTGCCTGCTTCGAGGATCAATGCCAGGCAATTGGAACAGCAGTGGCTTGGAACCTCCGTATGAACGAATATGAGGGGTTACAGGCGGGCCGTCATCATGAGGGCGGTAATATTGCCCGCATTCAAATACGCTGGTGCTCGCCGGTGAGGAGGAACCCGCGGCGAATTGACCTACAACATCATCCACAGGTCTATAATCAAGATGCCTCTCCATAACAAACTTCCGGACGACTTGAATGAGTTCGACGTCATCATCGCAGGTGGTGGACTTGCGGGCACCGTGGTGGCCTCGCGCCTTGCAGAGGCCGACAAGGACCTCAGAATCCTTGTGATTGAGCAAGGTCCGAACAATTACAACTTGCCGGAGACGGTGCATCCAGCCCTCTACCCGCGGAACTTGTTCCCGCAGAGCAAGATTACGCTGTTCTGGCGTACGAAGCAGTCGCCTCAGCTCGCGAACCGTGCACCCATTGTGCCGTCAGGAGGCACCTTAGGTGGTGGTAAGTAGACAGAGGGGGAGAAGGAAGATCTCTGACTGACGTGGTCGTTGCAAAGGCTCTGCTATGAACTGGATGGTCTACACCAGAGGACAGCGGTCTGATTTTGACTCTTGGTAAGTACCGGGTGGATATGACGACCAGCATGGTAAAGTGGATTGGAGACTGACACCAGAGCGCAAACAGGAAGACACCGGGTTGGAGCGCTGATGAACTACTCCCATTCCTGAACAAGGTCAGAGCTTCACTTTCGGAGAGCCGATAGATATCAACGCTGACGGCTGCGTAGCTTGAGACATACCATGGCAAAGGAGACAAGGACCGACACGGTCACGACGGATACGTGAACATCTCCAAGGGCACCCATGTGTGCACTCGCGCGGAAGACGCCTTTGTCCAAGCCGCTGCAAAGCTCGGATACCCCGAGGCGAACGATCTCCAGAATCTAGACGCCAACAACGCCATCGAACGGTACTACAAGTATATCGGGCCCAATGGACGACGACAGGATGCCGCACATCGATACTTGCATCCAAAGTTAGAGAGCGGCGAATACCCCAACTTGCACGTACTAGTGGAGAAGCAAGTACTGAAGGTGCTGTTCGAGGGCAAGAAGGCCGTCGGAGTTGAGTACCAGACCAATCCAAGCTATCTTGCCAATCCGGAGTTCTTGTCGACGGCATACACTGCCAGACGTACCGTCCGGGCCAAGAAAATGGTCGTCGTATCTGCCGGAGCGAACGGAACTCCAGGTGTGCTCGAACGATCTGGTGTGGGTGATTCAAAGATTCTGGAGAAGGCTGGCGTGCCGGTCGTGGAAGACCTCCCCGGTGTCGGCAAGGACTACCAAGACCATCACTTGTCGCTATGGGCGTATCGGACCAATCTGGAACCACGTGAGTGCATTAACGGCTTCCAGGACGGTCGTTGGGATATTGACAAGGCGATCCGGGAGACGGATGAGCTTCTGGGCACCAACGGCATGGACGCACAAGGCAAGTTCCGCCCGACAGAGGCCGAAGTGGATGCTCTTGGGCCTGAGTTTAGGAAGGCTTGGGACAAGGACTTCAAGAATCTCCCGGATAAGCCACTCATGATTATGGCTTTGTATACTTGGTGAGCAGCTTCCGCACACGTGGACAGTCTGCCGACACTGCTAACAGAAGCACAGCTATTACGGCGACCATTCGATGCTTCCCGGCGACGCCGAATATGTCTCTCAAGCAAACTGGACTGGCTATCCGTACTCGCGTGGACACGTCCACATCACGGGTCCAAGCATGCACGACCCAATCGACTTCGATACGGGCTGGCTGACCGACCCGGGCGACGTCGACGTGAAGAAGCACATCTGGGCCTACAAGATCAGCCGTGAAATGTGGCGCCGCATGCCCATCTTCCGAGGCGAGCTGAAGGGCAACCACCCCAATTTCCCGCCCGGTTCCAAGGCCGCCATCATCGAGAAAGCCGAGGGGCCCATCCCCATGTCCGACGACCAACGGATCGAATACTCCGCCGAAGACGACAAGGCCATCGAGCAGAGAGTGCGTGAGATCTTGTCGACGACGTGGCACTCGCTTGGAACGTGCAAGATGGCACCGAGAGCGGACCAGGGTGTCGTGGATGCGAATTTGGGCGTGCATGGATTGGAGAATCTCAAGTTGGCGGACCTGAGTATCCCGCCCGAGAACGTCGGGGCCAATACTGGTAAGTGTGATCCGGTGAATGCCACAGTGTGCAAGGAAGAATGCTGACTTTCGTGGCAGGCAACACGGCATTCGTCATCGGAGAGAAGGCGGCGGACATCTTCATCAAAGAGCTGGGGCTCGAAAAGGTGGATTCGCCCATGCTGGGCAAGCGAACTGTCGTCGTCGCTGCTTGATTCTCTTCATGTAAGGCCTTGCATTGCATTGCATTGCAAAATCTCCTCATAGCTCAATCTCAATCTCCGTCGTCGCCGGTTTGGATTGGCAGATGAAGATGCCCTGTCGCGTATCCCCTTCGGGTCCGTAGACTTGCCCTCTTCTACACGAAAGAACAAAAAGAACAGCCCGTCAGCACTCAGCGCCGCGCGCCGCCCGGGGGAGAGAAGGAGGAGGAGGAGAAGGGGCGGGCGGTAATGGGTGGTAACCCGACTCACGTAATCTTCACCTCACACGTGCCACATATCGCGCTTCGACAGCCGTATTTCGGCTTCAGGCCGGCTTTCTCCGCCAGCTGCAGCAGCGTGAGGTCTTGGGAGGCGAGCCATGTCGCGGTCGTGCGAGATCTCGTGAACGTCACCGTCGCTTGGCCGGTTTCTTCGATGTCGAGCATGATTCCGAAGGGAGCATGGAGCAGGCGATGTGTCGATGTCGATAGACTTGGCGCACGGCATGGGTCAATTGGAGTAGTAGATCTTTGCTCGCCAAATGCAAGTTTTATCTCTCATCAGTGAGATTTCAGAGGCCGTTCACGGGATGTATTTCATTCAATCAATCAATATATTGTTTCTTGATTGTTGCTTCTGGACGCTAATAACACGTCCGCGCGCGCTGGGCGAGATGTGTTTCCGCCTCGCCTCGCCTCGAGGGCGGGAAATGTATAGGCCGACTCCGAATGACCGGCCGAATACTGGAGGGTGGGAATTTCGGAATGGCCAAGAACAAGCTGCGCAGCAAGCAATACTACTGTGAAAAGAGCCAAGAGCAAAGAGCGAGGAGCAAGACAAAAGTCCAGGACAGAGTAGTGGAGGCAAGAGATTCCGGCTGAAGAATTCATACCGACCCCTCCTTCAGGTCCCGTGTCGGCAATTCCAGCTGCAGTCGTCGGCTCCGAAAAAGAGTAGTCATAATATCCGGCCCTTGTGTGAGAGATAGCGTTCTTCTGCTGAAATGAGGCAACTTTCTCACAAACGGGTTTCCTCTTCTTCATCTGAACACTTGAGATCTCTACGGTGCACAATGATCACCGGCCTGCATCACGTCAACCTCATCGTCCCGGCCGGCACGCTGGCGCAAGCGGAAGAATTCTACGGCGAGACGCTGGGCCTCACGCCGCGGCCTGTGCCGGAGCTGCAGAAGGGGTCGTTGGCTTGGTGAAGATGCTCCCTCCCCTCCTCCCTCCCACCTCCCCCAAGGAAGCCGTGTGCTCACGATGTGATTGTGGCGAACAAACAGGTACGACCTCGGATCTTCGGGCCAGCAGGTCCATATCGCCTTCGGGCCGGCGGAGGCGAATTCTTCGCGGCATCCGTGCTTCCGCGTGGCTTCGCCCGAGGCTCTGCTGCTGCTGAGGCAGAGGGTATGGGAGCATCATCGGGCGGGTGGTGCTTCGGCTCCGCAGCAGGCCGATCGGCCCGGGGAGGTGGATAGTGGTGCGCAAGGTAAGATGATGATGATGAAGAAGAAGAAACAGAAGCAAGTCAGTCTGGATCATCATGAGGCGTCGAGCTGATATCACATCGTGGCAGGCAAGGAGTACCCGCAGAGGTTCTTTGCGAGGGATTACGCCGGTAACCGACTGGAATTTACGGTGTGAGAGATGAAGGGTGGAAAGGATGAAGAGAGGCGGTTCGAGTTGCGACTGATGATGTCGTTCCATCTTAGACTTTTCCCATCTTGAACTGTTCGCACGCACGCACGCACGCACTTGCTTCAAATTCTATTGTTAAGACCGGTTGATTACGATGACTGCACATGTCCGACTTTATCTATTACGCAAGAACAGGGCAGCTCCATCAACTCCAACAACCCCCATCACGAGTCTCATACGTCGTCGACCATTGCAGCCGGCGAGACGTACTGATCCGGCCTCAATGCTCGTAAGCGATATCAAGCGACGCGAGCGATGCCGGTACCTCTGATGCCAGGGAGACGGAGACTTGTACAAAGCCCGAGTCGATGAGGAGAGGCGATTCCTCGTCAACGGCCCGTGTCATTCAGCTTGGATTGGGATACTCAGGGCGTGATGCCTCTCATAAGGGCAGTTATTATTGCGGAACTGCCACCTCTACCGGCCGGACAGGGACCAAGAAGACGGGCTCCGATGGCCAGGCCTTCAACCTCGGCCTCGCGGCATTGGGCATCAGGTTTACCGGTACCGGCCCAATGCCAACAACAACATTAACAACAACAACAACAACAACAACAACTACGACAACTACGACAACCACTGCTCGTTGCGGCGAGTCGACATACCCATCCTTCTTCCCGAACCATGACGCAGCTCAACGGCGCCGCCAACGGCACCTCTGCCACCGTCACCGTCACCGTCCCCGTACCCGTCCCCGTCAGCGACCTGCACAGCACCGAATCGGAATACGACCTGACGGTGAACGACCTGGAGAAGCTGGTCTCCTTGGTGCACACGCCGGCCGGGCTGTGTGTCGTCTCCAACGTCTCGCGCCCGGCCGGCGCCCACTTCGCCTACATCACCCGCCACGTGCCGCGCGCCGCCCCGACGTGGAAGACGATCCAGACGTCGACGACGACGCACACGGACCCGACGAGCGCCCTGCTCTACATGAACCACGCCTGCCAGCCCTCCCTCGAAGTCCATACCTTCGCCCCGGACCCGGCCACCGGCACATACCCACTCTCCCCGCCCGCCGGCAACCGCAACGGCGAGATCCTCGACGTCGACCCCGCCCGGGGCCTGGCGGGCGAGGTCACCGTCGCGCGCGACCGCGGCCTCGAGCCCGGCGACCCGTTGACCTTCTTCTACCCCAGCACCGAGTGGAAGTTCGACCGGCCCTTCGACTGTCTCTGTGGCGCGCCCCCGGACGTCTGTCTGGGCACCGTGCAGGGCGCTTCGGTGCTGAGCCGCAAGGATCTCGATCGCTGGTTCTTCAACGAGCATATCTGGCAGCTGGCCGACAAACGGGACGCGGTGGCTTCATAGAGCATCAACCAGCATCCATCGAGCGGGCCACGGGGTTTCGCGTTGTGTGTGTGTGTGTGTGTGTGTGTGTGTGTGTGAGAGAGAGAAGGCTAAATTCAACAAGGAGCGAGTAGTAGTGTGTGCATATGAGCGGGCCGCATATCTGTCTATCTAGCATGTTTGAGGAGCAAAGAGGGCACAAAAACAAAAAGTTCGATACCCAACCCCTTCAACGGGGCATGCGTGTACAGACGTCGTTGTCAATTTCTTCAATATAGCTAGGCTTCGTACATATCTTTTCAAAAAAACGAGTGGAAGTGTGCCTAGCCGGTCAAACCAAAAAAATTCAAGAGGCACTTCATGATGATGTGCGCGCGACCCCTTCTTTCTTGCCTTATCCGGCAAAGCCCATCCTTTCGGCACTCCTGCATGTGCATGTGACATGCCAGGGTACGTACCTGTTGTGCTCGATCCCTCTCAGCCTGCATCAGGCACTGGCGGCAACAACAGTACGCTTGACCTCCAGCCTACGAAACCCGCCCTCCTCAGCAACAGCCCTCTGCAACTCCACCATCCTCCTCTGATCCCCCTTCGGATCCGCCTGCTCCCCCTCGCCATCCCAGCCCAAAAACTCATTCGTGTAATTCGGCACGAACCCCTCCGCCAACACCCCGAGTCGCTTCCCGTACCGCGTCACCTTGTCCCAGTCCCGCTGCACGTTGCGCAGGTCCTGCGAGAAGAAGGCGAAGCTGCGCTCGAAGATCTTGCGGTTCAGCTCGGTCCCCATGACGGGTTTGAAGGCCACGTATTCGCGCCACGCGCCCTCGGCGTCCCGCAGCACAAAGTCCGTCGCGCGCTTGACGGCGCGCAGGAACGCGCGCACTTTGTCCGGGTGTTCGCGCAGGAAGCGCTCGTTGGCGATGTACAGGATGGAGCAGAAGCAGCAGCAGCCGAGTTCGGCCAGCTCGTCGATGCGCAGCATCTGGACTTCATCGCGGGCGCGGCCTTGGGAGGCGAGCCATTCGGCCAGCTCCACCATCTGCACGTTTTCCAGGCCGATGCCGGCGTCGATCTCGCCGCGGATGATGGCCTGGGACACGTTCATGCCGCAGCGCACGGCGGTGTAGTCCGAGGGGGACATGCCGTAGTGGGAGGTGAGTTCGTCGATCTGGATCTTCCCGAATTCGCCCACGTAGCCGATCTTCTTGCCCTTGAGCGTGTGGAAGTCGGACGTGATGCCGGAGGACTTGAGGTAGACGACCCCGGTGAAGGGTTCGTCGAGGAGGGAGCCGATGGATTTGATGGGGAAGGAGCGGGCTTTGGCCTGGATGATACGAGGTTAGTTCGTGTGTGTAGGGGAGGGGCGGAGTCGGGAGTGATATGATACAGCCAAGGTGTGGATCATGGCTTTGAAGCCCATATCGACCTTCTCCGTCCCGATGATTTCCGTGACATCCTGCTTGTGTCAGTGGTCCTCTCAGGCGAACTGCTCATTCGGCTTGAACGCACACTTGGGTCGTTCGGCTCCATGATGGCGACCTTGATGCCTTCTTCCTGGAAGAAGCCCTTGGCCTGAGCCAGGTACAGCGGTGCATGGTATGGCGTAGCGTGCCTTTGATCAGTCAGCCACCCACCCATTCTATCCAACTCTATTCATCATCTCAATAACCCACCAGTTCGTCAAGAAGGTGATCTTGTCCGTCGACATGGTGGCGATGCTGCAAAAGTCAATACAATCCACTCTCCCATTCCCAGCATAAGGAGGAAAGGCATGTCCCTGGCGCAGGTATTGCCCTGATCAGGTTCAAACGGTTTGATCTCAGATCATCTCGTCCCTCCCATCACCCGCAAAGGCGATGGAACGAAGTCAAGACGAACACCCGTCATGCAGTCTCGAACTGATGATGACCTTGGGACAAACCTTGAACTGTTGTCAAGCAGAGCGTTCCTGCTACCAGAGCGGTAGCCTCCATGACTGCCATACCGGTTTGGCTTCGTTTGGTGATGGTTGTTGTATGAGTGGCTCGGATTGATTGCGACAGGAAGACTGAGCTCAGCAACGTTGGGACGTCTTACATACGTCTTACATATACCATTGAGCAACTTCTCGGGCGGGGTAAGGTACTGATGTAAAGCAGGTCCACACAGGGTCATTATAGTTCTCGCCGGCTCACCAAGTGCAGCTGGGGGCAGGGTGATCGCTGTGACAGCTTCGAGCTTGCGGAAGGTTGACAGCTCTTTGGAGCTCAAAGAGGATTGATGCAGAAACGCAGGTGAAGCGAGAATGTGTTGATACTGTGCCTCGATTACATATGATCCTCCGCGTGCTCAAGAACAAGAGTGTCTTACTAAGAGGCAGCCGCTACGAAAGCAAGTGTTGGGTATCTCAACTTGAAAGGGACGTCCAAGGTTCGTGCAATCATCGTCATCATCATCAGTCATCCTCGACACTGACGGACAAAGTCTCGTAAACGGCCTGATTAAACTCGTAATGAACAAGGAATCCACCCTGCAGGAGACGCTTCAAGCCGTTGAGACGATGTAGCTTCCACCATTTGTCAATGATCATGAAGCTACTCCGGTTCGCGCCAGCTCGGTGGATGGCGACTTTCATTCGAGAGCCATATTCGCGGCCAGTCACTGGATCGAAGGCGGTGTTATAGCGTGGCCCGCGGGAAGGATCCTCAACCGTATTCAGGACGTCGCGGAATTGAACGTGCATCTGCTTGCGATCCTGTTTCGAGATTCGCTTTGATGCTGACTTTGCCAGACCTTCCAGAGTCTTCTGAAGTTGATGAGATTGGCGGTAGACAGTGTATCTCTGGTGCGTGGCTTCTGAGTCGTCCTCATCATCGGAGTCGCTATCACCTGCGCTGGCCTCGTACAAAAGGGCGATATTGTCACCTGCGGCAACTTGTACGCCGACGTCGTTGCTCTCGAGCTGATCCACGAATGTATCCATGGCGTTCTCCGTGACATCTTCCAAGTCGTCCAGCTGCGTGGCAAGAAACCCCCACTCCCGTAGACATGCGACAACAACTTGAGCGTTGTCTTCCTCGCCAATGTTGGCGCCGTCTGAGGATGCGATGTCGAGGAAGTAGTCCATGACCTCTTGAGTCTCATCCAAGGAAGCACCGCCGTAGAATGTGGCGATGCTAAGGGCGTGTATGGCGGCAATCTTGGCAGTCGAGTCCTCCGAATCATCGATCGTGGACTTGAATGGCCTCTGAACCTCATCGTAGATGTCTTCCGACGGATCGGTAACAAGGAGAAGTGCCAGAGCCTTGAGAGCAAGGCAGGTCTCTGCTTCCGATTGTCCGCCCTTTACACTCTTCAGAAGCGCGGAGAGCAGTTCGTTCAGCTTTGGCTTCAGCTCTTTCTGCACGAAGTGATGGCTCATGGTTGTGATGAGGCGTGCGATCCTCTGCTCTCTGCCCTCGGTCGAACTGCGCTTGCGGTCGATGATGGCCTCTATGCGCTCGTCCAGGTCGGCAGCCCAAGCCTCGTCGCCTTCGTCCGTTTCCTCCACAAGTGATGCGTCCAAGCTGTTGGTACTCCATTCCGTACCGTCGCTAAATTCGGCCTCATCTTCTGAACCTGCTCTGCTCTGGACCCGCGATCCTGCTGGACTCGCGGTGGTTGAGTTGCCGCGACTGACGGTGCGGCTTTGAGGTGGGGTGCTCGTCTTGGAGCGAGCCTTTTTCGAGACGGTCTTGCCGCTCTCTAGGAGTACCTGCTTTCTCAAGTCGTGCATGGTTTCGTCGGTTGATTAGGTGCGGCTAATCGAGTACAGTTTGTAGAATAGGCACCGGGCCTTATGAATACTCGAGGAGGGACTCGGTGTTACTGCGCTACGTTACTGCGCTGGCAAATCGGGCGGCGATGCGCGGCGGCTATTATTGTATGGGTGGATGCGATCTCGACTGGGGGATGGCGAAGACGGTGATCAGTTCCATTGAAATGGAGAGATATGAATGTTATAAATGGTGTGGTGCTGTGCGGACAGACCGTGAAGTTGCTTTGGTGTAGAGTCGGTGAGTTGGTGAATGTTGCAATTCGTCGTGTGGCATGCAACCTCTTGCCCTCTTATCGGGAAGATCCGGGATGCCTCGGCTCTACCCCTCGCGCGGATCCGGGCCAATTGCTGCCGTCCCGATGACATTCACTTACAATCCTCCTCCCTATATATATCCTCTTTGACACTATAATTCAGCCGTAGCACCTGATATTCACAATCACTACCGAACCTTACCTGTAGTCTGAAATACCCAAGACCTGGACTAATGTGTCGGTACACTAGGGCACTGGCCAGCATGACTGCTTCTCTGGAGAATCTAGGCAATCACTGTTCGATCGAGGAATCCAAGAAGATTACCGCCGGGAGAATGTCTGGCTGGTAGTTACTCGCTTGTCCTTGCTTGGAAGCATTCTGATGTTCATGGCCATCCCAAAGACAAGCCAGGGCGAAGGTCTGCATAACTGTCTCCGGAACTATTCGTGGCATTATCCTCGTAGTGCTCGGCTGCCTTATGTTCGTGCTTTGGCAACATGCTGTACTGAACTGCCTTGTTCCACTTCCGACCGGTGCGCATCCGTCTCCGTTCTCCTGAAAGAACAGACTTGCACAGAAGCTCCCGCCTGGAGTGAGAAGCGAAGAAGACAACGAACGACGAGCGATGATATCCTGACATCGCGTACGCAAGTCCAACTCCACACCATACGAAAGAGGATTGTCATTGCTACTGGAATGGTCTGATCTGATCTGAACATGTCATGTGAAGCCAAGACACTAGCTTAGGATATAGTCAGTCTCTCGGATATGCCCCAAAGGATTCGAAACGATCCTTTTGCACACGTACGTCGTCGTCGTTAACGGAAACCAGACCGTTTGCTCAACAATCCTCTCGAGCATTTCATATTTCATACATCATCATTGTTACCTCGACCACACATCACATATGGATATTTGTACAAATGGAGCACCCGGGAAGGGGTACTGTGGAGCATGCATGTGATGTTAATGGATTTTCTACTGATCCTGCTCATATTAGTGAGATTTGGGGGGGATTTGGGTGTTTCTGAGCGGGAAAAGGAGTGCCGAGAGAGAGAGCGGGGGGGGGGGGGGGGGGGGGGGGGGTGGGGGGGTAGAAAAAAAAAAAAAAAAAATTATAAAAAAAAAAAAAAAAAAAAAAAAAAAAAAAAAAAAAAAAAAAAAAATGTGTGAAAGATTATG